CGAGTCGAGTACTACTCGAGTAATTACTCGAGTAGTACTCGCAACGAGTAGTACTCGGGCAACACTGCTTCACAGTTCTTGGCCATCACCACTCACTTCACCACATAGCACACCCAGCACATGAACACTCGTCTCCAATCCATCTCAAAGTCCCCCTAATCCCAATCATAAAGCGATCAATCATGGCATTTTTTTTATTTTTTATTAACAGAAGACAAAAAAAATAGAGGTGTCCAATACAAAAAAAACATAAAACATTAAAATTTAAACAAAAAACAACACACAAGAAAGGACAAAGAAAACAAATAAAAGAAGAAGAAGCAGCATCGTAAAAATCGTACACACATGCACATGCATCATGCCCCATTCGCACCACCACAGTCACCACATTCATCCCTCCTTTTTCGTGTCGCAAGCTCCATCCCCAATATTTCGGACCTCCTCAATTCATTACAGGCAAACAGATTCTCCGCCACCCACCACCCTCCATGCCATGCCAGTCGCCCAAGCCAGACCACCTACCGTTCGAACCATTTCAAATCCAAAAGCCAGAACCAGAACCAACAAAGGAAATATGTCCCAAAGACGCCCATCTCTGATCGTGCTATCATACATAAACATAATCTCCCCCCGATGCAACACCCGCATTCCATTAAATAAAAAAAAAAGCCAGCCTCCCATTTTGTTTTCCTTTTGATCAGTCAATCAACCACCGCCCGTCACCACCACCGCCACCAACCCCAATGGTGGGGGAATCCAACAATTTTTACCTCCCTTCAGGTCCTTCAATCAACCCTCCAATATCAACCCTACTACTCCTCCTCCGACCCCCTCCCTGCGGCGCACCGCTCGGCCCCTCACTTTCTCTCATACGTATAGGCGGGAGTAGGAGCGCGCGTTGATCCGTGCCGCGCGATGATGGGGGCGGGACGTATTGTGCTTGTGCCTGGTCCTGGGTCTGACTTTGACCTTGGCCCTGCGATGACTGCATAGGCGCGAATCCCTGTTGGCTCGGTCCCAGACTCTGTTGTCCCTGTCCCTGTCCCTGTCCCATCACTTGTCCCTGACCACCTCCATACGCCGTCCTCACAGGCTGATACCCCATCTGCGGATGTCCCTGCTGCGGACCCAAGCCCTGTTGCTGTCCACCAAACATAGGGTCACCCCTATACCCGCCCGCTCCACCACTTCCACCGCCCATGTGCATCTGTGTCTGCATCGGCGTCTGCGTCTGTACCTGCACAGCCCCCAGCAATCTCAACACCACATAAAATATCCCCTCCCTCCTCCCCAACCCAACACCCACCTCAAACGCTCTGACCTCTCCACCAGCCCCTTGAAACCCCAACACCTCCCTCGCCTCAACAGCCACGCGCGCCACGTCCTCCTCCGTCATCCCAACAGCAGCAATGACGCGTGACTCCTCGCCTGACCCAAATATAGGAGGTAGGTAGTGCGGTTCCCTTGTCTGGCGGAGGTCGTCGAAGATGTGCTGGAGACGTGCAGCCGAGGGGCGCGAGGCCGGGGCAAGGATGTCGTGTAAGGAGCGTGCGACGGGAGAGGGAATTCCGGTTGCGTGGGAGAAGGCTGGAGACGCACGGGCGATTCGTAGGGATGGCGTGAGGTAGAGTACTGGGGGGTCGTGGGGGCGGGCGGTGGCGGGTGGTGGGAAAAGATTTGCATCGGAGGGGGACGCGTGGTCAAGATAGCGAGGGAGATGTGGTGGTGCTTGGGATTTGAGGACTCGGTAGGAAGAGGAGGATCTGGTGTGGGGTTCGGAGGGTGGTGAGTTGGTGGGATAGTGAGGAGCAGAACGGCGGTGGAGGGGGTCAGGTTGCGGGTGAACTGGTTGATCAAGGCGGGTGTTGTGGTCGTCGCGGAGTCGAGGGCGGCCGCGCTTTTTGTGTACCATATCTATACAGGCATCCTCCTTGTTATTACTCTGACAGCGCGAACATGGCCGTTGTGCTGCATTGTTGTTAGCTTGAGAACCAATAGTTGTTGTCGTCCACGCAAGCACAATGCCACTTGAAAAGCAAATCTATAAATTCAATCTATAAAGCAAAGACCCTTCAGATAGTTCAAATGAATTTCCATTTGGATAATCAACCCATATCTCGATCTGGGCCCCGCCATGAAGCATCATCCCTACTCAGGGTCCAATATGATTCCAAGACATAATCAAGCCACACTGTATTCAGCCCCTGCGCCACATCTCAGATATATCACCTCCGCCGGAGCAACTAAGCCAAAAGGGAAATAAATTGAACAGCCCCAAGAAAACCTGGTAGCGGGACGATTTATTGCGATCTCAAATGGAATAAAAAGCCCGCATGCACTAGCAATGCTTAACAGAGAGTACTATACATATCGTGCATCAAGGGTCCCGCTGGCCGCCCTGACGTCGTCGTTCCTGTCAGCATTGGCGGCTTTTAGCGGGGCATTGCTAGCGGTCGGGGACGCGCTTGTCGGCCCGTGGGCCCGCGAGCGCCGCAGCTAAATATGGAAAACAAACTCAAAGCAGAAAGTGGCTGGAACGCTCAACCCGAGAGCCAGAAAAAAAGAACAATCAATATTCCCCAAAAAGGGAGCGCCTCGCGAGCAAATGCGCCTCACCCGCCGGAGCAAGCATGCACTTGCTGCACGATCCATTCAGCCGGCCGCAGGCAGAATGCGAACATCCCTCTAATCTCACACGCGCTTGCTTGTGGACCTGAGCGCGACTAATGGGCCGTAGATGACAGCACACCAACGTTTGAGGCTGGCCATGGAAGCCCTCATGGAACAAGTAGAATGGCGATCGGCGTCTGCGTAATTTCGAAGTTCATTTAGGCATCCCGCTGCCACGGCGCCTCATTAGAGGAATAATATAAAGATGTACGTACCATCGCATCTGGATATTGGTTAGCTCTAATTCCCAACGTCCCGTCGTCGCAATGCTCGAGGGGGGTTCGTTCTCACCTGAGATGCGCTCGCTTGCACGGTACGCATGCAGAAGCCACATGGCCTTTCGTCTTCCTCGTCTTCGCAGCCGAGGCGGGCTCTGGTCGCTCGGGCATTTGGAAGGGGTAGTTCGCTGGCCGCGGTTGGTCGAAGCCGCCGTATGGAGGCAGAGGTGGCGCTGGAAGCTGTGCCGAGGGCTGCGGTGGGTATTGATATGGCGATTGTTCAGCCGGCATCCCCCCTCCCGGCTGATATGGTGAATATTGCATGGCCATGCTCGGGTTGTGAGAGGTAGCCGAAGGCGGCTCCCTTGCGCCGTCGCGCGCCTCGGTCTGAGGTGGCAGCTGCTGCGCATGCGTTCGAGTCTGCGGTGGCTGCTGGCCGCCAAACCCGCCGCGGCCGCGGCCACGACCATCGAAGTCATTGTCATGTCGTGGGGGCTTCAGCGGCGAGCCTGACATGGGCGGAGACGGGTATGCCCGGCTGCGAGCAGAGTTAGACAGCTCTCTCACCCAATGCGGGTCGAGAGGGGAGCTGGCCAGATGGAGGTTGCTAAGGAGCTCGGCGGGAGGTATGGGTGAGGAGCTGGAGTGAAGCGCCGACGCTGTCATCGACTTGACGGTTGGGAGGTTGTGTGCGATGTCGCAAGGTCATCTGCGCCACTACTCCGTGCGATGCGGTGGGATGGTTGGCGTGGTAGATGGTGAGAGGCGCGAGAATGCGTCGAACCTCATATCATAGATGGCATTAGAGAGGAGTAGAAACTTTGGATGAAAGAAAAAATTGAAAGGCTCGGCTGCAACGCAGGGAACCGAAGGAACAATATTGTATGACGGTGGCAGGCGCTCGGATGAATTTTGTAGGCCCGATCGGAAGCTTTGTTGTAGAAGATATATAGTTGAGTGACGGGGCAGGACGTTAATAGCAACGAGTGATAAGTCGACGTAGCGAAGTCTCTCGGGCACGTATCTATAAGATCAAGCAAGGCTATGCGACAGAGGCTCTCTCACTCTGCATAGCATCGCATGGGGGCTTCGCAGAGCAGTTCCTTGCAGGGCAGGTCTTACAATAGAGGTAGTGGAGTGAGCGCAAGGAAGAAAGGGTAGGAGTGAGCGCAGTGAGAACTGCAAGAAGGCAGGGGCGAGGCTAGTAAGAGTTCCGTTTTGAGAAGAAGAGCGACGAACAATGCTCGGCGGGCTGCAGCAGAAGATGGCACAGTAGAAGCAGGCCTGTCGTAAGGCGACACGGCGGATTGGGAGGGAGTAGTTTCGATTTGTGGGGAGTATTAATGGGCAGTGTGTAGTTAAAAAGTGGTCAGGCGTTAGCATGATGATAGGACGGGCCGAGGAAGAGGTGGCATAATGGACGAGCAGGGAGTGCATCACATCAATGCTGATGATGCTGCTGTGAGCCCTGCAAGTTGTGTATGAGTGTATGTATTGAGTGTGTTGTGTTGGGAAGATTATGTGTGTGAGTGTGTGTCCGTGTGTTTGTGTCCGTCTTGACGTGTGGGAGGCCGGGGTCGAGGGAGGGGGGGGGAGGAGGAGGGAGAAGGAGGGAGAAGGAGGGAGAGAGAAGGAGGGACAAGGCGAAGGAGGTTCAGAACGAGGATGAGTAGGTAAGAATAGAAAAGAAAGGAAGGATTGAGAGACGGGCGAGGCGCAAGGAAGGAGCAAGCAATAGGGCATCTGAACATTCTACAGACTGGGAAGAATGAAAAAGTGGATATGTGAGCGTTGGATCAACAGGGCGCCGCTCATCTGAAGTGACGAGGGGCATTTATTTGAATGGGGCCCCCGCCAGTCTAGGCTCGAAGTAGACAAGTGTTTGTTTTGGGAATTGTACCCTTCCATGAAAGATCGACGACGGCGAAAGTTGCAGTGACGGGCAAGACAGGGCCAATAAGTGCTCCACAGAGTAGGATGACAGGGGCGGCTAATAGGAATGTTAGCCGGTTACCATAGAATAAGGAAGGCATGGAAGGCGAATTGGAGGAAGATTTTCAAGAACGGAGGATCTCAGAACGGGACAATCCACAATCGACAATCTCATATCCGTCGGTAAGACGGAGAGAGTGGAGAAGGGGGGAGGGGGGAAAGGAAGTGGTAGGATGCAAGGTTAGCCAGGAAGCAAGGTGTGCGTATTTGCTGCTGCTCTAAGATGCGCTGAGCTGCACGTACAGGCACAGCACATGCAATGCACACGCAAGAGACCCACGCATCGGTGCGACAGTATTGACCGTTAGAGCAGGTAACACTGCAGATATTAGACGTACGTACGTGCAATGTCCGCGAGGTATCATACTCGAGCAACAGTAGTAGACGTTGTATGAAGAGCAGCTGCTGTATCTTGACTTTGTATGCGCTGTACAGTCCGGATGCCGTATGTATGCCCGTTATGCTGTGTGCCTCTGGTGATGCTTGTATACCGTGTCTTGTCCTCCTCCTCTGCACAAAATAATATCCTGCAAAGTACGTGTCAGCTCGTAATCCTGGGCCAGTTGAGTTGATCTATCTGTCTCCCTGCCTGCCTGTGTTCTCGGTCCGCGTTGGTGTCCACGCTGGTCCACACTGGCCCACGCTGGCCCATGCTCATCCACGTCAATTTCTAGCCTGGGAAGGCATTAAACCGGATGCATTGGGACAGATATGCTGCGGCACGGCGGAGGTGCCTGCAGGATGCTTGCGGTATGCTTCCGGTATGCTTGAGAATGCCTACATCAGCAATATACAGCCCGTACAGGGAAGGATGGGATAGTACATTGAGCACATCACAATGCCCACAAGGGGTACAGTGAATGCCGACGGTGTATTATGATTGAGGAAGTATACATTATGAACTAGGAGACACACATAATTACTATAGTTTGTGTCCGAAGGCTGGATTTATTGAGGTTGTTGGAGATGTTGGAAATATTAGAAATGGAAATGTTAGAGTCTCTCCTCTCTAGTAGAATTCGAAGCTGTCAATCGCCATCTGAGACATGTACCAGTACCACCCATCCGCATAATGTTTTGCCATGTACTGTTTGTACCGGTGGTATCTCCGGGCGGTGTTCGTACCTCAAATGTCTTTTTGGTGCATGAACTGGTGGGTGAAACACCGATGGTACGTACTCGAGGACTTGGGAGTTCGATCCCCATGTTAGACCCCCATGCTGGATCCCTGACGCTAGGCTGCTTCGGGTAATGAGGTTCGATGGAAGTTATAAGACTGATGTTTTGCATGTTTTGCATGTTTCGGATGATTGCTGCGAAGAAAAGATGCGGATTAGGGTAAGGGCAGGGAGATTTAGGGCAGGATATGATTCTGATTTGCCTCTCTTTTCATTTGCTGTAGTTTATAGTATACATATCCACTTGCCTAATTTGATACACCGTATCAGCCTACTACTGTATCTGTACTGTATCCCACATAAGTCCCGCATATCAAGATCGATATATCTCCCTCTAAGCCATCCAAGAGAGAGCGCCATGCATCCCTACCCTTCTCTCGGGTCCCGCCACGGTCCCGCCAACACGAACGGCCAGGACGTCCCACAGCGGACCCTTCCCCTCCTTCACCGTCCTCCAAGACCTCCCACAACGGTCCGCCAGCCCGGCCCATCCTCTCGCCGAGCGATTTCTTTTCTTCTCATCCTTCCCTCAGAAAACGCATAATAAGTCTCACAAACGCATAGCAAAACCTCACAGAAGCTCACAAAACGCATAATCCCCCATCTCACCTTCATCGCCGTCGGAGATATCACACCCCCCACCCTCCCCGCAGTTTGATCGCCGAGTCCCCCCCTCAGGCGCCCAATCGGCCTCAGACCCGAGCAGCGCATGACAGGCAACGAACGAAGGAAACCGAGATCGGGAAAAAGGAGAGAAAAAAAGAAAAACAGGGGAACAAGAAACCGCCCAGCCCATCCTTCCCGCACCTTGGCGTCCAACAACAGCACCGCCTTTTCCTGCTTACCATCGTCCTAGCGCACCATCACATGGCGAAGATGGAAGTTCGGTAAAGTCGGAATGGCAGCGTAGGCACAGCCACTTCAGGGGCAATCCTTGCCGATCCGAAACGGGGCTCGGGCGCGCGCGCGATCGTACCTGAGATTTACGGTATACGGCGGTCGACGGGCGAGGTGCCGGTGCAGGGCTATCCCTGTGCCACGGTGGTCCTGTGTACGTGGTGCCTCGGTTTAGTATGCGTTGGTGAGCTGGTTCGGTAAGCTGGTCTTTTCTTCTCTGCATCTGTGCTGAAGCTTCATGTTAGGCTAGTGTGAGTTATGGCATAGATGGTGGTGGGCGCGTGCCTCGGAGGCGGGTTGGTTAATGCGTGGGAACGTGGGGACGGTTCTTTATTTCCCGGCGCGATGAACTGCTACGATGCGTTTTGTGTGGATCGGCGGGGGTTTGCGACTTGGGGCGGTACAGTTGGTTTATGCGTTCCTGGTCGAGTTTCTGCTTCTGTTCCTGTTCCTGCGATTGTTCCTCCGTTATTCCTGGTCTTGTTCATGTTCATGTTCTCTGTTCATGGTTACATCCACTCCCTGTTTCCCCAACTCTCATCCCAACCCAGCATGCATTTCTCACACAACTCAGCCCCAAACAGCCAAACACGCACAGGCCCCCATATCCATCCCAAGTTCCTGCGATCAAGCACACATAGAGCAAACCCCGAGAACGGTGTCTGCGGGCCGGGCGCCGATGCCAGATAGGTGCCAGAGCACATGTCTGTCCGCGAGATGTTGGGACGGACGCCACCCGAGATAGCCGTGGCTACTGTGGCCGGAGCTTATAGTTAGTTCTATTATCAATCAGCCGGAATTATCTGTGCCATATTACGTATGTTTTGGGGACCAGGTGTTTCCACGACCAAGGCCATCACAAAGCCGAGGAATGGGCAATGTAACATGGGGTCATGATTTGAACAAGCAAAGTATTAGCTCATGCACTTCACTGGAGATCTAGAAAAATACTCTATACCCTCTCTGACCGCCACATGCCACCAGCATAACTTCATTGTCATATTGGTGGCTTCGCATTCAAATCGGCTACAAAGGCATCCTGACTAACCTTTGCCTCTACATTCCGCATTTTTCGTAGTAGTAACATACCTAAAAACGAGAGTTTATATTTGGAGGACTATCTGACTACTGATTTAGGCCCCGCCCATAATCTGGGCTCGGGCAAAATGACAAAAGCTTAAGCTCCTTAGTGGGCTAATTTAATATCAACCGCCAGATCCTACTAGAACATAAAATCATAAAATGAGCGATTCCAACATATTCCCCGCCATCTAACAATGTTTATCTACCAGATTTAGCCAGACCCTAGCAAACAAGAATGTTTATCTGGAGACTTATCTCGCATTCATCAAGGTTAAGTTCCCCATCAAGCCAATACCTAGCCGTCATCACAGGAAATGAGTCAATCCCGATGTTCTGGCATTTCTGCTCCCTACTTCCAAACGGCACATCATACAGCCGTATCTAGCCTGTGAAAGCTGGCAATCTCCGCCACGGATAATGAATGAGGATACCTGGTTATAGACAAAAGCCCCGTTACGACCCTCAAGGGAAGTTCCGTCCGCTGTGTCCGCTGTTGGACTGGTGTACACATAACACACCGAAAGGAGGCGCAGCTCCTGTGTCAATGCATGGTAACTGGCTACTCCCTTCATAAACCCATTATGACCAATCCCATCCGGGTGCGTTATTGCAGGGCTGTGAGCTATAGGATGTGAGTGCCCAACTCATGGTACCGACGGAAGAGTAATTGCAGGTGTGGAGCTTTGACACGTTGAACATGATGAAGGTCTGATGAGTGACTGGTAAGGGAGTTTGGTATCTGTGTGAGATCTTATAATGGAAGAGGGGAGATTCATGCTTGTATATATAGACCTTGATTTTTCAACTATATAGGCGCTGAGACGTAATGTTGACGTGTGGTAAGACATTGACCCTACGGTTCTCTGCATAACCACCTTATAGGCTCTTATATGTTAACTATGCACGTTAAGTAGAATCTTCAATCCTCCATTCTGAATCTCCATCCTCCATTTCTCTAGGTGACTTTTCGCAGAAAGGTATCTCATCCTATATCTCACCGCACATACTTCAAATGGTAATATCACCATCATCCAAAAAGAAACCCCCTCAACCCAATAAAACCAAATCCAACCTCTCCATTCCACACCTCCCCCCTTTCCACCATGATTTGGAATCCCACCCCCCATCACCTTCCCCCCCTCTCAACAAACGCACCCACCCGCACCGCAGCCAACCGCACGAACAGGCGGGGTAATCGCCACGATTCCAAATCTCCCCCCCACTGGATCAACGGTGGGGTGTGCCGTCATCGTCGCGCCTCAGGCCAGACAAAGGAGGGAGCACTGACTACTGCAGGCAAGGACGCGCGTGGGACACTCGCGGTGTGGTGGACGTGTCTCGCTAATTGTCCGGTGGGAGCGGAGAGGTGGTGGTGGTGGTGTGACGTGCGGTGGCGCTGGGCGGGTTGTTGTGGTACTGTGTTGGGATGGGATGGGGAGCGGGGGCACGTGGATGGTGGAAAGGTGGATATATTGAAGGGAGGTAGATTATATGTGGTATGTATGTATGTACAATATAGTATCAACGCTATGGACCAACCCGTCTTCGCCAGATAAAATCCAAATCGTGGTGCTTACCCCAAGGCAGCAGGATGGTGATGGGATTTCCAAACATCTAGATCCTCGCCTCGACGTCCGCAAACTCCGCGAGGCCGCGCCACTCGGTCTCCGGCCAGATGAGACGGATAGTCTCCCAGATATGCCTAGTCAATCACGTTAGCACAACCAGATCTCATGTCCAAAGACGACAGAAACTTACCTAACATGCACAATCTCCAGTCCCTGCTTCACCTCGTCCGGCAGGTCCCTCGCATCCTTCCTGTTCCCCTCCGGCAGTATCACTTTCTTGACGCCAGCCCGGAGTGCTCCAATCAGCTTCTCCTTAATCCCACCCACGGGATGCACACGGCCCCTGAGTGACAGCTCTCCGGTCATCGCTACGCTTGGAGGCACCGCGCGATCCGAGAACAAACTCACCAATGCTATTGCATGCGCCATACCCGCGCTGGGTCCATCCTTGGGCACTGCGCCGCCAGGACAGTGGACGTGAATGCTGCGCGACTTCATGATATTCTCTCCCGGCTGGGCGAGCCCGAGGTCCGCGGCATGCGCCTTGACCCACGACAGAGCGACCTCAACGGATTCCTTGAGTACGGCGCCGAGGGTGCCGGTGAGCTGGACGGAACCAGAGCCGGGCATGTCGGCTACCTCGATGAAGAGGATAGAACCGTTCCCGCCTGAGGCGTAGGCGACGAGTCCGGTCACAATGCCGGGACGGGCGCGGGTCTCGGCGAGCTCCTCGTCAAATTTCTCGGTGCCGAGGATCTCTTCAATTTCTGCGAGGGTGAGGACGGGGTTGTAGGACGTGAGGGCAGAACTGTCGAGGGCATCGGAATAGGCGACTGCCTTAGCGCGGCAGACTGCGCCGAGCTCGCGCTCGAGGTTGCGGACGCCGGCTTCGCGGGTGTACGACTCGATAATCTTGCTAGTGACTTCGTCGGGGAAGATGACGTTGGTGAGATCAAGCCCGTTGGTGCGGATCTGCTTTGGGATGAGATGCTGAGAGGCAATGTGACGCTTCTCGAGAGTGGTGTAGCCAGGCAGCTGGATGGTCTCCATACGGTCAAGGAGGGGAGCAGGGATGGTGGAGAGGTCATTCGCGGTGGCGATGAAGAGAACCTTGGAAAGGTCGATTGGGATATTGACGTAGTGGTCAGTGAAGGAGTGGTTCTGTTCTGGGTCGAGGACCTCGAGCATTGCAGCGCTGGGGTCGCCGTGGAAGTTAGATGTGCCGACTTTGTCGATCTCGTCGAGGAGGATGACCGGGTTCGCAACACCCACCTTCTTCAACCCGCTAACGATCAGTCCGGGCATCGACGCGACGTATGTGCGCCTGTGTCCGCGGATCTCGGCTTCGTCTCTCACTCCACCGAGTGAAATGCGATGGAATTTCCTTCCGAGAGCCGTGGCAATTGATTTCGCGAGCGAAGTTTTACCGACACCTGGCGGGCCAGCGAGAAGCAGGATGGGTGATTTGTCAACCATTCTCTTGCTCTTCAGAATCTGGATTTTGGAGCTGTCAACAGCGGGAACCTCCTTCTTTGGTTCAGCTTCGGCAGCATCCTCGGGCTTCTCAGCCGATTTTGCCAGTTCGGTGGCCTCCGCCTCAGCAGACTTGATCTGCGCTTCTACGCCATCATTGATCGATTGCTTGAGCCTGAGAACTGCAAGGTATTCAAGCAGGCGCTTCTTCACTTTGTCGAGTCCATAATGGTCATCGTCCAGTTGCTTCCGAGCTCGCTTCAGTGTGTCGGCACCTAGCTTATCCTCCGTCACCGCAGACCAAGGGATCTCGGCCAGGTTCTCGAGATAGGTCCTTATGACATTATACTCTGCTTGTTGCTGTGGCATTTTCTTTAGCCTCTTTAATTCTCGGCCGGCAACCTTTGCGGCCTCTGGTGTAAGCCCTGCCGCCTCGATTTTCTGCTCTAGCTCATCGACCTCGTTCGGCTCTTGGTCGTCCTGTGGCGGGCCTTGCCCTGACCCCGGGATTCCCGGCATAGGAGCGATCCGATTCAGTGTCCGGGACCTCTGCCTGTTCAGGAGATCAATCTCACCGTTCATAGGAACAGTGGACGAGGTCATTGACGTAATTTTGATATTTCCCTTAATAGCCGCAACCTGCTTGTTCAGCAGCTCTATGGCCCTCTCAAGACGTGTCCTGACGTCTATCGCGGCTAAAATCTGTAACTTCTCCTCAAGAGTTGCCTCCACGAGATTCGACACAAAGTCCGCAAGTGACCCAGCTTCTGATATATCTTTCTTCGCAATAAACATTTCGATCCGTCGTGCCAGCATAGGCGTGAGGTTTGATTGCCCTGATAGTCGCGGAAGGAGAGATGTAAGTCGAAGCAGTGCTAATAGTTCTCTCGAAAGGGTCTTCAATGTTCCGAACATGGCTTGAACTTCCGTATCCTTTGGCGATGGTGCTGGAAACATTAGCACTACATCACCACAGACAGGGGTTCTTCGGAATTGTGCACTTACCGACATCGGTCTCATACTGAACTTCTGCCTCAAAAAACGGTCGCTCCTGGGTAACCCTGAGAACCCTCACCCTGCTCACCCCTTCCACAATCAAGGAAAACTCCCCTGTCCCCCTTCCCTCGACACCCGAGATCTTTGCTGCGGTGCCCCAGGTAAATAGATCATCCTTTTTCGCACTTGCTGGATCCGGAATTTTGTATTTGCTCGCCTTGCCATCCTTATCCTTCAATTCATTCTCCGTGAGCAGCTTCTGGCCGTTGCTGCTGAGCAGTGGCGAGTTCATCGGTACGCAGATGACATGTGCATTATGGTAGCGCTGTGAGGCCGGTTTCCCCGAGGCCCGTGTATAGACTTGCGATAGTAAAGCTGGTATATCAGGTCGAGATGCGGCGAATGGAATCCGGAGGCCGTTGCCAGGGAGTAGGACAGTGTCGGCCGCAAGGGGGATTACTGGCACCTTCTGGGCTCTCGCTGGAGCCATGACTGGAGTTGGTGGCAGAAGAGGCGGTTCGTATAAAATATAGTTGAAGCGTATTAGATGCAATTCGAAATTAAAGCGTATGTGTTATAGATATGTGCAAATTCGTAGTCTTCCAAGACGTTCTATCGTTCTGACGTGTGTTTAGTGAGCATCGAGTCCAGGACGTCGCCGAGCCGCGGATGTACCTCGGCACATGCCATGCCCAGTTTAGCAGCGTCTGGACCATAACCCCGGATTTAACTACAAGGGTAACAACACACGACCAACCACCACATCCACACATGTGCCTCCGTCCAGAACCAAGAGTATAAATTCAACTGGGTACATACGATTGCGGGGTACGCGGATATTCATCACATCATGTCTTGAGAAGTTAAACGGCTTTAATAGTTTCCGAGTCACTGAGAGTCTTCATTTGATGAATAGTTGCTATAATGGGAGAGACAGCCAGAGCATGATATCGCCACCCCATTGGCAAAGATGAATGGTATTGTAACCTAACATATCCCCGAAATGCATATTCCATACGCCAGCTCAAAATAGCGCCGAATCTACCTCCCAACTCCTATTGAAACAGCGCCGTAATGAAGTGCACGAACCCAAAATTACCCAAGAACCTTCATCTTCTTCTTCTTCTTCCCGTCCGATGAGCTCTTCTTGCCCTGCTGAAAGTCCCTCCAACTCCCAATGCGCTGCTCCCTCGTCTTCTCCCAGTCCTGCTCATGTTCCCTCTTCCGTTTCCGCGCCTCAAGTTCCTCCTCCTCCTTCTTCTGTTCGCGTCCCTCCTCCTGCATCTGCGCCTTCACCTGTCGCCGTCTCCTATGCTCGTTGTCTATCAACACCATCTTCGATTTTTCGCGCCATGACTTTGCGAATTCGTCGGATTTAACTTCCTCGGAATCAATTGTAAGCTCCCTCTCGCGCATAAGCAGCATCCTCGCATCGGCAATAGCCTCATCCAGGCGCTCCCTGTGCTTCTCATCCGTCAATTCTGTCTGCGCTTTCTTCAAGCGATCGAAGGCATCGGGCGCTTGTGGATTCCGGGTTTTATCCGGATGGATGAGCAGCGATTTCGTTCTGTAGACCTTCTTGATGTCGGAATCGGGAACACCTGGTTGGAGGTCGAGCACAGCGTAGGCATCGAGGCGGAAGGCGCGTAGGATACGATCAATTTCAGCGTCCTGAGTAGAATAGTTAATATATATATATCACCGTAGAAGTACTACAAATAAGTTGACTTACCTTGATGAACTCCTTCTGCTCCGCTTCTAACGCATCAAAAGCAGCTTCATCATCTTCGATTTTCTCTACTTTGGGCGCCTCTTCAGTCTTTCCAGACGACGCCGGCTTCTCCTTTGCCCAGCCTTCTTCTGCCATGGCTGTAAAGACAGTGCCGAATTAAGACCCCTCGTGGAATTGCGTTTTATTTCAGTGCACTGTTGAGGTTGTGGTTGCCATCCGTGGAGTCAGGCTGTCATCGATAAGATTGGGTAGGCGCAAGGCTGAGGCGATCCTTCAAAATGCGCTTGCTTGCCACTGCCATGACTGATCCGGTACCCCACCGACACTAGCAGACCACTTTACACGCTCGACGCGTCCACCCCGACGACGAACAAAACACATCGAAGACTTTACGCGTCAAAACACCCAAAACGCAACGATGGGTAAGAAAACAGAGATTGTATAACTGTTAGACTTGTTTTACTAATTTAACTTTACAGCAACCTCGTACGGCTACGGCGGCTCCTACACTACAACCTCATATGGCGCTCAAGGAGGGGCAGAAGGAGGCGGGTTTATGGGTGGTGGCTCCCAGGCTGGAAGCCAAGATACTCCAGGAGGATCAAAGGTGCGAGCAAACGTCGAACTTTAGCAGGGCCAAAAGCCTCCTACCAAAGCTTCCTACTAACAATCCTTCAGACATACGGCAAAGACACTCTCCGACCTGTAACAATCAAACAAATAATCGACGCTCAACAGCCCCACCCCGACGCAGAATTCAAAGTCGATGGCCATGAGATGACCCAGATCACCTTCGTCGGCCAAGTACGCGCGATCTCCGTTCAAGCCACAAACCAGACCTTCAAGCTCGACGATGGCACCGGCCTCATCGAAGTCAAGGTCTGGCTGGACGTCGATGCCGGCCCTTCGCCCACCATCTCCTCCATCAAGGAAAACACGTACGTGCGCGTCCTCGGACGCCTCAAGGCCTTCAACAACAAGAAGCACGTCGCGGCACACGTTGTCCGCCCCGTCACAGACTTCAACGAGATTAACGCCCACCTTCTCGAGGCGACGTACGTACACTTGTACTTCTCGCGCGGACCGCCCGAGTCGCTCCAGGCGGGTGGTGGTGCGGATGGGGGAGCTGGCGGTGGGCTGTTTGTCGATCAAGGGGATGGGGCTGGCCGTGCGGCGCCGGCGGCGCCTGGAGGCAGGCAATTGCCGCAGTTGAGCGCTGTAGCGAAGAAGGTGTTTAACCTGCTCAGCACGGCACCACAGAATAACGAGGGCCTGAACGTGCAGTATATCAGCGCGAACCTTGGCTTGCCTATGAACGAGGTGTTCAAGGCTGGAGATGAGCTGCTGGGGTTGAACATTATTTACCCCACTATGGATGACGAGACGTGGATGGTTATGGAGTATTAGACGGAAGTGTTATGTGGCAATGGAAGGGCAAGGCTCATGGCTATGTTTTGGGCGGTGGGGAAGTGGCTAATGGCGTTTCTGGATGATGAAATACTGTTAAGTGTGTCGTGTGCAAATATCACCGTTACCTTCTCATGAATGAGCGGCGTGTATCTAGATTACACTAAGTATGAGCAAAATGCAACGAGCGGAGCTCGACGAGCTAAATCAAATACAAATCCCCAAAAACACAATTTTTTTTAATCTCATCCAAGGCCGCGCATCCATTCTAGGCCTAATTTATTTTCTTCTTTCTGCCAATATTGAGTCATTACACAATCTAGTTACTCATTTTGGCAACACTATACCCTTTTTCAGGGTATTTCGGTGTTATCATGCCCTCCAACTAGACAACAAGCTCCACAATCTTGACGCTGCATTTCTGCTTCGGCGTTGGCTGTGAGACTCCAGAATTAGTCTTGGGCTCTCGGACCATGATACTCAGCGAAACCGGTTTCTCATCCCGCTGCAGGTGAACTTCTTTGATGTATTGGAAGCCGAATTTCTCGTAGTACGGCACATTGACTGCTGCAGTGCTTTCCAAGTACGTCGGTGCGCCCTCAGCATCCGCCTATTAGAGGTTAACGCCAGGCAGCGTGACAAGTGGGCAACGGGAAAAGGAATATCCTACCATTGCCAAGCCGTGCTCAATCAGCTTCCTAGCATATCCCTTCCCGCGCGCAGAAGGTTTCGTGCCTATGTAGTCAAGGTAGTAGCTCTTACCGTCCCGCTCTCCCAGCACCCTCTGTTTGGTATAATGGAGGAGAGGGAGGAATTCCGAGTAGAAACGGGCTTTTCCCTCACGGGAAAGCAAGAAGAAGAGACGCCACGTACCGCTGCGGAGGATGGTCCACCAATCGTCTATGCCCTTTCCAGGAGGAAGCCTGTGGAACATCAGTCAGGTGCGAGTAGCCGGCGGAAGTGAGATAGTGTACCAAAGAGCCACAGCTTCGTAGTTCGGACCGATTGTGGTGACGAAGCCTCTATAGCAGTGAGCTGCGACCATGTAGCGCAGGATATCAGAATGAAGCTTCCACTTCCGTTCCTCGGAGTAATCTTTCGTGTCTTCGGCATCGACGAAATAGCGGCAAAGAGCATCGACCCCAAATGCTTTGGCGAGGCATTCTGCGGCGCCGACATACTCAGATATGTCAATAACCCGGACTGTTTCATTATCCGGCGAAGTGCTACATTTCTGCTCAGTTATCGTGGAACTAGCTTTACTGCTCGTCATTTTCACAACGTTTGACAAATTGATATTGCGGTTCTATAGAGCCATGTTAATAATGGTGGGAGAGAATACCTTCAGGTTAAATATTTACTAATGGGTTTCTCTGTTTCCCGAGTTCCTTCTCCTGTATGTGGTTTAGAGAGTTGCGATCTCGATATCGATTCGTATCGAGATGGAAATCGCAAGCAATTGAGGCTTTGGCGTATATCAACCGACATCAATCTTAAGATTCTGATAAGACTTGGAGTCTGTTATTTGTAGGGCGTTATGAAGGCCTTGATGGACCGCCTCGTACAGTGATATGTTTGAGGTATGATAAATTGTATTCCGAACTAAGGCGTAAACTCCCAGCCAGTTTCAAGTCACTCTCTGCGGTTTAATCTCAGATGAAGACTGTAATAAATACGTATATTATCAAAATATTTAGCTCTGATAAAAGTTCTAATCAACAAAAAAGTGTGATTGATTGCAGGGTGAATAGTGATAGATGTTGGAAAAGTGCGGTCGCCGACTTTATATATGTATGCCTGTCTGTGTTTTCATGTGTATGCATCAACGAGGAAACAGCTAACCCATAGAAAAGACGTCAAATGAGGTGGTCACTCAAGGAGAGGGGCCATGAGACAGAGAGCGGTGAGAACTCACGTGGGGTTTGATTGCTTTTGAAGCACTGATAGTTGCTAGCCGGGCCAAGCGGCGATTTATCACCATGTACTACAGGACTAACTATAGCAGAGGCCGATACGCTGTATTGCTGCACATACTTGCATATGCATCCAAATGAAAGAAATACAACGAAACTGAATTCTCGGAATGCGCCGGAATCTAGTATGGGCCGTTGTACTCTGGTGAGATACAGGCTGGGTTGTAGCCACAGCTTGAGCACTAACCACTTAGAATAGACGCTATTATTCTATTTGGTTGCTTTGTGTGATGTGGAAAAAGCAAGTGGACAGTTTGAGCGACGCATATGGCTAACACCCGCAGGACGTAGCTGGAAAAACGGCTCTAACAAAAGGTCTGATGACAGCACGAAATCATACTCACTGAATGTGACACATAAGAGAGCCGAGATGTATTTGGCGTCGCCCACAGGATAAAACTGTTGAGTAACGTCGTTATCCACCAGGGTCATAACCATGGCCAATAGTCACGATGGCAAGCAAACGGTCCAAGACAATTTGTCGTGGCATGACTGTCACTGAAACTGGTCGGTATTTCACAAAGCACAAGGCACAAGAACCTATAACTGCATCTCATAAGTAACGAGAGATCCAACCCATGATATGTGCAAGTACAATCAATTGCTCGGCGTACTCAGCTGGGTATATGTTTCTTCTTCGTTAAACGTTAAACGACTGCGGAAATACCGTGAGCCGAGAACTGTGGTGATTTACCATCAGTTATCTATTAAAATATGCAAAGCCCCTCTACATTCTTCGGATCTCGCTCTCGTTCTCAAACTTCTCCAGTCCTGCATCGAGATGAGCCCACCAATCAAATAGCAGCGACTCGCAGATAAGCTTGAACCATGGTGTGAAAACCAAGCTCGAGTCTTTGAACATAGCCTTAAGCTCGTCAGCAGTAACATACTTGACGTCGCGCACTTCGTTGGGGCTTGGGTTGAGGTCGACATCCGCCTTGATAAAGAGAATGTAGTCAACTAAAAAAGATCACCATTAGCCATGATTTTCCAGGGTCGGCATTGGACGACTGGACGTACTCTCGTGCTCGCCCCACTTTCCATCACCACAAGGCGCCTTATAGTGAATTCGGGTAAGGAAACGGAAATCGTCGAATGGAACCTGCTCGGGTTTGATTCCCAACTCGTGGTCCAGCTTGCGCCGAGCGGCATTCTTCACGCCAGACACGGCCTCGGCCAGCTCAGCGCCACCTTCCCCTGGAATACCCAGTGGGTGAGAGCAGCACGTGTTTGTCCACATATCTGGGAATGTGATCTTCTCTGTCGCACGCTGTTGGAGAAGCAGCCTGTTCTGGGAGTCGAAGAGGAATACCGAGAATGCGCGGTGAAGAAGACCCTTGTCGATGTTTGTCATTAAGTGACCTGGGCGATGTTTAGTACAAGCAACGTTGAGCGCGCAGAGCGTATACATACAGATTTTCTTGCTGAAGTTTCCAATTGGCTTGTCGTTCTCGTCGAGGACGATGCAGACCTCGTCCATGAGGCGGATCTGCTCCTCATCGTGCCCCTCAAATGCGGCGCTGGAGGTATCGATGTCAGGGAAGAGTCGGAGGATGTTGTCCGCCGTGATGGCCTCAACCTGGGTGGTAGAAGTCTCAGCAGCCATTTTCAGTCGAGCTACAGCGTATCAATATCAAAAAGTGGCGTAAATGAATGCTTTGATGTTTTTTACAACCCCTCTTTCTAGTGTTGTGCCCAAGATTGAAACAACCTTGCTATTTCCTTGGGGAAATCGCACTAACGTATCTTAGTGGCCGTGCGTGACCCCTGCAATCGGAAAATAGCCTCCGTGCCCCGCCAACAGCCCTTGTAACGAGGCTGTCAGAAGTCAAAATTTCCAAAACCTTACTCCGGCCTCAACCACCAACACACCGCGCCGCCTTTTATTATAAATACTAAGTACCTTACGTATTATAATTAACATTATGGGCAAATCCAATAAGAGGGCGAAGGTCAAGAACCACCCGAATCCGATCGCGAAACCAGTTAAACCGCCTACCGACCCAGAACTCGCAGCCGTTCGAGAGAAACAAATTCTCCCTGTCATTAATGACTTAAAAAGCCCCGAAGTGAGCAGGCGATCTGCTGCGGCGATTGCCATTGCAAACTTAATCGAAGATACGAAATGCCGAAAGCTTCTGCTGAGGGAACAAGTGGTGGGAATCTTGCTCGAGCAAACCATAACAGATTCGTCTTTGGAATCCAAGAGTGCGGGATGGGGTATATTGAGGAACCTGGCGCTGGAAGAGGAGGCGGACTTTTCCATACATCTCTACAGACAAGACATCCTCACGCCTATCACTGCAATCATCCAAATGGTCAGTATTGTATGCAGTGCCTGCCCTTCAAGCTCTAGCTAACTCGGAGAAAGATAATCGAGACCATTGAATCAAAAGAGAACCCAATAGCCAAGCTCCCAAAAGCTCAACAATCTCTTCTCTGGACCTTAAGCAGTTCCGTAGTTGGCTTATTAACATCTCTGGGCGAGGCCCAAGAAGAGATAGTCGAGGCCATTTCCAACCTACCAAGCATCCTCAACTTTTTGTTTGGCCTTCTTAACGTCCCTGCGGTCCCAGGAGAACTTTTCAGCGATATCTTAACTTGCATCTCCACTCTGACGGAGGATAACAAAGTGCTTGCACAGCAGATTGTTGGGAACGAGTCTTGGCTCATGGGCCTTATGCAGCTCCGAGAATTGGCGGGTCCGAGGGCAGTACCTGCCTGCGCGGTTCTGCACAACATCTTCACATGCTTGGAGTGGTTTGACCACAACACTCCTATGGAAGGAGCATCGGATGCTATTTTAATCCCAACTCTCGTCCAGTGCATGAGCCAGGTTCAAGGCGAAGACAACCTTTCAAACGGCTCCAGTCATCTCAACCCAGACCAAATCCTCCAGTTGGCATTGGAGATCACAGCATCTATAGCTACGAGTCTTCAGGAAGCCCTAGAGCATGGTGCCAAACATGAGAAGGAGTTCGAGGGATTCGACGACAAAACGGATGGGGATGATGAGACCATGGCCGACGATATCAATGACGACGCTTCAGATGACGAGGATGAAGATGAGCTTAATGAAGAGGACGAGGAGGAAGATGAGATGACAATAGCAGAGATAGCAGAAGATATGGATCGCGTAATCGGCGATGGATCGGATGACGAAGACGACTCGGAAGACGTCCCACCCACCCTCGATGCTCTCATCCGCGTCGCCTCTCCATTTCTTCTCAGGCTCGCTCAAACTGATAACGAGGCAGTTCAGAGCGGTGCCATTTCAGCCCTAAACAACATCGCATGGACAATTTCCAACGTTGACTTCTCGACTGCTTCGGGTCGCTTAAAGAAGTCTTGGGCTCCTCTTGCTCAGCAAATTTGGTCCGAGGTTGTGACCCCTGTGCTTGCTTCAAACACCGCCGATATCGAGCTTGCTTCCTCAATCACTAGCCTCGCTTGGGCTGTGGCACGGAGCGTCCAAGGGCAAGTCAAACTTTCGGGTGATGAGCACAGGAAGTTCATGGCGCTTTACCAAGCTTCCAAGGATATCCCTGCACCAACCGACACAGAGGGCGTGGATCCATTCCAAGGACTTGGTGTCAAATGCGTTGGTGTCCTTGGTCGCCTTGCGCTTGACCCAGCACCGCTAGCATTAAACCGCGATATTGGCGTGTTCTTGCTCACTGTCCTCAGTAGATTGCCTGAGACCCCTGCTGCAGATGCAGTGGAGGCACTGAATGAGATCTTTGATATATACGCAGACAAGTCATATGCCTGCGATGAAGTATACCGGAATGATGGGTTCCATAGGCATCTAGAGGAGCTAAAAGTGAAGGTTACTAAGGCAGCGAAGGGGGTTGACAGGAGGAAAGACACGGAGCTCAGGTCGAGGGCTGATGAAGCAGGGTTGAATCTAACGAGGTTTCTGGCCTACAAAAAGAGGGAACAAAAGAATTAGGTGTTGATACGGGATACTAGATATGAATTGACGTAGATATCACGATATAGATAGATCGGTGACGGGATTACCGCAGAATGAAGACTTTTAAGACGCATGCTACAGACAGTCAGTGCTTAACAGTGCAAATAATCTATATATGACTGTGTACGTACTAAAATATTATTCAACATAGTTACAGATAGCCAAGACTCATTTTACATATCAATAAAATATATTTATTTTGAAAAAACAATTTGGGAATGCAATATAATTTTCTACAACTATATAACGAACAAGCTATCGGGTGTAGCCAGTGAATTATGACCATTGTTTATAATTATTCCAGCGTAAGCTCTAAGACAAACCCGCTCGTTGTGGTGTTGACGTTCCGAATCAAGTTAGGCGTGTGGGCGGCTTCCACTCCACAAGGCTGAAAGGCTGTGACCAAACTCGACGCAGCCAGCAACAACTTCACAATTGGCAACTCGTTTTCTATACTTTGAAATACATATTAAATAAGGCTACTGTAAACAGTGTCTAAACCAAATGTCATTGCCAGGCCTCGGGCTTCTAGCCGCCCAGGTGAGCATCCCATCCTCAATACTACACAGCAACTAACATTGTCCAGGCGGGCCCATCTTCAGTCCCAACCTCATCCACCACCGCCGCCCCAGTAGTACACGATCTCGCCGCCAACTCCGAATGGCGATTTGAAGTAGAAATTGGCACCTCGATTGAAGTCAAGGTAGGCCTCTCCTCGTCCCAACCCCCTCCCATCACCACTTCACATCACCTGACCACCTCTAGATCCTCTCCGGAAGCGCTGAGCTCTTCGGCACCGAGCTGGCCGTGAAGCACGCCTACACATTCAACGGCACCAAAGCCGCAATCTTCACGTACCATGGCTGCCGCATCGAGGTCACCGGCCAGTGCGAGGAGTACACCGCTGAGGAGTCGCCCATGACGCAATACGCCAACCTGCATTTTGCGCTGGAGAACCTGCGCCAGCCTGGACAGCCGGAGCCGCGCGTGCTGGTGGTTGGGCCGAACAATTCGGGGAAGACGAGTTTGGTGAAGTTGTTGACGGCTTATGCGACGCGGTCAGGGAAGCAGCCGATAGTGGTTAATACCGATCCTGGGGAGGGGATGCTGTCGATTCCGGGCAGCTTAACGGCGACGGCGATGAGTAGCGTCATTGATGTTGAGGAAGGCTGGGGTAGCAGTCCCACGAGCGGACCGAGTAGTGTGCCTGTCAAGCTACCACTTGTGTACTTCTACGGACTCAAGAGCCCAGAGGATGAGCCGAAGTTATATAAACCAGTGTGCACGCGACTCGCGCTCGCTGTGACGGAACGGTTGGCGGATGACGAGGCAGTCAAGAAGTCAGGGGTCATTATCGACACGCCCGGTGTGATCTCACAGGGGAAGAATGGCTACGATCTCATCTCACATATTGCATCGGAGTTCACAGGTATGCCCTACTTAGTAACCGTTGGACCTTAGCATACTAACATATTATAGTCAACGTGATCATCGTTCTCGGCTCGGAACGCCTTCACAGCGACATGCTCCGACGCTTCTCTAACGCAACCCCCACACCTATAACCGTAATCAAGCTCGACAAATCCGGTGGTTGCGCCGACCGCGATGACGCCTACATGTCCGCCTTCCGCCAATCCCAGATCCGCGAGTACTTCTTCGGCTCGATCAAGCGCACACTATCACCGCACACGCAAACCGTCGACTTCTCCGCCGTCACAGTGTACAAGGTTCACGAGCAGAGCGGTATGATGAGTAGCTTCCTACCTGGCGGTGAAGAGGAGGTCGAGAGTCCAATTTTCGATCGTGTGGAGCCGAGCAGTCAGATGCTGCATTGTGTTATGGCTGTTATGTATGCGGGGACGCATGATTCACTAGAGGTGATTAGGGATGCGAGTGTGATGGGTTTTGTGTACGTGGCGGAGGTGGATGATAAGAAGCGGCGGTTAAGGGTGTTGGCGCCGCTGAGTGGGAGGATTGGAGATAGGCCATTGGTATGGGGGAGCTGGCCAGAGGCGTCGGTTAGTTTGATATGATGTACAATGAAATGACATAGAATTTGAAAAGCGATTCACTGTGGCAATGCTCTCGGAATAACAGTTCAAGTGTAGCATGTATTTTGTTTTCTATGGGTATCTCGGACGCCGAGAAATGCAGGTAAAAAATGACCCCTTTCTAATATCTCATTATGACTCCAAACTCTCATCTTTGTGCCACCATCCCCCATCCCCCATCCCCCATCCCCTACTCATTTTCAACCAGCTTCGCTCTACTCAACCTTGCCTCATCCCGCGGTGCACTGATAGTATCCAAATACGTCGCGTCATCTATCCCCGACTCCAGCTTGGGCAAGTTCTCTGTATCCTGCGCGAACAGCTCCTCGAACATCTCCCACGCCGCGTCGCTATTATCATCAATATACCGCATCTTCTGCCACTTCTCCTCCTGTGCATTCTTGATTCGCTCCGCCATGCTATCCTGCCCATCCTCCTCCCCCTCTCCTGTAGTCTTAACAGTCATATGAATTGCCCTTGCGCCCGCACCCGCCGGCCCCGCCTCCGCCCTCGGGCGCGCCAACCTGTCCAGCTCGGCCGTCGCGTCGATGTGGTGGAACTGCGGGCGCATCTGCACGATCTCATTGACGGGACTCAAATGCAATTGGCCCTTCCTGAAAGCTCCAATAAAGTAGTTCGGGCTCGCGCTCTCCTTCGGCACCACCTGTCCTCCCAGCGTCTGTTTCGTCAGGACCCGTTGACGCGTTATGCCCCCCGAGAAGTCATCGAGGATCTCTTGTTGGACTGCTAGTGTGTCTTCTTGGACTTGCCTCCCTCGTCCTGGGCCGGGTGCCACACCACCGATACCGAAGCCACCAGCTAGACCGTGGCTTCCGCCCTGTCCTCCCGCGGTGCCGGTATTAGATTTCGCAGCGTTGGATTTGCGCATTGCCTCTCCCCACTGCACGCCCTTGGTGCGGTCGTAGTTTGTCCATGGGTCGAGTGGGACGTCGAGCTCAACGAGGCCAGCTTTGGGCTTTAAGCGGAGTTCGATGGGTAGCGAGGCGTTTGTCGAGGAGTAGTCTTCTCTGGAGGGGCGGTTGGGGAATTGGAGAATGTAGAGCTGGCGGCCGTCTTCCCATTGCGGTTTGATGTAGACATCGTACGAGGCTTGTATGGGGTCATCCTCATTGTCGTCAATCACTGTGTTGCGTTCAGTCGAGCCCATTTTGCTATTTGATCTGCAGGAATAGATCTATATAGACGTTGATGGAGTTGACCAAGTCATAACATTCACAGCAATGAGGGGAGTTTTATGTCGGCGAAAATGTATCAATCGCCGATGGGCTTATCGATAAGCTGGCTAAACTCCACTATGGCCTTCTTCTTCAGGTATAGCGGGGCTTACGACGACAGAAATGACGCAGCAAGCGAGCGAGGGAAAGGTCGGGGTCCAACCACTACGTCTGCCCGGTTGACAGGCAACCATACAATCGACCAAACATCCTATACTGTGGTCTTTCACCTCCATCCTCATCACTGCATCTTCAACGTCGAACACCACAGGGTTCAGAAAGACAATTATATACCAGCCGGACACCCAGCAAAACCTCAGAAATGTGCAACTCCGACCTCTTCCTCGCCTTCATCGCCATCCTCTTCCCTCCTCTCCCAGGTACGCCTCTCTCCCCCGATACACCCACTGCTCCACAAACACAGCTAACCTCCCTCTCTAGTCTGGGTCAAGACCGGCCTCTGCTCCGCCGACTCCCTCATCAACATCCTGCTCTGCATGCTCGGCTTCCTCCCCGGCCTCCTCCACGCCTGGTACATCATCGCCAAGAACCCTGAGCTCGAATCCTACGACGCACTTCCCCAGGACGCCGAGGCCGGCAGCCGCGTCACCTACATCTACGTGCAGACCGATGGTTCCGCATCGCGACAACAGCAACAGCGCCAGCCGCAGGGCTACGGGACCGTGAAGCCGATGGGTGCGCCGCAGTTGCAGCAGCATCAGAATGGGACGTGGGGACAGGGTAGCCAGCCAGAAGAGGGCGAGGGAAGCCACCCGGCACCGCCGACGTATGCGCAGGCTGTGACAGGAGCGACGGGGGATCACAAGGTGCAGACGCACGATTAGGTGGGTGCTGACGACTGTGATTTATGCGGCGAAGAGTGGGTAGGGATTGGGTTTTAATTTTCTTTGTTGGCCGCGTTGCGTTCGGTCTACAGAGCATGGGAGAATGGCGTACTTGATTGTTTTCTTGTTGGAATATGAGGGGTCTATATGGGCACTGGCGGTTGACTGCGATGGCTGGTTGCCAGAACACCACTCTTTGCATGAATCGTATGATTGCTTCGTGCGTCACGGCTTTGGACGAGTTTGCAGGTCGTGCTTCGTGAGAGACATTAGCTTTAGTTAAATTCTTATGGCATACATCCACGCCTTTAAATCAGATGAGCTTCTGGAAGGACATAGGCACTGTCACAGTCACTACGGATAGGGCCATCTGACAATTCGGTCTAGTACTGCTACATTTGACCTTTTCTTGACCCTCTGATGATTTTTATTATCTTTCTAAGCTTGCTTTGTAGGTGAAGTCTACATAATCTAGAACCCTGGCTTTTATATCCACACCTTCCTTCGACTGCCATCCAGTAACCCGTTCAATCGTATAATGTCCCTACCAAACGCCAATAGTAGACATGCTAATGCATCCTCCTCAGTCCCTCCACCAAATCCCTAACCTCTTCCACCTTAGCCAATCCCTTACACACCACGTCCTGCCTCTCCTCATCCAAGTCGAGGAACCGCTCAATCAGTTCCCCATCAATGAACCGGTAAGGCTCCTCCGTCTCACGCTCTGCATTGCGGAAGGATCGGTAAGTGGCAAACGGAATATTGCCGGGCGTTTCGACATTCTCAGCTAGGCGCTGTTGGAGGCGCAGTAGCAGGTCCTGGGAGGCCGGGGCGACGCTGCCATAGAGGAAGAGGGAGCCCTCAGTCTGTAGATATATTAGTCACCATATCAAACACACACATTCCCGTATTACAACGGAGATAATAAGGGAAAAGGGGTACTCACAGTCGCCAAGAACGCCCTCGGAACCACAGTCGCATCCTCACTCGCATCGACCCGAATCTTGCGTATCCGATTCACCTGCTCTCCAAGGTGAAACTCGCCCGTAACCTCCATCTTCTTGCGGTCCTCAAGCGTAACGCCCGCCTCGTTGTGCCTCAGCACAATCAGATTCCCGTCCGCGTCCGCCTCCAGCCATCCCTCATCAATATGTGCCACAGCCGTTGCCCAAACACTCTGGAAATGCCTCGCGACCTCAACAAGAGTGGGCGCCTCGCCGCCGGTCCCAGCACGATACTCGACGAGCGAGACGGACTTCATCAGGTCCGCGACAGCGATGGTATTCCCCTCAATAGCGAGATCGACCGGGCACGTGCTAGTGCGGTAGCTGGCAACCTTCTCGATGCGCGCGCTGGTGCCGCTGAGCTCCGTGTAGTCGAAGACGACGACAGTCTTGACGAGTGCGGCGACAATCTTGCCGTCGATAACCCCGAGACAGCGACATGCGCCTTTGACCTTGTACTCGGCGATCTTGTAGGGGTTGCGGGAGGAGTCGACGCCGAAGACGAGGATGCGGCCACGGTAGGAGAGGGCGGCGTCGTCGTCGAGGAAAGAAGTGCCGACAATGAAGCGCTCTTGGGGCGTGCCGTAGGTATTTGGAAGAGGGGCGCGGATGACTGCCTCTACCAGTTCCTCGCCTTGGGAGGTGCCGAGTTGGAAGGGTTTGCCTAGCTCGGAGAAGACAACTTCATCGACGAGGCGGAAGGAGCTTTCTATGACTTCTTCGCCGTTGACGAGCTCGCGCTTGATGGCGCCGAGGCCGAAGACTTTTTCGGACGGAGAATAGGCCACGCGGCGAACTGTTTCGCCCATTGGAAGTGTTCTTACGTGGGTGCGGCGCTCGGTATCGATTTGGCTGATCTTGATCTCTGAAGCCGTCGCAACTACAATTGCGTCTGGGTAGGCGGCAGCGTTAAATGGGCAGATGAACGTTGCATCCTCAGCCGTGACAGCGGAGTAGATGATGCGTCCTTCTGAGCTGTAGATCAAGCTAGGATGCTCGCAGGTCGCAAATACGTTCATAAGGCCGTCCGCACGAGGAAGGACGCGTAGGTTGGCTTGCTGGGTGCCGAGTACAACTGACTTGCGATTTGTGAGAGCGAATGTGCAGGGCGTAACAGAGTATGAGTGAACAACCCCATCGGACATGGCAACGAGGAGCGTCGGCCCGGAAGTCTTTGGGAGAATCTGTGCCAGCACCATACTTCGCGGTACGGCGGCAGTGTCGTTATTGCGAAGCGTATCTCCTTGTATGGGTTGCAGCGTCCTCAGGTCTATAATAGACACCGATCCAGACTGCCAGAGCCCCACAAGCCCAATCGGTGTTTCGGTATTAGGGACGTCTATACAGGCAACCTGATCAGTGTCCCCAAAGTCTTGTCGCGCAATTTCTGACAAGTCGTTGTCTAGATCCAAAGAGATGAGCGATTTTCCGTCGGCAGATAATAGAACGTAATTCTCATTTGCCGACGCTGCAGTGATAATCTCTCCTGGCCCTGGCTGCCATGATGCGACAGCTACACCAGATTCTGAGTCTATCAGCAATGCTTTGGATGGCGTAATCTGCAATATCCTGCCATTGGACACATTTGCGGCCAAAAGCGTATGCTCTTCGAAGGAGAGCCCCAGGAATTCCTCTACCTCTTCAACTTCCCCTGCGCTATCAAACCGGAACACTCGTGTCTCTGTCGAGAATGATATCACCAGCGTATCGTGAAACTCCGGGTTGTTTGTTTGGAGGGTATATAACCCCTTGACGTTGTCCATTTCTCCCAGCAGACCAATATCTTCCAACCCGACTCCGCTTCGGACACTCCTCAACCCCCCCTCTTGAAAGGCACCGCTTCCAGTCACAATCCGTGCCTGACCCGACGAGAACTCATTTGCCCGCGCCTCTTCCGATCGGCTCCCCATATCCATAACTGTGAAATCAACAATTGGCGCGATGTTATCCAGAGTCTGCACCACCTCAGCAGCCTTGGCATCCATGTCCAACTTCAAGACCTGCGAGTCTCCATCATGCGATCCAATAAACAGCAGGTCGTCCTCCAGACAGACCATAGTCGACGGCCGCGAAATCCGCACAAGCTTCTTCATCGTCATCCCCGTCACGACCTCGGCATCGACCACCAGCGTGAGCAAATGCAGCCATCCATACTCATCGCCCAGCAGATATCTCAACCCATCATATGCCGTCCACGCCACAAAGATGCTGGCCTCGTCGAGCACATGCTCCAGGGTTGCCTTGCTCTCATCATCCAGATAAAGCATCCTCGTCTCACCAACCACAATCACACCTCCCAGTTGCGCCTTTGCACTGGCATTATTTCTGACCACATATCTCCTCTGGCCTCCCTCCCCTTTCGGCACCGGAATTAGGTGGCTCGCCCCAACCTCCACCTCCAGCTCATCTTCCCTCTCTTTCCTCGGATCAAACCCTCCATATTGTCCCCTCCCATCCGTAACCCTATAAGTCGCTAACCCCACCCTATCCCTCCCATCCTGATATAACAGGGCCACCTTCGGACTCGTTGACTCAGTATGCAAAAACACCGTCGCCCGCACAAACAGCTCCGTAATCCTTATCTGCTCCGGGTCATCCAGGTAGGTCCCAGCCGCCGCAACCTTCCTCGGCTTCATAACCTTGACGAAGCTCAGCACGCCCTCAAACAGACTCAAGCACAGCTGCTTCCCAGACGGATCGACAGCGCATCCCTCACCCTCAGAAGCGCCGCGCATATGTTTCTCACTCGCATCAACAAACGCATGCACCGTCTCCAGCCTCCTCGTCGCCGCGTCCCACGCGAGAGTGAAATAGTGTGCGCGCGCGGTGCCGACGAAGAGGTGTGCAGTGCGGGAGGTGGGGGGCCGGATCGCCGCGAGCATTGTGATACGCGCATGGAGGGTGCGGGTGTGTGCGAGCTGGAGGCCGGTGGGCGTCGGAGTCCATATTTCGAGGCGGTTGGATTTGCTAGAGGGGGGGAGGTTAGAGAGGGGTGAGTTCTTGGTGGGGGGAGGAGGGGCTTACGCGACGACGAGGCAGGTGGAATCGGGGTCGAGGAGGTTGAGGGAGAGGGCGTGGCGGACGCTGCTGGGGCGGTGGATGGGGACTATGTAGGACATGATTGCGGGAGGGTGAAGTGGAGGAGGTTGAGTTGGTGGAGGGACCCGGACATGGGCGGGTTCGTGGTGAGAGGAGAGAGCTTTCTTTGTTTCGTCCGGTTGTTCCCTTAAGGTACGGGCTTGATTACGTCGCTGTACTGATTAGATCTTATCGCGAAGCTCGGAGTTAAGAAATTAATCAGGGTTCCCCACTGATAAATTATAGCTTAGGATTAATACGAGCAATTGCAACTCATAGAGCTCGTATCTTCAGTTCCATTTGTCGGTAACTGGCTTACTTATTGTATCCCTGAGTGATTGAAAGCCTTCACTTACATTATAGTTGCTGTAATCGCTGTTGTTATATGCAGGCACTCTTTGGACTTTTAGGTGGTATGAGAACCACACCAGCTTTATTTCACATTGAAACACGCGATCTCGAATTCATATATGCTAATGGTCTTAAAGTGTTATACTGATCTTGTATTGTAAAGTTTATTCTTTTCCACCAAGATATCTATACACCACAGAGAAGTCTTTCCCCTTGCACCTCTCATCCTTAGAAGCGAGATCATACACCTCGTTCGCCTTATCACCAAGCTCCAACTGAGCACCAGCTTCGTTGGCAGCCTGGATCGCAAGTCCAAGATCCTTCTTCATCAGCGATATTCCAAAGCCGCCGCTGTAATCGCGCCCAGCAGGCGAACCCTCAACCACACCCTTTACGGGGTTGTTAACCTCGCTCGGCCAGCACTTTCCAGTGCTGACATTGATAACGTTGGCGAGGACCTTGGGGTTGAGACCAGCCTTGATACCAAGGTTCATGGCCTCAGCAGTGGCGATGTTGTTGATAGCCAGGAGGTAGTTGTTCGCCAGCTTCCCGACTAAGCCAGCTCCCTGGTCTCCGCAGTGCAAGACGCGCTTGCCCATCATCATGAGGACGGGCTCTGCGCGCTGCAAGAGGGATGATGGGGCGCCGAGCATGAAAGTCAGCGTCCCCGCCGTGGCGCCGACGACACCACCAGACATGGGTGCGTCGACAAAGTTGCCTTGTTGGGTAGCAGTGACAGTATTGGCAACCTCCTTCGACGTCGCGGGGTCAATTGTGGAGCAATCGATGAAGAGCCTGTCCTTGTGCGACCCTGTCGAGGGAGGCTGCGCAAGCACCTGGCTGAACACGCCCTTAACATGTACCGGTTCTGGGAGTACGGTAACGACGGTTTCCTAATTGCCACTTGTCAGCTTTATGCCCCCATGAGAATAAACATGAAGATGTGCAAAGAAGGAAGCTTTTTGAAAGTTCAGAGGATTGGCTTTGTTGTATAATAATAAAATCACGCGAACATACCCCCAAGACGGGGGATGCCAACTTAGTATCATGAATTGGAACAAACTCATCACGTAAAGCTGGGGAAGACAAGAAATGAGAGGGAGGGGGAGCTTACACTTCCATCGGCCGCCTCAGCTGGGGACGCCGCAATCTTTACTTGCGCACCACCACCAGCTGCGGCTACCTCGTCCGCGAACCTCTTCGTCGCCTCCGCATTAATATCCTGAATTAACAGCACATCCGTGGATGGCAACTTCTTCTGCAAGTTCTTGGCCATGTTATATCCTATCGTCGTTGTTAGCTCGCTGCACCCCGCCAAACGGGAACGTCAGATAAACGTACCCATCTGCCCAAGTCCAATAAATCCATACTGGGCGTCCCTTGCCGCCGACGCAGAGAAGCATCGCACCTGCACAACACCAAACTGCCGCCTCAGCACCGACGCGGTCCGGATATTGAAAGCCATCGCGAGATCAAGTTGTGTTTATCCTGAGCTGTGCAGCTTCGAACAACTGACAAGTCAAGGGCGAGACTAACAACCGGGCGTGGGGAAGGTACAGTAAAGTTTGTACCGAGCACTAACTCGGGTATGTGGCCGAGATCTTCTGACATATAGAGCCGAGGGTATGCGGACCGTTCTGGACCGACTCATGAGAAGCAATTTTTATAAATAAGCAGAGCGCGCACGAAGGCGGCTGCGAGTTTAGGTCTTCTGTCACATCTTTGCAGGATGGTGAAGAGGAGGAAGATGGAAGAAAGAAAGATTGAGTGGGGGATTATAAGGGCGAGGAAGAGAAAATAATCTGACGCTAGGCTGTTTGCGGTTGGGCTGTCATTCATGGCGGCATAGCGCGTAAGGGCCAATAATTCAAGCTCATGGAATTTATCTCGTTGGAGCCATTTTTGAGCAACTGTAATTGAAAGGCTATAATACGAAATTATAACCCTAGATGAGTGGTTGAGAGACCTTGTCTTAATCGTTCCATTATAGAGAACCGTTGTACAGACTTCTGGGTGGCACGATTACTCTTACGGCGCAAAGGTAGAAAATCATCAACGGGACCACACGAAGCTTCACATATTCCCTCATTGCACATTCAAACTAATAAAGCAAGTGCCATCGAACTCCCCGCCCATAAGATAGTAGACAAGAACAACTCGAGAATTACAACTTCCTATCAAACCAGCCAGTCAAACCTCCACCCATAATATCCCCCCGTCCCATCACACATCCGCCCATCACCTCCACATCATCCTGGTCCAATGTCGACAACCCTGCGGACCATCCCTCTCCCCCTCCTTCCCTTCCCCAACACTCGCAAAAGCCCTGGGTATCCCACAACCTATGGTGCCGTACAAACTCTCTCATGTATAGAAAGGGTGCGTAATATCGGATACCTCAACCACAACCACACCATAGAAAAGCCCCTAGAAAAAACAAGCCTCACTCAACGCCGAGATAAATTCGAAACGGAACGAGACGAGAGAGACGACAAATAGACAAGGGGTTTAGACGCGTCGCGCCCATTATAAATTAAACTTTTTTAACCACCTGCGGCACCTAGAAGGCGCCCATCACGTAGGGGATTAAAGCACTGTGTCTGTTAGCATGCGTTCATCAGGGGAGAAATAAGGAGACATAAACATACCCGATAGCCAACGTAGCACTAATACCAATCAGCGCTCTCGCCCGCACCTTCTCCTTCTTCAGGTCGCTCTCGACCTTAGCCCTCTTCGCCGGCGCCGCACCCTCGTTCTCCTTCTCAGCCTCCTCTTCCGCCTTCCTCTTCACCTTCTTCGCCGCGGGTTTGCTGGGCCCCGCCTCAGCCTCAGCCGCCTCCTTGGCCGCCTCGTCAGCCTTGACAGCTGCCTCGACCATCTCCTTCGCCTTGGCGATCATGGCCTCCGTGTCTTCAGGTAGGGGCAGCTCGGCGAAGCCAGCTGGCATCTCAACCTCGACGTGCGTGTGCGTTGTCTCTACATCGCCCTCGACAATGACCTCCTTGTCAACCTGGACAATGACCTTAGGCTCCTTCTCAGCATCAGTCTTCGCCGCACTGGCCTTAGCCACCTCCGCCTTTGCAGCCTTGGATTTCCTCTTTGGCTCTGGGCTTGCCGTCTCGTCCTCCTTCTCAGCAACTGACGAGCTTGGAGATCCCTCGGGCTTAGTAGCCGACTTCAGCGCCTGTTGCAGGCTCTTGCTCGACGCGCTCGCGCTCTCCTCCGAAGCAGCCTTCTGCTGCTTCAGCTTTCGCGGGGTAGCGATTGTCTTCTTCAGCGGGCTCGCGATCTTGCTCGGGCTCACGCTCCTCCTGCTTCTCCTCAGTGCCTCACCGGAGCGACCGCTCGAACCGGTTGGGGCAGCGAGGTCCTCGGGCGCAAGGAGGAAGGTAGGTGGCGGCGAGATTTTCTTGGGGGTCGTATCTCCCTTGGGGTTCACGACAATAGGTGTAGGGTCGAGGAGTGCCTTGATCCATACGCGGATACCATACTCGTCGGCCAGCTCAAGCGCGTGCGTCGGCGAGATCCAGACGTTTCCAGCAGTCTCGTTGGGGCTTGTGGTCGCGAGGCTCTTGATGTAGTTGCGCTCGGCCTCCTCCTCGTGGACCTCAGAGTAGGGGAAAGTCGCCTTGAACATGCCAGTCGCGCTGATATATCCGTCGTTTGAGCGGCGCATGAGGAAGTAGCTCGCTGGCGCGGGCTTGAAGATGCCCGACACGACGTTCTTGGGCAGCGGCGCGCGAAGGTGCGCGTAGTCGAACGTGCCGAGCTGCTTCGCCTTAACTTGCAAGTCGGTCTGGCCGAGGCGACGGCGCTCGACTAGGCTCTCGTCTAGGGGATGGGGTTAGTTGCGCGAACGGTGGGAAGGGGTCTATGGTGCGATGGGCTTACACTTGGGAGCATTTTCGACCATGAGCAGCGCGTTGCGCTTTTCGGGAAGGTGGCGCGTGGAAGACATTGTGGTTCGTTTTATGTAGACTATCGGAAGATCTCAAGTCAATGAGGTCTTTCTTTATCTGTTTGTGGTGTGTTGTTGGCGATGAAAGCGCGAGATTCTGCTCGAATGATCTGATTCTGCGCGCCGAAATAGTGAGAGCGACGCGATTATCTCCACCTTACTAAACTCGCGCGCAAAGGTGACCTTCGTATTGCGCCTGAAAATTCCTGATATCAATGGAACTGAATGGGCTCAAGCTGATGTCGTACGAGTCTCATTCCCCAGATAGTAGCGGTTGGTGATGAAGGGACGGGATTGACGGATCACGGTGCAGCGAGTTTGACACGTCGATTAAGTCCCTGCGACCGGCGAACAAGCGCCCGTTTTGATGCGATTGATTGGACGACGAACAAAAGTGAGGATCCCACCACCTTCAGGACTACTTTCAAGCTAATGAAGAAGACCCTGCGACAACGCGGTGATGAAAATAAAACGTAGAAGTAGAAATGGACGATATTATTTTTTGGGGGACGTGTTGTAACAAGGAGAGCGCAATCGATAATATGGTTGGGGGGGCAGAGAAAGAGAAGTTTATCGCTCTTACCCCTGGATACGATACTAACCAGCTAAATTCTTTATGGCGCTGGTCACTGGACTAGACGGACGGAGAGGGGAATTGGGGATGGGAGGGATGGGATGGATGGGGGACGGGCACTGGACGAGCGCTGACGGGTGCACGGGTAACCGTATCCGCCCAAATTTCCTAAATCTACTAAAATTTGCTAAATTTGCTAAATTTCCCCAGGTTGTTGGGATAAATTGGCCGGGATAAATCCGTAAAAAGTCACTGGGATAACTGAAATTACTCAAATCTGTAAAATCGCGTGGCTGGGGCGGCCGCGTTGGGCCTGACACGGACAGTTTCCGCTTCTTTCGGACGGTCGGCTCCTTTTCTTCCGTCTGCTTAGTAAGGCACTCTACCCAATTGAGAATTGAGAGGCCATCAACTTCCGATATCACATTCACACTCAGGTGGTGCTCGATGATAAATAAATTGGCACCTCTAGCTACTGAATAGCCTATCCCTTAACCTGTCCTTTTACCTGTCCCTTTACCTGTCCCTTTACCTGTCCCTTTACCTGTCCCTTTACCTGTCCCTTTACCTGTCCCTTTACCTGTCCCTTTACCTGTCCCTTTACCTGTCCCTTTATTTATCCCCCTACCTATCCCCGGCCCCCGTCTCCTACTCGGTCTTCTACGCTCTAACTCGGGTGCAGTCTACGGCATGACCCAACTACACAAGTAATTAGATATGGGCACACCCTTCATCCAGGACAGTTACTCACTGGCGAGTCCTGGCAGCAGGAGGGAAAGGACGGTAGCATGTTGGCACACACTTTTTGTAAGTCTCTGAAGTTTTCTGCCTCACGGTTTGCTAGGCCCATGGTGTCAGAATGTTATGAAGATACTACAGGAGGAGTAGCCGTACCATACTTGCAATTCACGGTATACGGAACATCTTAACCAAAGGTACGATCTTCGCAGCAGTATGGTGTGAGTCCTAGGTTTCATTCTCAGGGCACTTGTAGAGGGCGAGTGCGGTGCTGAAGAGGGCTATGGTGACAACAAGTGAAGTGCGCATGGTGCTTGCAGTTGGTAGTATCGTTGATTTTTATAGCATTGGAAAGGGATGACGAGCGAGATAGTCCTGCGGGAGAGAGGCTGAGACTTATATAACCCCCGATTTATGTCTAGGGGTACATATGGAGCATACGCCGACTGTCTTGTAGTGAAGCTGTAGGACCTACCCCCCAGCAAGTAGCATGAAGGAATGCATCTTAGGCTTAGATCACTCACAGCAACAAATACCAGGACAAATACAGTAGTCTTACAAGCTGCAGTGCACCAAACCTTCGCCCATAACCCGGTAACCGGGCTCCAATCACTTGTAACAACCCACAAGCAGAACCTAAATTCTAAAACCTCAGCTCCTAACATGTTAGCCATCTGTGGCGGAATGGGAAATGTCTTAGACACCATGGAGTTGATCTCACCGTTATTATCTTGCCCCCAGGATGGGTACTAACGTCTGGTAGCATGTCGTGGACCTGATTATCAGTAATAATCAGACAATTGTACGGGTGGAATACCAAGCTTGACATCTCCCTAAAGGGACAGCCGCACACTGTCAATATGGATTTCGAAGCCTAGAAACACTTTCAAGAGGTATGCCATGGCTTTAATAACCTAGTTAGCTATGTTTTTACTTAGCTACTATTCTCAAGCCTAGTCATGTGTGTGGCGTAAAAGTAGGTTTCCCGAGTTACAGACTCCTCCAAAACTCAATAATAGGGCGTGCAACCTCAGAAACCCGCTGTCTCACTAGGCCATGGCCAGCTCGGGGAACAACAACTACATCTTTAAATCCAACAGTCCTTAGGTCCTGCTCAGTACAGAAATCGTCGAGCTCTCCAACCACAGCCAATCGCCTGACACTACTCTGAGACACCTTTTTGAAATGCTGGTGCATGTCGAAGACGCCGCCATCTCTAACTATAGCTACTAAGCTGGGAATGTGCCCTTTGTGATACTCTCTCTCCCAGACCTGAATTGGCTCCCCACTAATCTCTCCCCTTGCAAAGTTGGCCTTCCAGTCAGGTGACACGATGAGGGGACCACCACTGACGAAGTCTACTATCCAGTCTGTCGCCACACCCTCGTCCACACCCGCACCCCCCTTTAGGTAACTTGCGCCCTCCTCAGTCAGCGTCGCAGACCTCAACAGCCCAGCTGGAGCCACCACTACCAGGCTCTGGACCAGATCCGGATATAAGGCGGTGAAGCTAGTAATCGTTGATCCGCCGAAGGAGAATCCCAGGAGATGCGCTGATGGCCATTTCAGATGCCGCAGGAGTTGTATGATTTGGTCGTGGAATAGTGCTGGCACGTGAGGCACTAGAGGTGTAGAGGAGAGCCCATGTCCGAAGTGGTCGTATAACACTATGTGTAAGTTGGGACTGGAGGCTTGAAGGGCTTTGGCGAGGGGAAGCATGCCCAAGGCTGGGGTTCCTGCACCATGGACGATCAGGACGCGCTCTATGGGAGCATGCAGCAAAGAGACAGTAGGTGGTGGTAGTTCATAGATTGCGGTGCTTGCATTATCTGAGATGAAGTACTGAGCAGAAGGTAGATGGGCACCGAACTGGGTGATGAAGGCGGCTTCGGCAGGCGCGGGAATAGATGCGTGAGAGGACGAGCGCTGGGTCGATGGATCGGTGTCTATTCCTGGTCGTGGGATTGTGACTGCTAAGTTGCTAAATGACATTGTGTTCGTAGATTTTACAGTTCTAATTTTCTAAGGAGCAACCTGAGATTGACAGCGTTTTGATGATACATATCATTAAGTATCTGCTTACAAATTGATAGCGATATCGCAATATTGCTAAGTGGTCTCAGAGTTGTCCATGCGCGCAATTCCAGAATTAATTAAATTCAAAGGACTAATAGTTTGTCTTGTTATAGGGTGCATCTCTTAATGTAGGGATGCACTTTACTAATAAATATGATTTAAGACAGATCGCTTCAAACATTTCTAGGTTCTCAGGTGGTCGAGACACTACATCCAGGTTGTTAGCAGGTTATAGGGCTATTATGGGAGGATCGCCTTACTCTCATAGCATTTAAAGCTCACATTCGTATAGCAGCACATTGGCGTGAGGAATGGGTCATGCTTAGGGCATTCGTAGATGGCGAGGGCGGTGTTAACGAGAGTGAGGACGTAGGCAGTAACGACGGAAGTGCGCATGGGGTGGCTTGCTTGGATTGGTGATATTGGTGATATTGGTGATTGTAATTTGGGCTACAGAGTAGAATGGTATGCGATACTGTGTTGGGGGAAGGGAAGAAAGTTGATATTTATACACTTCCTGGTCTTCCATCGACCATGGAACTCAAGTCTCCTGAGAAGAAATCACAGGACTTAATACTCAGCTCGCACGTAGCTGGGCTGATACAAGACATAGGTGAGTGCTGAGAAACGTATTATGATAGGCATAGGAGTTTCTCACATTTGCCCCGCGGTGCGTATGGTTACTAAAGGGGGTGTGATTGATGGCAAGATTGGTTGTTAGAATGAGAAGGTGAATCGAGAGTTAGGATAGAGGGATGCTCGCGGACGAGACCGGGGATACAAGCCTACCATCTATATGGCCCCAAGAACCAACTCTGGTCCTGTCTCAACGAGCCTACATGACCTCAATCATCGGCGACCAGTCCAGAGAAAACTGTTGTAGACACAAGCCATACAGAATCTCTTATCGATATTAGACCAAGCCAACCCCAGCACACAACTCCTCGGAGCCGTCCCAACCCAACCAGCCCCACAGATGTCCAATATGCACAGACAACCCCAAAATCTTCAACCCTCAGCACTTAATATAAACATCTACAACCCGACGACGCAGGGAAGTGGGGAATGTCTCAGAGCCCGACCCTTCTACGCACGAACAAGCGTACAGCGGCCGTTGGGATCGCGTAATGGGATCTCGATATCTGTTTCACGGCTGGCTTGGGAGTATAGGGTTCCTCTTCCGGAAAAGGGATTTCGAGGATAGATATCAACTGAAACATTTGGTCTTTTATGGAGGGGAAAGGACCCCATACTCTCCTAGACAAATAGGGCACAAGCATCCTTTCGCGGCAAGGACCCCTTCCCTCCCCACCCCCTGAACCCCTAATCACACCAATAGCACAGCACAACCCACCTCATCATAAAAACACACACCACTCAACTCCCCCAAAAAACAAAAAAAAACAAATCATCGTCATAAGAATCGTGGAGATTATATTCCTTCTCAAGCGCCGGCCCCTACTTATAAAATAGGCACCAGCCACCAGCTACCAGCCGGCACCCTATCCCCCCCCACCCATTCATTTCTCATCGTCCTACATCGCATGCGTGCACAAAACATGACGCCCTTGTTTCCAACAGGCTTTCCCACCCATTTCCCACCCCTCCCCTCCCACCTAAACAGCCTCAAACACACTAAAACAACAAGACAGGCAAGACATTACCGCACCACAACGAGTAATTTTCGCCCCAGAAACCCACAAACAAATCGACACAAAAGCAACCCGCAACGCTCCGTCCCCATCCTTCCCTTTTCCATTCCGTCCTTGTTATCCTTTCCCTTACGCAGACCACCTAACCCACATAATTAACTCATTGCGGACCCCACACCACCGCCTGCATAAAATTTACCCCCATCCCATCATCCATAACATACCCATTCGCCCAGATATCCGTTTCCATGTCCATCCCGGTCCCAAATATCTCCAAATCCTTGCCGCCGTGCATGCTAATCTCCTCCAGTCTCCTAAACGCACTTTCCGGGCTCGGCTTCGGGGACGCCCAGTTGCCGCTGCTGGTTGACGCAGGGGGACCGGGCTTGTACGTCTCGGGTGAGGACTGCGAGGGGTGGTCGTAGGGCGTGGAGTTTGTGGTGCCATTTGCCGGGGGGGGGTACATAGAATTCAGTGTTGTAGCGGCGGCGTAGGTGGAGTTTTGTGGGTAGTAAGTAGCGGTATTCTTAGGGCTCGCGTGGTGATTCACATATCCCTTATTAGACGGTGTGTACTCCTCCGCCACGCTGCCATTGCTCGGGGGAGCGGTAGTGTTGACAGTAACCCATCCGTTGTCATTGCCATTTCTCGATGCGGAACGAGCGTGACCGGATGGCTGGGGCTCGGCTTTGATGTGTGTTGATGGGCGCGAGCCGCCGTTGGTGGCGGAGAAGGGGGAGATGCGGTCGGGAGAGTCGTAGCGGTCTTGTTCGAGGGAGGGGCCGAAGTCCTTGAGTTCCTTCTCGAGGAGCTTGTATTCCTCGAGGCCACCGCCGTGGCCACCCTCGCGGAGGCTGAGCTCCTTGGCATGGGCTTCGCGGCGCTGGTGCTCGGAGCTGGGGAGGCCGAGAGCTCGGATGCTGCGGTTGTGGTCTTTCTTGATGTTGACAAAGTAGTGCTCCATGCGCTTGATCCAGACGCTCCAGCCGCAGGCCATTTTGGACCTGGGCAGCATGAGATTGAGGGTCTTTACGGCGAGGTCAGTGGCTTCATGCCTGCCGGTGGGGTAGGTGGGGTTGTGGTCCAGGGTTGTGGGCGAGTTGCTCATGTAGGAGTTTTTGTCCATCCAAGGGAAATGGACGGCGTAGATGCCGACGAAGGCGGCGGTCCACACGGCGAATCCAACTTGTGGCGACTCAACCATGACCTGCCTGTCGCTAGTAACCCGCACTATATCCATGATGTCGCGAGCGGATTTGAAAATCAACTCGGCACTCTCGTCCCAGAACCCCTCTGGGATATCGTATTTATCTGGTGGAAACGTCGGCTCGTCTAGAGGTCCGGAGGGGCCAACGCTTCGGATAGGGATGAACGGAATATATTCGCGATGAAGGACAATGTTGCAAAGCGAATAAAGCGTGTGGATGGCCGTGTACAACGTAATAGATTTGCTGGCGATATGTGCGGCGATCTTCGTAGGGCTGAATGTCAGTTTCGGGGGTAAGGACTCATGGAAAGCTACGAGTTGCTGCCGTAACTTGTAAAATTCGGATCGCTGGTCCCATGGGGGGTATTGTTCCTCCCGTCTGCCACCTCTGCATGACCACCGTGAGAATCGTCCCCAGATCTCGACAAGTCGGATGTATATGCTTAACACATTAGTCGAAGAAATGGTCCTCGAACCATCCCGGCTGTCAGGCGACCGAGGGGTGTCCTTCAGCGATCCAGTCTTGACATCAACCCCAAATTGGAAATCTTCTTCCGAACAGGGCAGTTGCACGTGCAGGTCGTCGATATTGATGATCTGTGGCCGATATCGCCCGGATGCCTGGTACCGGTCCAGAATGAAGCAACTATAAGCCGTTCTCCGCTTGATCTCGCGCTGGATCAGGGTCTGCTCGTCGGGTGCTGCCCCTGCCTCCGCCACCTTCAATTTCACCCCTAACTGCCGCGCCTCTTCTATCAGAGCTGGCTTTTGACTTGTCCGTGAATCTTCTTCAAACATGAGTCCCATAGTCCGGGCCATCCTATTATTCTGTTAGGAGCGTCTTATATAGTGTCTGAGCATAAACTTACCCGATAGCAATCGTGATGTACATCCAGGCGCGTTGGCCACGGCACATCCCCCAGTGATACAGACTGATCATGAGCAACCCCTGAACTCTTTCCAATGACGGCTGCCCGGTCAGGGCCGGCGCATCAAGGCGAGCCGCGAACGCTTCGGCATAGAACTCCGATGCCGCAAGAGGATCAGAGGGGTCAGATTGGCTGTGATATGCCACCAAATCCGGGATAAACCGCGCCGTCAGCGTCAGCATGCCCAGGAGAAAGATCTGAGTATCCGCAGAGCGCTCCGCAGCAGGCTGATGAACGCGGGTATGGAAGACCTCCTCATGCAGGAACGGCAGCTCGGTCGAGCAGTGCAGCATGAATGTAGTATACACGTCCTTCCACAGCTTCGCCGTGATCGGCGGGGACTCCAGCGGATCATCGCTCTGGCGAAAGCTCTGCTTCCTCACCGCATCCGACTCGCGCTTGCGCACGCGCTTGACATCTCCTCCCTCCCCATCGACCCTCGCCGCGATAGTCGACTCGGGCCGCTTGTTCGCCTGCTGGCTGGCGCTCGGCTCGGGGTATGTGCATTCGCGGCTCTGGTTGGCGCAGGCGCGGCAGGCGGTATTCACGCCGTTGTTCTGGCACTTGATCTTGCTGCGGCGGCAGCGGTAGCAGGCGATGCTCGAGCGCATCTTCGGCAAGGGCTTCTTGTCGTCGGGGTCATCGTGCATGTCTACGTGGCGCGGGGCGTCATGCCGCGCGCCGGGGGGTTCGGGGCGGTGTGTATGGGTGTGGGTGTGGACGCCGGCGGCGGGCGTGCTGTTGGTATTGGTATTGGTGTCGTTGGTAGTATCGCTCAGGCGGCGGCGGGAGGGGGGCGACGCCGCCGGGCGATGAGAGAACTCCGTGTCGGCTTCGGGGAAGGCCTCGGCGTGCGGTCGCTTCGGTGTCGATGCCTCTGGGGTGTCGATTGTTGAGGGGGGGTCGGAGGGCGAGAGTATCGCGGCGATGGAGTGAGGGGAGGGAATTTTGGCGGTTTGGAGGCCCTGCGGGGACCGTCGCTTCCGGTGTTGGTTGTAAGCCTGGTTTTGGGGGGGGGGGGGATATGCGGTGCGCGGTGAAGGGTGTTGGGATGAGATTGAGCCCAATCGCTTGCGCAGAGGGTCTTGTATGTGTCGAGAGATGTTGGATGGACAGCAGATGGTGATGTGAAACCAGGAAGAGGACTGCGGAGGGAAGATGAAGGGTGTGTTTGCGTCGTACAGCTCGATTGTTGGTGGCGCGATCAAATAAATGTCTGGAGGAGGGAGTATTGGTATTGAGGATCCTGGGAAGCGGCGGCCAGTCAGGTTCAGGGCGCGCGCGCGGGCGGACTAGTATAGCAACTATAGTGCGGTATCCGAGTCCGAGGGAGGAGGGACCAGCTGGAGAAGGCTGTAGAGAAAGGTACGATAAAAGGGGAATAGAAAAGCGATCGGCACTTGAATAGAAAAGCTCTAGAAACAAGAAATGCCTTTAGAAATGCTTTTAGGTTGAAGCAACGGGATAGGAAGAAGAGAGTATAGCGTATAGTACAGTACGGCGTATGTACAGCAGTTGGTGGTCGTAGAGCGGCGGCGGGATAGTACACAGCGACAACACGGAACACAGTGAAATATGTACAGTAGAAGAAGTACTTTCAAGATTCACAGAATAATCTGAATAATCTGAATAATCGCGGGAGAGAGATGTGAGATGTGAGATGAGCGTACGTGCGTGGTGCGTTAGTAAAATGGCGTGCATATGTATAGGATAGGTATAGTATAGAGTAGTAATAGACAAGGACCGAGTAATAGATGGGGATAGGATGGGGGTGGGGGGAGTACTAATTGGGGGGAAAATAGAGTATAATGGAGTATAAAATGGGGGGCAGACTGGGGAAAAGAATCACGGCGGTAGGCGGGTGCGAATTATGGTGGAGAAGGGGGGGGAGGAGGAAGTTGTGCTCGGGATTGTGTCCCCGGAGAGATGTGGTTAACGATAACTGGGCCGTTAGTTCTCAGGTTTGGCTGTTTCTTGTTTCTCTGGGGAAGCACGAAAAGAGCGCATGTGGCACGGCGAGAAGAGGAGAGGATAGGAGATGGAGATGGGGAGTACGGGGTAGATACAGATATACAGATGCATTGCATTGTTGGTAGATGCAGAGGCGACACAGCACGGATCGGACAGCGAGTTAAAGCCAGTTAAAGTTCCCGAGGCGCGCAAACAACCCTCATACAAGAACACTAACTGGCCAACAATCCTAAGACCACAGAAACTATCAGCCGGTCTGCTCAATAAATGACCAGACAGGGCGAATTCTACACTCTTGTCTCACACTCCCTTCTTCGGACAGATAGACAGACATATGAGGCTTCACCCACACCCCACATGTACTCCTTGCTCCTCGTGAATAACCCCCCCGACACGGAAATCACATTCACAACCACCCCCTTCCCTCCCCGGTCGGCCGTGGGGGACTCCCTACCCTCCTGCCCTGCACAGCACTCACACGCGACAAACGGCATCCCAACCCGCGGCCCGATCGCGGCCCAGCGGTAGTTGCACATACAGTAGACTACGAGTCCATTGTTTCGCGTACGCTGGGCGGGCATGGGATGGAAGTTGGCGGGCACATCACCGCTGGCTGGGGACAAGAGAACCATCGGAGCGGCTGGCGCGGATGGCGGAGGAGGAGGATGAATTAGGCATCGCGCGCGCGGCGCTGGAGGAGAACGGCAGGATAGGACCAGTCCAGTCGGCTCTATTGCACCTCGCTCAAGCCGATAGTGGGACGGAGTTGGCGGGACTCACGGGCCAGAAACTGGACTTACTCAGGCGGGGCGATTCAGACGGCGGACAATAACATACGGACGGCACGAAGCGGTTGTCTCCAACTTCCACATCTTAAGGCCAGTACCGACCGAATTCCCACCCAACTCGGCGAGGATCTCTCGGCGGATAAAAACAGCCACCAGGCAGGAAGACGGATACAGGATTCCCGCCGGGGGATGATTGTTTGCTCCCCAGCGAGCGCCACGATGTGATCGCGCACCCTGCCGCAGCACGACCCCGGCTGGTCGGGCGGACGAGACAGCGGTCTCAGCCTAGAGGTTAGGGCACCCTGCGAGCCAACGCGCAGCCTTGGATGGGTCCACTGTAATCACAGCGCATCAGCGCTGGGTTCTAGCCCTGATCCTGGCGTGGCTCTGGCGGAGTCCGCGCCCTGGCAGGAAGCCTGGTGTTGTACCAACACGACCGCCGCCCGCCACAGGAGCGATAGCCGCTGATGCCGCGGTGGTGCTGGTTGTATATTAAGGAGGTGGAGGGAAAGGAAGGAAGGAAGGAGCGAACATGATTTTTTTTGTTTTGAAAGCGGTAGGTGCGGCTGAGGAATCCTACATCCTCCTCAGGGTAGGTGCGTGGGTTGCTCCTTCCTTCCTTCCTAGCTGGCTGAACTGTTGGTGTTGTCTTCATTCCTTTACTGTAGATCCAATCTTCCAATATGCACAGCACTCACTGTAGACACTCCTGCGCCATCGATCGTAAGCCCAGCTCAGCCCATCACATCCAGCACATCGCCAGCGCGCCTTACAATCTGAAACCCACCAGCATAAAGTCTCAGCCCTCTTCCCTTCTAGCATCTAGCCCGTACTTACCGAGATCACTCCCACTCCCTCGCCCACTCACCAGCACGATCTATATCAGTAAAAACGACAGGTCCCCCCGCCGGAGCAGCGGTCTGAGCCGTCTCTCCAGCGCCCAGCACTCCAAACCCACCATCCAGCACCTACCACCGCTGGCCCTGCTGGGTCTGCCAGGCCCGCAGCCCACCACAGCAGTAAGTAAAACACGGGACGAGACGACGAACAAACTCGCAAACCAAACCACACCTCGGCTAGCGGCAGCACATTCCTGCTTCCGAAAAGGGGGGTGGTGTATGGTCATACGATTACCGCAGGTTGGAGCGTGGGGGGCTCATCACGGGTGTGTGTGTCTGGTGCTTCGTGTATGGGATGGGGTGCCGGTTAGGTTCGGTGGTTATGGGTAAATGGGGGAGGGCCGATCGCGGGGTTAGGTCAGGGCCATAGGAGAACTGAGGGGATGATGAGGGATGGATTGTAAATCACTTGACTGATTCGAGGGGGTTGATGCCGGATCGTGGATAATCACGTGATTTGTGACCTTGGTTCAGGAACAGAGGGGTTTTGAGTATATCACGGCTCCAGCCTGTAGTAACAGTAACAGGGCCTCGTAGTATCCAGCGCAGAACCGCTCTCTTCATATGCATCGTCTCGGTCACGTGCATCCTCCTCCTCAATCTCATCTCATCTCATCTCCTCCCCCTTGCCTTACCTCGCTGCCGTGGGATCAGATTACGAACCACATCGCTCCACATCCCGCGGGGGACGGCGCAACGTATCGCCCAGGGCCTCTTGTCGTCTCCGCTCCGCTGCGTTCAGCCTGCGTCCCCCGAGCGATCCCCCACCATGCACGTGGCCGGAAGTGGTCTGGGAATGCTTGTATATGTATAGCAGCTAGCTATATAACCTGGTGTACGTAAAGGAGCACTGTAGTAGAGCTTTTGTATGTAGATTTTTGCGGGGTCCGGTAATGCACCTCATCTCTTGCACTCATTTTAAAGAGTTACATGTGCCAGTTCTGGCGCGGTCGCACGTGAGGGGGGTGTATATAGGTGCAGTAGTTGCACGCCGCTGATGCTGCCACTGGCTGGCTGGATACAACTACGCACGCACTGCGGCCCCTTGGAGTGGTGGGATGGAGGCGGCAGCAGCATGTGTACCTGACCCAGCACCTTCCCTCCCCGCCCTTCGTTTCTTATTCCGCGGCATCCCAAGATTAGACAGCCACACGCCTCCACTCTCCAAGCCCAGCCCCTCCCTTCCTCCACACCACAGAGCCACACAGCACGCACAGCGCCTTAATCCCTCGCCGTCCATCATTCCCCCGAGTGGTGAGAGGCGGTGCTGGGGGGATGGGGGAGTATGTTATGTTATTTGTCAACCGCGCGGCGAGGGACGGGGCGGGTTTGTGTGAGGGAGGGAGCGACGGGGGTCTAGAACTGGTGTCGTGTGCCGTGGCGCCGCCGACGCTGCCGGATGCATCGAAGCTTGCAGGAGGCGGGGGGGGGAATGGGGGAGGGGGACGTCATGTACGCCCTTTGGCGACGGGGGGAGCTTCGAGATGCTTACTGAGAGCACACGAGGTCAGCATGGAGCATGGAAGTAAGCACTGGGGAGTCGAGTCATTGAACCTGGGGGGTGGTAAGGTAGGTGTTGTCGGTTGGGAAGTGGCCAGTCAGAGAGCGTGAGGGGGAGGTGGTTGTTGACGCGCTTGCGCTTATATGGTATGGTATGAGCTTCTATGGGTGGTAGAGGAGCTAGAGATGGTCGGATGGCCCTGTTGTTTCTGGTTCCAACTTCTCTTTTAGGAGATTGATTAGTGATAATTCCTTCGAGTAGACTATGACTCCTATAAAGTGGATGGAGATGGAGATGGAGATGGAGATGAAGATGAAGATGAGAAGGAGAAGGAGAGGAGTAAGGAGGTACAGTACAGTACAGTACAGTACAGTACAGTATCTAGAGTACAGTTATTATACATTTCTGTATTATACATTACACATATATGTACCCATCGGGGAAGCTTATAGAAGCAGAAGCTCACACTCCCCCTTCTTCCCCTCATAAACCCCCACGCTGGGCGCCAAATACTAGACCAAAAACAAACTAACGTCTCCCCCTCGAGCCAGGCGCAGCAGCTACCCTCCACGCCGTTGTGACCATGTTTTCCATATTCCCCATCCCATGTTTATCCACGATTTGCCGTTTGTGACTTCCCTCGTCCACCGAGCAAGTAAAAAAAAACCAGCTTTTTGTAGCTTTAGGGAAGCTATGTCATCGGCGGTTCCGGGAAATATTACGGGCTGATCGTATGTTGATTACGAAGTTACCCGTATACAACAACTTCAAAACTCCACCGAAACCCCGTCTCCGCTCGATTTGATTCCTCAGCAGTTGCCGGTGTACTGGAAGTACTGTTTTGTGCTATAGAATACTATAATGGAACTATACCGCACTATACTATACTATACCATAATGTATGTATGACTATTCCCGCATAGTACGTAAGGTGCAGCTCAACAGGTTATAATCGCCCATCACCACTGCACTTCACTTCCTACTCGGCGTAAGGTCATGTACTGTATGTACATATAAAGTGGCAACTACCGTAAAATACCTCACGTACATTCATAATTATATACTTCTATTCACTCAAACCTCCCCTGTCTCTTACTCCCCGATCTCCAGTTCCGCCGATCTACTTAAATTCAACGTGACAGAGCACTAGACCAAGATATATATAACCCTTGAGAGGTGCACCACTACGTTCCTGCATACTCTTTTCCCCTTCTCTCTCCCCCCATTCTCCCCCAAGAAACAAACCCTCACTTTCACCTCTCTATTCCCTCTTCTCTTCCATCAACGACAAAACTACAGGTCTCAAAATGACTATCCCAACAACCCCTCCCCCCGAGGTCGACACCTTCGACAAATCCCATACCCATGACGATCCCCGCCACGCAAGGCTGACAGTACCCAGCAAGGCTACCGACGCCCACGCGACCCCGCCAAGCCCCGCTCACAGCACCCTCGACTTCATCGATATCATCGATATTCGTCGCGATGCCCTCGGTTCCTCGCTCGATCTCGGGCGTGACATAATGGCGCAGCTGGCGCCGGCGCGGGGGCCGAAGAAAATGCCGACGTTGCTGTTGTATGATGAGAAAGGGCTGCAGACGTTTGAGGAGGTGGGTTGGGGTGGTCCCTTGTCCCCTGTCCCTATCGTCGACCCTAGGCGATAAGTGGTGTGATGTTTAATGGTGGTGGTGGCTAATTGATTTTGTGGGGTGGGCAGATTACGTATTTGGAAGAATATTATTTGACGAATGCCGAAATCGAGGTGTTGGAGAGGAATGCCGAGGAGATGGCGAGGAATATACAAGCTGAGTCAATGGTTATTGAGCTTGGTAGTGGGTGAGTTGTTGGTCGACTTCCTGACGGCTTGGTCCAGAGGAGGAGTAATATGAAAATAGTGTGCATGCTAACTCAGCTACAGAAATCTACGCAAGGTGAGCATACTGCTTAACGCCCTTGAGAAAGCGGAGAAGTCTATCCATTACTACGCCCTGGATTTGTCAAAGAGGGAGCTCGAGAGGACACTGAGCTCTGTACCAAGATTCGAGCATGTCGTGTGCCATGGTCTGCTAGGGACGTATGATGATGGGCTCGAGTGGATCAGGTCCGGGTGTAATGCTTCGTGGCCAAAGTGTATTATGTCTCTGGGGTCGAGTATTGGTGAGTATGCTCCCTGTTTCCATGTTATCACTTACTAATTTTGATAGGTAACTTCAACCGAGGCGATGCGGCGGATTTTCTCAAGGGATTTGCGGATATGCTTAGGCCGAGTGACTCGATGATCATCGGGCTGGATGCATGTAACGACCCCGCGAAAGTATAGTAAGTTTATTCTCATATGTGGTTTTGATCAGATGGCTAACTTGTGTCTCCAGCCATGCGTACAATGGTAAGAATTCCAAATCTGTCTAGTAATTATTTCTAACGTATTTCTTTCAAGACTCTCTAGGCATAACACACAAGTAATATCCCCTGATTTTCATTATCTGGGAGTCATAAAGCTAATATGATAATAGATTTATCCTGAACGGACTCGACAATGCCAACAGCATACTCGGTGAGCATGTCTTCAACACCAATGATTGGGAAGTCATTGGCGAGTACGTCTGTGACAAGGATGGTGGAAGGCACCAAGCGTTCTATGCTCCGAAGAGGGATATTACTATTCGCGGCGTTTTTATCGAACAAGGTGAGCGCGTTCAGGTCGAGCAGAGCTTAAAGTACTCCCAGGCCGAGAGTGAGGCTATGTGGGCGGCTGCTGGACTCAAAGAGGTTGGGAAATGGGGGGCTACAAAAGAGCCATATAGTAAGTTTGTCCCAAATCTTCTTACACCAGCGTATTTAATGCTACTCGAGCCATATCAGAAGTTTCTGGTATTAATTGCAAGTACTTGATATATTATATTGCCTTATTGCTTAATTCCAAATTTATTACCCTTAATATTTGCAATTAGACCAAAAACCATAAGCCATCCATTCTAACCCCCCACCCAACAGACATCCACATGCTCACCAAACGTGCCAAACCCTTCCAACTCCACCCCTCCCAATACGCCCTCACCCCCACCCCCACCCTCGAAGACTGGCGCGGCCTCTGGTCCACCTGGGACACCGTCGCTCGCGGCATGATCCCCAACAACGAACTCCTCGCCAAGCCCATCAAGCTCCGCAACGCCTGCATCTTCTACCTCGGCCATATCCCAACCTTTCTGGACATGCAGCTCAGCAAGTCCACCGGGGCGCCCTTGTGCGAACCCTCGCACTATCCGCAGATCTTCGAACGCGGGATTGATCCCGACGTGGATAATCCGGATAATTGCCACGCCCACTCCGAGATCCCGGATCAGTGGCCGCCGGTGGAGGAGATTCTGGAGTATCAGGCGCAGGTGAGGAGGAAGGTGGAGGGGTTATATGCGTCGGGTGCTTCTGAGGCGTCGAGGAAGGTGGGGAGGTCATTGTGGATTGGGCTTGAGCATGAGATTATGCACTTGGAGACGCTGCTGTATATGCTTCTGCAGTCGGATAATCGAATGCCGCCTCCGCGCACTGTCAAGCCTGATTTTGAGGAACGGGCGAGGAGGGATGCGGAGAGGGAGGTGGAGAATCAGTGGTTTACGATTCCGGAGCAGGAGATTACGCTGGGGCTGGATGATCCGGAGGATAATTCGGGGGATGGGCATTTTGGGTGGTATGCTTCTTCAGGTCCGTATTAAAGATGGACTTGTACTGACAAGGGTGATTTAGGGATAATGAGAAGCCGGTGAGAAAGGCTCATGTGCGGTCTTTCCAGGCGAAGGGACGGCCGATTACGAATGAGGAGGTGAGTGGATATGATGAATACTGTTTCTAATCGTGGCACTGATATCATATAGTATGCGATTTACCTCGATGCTACGGATAATGAACAGTTGCCAGCTTCGTGGACAAGGCAGCATGCCAATGGAGATCTGTCAGCTCATACACCCAATGGCAATACAAATGGCTATACGAACGGGAATGGACATGCTAATGGAAATGGCCTAACCAATGGAAATGGTCTCACCAACGGCAACGGATATCACTCTAACGGCTACGCCAATGGCCACACCAAGCTCCATCCCTCCTATATATCCAACATCCTCGTCCGCACCGTCTACGGCCCCGTCTCTCTCGCACACGCACTCCACTGGCCCGTCAGCGCATCATACGACGAGCTGACGCGCTGCGCGAAGTGGATGGGAGGACGCATTCCAACAGTCGAGGAGGCGAGGAGCATCTACAGTTACGTGGATGGGAGGAGACTGAAGGAGGTGCGGAATGCAAGGAGGGTGCCGGCTGTTAATGCGTATGTTATCCCTTTCCCTATTTTTGGATTTTAGATTTTCGACCACAAGCTAACCCCCAAAAGCCACCTCGTAAACAACGGCGTCGAAGAAAGCCCGCCACTCCGCCACCCCGCCGACTCCCCCGCCAACCCCCATTCAGCGCTCTTCACAAACCTCGAAGGTGCCAATGTGGGGTTCAAGCACTGGCATCCTGTGGCAGTGACAGCGGATGGGGATAAGTTGGCGGGGCAGGGGGAGATGGGGGGTGTGTGGGAGTGGACGAGCTCGGTGCTGGAGAGGCATGAGGGGTTTAGGGAGATGGAGTTGTATCCGGCGTATACTGGTGAGTTCTGAGTCTAGTGTGGCGTGGTGAGGGGTGTGACAGATGCTAATGGTGATTGGTATAGCGGATTTCTTCGATGGGAAGCATAATGTCGTACTTGGTGGGTCGTGGGCGACGCATCCTAGGATTGCAGGGAGGAAGAGTTTGTGAGTATACTCTACCCCTATTAATCCTATACAACGGGTAAGTTGAACATGTTACTGACATTCTATTCCAGCGTAAACTGGTACCAGCGAAACTACCCCTACGTCTGGGCCGGCGCGCGTCTCGTTCGGGATATCTGATGTGAAAAGATCACAAACTCAATTGGGCGGCTGGCTCCTTATTTTCCGTTGCTGGGACTGGGGGAAAAGCTTTTGGGATTGAAAAACTTGCAGAGGGGCTCGGGTCAGTTATGATTTATTGCTTTTGCTTCGATGGCTCGGTTTTTGAAACTTGCTGGGTGAGTAGGTAATGTTTTATTGCTTTGATGCTTTGATGACTTGGCTTTGAAACTTGTTGGGGGGAGGTAATTTGTGGTGGGAGGGCGTGGATTGATGCTAATTGCTGAGTTTAAGCTATTTATGATAGTTGAAATCGATGATTTATATATATGCCGCCTTCTGGCGAGCTGTGGTGCTATTTTTGTGTGATTATCCATTTCTTCAGGGGTTTATTCCTCCCGGGTACTGGATGGTTCTATGGTGTGGGTAGATGGATGTGTCTGTGAGGCTGTGTCAGTGCTGTCCGTGATGGTTGGTTTTGATATGGTAAGTCGATTGAACTTCTTTCATTGTTTTGAAATCGCTGGGTGATTTATTTGGCAGCAGAAAGGATTTACGCAGATTTCTCATTTTATTTCTAAGCCAGTCCTTCGGGAGTCCTGAAGCTTGTCTCGAGATGCATTTATTTATCAAGACTCGGTGTCTTATTTGTTTGAAGATGGCCCCTGTCTCAGCTTCCTTGATTAAATATAGGTAAACCCTTTTATTTTGGAAGATATCCTTTCCCTCAGAATGCATGATCAAGTTGGAATGTTATAATTACAGAATTGGCCTCTTACCTTCCAGGCCAGCACTGGAATTTGTAAGGTAAAGCGAGTCTTGCTGTGGATCAAGTTGTGATAAATTTATCCCCTGAAATATCGCCACGCGATCCCTCTCGTCCCTTAGGTACCTTAAATTTGGTATTATTTGACAGATATTCACTTCCCCGTGCTTATTTCTAGTGTTGCCACGACACTGTGGGTTTATAAGCATGCAAACGCCGTATCTCTTGTCACCGTCTCCGTACAAGCAACGACTTCAGTTTATTTTACAACACAGAGTCCACAACCAACAACAATCTATCCAATTTCTTTGCACACTCGTTACCTCTATCAAGGACTCAAGTCCATCAATAACCATTTAGTTCTATTGCTTTGCTTTGTATTCGAAAGATCATTCTCTTGCTGTTTGTTTGCTTGATATCTGCATTGCACACACGGCATTATCTGCCTACGAATCGATCGGTCATAACAATGGGTTCAATGGCTTTCGACTTATATAACTTCAAGTGGGAGGCTTCCCCTGGCCTTGGTATGTTTGATATTCTTCATATGCTTGTTCGGATCTTGGATCTTTTACTAATTTATTCAGAGCATCATTGTGGGATTTGCGGCAAGGGGCTATCGAGTATGGATCCTCCCCAATTCAAGAATTCCGACCTTGGACTGACTGCTTTTAGATCCTAGATCTGTCAACTCTTGCATCGGCGTCCACTGCGAGCCATGTAGAAGGTATCACCAGCAGCTACATTTCATTCGTGAGTTGATCTGATTTTTTTGAATGCCGTTTGCTAACCCACATGTTCTACAGAAAAGGCACACGAATGCAAAAGGTATGCAATTGAGTCTTGTCATTATCTCCGGCAAGCGCTGACCTATTTCTAGCTGTATAAGAGCAGATGAGATGCATCACCGCCGGCATAGATCTATCGCCATGCTTGTCAAAGATCTTGAAGCCAACGATAGGGAGGTAGCTACCCGGGCAACCAGAACAAAGACCAAGAATGCCAAGACCACTCCAGGAATGGGCCACGACGAGTATATCCGGCAAGGTGGTATGTCTAAAACTGTCAACGAAAACGTCGAAAATTTGGACCCTACCAGATCTGTCAACGATGAAGAACCAGATGACGATGATGCATACGATGATCATATCTTCGGTAAAGGAGAGACTGAACCATTCATTTCCATGTCTAACTCAACCACTCATATACCCACCCCATCGACCCCGAAGCCATGCTCTTCCATATCCTCATTTAGCTACGAGTCATCTCCAGTGATTTCAGCGAAGAAAAAAGATCTCAAAAAAGCTCGCCGGACAGCACGATTGACCAACAACAATGCCCAAAGCATTGTCAGCAACGATTTTCTTGAGTTCATCGCTGAAGCTCTCCATGGAGTCAAGATCATGGACATAGGCCGCGCAGTGTTTGAAGAAGAAGGCGAGGATATTGGAGCAAACCAGTTCAAGAACGAAGACTTGATGCGGGAGAACCTCGGGTTTCAGACGTTTACAAGGAACTCCTCAAACGTTCGTCACATAAAAGACAGATGGAGGAAGCTGGGCCCTGGTGGAAAAGCGCAAGAGCTCGCGGGACCGCCCCCAACTGCACCAGGTTTCCCCAACCCGAAGTTCGTCAACATTAACGAATCAACTCGCTTCGATGTCAACTTCTTTGCCCGCCTTGGGGTTAAATATGAGAGCAAGGGCGACACCAGCAGAGCGCGGGGCGAGATTGTTCTTAAACTCGCAAATAAAATCTTGGAGGACATGACCATCATCGGGCGCGAAGAGTACGAGACACAGATTCGGGAGGCCGGGTTTTGGCGGTTCGTAAGCCGTCCAGCAGCTGAAAATCTCCAGGAAGGCCATCAGAATTTCAGTTGGGCAACTGGTGAATATAGGAAGAGAAGAAGGCCAGGTATGTTGTTTGAAGGCAACGCGGAAACTGGGCTTGGGATTAATGCTGCAGGTGGGCCTGGGTTTGGTGCGGGAGATGGACGAGGGCAAGTAATCCGAAACAATGAAAACGATTCATCAGATGATAGCGTTCCGAACACACCCTCTTTGGTGGGATCAGCCTTTGAAACCCAAGCCGAAGAGAAGGAAACTCCACAGATAAAAACGCCAATTATCTTGAAATTCACAAACTTTGACACTGGCAAGAAAGAGGTCTTATGGACCGCGACGCCATCGAAAGTTTTATCTTCTCCCAAGATTCTGCCTTCGGTCGAGCCTAAAGCGTTGTCCACCCCTAAAGCTTCATCGCAGCCCAAACTTTTGTCGCCGCCTGATGTCTTGTTCTCGCCCAAACCTTCCATCCACTCCAAAGTTCCATCCACGACCGAAACTCCTTTCTCCCCCAAAGTTTCGTCCACTCCGAATACTTTTCTCTCCCCAGAAGTTCCGTCCACCCCGAAAGCTTTGCTCCCCCCCAAAGTTTCACCCTCGCCCCAAACTTTGGCCCCACCTTCAGCTTGGTCGTCACTCAAGCAAAAAAAGATGAGACCGACCACTGCCGTAGTGAGTCCTGGCAATCAGAAGCATGCTGACGCAATAAACTCCTTCCGCCTGGTAAAGATTGAGAAAAAGCATGTGGCGGTGCAGTTGAAACACGAATCTCCCTGCAAGCTTTGCAGAGGCCAGTCAGCCCCACCCTCAGAGCGTGCGCAGCTTGAAGCCGATGAAGATAACTCCCATGATGATGAAGATGTTTGGGAAGTGGTGCGTCCATCGTTGCTAAATGTGAGAGCAAAAAATCCGTATGATCTCCTCAGCATTGTCGAAGAGGGTAGCGACACGGAGGATTCTTCCAGTGAAGAAGACAGTGATACAAACTAACTCACAGCACCTCCTGGTTTTAACAACTTCGACCCCCAATGCCAGGCAATTATGGGCCCCGCAAACTTGAATTGCTTCTCTTCCCTTCATACTGGTTTTCTTCATTGCTTTTGCATGCCATAGGCCCTGACAAGTGGACATCCTTCTCTGCGTTTACTCTGATCGACATGAGCAAGCGCTCAGAAGCAAACAACTTGGCCGCAGCTCGCAACTTCACACTTGTACCATCATGTTCGAATTACTGCTTCATTTACTTCTTTTTTTCCTTACGCATTTGCTCGTCCTTCCAAAACCACGCATTCTACCAGCCGCCAAACCACCGTCAGCGCCATCGCCACTCTCTCTACACCGTCGCTCTTCAATGATCTGCAGACTCAGCAATTCGCCAGCTGACAGCTTTACAGGGTTACTAACAAGATTTCTTTTTCTCTGGGCTACAGTAAAGAGGAGGGTTGTGCTGGTGAGGCCGTTTGAGGCAGTATCATTTTGATTGAGAACGCTAGTACCACTTCATTACAAGACAATACACTATGTAACCAATATCCATTGCGGTACACTTCCACAGTATGGAAAACAATTGACTTGCTTCCCGATCTGTTCAGTGTGGTATTCCCGAACGCCTCCATTACCATTGCCTTCCTTGGAACCCCATGTCTCCATACCTATTCAATCTTTCCATCATGGATCTCATAAAAGATACTCCCACCCCAAGGCGGTGCAGTTCCCCTCCCTCCGATAACAATAAAGTAATATGAATAAAAAATCCGCCTTCCCTCTAGGCGCCCCCGGCTTTTCCAGTACCGCATTAAGCACAACTAACCGCCCAAACCAACTTCCAAATATCAAATCGCACCTCCCAGTAAAGAGCCGTCATAAATAACCATATATCGTCGTTAATACAGCTCCTCCAACTCTCTCTCTTTCGCACGTAGATCTTCTCTCATCCTCTCAGCCTCGAGCTGCAACATCTCCCTCCTTTCTCTCTTCCGTCTCTCTCTGTCCGCATCTGCTTCCGTATCGTTGCCCGCCTGCGCCACACTTGCAGGCCCGTCTCTCGGGCTGCGGCTCTGTCGCAGACTCGGGTCCAGGGCCTCTTCGCTCGCCTGTTGTGCCGGATTCAAGATAGCCTTGATGCTAGAAAGACGACCCTGGCTCTGGTCACCAGCAGGGGCTGCCTCGCTTTCCGCTGTTGAGAATGAACGCTTGCGATTAGGCGTCAAGAGGAAATTCGGTGACAGGGACGAGGGGCGGTGATTTGGTGACGGATACGCCGCTATGGGCGGTAGTCTATTATCAGTGGTCAGGCTCGAAGGATCGTGTTGCGCGTGGGCGTGCGGATTTGACGCATACGACGTGAGATCATTGGCTGTGGTGGGCTGCTGCTGATGTCCGTTTTGGCCACGGAGGGTGCTGGCGAGTTCGGGGAGGTTGCGGGATGGCTCGGCGCGTCTCCTGAAGCCGAGGCTTACGGAGCCGTCGGGGTTGAGAGCTCCCTTTGGCGCGGCTTCATCGTTGGGAAGGTTGGAGTCGTCGGATTCAGGGGACACGGCTGTGCGTGGGGAGCCCATTTCGTAGCTCATGCCACCAGCTGCGGCGGGGACTACACGCTTGCGGCGTTTGATTACAGACTTCTTCATCGTGACGGGTCTGTGGACGCCGTGAAGTTTGTAATATAAGCCTGTGATATATTAGTTACTGCTTTTATAGTTCGTTGCGAAGCAACTTACCACATGCGTTGCATATCGTATGCCCGCTTTCGTCACGACGCCAGAGCGGGGTAATCGTAGTCCCGCAGTTCTGGCAAGCAACAATGACAGTTGTACCCGCATTCTGGAGCGCATTGATATCAGTCTCTGCGGTAGGATCGGCGGCAGGATCGTTCGGCGGCTGCGAGGACCCTTGGCCAGAACGGACAAGGGTGACATTTGCGGTCTTCGAAACGCGGTTGTTGAAGGCAGGACAGCCTCCACAGCCTGATGCACCACCGGTACCATTGCACTTCCCACCGCCTGGGCATGAGCCACCAGAAGTTTGATCCGCAGTAACATATGTTGCAGTCGCAGTCGAATAATGGGTCGGCGCATATCCTGGTGATGGACCCTTCTGTTCTCGGTTCTGGCTGGGAGCAGATGTGTTTGCGCCATGCGCCTTCTTCATTGTAGTGGGCCTGGACGCATTGCGCGCCTTTTGGTATAGACCACAGGCATTGCATATAGTTGCGCCTTGGGGCGACCTCCTCCAAAGGGGCGTGCTCGTGGTGCCGCAGTTGCTTGTCGGGGGTCAGCACAGGTTGGGGATAAAGGGATTGTAGGTACTCACCTGCAGATCTGTCCATTGGGAATGTTATCCGGGTTGATGATCGCCTGGGGAGAGTATGATCCCTCCTGCTGTTTGCGCTCAGCTGCTGTTGGCGTGGGTGTCGGTTGCTGCTGGCGGTTGTATGAATCCTGGGTATGGTTCGATCCATTGGTGGGCTGTATTTCATAAGAATGGTCATTCTCATGTCTGCCGTTTGCTATCCTATCCCTGTTTTCGCGCAGCCCTTGCGAGTGATCCACCAGCTGCTCCGCCAACTCGATATCCTCTTTCGACAACGTTCTCGTTGGCAGAGATGTATGCGCAGGTTGCTCTTCGTGCCGCGAGGGCGCCGATGCTATAATTGCTGTGTCCGCCATGATGCTCGTTTTATGCCTCCTTCATGCCCTGGGCGAAAGATGCGGGATTTGCTGTCTGTCCTCTTCGCCACCGGTAGTTCGTTCCGATTGTCGCTCTGTGTCGCCTCGCAGGGTGTCTCAATCTCCAGTCTTCCTGATTGTACTCGACCAGGAGCGTCTTCGATATGGATCTTGCTTGGGCGTCTTTCGTCTGGCGTCCAGCTTATCAGATCTTCGTCCAGTCTACTAAAGGTGTCTGAGGATGTTTGCTGACCGAGGATGGCGACAGGCTTTCATTCATACGCGGCGATAATCACGGGATCTCGCCCAGCTGTTGCCAGCGATGCCTTGGGAACGGTGGCCAATCGACCACTCCTCATTGGCCGAACACCGAAGAGTTTGAAATAGAATCTATTTAATTGGTTGTAATACGACGCTATTTATTTTGCTAGAGCGATAGCGGATTTAAGGTTTCTGGTTTAATGGTACTCTAAGAGCAAAGTAGTAATAGACTAACTCAATACGGTAAGTGAAACGTTTATGGAGGCCCCTCCTTGGATCATATCTAATCATATCTGGTGTCACAAGATTTCATCTTAATCTGGTCGTAATCTGGGTGCCTGAGGGATCTATTTTAGTAATTTCGTGTTTTAGTAATACCAGTCACATGACGAGGCTGATCCAAATCGCCGAAAGGAGTTACTAGCGCGCGTCATCAGCCAAGCGTCATTTCCGACCTCCTCTCCAACATCCATTACGACGCTTTATAGGCAACAGCTTTTCAAGTCCAACTTCATCTATTTGTATATATCCCGCGGTGCTCGACCCGACGACCTTACTTTCAACGTCATCCCCTCGCTCAATAACCCCCAAATCTTCACGATGGACTTCTCAGACATCTTGTATGTTGCCCTTTTGCTGCTTCGCGCCCCAACAGGAACGCAGCAATCTATCCCTCTCAGGGCTGGAAGAACATGGCTAATACTTGCTATCTAGCCGCATTGTTAACCTGGCGATTGGTGCGCTCATGATCGCTGGTGGAATTTCGCAATTCTTCGGCGCCACAGTCACAGTGTAAGCTCTTTGTCGAACCCCCCCCCCCAAGGACTCAACCTAATGCGCCGCAGACAATCGATTATCATCGGTGTTTATGTGATTATTTTTGGACTTGGTACGCCCCCCTTCTTCGCCACAATCCGAGGATGGACTGCTAACTTTCCCTAGCTATTGGCGCATTGGAATTCCAAATCCCACCCCAGGTCTCGAGGTACGCCTCGTTCCTGTTCTCGTTCCTGGGCCGCGGAATCTGTAAGTCAACTCCCCTTGTTTGGTAGCGCGAGAAAGAAGCTGACATGAAATAGTCTACATCTTCATCGGAACCATCCTCTTCCACGACCACGTTCTCCGCTACATCATTGGTTCGATTATTGGCCTGGTTGGATTGGGATACGGCGCCCTCGAATTCATCCCATCGATTGAGCCACCTGCCAACATGCGCGAGGCTGATGCCGGATGGGGCGCGGAGCAGGTCTAAGCTGTCCTTGGGATATTCAAACCGCAAATCCAACGCTTCGGTTAAGCCGCGGACAAATATAAACGACGCGGTGCTGGGAACGCTCGGTATGAGAGTGAGGTTCCAGGGGATGAAAGAACTGCGCTGGATGCACATACAACGAGGATGGGACTATGTGAAGATATGATATGGTGTTGGAACTTGTGTTAACAATTATGATTGTATTATTGCGAGAGGCCAGGATAGCTTTCGAGTATTTAGATTTACGGATCGTCTCCGGGAGCGGAGATCGCTGATATAGGCAAATGACAGACTGTCACGGAATTAAAATGGATGACTGTCGTGAGTAACCAGTAGCTGAAGCATCGATCGTACAAGTAAGAGGCACAATACTAAGTAGCAAACACTCGCTATATATATAGTATAGATTTCATATATTTTGTCTTCGTCAAATAGTGTCATTTTCGTTTCTGGTTCGTTAGGTCGTTACAACAGCATACCATTTCTTATAATGATAACTTTTCCGAACCTCGGACAAAATTTCAGGAATCCGCCTGGATTTGGTATTCCTCATAAGGGAAGTTTTCTAGTGTAACTAATTTCACAGCCCAGCCATCGTCAACATTCCCCAGCTGCCATTCATCTCCTATCGGAACCAACCCAGTTCTGCCAGCCAGTACTTCTTTGTCTCGTTTTTCATACTCCGCCGCAAGACCTTGATGTGGGACCCAAACGACTCTCATGCCAGCTCTCCTCCCCGCTTCAACGCCGGGTACGCTGTCTTCAAAGACTAGACATTCTGATGGTTTGATAGCCTTTTCGCCATCACCGAGACTTTCATTGATCACCTGTAGTGCAAGTAAAAAAATGTCCGGGGCCGGCTTTCCCCTGCCTTTCTGCAGTCTCGGATCATCACCAAGGATACGTCGATTCTCGTCAAAGACGCTAAATATCTCCTTCGTTTCAGGCAGCGAAGTCTTTAACTCGTAGTTGTTCTTTTCGCTGCTTGATGCCAACGCAATATGCATCTTGTTTCCATCTACGTTATGGGCAGAGTTGAGGTTCGCCAATAGCGTTTCAACGCCTGGCAAAGGCTTGCAGTGAGGGAAATGCAGACGCTGCTGCTCTTTTTGCTCACGTTTAAATTGCTCGCGAGGAATTGGCAACTGGGCCCAACGGTGAAACTCATCGCCTGTCGATGAACCAGGGACGCCCATGAGTTTAGCTTTGACAGACCATGGCAGATATGGCCTTCCATACTTTTCAAGGATGTTATTCGCGCAAAGCGTGTACATATCCTCCTTTGCAAATTTAGCAGATATTTAAAGTGTATTTCTAAAACTTACTGTATTTATAAGTAGGCCATCCATATCGAAAATGCACGCCCGAATCGGCGGGAAGCTGTCGCCTCATATTAGTGAAAGCCTTCAAGTAGGGCGGGGAGAATTACTTTGCCATTTTTTATGAAGCAACTTTATCGTCTCTCGAGTTCTAATTGTTATAAAAGAACCTAGATTCCGATGCAATCCATAAAGCGGAGGGTGAGGATATCGGTCAAACGATTTACTATTTATGTGGAACTCCAAACTCTAATTAATATAAGTGAATCTTCGCTTGTCGACTCCGCTTGGCAGTAACAACCTAAATCTTGACCCACTTAAAATGTATGACTTGGGAATGGCGATTCTTAAAATGGTGAATAGATAGATTAAAGCCCATTTTTTTTTGGATAGAGCTTGCATCCTTTTTACATCCAACTATTCGCGTGATTATGTACAGAGGCTCAGCCTAACCCTGCCGCTGGCCATCGTGATGGTGGGCGGTTACATCGTTGGAGCCAACACTCGCTTCACTTGATCCGACACAACAGTCTGGCGTGAATCAACGTATACAAATACTCGCAACGCCCTCGGAGTCCCATGAGATTAAATATTCAATATGATCGCAACAAACATAGTTCACTACTACTCTGAACTAGACAGAACTTCCTATCACATATATCACATACATCTGATTCATCGGTCAATGCCAACATTCTAACAATGGCTCAACACGCAGACGGCCATTCAGTAGCTACAGAGGAACCGAGAGAAATAAAGCCAGATTCAGTTATACAAACGCAGTTGATCATTTTAGGTGAGTAAAAACTGTATTTTTATTATTGTACGTCTAACTGAGTACTCTAGGTTGCTTTCCACTGGCGGAGGGAGTAGCTTGGGCAACCATTTTCCCATATATCTATTCCATGGTAAAATCACTGTCCAGACCAGAGTCAAGTAAGGACAATATTGCCATCTATGCTGGACTTATGGTATCCGTTTTCACCTTCGGGGAGTTTGTTGAAGCTCCTCTGTGGGCCAAGGTCAGCGATCGTATTGGCAGGAAGCCAACAATGCTGATTGGTTCAATCGGAGCTGTGTTTTCAGCACTCCTTTCGGCTTTTCAACCTCGATACCAATGGCCATAGCTGCAAGGACTTGTGCGGGTTTGCTGAATCCGAATTTAGGCGTCGTACAGACCTTCGTTGGAGAGCTAGTGAGCAAAAAGCAGGAAGGTATGGCCAATCGCAAGTCGTTATTTTGTATCGAATCTGATATTGTTATTCTGCGCCATAGCCAAAGGGTTCTCTACTGTTTCATTCCTCTGTGGCCTTGGGTACGTTTGACTGTTCTAACTTATTGTGTATGCTAAGATTTGTAGAACCATTATCGGACCAGTAATTGGAGGCTATCTGGCCGAGCCAGTCAAAAATTATCCCTGTCTCTTCCACGAAGGAACAATATGGGATAAATTTCCGTACTTATTGCCAAACCTTGTTGTCGTGATGTTTCTCCTGAGTAGCTGTACCCTCGCACTGTTTTGCCTGGAAGAGGTCCACCCTGAATTTCGGGACCAAGTTGACATCAGATGGATATTGGTTAGCCGCATTAGAAATATTTTCAGGGGTACAGGCTGGAGTTCCGGCGAAGGCACATATACTTCTCTTAGGGCTGACGAAACAGATGTCGAGGCACCAGCGGTCCCAGCATCCCCAACTGAAGCTTTTGAAGAACCAGGAGTCAAACCACCATCGGCGTTTACCAGACAAGTAAAGCTTCAGATACTCTCCGTCGCTATCCAAGGATTCCTCAAAATCTCAACTCTTGCCATAGTGCCCGTCTTTCTGGCAACACCATCAGGACCTGACCAACCGCTGAACTTGACCAGAGGCTCCGAAGTGATAAGAGGAATACTAGGAGTTAAGGGCGGATTCGGGCTCGACACCATGAATACTAGCAACGTCCTTCTTTCTCAAGCTGCAGCTGCTATCGGCGGCCAAATACTTGTGCCAAGAATAATTGATAGGCACGGCGCGCTTCAGAGTTGTAGAGCAGTATTTGTCATACTAATGTTTCTTTACTACCTCTTGCCATTCACTGCTACTTGGAGTACCTAGACTGGTCTGCCGACAATGTTGATAATCCTCTGGGTGCATGCAGTGGCAAGTAGCCTGGCCACCACTTGTTCATCAATTCTGTACGTTTGCCTCTCGGATTTGGGTTAACACTGACTTACCTACGTACAGCCTTAAAAGCACGGTGCCTTCGCCCATCTGCTTGGCGACAGTCAATGGAGCTTCTGCTTCGCTTGGATGCCTCGCACGAACTTTAGGACCTGCAGTCTCGGGGCCGCTGTTTCGATTTGGGCTCCAAATAGGTTATGTTGGACTGCCGTTCTGGTTACTCGGTGTTGTTGCAGGTCTGGGAGGGATTGTTTCCTTGTATCTCGTCGACCACGCTTGAGGTTTAGCTATGCTTTTTGTCCTGTATAAAGATACCACAATGTTATATTTAGATTGAAAGGGCATTCGGACGTTTCATGTGTACGCTCAAGCTAGGGGAGGATAAAATACCTTTTCAGTAAACTTATAACGATGGCCATTATGGCCATGCTTGTGCGCAACAGTTCATTGCATCCAATGCCCCTATGTTAGAAAAACGAGTCTAACATACCATTATAACCCTAATTTAAGCTCTCACACTACCCCTCACGCAGCCAGAGCCTCCCCAACAAGCTCCACAACCCTCTGCGAACACCCATACGATCCTTGATACCCCCACCCCCCATGCCCATAGTTATGCACCACCCACACTGCATCCACCTTCTCCTTCTCAACCCTCACCCCCCCCTCCCTCACCGGCCTCAACCCAACTCCATGCCTAACGACACTCAACCCCTTTACGCCCTTCCCCCCCGCAAGCTCCGGACACACCTCAACAGCCCTCTTCATAATCCTCGCTGCAGTCTCCATATCCGGCGCGGCCTCCCAACTACCTACTATGTACGTCCCGCCGAGAACGGTGCCTCCACCAGCTGCGCGCTGCATTATGTAGCATAGCTCGTCTGGGCCGTCGTCGGTCCCTGATGTTGCGATCATGGGGGTAGCTTCATTCCTGACTACGACCGTTTGGCCACGCACTGGGACAACCTTGGCATCCATCACACCACCCAGCTTCGACGCGAGGAGGCCAGTGCAGTTTACCACGAGGTCCGCGGGTTTACCGGAGTGGTGTAGTGATGCTGCATCTGCAATGTGGGAAAGCTCCGCGCGGGATATGCGGGCACCGTTTGCTAGGCATTGGCCAACTAGATAGGGGAGATAGATGGCGGTGTTGATACAGACCGAGGAATGGCGGAGGCCAGAGTCGTAGCCTGGGGGAAGCTCGGAGAGAGGGACGACGCGGTAGTCGGGGACTACGTCTTTGTACCAGGGGTTTAGGTCGGCGGACAAGCTCATAGCTGCACCGGACTCGAGGTCTTTGGTGCGGTTCAGGACTAGGGAATCTGGAGGGAGTTAGTTGGCGAGTAAGAATGGAGGGAGGGGGGGTTGCCTTGGAGGTGGATGCCTGATTCTGGGACGTCGTTGGCGAGGCGGTAGAGCTCGGGGAAGGTGTTTCTCTCCCAGGGACCCCTTTCATCGTTTGTGTGTCTGAATTGGGTCAGTGGCCATCAGATGGGGGAAGTAGTTGAGTCAGCTTACGGGGAAAAGTTGGCTCCAGCCCATGGGGAGGTATATTCGATGTCATAGTCACCGGGCATGTGTTTGGCTACGATCGTGACATTATATGCGGGGTTCTTGGAGAGAAGGAGCGCAGTGGTGAGTCCAGAGACGCCAGCACTGTGGAATGTCAGGATAACTCCTTCCTCGTGTGGGGTTTATCATAATACGCACCCGACAACTACGATGTTCGCCATAGCTCAGATAGAGCAATAGAGTAAGTCTACGTTCTAAACTGACATTCACAGTAAATCGTAGATAGTTATACTTAATGACTGCCACGCGGCGGGGTAAATGAGGAAGGTGCTTCAAGTTGGGTGCCTGTTATAAACTGTTTTGCTTAAGAGAAAGTATGTGGTACCTCTTCTCCCTCACTATTGTTCGGCGAAGTGGAAGTAGAGTTACCCCACCTCGGAGCACTACTAAATTATTGGGGAAACAGCCCCGCATACTCCGAAAAAAGGAGAGGGAATAAAGCACGTGATCTGGCTAATTTTGGGATGCCGATGACGTAGCAAATAGGATCCCGTTGCTCTTCAGCCTCGGACCAAAATAGCTCCTACGGCCAACGCAGCACCTCTAAGAAGCTCCAAGCTATTCATTTCTTAGAAACAGGACGGAAAATACTACTAATTCTACCTGCCTTCTCGACACGCGTTGAAAGGACGTATGCAGATGGCCGCGACTGACCGAGACAGAACAAAGGAGGTGCACGTGAGGCTAGATAAGAACCCCGATAAGAATTTTCTGAAGGCGGTATGCGGGTTTCTTTCCGTGGTAGTGGAGCTTCTTGTTACCGTCAAACTTCCGAGACCCGTCTCATCCGCGAGTGCTTTGACTTACATCGGAGATGTATCAGTCCACTGTGGAGGAGTAGCCTGCCGGGGCAAAAAGGGGCTGGATGTCTCGGAAATTTGACAAAGGGCGTCGTTCCGCCAGGCTCTGTTTTCACATTTGGCGGCAAATCAAGGATTGAAGAATGTTCAAAGAGAAAGGTTCAAGCAAGACACTAAACAGAAACTAGAATGCAAAAACAAAAACGGATGTGAGAGCTAGTTTGTCCGCTGGGCCTTTAGAGCCATTGTGAGTGGCGCTTGGAGAGACTTGGGAGGACTTAAGTGACAGGAAAAATGTGTTTAAAAAGTTGGACTTCTTTAGCCTTTGCACACGTGAAGTTTGTCCCGGTGACATCTTCACACTGGGCGGCTCTCACCGGGTTCTGTCTCCTGACATGGACTCTGTTTCCTTAGATAGCATTCTCACAAACCCCTCAAATAATCGCCGAGGTTGTTATATAATCCCCGAACATCTTCTCCAACGCAACAAAATCAATAGATTAATATTAAATGAAGACTCTCCGCCGCCCGTGATAAAATAATGCATATCGCTTACTAAGCCAACCCTGGTGGTTTTTCCGGCCAAAAAGGTGGTCAGTACGGGGTACTTTCGTTATTGTTGGTGCTAAAATGGTACTTGCGTACTAAAATGTGACGCGGTTCTACTCCTTGTCACGGAGCAGAAGCCCCCAAACTTGTGAGTTCACGACTCTAGAGCTTGGGAAATCGCTTTTTAGAACCTCCAACCCCTACGTACGACCTCTTTAGCCTCATTGTCGTTTGGACTGGACCATTTGAAAATATACCAACAGCACTTTTATATATTGACATCTTCAAAACCTCCCCCTTGATGCAGTCTTCCAACCACAACACCGCCGACCGTACCACTACTTCTTACTGCTCTGCTCGTATACACTGCTGTCTTGTTCACCAAAATGGCCAACAACCACGCGGGCGAGTTCCCGTTGTTGGCTGCCCACAACCTCTACGCCGCCGATATCAAAGGAGATGGTGGGTTTTAAAGCTGTATAATTTATTGATCATTCATTAATTGCTAACTTTCTCCAGGTAACTGCCTCTTCAACGCCCTTTCCGACCAGCTCTATGGCGACCAGAGCGAGCACAACAAGATAAGAGCTCGCGTGATAGAATACATGCGGGAGCACGCCGTCTACTTCAAACAATTCATTGAGGTGCTTCCTGGTGGAGGGCAACGCCGAAACCCCAAGAGGAAGAATGCAAACGTATATTCGACGCCTACGACTTTCACTCCGCCAACACAGGAGGAAATCGACCGTGTGTTTGAGACACACCTGGGGTCCATGGCTAGGGGTGGAACCTATGGAGACAACATGGAGATATCGGCCTTTACTTCAGTCTACAAGGTCGACGTGAAGATATACCAGCGTGATTTCGCCTACATGATCACCGCCCCAGACGATGGGACAGTCCATCCCGTCGCCCATATTGCGTATCACGTAAGTACCACCCGAGGAAGCCGGTCCTCCTCCCAAGCAGCCTTCCACTAACAACCTCACAGACATGGCAACACTACTCCTCGATACGCAACACCGACGGCCCCTACACCGGCCTCCCCAATGTCCACGAAAAACCTCTCACCCCCGAAGAAGAAGCCGCCAACCAAGCCGCCGCCGCCCAGATGCCCCAGGTCTTCCCCTGGATGATAAATGTCGTTCAGCAATCCCTCCCCTACCTCACCGACGAAGAAACAATCAAACGCATCCTCGAATCACACAAAGGCAACATCGACGCAGCTGTGTGCTCGCTCCTCGACGCCGAAGATGGCGCTAGCATCTCCTCGCAGGACGGCAGTGCCAGCACAGAACGTGACCCTGACTCTGACGACGAAGATCTCTCCGCACCGAATAAGAAGCAAGACCGCCGTATGAGCCGTGCCACGAAGGCCGTCCGCAAAGCAAAGGCTGAAGAACGTCTCGCCCAGGCCATCGAAGCAGCAGGCCTCGTGTCGGAAGCAGACACCACTGGTTCATCTGACCATGGCGTTCCAAGGGAATCCTCACCTACCGGCCCGCCGCGCAGGAAACTCATCCCAAAGTCCCGACTGAAGCACAAGACTGGCGAAGAAGGCACATCTGACTCCGCGTCAGGAACCTACTCGCCGTCCTGTTCATCAGTCGCGTCATCCGCATCCCCCAGCCGCTCGTCATCAATAGGCCCAATACTCGCACCAAAGAACAACATCAAGCTTGTCGTCAAGCCGCCCGCTGTCGTACCAAAACGTATCACAGCACGTGAACGTGGAGATCTCAAGAAAGCAGCACAAAAAGCAGCAAGGAAAGAGAGCAAACGCGCAGCAGCAGCAGGCGCAGCAAACCGAGTGGATGTGAAGAGCGAAACACCCACATCTGCACCGGCGCACACACCATCACCGCCCACAGAACTGGGAATGGGGATACGCACACTATATATCTGAGGACATCATCCCACGCGCTGTCGGTCGCAGGGACATTTATAATATTCTTTCTTTCGTCGGTTTTGGATTTGGAGTTGCAAGATGGGGGTTGGCAGGCAAGCAGGCATAGCGAATTACCCCAACGGCTGGGGGAACATGGGTTTTTTACATCACAATCTGGGGCGTTTTTTTATTTACGGGTGAAACTGGGGGAAAGCATGAATTGAGCGAAAAGGTGCATTGGTGGTTGCAAGCATCTGGAATTGACATGAGCGAAAGACAGGGCATGAGCGGGGCAACGGATTTGCATTACGCCCTGGCCGAAATTACTTCAAAGGCGGGGGGGGGGCATTTGTTTTTTTAATTATTTTGGGATAACTTGGGGGGTTTGGTGAGCATAGAAGTGATGGCTTTGAAGAGCTCGGGACATCACGTGGGGTTTGGCGTTGGGGGTGAATCGTATAGAGGGGAGTTGGCGGGGTGAGGGAGGCTGCTGCGACGTATATTGAACAGTCGGTCAGTCGGTCGTTTGGAGAGTTGAGGTGTGAATACAGAGAGGGGGTGATACATGATACTTGGGGAGTATATAGCGAACATCAGCGATGAAGGAATGGAGATCTTTGATAACCGTGTATTTTTTTGTTGTCGGTTGACAGTGACGTATTTTCTATACTCTGAACGCGTGAACTCGTGACTGTGATTTACTACCAACTTCCCTCTTCTGGCTGTACGATAAACGAATCGCATGAAGGGGGTTCTTATGGGATATAAGCTTCGACATGTACGATCTCGTCCGAGCCATGGCGGTGTTTCCTGGCCTTGACATCGGTAAAGTAATTGGGTAAAGAGCTTAGACGTCACTGCAGGAGCTATTCACAACGGCCATACATATATATCACCACGGACAGCAGACACAAATTCAACAGAACGAATGTATTCCTTTCCCTCCAACTACCAGCAGCTGCAGCACCTTAAGTGCGCAAGCTATACCAGCTATAATGTACCCCATCCATCCTCGCCTCCCCTATTCAACCCAAAAAACATACATCTCCACACCCTCTAAGCCGCAGCCGTTGGGCCCGCAAGCTTCTCAATAGCCGCCAACAGCGCAGGTGGGTTCATGCCGACCACCTCTCCGACCTTCTCACCCTTCTTGAAGAGGATGAAGGTAGGCATGGCGCGAACGCCGAGCTCCTGGGCGACGTCGGGGACGTCATCGACATCGACCTTGATGAAGTGGGCGTTGGTGAATTGCTCGGAGTATCTGTGTTCACTAGTCAGCTCTGACATGGAGGTTATAATGGGGTCAGGAAAGCGTACTTGACGAGCGTAGGCGCGATGGCCTTGCAGGGGCCGCACCAGACGGCGAAGGCGTCGAGGACGACAATGTCGTGCTCCTTGAGGGCGGCCTGGAACTCGGCCTTGCTGTTGTGGGGGAGGCAATGATTAGCGCGTGTCCCTGATGCAACGGGGTGAAATTCGCGGAGGGGCAGGCGGAGAACTTACTTCTGAACGTTGTGGACACCCATGATTCTAGCTGTTGATGAAAAGGGTCGGAGAGTCTGTATACGCGGCGTCTTTAGCAGATTCCTCGAGATGGCGCGGGAGAACATGAAAGATGGTTTAAAAAAGTATGTAGTGAGTGAGGAGGAGGAAGGGTTATATAGGAAGTGATAGATGGGTGATGGTGGTTGATGGATTATGTGCTTTTGATGACGCTTTGCGCCGGACTTTGGGGATTTTGCAGCAGGTGTCGCCCGCACCGCACCGCGTCCGTTCGCTGCTTAGTGATCAAGACATGGCGGCGGCGGAGGTCGGCTCAGCGGGTAGCGAGGGCGTGCGAGAGGATTCCATCTTTTCACCGAAGGGATGGGATAGAGGTATGCTTACAAATAGATCTTTCAGAGAGAAATGTTCGAATAATCAAAGTTCGGAGTTTGAATTATGGAGGCGTTTGTGTTTTGTAGGTGGTTGAGGTATTTGGAAGGAGGGGTAGAGTGATGGGGGGTGGGATGGATGGAGGGGGGGCAGTTCGGGTACTTTGGTACTTTCTGATGAGTGAGCTTTTTTGCTTACGGAAGGTTAAAGGGCCAGACCATGACGTGCTATTACCCGAGACAATGTTGGTCATGTGACTATTCCATATTTGTTCTTTCACAGCCACGTTCCAATAGCTGCCTCGTTATGCTGGCCGTGCACCACACCACGCAAGGGGTGGCGAAGCAAGCAGAATTTAGCGGATACGACAGGTACGAGAGACAGTTTAAGAATAGAAATAGAAATATAGAATAGCATGGAAGAGGGGCACAGCATGTTGTGAGATTCAAAACAAAGTGGTATTGTACGACTCCAGCTACACGGGGCAATCCTCCTTGGGATCCCGGCCACACACATTGGCTCCTCTCTCAATAGCCCCCAGGGCAGCTACGGCGCTGGCACAGCACTGCCCCTTCTTCTATTATCCTCCCTCCCTTGATTCCCCTCCTCTCGTTCCATGGCGACACCGCCGCCTCCTTTACACCAATCCCTGAGCTAAACAAGCACAATGTGCAAAGTACATCCGGATTCCCATACCTTCCCAACCTAATCCCAATCCCAATCCGATTCCAACAATACATGGTTTCCTGCCCAGGGCCCGCTAGACTTAAGGAGAGCATACAATGACATGATAGCAAAGAAGCAAGTAGTCCAGAATCCAGTGATTTGATGTTCTGGCTGCCGCTGCTGTTGTGATGGTAAGAAATGTGTAATAGCAGGTGAAATCTATAAGCGGATATATCGGACAGTTAGACGATAAAAGAAATTGCGCGGTGAAGCCCGTGTGGGTGTCGGTCGGCAGGTTGATATCAGTTTGATCGCTAGATGGAGATCGGACGACTCTGGGTGTGGTGTTGGATGTGTGAGGAACTCGGTGACGTAGACGTAGCGGTAAATCAGGGGTCCGTAGACCCAGAAACAATATTTGTGAAATATTCAAACGAGTGTGGGCGCCTATCGGCATCGGACATAGGAAATCGCAAAAAGAGTGTGGTGCTAGTCGTCGTCGTCATCAAGTCTCATCCATTCCAATCCTCATCCATCATCAGTCGTCTCCAAATCGAAACGATCCCCCCTATCCCAACTCAGCCGATGCTCGTCCTCTTCGACTCTCCCGAAGCTCTCGGCTTAAGGTCCAGTAGCCTCGCGCTCCCGGCGCTGACGGCTCTCATATGTGCTTTCTTGTAATCGACGCTCGTTGCTCGCTCCAGACCGCCACCCCCAACCGGCGTCACTGGGGACTCAGCAGTCTCCGAGTCCTCGCCATCCTTGGGAGGCGAAAGCGGGCTGTCGAGCTTCCCGTCGTCGCCAGAATCGTAGTCCTGGAAATCGTTTAACCTGCCCTGCCTTGATGCGGCACGGGGTTCGCGGTGAACGATCTTCGGTGTGCGGGCCACTTCGCCCCATTTGCTGCTTTTCGAAACGGGGCTTCCCAGGCTCTCGCCATCCTCTTCGTCGCTCGACGGCATGGGGTTGCCGCTGATGCGGTTGGCCATGTTCGACTTGTTATACATGTCATCTGGCCCCGGTGTCAGGCGGTTGTAGTATTCGTCTTCAGCTATGCCGAGCTCTTCTGCGGAATCGGAGAGGTCTCTGTATCGCTTCATGAGAGAGCTGTGGCTGTCTCTTGACTGCGTAAGGGGGATCTGGCGTGAGCTTCTCTTGGAGTTCGCTCTTGCGCGTCCAGATAGCCATGAGCCTTCGGAATCAATGGATGCTAAAGACTGTGATAAGGCGTTGAGCGGTTCTGGGGACGGCATATCTGCGGGGTGTCCACGAGTAGGGGTCTCGTAGCGCAAATGAGTGCGGTGGCCACTCGATGTATCGAGCTGCATCTGTGATGAAGGTTCGGCTGACTTTCGACCACTGGTAATGTTCATCGGAAGCGACCTTTCAATCGGTTGTACTCGCATGATATCGAGTTCTGGAGACTGGACCCTGGAATATGGCGGTGACATTGGCAGTTCCGGTAAGTCTTCCCTGAAACGTGACATAGTCCTCTTTGGTCCAGGTGGATGTACTATCGGAATAGCGTAGATAATCGTAGCTGGCGGGGGTGCCACTGTGGATTCGCGAGTTGTGTTCGAGAAAGACGATTGAATTGACGACCGCTTCTCCTTCGAGCTCCGCTTGAACCACGACTTCCATGACGACTGCTGCTTGCTGCTGCTTCTTCCAGTGTCGAAACTCGTCCTTGACGTGTCCTGCTTTGAGAGCTCCGCCGGGGTGTGTTCCACTTGTGGAATCGGCATGGGCAATTCCGTCGCTTTCGGCGGTGTCGGCAGGTCGTTGATCTGCGATACGCTCGATGCATTCCGGTGGTGGCCAGCTTGTAGTGATGGCGGAGGAGACATGGTCGCCCGCGATAACCGAGCGATCTGAGCAGTTGCTAAGACTGGCTCCGATTGTTCGCTCCCTGGAGATTCCAGGTCTGGGCTGGGCGGGCTTCCATTTACTAGGATGCCAGCGGGAACGTTCTGCGCGGCGGTCTCTGGAGCTTCATTCCTAACATCCGCAGCACCATCGGTTGTCGTCACAGGTTCTGTCGATTGTTGCGCCGCAGCTTCCACCGGTGTTTGGCCTTCAATTCCAAGCCCCATTAATTCCCGTCCCATTACTCCCCGATCCATGTTCTTCGCCGGCTCGTTGCCATGGATGATAGCCTGGTTTTCCTCGGCCTTTTGCCTCTCCTTTCGCCTTGCCACCCTCTGCGCCATCGCCTCTCGTTCAGAAGTCCTCTTCTGCTCCCTCCGCCTATTATCCCTCTCCATCAGTTCTCTCAGAGCGCCTGCATCGAGATCATCGGCCAAGTCATCGATACGCTTCCGATAAGCCGGCTTTTCTTCGGGTACAGGTACCTTTTCCAACGCCCTCTTCCTCTTCGAGGAGTTGGATCGCTCAATACCGACCCCACTTTCGTACTGCTTGAACTTTGGGTTTTCGCTGTACCTTATCGTAGGTCGCGGGGTAAATAAATCCATACCTTTCAGCTCGTACGAGGCGAATCGCTCAGAATCCGACGACATTGACGAGCGAAGCGAGTCTGGTATCGGCAATGAGACGTCTGATGTCGTGCTCGTAAATAATCTGTTGATACCATGTAACTTCTTCGTGTCTTTCCTTATCGGGCTTCCACTCCAGTCTGGTGTAGTCGCTGCGCGCACCGGAGTCGGCATGAACTTGCTCATGGCTTTGATTTCCGCCGCCCTATCGTGATCTTCCTTCCGCTTCTTGCTCGACTTCCGCCTGTTCAGGTCCTGCGCAGTTCGTTTATGGAGCGTCGGAACCCTTCCCATGTCTTCGGTTTGCGCTCTCCCGTTGGCAGCGAAAGCCGACCTTGCCACTATCGCAACGGCATTATCGGGCAACGGCGGGTGTGCGCGGCCATCTCTTCGGACCCCAAGGTTCTCCGACCGACCCGGAGAGTAGCTGTAATTCCTCTTCGGCGGATCGCGTTGCAACTTCTTGCTTTCCCTCGACCTCCGTCGCCTCTCGCGCCCAGTTCTCTTTCGCGAAAGCTCTCCCGCGGCGCCAACTTCACTCCCATTCAGTCGCCCGGCCTCCCGCGACCTCACCCTGTCCATCGTCGTCGGTTCTGCCGCAGACGTCTTCAACCCCAGACTACTTTTCTTGCGACTATTCTTCCTCCCAAACGGCCAGATGGTCATCTTCTCATGCGTCTCGATTGTCGTGTGTGCGATGCGACCGTCTAGTTCTGGCGCCTTGTCCTCGTTTCGCGGGTTCGGTTCGTGCTATGTCGTCGCGACTGGAGATGAGCCAGACATAATCTCGGATGTGTAGTTAGGTGTCCTCCTTGCGGTCAGGTTGCTTCGAATAATTTATTGTGTTGCGATTAGGTCGCCTTGCTCTCTCGATTCGCTGAGTTGGTAAAATTGCCGATATCGATGGGGCTGGTGGTGGGGAATTCGGTGCGTTTGCGCAACAGGGACGGGCCGTTTCAGGGTATTAGTCCACGTACAGTTCGCAGGCGCAGTCGCATTCAATATTAATTCGATATAGATTTCAAAGTGAGTGACGGTTGATTTGTAGTCGGATGCGATTTAGAGAGAACGAGGAGTGAGTATGTTTGAGGAAAGGGAAATCTGTGTTTCGAGAGAGGTTTGCGAGTACAGCGAGGTAAGGGAGTTTAGTTGAGTTGAGTGTGAAGGGAAGGGGTGTGACGGGAAAAGGTCCCCCAGTCAGTCCAGTCCAGCCACGCGAAAGTACTTTTCAGGTACCTGAGTACCTTCGGACATCCAATAATAGAGCGGCCACTTTAACCCGGACACCAGTGAAAGTTAGTAGTATTTCGTAGTATTTAGTAGTATTTAGCAGTATTTGGTTGGTAGTTTTAGTAGTTGAGTTCACTAATATCGGGTCTGGGAGTACTTTGACTGGATGTACATTTTATGTGTCTATGTGTCGATGTGTCTGTGTGTGTGTCTATGGGTGTCTGCGAGAGATGAGTACAAGCACTATAGGCCGACGATATTCCCAGATCAACAACCCATAACCATGACTGCGGCCAAGGATATTAGAGTGTTCTATCGCTCTGCCGGGCAGAAGAGTGTCGCTGGGTGTTGATAGGTGTCGCTGGAGAGATTACCTCTTCTGGTTTTGTATTTCCCTTCTCAGCCGTTCTGAAGAAGCCGCCTGCTAATAGGTACATACAGAACGAGAAGGGTACATCTATCTCCCACCGCTCGAAATCGATACGAAGTGTGAGTGCGTGTTCAGAAGAACGAGGCCCGCCTGTGGAGCGAGACTATTTTACGGTACCGTGGCCCTCTGCTCTGGTCCTCTCTGCTCTGTTCCCTACTCTGGCCTTATGATCCTAAACTGTGGTTCTCTACTGTGGTTCCTGATCCTCTATGCAGAAACACTGCTCCATGCGTTGGTCATCCCATCAATGCACTGGAACGTGGTACCTCTGTGTGTGTTCTGTATGTTCTGTATGTTCGATGTGCTCTGTGTGCTCTACGTGCTCAGTCTGCGCTCTGTCCGCTCATCTTTTCCTTCTTCCGACTTTGACATGGAGGGGTTACTCTTGAGTAAGGTACGGCTGCATCACACGTCCGCCACTATTCTTCTTTCCTCCAAGGTACATGTGCTCTTTACTGTACGTCGATGGTGCTAAAGAGTGCTAAGAGGTCAAATGTCTGATACCAACAGAGTACTATTGCCGTGGCGCATTATCTGCCGACTCTGTTTGTATCCTTTTTGTGCCTGTCTGGATTAGCTTGCATATCTCGTTCATGCTCACTCGCTGCAGGCCCCTCGCAGTACAGCAAACACAGGCGGTTGTGACAGGCTTTGCAGGAGCTTAAGTGTGCTGGCCCTGCGTTGGCTCAGTGCGTGCATTGCAACTCAACCTCCTCTTGAGATTATCAATTATCACGATACGATATAATACGATACGATATGATATGATACGAAGTGACAAGTGCTCTCGGGGCGAGAGCCACCTGCTGTCCAAGCGTCAGTGTCCGCATTGGCTTCTATTTGTGTCGACAGCATATTGGACTATATTGAAGTACTGGTGAACAATGTACATACTTCCCATCCTCAGCATCCGTACCACCGACGGTGTGGCTGACATGATAACAAGGCACACACCGTACAATTACAAGGCATCACGATCTGGGGCTGTCTCAATGATGTCTGTGGCACTCAAGACAGAGTCCGCAACTTCCAAGGAATATTACTCGAGTACCTGGAACTCTTCCCCCCATCAGACGAAACTGACAGGCAACAGCCGCGAGTCCTTTGACCGCCGTTGTGCCCCATCCCATCCTCCTGACGAAACACCCACGACAAACCAAGTCACACGATTGGAATTTCAAGATACCTACCTGGGACGGGCCCCTCTCAACGCCCCATCTGCCCTCGAAGCACCTGATCCATGGTTGCGGATGGGTTTCCCAATGGGCAACTCCTCCAACGGGAGCCCCTCATTCGGACCCTGTTCCGTTGGGCCACTCCGAGCGAGCCGTTGTGTCGGTCTGCTTGCCGTGTCATACTACTGCGAACCCAATATGTAGATCGTCCACAACGACCTCCAGAAATCGCCAAGCCATGTGCTCATCGTTGTGCAAACCTGCTGCTTGACGCCCCATCATTCGCTCGGGTTGCACTGCTACTGTGCATAGTCTGCCGTGGGGATTTAATGGGTCCTCCGGGGCACTAGAAACGGTTCGCGTCTCTCTCCTCCCTTCGGCACATCTCCAGCGGCCGGGATATGTGAGACCACATCAGCTCCTCTCTTATGATCGGCGTCATATCGCCGTCTACGAAAGGAGGAGCGGTGATGGGAATTCGTCCTCCTCTTCCCAGCCCCCAGCTCATCGCCACACGGCACGTCCAGGATTCCCCACCGACTCTCCAATCCAACACCGATAGTGTGAGTAAACTGCACCGCCCCGTCGTCACCAGACATGGAGTAAGAGGCGGTAGGCATGCGCGTACTCCCCATCCCGCCCGCCACCAACTCCACAAGTCCAAGCGGCAATGGAGAGGGATCGTCAGTATGTGAACCTAGCCCTCCGGCTCTTAATTGCGGCCCAGCCACTCATGGAAGAAGAGGGTCATGTGCATATTAAACTTGTATGGGGGGAAGACTGAGACATTGCACCTGATGTCCCGGGTATGGGTGACGATTCTAGTTGGTGTGGCGGGCGATCCCATCGCTTTCCCGCAAACCTGTTCTGAAACAACGGAGAAATGCCAGATTTGTTCTCCGCGTGATTTCTGGAAGGAAGGAAGTCACGTGGATGGTTGTGGTGATTTAAAATTCACGTGACCGAGAAATGATTATAGCAATTTTAAGGTGCTGCGGTTTCTCCTTTTCGCTCTCTTTCTCTGTAACTAAAATAATCATTTTGAATATAAGTGATTAAAAGTCTATATTTCAATTACAATTGCTATAACTAGTGATGTTTTACACAGTTTTTATTCTAACTTTGCAGCGGCACAGGTACAATGAACAGACTCTAGGAAGGAAGCTCTCTAACGGTCGAGGTACAGAATATCTCATAATCGTCTTAGCCCTGAAAGGAGATCTAGGAGATCTAGGAGGAGATGGAGGCGAAGAAGTCCGTTAGTTACAGGATATCCTAAAAAAATGCATTACCATCGATGACCACGAGCAACCCCTTTTACCACGATCACGCAAGGCGCTGTATTTTCAAGATACTCAAATCCTTCTTCTCACGATGCTCGGAGGCCCAACGCAGAAAGATGGGTATTCGCAGAAATTTTGGGCCACGAAAGCTAAGATCGAAGAGAAGAAGGCAGATGTTACGTAACTCTTGCTGTCACTTAATTCTTGCTGTCACTTAATTCTTGCTGTCACTTAAAGCTTACTACTGCTTGAATTTTCCTGTTACTTAAATCTTCCTGTCGCATGAATCTTCGTGTCACTTGAGTCTTGCCGTCACTTAAAACCGCTACCCCGACCACGAGGAGCCTCTGGGTATAGCAGGCGATGTAAACTATCTGCCTGGGCAGGCGACAAGTTGAGCAAACCGCCATTGCGGTCGTTGCTGGTGTGCGTGGCGCACCCTCTGATTTATCGGATCTACCGATTATGTTAGCACGACGCCACGACTATGAGAGCATCCTTCGCACCGCTGCCTATTGAGCACCGCAAACGTCCCGTCATTCTCCCTCTTCAGCTCTGTCTCGGCAATTTAGAATACGGCCTTACGGACGGTGAGTAGGCGCCATGCCTCTGGAAAGTCGATGATGATCTTGAACCAACGCGCGAGCTCGTGCACATTCACGTAGCAATCTAACATTCCATCCGAGCGCTTGACGACTGCTTGACATTAGCCTGTGCCCACGCATCCCGTAATCCAACGACTTGCAGAAGCCGTCAGCGGGCCTTTCCTCCACAAACCGATCCATGAAGAAATCCAGGGTGACAGGACAACCCTTAGCCCCACGCGGACCTACGCCACCATTGGGGAACGACGCTGTCGCTCCCACTATCAGATATATCATGCGACGGAGAAAAAAACGAGAAGAGGGAGTTCGATTGCATTACGAGCAGTGTAATAGGGTTGAAACTTCCAGAGTCTCACACTACTATAATCACAATACTGGCAAGGTATTGTGCAAAGCTTGCGATCTATACCATTGCAATAACTACAAGGACTGAGATATGTCTAAGGAGATACGTCGCCAGGGCATGGTTGACGTGAAGCAAAAGTGGAAAGAGGGGGTCCTGATGAATTACGAATAGTGTAATATAGCGGAATCCTTAGGATTTCTCATATCTTTAACGCTAAGAGCAACAAGTTGTTATGCATTGCGTGTAACAACTATTACTATAAGCATAGCTAGGATTAGGATCTAGCTAAAGAGGAACGCTGCTAAGCCCTAGCTAACGTTAAGAAAAAGTAGGTAGATAGGGTCCTGATTTACTACGACGAGTGTAGTAAAGCTAAGAATTATAGAGTTAATTTATTCTATATATACTAGAACTACTCTAACGTAGTAACTTATTCTATAATAGCTATACTCTAAAAGCAAGCCTTAAATTTAGAGAAGGTTTTATTAGTATATTCTTTCTCAAATATTTATAAGTTATTAAATAGGTTTTAGGCTTATTCTGTTTTATTACTAGTAAGGTAGTATAAGCCTAGTAGGTCTATTATCTTATCTATACTTTAGAACCTATATATAGCAAAGAGATATTAAGGCTTAACCTAGTTATAGTTCCTTATATTAATACTCCCTATAAGATATCTATAGAGTAGTAGTCTTTATTAACTATAAGTTAGTTCTATATTAATATAAGGACATAGAGTACTATATTATAAGAAGTAGTATATAGGAGTATAAGTTAGATAGGAGTTAGTATAATCCTATAGGTCTACTATAAAGGATATAAAAAAGATAAAGAGAGAACCTCTTAAATCTATTCCTACTAGTATTTAAAATAGGTCTAACTTAGTTAGCTAGCTACTAGCTCCTTTTATATAACTACCTTAGCTCTAAGCTTAATCCTAAGAATGTCTAGAGGATAAGGCATCCTTATATTAATAATAATAGAGTAGTTAAGAAATTAGAGAGTTATAGTATAATTATATATAGTAATAATTATAGTAATTACTAAGCTATTATATAAAAACTATCTAATTTATTTAATATTATATAATCTAATATATATATATTATCACCTAATATTTAAACTTATAAAGTAACATGACTAGTTTCTTAGCTAACTAGTAGAGGACTGTCGTTGCTTAGCCTAAGACCAGACTATGGTCTAGTCTAAAGATTTAGAACTAGACCGGACTATAGTGCAGTCTAGTTCTAGTCCCCTAGTGGTTTAGGTCCCCTATAGCGCACACTAAGTAAGGGTCATTATTAAGGGTAGTGGTGTAAGAACAGTAGAAATGATTAGATTTTAGTGTTTTGGTGCGTCACTCGTCGCTCGCGTGTGAAATACATTATAATACTATATAGCATTCATTGAATTAGGCTTAGCTCAGCGCTGACACTCTATTAAGTACCCTTGCTTTGGTTATTCTGCTCAGGCCTCTCTAACGCCCTCGTAGATCCCTGACAAGGGATTTGGTTTCCGAAGGAGGGGTAAATCTCGAACTAGATACCCCGCATCTTCCCAATCCTAATCCCCATGGGGTAGACTAGTGCGAGATGGCTCGAGGGTTTTGTTAAGGTTACGTCTGTACGAACAAACATTATTCTAACCTGCACACTCTGATTAAATCGATCCCATTACTATTGACAATTCCCTACATTGGTCAGACGTTTCTTGCCGCTTGCATCTCATCGGGGATGTTCTGTTGAATCGAACAAGACAGACAGTGTCGCTTGAAATAAACGTCCTAGCTCAACACCACCACCAGAAGCCCGGGCGCCGCAAGAAGGCCGCCCATGAGCCGCCCGCGAGCCACCGCTCTCAACAACCCCCCACACATCTTTCTCCACCGATTGCTGTAATGGAGCAGCCATCACAGAAGCCCGAAACCAAGCGAAAGCACGTCACGACGGCCTGCGTTGCTTGCCGGGAGAGTAAGGTGAAGGTACATTGCAATCCGAACACTACCCTCTTCAGCCAGGCGAATGCTCAGAACTGACACCCGCGCAAGTGTAATGGCGCAACGCCGACTTGCTCAAACTGTTTGAGCAAAGGTAAGGAATGTCGACAACAGGCCAAAGAAGACAAGCGCAAGTTAGTACTGCCTTCCTTGCTACATCTCCTAGCTAGATGTCCTGACCTCGTAGGCTCTCCCTTCGCGTCGCTATCGATCTACTTTCCAAAAGAGTCCAGCAGCTCACCCAGTTCGTCAGCGATCATGGATTGGATATCCCACCGATGCCGCTTGACGATGACAAGACATTGTCCGGAATTCTGCGAACTCTTGGGCTACCTCAACCCATACCTGCCCAGACCAGGCCAGACGGTGAGAATGGCGCCATACAAGGATCTCCGACCACTCAGTGTCCAGACCAGAGGATTGAACCCCCAGGGGGCGCAGTTGCGCAAGGATTAAATATGCACGAGATGCCTTCTTCGGAACGCGCCGGGGAAAGTCCGCTCCCGGCAGCAGCGCGAGGCTTACTCGAGCTTGCGAACGCGGCCGGCGATATAGGCGGCATTATTAAGACCACAGCCAGCTGGGACTGGGACATGGCGGCTGAAGCTATGTCACAAGGGCAAATGGTGCACCCAGACTACATCCCGGAAGATACGGCGCTGCAGGGCTTTTCCGGCAATGTCTCGACCCCCCAGCAGTCTGTCTCAGGCGGAGTGCCGAGCTGTCCTTCGCTAGAGGACGATGACATCAGCACCATCGAAAGCGTCGACGAGCTCGTAGACCAGCTGTCTGATCGAGTAGGAACGCTTCACATTAAAGCAGGCGGCCACATTCGCTTCTACGGATCGACATCAAACTTTAACCTCCTAGAGACGCCGGCTTCGGATGTCAACATGAACGTCCATCGGACTATCCGGAATGATGGGACCGAGCTTTTAGATCGCCTTGGGGTCAACAAGAAGGTTCCGATCGATTTAGAAGACCATCTGATAAATCTTTATTTTACGTGGCAGGACCCGTCGTTTCATGCCGTCGATCGCAAGATGTTCGATGAGGCGAAAGTCATATGGCGTGATAAAGGGGAAGATACGGCCTACTACTCGGAAGCTCTAAGGAATGCCATGTAAGCCAAAGATATATTCACTTTAGTAGTCGAGAGCTAAACTCGTATGGAAAGTTGCTGTCTAGGAGCAGCCTTCGACGCTCGACACCACCCGGCATTTGTCACATTCCCCAGATCCCTCGCCGATTTCTTCGCCGATAGGGCCAAGGCGCTTTTGGAAATAGAATTGGACATGCCCTGTGTCGCTACCATCCAGACCCTGATCCTCTTGAGCGCACACGACATAGGATGTGGCCGGGATTCCAAAGGATGGCTCTTTAGCGGTGCGTTGTTGGCTCGTCGATAATATGTTACTTACGCTTTAGCTGACTTCCCTTATGTTAGGTATGGCAATGCGGCTGTCATTCAACCTGGCGTTGAACCAGGATCTCAAACCTTACATCGCGAAAGGCGTAGTAACCGCGGCCGAGGCTGATCTGCGCCGGATGGTCTTCTGGGCCGCCTTCGTAGTGGACCAGTAAGAGAACTTTTCCACACCTACAATTCAGGGCAGGATCACTGACTGCTTGGCACAGTGTCTGGAGTTTTTACCTAGGCCAGCCATTCCGAATGTCAATGAAAGGCGTTACCCTCGAAAAGGCTGGGGCAAAGGCCTATCTGGGGTTACCTGGACAGTGGAGCCCATATGTGTCCCCGACTATGACGCAGACTTTTCCCCCTATGGTCGATTGTGTAGAAGAAGTCTGTACATATCAGGTCCTACTATTTGAGGCTATGGCCCCTCTAAGCGATGCCTTGTAAGTTTGACGGCACCAGCAACTGTGGATGGATAGTTGCTAATCGCCTTGCCACTCTCTTTAGTTACGGCAGCGCGACAACCTCGAAGAGTGCTCTGCATGAACTCAATTCTCAGATCGTGACGAAGCTTCAAGACTGGAAGGAGAATCTTCCAGTCGAGCTACGCGTGGATCTTCACAATCACGAGACTACTTACTTGCCGCACGTCATCCTGCTTCAGTAGGCGGTCCCCCACTCCACTCATGATATGCTTTACCTCCCTAACACTCTCGATTTAGCATGCAATACTACCAAAGCGTCATCTACGCATACCGTCCCTGGATGTCAAAAAGTCAGGTCCAGCCACAGTGGGGTCCCGGCGCCGATCACGCGCGGAAAATGTGCATAGACTCCGCGAGCGCCATTGCACGCCTTCTGCACTTGTATGAAGAACGGTACACCTTCCGCAGGATCAACATCCAGGCCGTAGCAATTACCTTCTCTGCCGCGCTGCTGCTCGTCTTCGCCACTGTTATTCACCACCAGCGGGAAAGAGGAGACGAGATCTTGGCCGACCTGAGCGTGTGCTTCCGAGCGCTAGATGAGCTGGCCCCCTCATGGGACACGGCCAAGCGGGCTCGTGACTTCCTCATCCGGTTACAGCGGCACTGGGAGCGACGGGCGAGGTCGAACAGTTTAGCCGCCGCGCGTGACGATGCCGGCTCCATGAGTTCGGGCTTTTCAGTCTCGAGGAAACGGCCACGGCCGTCCGTCCGACCCAACGATGAGCCGTCCGTCCGGCCCAACGATGAGAACAACTGGGCCGACAATGGCATGGCGGCGGCCAACTTTGGGATAGATATTGATTTCGACTGGATGCTTGCTACAAGTATGGAGGGGATGCCAGGGAACTGGGGAAATGTTTTTTCGGTGCAATAAGGCCCTAGTATCCCCCTTTACCGGAGCCGGTGAGCACATGTGGTTCCCATCAATTGTTTTGTTCAGGCATTAATTGCATAGTGCATATTACGTATAATAACAGTTAGATAATAGCAACCACCTAGTTGCCCCTAGACTACATACAACAGCAAGAGAGCTATAGTCTCCATTTAGGCCATGTAAATTTCCCCCAAATCAATATATATATATATATATTTCATAAATATCTCTTTCGAGACTCGTTAGACTCGCCTGTGTGCCGGCCATGTCCCCTACAATAATCTTCCAGCATGGATCCCTCCTGTGATGAGAATATCATCCGATGTATGATACGCACTAGCATCAGACAGGAGGTAGACCACCGGAACCTTCAGGTCCGTTCGATCGCCGATCCGGCGCATGGGCGGCTCGTTTGTCATGATGTCCGCCAGCCAGGGGTAACGATCACACAGATCAATCGTCATGTCCGTCAGCATGTACCTGTTCACCCAACATTTCCTTTGTTAGCCCTCTGGAAAAAACGATACAGAAAGTAAAAAGTGCTAGAGTGATCAAGCGTGCTTACCCAGGAGAGATAGAGTTTACGCGGATCCCGAAGGCCGCCAGCTCGACACCCAGTGCTTTGGCTAGCGACAATACGGCGCCCTTACTCGCACAATAGTCGCTCGTCGTCTGTCCTTTGCTGGCAACGTGCGCAGCAATGGAGGCAATGAGGACTATCGAGCCTCCACGCGGGTTAAAGTCGGTGGGCTCCTGCTTGGCCATCTGGGCGGCAGCCAGCTGCGCGGCGTAGTAAGTGCCGAGCACGTTGATGTTCATGCACCGTGCGACGGACTCGGGGGCGCGCTTCATGAAGGGCTCATCAGGGCAAATGCCGGCGGCGGTTATTCTGTTGGGTTGGTTAGTCCTGTGAGGAAAATGGTCTTCGGAGACGGGAACCACTGCGACAGGTGGACTTACAGGCCGTCGATACGCCCGAAATCCTTTACGATCTCGTCGAAGGTGACTTGAAGACCAGCGTGATTAGTCACGTCGCTCCTGCGCAAACGAACCCGCTAGTTAGCATTATATACACCATTTAATGATACGCTGGACGAGGTTTTCGAGCTATGCACATCATGTATGGGGTCGTTCATACAGATCACAGCCTTGCAGGGAAACTTACTTGTACAGCTTGACCTTAACACCAAATTCCGTCTCTAACTTCTGAAAATGATGATGTGGCTCGTCAAGCAGGTCGATGATGGCGACATTGCCCCCAACCTCAGCCACGGCGAAGCCAAAGGCCAGGCCAAGGCCACGGCCGCCTCCAGTGATGACAATGGTGCGGCCCTTTAGGGAAATCAGGTCATACACCGAGCGCGATAGGAACTTATCCGGGTTTCGATCGAGACCATCCTTGGCTGTCGCAGGGTTCTGTTGGTCTGCCATTGCACAATAGCGACTTGGCTGGTGACGAGGTTGACGCGAGTTTGGAGTTGATAGATGGAGGGGTATGTTGTCACGTTTACCTTGTCTTGTACTCAGATGTAAGAGAGTTGCTGGCTGAAGAGGCTACTGAGATGACGGCGCGGCCAAGTAGATATCCTTACTGACCCATTGTCACTTATTGGAAATGGGTCGCGACAACGGGGTAAACTTCCGTGGCGCGTGCCTAGATTGGCGGACTGGGCGTTGTGATGCGGGGTGATCGGGTTATGGTTTTGGACGTCAGTGGGCCGGGGGTTGTGATGCGGGGTAATCGGATTATGGATTCCGACGTACTTTCGGCAGTTGACACGCAAGGGGCTCCAATACAAACCCACTGTAATTTAGCACTCGTCTTTATGAGTCTCGACAATTTCATGTGTAGGCGTGAATAAGGTGCAGACCGACTAATTTTCCGGGTGTGTAGAAGGGGCGGAATCTTGAACCCGTGAGTTAGGGTGGCAGTAGCTCGCGATTCAATAATCCGAATCCGTCCAATTCATATTGACTATATACCGCCTCTCCTGGAGAGTCTGGCAGATAAGGTATGTCGAACTATCAGCACAGCATTTAATGAAGATGACAAAGATGATAAACCAGATTTTGGAGAATATAGTGCCTTCGGCGCCGACGAAGAAGCCCCTGGACGCCCAGGCTACAGGCTGGAGGGAGAACCTCGACGACGACGACCGTGCCGTTATTGCGCTGCGAAACTTGATCTTCGATATCTGTAACCAGAATGGCGGCGGGCACGGCGGCTCTGCTATCGGCATGGCTGCCATTGGTGTTGCCCTGTACAAGTACACGATGCGTTACAATCCTTCGAACCCGGAGTGGTTCGACAGGGATCGCTTCGTTCTCTCTAATGGTATGAGGTTGGAATTCTTTGCATGGTCGTATGTTAACCTGAGATTTTGTAGGACATACCGCGATGTTCTTGTACGCCTTGAACCATCTCGTCGGTTATGACGCCTGGACAATGGACCAGATCAAGGGTTACGGTAGTGCGAAGATGAACGGTTACAGCACCATGTGCCACGCCCACCCAGAAATTGAGGAACCAGCAGTGGAGATCACCACGGGACCGCTAGGCCAGGGTATCGCTAATGCCGTCGGGCTTGCTGTAGCCTCCAAGAACCTCGCAGCGCGCTTCAACCGGCCGAGCTTCGACGTCGTCAGCTCTCGTGTGTACTGCATGACTGGAGATGGCTGCCTGATGGAAGGAGTCGCGCTCGAGGCCATATCACTAGCTGGAAGCTTGCAACTGGATAACCTCGTTTTGATATACGACAACAATCAGGTGACTTGCGACGGTCCTCTTGATTGGATCAACGTCGAGGATGTCAACGCCAAAATGCGCGCATGCGGGTGGCATGTTCTCGAGGTTGCCGACGGTTCATACGATGTCCAGGCCCTAGTTTCAGCACTCCGTTATTCAGAGACCCTGGGTGGGAAACCCGTGTTTATAAACATCCGCACCGTCATCGGGCTAGGCACCTCCAATGCAGGAACTTACAAAGCCCACCACGGCACCTTTGATGCAGAGAGCGTTGCTCTTTCGAAGCGCCTAGCTGGTCAGGATCCCTCAATGACACATCAGATCTCACCCGCCGCCCTAGAATACTTCAGAGAGAGAAAACAACGCGGCCAGAAGCTACAAGGCGAGTGGGACGACCTAATCCGCAGTTACCAGTTGGCACACCCGGACCTAGCCAAGGAGTTCCATATGAGACAAACAGGAGACAACGGGGATGAGTGGCGGAAGATGCTCGAGACGATAGACTCGGAGGCTTTCCGGGGCCAAGCAACACGTGAGGTTAACGGTTCCATTATCGAGAGCATGTGGAAAGCCCATCCAGCCCTTTTCGGAGGTGGTGCCGATCTAGTCAACTCCAACAAGGTTCCTTATGAGGCGTCCGAGGTATTCCACCCATCCGTGGGCTATAAAGGCCGCTATTTGCGTTACGGCATCCGTGAACATGCTATGGCAGCTATCTCCAATGGTATCGCGGCTTACAATCCGGGCACATTCCTACCTATCACAGCTACATTCTTTATGTTTTTCCTCTACGTAAGTCATCGCGCTATCGGCCGAAGCCGGCTATAAGCTATTATGATGCATTGCAATACTAATCTTTACTTTTGCCAGGCCGCTCCGGGAGTCCGCATGGGTGCCCTTTGCCATTTGCCCGTTATCCACCTCGCAACGCACGACTCCTTCGCCGAGGGCCAAAACGGTCAGACTCACCAGCCTATCGAACTGGATTCCCTGTACCGTGCTATGCCTAACCTGACATACATGCGACCGTGCGACCCTGAGGAGACCATCGGCGCCTGGCTGCTCGCGCTCTCGAAGACTACGGGTCCGTCCCTGCTTTCGCTCGGCCGTGACCCCGTCGGCCCTGTGCCGAACACAAACCGCTTAAAGGTCGCCAAGGGCGCGTACGTCGTCAAGGAGGCCGATAATGCGCAGCTCACTCTTGCTAGCTGTGGGACCAATATGCACTATGCCGTCGCGGCGGCCGAGAGTCTGTCCGCCTCAGGGATTCCGACGCGATTGATCAGCGCTCCGAGCTTCGATCACTTTGACGAACAAGACAGGGCTTACCGCGAGTCGGTGTTCCCGCTGGATGGCACGCCTATTGTAAGTGTCGAGGAGTATGTTGCGACGACCTGGGCGCGGTACGTGACGGCAAGCATTGGAATGACCGGGTTTGGATACTCGGCTTCGAATGCCAGTAACTATGACAGATTCCGGTTAGATGCAAAGGGAATAGAGGCTAGGGTCAGGGATTATCTAAAGGATTTGGCTGGTGGTGATGCTAGGAGGGCAGGATGGCGTGCAATATAGATCTGGTGAGGGGTTTGCACCTTAGTTTGATAGTACTATCTAGTAAAAATATCTTCGATTGCGAGGATAACCTGTTCTAGTAGTGTAATAGAAGTCTCTGCACTTATTTACTCGTTAAATAATTTATTTAGTAATGCATGTAACGCTAGGTCTTAAACTATAAGACTTATAGAGGTTTCGTCGCGTTAGTTTACTTAACAGAGGAGGTAGGGGATTAGACATAAAGGCTTTTATAAGACACGTTACTAGTATATAACAAATACTATATTAAGTTGAGCATAAAGCTCCTATCTAAGAACTATCTATATAGTTAATAGTTCCCCTAAGAGCTATAATAATGCATTAATTTACTAATTAAAGTCTTAAGTTAGTAACATAGTAGATATTATATATTACTTACTATATAACAGTGTTCCCCGGATACGTATCCGGATACTATCCGTGAACTCTACGGATAGGATACAGTATCTGTGAGAAATCTATAGATATGTATCCGGATATCCAGATATGTATCCGGATACATGAGGCTTAAGGCTATAATAGAGTATATAAAAATGGAATTGAAGCTCATAGCTATAGTGTATATATATAATAACTCCTATTCCTCCCGCTTATCGTCTACATCACTATCATCTACCTCTAGTAAATGGCCCTAATCCTGTAAGTAAAGTAGATATCTAACTGTTAATAGCGACAGTCTGTTCCGTTTCTTGGTAATAATATCACTACTATTGCTAAATACCTGTTCTGATGCAGCTAATGTTGTAGGGATTGCAAGATGATCTCTTGCAATCTTTGCAATAACTAGATATTAGTACTACTTTGTAGCCTAATATTTAAGTATATTAGTCTGTGGTCTAGGACAGCCCTCGTTGTTCCATCTTTTCCATTCTAGCTCTTAATGAGAGGTTGTAGTTGTAACATATAAATCATCATTAGAGTCTAGCTCTAGTTGCTCCTTAACTTCTAATTGAATCTGTTGCTCAATTCTCTCATTAGTAAGCTGATACTCACGGCTGTTATACTAGTTATATATAGCCCTAAATTAAGCTAATACTCGATGCCTTTTAGCATTCTTAATGCTAGTTGGCCATAGCCTCTAAAATACAGCAAGATTTATCTATAGATCACAAACTGTAGCTATAGCTAAGTGACTATAACGCTAGCTTGTTGTTAAAGTATAGTATTTGTTAAGTTTAAGCAACGTAGCTATACAAGCTAGGCTAATTGTCGTCTAGTTACCAACTGCCTAAATTGTCATTTTAAGTCTCTCAATCATCTTAAGATATTTTGGAATAACGTAGTTTAGAGTTAGGTAGGCGCTTGCTTGCATCTTTTAAGACGGGCTTAAAAAGATCTTAAACAAATCCTTAAGACTCTAAATAATTGTCTAATCTTCTAAAGTAAGAGCAATCTCTCTTATACTTAGATCAAAAGTCTATGTAGCATATATAGCAGTTATAGGATCTTGTAAGTACTTTGTAGTAATAAGCATATAGTACGTAGAATTCCATCGAATTAGCATGTTAAGCGTTAGCTGTTAAGGCTTAAGACTAGCTATAAGTGCTTACCTTTATAGAGCGTCGTTCCATTGCCTTCGATTCTAGAATACATATATATGCCTCCATAGCTTTGCTAGAGTTATCATAATCTCTATATTACTCTCAACTATACGCGGAATCTAAGCTACGCCTAGCTCACATCGATAATCATTAATCTCTGCTAATAGGTTGGCTTTTAAGGCTTTAAGAGTAGCTTAAACTACAAGATTGATAATATAGGCGATATAGCGTACGTTGCCTTCCTTAACAGTAAAGGGCTATAGTTGTTAAGATGAAATTAGATAGGCTTTAGCTAGTTTCTCAAACTTAGAGAGCATTACATTATTAACTAAGGCATTGTCCTGAGTGTAAGTAAAGATAGCTCTTATAATGCCTATTCCGTCTATAACAGCTTATAACTCCTCTATAAGATATTCACCGCTATGAATAGGCTCTTTAAGATGTATTACATTAAGCAAAGCTAACTGTTACTGCCATTTATCATTAATCCAATGACTAGTAACTGCTGCAAACTAAGTATAGTTGCAAGCTGACTAGGCGTCTGTTGTAATTGATATTCGTCCTCTACTCTTAATATGAGAATTAAGCTCTACAATTAACTGCCCTTAGTAATATGAGAATTAGCAGAGCAGCTTACAGCTAACAGTTGTAGTAGATATACTAAGTGTAGTTGGGCTTAGGAAGTGTACTAGTTAACGGTACGTATAGCTCTCTATAATACTCAAAGACAGGTTATTTAATATAATAAATTATATTAACAATTCTCTATATTTTGCTTAGTGGAGTGCTAGCTTGAGTGTAGGCTGTACTCGCTAGCGAGGCTCGAAAAAGGATGATGAATTGCTGCTTAAAGCGCTAGATATACTGATATTGCTGTTCTTGCTATTGTGTAGCTGCTCTAAAGCAGGGTGCTTTCTCTTATAATGCAACTATAAGTTGCTAGTTGAGTTCTAGGTTGCAAGTTAGGGTAGTAGCTTGTAGCTGCAGCCTAGCTAAAGGCATTCATACTATATAGTTAAAGGTGCCGTTTTAAGTAGTAAACGGCTGTATAGCCTTATAGAGAAGAGTGATGTTTTAGTAATAGGCAAACTATGCTGTAGTGGCGGCTATAAGTAGACTAGAGTTCTTAGTGTAGACAGCGGCAGAATAGGGGTATTTAAGGGCGGGAGATTTAATTCTTGATAGCCTATAGGGGCTTCAATATTAGTGGGAGCATCTAACAAAGGCGAGTCGCTTATTTTGTCTACAGTAACAAAGTTATAGTAAAGCAACTCTCAACTCTTCCTATCGACGGTAATGGTAAGCGTAACGATGAATTTTCTATTCTTAGCTATTCTTAGCTATTCTTAGCTATTCTTAGCTATTCTTAGCAGGTATCTGGATATGTATCTATAGATACTCATAGTATCCGGATACTCGTTGAATTCTTAAGGATACAAGTATCTGCATACAAGTATCTAGATACCCTAGATACTTAGGTATCCGTGGGGATCACTGCTATATAAATATATTAAAGATAAGCTATAGGTATAGAAAATAGATTATAGGTCTATAGAGTAAAAGAATAGGCTACTTAAGTAAGAAGACTTAATAAAAGCTCTAATATTTAAGAGTAAGATTAGGCTTAAGCTTAAGTAATTAGAGCTTTAGGCTTATAAGCTTAGCTTTAGCTCTAAACTTAAGCTAGAGCCTAGCTCTACTAAACCTATAAGCTTAGCTCTAGCTCTAAGCTTAAGCTAAAGCTTAGGAGCTTAGTAGAGCTAGGGTCTAGCCTAAGCTCTAGCTTAAGTTCTAGCGTAAGTTTAAGCTTAAGTTTAAGCTTAAGCTAGAGAGCTTAAGAATTAGAGCTTAAGAATTAGAGCTTAAGAATTAGAGCTTAAGTGTTATAGCTTACCTTACTATTAGTATTAAGGAATAGATTAGTTATAAACACATATATAGAAAATAATAGTTATTAGCTAGAAAGGGATAAGGGGTCTTAGTTATTATATAATAGACTATATAGGACCTTAGTAGTCTAGTAAGGTAATAGTTAGGACTATAATAGACTATAATAGTCCTTTATAACATTAGGTATAATACTACTATATAAGTAGATAGTTAGTTCTTAGATAGGAGCTTTATACTTAACTTAATATAGTATTTATTATATACTAGCTAAGCCTAAGACTAAGCTTTAGGCTATAGCTAATCCTATAATTAAGAGAACTATAGTAGCTACTTAAAGAGTAAGGGTTTCTATAATATATAAGTATATAAAGAAGTATAATATCTAACACTTTAATATTAGAACTATAGTCTCTATAAAGGTGCCTTAAGAGGATAGAACCTTAACTAATAATAAAAGGCTCTTTATATACATTCTAAAAGAGCCTTACCCTTATAGATATTAGGTTCTTATATACTCTAGTATTATATAACACCTTATCTCTATAAAGTCACTTAGAGTTATAAAGTAAGCTCTATAGTCTAATATTATTATTCTTATGTTTATAAAGTAAGTAATGCTAGGACTTATAGCTAAAGAGGCTTCTATAAGTATATAGGTTAGAATATTATGTTAATGTAAGGGTTAATGTAGTATAAAGAGGTACTGTTGTTATAAGGAAGTAAAGGAGTGTAGTGTATACTACTATAACGATGATTATGACTATAGCTACTTATTAGGTCTAGCTACCTATATAGAAATTGCTTTAGTTAAGAGGCTAAAGTAGAAGTTGGCAAGAGCAGACACTACTAGACATATAGTATAGAGTAGGCAATTCAATTCAATTCAATATACTAGTCTATTATACTACGTAGTGGTTGGTAGTTAGGCTAGAGCATATATAATCTAGTTATAAAGCTACCACTGTTTTCACCACTAACTTCCCATCGGCATCTCGTGTCTTTCGGGCCATTTCCAGAGCATCCTGAACGAGATAAAGCCCCTTAAACCGGTGAGTTATCATATGAGACATATCGGGTAAAGTCTTGCCGTCTATTGGTGACCTGGTAATTGATGCCTTCGCAATTTCAATTGCTCTTGGGTAAGCATCTGCATATCGCCACGTAGAGACAAGATTGATCTCCCGGACTGAGAGCTCTGAGATTGGCAGTGTATGGTTGGGGATTCCCATGCCAACGAGGATGACGCTTCCGCCTGATGCAGTGGCCTGTGTAGGACCGGTTGTTAGCTTACAGACAAAGCATGACATAGAAAGTCACTTACATAGATGCTAGACTGTAGACACGAGTCGGCGCCTGTGCACTCGAAAGTTCGCTGCATCTTACCTATGGGCTCGCCATCCGGCCACTTCAGCTCCCCAATCTCTGTTGCAGTCGCCTTACTAATACCCAGCTTGTCTTCCAAAGTCTCCCCTCTCTTGGGCTTTACCGCATACACAACAGAAGCAAACCCATGCTCTAGGGCAAAACCTAGGCGGCCTTCATCAATGTCGACCATGACAATATCTTGACAGCCTGCCGCGCGCGCCGCCATAGCACACAGCAGTCCTACAGCGCCGGCGCCGAAGACCAGGCACGCACGCCTATGGGAGATCATGTCCGGCCCTGCCCTATGGACAGCATGTACTGCGACGGCTAGAGGCTCGAGGAGTGCGCCCGCGTCAAAGTCCAGCTCCGGCGGGAGGTGATGCACCCAACACGCAGGGTGGTCCACAAACTCCTGGAGTGTTCCTTGGTAGTGAGGGAACTTGGATCCTGAGCTGCGAAAACGAAGTTCTGGGCATATGTTGTATCTCCCACTGCGACAATGCGCACACTGCTCGCAGGGCACGCCGCACTCAAGCGCTACAGTATCGCCAACCTTCAAGCCTGGTCTTGCTTGGGATGCGAGGGTTCCCACCGCGACGACTTGACCCGCAGCCTCGTGACCGAGACAGAGGGCCTCGCGGACTTGAATACTCCCATTGCAAAAATGGGTATAATAGTGTACGTCGGAACCGCAAATGGTGGTGGAGCGTATGGCGATGCGAACCTCATCGCTGGCAAGAGACGCGAGCTCTCTTGATTCGAGCTTCAGAGCCTTGGCCTCGTGAAGGTATTGGCCGCGGCTCTTCTCAGAAGAGATAATTGTACTATTAGACATTGTGGGTAATGCTCTTTTTGACCGAGGTAAGATATGGAAGGAATTGAATGAAGCGACGATGGAGAAACGAAATACCTTGATGGCCGTTGATGACCTTTAACTCCGGTGGCCGAGGGCGAGGTGTTACGCCCGTTCTTGAGGCTCGCCTCAAGAGCCCCGAAGCGGAATGAGATCTCCGCATTTAGCTACGGCCTAACTATTGTAAGTTGAGATATTATCGTTCGAGCCACCGAAAAGTGGCTAATGGTCTCGGACGTTGTTGCGAGATGCGTTCTCCAAAACAATTAGCGTATGTACGGGATCTAGTTTCCGAACATCTAAATTCGTGGCAATGTCTACCCCGCGAATGCGGATGCGATGGCAATAAACCCCATCGGATTATGATAGCCAGACTGGGGAAGCTAATACTCTTTGCTTCTAGCATGTGGCAAGATGTTTTCGGGTCTCGCAAGTACTTGGTTCCTAGCTCTTTCGAATAGTTAATATATTGTCCTTCGATCCTCTAAACAGAGAACTTATCATCTTGATTTTGCTTCTTAACTAAGTTGTCAACCTCCGCTTCTTATTATGTCGGCACACGGTCTAGATGCTATCATAATCGGCGCAGGGCCGGCGGGCATTGCTATGGCCTATCGCCTGAAGCATGAGCTCAATTTTCACGACTTTCTCATATATGAGAAGCTCAATGGCGTAGGTGGAACGTGGAGGCTAAACAGCTATCCCGGATGGTATGTATAAATCCTAATGAGCTGTATATTCCGCAGTTAGATGCTAAGAGCTGACGAGACACTTCAATTTTGCTAGTGGCTGTGATCTTCAATCACATCTCTATTCCTTCAGCTTCAACCCAAATCCGAATTGGTCAAAGCAGCTGTGCGAGCAGCCTGAGATCCTCCAATGTAAGTTCTATCAAGCTTGTCGTTACCCAATGAACATGGCATTGATTATGAGGCTTCGAAACAAGACTGACCTATGTTAAAATAGACATGGAAGATACGGTTGACAAATTCAACATCCGCAAGCATGTCAAGTCGTCAATCGAGTGTACCGGTGCAAAATGGCACAGCGATATTGCTAAGTGGGAGGTTTTCGTCAAGGACCTCGAATCGGGCCTTGAGTACTCGCGCTTTGCGTCCATCTTCGTCTCAGCTGTGGGGGCTATCTCATTCCCGCGCAACGTCAAGTTCCCAGGCATGGAGAACTTCAAGGGTGATATGTTCCACACCGCACACTGGGATCATTCTGTTTCATACAAGAACAAGCGCGTCGGCGTTATTGGAAATGGCTGTAGCGCTGCCCAGGTTATTCCTGCCGTTGCCCAGAAGGCTGGCTTCGTGAAGCAGTACGCTCGCAGCGGGCAGTGGTTCCATGCCCGGCCAAACAGGCTCAACACTGATTTTGACAAATTTGTACTCCGCTGGGTTCCGCTCTGGCAGCGGCTGCTCCGCCTGAGTATCTTCCTCGAGGCCGACGAGGAGACGACGACCTACTTCCCAACCCCTAAGGGCCTCAAGGCTCGAATCGCGAAGGAGAAGGAGTCTAAGGAATATATCCAGTCCAAGGCGCCAGAGAAGTACTGGCAACACATCATTCCCAAGTTTCCGCTTGGATGCAAGCGTCGTATCTTTGACCCTGGATACCTTGACGCCCTCTGCCTGCCTAACGTTGAGGTGCTTCCCGAAGGTATCAAGGAGTTCACTGAGACGGGTATTATTAGCTCTTCGGGAATCCAGGACGACTACGACATTATCGTCCTCGCCACCGGATTCCAAGTTTCTGAGTTCCTGACTCCCATGGAAATATTCGGCGCAGATGGGCGCTCGCTGCAGCAGCAGTGGCAGGAATGTCGTGGCGCCCAAGCATACCTGGGCACCTACGTCCACAACTTCCCCAATCTCGCCATCATCTTCGGGCCCAATACCTTCCCTGCCAACAACTCGGCCCTGTTCGCGTGCGAGACCCAGGTAGACTACGCCATAAAATCGCTCTTCACGCCGCTGATCGATCGCTGGGCCGACGTCCTCGAGGTCAAGCAGACTGTTGAAGACTACACGACTAATGCCATCCACGAGCAGCTAAACAACACCGTCTTCGCGGGAGGTTGCTCCAACTGGTACATCGGTAAACACGGCCGAAATGCTGCCTCCTGGCCCGGACTGGCGCGGTCGTTCTGGTTCAGTACCTACTTCCCTGACTGGTCGGCCTTCAACCTCGCAGGTGGAAGCAGGTTTTGGCCACTCTACGCTGCTCGACGCTGGCTGACTACCATGAAGCCGCTTACAAAAGTCTTGGTTTCAATAAGCTTTGCGGCGGCAGCCATCATTTATGGAGGTTATGGAGCAAGGCTCCCGGCACTTGCTTCCCTGCGTAGCCTAGCCGCGAGGGTGAAGGCGTTTTAAATCGTATTTTGGGGTGGATTCGTAGACGTTCTTTCCTACTCAGAAAGTAGATTGCTTATGAGATCTTAGCTTTGTGTTCAATCTTAGACGGAGTACTAGTATAGCAGCTAAATATTAGAATGCGTTAATGTCATGCCTGCTCCTATTTATCATAAACGGCAGGTTTCTCAGCTCAAACGTTGGGGGTGTTATCAGGTTAGGTACGCCCTGGACCTCCGAAGTATTTCTGAGTAGATCTCAAGTCTTACAAAGTCCAAACGTCTTTACTTGAGCATCTAAACGCCCAATGAAGTGACCAATTTACAATGCTGCAATTTCACAAGAAAAAAACCTATCAAGAAGGGAAAATTGCAGCTCCAAAAACAAAATGAGAACTCGTGGTGAGGAAAAAGAGCTTTATTTTGCTTCGAAAGTATAGCCGCTCATACTATAGGGTAACCAATTATACATTCAAGCATCCCAATGTCGCACGAAACTTATATTACCATATCCCACAACTCAAATAAAAACCTTTCATATGAGGTTATGAAGGGAAGAACTTGTTTTGAGCGCCTGGCTCTAAGCAGAAAGTACCTGATTCGGGTCGATAAGAATAGGCACTGAAATCAATGCCGTAAGGTGTCTAAATCGAGCTCGCGTCAGTAAAAGCCTTCCTCGTGATACAGCTTCTATGTGGAACTATGTAGAAATACATACTGGCTTAAGGCAAAAGCCCCAGTTTTTCGGTATCACCATCTCTGCCAGATCATCGCGGCGGAGATCCAAGAAGTAAGACAGAAGGACACGCACAACTGCCCGATGTGTCACAAGCAGCACATGATCCTTCCTGCGCTCCAGTTCTAGGATGACGGGCCGTAGGCGGGAGATGAGGTCAACATAGCACTCTCCGCCAAGGCCAGGCCACCTATATAGGAGTTTATGCTGTTTGCGGGCAGTGTAAACGGCAGGTTGACTTGTAGCAATCTCCTCGAACGTCAGCCCAGCCATGTCGCCTGCATTAAGATCGTCAAGCGTCTTCATCTGCAACTTTGTAAAAAGCTTTTCGCAAAATCCTAAAGCGGTTTGGGTGGTCTGAGGCATGGTGGAAGTCCAGATGCAAAAATCGAGAGGGCAAGACCAATTTTTGTGACGCTGTGGGTGTAAGGCGTCCTGTTTCCGTGTCGGATCGTCAACACTGAACCTTGTTGAGTCACGATTCTGAGTTCTATGACTTTGCCTCTTCTTTTCCCAACGTTCGCGCTCTCCGTGGATGAACCGAACGAGTGAAGCTGCATACCGCTGTCCGTTTTCCGTGAGGTCTGATCGCCTCCCTATTCTGCCAGCACTATCGTCTATGCTCTCGCCACCGCTGAATATCCATATTTGACGCTCTGACAAGTTGAAGTTAAGCATATACTCAACCACTCGACTTGAAAGATATCCCTGGATCAAGTGCGTGTTGATCTTCCGGCCAACATCAATCACCTGGAGATAGGGGATCTTGTCTTGCTCTTCAACTTCTCCAAGTGGAACATATGACTTCTCGTAGAAGACGACCCTCTGACGGAAATCCCTAAGGGCCTCATCAGGGTCTTGGCCCCTGTAGTCCGGTCCGTTGAGCTTCAGTTGGAAGTTGTGCTCGAGTATGTCCTGGTCGAAGCAGCAAGTTTCTATGAATAGCACTTCATTTAGAGTGCCACGTTTCCGCCGGATATGTGATAGTAGAATTTGGCGGCGCTCTTGTGTGCTGTTTGTCGCATCAAGTATCCCAATACTGCTGCTATCTTGTCTAGAGAGCCAATTGAGAAGTTCGTCTAGAGTTTTGAGGGCAATCTGGTCGCGAGCTGAGACCAGATCAGCGTTCGTAGGGTCGAAGAAGGCAGCGGAAGAAGAGAATTGACCTCTACTGAGATGTGATTCCTCCGCTTTCTCGCCACTTTGTTCTACATGCGCTTCTGCCCTACGTCGTTCTCCAACGTTGAAGACACGGGCTTCATACTGTAACCAGTTCAGGTATCTGGACAATTTTCTGACGATGTAGCTTTTACCTCTGGCAGGTAGCCCGACCATGATGATCAGCAATTTCGGGGCTGCATCTGCTTCCTTGGCGCAGGGCAGATTAGAGAGTACAGAGCTGCCCATATTCAAGATGGATGACTGATAGTGTCCCCCACCTGTTACAAAGTGCTATCTTTCAACGGGCGGCTTGGGTACAGCGTGGGTTTCCCCTGCCCGGTTTATGGGGCAAGAACAGTGTAACCGGGAGGGCAGAGCTGTCATATCCTTTCCTATTGGAGTAATTAAACCTTAATGCAGCTAACGGATTCAATATCCCGATCGGCGAAGATCTAACGTCCCGGGATTCGAGAGCCGGCGGGGTGAGTGGGGCTGGGAGTCGGATGGGAACAACGTGCGGGGTTCGGACGTGAGCTCCGGGTGGAGATGGGAAACTTGGATTCGTCCCACTTCCCCATACTCTAAGATCTCCGAAATTCCAAACCTCCAAAAGCTATAGACGCAACTTTTGTCTTTGAGCATGGCATAATCCTCAAACTTTCCTATTGCATTGAACTCTAGCTGCTGTAACCTAACACTCTAAATCTCACTTTTTTTATATATCTCGATTTTCAAACAATGTCTTACCACGAACAACATCTACAGAGCGTAAGTAGGCCCATGCTCATTCAAGCAACCTGGGCGTGCGGATAGCTAATCCAAGCCCTTTGTGACTACAGTTGAAGGACAGGAGCCTGTTCTGCGGAGATGCATTCATCGACGGACAATGGGTCTCCAAAGAAAAGAAGTTCGATGTCTACGGTCCGTACTCCCGTAGGCTAGCCATCATCTTTCACCATACTCATGTTGAATAGAGCCCTCATCAGTCGCCGTCTTGGGCCAGGTATCGGACTGCAATCTCGAGGATTTTCAGAAAGCCGTCCAGAGTGCGAATGAGGCACAGCGTAACTTCTATGAAAGTACAACGGGAACAGCAAGGGGAGCACTGTTGAGGAAATGGAACAACTTGATCCTGGAGAACCAGGATGATCGTAAGTATATACAACTTTGACTGAGCTAAGATACATCCTAACATGACTTACAATAGTTGCGACGATCCTTTCGCTCGAAAATGGCAAGACTTTGAGCGAGGCCAAGGGTGAAGTCATCTACGCCGCTAGTTTCATATCATGGTTTGCCGAAGAAGCCACTCGATCCTACGGCACTACTATTCCATCATCTACTTCTCATGCAACTCTCATGACCGTCCGCGAGCCAGTCGGCGTGTGCGGAATCATCACACCCTGGAACTTCCCTGCAGCCATGATCACTAGGAAAGTAGGTCCGGCTCTCGCTGCCGGCTGCTCCGTCGTCATTAAGCCACCCAGCGAGACACCGTACACTTGCATTGCCCTCACCAAGCTGGCCGTCAAAGCTGGTCTGCCTCCCGCAATAATCCAAGTGTGTCCTACCAAGGACAGGCAGGCTGCTACCGAGCTAGCCACGAACCCTCTAGTGAAGAAACTCAGCTTCACAGGCTCGACAAACGTGGGCAAGATGTTAGCCAAGCTGGCGACTGGTACCTTGAAGAAAGTCAGCCTCGAGTTGGGCGGTAACGCTCCATTCATCGTTTTTGACGATGCGAATCTCGATCTGGCTGTGGAGGGTGCCATGTTCTGCAAGTTCCGTTGCACGGGGCAGACATGTGTTTGGTAGGACTATCTTCCCCCCCACTTTCTATACATGTGTATACTACGCACTACACTCTGCGGGCAAGTGGACTATGTACATAATTCTAACGGTGACTTTAGCGCGAATCGGATTTATGTACAGAAAGGTGTGGCCAAGGCTTTCACTGAGAAATTAGTGGAGGCTGTAAAAGCGCTTAAGGTGGGACCGGGTTTGGATTCAGCTACAACCCAAGGCCCATTAGTAAACAAAAATGCTGTTGAAAAGGTCAAGGAGCACGTAGAGGACGCAGTCTCCAAGGGCGCGAGTATTGAGGTTGGCGGCCAGTCATCCCTATCCTCCGGGTTCTTCTACGATCCCACTGTGCTCTCCGGAGTGACCCCAGATATGATGGTCAGCCGAGAGGAAACGTTCGGCCCGCTCGCTCCAATATTTCAATTTGAGACCGAGAAAGAGGTCTTGCAACTCGCTAATGACAGCGAATTTGGGCTGGCCGGATATTTCTTTTCTCAGGACATCGCGCGAGCAATGCGAGTAGCACAGAAGTTGGAAGTTGGAATGGTAGGCGTGAATACTGGAAAGATTAGCGCGGCCGAGGCGCCCTTTGGGGGCATTAAGGAGAGCGGCTACGGCAAGGAGGGCAGCCTTTATGGTCTTGCAGAGTACCAAAATATCAAGAGCATCACCATTGGCAACCAGAATGCTGGGCTCTGAATGGAACACGAATATAAATAGCAATTTTAGTCTGCTTATAACTTTCACTATCTTCTTCGCACGTTATAGTCATTTCGTTCCTGGAGTATTTGACAAGCGACTGAACGAATGTAGAGACCAGTGAAAGAATTCAAGCTTTTCACCGCGGAGTAGCCTTGCCCCATCAATCCACCATTTGCTATTGCCGATAGATGTTGCTGGAAATGCTGCTATGCAGGGATCCGGCCTGGACAGAGTTCCATGGCCAAGCTCGGATTATGGCTTCCGCTATTCGGGAGTGGAAGACATAATCATCTTCCGATGCCGCGCTCGCAAAAGACTACATCTTAAAGGTTGTTAGATTAGATGTTGCTTTTCACTTTATAGACTTTCACACTTTGAAACGACAGCAACTCCACGCAGAAGCCTCATTATGTCGTTAAGGCAGAACGGTGTTCGCACGCACAAGATTGCTTCTATCCCCGGGGACGGTATAGGGGTAGAAGTAATAGAACAGACGATCAAGGTTCTCCGGACCATAGAGGCACTGTTCAGCTCATTCACTTTAGAAATCGACACTCTGGACTGGAGCTCGAAGCGATACTTAGAGCAAGGCAAATACATTCCCGCAGATGGCTGGCAGAGATTAAGTGTCAACGATGCCATCTTGTTTGGTGCTGTTGGATCACCTGGTATGTGCTCGGTCAAGAAGGGAGGATATTTTCAATCCAGAGGTCACATATCTAACATTTTTTCTTAGATGTGCCCGATGATATCTCCCTGTGGAACCTGATTCTGCCGCTTCGAAAAAAAGTGATAACTCTTAAGACAATTCATATCAGACCAGCAGCTGACAGTAGCTCAGTTGAATCAATACATCAACCTTCGTCCAATCCGGATTCTGCCTGGGATTTCAGCTCCGCTAAAGGGCTGCGCAGATAGCGACCTAGACTGGATCATTGTCCGGGAGAATAGCGAGGGTGAATACGCTGGCCAGGGCGGCATCACGCACGATGATACCCCGAACACCATTGCGAACGAAGTCGCCGTCTTCACCAGGGCTGGTATCGAACGCACCATGCACTTCGCATTCAAAGTCGCTCGAGACAGACCCCGAAAGAAACTAACCATGGTAACTAAGAGCAACGCCCAGAGATACGGCATGGTCTTGTGGGATAAGGTCTTTTATGAGGTTGCAAAGGAGTATCCGGATGTAGAGACAGACAAGATGCTTGTAGATGCCATGACAGTGCGGATGGTGCTGAAGCCCAAGTCGCTCGACACCATTGTAGCTACCAACCTCCACGGAGACATTCTGTCGGATTTGGCCGCCGCACTGGCTGGCAGCATTGGGGTTGCTGCTTCCAGCAGTCTAGACCCAACGAGGCAGAACCCCAGCTTGTTCGAGCCGATCCACGGAAGTGCTCCAGACATAGCAGGTCAGGGTATTGCTAATCCCGTCGGGGCGTTTTGGAGCGCTGCCGAAATGCTCCGCTGGCTTGGAGAAGGCGCGGCGGCGGACCTCTTGATGAAGGCCATTGAGACTGTTACAGCCTCTGGTGCTAAGACAAGGGATTTGGGGGGTGCATATGATCTTGCTCAAGTCACTGAAGCAGTCATTGTGGAGATGAAGAGGTCATTCAGCAATGCCAGGAAAATCGTGTCTAAAATCTAATCTAAGAGTTTGGTTAAATTATTACATTACAATTGATATTCCTCCTTGGTATTGTCCCTTCTGACAGTGTCCTCGGAGGGTAGTTCGCTGGGGGTATATTATTAGAGTTATTTTGATGTTCCATTCTTAATCTTCTTTAACTGTTGTATTGTCGTAACTGTATGGCATTATCTCTAACCCCGGAAAATTGATTGACTACAAAAGTGCAAAATCCAGCATTGGCTGGCTTAGCGAAATCGATAGCGATAATACCCCATTAGAACTCAAATCCCCACTATTCTCACTGTCGTCGGCGACGTAAGTGCTGGCCCCCCGATGCCTACGGTACCGGGCGAGTATACTCGTGTTATCATACCGTTTAGGTCTATCTTCGTAGCAAAGCCTAGACCATTGTTGCCCACGGGCAGTCATCTCGGAGGGAATTTCCGTTAATGTGCATATGTATGAGCGGCGGCCCTATGCGGAAACTGAATTCCGGCATCGTTTCATGAAGGACTAGGTATAGGTAGTAGTAATATGGACGCAGCCGTAACGCAGTTATGAGAAGCACGACACCTTGTACCCACTTCGCAAATATGGCACCCTCATACTTCAAACTGAACACAGGAGCCAACATCCCTGCCCTAGGCCTCGGCACCTGGCAATCTGGACCAGGAGAGGTCAAAAATGCCGTGTCGTACGCGCTCCGTACCGGCTACAAGCTCATCGACTGCGCTTTCTGTTACGGCAATGAGTCTGAGGTTGGGGAAGGTATCAAGGAGGCTCTGGACTCAGGTGCCGTAAAGAGAGAAGATTTCTTCGTCACTAGCAAGATGTGGTGTACCTTCTCGTCCAGGGTAGAGGAAAACCTCGACATGAGCTTGAAGGCTTTAGGGCTCGACTATGTCGATCTCTATCTTATACATTGGCCAGTGGCCATGAATCCTCACGGTATGGATGTACAGCTCAGTTGTATGGCCATTTAGGCTGACATGAGAACTTGTTGGTTGTAGGCAACGATATCAAATTTCCCACGCATCCAGATGGCTCCCGTGATCTTGACTTGTCATGGTCACACATCCAGACCTGGAAACAGATGGAGGATCTAGTCGGAACGGAAAAGGTGAAGGCGATAGGGGTGTGCAACTACAGTCTGAAGTATCTAGAGGAGTTGGTTTCCCATGCCACCGTGGTCCCTGCGGTTAATCAGATTGAGAACCACCCCTACCTACCACAAACCGAGGTGGTGTCTTTCTGCAATTCTAGAGGCATCCAAATCATGGCATACTCACCTCTTGGGAGCGCCGGATCCCCTCTGATGAAAGAGTCACTTGTGCAGGCTATTGCTGCGAAGCATGGACTATCTCCCGCCACTGTTCTCCTAAGCTATCACAGTCTGTCCTCCCCTGCTCCTATCGTCTTATTATATTTAATGCTGATACATGATCCTTAGACAAACGCGGCAGCATTGTAATCGCTAAGTCTGTACAGGAGAGTCGAATTGACCAGAATAATAAAATCATTGACCTAGATGCAGACGACATGGAAGCTCTAGAAAACATCTACAAGTCAGCTGGGATCAGGAGATATGTATATCCGGCCTTCAATGTAGACTTTGGCTTTCCAGATAAATCTTAGATAGATATTGATAGCGTGGTTACATAGTACATAGCTGACTCTGTCGGATGTCCAAATACTGATCAGCAATGGATTCAAATGAGATCTTGTTACTGCCTGCTTCTTAGAGATATGTGTGTATTCCATGAGATGGGCTAGTATAAGTAAGGATACAGTGCTATATTGTGTAACAGAGAAAACTTGGCCTGCCAAAAGTTCAAACCCCTCAGATAACTCAACTCTATCCGCTATATATGACATATAGTTGTTTGTGAGCCTAAAGAATACAGCGAATGTCTGTCTAGACCTAGCAACTTCATACATGCTGTATCTGGCCCATAAGGGTCTGCTCAGCCGAAGCGGCTGCAATCCTCATGAAATCCTTCTCTTCCTGCCCGCTTTTATCCCCAAACATGATGTCCATCTGTTCTAGAGTCTTGCCCTTTGTCTCCGGGACGAGAAGCAACGCCCAGAGACCGGAAAGACCACAGAAAAAGGCGAAAAAAATATAGGTCCCGTAACCAATAGTTTCAAGCATGGGAGGGGTGGCGATTCCAACGGTGAAGTTGGAAAGCCAGTTAACGCACACAGAAAGAGCCACACCCTTCGCGCGCTTAGAATTTGGGAACACCTCCGGGGGCAGGCTCCACCCCAAGGGCGAGTAGGAAACGCCATAAACCATAATGAAGCAGAAGGCCATGGCGACTGCTGCCCAGCCAGCAGCCGGGTTTGCTGACCAGTTCTTTGAGTAGACTCCAGCAATAGCAGCAATGACGACGTAGCAGATGCAGGAGCCAAACCCTCCCACGATGGCAAGTGGCCTTCGTCCCACCTTATCGATGACAACGAAGCAGACTCCGACAGCGACAAGCTGCAATACATTAAAGACTCCCGATAGAGTAAGCGCCATCTCGGGCGACTGCCCTATAGATTGGAAAAGGGTGGGTGCGTAGTAGATGAAAGCGTTGATGCCAGAAAACTGCTGGAAGAAGCAGACTCCGCAGCCCACCACGGTTCTGCGCCACATCTTGCGGTCGAAAAGATCAAGCCACGAGAGCACCTCAAGCTTGAAAGAGCCAGTTCCCGGGTGTCTTTGTGCCAAGACCATCTTATTGAATTCGACCTCGGCGACGATGCCCTTGAACTCCTTTTGGACGCGGCTGTCGGAAGGGGGCAGACGCCGCAGCTTTGATAGACTGGTTAGGCATTCTTCGTTGCGGCCGACGAGAGCGAGCCATCGGGGCGAGTAAGGGAAGAGGTGGATAGCAACACCTAGAAATGTGGCGCAGAGCATTTGCAATCCCAGGGGGAGCCTAAACGAGACTTCGCTGGAGATGAATCGTGTACCGTAGGTGATCCAGAATGCAATGACGACGCCAGACACAATGGAGATGGACTCGAGCACGAGAAGTGTTCCTCGTAGATTTGGCGGAGAGATCTCAGAGATGTATAGCGGCGCGCCCTGTGTTATATCCCCATTAGCTTTCCGTACAAAAGCACGCATTTTCAAAACAACAACTTTACAGAGTACATGTTTACATACCATTGCAAGCGTACCAACTCCAATACCTCCAATAGCTCTTCCAACAACCAGGGCACTGTAGCTCTGAGCCGCGGTCTGGATGATGGCGCCGATGTCGAATATAATAACCACAACGGTCAGGGCCCACTTACGCGAGATCCTGTCAGCCAGGTACGGCATGAAGATGCAGCCTATAAAAGCGCCGAGCAGCAGCATGGCAGTCATGAGGCTAGTGCCAAACGCAGTCTTCGTCTGGGGGAAGGCGTCTTGGAACTGTTCCATAACGTTGATAATCGAGATGACGCCCTGGTCGTAGCCGAAGGAGAAGCCGCCCAGCGAGGCGAGGAAGGCGGCACCGAAGACGTATGAGTTGCCAATCAGCCCACGGATGCCGTTTGGCCCATACGCCAAGTTCTCGGCGAAGATATCATCAGCCTCCAGGTCGGTCATGGTCTTGTTCTCGGAGCGTTCCACATGCTCGCTTTGGACCCTTTCTTCAGGCGTCACAGTATCCGAGTCGAGCTTCTTGTCTATGGACATGGCGGACAGAGATTAGATACCTATTTGGCTCTGTTGATAAGTTGTTTTTTTCATGCATATATAGAAGTAAGGAAGGTGTGGCAGGTAGAAGATGATAAAGTTGTCGTGGCAGATAAGTGAGACTATCAATTCTTATATCATTTTGAGACTGTGGGGTCCCCATAGTTGGGGAAGGCCGCTTAGATTGAATGAGACTAAAACAGTCGTGAGTTCGGATATCTCCACTCGGGTCGTAAGGGGGCTGATCATGGAAACCAAATTCCGAGATGCGGCCCATCAGAAACCGGGCCTATTCGTATGCCAACGCGGGGTGGCCAATATTAACTAGACTAAAAAGGAATCTAGTTGGCCCCACCTTCCCCGGAATTTGCAACGGCTCGCTATCAAGAGCCGGCACACTCACAATACTAACTAATCGTCATGACCAACTTTTCGCTTCGCTCAAGGTTGGAGGAAGCCATGTGCGTGGTCGAAGAATGGAGGGTAAGCGATATGCATAGTTTAAACCTAAATTTTATAAGTCATTTTGCATAACGTACTTGCATAGCGAGCGGAACATCATAGCGAGCGGAACACTTTTTCCTAAAATGTAACCATATAACTTAAACATCACTTTTCTCAACTAATTATTATAGAATCTTCTTTAGTTAAAAGCTATACTATCCTTGCTATTTAAGCTTTAAAAAAAGACCCTAAACTCTCTATATAAGACGCTATAAAGATCTATGAAATACCTATGACAACTTTATACTATTAACATGTTAGATAATAATTATAACATAATATGTTATCTAATTTAAGGAAGCTTATAGATCTAGAGGAGTTAGTTATTATTTAATGTATACTTAACCTAGATTTATAAGGATTTTAACCCTAATAGAGCAATGTTTAAGAAATAGCTAATTACCTTTATATAGACTAAAACGTATTACTAGTTAGACTATAATAGGTAGAGAACTTTATAAAGTGCTACCTATAGCTTAAGATAGCTTTTTAATACTAAATTAATTATTAAAGGGCTAAATGTAAAGATCCTAATGTTATATAGGCCTAGTTTATACTTATATAGAATGTTATTACTAAGTATAGTATCTAAGAGGTAGATATCTATAACTTTAATAAGACTAGGTTTTTAATAGGTATACTCTTAAGTATAAAGGTAGTTATAAGCTCTAAATAATGTAGTAAGCCTTATATAAAGTAGCTAGGTAATTAGGAATAGGTTATAGTAATCTAGGGTATATATATAACTAGCTAGGTAGTACCTTTATATATAGTTGTTAAAGGTAAATATTACCTCTTACCCTACTAATTCCTAAAGGATTAGAGGATTTATATAAGTAATAATAGTTAGATAATAAATAAGATTAGGTTAGATTAGATAAAACACTTTAATAAGTATATAAAGGGTTATATAATAGGTATAAATTATCTATTAATACTTAATAGTTATAAAAGTCATTACTTAGCTCTCTTTAAGGACTATTATTAATAGAATTATATTATAATACTCTATAACGTATTTCACAAGCGACTTGCCTACACAAGCGACTCGCCCACTAAAACACTAAAACGCGTCAACTTGACAAATGTAAACATGCCACAACCAACACAAGCCTAATCCTCTAATCAAGAGGATTGAATACTATTGGCTATTAATGCAATCAAACAAGGCCAATTTCGAAGTGTTCGAGCAGCTGCAGCTTTGTACGATATCCCCTAAACGACCTTACGCGATCAGATTCACAGAATGGCTTCTCAACGCGATTCTATTCCTAAATCACAGAATCTGACTTCGTACGAAGAGTCAGCTCTCGTTTAGTACATTCTCGACCTAGATTCACGTGGATTTCCGCCCTAGCTGCAAGCTGTACAAGAAATGGCTGACCTTCTACTCTCCGAACGAGGCAAGAGCCCTGTTAGGAAGAATTAGACTACTAACTTCATAAAGCGTCGTACAGAAATTAAAGCAAAGTTTAGTCGGAAGTATAACTATAAACGAGCAAAATGCGAAGATCTGAAGATAATTAAAGGGTGGTTCTCCCTTATACGAAACATAATTACAAAATACGGAATCTTAGAGCAGGACATCTACAACTTTAATAAAGTAGGTTTCACAATAGGAGTTATTGCTACTGCAAAAGTAGTTACAAGCTTAGAAGCAAAGAGCCGTCTAAAGACTATACAGCCTAGAAATAGAGAGTAGGTGTTAATTATTTAAGGTGTTAATTCGTATAGATGGGCACTCCCGCCATTCATCATTTTCAAGGCGTAGAATCACCTCTCTGCTTAGTACGAGGACTTAGGATTACTACACAACTAGGTAATTACACTAAGTAAGAATAGGTGGACTTCAAATTCAATTAGGTACAAGTGGATTCAACACTTCAATCGGCATACAAATGCTTGTACGGTTGGAACCTATCGCCTTCTTATTCTTAATGGGCATGAGAGCTACCTCTCTGCTTAATTTCAACACTACTATATAGAACGGAAGATAATTACCCTCTATATACCACTACACTCGTTGCACATTCTTTAGCCTCTTGATGTAAGCTGCTTTGCGCTACTAAAGCTCTCGTACGGAAAGCAGATTGAAACCTTCGTACGAAACCAGCTAAACCACATTACAAAGCTCAAGTTCCTCTCTACATTCAAAGAAGCATTCAAAGCTACATTTATAGAGCAGAACATTAAGAGCGGATTCTAGGCTATAGGGCTAGTTCTATACGAGCTACAGACTGTCCTCTCTTACTTAAATCTACACTTAAGGACTCTAACTCCTCCTATAGTTGAGAGTAGCAATTAGACTTCAAAGACTCCTCAAACTATACGGGAGCTTAACTTTTAAATAGAGCACATTAAGAACTGCATCGTACGACATCAGAACAGCTCTCCTACCTCAATTAATGATGCTATTAGCTGCCTTGTTAAAGGGGCAGAAATGATGATGCATTCTGCTATTCTACTCAAGGCAGAGGTTAAGGCTCTACAGGCTGCAAATGAACAGAAAAAGAGGAGGGAAAGGAAGCGTAAGAGGCGTATAATGCAAGGGGGCAGTCTTTCTGTACGAGAGGGAGAGGATATCCTTTAGAGTGCTGAGGTTGATGCTCAACTCCGTACGGAGGTGGCAAGTGAGACTACTCGGCAGGTGGGTTCTATAGGCCGACAGCGGCGATGTGGCACATGTGGTAATATGGGGCATAATGCTCGTACGTGCGAGAGGCGCTAGGAATCAATTGCAATAGAATAAGGGTTATTATATAAGGTGGTGGTAGTGTAGTAGTAGTAATAGTCATATTCTAGTGTTTTGGTGGGCGAGTCGCTTGTGTGGGCGAGTCGCTTGTGAAATACGTTATACTTCCTTATTTATCTTATTTCCTTTAACCTCTTAATATTAGCTGTTTTATATTACTTAAAAGCTTATATAATAATGTATATATATAATTAAAGCACTAAATAAGCAAAAGTGCTAAAATATTATAACTAGTCTTACTATACTTACTATATGTAAGTATATAGGGCACTATATTATAAGAAGTTGCATATAGGAGTATAAGTTAGATAGAAGTTAGTATAATCCTATAGGTCTACTATAAAGGATACTAAAAAAGATAAGGATGTAACCCTCTATAGCTATTCCCTTAAAATACCTAAAACTACTCTAACTTAGCTAACTCCCTATTTGCCTAAGGCTTCCTTACTATATGCCTAAGGCTTGTAGTTGTAATTAAACTATAACAGCCCTAAGTCTTAAGGGCGCTACGTAACGACCATAACTACCCTAAGTAAGGAGGCATCCTTATAATATCACTACGTAGGTAAGGTATGATAATAAAGCATATAAGAGCCCATTTACAGCTTTTTATAAAGGTTGAGCTGTCTACAGTCACTGCCACCGAGCAGAATCGCTAAAGCCATAGTTGAGTTAGCACTAACGTTGCGACTGTAGCGGATACGGCCTAATTCGGAAGGGTGGGTGCAGGGATGTGTGTAGCCTAAGGTAGCGGAAAAATCGCTCATCGTGATTCCAGGGTGGTTCAGGTTATATTCGCCCTCTACTGTGCGTAAATAAATTGTGTGTGTGTACGTACCGATAGAGGAACAATCCGCTGCTCACGCCACTGCCCCCTACATTGTCCTTTCCATCACTCGATCTTCTTCCCAACCCGTCAGAGTCAGCGCTGGTTACGGCCTGATGAACTGGGCTTCGTTCACATAAATCACATCATCGATGAACTGGGCTTCGTTCACATAAATCACATCATCAATGAACGGACCCCGAAGATAGCACTAGAGACCTGCGACCGTTGCAAGCGCAGGGAGCAGAAGCACTCATGGTTGAAAGACAAGTTGGCTAGCCACTCTCGACGGCTCTGGATCAAGGCCTCACAGCATACCCCTTGCGAGATATGCTAAAATTACCAAGTGGAAGAAGAACAGCCACTCAAGATCATCCCGCTACCTTAGGTCAATATCAATGAGGTCAGGTAGCGGAAGCACAAGTACTAACGATTATGTTTCAAGTTACCAACCATTCAGGCAGCTCTGCCTACAGAGATTAAACGAGTTCGGCGACGTACACATAATGCCGGTTCCACCGAGCACCGTGCTTAACACGTCTGACCCAAACTACCAAGCGAAGCTCACGATGGACCGCCAACATCGTCGACGTCGCCTCCGACTTATCCTCTCCTTTCCACTTCCTGACGAACAGCGACTCCTACGCGGACAACGCTGACCTGTGGAGCGCCCATTGGTGGGCCCATGCCCAAGTACTGGAGCGTCTGGTCCTGCGAGTCGAACTTCTCGCTGCATCTGTACAAGACGGCTGTGCACCGCGTGGATGTACGGACAAAACACGGGTAGGACGTCGCAAGCTGGCGAGGGAGTGGAGAGTCGAGACAGGTTGGGAGAACCAAAGCAGCCCGGAATGTTATTGTGTCAGGCAACGAATAAGCCGCGGAGGAGTATGCTTTAACCATCCCTTAAATAAGAGCTTCGTGCTTAACTTGATATAGTATTTGTTATACCGCAGACTATAATGCATACACTTAAAAAGCCTTTTATGCCTAATCCCTTGCCTTACCAGTTAACCCTTTACATACGGAAGCCATCTTCAGAATGCTTAGGGCTATTCCTTTTAAGACCATCAATAGACCCTAACAGTCCTCGTTGATCTTTGTCGTAAAAATCCGACTTTATTACTACGGTGTGGCTCGTTTAGAATGTCATGCCTTAGCATTGACAGAGCTTATCCATCCGATACTCAAAAACAAAGTATCCGTGGTTTATACTGTCGCAGGCTCCGAGGCGCACGGTTACTTTCTTGGTTTCTGCAGGCCATATTAGAACATCTAGCGATCATATTCGATTCCAGTTTCACCACTCACCTTTAGGAATTCGGAATGAACCCCAGAATCCAGCATTAGAGATACTCTTCAAGGCCCCGGCGTCATAACGGCCAACATCAACAGTGGAGGCGATATGTTTCGTATTATATTTATCATCGCCGAGGCTCAGTGGGCCATGCGTCTTACCAACCTCTTTACCATCTGCGAGAACCGTATACTGTTCTGTGGTGACCCAAGTATCTGCAATGGTGAAAACAAGATCGAAGTCGTAACCGCTGACGTCAATATCTTGATCCCGAGCAGTTGTGTACAGTGGCTTCCCTTCATTCCAGGCTGCTACTTCTTCGCCTATGCAGGGTGTATCTGCTGAACAGGCTCCAAAGAACTGGATTTGAGCTCCTTTGGGGGATTTGTAGTACACATCATCCGCCGATGTTCCTGTGACCACTAGTTAGACTTTTCTTCAATCTTTGGTATCAAAACTTGCCAGCAGGAATCAAATAGCTTGTCCCGGACGCTTGTGGCTGGAGCTTCTGATCCTTGACATAAATACTTAGATCATCATCGGGCCACCCCACTACCCACGTGTCAAAGGGATACTTGTAGTTCACCACGGGTACGTTTGGATTGGGTAAGACCTTGTGATCAGAGCCTGTTGCCGGTAGGTTTTTTCGAACTTTGTTGTTCTCCAAGGGAAGCCATTTACACGGCGAGTTGTCCCGCGGACACTTCCAGTTAGGAATCGGGTCAGGGTTTGGTGTAGGCTTGCCACAGCCATTCTTAATGATGACCTCGATAAGGTTGATATTTCCGTTGAGAACGGTGAGGTAGTACTCGATGAACACGTCCAAGGCTACCTGGTCGTGAGGGAAACAGCGCACCAGAGTTTCCCGAAGAAGGCTTTCTAGCCCGGCGTCCTTGAGATGAGTCCCACAGGTTCCAGGGAGTGGAATAGGGACTACACAGTTTCAGCGCCCATTGCAATGCTGGTCACCATCAGATGTGTCTGTACTCACTTTGGTCACCCTTCCCTCCGGGTTGCACGCAAGAGTCCTGCTTTAAATCTTGCCCTCGAGGACAGCAGATCCACTGACCTGTCTTGGGATCCTTGTGTAAAGTATTCAGATCCTGGTCAGGGTTGCAGATGTCGGAAGTCTGGACAGTGGCACATTTCCATTTTCCATCTTCTTGCTGAGGGACTTGACCTATAGATTTGTGAACATTTGTCTACAAATAGATGGACTGCCAAGCATACCTCTTTGCTTGCAGAGCTCTAACTGTAGCGAGTCAGTATAACCGAGTACGTATTCAAGTGTGACCACTCACTATTTGCTTAGGTGGAGAGTCAGACGCGAATGCGAAGGGAAGGAAGGCCAAAAGGCTAATGGCGCTGAAGTATTGCATGACTGCTGTGTCCTTTTCTCTTGCTCTTGATACTGGGATTCGAATGTTGCTGTTTCTCACCTTCCTTCAGGCAGTATCTGAGCTCTATTTATATTTGTTCATACTTGATCACGATGGCATTCCCCGTGGTCCCAAGACATAGTTAATGCTCAGATTCCTAGAATCACTGGAGCGGAATTAACATTTTTATTCATGACGATAATCTGATGTCAAAGTCGGCCTATAACACCTGAGATCACCATTTCAGCTAATGTACTAGCTGGAATGACAACTTTACACGACATACGGGACAAGGATTAGTTGGTAATGTGTAGGGCTGCGGAATAAGCCGCGGTCTAGCCTGCCTGCCGTCAATTAATTAGTCGATATGCAAACTTTAATCTCACCACAGAGCTTTGCATTGCTTCTATTAAGACGAAGCGGAGATTTCAGCAAAAGGAACTTCCCAAGAATATGAGGCTATAGATGACGCAAAAATAATATAATGTTAACTACATTTTAGGAACTTCGTCATTGCATTTTACTGTTTCCAACATTCTTAGCTAACTGCAATCAGGTGGGAATTAACAGAACGGCAAATTCCATTAACAAAAGTTTTCGACGTAGACGTCAATTACGGCATTTATTTTGCTACAGATCTATCTTATGCCCCAGAGAAACCCCTTATACGTAAGAATGTATTTTTGCATATAAAATGGAGGAGAGAGGCACTTATGCTCTATGTAACTAGTCTCCGTAAAACTTTTAAAACCGACGCAACGTAAGACACAAGGGGTCCATAGCTTACATTAGATCCATCGACCCGTCGATCGGTCGATTTGCCAGCTAGATTGGGCAGTTTCTAGGTAGTTGGATGCATCAACCCATCGATCCGTCGGTCGCTAGTTGGATCGGGCGGGTATTAAGTACAAGATCTATCGATCGACTCGTCGATCCATCGGGTCGCTAGTTAAATTAGGCGAGTTTGCTTGTGCTCCTTGCTAAGTTGGGACATAACTGTTCCGGCCCAACCGTGAGCGGGCCGGCCTAACCACGAGTTTTGAAGCTCACGGTTGGGCCAGCCCAACCGTGAGCCCAACCCAACCCAACGTAGTAGTGTAGAATAGTATCGTAGAAAATTCAAATCTATAACCTACAACCTACAACTATAGCAATTATGGCTACTATTGCTTCGATCAATCCATTTCCACATGATGTGCGCACTGCTTTTAAGGTCTATATGAGTAGTACTACCTACTATAACCGTAAGTAATTTATACACGAAAAATGGCACTGCATGCACATAATACTTAATAATCCTACTACCTACATACTATATAATAAAGAGAGCTTAAACCTTAAGATATGCACACTCTCTAGCTTTATGCTTATTAATAATAAGCTATATAAGCAAGGTGATATATAGCATCTATACCCTAGAATTATAGTTCTAAAAGAAGAGGTGTTTAATATTATTATATAAGAACACCTTAAGCTTCTACATGTAAGCTAGAATAAGGTATAGCCTACTATTAAGTAATAATACTATAGAATAAAGTAAGAAGATGTTAAGTTTATACTTAAACAGTATAAGAATTATATACTAAATCAACTAAATATAACTAAGGCTCCCTTAGTCCTTATTATAAGTAGGCAAGCGTAAGAGAGGGTTTAAATTAACCTAATTAATATATACTATAAGCTATTAGGGTAGTATAAATGGATTCTTTATATAAAGGATTATTTCTTAAAATATATATAGCTATACCTATTAAAAAGCAAGCACGTAGAGCCTATTTTAGACTGCTTTACTTAATTTATTACTACATTCTTACCTCCTAAGATTATGTAAGCTAATAACAGAAAGGAATTTAAGGGGGCTCTCTTACTCTTACTATAGAAGTATAGAATATAGGTAGTAAATAGAGCACTATAATTACTATAAACGCAAGGCCTAGTTAAGTAAGTAAATGAAGTTGTTAAGAATAAGCTCTAGGCATAGAAAATGGATCATAGGTCTATAGAATGGAAGAATGAGCTACTTAAAGTAGTGCTTGCTATGAACACCTAAATCCACTCTACAATTAGGTGTGCGCTAGCTAAGCTTCTATTCTAAGAGCAGAGCTCATATATTAACTAGCTCAACAGTTAGGCCTAGAAGGATTTGTCAATTGGAATTAAGTAGGAAGACCCAACCATGGGCCCGATATTTGAGAGTGATCTTGAGCCCGAAGCTCTAATTGACCCACAGCTCCGCTAGGCGCTAGAGCTCTCAATTGAGCTTAGAATTAGGAGCTCCCACTCTAAGCCAGAACTCGGAATTGAGCTCGAAATTGAGAGCTTACACTCTAAGCTAGAAATCGGAATTGAGCTTGCAATTGAGAGCTCACACTCTAAGCCAGAAATCGGAATTGAGCTCGCAATTGAGAGCTCACACTCTAAGCCAGAAATCAGAATTGAGCTCGCAATTAAGAGCTTACACTCTAAGCTAGAAATCGGAATTGAGCTTCAGCGTGGGACCTAGGCTCAAGTTCTAGCTCAGCTTAGAACTGAGCTTCAGCTTATACTAGATCCTATAATTGAGAGAGCTATAGTAGCTACTTAACGAGCAAGGATTTCTATAGTGTAGAAGTATACAAAGAAGCATGATATTTAGCACTTTAATATAGGAGCAATAGTCTCTATAAAGGTTCCTTAAGAGGATAGAACCTTAACTGATCATAAGAGGTTATATGCACGCATTCTAGAAGAGCCTTACCCTCATAGGTATTGCATTCTTACACCTTTAGGTGTTATATAACGCCTTATACCTACAAAATCACTTAGAGCTATATAGAGCAAGCTCTATAGTCTAATATCATTATTCCTACTTCTATAAAGCAAGTAACACTAGGGCTTGCAGCTAGAGAGGCTTCTATAAGCGTACGGGTTAGAATATGGTGTCAATGTAAGGGGCAGTGTAGTACAAAGCGGTGCTAGTGCTATAAGGAAGCAAAGGAGTGTAGTGTACACTGTCATAATGATGATTATGATTGTGGCAACTTATTAGGCCTAGCTATTCGTATAGAAATAGCTCTAGTTGAGAGGCTAAAGCAGAAGCGGGCACGAGCAGACACAGTAGGTAATAGTATATAGCTATATATCAATTAACTACTCTACTCTTACTTTTGGTTGGGCCGGCCAGCTCATGAGCATGAATAACTCACGGTTGGGCCGGAACATAACGTTTAACTATCGTCGTTAGTTGCATTTTAGTGACAACAAAGAAGGTTGGCTCTGCTGGCATAACAGCGTAACTAATACCTTTGAAAGTGAGATAGTATAGATCACAGTTAAAATCAGAATCGTTACCCAAATTAGCAAAAATATCAAAAATCCTTCTCCAGACGATGGTGAAGTGTATTATTAGTATGCCAGGGTTTCATCTTAAGCTCTTGTATTATAAAGTCTGCTATTAGATGCCTAGTGATATATTGTGCGTAACTATACAGAGCGAAAAAATAATAATTGATGGGAGTGATTGGTCTGGACCCCGACTGCCAGTATTGCGGAATATAATTTGATTATCCCCCTATCCCCGTGAATCATGTCGCGTTGACCCAAAGCATATGACGACGATTATCTCAACTATCCAGATACCTAAAATCGCAATCAAACAGCACAGCCTGGCCCTGAGTAAGTCGGAACCTCTGTACACAACGTGCCTACTCCACCATAGGGGTTATCACAGAGGGTATTGCAAACGGTATTCTCGGGCGTGAACACGAGGAAGCCATAGTTGGGCATCGTTAGGCGGAACTGTTTGTTGACATTGTTGTTTTCTTTAGACGCCTTATAGCCGGCGCGGCAGGCGCAGTGGAAATGAGCACCAGTATTGATGCACGAGGTGGTTGGGTCACAGTGGTTCAGACCCGAGACAGGGTTGCAGGTTCCGCAGACAGGGTTGGTGGGATTAGAGGTGACTAGAGTGACGGCTGAAGTGAGGAAAAGGGCGATAGTGATGAAGTTGTTCCACATTTTAGTTAGGAGCTTATGTGCTTGAATGTTTTGTGTGGGATAGTGATATAGTGCTGTAGAAGGACTTGTTTGTTATGTAGAATATTGCTTCTCTAATGAATAATTAATCTACATGATGGCCTTTATATACGTTTTTTCTTAGCTAGGGAAAGTCTATATAATGAGGTAGTGATATCACTCAACGTCAGTTGCAGCCGTTTTTATGTAATGGCACACAGCAGTTCCGAGCTGGCGGGGGAGAGCAACACTACTAAAACCAATGATCAAGCTCTGCATGATTATCGTTCGGGTTCCCCGTGGATCGCGAACGGTAGCAGCAATGATAGACATACCGAATTCCTAGAGCGAGTGCTCTATATCCTTGGTAACGTCATTGCGGATGGATCTATCGATCCCTTTCATATGCCATTCTATATTTGGTTCCGAAACTGATCCGAAAAACTCAGAACTATCGACGAGTCACTTTTCGAACACCAAGCTATGCAGTACGTATATTTAGATGCAGATAGCGCAGTAGCTAAACCTACAGCCTTCTTACACAATTATGCGATCGTATGAGAGCAGATACTCTCTTCCTGTCCCGCTGGGACAGATTCAACCTCAATAGCGACAACCATTCTTCTTACGTGTTACAAACCCCTCATATCCCTTCTACACTCCCCTCAACTTATAATACCGTTTGCACCTGTGTGACTAGATTATAACTCCCTTTACATCTACCTTCCACTAACTATGTCTCCAGATGGCATGAATTTACCCACCACAGCTGATTGTCAGCGCCATCAATGAGCTAGATGTTACTGTCATCGATGATTTTACTTTCGACGTAGCTAGTTCTATAGGATGGTGCATATCATTAGCGGCATAAGTGAGAGCTAGATCATCGAGAATCTTGATGATCCGGCTCTCGCTTATGCCGGGACTTTGTGATGTCAGTTGTAGTCTGTCCCAAATCGAGATTGAATCTGGGTTGCATAAGCGAGAGCCGGATCATCAAGATTCTCGATGATCTTGTATCTCGATGATCTGGCTCTCACCTATGCAACCCCGATTCAATCTCGATTTGGGACGGACTACAACTGACACATCACAAGTCCCGAAGCAACAATGGCTGCATTCACTCGCCGCTTCGAAACATGTTATTGTTTCCTTAAATCGTCTATCTAGATACAAACAATACCCAGCTGTCACAAGCCACGTCAGTCGCCACTGCATTTTGCGAACCTTTGTACCATGTCCAATCGTCGAACTCTCGGCTCAGCAGGCTCACTGTAACGGCGTAGGCCCAGGGTCACACGGGAGTTCAGGGAACCAGATCAGAAGGCAGGTAGGTGAGGTTATATAGCGTAACAATAGGTCTACCTGAATACAGCGGCTATTGACTGGAGGCCTCAGTCCTACGCCTCCAGTCCCTTTTATGTTGGGGCTCCTGCTTTTACCGAGCCCTACCGTGTCCTGCACGTGGGGGCGTCCCCACGTGACGCCCCTTTACACTCACCTTGCTCTGTCCCTTTCCCCGTAACAGTACCGGACAAGTAACGTTAAGGGAACATGCCATTGATCGACCATACAATACAGATCCTGACTTTCGCACACGGTAGTGTAAAATCAATTTAACCTCCGAACCTACGAGATCTCGTCAGCCTTATCTGCTCGTCGTATTCGACTTTTTATCTCCTTCTAGATCCGGAAATTCTAGCATGCTCTCGTCACTTCTGTCGTCGCTCCCTTTCCATCATGGTTATTATACGATGCATTACCCAAGTATTCACGGTATAGCACAGTCAGCACGGACTATTGCCTACGGCCACGGCCAGGGCGATACCGTGCGTGCGTCGTGGTTTCACAGTTTGACGTGCCGTACGTGCAGGATACTCGATGATGGCTGGCTCTACTGGTAAGCTGCTCCACTTTTGATTATCTCCTTGATTATCTCTCAACCCCTTCTTATATATCATTTGTTCTTATACGACGCTCCCTCCGTACTATATAACTCCTCCTTACTTTCCCTAACTCCCTCCATTTCCTCCTCGCATACACCTTTTTTCATACCCCTCCTACTCCCTCTCATCTTCCCCGTCCTCCTCATAAAGCCCCCCTATACAACTTCTTCCTACTAATAACCTGCTCCGCCCCCTCCGTAACCAACCCGGCCACCGTCTCTCCCGCCTGTACCCTCCTCCTCACCTCACTGGGGCTTACCTCCCCTCCCTCACCCCGCAACACCTCTAACCCCTCCACCCATTCTCCCCTGGCCCCATTCCTCTCCAACCACCCCCCCTCCCCTCCTCCTCTGCTCCCCCTCCTCCTCGTCACCCCCAGCGCGCAAGTGGACCCTCACACTCCCCTCAAACAGCGGTCCTAATATGGGAAGAGTGGGGGGGTCGTAGTAATGCACCTCTAGCAGCCGTTTAAGCGTATCGAAGCTGAGGATGAAGACTTTCTTCGCGCTGAAATATGTCGATTCTTCAGCGATAACGCGGGCTTTGTCGATGAAGAGCGCGTGAGGCGTGAGAGCGATATCCACGCCCTCCGCGGCGCGCAGCTCATTCTCCGCCGCCCCCTCTTTCCCCTCCGTCGCGACCGACCCCACGCCCCGGTCCCCCACCACATCCCCTGCCAACACCCTTCATCATCGTCACCCTATCCTCCCTCTCGGCTTCGACATCGGGTTTATCAGCGTTCTTCGTTGCTAATAACAGCACCACGCGCCGCGGATGTAGATACCGCACTTTAAATTCCGAGAAAAGTGCTGAGCGCGCTAGGTGCAGATGTGCGGTTGTGGGGGGGGTTGAAGGAGGAGTCGGGGATGAAGAGGGTTTTTGGCTTTGGGGGAGTAGGTGTGAGGATTTGAAGCGGGGGAGGGGAGGTGGGCATTGTTTGGTGTGTGTGATGGCGGTGGTGGGGTGTATATATTGTGCTGTGAATAGAAGAGTGGGTTAGAGATGGAGAAGCGAGAAGGCGGCTGCGAAAGTAAGGGATGCGATGTGATACTCGAGACGCCATGAGCATGATGGTGTGAGTGCTGTTCCCCGACGGCTCGGTGGGATGATCCCGGTGTGACGTTGGTGGTTCGGGGACCGAGGGGCGGAACCTGGGCCCTGGGCCCGTTATTTTAGCGGCCGGCGTGGCGGGTTTGGGGCGATGTCTGGAGTTTGTAGGTGGATGGACAGTGGTATGAATAAATGGTATTAATGAGAGAATTGTAAAGGAAATTATAACATTTCTAGAGTTTCAGGAAATAAGTATTTTTCTACAACTTTAGTCCAAAATAAACTTGTTTCATGCGCCAACATATCCATAGTGTCATTTATATCACCTCTCAAGTTGCATGCTCTTGGTCCTCGTGTCTCCAGCAATCTTCGTCGCTTGCTGGAGACGTTTGATCTTTTCCATCGCCTCCTTGCGAGAAATAACCACAAACTCATCTTCCCCTCCTAATATATCAACTTGCTCCTTGTGGAGAGTAAGCACATACTCGTCGGACAAACCGAGGATGAGCCCTTTGGGATCCTTGAGGAATTCCTCCACAAGGCGATGGATGTCCGTTTTGAACGTTTCGAGGGCAACCTAAAGCATTGTTAATTATCTGTCAAGGGTTGGGAAAGTCCATATAGAGGAAGATAGTCACCTCATAATACGCCTTCAACAAGTCGTGAATCTCATCTTCGGTGTTTCGGGTAGCACGAGGATGGACCTCGTCGAATAGCTGGTTGAGTCTGTTGGTATCAATAACAACCCAACCACTAGTCAGTTTTAGCATCTCTGGAACCAATTTTGGCACTTCCTTGTCCGCATAGGCATGGATAAACGACGCAGGTGGATTTTTCTCCCTGTATCGCATGAGAGCGGCAATGAACCTATCACTTTGCGCAATTTTAACTTTAGCCTTAAAGTTTTCATCGGTCGTTACTAGAGGAAACGTTGAGTTTCTGTGGCAAATGTTGCGTAGTTTGAGAGTTGCGTAGTTTAGAGACTGGGTCTCAAACTCGTCGATAGTGTTCTTCAGCTCGCTTGCGGTATGATGGGGAACTGCAAACTCGGAAAAAGCATAATCAAGAATCAATAAAGAAACCTTCTTGCTCATTTTCACTACCTCTTCCAAGTATGCCTGCCCGAAAGCTTCCCACTTGCTAGTCTGCTGGGTAAAGAGAGGTCTCATCACGGCTGGGTTTGTCATACTGTTGAGCTCTTCTCCTCGATTTTCCGCAATCTGGGTTCGGATCTCCTTGTACAAATCGTTAGGATCAACCGTACTTTCACTGACACTTACGTCGGCAAAATTATGAAGATGTCCCTTTAGCTTCATATTATTGGCGAAGCCTTCCATGGCAGTTTTAGTCAACCCGCGCAGCTTCATAGCAGACAAAGGTAACCTTTCAGGGTTCGACAGGGAGTCCCGAGCCAGTTCTTGGTATCTCCCCACAATCTTTAGGAGATATTCCCGTCGTCTCTCTTGGCTTAGTCTTTCCTCTCCTAGACTTTCCAAATAATCCGTCTCTTTCGCCAGCAGCTCTTTTATTTTCCTTTGCACCTCTGGAAACGCTGTGCGGATTCGAGAGGAAAGGGTGATTGCAAGAAATTTCTTCAGCGCAGGGGTACCACGTTGCTTTGCGGGTATATCAGTCCATGGGTCTCTGCGAAACGTTGCCTTCTCGGCCTCTTCTTGATTAAATGTTGGGGACGGATTTTTAGGCCGATTTTGGACCACGAACCAACCATTGTGGAGGCCAATTTCGAGGTTATCTCGAACTATCCGCACAATCTAACCTCGATTTAGTATTTCTCTGCAAACTGGACTTTTTCACACTCACATTCTTAGGGTCGGGTGCCTGATCACACTTTGTGAATACTCCTACGACCCGCGAGCTTTCAGCGTGCTTTTTCGCCAGTGTGAATATTTGCTGCATTGCTAAATCACCAGTAGCAGGAGCCACACAGCTGATTCGGATTAGCAAAGCACCGCATCGAAAGAAATAGTCACGAACATGATGACGTTCTCGGGCTTCTTCATATGTGAAGTTACCATGGCAGTGACGCGCTCCATATCTTCGTCGGTCACGGTTTCCGTCAATGCATGGAAGATTCCAGGCACATCCAATATGCCAAAGTGGGAACGGGTTGGTCCATGAAGCTCGATTCTAAGGATATCGCTAGAAAAATTGCTCTGCTTCGATCCACGCTGATCTGTGATTCCCATATACTTACTCGCCTATTGAAGTTAGCCTCCGTCAAGAACAGGTCAAAAATACGGCATACCTGTTCCAAAATATCTGCGAAGACCTCTGCAGTTATAGAATTCACGTGGGGGTTGAATGGCTCTCTCTGATCGTCGGCCTGACCTCTGAATGGTTCCGAATCGCCCTTTTCGATGGATACTTTCACAAAATCGGAGCTATCGGGGGCGGATCTTCGCGAGATTATCCGGGTCGCAAATCGAGTGCATAATCCGTCACCTACTGGGAAAGGAATGTCTGTCAAACTCTGAAGTAGAGATGACTTTCCAGCAGATTGGCCTCCCACGATTACAAGCTATTGCAAATATAAATCAATCATGTCATAAAAATGTAGTAAAGGGATCTTACCTGTGGAAGATCGAGGTCGACGGCAGCGCCACACCTTCGCAATTCATCCACGCCATCGAAAAGAATCTTGCTTGCCTCACTACTGAACGGATCTTCCTCTAGTAAAGTTGTAGATACCTCGCCATTGACTTCGCCATCCGAACCACTGTGCTTGTGCTTTGGGATTGCTTTTTGGTTCGAATCCGTATCGACAGATACGGACCCCGAACTTCCACCGGGAGTCTGACGATTACCAACAAGAAGAGTATCTGCGCTCTGCATTGTGGATTATGCTGGTGTTTTGCAAGCTTAAAATGTGACTTGGTTTGGTATTGATGTTCTTGTAAGAGGATTAAATCTGGGAAGAAAACGAAAGTTTGAAAGGGCACGCAGATATATATACATAGTTGTTCCCAAAATGAACAGTTTGAACGCATTGCCAACGGCAGCATACCTCGACCTACATAGAACTGAAAGTAGAACATACTAAAAGCACACTACTGCGGGAAAACACCCCTTAGGGACCAACACGCTAAAGTGAAGCATCTAGCTGTTGGTGTTTCATTCTTCAGCAAATCATAGGATGACTTATCGTTGCGGGTCTGCTCCGGAGAAAATAGCGCCTAATACTAGCGCTTGATTGACGGAGGTTTGTTCTGGGGGTCTCGTAAATGTCACCGGGGCCGGCGACGAAATGTGAGGCCTTCAAACGTTCTACGTGCTGACGTATCTTCATGGCATCATTTCCAATGGCTGCTGTCAACATAGCCATGAAACATGTTTACTGTATTCCTGCGTCGCAAATAATCAACGAAAATCAATCAATTAAAACCGTCAAGGTGATGCGACTTAAAACAATGGATTTGGGTTCGGGCCGCTTCTCGAAAAGGCACATGTTGGACTAACCCCCACCCCCCCCTGTATCCAACCAACATATGCAGCCCCCAAACGACGACATGACGCGTCTTGCCAGATGAGGTGAACGCTAAGCCTAGGAGGGCGACCACTATTCCTGAGAATACGGGCTCATTATTTTTTATATTATATATTTATCTTATATTTACAAATTAAGGGAATGAAATCTATATAATATGAATTAATACATATCACGTGATTCTACTTATACGTAAGCTAACTTAGACTACTCAGCTAAGTACGTCCTTAGGCATCTATGCATTAGTTCGTTTACATTGTGCATTCCGGTTAATATCCAAGCATTGGTTTGTTTACATTGTGTTTCTTGGTAACAACATCGACCACGAATACTCATATCGAATGCGACAACGATTCTACAACCCACAATCTACAATACAGCATCGCGCATTGAAACCTCACGATGTCCTACAATCCACGCATGAGCATGGCTCCCCCCCCATCTCAGCAAAAAAGCCGCGTCACGAAAAAAGAAGAAGAGAGCGATGCGTTTATGCGCCTGGTAATCCCACCCGCCCCGCGCAATCCATAGAAGTCCAAGAGCTGACAAAATATCCCACAGCCCGACAAGGAAATTGCAGGATGCATCAGCGATATTGGTGTCCCATTCACTGCCGCCGACCTCCAGAAGCCGAATCCGCTTCAGATCCAACAAATCTTCCAATGGTTCGCCGAGCTGCTCATGAACGCGACCCACGACACCATCGGGCCTGCGATGCGCGCGGCCGCTGAGGATGTTTGCGGCGAGTACATGGATGTGGTTCCGTCGGATGTGCGCAACTTGATGGGCTTCTATATGTCGCTCCGCAAGCTGCTGCTGGAGTGCGGGGTGCACGACTTCTCGTTCCAGGACCTCCAGAAGCCGACACACGAGCGCCTGAGCAAGATCTTCAGCTACATTATCAATTTTGTGCGCTTCAGGGAGAGTCAGACGGGCGTCATCGATGAACATTTCAACAAGGCTGAGACGACGAAAGGGAGGATCGAGACGCTGTATATGGAGAACCAGGAGATGGAGGCGCGACTGGAGGAGATGAGGAGAAATCGGAAAGCGATGGAAAGTCATGTTTCGGAGAAGGTGAAGCGCAACCAGGAGTTGAAACAGAGATTAAGGGCGCTCCAGGTCAGCCAGACGGAAGTTATGGCAAGATACGACGGGCTTCAGAAGAAGAAGGACGAGTTGACACATGTCCTGGAAGACAAGACGGCGACGGCAATTAATCTGAGGCAGGAGAGCGGGAAGTTGAGGCCATATGTGTTGCAGAGCCCTGCGGCACTGCAGGCTACACTGACGGATCTGGGAGCGTCACTGAGCAACGAAAAGGCACATATCGACAGCCTTGACCGCCGCGCAAGAGCACTCCAGACTAGCACCGACACCTTTGGCGTCGTATCAACAGATGTCGCCTCTGTGTCGAAGATCCTTGAAGAGACGGCAGCGGAGCTACAGAAGGAGGATGAGGAGAACGTCAAAAACTCGCGGCAGCGTGATGCGCTGTCGGAGCGCGGGAATAACGTGCGTGAGGTCGAGCGCGAAGAGTCGCTTCTTAGGAGGCAGCTGGCGAAGTACAACGAGCGCACAGAGAAACTGCGTGAGGGGAGTCGGGAGAAGGCTCAGGCGGCGAAAGAGAGGATGGAGGAGTTGAGGGCGGTGCATAGGACGCTGACGGAGGAGAGGGGAGACAAGGGACGGGAGATGGAGAGGAGGAGGGTGAGGATCGAACAGACTGAGAAGAAGGTATGTTCATCTTTGTATTTCTGGGACTTAATGAGATTTGACGCTAACTGTCGCATAGATGGTGGATCTGAAGGAGAACATCGAGAACGAGATACACACAGCGCACGACGAATTCTTGAAGATGGATTCGCACATCAAGCTGTACATCACGGAGATGGAGCAGTCGTTGTAGAATGTTGGTCTATTCGGAGAGATGATTGGGGATAGGTATAAACACGGGATTGGGCGGCGTTTCGGGGAGCGTAATGTGCTGGGAATACCTCTGGATACTGGTGTTGCTTACGATGCAGGTTGGGGGGATTGCGTGATACCTTGTTAAAGTTGAATGATAATGAATAAATGGACTTGTTTTTGCAACAGTAGTCCTCATGTGGAAGTTAATGAATGGTGTCTGACTGAAGGTAAATTGATTTTGGAAACTGAATATCACTTTGTCTAACTGAGAATCTGGGAAGGTGTTTTAAACGTTGGCTTTGCCACAAAGCTTTTTTGGCGGGGCTGACGTGAGATACGCATCCCTGCATCTGCTTCCTTCCACGATCAACAACAATCCCCATCTCTCTGCCATTGTCCAACTGCCACCATCTCGAAACCGTTCACTCGTCTACTAAGAGTATAATATCATACTCTAACGCCGTTAACTCTCCATCTCCGCGCCAACCACCCACAATGTTCTCCCTCCGCCACCTTCCCCCTCTGGTCGTGGCTACTGGGATGGGCCTCGGTGGGACTATGCCATTCTTCAGTCCCTCCCGCGCAATGACGACCTTCGGGCTTCCCCCCTCTCTGGCCGATAACCCAGCCGCTCAGGTCCTCATGACCATCATGGCCGGCCGCAACGTCGCGCTCGGGGCCGCGATCTGGCTGCTGTACCTGCAGGGGGAGCTGGGATCCGTGGACACGGTGCTGGGGTGCGTAGGGATTGTAGGGCTGGTGGATGGATGGGTGTGTTGGAGAGAAGGGGTCACTGGGACTGCGTGGTTTAGATTTGCTAATGGGCTGTTTTTTGGGGGGTGGGGGGTCTTAGGGATGACGGCTGGGAGGGGGAGGTAGGGTAACTGAGAATCGGAGAATATAGCTAGGCGACTGAGAATGGGAGTATCTAGCTAGGCGACTGGGAATCAGGGAATCTAGCTTAGGGACTAAGAATGGGAGTATCTAGCTAGGCGACTGAGAATTAGGGAATATAGCTAGGTGACTATAGGGTTTAAGGGCACGTTTAGAAGCTAGGCTTTGCTATGCGTGTAAATAATATTTAGGTTATTAGAGACGGTCTTAGACTTCGGTCATTTTGCGTAAAACTGCCTTCATTTTAGTTTACTAGTTGTTATTAGTCTATACTCCTACTTTAGTAATTAATTAAAAGCTTTTACATTTCAAATTCTAATAAATTTAAATATAACAATAGCGTTTATATGGCATGTCATATTCTATCTGCCTTGTCCGAATATACGAGCCAGTTAGCCGCCACGCCTCCCCATATGATGCCTCGTGACTTACCACGATGAGAACAGCGGGAATTCCGTTTATTCCAATAACCGCTTGCGCAGGCGTTGAGGCCCTCCAGGAGATAACAACCGAAAACAGTCGAACAATTGAAGCTTGGGCGCTCAGCATCTTTGCAGATACTATCTTGTAAAATCCCACACGCTGCAGACAATAGACCGTTTGCGCGTTGGCCGTTTGTGAGCGAGAACGATCCATCTGACTCGCGGGGTAGTTCTCTCTCGCTGATAAACAGGACGGCTTCGCGAATCGTAATGAGTCTCCATGCCTCCGGGACTTCGATTACCAAGTGAAAACGTCTAATGATCTCAGGAACGTCCAAGTAGCGTTCATTAATCTCGAGTTGCGCTGGGGGCGAGGGCATGACTGGAGGATGATCATCACGATCACTTCCAACAGATGTACGTATGGCAGCCCAACATAAATCCCCTTCGATTTATGATGGTGCTTCTGATCACCATCGAGTGCCGAGATTGAAGCTGGGGCAAGAGAGTCTTGTCCCAGCAGCAGCTTACCTTGCGCGGAATTGCCGCCATATACGACTCCATCAAGTCGTCCACCGAGACGCGGCAGAGCGAGAACCAAAAGCTGTAGCTTATTGGATATCTCGACCTCTGCCCTTGTCGTGTTGGATCATATTTGATCACTTGGGCAAACTCCTTCAAGCCCGCGATTGCCATAAGCATACGGCGCCGGAAGAGTGCCTTGCATCTGTCATCCGACATTTGCTGGGCTGGTGCCATGTGAGAAGCTGCTGGTGGATTCGCGCCACCTTCCACAGCTATCTCGGCACCACCGCCACTGGTGGCGATCTCGTCGCTCGACGACGATGGACCAGCATCAGCTTCTCCATCATCGTCGTCACCAGAGCCTTCATCGTCGTCGGGACCGGGAATGAAATATCCATCCCTGTCGTCCCCGATGGCATCTCCGAAGGCGACCTCGTCTCCGTCGAGGATGGCGAGTATTTCGTCTTCGTCCACCTCCTCTGCCACATCCGCAGCTCGGGAAGGATCGGTGGAGGCATCGGCTGGCATGGACTGACGCTGGTCATCAACCTCGTCGCCGGCGATTTGTAGATTTTAGACTTTAGTAGATTTATATATATTGATAATGTCTGTACGGAATATTCTATTTTATAAGCACTGAAAGCAAAATTATAATGTTGAGACGCTGTGCAGCAACGCTCAATTTTCAGTTATCATAACTAGGTCAGGTGGGCACGAAGAAGATCGCAAAGCTTTTGTCTCTTTTAACATCATCGTCAATCGCGAAGAGAACAGCAATTTATAATAAATATTGTCTATTAAGCGCCTATTTGGCATATTCTCATTCATAGACACTGAAAGCAAACCCACAATGCCTGAGGCGCTGTGCGACCAATCACGATTTTCAGTGCCTCACTCACTGAGGTCACGTGGACAGTTCCTCACAAACGACCCCATCACCACAAATATCATCAATCACAAAGAGAACAAACAACAAACGAATTCAGAACAAACATGGTCTATTATGATCTATGTTCTATCCATAAAAACTCAGGTTCCACCGCGCAAACCTCTATCCATCCCCCGCGGCGCGAATTCCTCCTTTCTTCCCCCATCGTAAACTTTCGCATGGCGCATGAGAAACATTTATTAAACGCCGAAAACAAACAAGATATAAACCCATTTTGTAAACCGTTTACTCATCCTCATCAGTGAAGACCTCCTCGCCACGCTTGCGGCGGGCCATACGGTCCTTCTTCTTCTTGCGGAGCTCGGCGGACGAAAGCTTGGCCTTCTTCTTGGTGCTCTCGAGCTTGTTGCCTGTTTTTCAGTCAGTTATAGGTCTATAAGAGGGGGGAATTTTTGGACCTAAGGCATCGAAGCGTTCTTCTTCTTCGTCGTCTCCCTTCAAACGAGGTCCAGCTCCCTGTCCCTGCACCCAGTTGTGTCCCGAAGGAGTCATCTTACCGTCAACGACGGCCCAGACTTCCTCGGTAAGATCCTTGGTGAACTCAGCCGAGTGAGTGATGATGATAACACCACCCTCGAAGGACTTGATAGCCTTGGAAAGAGCTCCAAGGGAGTCACGATCCAGGTAGTTAGTAGGCTCATCGAGGACGATCAAATGAGGACGCTGCCACGAGCAGGCGGCGAGGACGACCTTGACACGCTGGCCACCGGAGAGACCCAGCATGCGGGAGTGAGAAACAAGCTCGGCATCGAGACCGAAGTTGGCGCAGTGCTGCTCGATCTCCTTGCGGACCAGAGGGCGGAACTGACCGGAGGCGAGGGCCTCCTTCTGATCGACCTCGGCGACCATCTTTTGATGGGAGGCGAGAATCTCGGTACGCGGGATCCAGGCGTTGTCGGCGGTCATCATGGGAACCCAGCGCTCGTTCTTGAGGCCAATGTTCTCACCAAGAGCGAACGAACACTCGTACTCGTAGGAGTTCTTGAACTTGCGGCGGGAGTGGATGCCGATGACGCGACGGAGGGTACCCTCGATGCGGTAAGCCTTGTCCATGGCCTTCTCATCCTCGTCGGTGACGATCTTGTTGGCACGATCCATAGTCTCGCGATCCTCACCAGTCTGGAAACGCCATTGGATGTACTCAGATGGGGTCTTCTCGAGGTGGTGATCGATATGGGCGAAAGCGTGCTGCTTAATGTAGGCGATACGGATGTTCTCGTGGGTGTAGACGTCACCGATGGTTGGGATCAGCTCACCAGTGAGGACGTTGATGAGAGTAGACTTTCCGGCACCGTTGGGGCCAATGACGGCAATACGGGAGCCGAGCGAGCACTGGAAGGAGATGTCGGTGATCTGGGGCTTGGGGGTACCCTCGTACTGGAAGCTCATCTTGTTGACACGAACAATGGCCTTGGCCTTGGTCTTGACACCCTCAAGGAAACCGGGCTCAGGGAACTTGAACTCGATCTCGGAGGCGCCGAGCTCGTAGTAGGACTTGGCGGATGGGCACTTCTTGACGAACTCCTTGAGGTTACCGCGGTAACGCTTAAGCTTGTAACGCTCGTAGTGGATGATGTGCTGGCAGACGTTGTCCAGGAACTTGGAGTCGTGGGACACGATGATGGATGTGCAGGGGGAGTTCTGCAGGTAATCCTCGAGCCACTTGACGTTCTTGACATCCAAATGGTTGGTAGGCTCATCGAGCAACAGAATATCAGGGTCCTCGAAAACGGCACGGGCAAGAGCCAGCTTCATCTTCCATCCTCCGGAGAGGGCGGTGATCATACCGCTGGTCATGTCGCTAGTGAAGCCGAACTCGGCCAACTGCTTCTCGACATCCTCCTGGGAGGTCTCGACACCAACCTCGGCCAACTTCTTCATGGTCCAGGCAATGGTGGTCTGCTCGGTATCGGCAGAGTCAAGGTCGTGCTCGACGAACACGGTCTTGACCTCGCTCTTCTTGGGGAAACCCTCGACCTGCTCGTTGTTGATGGCGCGCATGAGAGTGGACTTTCCGGAACCGTTAGGTCCGCAAAGACCGTAACGCTGGCCACGCTTCAGGCGGAGATGGGTCTGGTTGAGCAGGATCTTGGCACCGTAGGCCAAGTTGAAGGTGCAGTTGCACAGATCCTCACCCTCCTCATCGTCAGCCTCAGCGGCATCCTCGGCCTCGGCACCTGGGGAGGCACGGCGGCGGAGCTCGTCAACGATATCCTGGGCATCAGTCTCGCCAACGATGGCAACGACGTATGGCTTGATAGCGCTGGTCCAGTTGTGGGTATCGGCATCCTTCTCGTCGATCAGCTGACCGGCAAGGGACGCGATGTAGTAGAGGGATGGCTCGAACTTGGCAACGGCATCCTTGTGCTTGGTAGCAACGATCTGCTTGAGGATGGCAAGGACGGTGGGGATGGAACCAGCGTGGGATGGCTCCGGGATCTTGCCATCGACGACGGCACCGACACGGGTAAGGGTGTCAAGACCCTGCTTGGTCTTCTCACGGGCCTCGGGGTCAGCCAAGTTCTCGTAGTTCTTGGTGAGACCAGGCATCAGCTTTGGCAAGAAAGCGGCGACAATGTTGGGGTCCTCGACAAGCTTGCACATGTTATCGACGATAACGGCGGATTTACGCTTGATGGCGGTCTCACGCTCGGCAAGACCACGATCCAGGAGGGGAACCATGATGGCGAGGGTTGGCTCGTGGACATCAGTGACGAAGGTGGTGGCACCGAGCAAGTGAATGGTCTCTGGGACGTTCTCTGGCTTGGCGATACACTTGATGAGCTCGGGAATGAAGCGGTCGATATCCTTGTTGACGATAAGACCGCAGACCTTCTCCATGGTGCCGTAGGCCATCTTCTTGACCTCAGGCTTGGTGTCCCACATCGACTCAGAGACGACTGGGATCAGGTCTGGGACGCGGAGAGCGAGCTGTGATGCCGAGGTCTCGACGAGAGCCTCGATACAGGTCAGACCTGTGATCTTCTCCTGCCATTTCTGGGCGGTGAGGATGGAGTTGATGATGGGAGGGAGGAGAGCCTTCACGGCGTTGGCGTTGACACCCTTGACGATGGCAAGAGCAGCAGCGTTGGCGGCGGTCTTGACAGCGGGGGTCTTGTCACCGACAGCGGCGAGGACAGATGGCAGTAGAACGATGAGGTATGGCTCAACGCTGGCGGCGATCTGGGAGTGCTCGGCGATGGCCTGGATGGCGTTCAGGCCACGCTCACGGGCGGCAGCATCCTTCTTGTTGTTGAGCTGCTTCGTGATGGCATCGACGGCCCTGTAGAAAGTTGTTGTTAGTAAAGTATCCTTGAAATGAGGCAAAATTAAAGTGTGAAAAATTCTTCTGATTGCGCCCGTGGGGTTATTTTGTTAACCCCACCAAGAGCAGCCCGATAAAGGGATTATCTCTCGAGGCGAGGCAACACAAGGAAAGAAGTTTTTGTAAAATATTCGAGATCGGGATCCAGAGGAGGGCTTTTGCAACTTACTTGGTAGGGGCGTCTTGCTCCTCAATAGGGCCGTTGATGAATGTGGCAATGTTGTTGGTGGCAGCGTTGACCTCGTCTTGCGACTTGGACACGCTCAACTTTGCCATCAGGTCATCAAGAACCTTGATGGACTGTGCATTCTCCTTCTTGATGTTTGAGGAATCCATGGCTTGGACGGATGGCATGGTGATGGAAGGAAGAGGGAGAATCGAAAGGAGGGGAGAGAGGGAGAGGTGTTTTGAAGGAGGGGGGGGGAATTGTTTTTTGTGGGTATCGAAAGAATTTCTTTAGCGCGAAAACGCCAGGCGGCGTTGGCTCGGTATCGTAAGTGTCCCTAAGACTTCCTAGTGGGAGCTAATCGGGCGAATGCGATTCGACGGCTGGGGGCGAATTCGTGGTGGTTTGATGTTTCGGAGTATGAGGAGTATGTGTTCTTTCTAGACTTCTTGTCTATTTCTTGTCTATTTCTTCTCTTTTCTGGTGGCTAAGAAATGAAGAGAAAATGCTGAGTGTGGCGAGATTATTCGTGGGGTATTGATCGTATCGTTATCGTATCGTCTTCTATAACCGCGACTCTAACGAAGGAGAACCGGAGGGAGGAGCAAAAAGCACGAAAGGCGTAGTATAGAGTGGAGAGGGGTAAGAAAGAGAGAGATAGGAAAGGAGGATCAAAAGCTAGTGGGGTATGGGATTATATGTTCAGTATTTATTTACAAACAGGCCAGCCACCTACTACTACTACCACACCACTTTTTCCACGCCGGTGCGGCGAACATTTTTTTTTTTTAAAAGCGAGATGTGGTGTGTCGTTCGCCGCATGAAAAATCTTATATTAGTAACGGCACGCTATTGGGCAAAGTATATTTTTTGCCCTGGCTTGACACAGCCCGGCGTAGTAGTGCAGGCGGTAGAGTGTGGTAGAGTTGTACAGGTTCCTGATACTCGACTATACTTGGGGTTTGTGAGGCGGTCCTCACATGTTTCCACACATCGAACTTGTATCACAATACTCCTACCATGGAGGGCGGCGACATTCTATTGGCTCAACGTCCCTCACCGCCTCCACAAGAGTGATGGCTTGGTTTGTGGCAAAAGTGCGGTAGTATGCATTATACAACCACTGTACTTTCAAGCCTCGGAATCGAACTTTTCCACTATTTTTCGCTTCCCAAGTCTGCCGCCCTATCATTTCTCATATCTGGGGAACGTTCTCGTAGGGTCTTGATGCTATCAAATAGAGTCTAGCAGCGATTATTCTACAATAACAGCAAGGGAAAACACGAGTAATTGCACCACGCCTTCCCCGATCCTACTTCCGGCTCTTACTGAAAAGTATCTCCCGAAAAGAAAACAAGACCGCTACATCCCGGGATTATCTTTCCCTTCCCTTCCCACCGCCTCACAGATACATATTCTCCGTTAAACAACGGTACTCTACATCATGCATCTCGGCCTCCCCAAGCCACTCACCGCCTTCCATCCCAGCTCATCCTCTCACGCACCCGTCAGATTTACAAGGCCGCCAAAATAAAATATCTGACAGCCCTCCTCAATACCATACCACAGCAGACAAGACAACCATAAGCCGGCAACCCCAGGCAGCCCCAACAACATCACACAAAACACAACCTCATGCACCCTCCCACGAGCTGAAAAAACACAAACCCCCTTCCACCCTCACACAACCGCCATGAACCCATAAGCCCATCAACCCTGCCCAGCCCATTCCATCCCCCTCAGCCCTCCAACAAGTGAACCCCTGCTCCCAGTAACCCCCCACCCCCTCCAAAATCCACTCTCCTCCCTCGCTTCTCAAAAGCACTGTCCATACATCGCCCCATCCATCGATCGCTCCTACCCCAGATTTTCCCACGCCTTCTGCTTGCCCGGTGGCGCGCGCGTGAGATCGATATCGATAAGGGGGTCTCGGCGGCGTGGGATCCACTAAAGAAGCTTCCGTTTGGTGGTGCGTTGAGATGGGAAAGTGGGTGGCGAGGGGATGTGTGGAAGGGGATCACGTGATTGTCTCGTGACTTTGAGGTCTTCGGCTTCTTCTTTTGGGTGAGCTTTCTTCGCTTCGCTGGGAGGGGAGAAGGGGGAGGGGATCGAAAGGAGGGGGTTGGGGGAGGAGGAAGAGCAGCGACGTCTTTCATGTCCTTGTTTTTGGCTTGTGGCATGGCAGCTCTCTGAGTACGCGGCGCTTCTTCAGTTATCATCCAAAAGAGCTCCTGGCACAGAAAGACAGCTTCGCGTCGTTGTTCCGCGGAGCAAAGACGAAGATCGGGGAGAGGAAGGATACTGCCCCTGGCCGCGACAGAGGCACTGGAGGAGGCCAAGACGCACCCATGCCAGACGAGGTCTGGGTGGCTGCCACTTAGGGAGTGACAGCAAGACTTGATCGGTAGCAAAACCCAAGCGACAGTGAGAGTTAAGTGACAGGAAGACTAAAGCGACAACTATGGGCCTATGTGGCTTGTCTAGAGTGGGTGCTTCTCCTTCTTCCTCTCATTCTCATTCTTCCTCTCAATCTCCTTGTTCCTCTTTCTAATGCCCATTGGACGGCTGTACTGTGCCGACCAAGGGGCCCTTGGGCGGTACATCCATACATAAGCACAAGATTATGCTTTGTGATATCCTGTTTCAAATTTGGGTTGTAGCGCCTCCGTGGGATTACATGGCTGGTTATTTATTTGAGGAGAAATTAGATACATTATTGTCATTATTTTGTAAGTTATCATTACACTCCCCCCTTCCCTTAATGTGACTCTCTCACTCCGCCTCGTCTCTTCACAACTCAGATGAAATCATTATTCCCAAACCCCCCAAACGGATTAGGCGGCCTCCCATTCCCCCCAAACCCTCCCTGATGACCCCCTCCACCAGGGAACCCCCCACCTCCCCTCCCCCTCCCCATCCTATCCCTCGGCCCCTCCCCAGGCCCAATAGGATCCCACCTCGCCCCCTCCGGCGCCTGGGGATCAAACCCACCTCCCTCTCCACTTCCCCTCCTCCCCGCAAACAGCGGGTCATCAAACGTCGGATGCATCCCTCCGAAACCTCCCGGCCTTCCCCCAGGGATAAAACTGCCCCGGAGCGGATCATGCGGTCCCAGTCCCGGGGGATTCAAATCATCCCCACCGATCCCATATGGACTCCTACCACCGCCAGGGAACGCGGCACCCATCCCTCTCGGCGGGCGCTGGAGCTCATACTCATCCTCGAACCCTGGTGGTGGGAAGTCGGGAACCGGACCCCGAGGCGGCGGATTAAGGGGGTCGCGAAGCGGGAAGGGGTAAGGGCGCGCGGGCTCGGGAAGACCGGGGTCCGCGAGCGGGTCCTCGCGAGGGTTGCGCCGCGCATAAGCCTCTTCCCTGTCATCCTGTGCCTGCTGGCGTGCTGCGGTGTCCTCGTAGCCTTCTTTGTTCAGACCGGGGATGAGCTTCTGGATGACTGTTGTTTTGAAGAGGGAGGCAAGGTCTTTGATGCGGGACTCGGAGATGAAGATATCTTTAAGTTTGCGGGGGAGGTCGTCGCGATCTTCGATGCCTGCGGCGGTGAAGGGGATGCGCAGCGGGAGCGCGGAGGAGGAGATGTAGTCTTTGGCTACGATTTCGAAGCGAGTGATGCGCTCGTCGCCGAGGCCGAGGCCACGGATCTCGGCTTTTCCGCCGAGTCGGTCGACTTTGATGATGTATTGGAGGGAGGATTGGGAGTGGGCGTAGAGGAAGGAGTAGGAGCCGTAGGAGTCGTTCCACCGTGGTGAGAGGCGCGGGGCGACGGCTGCGAGCTCGGATTCTGAGAAGGTGGCAGTTAGCATGATGCTATAGTTTGAGATGATGGAAGGAAGAGCTTGCTTACCTATTTTTTGGCCTTCTGAGAAGCCGAGAATGCGGAAGCCTACGGCTGTCATGCAAGCGTGGGCGAAGAGTGCGATGGCCTCATATGAGGAGCTGAGGTCTGAAGATGTATCTCCCTGCTCATGTATTGGAAGGGCCTCGGCCATATGGCCGATGACGCTTTCGACGCTCAAGGGATCCGATGCCATGGTGGCGGATTATATGGTTGTCGAGCCGTATAAACGTTGCAAGCTGATGTTGACGTTGTAGTGATGCGGAGAGTGGAAGTGACGTTGAAGGGGCGTTGAAATATGTCGAAGCAGTTGTTTGCAGATATGATTTCTCAAGGCGTACCATCGACCAGCGAAATATCTCTAGAGTTGGCTAAGAGTTAAGGTTTTAAAGTATGTTTTGGGCAGCTCAGGTTCAGTGACTGGGTTATGGGTTGATGACGATGAGGCGGCAAGAGCTGCCTGGGGCTGATAGCGGGGTAGATTTTATCTTATCTAGAGCTCCCCGATATTGGCACGAAACCCAATCCTGATGGGTATTCATGATTCACGATAAATACTCAATTCCACGTCGCCAATGTTTCAGATTGCTTTATCTAATATTCTAGTGTTATGTAACAATTATTCAGCCTCATTTACAATCCAACTTCACAACCGTCATTTAAGTCTTCCTGTGCATCACGCCCGCGCTGGCCTATAAAAATTATCAGTACAAAGGTCTACCAATATTATAAAGGTGTCTTACCTGATGGCTGGGGAAAACTAATGTATCCGCAACTACTACATTCTCTCGGCGACCGGCAGCGAAGACGATAATCTCGGCGATGTCCTCGGGGGTCAATGGCTCGCAGCCGCTATACATTCTCAGAATCTTGCTTTTTCTGTAGGTTGAGGCAGACTTACGCGTAAACAGCATCAGCCTTCGACTTATCACCATAGAACCTGACAACGGAGAAGTTCTATAATCAGTCAGTAAGTCTGTGGTCCATTGTGGAGATAGGATGGCATACGGTCTCGACCTGTCCGGGGTCAACCGAGATAACCCTGATCCTCGTAGCAACCAGTTCCTTCCTCAAAGCATCCGTAAATGACTTCACGGCCGCCTTTGTAGAGCAGTAAATGCTACCTCCCGCGTATGGTTCCCGGCCAGCGATGCTGCCAATGTTGATAATATCACCCTTGCCTCCCTCCGCGCGCTTCTTGAAGATCGGTAGCACGGCCTGCGTCATGTTGATGAGTCCCGTGACATTGGTCGCAAACATGACATTGAGGTCTTCTTCCTCAATGGACGGCGCCTGTGCTACACCCTTCACCAGTCCGCTATAGCGTCGTTAGCAATGTCCGCAGATCAGCCGGGGGTCACAAACGCGTTGTTGACTAGTACGTCAATCTCCCTGAACTCCTCCGGCAGCCGCTCCACAAATGTCTTCACCTCTTCCGGTTGGCTAACATCCAGCTTGAAGGGCAGAACCTTGACGCCATCTCCGACCTCCTTCTTGATTTCTGCTGCGACCTCCTCAAGCGTCTCGAGCCGACGGGCTGTCAGCACGAGCTTCAAGTCCTTGGGCGCCGTCCTTGCGAACTCAATCGCGGTTGAGCGGCCGATGCCGGAGGAGGCGCCAGTGATGACAATGGTCTTGCCCGTTAGGCGACCTGACATGGCCGAGGCAGACATAGCGCGTAGGAGTGTCGGAGTGATAAAGTTTGGTTGTAGAGCACTGGAGACAGGTTTGCGAAGTAGGGCGGAGCGAACGAGGGTATTTAGGATGCGAGCTGGTGGCATGTAAACAATGTGACGCTTGACTCAGAGAATAATTGGAGAGAGGGGGGGTGGTAGGCGGGGTTTATAAATCAAGTTGGATCGTATACTATACAGGGCAGTTGAGTTGGTGCCATCAAAAGTGGGGGTGAGATAGTCGGCAAATTGAACCCCGCGCGTACCCGGATGGTAGGAACTCCTACCAAAATCGCGTCATAAGAAGTGGGTGTATATATTTCCATTTCTACTAATATGTTTTATTCATATATGGAGTAAGGAATATTTTAATTTACTGGAGTTTGAAACCTATAAAGTCTTGGATGAATTATTGTGACAGTAGTGAAGGCTGATAGCGATTTATAAAATATACAGGCAAATAATAAATAGATAGGAATTATTCCTACCTTTCTGCAATCTCCACTACAGTCTACAACATGAACAATAACAATCAATAGTGAGTGTTAATTATATATAATTAATTACGCGCGAAACCTTATAGTTATATATTTGTCTCGTCCCCGCATTCTTTCTGTGGTGTCTGTCGCTCATGCTGTCACTTCACTCCTGCTGCCGTTTAAGTTGTCTTCCAACTCGAGCCCTGCTGTCACTTACTTAGGTCTTGTTGTCACTTAATTAACTCTTCCATACATACACCTTCACATATTTTCTACATGGAAGCTGAAGTTGTCCATTATGGGCCTTGCCTCTATCATCTCTCGTAATATGTTTCTCTGATGCGTTCTGGTTGAACATCAATTTGTATATCTTTGCTCATATATAATTACAATTGTGCGATCACCTTACATGAAAGCAAGCCCCTTTCGGGTTGTATAGTGTAGTTGGTTATCACATCGGATTCTGATCACGATTCATTCGCAATCATTCCGGGGACCTGAGTTCGAATCTCGGTACGACCTTCGCCGGTCAATTACAATTTTTTGTCAATTTTTTTTAGGGCAACGAAGTAAATAACTTAAAAATTAGAACCAATGTAGCCTTGACTAACACGGCGAAGGAAATAATTATGACAACAGGTCGAACGGCTTTTTTGACTTTTTATTGAAGTGTCTTGGTACCATTTTCATGTGACCTGCGATAAGAAGCCAAGTCCATGCAACCCCAAGCTTATCCGCCATTATTTTCTCACCCCCACCAAGACACCACCACAACGACTACCTCACCCCTCACATCCCACAAAACCGCAAAAATGGCAGCAGCAGCGCCTTCCCAAGTGGCCCAGAGTATCCCCGAAACTCAAGACCCCACGATCATCGCCCTGCGCACCAGCCTCACCACCGAGTCCACCCCTCTTGCCCAGCGCTTCCGCGCCCTCTTCTCGCTGAAGCATCTTGCCTCCCAGCCAGACGACTCCCCCCAGACACTCCCTGCGATCCAGGCCATCGCCGCCGCATTCGCATCGCCATCGGCGCTACTCAAACATGAAGTTGCGTACTGTTTGGGGCAGACGAAGAATTTAGTTGCGGCACAGTATCTGCGGGCTGTGCTCGAGGATGTGGCGGAGGACAGTATGTGCCGACATGAGGCGGCTGAGGCGCTCGGGGCACTGGGAGATACTGGGAGTATAGCACTATTGAAGGACTTTAGAGATAAAGAGGGGGAGGTGGATGTTGTGAGGGAGACGTGCGAGATCGCAGTTGCGAGGATCGAGTGGGAGAATTCGGAGGAGAGCAAGAAGGAGAAACTACAGCAGAGGTACGTTGGGTCGTTTGGTAGCTTGAGGCACGCGATACTAATTTTGGTAGTGATTTTGCTTCTATTGACCCCGCTCCGACAACGGCGCAGAACTCTACGGTTGAAGATCTTGAGAAGACGTTGCTGAACCCAGAATCGCCTCTCTTCCTACGATACAGAGCTATGTTCGGCCTCCGCGACTTGGCTTCGCCTCCCGACCTCCCCACTGCGGTCCCCGCTGTCCTTGCTCTTGCCAAGGGCTTCGCCGATTCATCTGCCTTGTTCCGACACGAGATTGCGTTTGTCTTTGGCCAGCTGTCACACCCGGCTTCGATACCCGCACTTACTGCCGCGTTGAGCGACACCAAGGAGGCTAGCATGGTTAGGCACGAGGCGGCGGAAGCCCTGGGCAGCTTGGGAGACGAGGATGGCGTTGAAGATGTGTTGAAGCGATTCTTGAACGATAGCGAGCAGGTTGTGAGGGAGAGTGTGATTGTCGCTTTGGATATGGCTGAGTTCGAGAGGAGCGGTGAGACAGAGTATGCTTTGATCCCAGAGGCTGCCGGCACCGCGGCGGCATGAATAGTACAGCAGCGATTGATTGTAAGGCGGAAGGCGGGCAGCTGGCAACAGCTCCAAGCTTGTCTGGAGTAGATATCCAGCATAAAATGGCATAGACGGAGTTTTCCACATCAGTTGTTTTCTTTCCATCTAGAGTGAGACATTAGTTTCAAGTTCACTTCGATTTCACGCGTAACTTACTTGTAACCACACTCGCAAGTATAGAAATTGGTAGAGCCTTCATCTGCACCTCTCAGCTGCAACGACTGGTACTTCACTTCCTTTCGGCCACACTCGGGGCAAGTCTCCATGGCAGTTGCCTCGTTGTCTCTGTCGCTCATTTCCACGGTCTGCACAGCTGATCGCTTCTGCCTCAACACCGAGGGAAACGAGGAGGCTTTCGTCTTAGTTAGGACTGTTTGAGATGAGGTATCTGAGCTATTAGTATATAGTTTTTGGATAAATTCGAAAGACAAATTTACCTCTGTTTTCGGTGCCACAGCATGCGCACGTCAAGAGGGTATTGGCATCACCAGTTGAGCTGTCTAGAAGATTACCACAGTCGGTACAGAAAACAAGAGACCCAATTGCAGACATTTTGATTAATAAACAAAGCTGTTATACGAAATATGGTACTGAAAATGTCAAATTTACGTTGTAGCGATAAAGTCGTCGTGAGGCTGGCACATAAAAATAATTCTGCAAAGGCGGTAAGCCGCTTTCATCGAAGTTGGGATGCACAGATGGTTGATAGGCCGCGCTAAGCCCTATTTGACGCAGGGCTACCATCGCAACTGCCTTGCGACGTCGACGTCGGATGGTGAACGATCAGATACATCACATTGCTCTGACAAAGGCCAATACTCCCGAACAAGGACTCTCTAATAGCGCCAGCAATGCGCCACCCGTATCTCTCCTAGCGCATCGCCGTTCTCATGCTCTCTAAATCGCCACAATGGAACGCAATGGCTACGCGCGACCTCCAGGTCCTCCGGCGACTGGGGAGCAACAAGGAAGACATGGCTCAAGTCGGGGACGCGTGAAGCCATTTTCTGTGCAAGAGGCTCTCGCCCATTCCCCGATGTCCTCAGTTGTCCCGTTCAATACTGGTATTTGGCACCCCCCGCACCTCAACTTTTGACAACCACATCCGATCTACTCCATGTCAAACTCCCACCACTTACACATAACCTTCAGGTATTATCCCGTTACCTAGCATTGGCGACAGAGCATCAGCTTCTATATTTGCTACACCAGCAGAAGAGAATGCTGCCAGAGAAGGTCTTGCTATACTCGATGGGCCAACCTCGGAATCGAACGGCACGACACAAAGACTTGGAAAGGCTCTGAGTGACCTGCAACAACTTCTCAGACCAGAGGGCATAACACAATTGTGAGTTCCGATATTGCATGAACTGGCACATTCATAATCTGACTGGAAACAGCAAGTTCAAAACTGCTCCGACCGCTGGCAGATCGAAGCCAGACAATCCGCCCCCAGCTACCCAGATGTCCACGTTCGCCCGAATGCTGCTTGATACGACAACCATAGGGTTTGAGCCGTCAATGCCGGATGCTCCTGAACCCCAGTTTGCGAGTGGAAATGGTTCTCATGCTCCATCGAAGCCAACATCATCTAGCCGACAAAAACCCACAAAGAAAAGCTCTGTCAAACATCCACAGACCAAGGATATCCAGTCCCACCACCAACCTAAATCGGAGAATGGCAATCATGCACCCGTCAGAAATGCATCTATAGAGGCTGCAGCATCACACTCGATGCAAACCTACAATCCACGGACCATAACTCCTCCCAGAGAACCCAGCGAGATGGGTGGCACTAGGCTGTCTTCTACGGGTTCGATAGCTGATGTTCCACAATCATATTTCGATTCAGAGTACGCCGTTTACAACGAAAACGCCGAAAGTATGCCATCTCCCACGGACCGCGCCGTGAGAAAACGCAAATTGTCCGTAGACGATGTCTTAGAAGGGCCGGACCAGCGCGAGCAAGCTGATGCCGCGTTTCGTGAGCTGCAAGAACACTTGCAGGGCGTTTTCGAATCAGAAGGTAATCCGGGCGGCCATGGCTTATGCGAAAAGATTGGGGAAGATAATGTTACTAGCCTCACATCCCCTGCTTTGTCGAAGGTTCACATTTTGCTTCAGAAGATTATTTCCTTGGGCAGACTTCCCCAGGTGCCCGTCGGCGATCTTACCAGGCTCCAAAAGCTTTGTGATGGGGCTATCAGAGCGACTGGTGTTGTTAGTTTGAGATTTGACGAGACCTGGGAAGAATCCGATATGGAGACGTTCCTAGAAAATGTTGCTGTGGCTGATATCGGGCTTAAATCTGCGAGAGCCTCGCTCCGGATCATGACTGGTGGCCGTGAAGAAAAGCAACTCTACTCCGAAGAAGTTATTCAAGCATCAGTCCACGCTTTGAACAATGTGCTAGACTCGTGCGTCGTTCCAATCGTCGAGCTCCGCGACGCTGGATCTCAATCTTCCGTCTTTAAGCTTCTTTCGACACACAAGAAGACCATTAGGGATATTGTTTTACAATGCGTGCGAGTACTGAGCCTCTTGAGGGATCTTGTCTCCACTATTGAGCTATCCGAGACCGTCATAAATACTCTAGAGTATACTGTGTCGCGATTGATTTTTGTTGAAAACGCTCACAGCGAGAAAGATTCGGTTTTGGGAGTAGCAAAATTCGACAATCTTCGAGTTGTAGCGATGGACACCCTGGCACAGATTTTTTCGAGCTACACGGAGCAGCGGCAGGGAATTTTCGACGAAATCCTCACGTCATTGGAGAAGCTTCCCGTGGCAAAGCAAAGTGCGAGACAATTTAAGCTGGCTAGTGGAGGCAGCATCCAGCTGGTGTCGGCTCTCATGATGCGCTTGATCCAGACAAGTGCAAACAAATCAAATTCGTCTCCACGAATGAGCGAAGCGCAGGATGAAGAAGATGAAGATGCTGATGGCGAGGCCGATGAGCCGGGCTTCCAGATCCTCATGGGAAATGGGCCACTTCCTGCAGTCTACGATACAGAACCGCGTGCGGCTAGGCAATCCTCAACAGCTGTCCAGGAGCTTCAAAAAACAGTACAACCACTCCTTAGAACGGCGAAGTCTAGTGCCTCTTACGTGGTCAATTTTATTGTCCAGCGGGCAATGACGTCCACCAAGACTGGGGATGCACCATACCGCAACCTACTCGATCTCTTTGTCCAGGACTTTATTACTTGCCTGAACTCGATGGACTGGCCAGCAGCTGAGTTACTTTTACGCATATTTCTCATTAATATGGTGAATCTTGCAGAGGCCGATAAAACTCCGCCTGGCGCCAAAAACATGGCGTTAGATTTACTTGGCGAGATGGGTGCAGCCATATCAAAGCTAACGTCCGACGTTCGAAAGCTGACCGAGTCGCCTTACAACGATGGCCCAGACGAAGTCGACGGCATGCCCTTCCGTGTATTATGTTCCTATTTCGAAGACAAGCTTCACGTTCAGGACCTTGTCAATTGGGGTGGCCCGTACTGCATCTCTCTCCAATACCTCGATGATCGATATGGAACCGACAGCATCCTTGAAAGCGCTGTTGGGTACTACACCGCCGATTGGGCATCCCAAATTTGCGCAAGTTACGATGCTCCTATAGAGGACGATCGAGATCGGACCGAGCTCGAGCGAAGCTATGGACGAGTTGCGTATCGTCTTCGCATGATGATTAACGACAAGAGATGGCTGTCTACGGAGTACAGTGCTCCTCGTATTGAAGAAGTTCGGGCAAAACTCGCATATTCTTTGACTCTACTTAACTCGCCATTCTGCAAAGCTTCTGAACGCGTTCTGATGATTCTTCTCAAGTCCATGAGCAGTGATCAAGCCATAGTCCGAAGCAAGAGTTTAAAGAGTGTCAATCAAGTTCTTGAGACAGATCCAGCAATACTTGACCGAGGCGAAACAGTCATCCGACTCATATTGAATTGCTTGATGGATACTTCGGTGCAGGTTCGAGACTCAGCTTTAGGTCTTGTTACTAAGTGTATCGGTCTCAGACCGGTGCTCGAAAAGGAAGCATTGCCTGCAATCCTAAGGGCGGTGATTGACTCCAATGCTGGGGTACGAAAGCGTGCGATCAAGCTGATCAAGGACGTGTACCTTCGAAATACCGATAGGGATATCAGAAGTCTGATTGCAGATGCACTGCTTCATAGAGCGAAGGATTTGGACGAAAGTGTGCAAGAATTGGCTCGCCAAGTTATCGAAGAAATATGGCTGTCACCCTTTTATGGGCAAGATCCAACAGCAGATGATGCCGTTCAGCGTCGACTGGCAATCACCGACCATGTGACATTAATGGTGAAAACCATACAGCGCAGTTCGGATATAGCTGGTGTCCTTGACCGGGTACTGCAGAGTTCTCTATCGAGTACTTCAAAGAACGCAGCTGCAAACTTCAAAGTCTGCAAGACATTTGTAGCTACAATGTTTGAAACGATAATTGGCGATGCTGGATTAGGCGGCCCCGACCGTCTCGAAACGAAGGATGCATTGCAACTTCTCATGACCTTTGCGAAGGCCAACTCCAAGCTTTTCACGACAGATCAGATCCAGCTTCTGCAGCCTTTCATTGCAGACGCTAAAACAGAGACTGATATCACAATTTTCCGCTGTGTCATTGTCATATTTCGACATGTTTTCCCTCAGCTCTCGACGCTGCACTCTCAGTTTCTCATCGCCGTTCGCCAGACCATAATGCCAACGGTTTCTCGTATGCATAGAGCTGCGCTTGACGACATCTTTGCATGCCTCCGGATTATAAGCGAAGTTCTCAAGAACACGGATAACCTTGCACGGCTCATATGTTCCACAATTGATAACATTAGAAAGCTCGGCAAGACGGATTTCTCTGACACAAAAGCTAATGACAATGTCCGCAAGATCTCTAAGCTTTTCCTCATTACAGGAATGTGCGGGAAGCACTGCGACCTGGACAGCCAGATCACCACCTTTCGACAAAAGTTCCCACACTTCAAAGGGAACTCAGTATCAAAGCTCATGGTTGATACATTCGCACCATTTGCATCTCCGTCCCAGCCTCTTGAGATCAGAAAGGCCGCATTGGATGCAATAGGACTAGTGTGCCAATCGTGGCCGAAAAACTACGATACCGCTTCTATCTCAACTGCCTTCCAAGCCGCATTTGAAGATAAAGTCCAGTCCCTAGAGTCTGTCATCATGGGATCATTCAAGGAGTTTTTCCTCTCCGAAGAGAAACGCTCTGATCCAGACGCGGAGCCAAATATTGGGGCTGGTACTGAGACGGTTGCAACTCTCGGAGTCATGGGCGGAAGCCGACATGATGGAGTCAGCACATATATTTACCAAAAATTCATGCCCTACTTGACCCAAATTGCCTTGGCAACTCAAGATGACCATGCCTTGCTAGCTACTGAGATTCTCACGAGCATCAATAGGCAGGGCCTGAATCACCCGAAAGAGTGCATGCAAACATTTGTTGCCCTCGAAACATCGCAAAACAACATTATTGCGAAGCTAGCATTTCAAGAGCATCGGTCACTTCATGAAAAACACGAAACCATCCTTGAGAAAGAATACACGAGGGCTGTTCAACTGGCGTTCACATACCAGCATGATGTCGTTCAAGACACACGTGGAGCAATCAGCTCTACTGGCGATCCGTCAACGGCCAAGTATGCAGCAAAGCTGCATCTCTTGATAGACGTTCTCAACATCAGCAAAGTTAAGATAAGAAAGAGATTCTACGAGAGCTTATGCGCTCGCATTGATTTTGACCAATCGAAACTTGACGCAACCGAGGATTTTCCTACACATGTCGACTTTTCTAAATTCGTCATTGAAAATTTGGCCTTCTTTGAATATGCCACCGTGGATGAGCTTCTTGCAACTATTTCTGCGATGGAGAAAGTTGTTACTGGTACAGGCAGTAATGTTGCTCACGCCATTGAGACGGAAATTTTTAGCTTGCGCATGGTGAATGGCCAAGCCGAAACCGAGCCAGGACAAGCGGTCGTTCCTTCAGCGGAAAGCGCCATTGATTTGGGGCGTCTACGCCAGCTCACGGCCGGTTCTATGGTCCTTTCCTGCCTCTGGGAAGCACGCACGCATCTCCGCCGCCTCTACGGCTTGATGAATAGTCAGAATTCTCGGCGTGAGGGTAAGGCAAAGGCCAACGTTAAAGACCTAAATAGGGCACCAACCAAAGTACCTTTTGCAAGTGGCGATAAGTTCTGGGACGAGAGTACGAGAATAATGTCTTGTCTCGGGTCTCGAGAAGCTATGATGGACCAATGCAAGGATTTTGTCGAACTCCTCACTGTGGACAAGGACTTCAAGATCGCTGCGGAAGGGGAAGATGATGTTGCCGCTCAAGCTCGGCTGCGGACTCCAAGTGATGACGAAGAAGCATCCCAACCCCCGAGCGGTAGCGGGAGGGGACGAAAGCGCAAGGCCAGCGGAACACCAGGTGGCCGGAAGAAAGGCGCACGATCAAATTCGAAGGGTCGGTCGAAGAAAAATAAGCGGGGAAGTCCGGACAGTGACGAAGGGGATGATTACGGGAGTTAATGGGAGAACATATTTTATTTTCTGCAGATATATATTATGGGCAGTGGTGTTTATGGGGGGGAGAGGAGTTATATTACAGGGCTATAGCTGGTGCTACGGGATGGCATTTACGGCGGCGAACATGACATGGCTTTATCGGCATTGCTTTGCTGCATTGGGCGGCAATAATTTCCCCAGAAGAGCTGTATACGCTTGATATAGAGGTGGATTTAAGAAGCCCATCTCGCAGGAAATGGCTGGAAAAGATGGAATCATCAACAAGGCAAACTGGCACTGATTGCAATTTAGCAATTTAGCTATATAGCTTTGAAACGAGCAGAATAGTCAGTTGCGAATATATTAACATTATATTTGAATGTGTCTGTCTGGTCTTTGCATAAATATGAATTCCAGCTGTGACGCCGTTCCTATTTAGCACGCCGATTACCGGAACGAACAGAGATGGATGCAAATTGGGTTTCCCAAATATCAAAACAAATACTCCAGAGTATAGCCGGAGTTTTCCCCGTCTTAGCGTTTGTCAAGTGATTCTAACAGACCCCTCCCCCGCACCTCCCCCCCACCAAGCGGCTTCCTGTTCTCCAACTCTGTATTCAGCCTGAATATTTAAAGCCTAGATAGACGATAGTATGGGATAGTGTCCCTAAATCACTGCCGGTAAATCGTTGATAGGAGGCCTTGCTCGACCGACGTCAAGACGGGACAAGGCTGTGGTGGGGTAGGTGTCGGGTTGTCGGGGTATCTCAACATATGTAAGAGCGCTGTTCCTTCAACATTCGGTTTCCAGTCATTGCATTTCCCTTGATATTTTCAAGATAATTTCAAGAGATATTCTTTCGTAGTTTTGCAAAGACATTTCTGTTTTCTCAGTGTTGATTATTCTCAACGACCTTGCTGGTTAACGTTGCTTTAACATAATCTCCGGTGCATCTCCAAATCTCACAATCATGTCAAGTGGTATCCTTCGCACGCAAGGCACGGAAGTCGTTGGCCAGGATGGGAAGCCCGTGATTCTGCGCGGTGCGGCCCTGGGAGGCTGGATGAACATGGAGAACTTCATCACCGGCTACCCTGGGCATGAATCGGAGCACCGCGCTGCCATGAAGAAGGTTCTTGGGCAGGAGAACTACGAGTTCTTCTTCGACAAATGGCTTGAGTATTTCTTTACAGATGCCGATGCGGTTTTCTTCGCCAGCTTGGGGCTCAATGCTCTGAGGCTGCCATTTAACTACCGACACTTTGAGGATGATATGAATCCGAGGGTGTTGAAGGAAGAGGGATTCAAGCATTTGGACCGCGTTATTGATCTCGTAAGTTGCTTCTTAGGTTTGGCGTGGATATGTAGTGTTTAATGGCGTGAGACTGATATCAAATAGTGTGCCAAGCATGGAATCTACACAATTCTGGATATGCACACGGTGCCTGGTGGACAAAGCCAAGACTGGCACTCTGATAACCACTCTTCCTGGGCGTCTTTCTGGGATTACAAAGACCATCAAGACCGTACCGTGTGGCTGTGGGAAATAATTGCTGCGCGATACAAGGGCAACCCTTGGGTCGCAGGTTACAATCCTATCAACGAGCCGTGTGATCCTGAGCATGTCCGCCTTCCTGCCTTCTACCAGCGCCTGGAGAAGGCCATTCGAATTATTGACCCAGATCACATCCTCTGGCTTGATGGGTACCCGCCCCTCCTTTAACCCCAAAGAGACCTATCTGATAATTTACAGAAATACATTCGCAATGGAATTTGTCGGCTTCGAGCCCCTCGTCTCCGGCCCTACCAAGCTCCCCAACACTGCCTACAGCATCCACGACTACAACTCCATGGGCTTCCCGTCGGGAGATGCATACCTCGGAACAGACGAGCAGAAATCCAGGCTTGAGAAATCCTTCCGCCGCAAGGCAGAGTGGATGGCCAAATACGACGTTCCTTGCTGGAACGGCGAGTTCGGGCCAGTCTACAGCATCCATGAGAAGGACCCTGAAGCTGCGAAACAGATCAATGAGCAGCGCTATAACATGCTAGCGGAGCAACTGAATATTTACGACAAGCACGCTATCCCATGGAGCATTTGGCTGTACAAAGACATTGGTCTGCAGGGCATGATCTACACAGACCCGGAGTCGAAGTGGAATCGTACTATTGCTCCTTCCCTCAAGGTCAAGGTGGACGCACAGCTAGATGCGTGGGGATCGTATCCCAGCGCCTCCATGGAGTCAGTAATCGCCCCGCTTGTGGCAGAGCTTGAGAAAGTGAACCCGGATGCGAATGACGAATACCCAACCCCGTGGAACGTGGAGCGTCATGTCAGGCGTGCGGTGCTTCAGACGTTCCTGTCGCGGACGTTGTCGGATAAGTTTGCTCAGCAGTTCAGTGGGATGGGCAAGGAGGAGCTCGAAGAGTGTGCGAAGAGCTTCCACTTTGACCAGTGCAAGAAGCGAGATGGGCTGAATGAAATTCTGAGGGATCATGCGAAGTTGAGCCATGCTTAGATATCGAACACGGAATGTATCCGTTCTATCTCTTTCTCCAATGGGCATTCGCAGAACAGCCACAAGGCATCAATAGGAGCAAAGTCTCGGACAGTATAATATAATATGCCAATGATGAATGATGATAGCTTATAGTCGGTATAGACTATAGACTATAAGTTTGCTTTTGTGGTTGATAATCTATTGTCGGTTGAAGCAAATAATTATCCTGGGTATATTAAATTTATCCTCGTTTTGTGACAATAAAACTAAAACGCCGAAGACGAGATGACTGCAAATCGATGTGGTTTCTATTTTGCACAGACCCCACCCAAATGCCCAAAAACTACTTTCTAAGAAGTAATAGGCTAAAGACGAGAGTTGAGAGTGATATATACCGACATTGTTAGACCATAACGCCTTCCCTTATTAAACCCCACTGCCCAGCATTCCTAGGCGATCAGACTATTCGCAACTAAACCCTCCAACGCCCCCATCCACCATATCCCTTTTGTGCAAGCCTAATTATACCAGTCCTCCTGGCTGCCAGAGCCCCCCATTCTTGGACTATCGTCCAAAGCTGATGCATCATTAATGAAGAAACCCCCCTCTCCACCCACACCGCCCAAGTCCTCCCAATTATCAAACCCGACCGCCAGGCTCGCCTGATCGCGTAGCCACCAATCCTGACCCTCACCCATCGTTCCCTGTCCCCCAAACAACGTCGTTGGACTAACCTGCCTCCCTTGCGATGGACCCGCCATCGCCTGTCGCAGCGCAGCCTGTCCTGGCTGCGACGTGCGTGGGCTGCTGCCTATATTGGGAGGGACGACGTTGAAGAGCCCTGCTGCGGCGCTTCGCAGGTATGGCGCTGTCATGTTCAACCCAGAGTCATCTGCGAGAGACATTGGGATCTGAGCGCCTACCTCTTCCCCTGCGGCCGATACGGGCACGAAGGGCGCTAAGGTCGTGTACACGTTATTATGCGCGCTGCCTGGCGGGTTCGGCGGCGGCACTGATACGGACTTTGTGGCTTTGGGCGCCTCGGGGGAGCCGTAGCCCGGCGGCGAGCCTAGGTTAGATGGGCTCGGGTGCTGTGAGACCTCGGATTTGGGACTGGGGACGTCGGTGGGGGAGAATTTGCCATATTTGGCGTCGGTGCGATGGAGGACGTCGCGCGCTTCTTCTGGGAGCTCAATCTTCCATTTGCGTGCCAGTACGCTTATGATGCTTAGGGTGCGGCGGGCGCAAAGCCAGTCCTCTGCGATCTCTTCGAGGTGCTTGGTGCCATGGATGATATCGCGCTTGGCAGCTTTATCCGGTAAATTGAGTAGGTGGATGGTGCAAGCTGAGTGGACCATATAGACGGCGATGTTGCAAATTTGGCGTAGCCCATAGGTGCGCTTGTATAGACGCATGAGTTTGGAGATGGCGGAGGCAGCCGAAGTACAGAATTTCCGGGGCGAGACGTGGCTGGGAAGAGGAGAGGTCGATGGGTTGTATTTTAGGAACGGGCGGAAAAGATGGATGTACAGGAGATGGAAAAACATGCTGCGGAGTGGTGTTAGTATATACCGAGAGTTAATTGGACAAAAGAGACTTACTGCATAAGTAAAACATTAGGGAGTTGCCCCTCTTTTGACTCGAACTCCTTGGGCAGCTCCTTGCGCCATGCCTCAAGACGAGTATGCAGCTCACTCAACTTCTTGAGCTCGGTCTGCTTCCCCATAGACCGCTCCAGCGTTTGGGGATGATAGAAAAATATTAGTAGGTCGCTACTGATCTCGCACAAAGCTGATATTTGCAATGCAATTGCTCTTGTGCGCGATGGCTGCGAATGCAACTGACTAACCCCAGTATCGGTGTATGGCGACCAAGTGTCACTGTCCTCATCTGGGAAGACGTCGTACTTTGGAGCAGTTATATTTGACGTCGGCAACTGGGGCATGCGTCCAAGGTAGTTGGACCAGCATTTGTCGAACAAATAGCAGCCCCAGAATGTTACTCTTCGTGCATCGATTTCTTTCTCGTCCATTGGCTCCTTGCTGCTAGCCATTCCGCCGGAATCCAGGTTTAGACCCATATCCAACGCCATCCGGAAGCTCATTCCGCTGTATACCCAGCCCTTTGCTTCGCGCCCGCAGCCGGCTTCCCTGAGGGACATTAATGCTAAGGCTTGTACAGTCGTTAATCGTGGCTTCTCATATTCATCATTCTCAACAAATAAGCGCTTGGCTTCTTGGAAGAATGCGTCTCCTTTCGTAGAGGGGTCATCCGGATCCGCACAGCCCGCCGGCGAATTTGTGAAGTGACACCCCAGTGCCAACATTGCGTTGACTAGCAATGCCGAGCAGTATAATGTCCGCTTGGGATTCCCGGGCGGTTTTCCCAGGAGGAAGTCTCGTAGGAAGAGGCTCTTCGATAATGTCGTGAAATATGGATAGTGCCAGCTCAGGTACATATTTAGCAAATGTAGTATGAGCTCAGCGTCCGTCGTAACAGTTGTCCAGCTTAATAATGGCGCATCTTGTTGCTGTAGCGCGTCCGAGCTATCCTCCTCATCATCCTCTGGCGAGAGATATATCAAGTTCGACGTGCCGCCAATGAACCGCACCGACCCATTCTCGATCCTCAATTCGCCCATTTTCCCCGAAAGTTCGTTTTCAAAGGTCGGTGCGACGGTTTGCGAGTATGCACCAATTATGATATCATCATCGTCCTCATCCTCCGCCTTTGCATCGGAGTTCTCCTTTCGGGCGATGGTGTCTGCGACATCGTCTAGGTTGTCGCAGGTGCGTATCTGTCGAACCAAAGCCGAAACATTGTCTTCGGAGGAATTCAGTATCGCTTGCACGATCGTCTGCAATGTCGACTCGCGCGCTTTCAGCGTGTCGGCCTTCTCCTTATACACTCCCTTACGTCGATGGTCGCTATTTGGGTCGTACACGCATTCTGTGACCTCATAGTTAGCGCTGGAGGTCGCGTGGGCAAAAGTAAACACTATATGGAGACTTACCAGTGCCATAGACGCTCGAGCAGGCAGCGCACGACGGCGTATTGCCATCGCACTTTGACTTCCTCCGGCGACAGGCAATGCAGGCCGTGCTCACGCATCGTCGCTTGATAGCAGCGGCGTCGCGACTCGACCGGGACTTCTTCTTCGTCGGCGCGTGAGGCGGCGACTTCCGAGGCTCACTAGAACCATTATCCATATTTAAAGGTGATTCGCGCCGGGTCACCTCGAGAATCTCGCGATCTCCCATCTTGAGTGGGGATGCCGCGACTGCCAGAACACGCTATTGCGCTACTCCTGTAGGTAGTGGGTCGTCAGGGCGATTGTAGATAACCACATGGGTGAATCAGGGGCAAAATATCGATTCTGAGCAGCAGAAAACATAGGAGCAAGGCCTATATCCCCCCTGGGGTGCTTTGGGTTCGTAATCACGCGGCTCAATTCGAGTTGCGTGGTAATCAGAAGTAGCTCATCGAGTTGTCTTAGTAAGGAGTTTGAGGCCGGGAAACGGCAATGACAGGCAGGGCATGGCGATGGGACCATAGGCGATAAGGTAATAAGGTTATCTTATCGCCTACTTTGGTCTCATATATGGCCGATCGGGGTCTGCTCGGCGAATGTTTAACAACACGAGACCGTGTTGTACTGACTGTAAACCGGTCCGAAATCATATTGTACAGTAATATTGTTTTGGAGATTTATTGGGAAACAAAATAGACTGCAGAGAGTGAGGTTGATCCATGGATATGGACCTGGTTTTAAGTACTACGAGCAGTACCAGCACTACCCAAATTGTGGCTATAAACAACCAATCGCAAATAAAGAAAGCGATGATTTCCTATAAGATCGAGCTTCATCCCGTTTTTAGAGAGTCAGCTACCTTCGAGAGTAATTAATTCCTTCCATGGGTTCCATTTGTCGTACTGTGGCTGCCGATCGCCGGCGTATCCGTCGACGACAGAATGCGGGGAATGGCGGGGTCACTGGGGCGTCAGCACAACTTTAACTTCAGATCGTGAGTTTGCATCTTCAACTCCCGCACTCCACAGTCACGAGCCAACCACCCCTCCGACCTCATACCCGGCAGGATACATACCAATTACACGTATCCGACCTTTTCAAACCAATAGTCCACTATCTCAAGGCCACAATTCCAGCGCTTCAAGCATCCAATCCAATCCCAATCTAAAAAACACCCAAAACAAAAACCACCAACCCTAGCAACCAACGGCCAACGGCCAACGGTCAAGAACCAGCAACCAACATCAAGCAAACCAACAACGCACACGACAGCCCAACAACCACAACCATTCCTCCCCTCCGCAAGCTCGCTATGTCCGCCCCGGCCCCCTGGGGCCCCATCCTCCACACCCACCTCACCCATCTCACCCCCCCAACCTTCACCCTCAGCACACTCCACCACACACCATCCCTCACACCGCCCTACAGTCCCCGTGCACGAACCTGCGTATTCCGGGGAATGTTCGGGTCCGGCCCACGCGGCGCCGCGAAGGGTCCACAGACGGCCAGTTCCGACTTACTCACCTTCACGACGGACGTGCGGTCGGCTAAGGTCCCCGATTTACTCGGCCCGGGACAGGAGGATAGGAGGGCGAGTGGTGGAGGAGGGAGGGTGGAGCTTGTGTTCTGGGTGAAGGAGGTGAATATGCAATGGCGCATACGGGGAGATGGGTGGGTTCTTGGGCCGGATGTTGGGGGTAGGGGAGAGGGTGCAGAAGCTGTGAAGGAGGCGCTTAAGGGGAGGCTGGGGGAGGTTGGGGAGGAGTGGGGGTGGGAGGGGGAATGGGAAAGGCAGTTTGAAGGGATGGGGAGGGAGTTGAAGAAGGGGTTGGCGGGGCCGCCGCCGGGGGAGGTGAAGAAGGGGGTTGAAGGGGGGGAGTTTGATGAGGAGAAGGCGAAGGGGAATTTTAGGCTTGTGGTTGTGAGGCCAGCGGAGGTGGAGTGTGTGGATCTTACGGACCCTGAGAGTTCGAAGAGGTGGATATATACGTTTGTGGAGGGGGAGTGGAAGAGGGAGGAACTGAACCCGTGAGAATCTTGACTACTTGAAGATTGGAAAGGGGGAGCTGACAGGAGGCGAAGTGGATTAGGGAGAACCATGCGACTCGGGAGCTTGTAGACAGCTGAGGTGGAACAGCAATGCATATGAGAATCAGGGGGTTAGGGGCTCCAAGACATCCACGGGACAAGGACGACTGGTGAATAATGGCCTGGTCTTGCACCGGAGAAATAATATGTGAGACCCTGAGGTTGAGGATGTAGAATTGGCAGCTAAAGCCGCCAGACCAAAATAGAGCATCTGGGCGCCTGTTTTTGCAACTCACTCTTCTAGACCACCGAGTCTCCCACAAGGGCGCCACTTCATCTACACAGCTTGACAATAGGGCCTTTGAACGTTACGCTACGAGTCTGATTTGGAGCCACTGGCATGACGACAGTAGCTCGCATAATGTACAGTACAAACCGCCTGTGCATTATGTAGTCCGACCGGATTAGGCTAATATCATCACTCAAGCGAGACACACATCCTTTCCGCAACCGGTGGGCGCTCGAGCTTCGACAGCCCAGGAGTGGCACGGGACGTTGTTGGCGCGGGATGCAACACTGGCAGACGTGTCTGTGGTTGGTCGTACCGAATTTCGCCGTAGGAATGTGGGAGTTGAGGCGTGGAGACAAGGGTTTCCAGGGTCCTCATGGGAAATCGAGAGCTCCTCACGAGTTGGATTATGGATAGAGGAAAGATTGGCGGCTCGCTTCTGTGGTGATGATACACGCAAATTCTTCAGCGGCGGGGAAGAGTGAGAGGCGGTGTATGGGTATTTGGAGAGGAGCATGGCTGTGGTTCAATGGCGCGCAAACCAGTGGAGTTGCGTCAGAAAGCGAGAGGGAGGCCTGCACTCACATATGCAGTCTTGAGGCCCTGTTCTCACATATGCAGTCGTGACTCGTCATTTTGGCCGCCAGTGGTAGTCTTGGGGCCTCTGCTGGCTGTGAACCTCGTTCTGCAGCGCCCGTGCTGTAGAAGTACAGTGCCCGAGTACACTCGAATACCGTGTGGGCGCAAACCGGCACAATTCTACGGAGTAGTAAGTACCTTGGCGATGCAGGAAGGGTTGGAGAAAAGAGGAGGTGTGTGGCGATCTGTTCGCTAGGATCGGGCGGAAGGGTTCCCCGATCACGCTTGTTCTTGCCCGTCAGTCGCTGTTTCTACAGATGGCGCACACGATTTCTCTTGATTTTCTCAGCCGCTCTTTGTGCGGAGACTGGCGAGAAGAAAGGGCAAGATCTGAGATTGATGAGATACGGGGATAAAGGTCTCGGCGCTGCTGTGCAACAGGGAGATAAATTGACGGCGGGCACCCCGAGGCCTTGTGCGACAAGAAAAGTGTTGGTGCCATTAAAACACTCTATTTATGTGTGCGCCTTAGCCGCTGAGACTGGGGTGTCTTCATCAGATATGCGGGCGGATGGCACAGCGATATCGTGCTGGCAACATGTGCCGTTAGTATTCGCAACGGGGCGCACTTAGCTTCGGAACCTCGTGTGGATGGGTATGGTCCGCCAAGTACTGGAGTGGTTCTTCGCGTGGTGGGGATGTGATGCGCATCATCTGCACACTTCGAGTCTCTGGCCAAGAATATCTGCTTCCTTCTTGTGTTTCGAGTTTGCCGATGCAGTTGGCCCTCGCAGGCAGTTCATTGGGCATCATGGAGCGAGCGAGGTTGGACGGATACGTGTTCTCCAACGACGTTAGAAGCGCGCGAGGGCTTTTGGAATCAAGTGAGAAAACCGCTCATGGCCATGATGTACAGCATACACGGCCAACGAGTGTGTAATATGTGCAATGCTACGTCGAGTGCCCATGAGGCCTATGAGACGAGAATCGCTCGTGTGCTGTAGCGTGGCAAAGGCGCACCTGCTAGGGAGACTCACACTGCGGGCCGTCGCGATGGGCTTCGGTTTAGCAGGCTATAGTACACAGTACGTACATGAGATGTAAGACTGGCCCACTCAGCACGGCTTCTTACTGTACCAGTACCGGGAGAGACAAAGGAAGGGGGGCATTTGGCTGCCATGTCACCGTTTCTAATATACGCGATTATCATGGTAAGCTTCGTATATTGCTCGTCTAGCCTGTCCCGTAGATCACAGTTCATGGGAGAAGAGGGTAGAATAGAGAGTATAGAGTATAGAATATAAAATATAGAATATACCTTGAGTATGGAGAACACATCATAGCTAAAGGGGGGGGGGAGCGGGTTAGAAGCATACAGACGTATAGACATACATATTCGTGCATACCTCGTACATACGATACGCATGGCAACATGGCAACGTATGGCAGGTATAGTAGGAATAATAGGAATGGCAGGCAATTAATATGAAGCTATGTATGTATTCTATGCTATAGTTGTATATTCTACTCTATTATAGTACGTCAATGGAGAAACATCGCCGTAGATCCTCTCCCTCCTCCACTTCAAACATCCTTCTTTGCCCGGCTACGAGAGGTATTTGTGGTTGGCCCATAATCGTTCTCTTCGTACCGGTGACATACACAGAGTCTCCCATATGATTCCCTGCGAAGTACTGCTGTAGAGTACATAACATCATAATCGACTACCTACTCTACCTACTCGACAGTCATACCATACATAACCCCTCACAACCCCCCCGAAGTGCGACAAAATTCTCGACTACAGTCTTTCTAGACGTTTAATCTCTGCTTTCTCCTCTTCCTCCACCATTTCCTCCACTCTCGTCGTCGCTTCCTTCTATACACCTTCGAGAATCAGCGTCGAGTGGGGACTGTTGGGAAATTACCCTTCATAGTCGGATATTATTGTTCGTGGCAAGTGACTTAGACCGAAGCTTGCCAAGCACCACCGGACAGGGCGAACTCCACGCCAAGCAGCGATCACTCCGGCAGGGTGAGAGACAGCACCTCTGTGCAACCGAACCTCAACCTCCCCAACGGCCAACACAAACTTCATACTCCATACCGTCAGTTTCAAATCACCGCCTCGCTTCTACCGGAAATATATGCGCGTCTAAAGAGACATGGCCTCTTCGTAAGGGCGTGCCTCCTGCAGCAAGCTGGACATTCGAATCCCCGTTATACCACAACAACATCTGCGATCCAACGACGTCAGCGGGACTTATTGTCCCTTTTTCAACAAACACGATAGCAAAGCGAGAGGTCCATAGCAGCATTCAGCATGGATCCGCTCAATAACCTTGTCAAGTCGATACCCGACTGGCAGGTTCTCCTCGATGACCTCAATGGCAAGATAGCAAGGCGACAGGGCGAACTGGCCGAGGCCGAGAGCAGCAGACCCTCGACGCGCTCATTACGGAATAAGGGTTCTGCGGAGTCCCTACGCCCGAAAGACGACAACGATGTCATACCAGAGGATATCGAGATTGCCATGGATTCTACTACTGATACCCCCAATACAAATAATGATACCGCAATCCCTACAATCACCCTACCCGCCAACGGCAAGGCACTATCACCACCGAAAGTCGACAACTCCCCACGAACTCCCCAACGCGACACACCTAATCGCCTCCGCGGGGCCTTCGCAAAGGGTCTCCCCGCACTCACACCACCCGTCCTCCGCAAGCGCAAGACCGAGTCTCTAGCCTCCGCTGAATCAGGGAAGCCGAAACACAGGACGCGCTCCATGATAATCGTCTACTACGACTCGGCAGTGCAGAGCGACTTTGAGGCCCTCGTCAAGCACATCAGCGCCTCTCGCAACTCCATGCGCAAGGGTAAGATGGCCGCACGGATGGCGAGCATGCGCATGATGGCTGATCTGGAGTCATTGGGCGATGAGCTGGAGCCGGAGTTGAAGGTGGATGATACCCCAGCGGCTGCTGTGGGGGCCATTGCAAATGGCTCTACTAGTAGCCCGAATGCGATGATAGCTTCTGTTTCACCCGGTGACGATGATGACGAGGGGCTGCCGTTGCCGGCGTTGAATTTCGTATCAACACGTCGCATGGGGCCGATGAGGGAATTGTCGTCTAACAGAGCTCTTCGTGCGGGACCAGGGGCGCCAGGCGTGAGACGCGCCGGGCAAGGCCCTCCTGGTGGCGGAGCATCCTCAAGGATATCTGCGTTGGGCTCGAGTATATTCGACGAGCTGGACAGTGGACTTGAGTGGTGCCAGAGCATGTGCGAGCATGCTGCCCACCAGTTCCTGCGTGATGGACAGTGCACCTCGGAGATCGAAGGGATCAAATCACGACTGCAAGAGGTGTGGGATAGGGCTGAAGAAGAAATTAAGGCAGAAGGGAAGGGAGCGGAAGTTGGTACGGACAAGGACCCGAGCAAGACGACGGACCGGAAAGCTGACTATGTCAGAGCGGGTGATAAAGATGGAGCTACTGCCCCTACTTCCACCGCTACATTGAAGCCGGAACCCCAGTTGCCACGGACTTTAAAGCAGATCCAGATCAGGAAGGAAGCAGAGAAGATGTTTGAGAAACCGGAAAAGCCAGCACAAAAGCCGGCTCAAAAGTCATTAGAAAAACCCACGGAAAACTCGCCTAAGGGGCTGGAAGTGAAATCCCTGGAAAAAGATGGCGGATCGGCCATCGAAGTCGACGATGTTCTAGAAGTAGACGACGATGCGATGGAAGCAGATGAGGTGGATGAGGATGCCTACAGGAAAGAGTACGCCGCCATTATTGCGCGGAACTCGAACTATCGACGACGTCCAAACGTCCGTTGAAGCTCCAATTTCAGCCAACAAGGCTTATGAATTGAGCAATGGGGGGCAAGATATTTTGCGATGATCGTTAGAATTGGATCGAATCTTGCCCCTTTCACGAGAGAGAGCGAGTTAGCGAGCGATTTTTGTTGCATGGGAGAGCGTGGCATTGTTTTTTTGGGCATCCGGCGTCCCGTATATTTACGTGAGGCATTATCATATTTATAGTGATTGATCACTTGGAGTTCAAGGAGGCTGAGGTGGAGCGCTCATCTTTATTGGGCCAGAGAGAGAGACAGGATTACCATCCATAGATTTAGTAACTTCACAAACAACCATACGAACCGTTCCAACCGTTCCAACAGTTCCCAACGTACCCTTGCTCTGCTGAACTGCGCCGTACCTGCACGAGGCCCGAGACAGTTATTTGTCGCATGATATTATTATGGAATTGGGATTATCGGCGGTGGGGGTCGCGTGGGGGGCACTACAACGCTATTAGTGAGCAAACCCCACCCTCATGCGCCCGACGGGGAGCCTCGTTCATTGGGGTCGAGCGCCCCCTGAGTCTCTCAGCCCGAAGGAGGCCGTGAATCCCCCCCCCTTTCTCTCCCAGGCCGCCCCCGAACGACCCGAACGGGCCCCAATTTCCCGCTCGGCGACGCCTAAAAAAACGGTCACAAGCTGGGTTAGTTAGGCTTCTAGATGGATTCTAGATACCCTAGGGCCGATCCCAAGGGTTCTCAGACGGACGCTGGCGGTGCGACGCGAGGGAAAAGTGTGGAGAGTGGGAATGTTTGGTGGTATTTTGTGTTTTGGCGCCCGGTACTGGGGAGATTGCAGTCCGTAGCCTTGCCAATTAAGCTTTTTTTTTGCGTGGGGTTTCGCTGATGTAAGTCGGGTTTTGTGTGGGGGGCGAAGACCGGACCTAGCCAGACGAGGCGCTGTAGATTACTGAATGGGCGTCCCGGGTTCCTTTCGCCGATCGAGTGAACGCGACTCGTCTTTTGCCCTGTACACCGATAATTCCTTCTGAGGGCTAGATTCGAGCACAGGGCGTCGACTTTGTAAGAATTCTGTTGTTTGCGGAGGATGGTAAAACCGGGTCTTGCCACTTTTGTCGTTCCGGCCTGGCCCTTATATGGTCGGCTTGTCCTCGAACTGTGAAGAAAGGTTGGCTGGACGGACTGAAGATCTCTGAAATATTGGAAAGTTCTATGCCAGATATTGCCATACGATAAGCAAGCAACATGCCTGACAGCGTAAGCTACTTAACTGCACACTAGCCTATACTTGACGAATGCCGGGCAGAATCCACGAGCAAGCCCACTAACACCGCACCGTAGGACAAGGCCAATCTGGCTCGCATCCGCGACAACCAAAGGCGGTCCCGAGCGCGCCGGAAGGAGTACCTCCAGGAACTCGAAGGCCGACTCCGGCAATGCGAACTCACGGGTGTCGAAGCCAGCTCCGAGATCCAGGGCGCGGCGCGCAAAGTAATCGAAGAGAACCGGCGCTTACGTCTGCTCCTTGCCCAACATGGCTTGAGCCCCGACGACGCTAGCGATGACGATGGCAGCCAGCAGTGGTCGTCGAATACACCGAGAAGCGATGATGCGCAGGCTCTAGAGACACTTCTTAACATTCGCCGATGGAAGTGCAGCGAGACGCAGGGGTCGCCGCCAGAGACGGGGCCGACGTCTACGATGCCTGGTGAACAGAATATCGATATGGTCGCTAGCCCACCCGCGGTGCAGGCGGCGTGGATGCCATCGCCGGAGAGCATGGAGGAACGGGGAGCGGAACAGCTTGAGAACTCGGGTTTGGGTCTGAACACATTACAAACGGGATGGGCGGCATCACCGGATGATATTCAGTACCAAGGGCTTCAGAAACTAGGCCGAGAATCCGACCCTTGTACACCGGTATCTTCGTACAGCTTTTCGAATCAGTGCTGTGGAGGAAATAGCTGCACTTCTAATCCGAGAGAGCAACAGGCGCCAATTCAACAGCAGCCTCAGCTACAGCCTGGAGGGCTGCTCGGAGCAATTAATATGTTGGGTCCTATGTCGACTCACGAGGAACAAAGAAAAGCCTTCGACATCGCAGTCCAGGCCCATATTGACCCAAACCAATACCGCTACCTCCAGCAACTACAGGCTCTCTATGACCCCTCCAAAGCTCTCTACAACCCATCCATGTCTGTATACCAGCAACCCCAACCTCGTCAAATTCAGCTTCCAGTACGACCTGGCCCTTCGTTCCAAACACCACCATACGTTATCGGCCCTCCTAGAAGTACACCAAGTGCCCAGGCTATTGGGACGAATAGCTGCATCTATGCCACCGACATGATTACCGCGATGGCAACCGAAGCTCTGCCATCGGATGTCCGAACCGATCTTGGATGCTCACCACAATGCAGCACGGACTGCGAAGTGAGCAACCACGTCGTTTTCGATGTCATGGACCGGTACTCTGGTATGGGACGTTGATGCCCTTTTCGTTACTTTTATTTTGTGCCGCATTCGATGATACCCCGTGAGATTATTTGGTTCTGTCTTTTTTCCCATGTAGGACAATTTGTGGCGTTTTTTTGTTTTGCATTCCACAAGAGTCTTTGTTTGTTTGTCCGGCCGCAATTGCATCTTGAATTCCTTCCAAATATTAGATGCGGCGGGGGATATTGTACGATGCGAAAACAATGATGTGAAATGAAATGAAAGAAAGTTGAATTCCGCCTCCGATGTTTTTGTGGGACAAAGGCTCTCCGGATGCGAATGTGCCTTTGTTCGAAATTGCTGAATTGGACGAATGGCGCCGCCGAGGGCTTACGCTTCCGGCGACAAGGAGCGTAGCAAGGCCTCCTTTGTCCGTGAAATGGGTTCCAAAACCCTTGATAATTTCTTGGTGACGGCGAGAGAATATTGATTATTGCGACTTGGACTCGGTGGAGCTACGAAATTACCCTAATCATATTATAACCTCTATACTTGCAAGGTAAGTCTACAGATATGAAGCTGCGTTGCCCAGGACGACCATTGCGTGGCCTGGTAGGTGAACAAACTGACTTTTATACCGTTTAGATGGCGGCTCAAGCGCCAAACGTCGATCCGGCCGATATGACGGATGTTCTTGACCCTCGATTTGCAACGCCTTTTAACCGAATCTATGATATAAACAGACGACTGGAGGCAGTTAGATTGTATGGGACTGAGGCGGTGTTTGCCCCCATGCCCACGTTTTTCAACAGTGACGACAATCAGCAGCCGCCTGACGGACCTGCAGACGATGACTTCCATGAGTACGAGGTTGATCCTTGGGGGCGCCCAAGGGAATCATTGCTGCCAGGGGAAAATCCATTTGCCGACCTTCTTGTAACTCGGAACCAAGCCGATGATAGAAGGAACACCGACCTTGGAGAGCTCCCACACTTCGGAAATTTCGGCCCGTACTTTCGAAAAGTGAACGCCGTGGGAAACCTAGCAGGCAAATTCGTAGCCCCAAAGCATGTTGGTGCTAGATACGACATTACTCCGTTAATCGACGAGAAGCTGAAAACTGATCCTTTGGCATTGAACCCTGATTTTGACGATTGGAGGAGAGAAGTCGAGTTTCAATTTGGAGAGAAGCCACCGCTGCCGCCTCCCAGTCTTGGGCCCGCTCCGGATCCCGGAGACGCTTCTTTTGACTTCAGTAGCCTCGCAATAATACTCAATAATAGGAGGGTCCAACCACTGCTTGTCCCTCACCCAAGTATCCGTTCTCCGCTCGCCCCCCAAAAAGGCACAGATGAGGAGATGAATGCGGATATGGAGCGCATCAATTCCCTGTCGGTGGAACTTAGCTCGTCATGGTGGATTGCCAATATCTTGTGGTGTATGGGCGAGGACGACACTTCTTTGGCTAGGACAAGTGCCATGATGAGGGAAGGCGTCTGCCCTCCAGAGGTGTTTCCATATTACGTGGACCCGAACACCATGGAGAAAGTGGAAAAGTGCGATTACGTATCGGGGCCACTGGCCTTATATGTGCCATTTCGCGTTGTCTACGGCAGCCCTGACCCAACGGAGAACACCTTTTGGGTTCCGAAGCTGAAGGGCGTGGATGGGTCTGCGATGAGGTTCATGCGGCCGCCGTTTCCAGAATATTGCACACTAGACACACGATTCGCTCCGGTTCCGGTAAGTCTATAGTCGTGATAGTGCTGGAAGGAGTTTCAATGCACGTGTACTATTATTAAAGGCAATAAGCTGATATAATACAGGTTCTTCAGTCTACGGTCTTGCCAGAACGACATGACATAGGCCGTCCGGAACTCAAGCTCTGGGATGGTATCCCTGGGCGCACATTCCGTTTACCGCCGTACTTCTGGCCAGATGAACTGAGAGACAGTCACCTTGATGGCGAAGACCGACCCTTCGCCGTTGATATACGTCGCATCCCTGTAAAACGTCCAGCTGGCAACACACAGACCCAGCCCCAGCCACCGCAACCTTTCAGACCAACGCGACGTCTGAACACAGTTTATCGAGACCGCACCAAGGTCCCTCAAAATCCGCAGAGAATATACAATCCGGGCACACATACTCCAACACACAACAGTAGGCAAACCCACGGGCCAAATCAACTGGGAGGCAATGTGGAAGAAGATGATAATTCCCCAAGCTTCCTCCAGGACGAGTTCGAATATGACCTACAGGGGGACGTATGGGGTCCAATCGGCGGATTCGAAGGCCGGGACTATGAATCTGAGCGCCAAAAGGACCACGATAGATGGTACCGCTACTTCCTCATCAACAACGATCCCTGGGATCGAACTATCATTGTCAATGGCGTGCAAGTAAAGCCAGGTGCGGTTGCTGGGCCGCTCCCTGCATTTGCCATGCTTGAGCTTGATGGCCAGGCAGCGTTTTGGTTCGGCGTTGGAGGCCGAAATTATGATCCTAACACCGCGCCGCCCACTGAGAAGAGGGCGGCGGAGAACGAGGCTCCTGGAGATGGAAACCGGGGCAAAGTTCAACGACTAATACCCAGACCGTGGTCTCCGGGCCAAGAAACAGGAGGAACATACCAGGCTTTTATAACGATAACTTTACCGACTGGAACCTCCCCGCTGCCGTCCCCTGCTACTGCTACGGCTGCGGTGTTTGAAAACTTGCAAATTGGCCAGACTCAGAACCAGCCTCTTCGGAACCAGCCTGCTCAGAACCAGCCAGCTCAGAACCAGCCTGTTAAGAACCAACCTGTAGCGCCGGAGCCTTTTGGGGGCTTCAGGGCAGATGCACCGGAGTTTGTACCGGGTTCTTCAGGCGGTCTAGTGGGGTTAGGATTGCTAGGGTTGCGAGGAGGAGCAGGCACGGAAGATGATCTAGATCCTGTGGGCAGTGGAGCTAGTGCGGCGCGACCTGCCGCCAAACGGCGGACTGATCCGGCAACCGACGAGAACATCGAGAAAGCGATGGGAGAGGCGGCTCGCCAAATGGCACTGGCACATGCTGCGGCTGGTGCATTATTGGCAGGTGGCACTCCGCAACAGGAGAGTACTGGGACTCCGCAACATATCGGCAGTGGGACTACACAAAATACCAGCACTGAGACTGCACAAAATACCAGCACTGAGACTACAAAAAATACCAGGGCTGCGACTACACAAAATACCAGGGCTGCGATTTCACATCTTTTCAATTTGATTCCATATCAATTCACTCCTGTGGCTCTACAGCCGATGAATACGAGGGCTCCACAATATATGACTACTGAGACTCCGCCATATATGAATGCTGGGGCACTAGAGAGCCTGCTGGAGCGTTATGGGATCTGCGTCGACCCTTCGTGGGATAAGGCAAGATTGCTTAATGAACTGTTAAAGGTAAAGATACCACTTTACCAATCCGCAGAGAGAGCTGACAACCAAACAGAAGTAGCCCAAGCCGAAAGAAAAGCTCGAGCTCGAGCTCGCGCAGAACGCATGATATCTACTGTTTCGGAGAATAGCGAGCTCGAGCAACGGCATATGTGCGAAGGCCTTGGTATCATTATCAGCCCCGAATGGAGTCCGGCGCGAATAAGGGAGGAGATTGCGAGGTTATACGAGACGGCGTATCAGGAATTGATGAGCAACAACAACGCAGCAACAGAATATGAGGCAGCTATGGGGCTGCTGGTGGATAATAGCGAACCAAAGAAGCCTCCCGACGCAATCAGTGTCCTCTTCTTTCTCGCGAGCAGATATATGTATCGACAAAGAAGCGGGGCCGGGCTCAAAGCCATGTGTGAGAAATACTGTATCGACGTCAATAGCACTTGGGATTCGGAGAGGGTCATCGTTGAGATTCTACGAGCTGTGGAGTGGCAACGTCAGGTAGAAATAGCCCGAGCGGCCGCCGACGAAACTTCGATATTAGCTAGTATAGCTGCAATCACCGCTATTGATGCCGAAACAGACCGCATCCGAGCTAAAATGGCCGAAATGGTAAAGGTAGCGAAGGAAAAAGCAGGTCGAATACTGATCGACCTTACGGGTAGCCCAACGCGGGTTGACGGCCCGACTGTGATTGACCTTACGGGTAGCCCAACGCGGGTTGACCTCATACATGGCCCGACGCCGACTGACCTTACGGGTAGCCCGTGACTATGCTCCAGCTAGTGCAGAGAAGGTGCGAGGGGTGGGGAGGTGAAGAAGGGAACCCTAGAGGGCAATTATGCAGCATATTGTGAGGGTGAGATTCGGTTAGGGGGGTCATGGTAGATGGGTCTGCAAGTTGGAGTTTGATTTAAGTAGAACAATCGTTTTGGTATCATAGTATGTATGCATTTCTTACCCATATCCCGCCTACGCCGTGAATACCGACTCGCCTCATGCCCGTAAAATTCATCAAGGTTCATAAGCACACCCACCACACAACTCCCCATCCCAAATCACATCCCCCATCTTCAAATAACATGAATAAAGGCCCCTTATGCCCTCACAAGAAATATTCAACTTGAGGCTTTTTAGCAGGCATGCCTCGGGAATCTTGCGGAGCGGCTTGAAACACTCGGTATCTCCTCGCTGGCCCTGGGTTAAGGCTCACGGCGTTCTCATCCAGATCCCCCTGCTGCAGGGCGGCACTGCGGCCGACCTCGCCGTTACTCCTCGCCAACACCCCGTCCCCGCCGCCCCCATCCTCGCCGAGCTCCATAATAGCCGCCACGTTCCCGCAGCGGTAGCAGTAGTTCGGCGCGGACCAGACCGTGACGATGGTGTTGTCGAACATCTCTTTGAAACCCTCCATAACAAGCTGATGCGCACGCGCAATCATCGAGATGTTATTCGCGTGGTTGAAGTTCTGCACCGTGCTGGCACCGAAGAGGAAGCCGGCTCCACGTGGCGAGAGACCCCAGCCCTGGATGTCCTCCGGGTCGGACCACAGAAGATCACACATGGAGCCCTCGTGCGGGACTTCCTGCTTGCGGTCGATGAGGCGGATCTTGTCGAGCGTTTCGGCGAGGGGGCTGAGCCCGCCGTGCACGCAGAATACGGCCGTGGAATTGTTACCGGAGGTTCCGTTGCTGTGAGCTGAGGCGCCGGAGCCGGGAGGGCCGGTCTTGGTTGGTGTAGTAGAGGCGGTAGGAGTGCGCACAAGGACGTCGTTTCGTTTGCTGCCCTTCCGAGGGAAACGGTGGAGGATGCCGCCCTCTGAGTTGAGGACTTCAATCTCGATGTCTGCCTCATCATAATCTTCGGTGTTGGTTATTTCCGGGGCTTGTGGGCGGATGGGGATCTTGTCGTTGGGCTGCAAGGTGGCGGAGGCGTTGAGGACGATCGCACCCAGGGCAAGGTAGTCAAAGACGTCGCAGCAGTAGCGCCACACGTTTGCGGAACCGTATTTGCGCAGGCACTCATCATAAAAGCCGTATACGGTTGTGATCTGGCGCGACTCATGGTTTCCACGGATGAGCGTCATCCGGTCTGGGTATCGGACTTTGAGGCAGAGGAGAAGCAGGAATGATTCGAGACTGTAGAAACCACGGTCGACAAAGTCGCCCATAAAGAGGTAGTTTGTGTCCGGAACGTCGCCACCAACTCGAAAGAGCTCCATGAGATCGTGAAACTGGCCGTGGATATCGCCACATATCTATTCCTGTCAGTTGGTGTGGATATGAAATTGTGTCGCGAAGACATACCGTCACAGGTGCGGTGACTGTTACAACATTTCCCTCCTCCACCAACAGCTCTCGCGCCTTATAGCATAATTCCCTGACCTGTGATTCTGGTATTGGCCGACATTCCCGCAGCTGTGCAATAGCCCTAGGCCCTGGTTAGTTTCGCCTTTGATGCGTTGAAGAGCAAAAACCCACTTATCCAAGTCGCTCATCTTGTATTGTCTTTGGGGGTTGGACCGCGCAGGTCGCGCCTCCTATCTGGAATGTTTGAAGCGCGTGTCTACTTCAATGCTACAACACAGCTGGACGTTGAGGTGCTGAAAGTTGGCGTAGGATAGCCCACAGATTCGAATCGGGGCGCTCTATCGATGTGCACAGTGTGCGACAGGGTCAAATAAGGCGTTAAATGGCAATATTGTTAGGTTTCTGTATAGTTCCCGATATTATGGCAAAGTAAAGAGTTGCATAAACCCAATAAATTCGTTCCTGTCGTGCGCCAATTCAGTTCCTGGATGCTGTGTGATATGTCGATCTAAAAGTTCCCAGCCCACGACATTCGCGATAATGGATGCCGGGGTGCTAGCTTGTGATTACGCTAGCCGGATCTAACCTCAGACCATCTCCGTGTGGAGAAATTTATAGACACCCCTCCATTCGAACCATTGCGGCCCAATTCGACAATCGCTCACCTCTGTCAATTCCTCGCTGATATAGGCAAAGCCGGTTATTAGTGTAAGAGCCTCGTTTGTCCCAGCGACCAATGCTAAACCCTCCAGCAGCTGGATGCCTTTCTCCACGGACTGAATTCTCGCGTCTCCGCCCTCGCCGGCACGCCCACAATGCCGCCCCATCTACACCCGCGCTCGCGGATGACCTCCTCAATATTCGTTACGACCCTCTTCGCCAGCTTTGCCGTCGTTACATTACCACATATCCTGCCGTGTCCCGCGCCCCGGGTGGCATACACAGAGGGGGAAATATGTCCGGATGGGAAGAGGAGGCGGAGGAAGAGGTGCGCTCCTGAGGTTGCTACGGACGGCTTAGTCAAGGAGGGGCAGCCATGTTTGACAACTGTAGCTGTTGGAGGAGGCGAAGACCTCGAGGAGATTGTGGGGACAAGGGAGAAGAGGGAATGCCCGATACCGAAACCAGGGGGGACTATGGGGAAAATACTTGCATTTACCGGGATAGGAAGCAATACAGATGGATCTGGAGGGACACGACCATCGTCATAACGAATATATGGAAGGATAGAGTGTATATAAGATGTTGGATATTAGAAGGCCGACATACGAGGCTTGGGGGCAGAACTGGGGCGCAGAATTGGCAGAAGACCAAGATGTACGGACGGGTTACGGAACAACTGTATACCAACAAATACCTGTGTTATAACACAAGAAGAGCATCAACTTAGTCATATGTTGAAATTATCAAACAGCAACAAGATTCCCACCATGTGAGAAGACCAAAAGCGCAATAGTGTGCCTCAATTGAACAAGTGAGGTTTTGAAAGACGGCAGGGTCAAATAGCTGTTGTTATAACAGCAAGTATTTGGTAAAGTATATACAGTAAGTGAACTACTATATGCAAGAATAACAATTTCCATCGAATATCATCTCCCTAATCTTTCTATCTCTTCTCACTTTCTTCAATTAAAGAAAACACTAACTACACGCAGCCATTACTCAACCAACACATACTGGTCGCTTTAGAGTCAACAGCACAGTTATCTAGCAAGTGAAGACATCAGGGCCGGGTGCGACATAAGGCTTGCCGTCGTTGTCTGGGTTGCCAGACGAGCCGTAGATGTTGATAGTAATTCCACTGGTTTGAGTCAGCAAAGCTCTAGGTCATATTCGAAGACTGTGTTTGGAAGGGCAGGGGCGGCAGGGTATAAAGGGCACCCGGGGCTGAGGGCAAGAAAATTGAAACTTACGGGTCTCCAGATGAGTAGGCGCCTGGAAGGCTGACGCCGCCAGAGAGCGCTGTGGATCCGCTGCCAGTGACGCGGATGTTTGCGCAGGACATGTAGAACTGCGCGCCGCCGGCGCTGTAGGCGGAGTGGAGGGCTATTTGTGTCAGTATGGCCGATCAGAGATCTTGAAATTAGGGAAAACTTACCGATAAGCTCAGCACGCATGAGGTAGTCACCAGGGGCAATGCAGCTGGGGAGGGTGAAGTACCACCACCCCCCTCCGGAGACCATGGTGTCTACTCCCCAGACACCGTTGTTGAGGCCCTCGAGCGCGACCTTGGTCCACGAGAGACCTTTAGGGTCGGCAGAAGAAGCATCGCTCACCTACGCCTAAATCAGCATTGAAGCATCGCGAATCTCCAAATGACTTACCTTTGCGAGATACACCTGCGCAGGTCCGTGGTGACTAGAAGCAATGGGGTTATCAGGGTCATTTGAGCCCTGTGGCCCGCCGATGAGATGCTGCCAGAAGGTGCCGACCTTTGCTCCAGCGGGGATGGTGATAACATCGCTAGAGACTGGGCTATGGAGGCCGGTGTTACAGGTGATGTCTGCGCTCAGGACATCCTGCACCGGGTTGTTGGAATCAGGGGCTCGGACTCCGAAGAGTAGGCCTTGAGAGGCGCCGTCGACAGACACCTCCTGGAAGATGGTGTGTGCGGAGACAGATGTGGCTGTCAGGGCAGCGAGGGTAGCGGAGAATTTCATACCTGCAATATATTGTAGATATAGAGACACAGTAGCAGTTGAGGACGGGGGAAATAGAGAGTGGTAGATGGTAGGTTGTAGATGCAACTGAATGAGGAAATTGGAAGAGAAAGAGCGGAAGTTGGCCTGCCTTTGAATGCAAAAGTTGGATTTAAAAAGCTCAAGAAATCTGCCTCGAGGACCTACGTTCAGTTCCACTATTCCCCAATCCCGCGGGCCTTTTTCTCTAGATGGCACAGGCTATCATCTATTCTATGCAGCCAAGCGCGGCATTCCACCAGCTCATAAGGCGTAAGAGCTGAATTCTCGATGCCGGACACTGAATTCGTGGTCACATGTATCAGCGTCGACATGGAGTTGGCCTGGAGATTGTAAGAAAGAGTGTTGATCTTCATCCTCCCTTGAGGATAATAAGGGGGGCCGGCGGCCCGTATCCAACCAAGACGATCGACAAAGTTATGGATGACAACGGAATTCCTTGATTGTCATGAAAGGGCATACCCAAGGCCTATTATGAAGTGTTAGATTCTGACCGGCCGTACGAGATAGATGGGACCGACGTACGTGTGGGTTACGGATTAGGATTTGGGATCCATACTGTGCTGGTACTAGTCGTCGTGTTGGACAGCGCTATAGAAGCCAAGACGTCCTTATAGCAAGACCTCGTAGCCGCTTCAACTATAGTTTTACTAGACACGCACGGCGAGGTAGAAGGGCGCCCATCAATGCGCTCGAAAATCCCCGGAAGCTTGACGGTCCATCGTCATGGCATAATGATCCTCCTCCCAACAACGAAATTCACCAAGCCACCCTGCATCACATCCCACCACGTCATACAACAACACATTATATTCAACCTGCCCCAACGCATCATAGCCTCTATATTGAGTCGCCCCCAAAGGTCCACCTGATACCCTACAGATTACTTCCATCAACATGCCATCCTTGGCGTTTCACTTGGACCACGGCGATCCCTCCCACTGCCGGCCCGCAAACCCCGCCATCCCCCACCCTGCACCTCTACATGAAGCATCCCGCGCAGCGCCACCACAGACATGCATCTATCCCGCCATATCCCATATCCCGTCCTTGCTGAGGCTTCTACGCTAGAAGGAAATGGTAGGCGGATGGGTAAATGGATAAATGAGTCGCGCTTAGGCCGTGCACACGTGGGAGGGGCATGAGGGGCAATGCAGGCGTGCTACCTACCCTGTCCTGGACGTCTTCTAGAACGGGAAGGGGGTGTGTCGGAATTGGGCATGGCGCCGGTGATGGGTTGCTGTCAAAGAGCGGTCTAGGGATGTTCCCCAGACTTCTAGCTTGTCGGGCGATCTGGGGAAGGCCGCTAGAAGTGCGGGGAGGAAGGGACGGGAGGGTCTTGCAGGATGCTTCATCGATGAGCGGGGCGATGTATTGCGCTGTGGGCTGCAAGAAGGAGGGGCTACGGGATACTGCCTAATGGGGATGCGGATGGCGCATCGAGATTACTTTTACCGGAGCAGATCACTTATTCTCCGAAGCTGCACTTGCGTGCTGAAGAGGGTGTAGCGAGATGTGGGACTGGAAATGATACTGTCTGCATCGAACGTTCGATGCAGCGACGTGCATCTGGGATTTCACATATGGACATGGACCAGCTTGACAGCCATGAGGTAACTGATACCAGTTGGGTGTGAATAGGAAGGGATCAAGGTAGTAATAATATGACATTGGCTTCGTGGCTGACTTATTCGATCTTGATACAGACCTTTCCGACATGCTTCCCGTCAGCCATGTATTGAATAGCCCTGGATAATTGTTAGAGACCTCCTAGATGTATGTGACTGCGGGACGTACTCTCTGGCCTCCTTAAACGAGAATACCTTGGAATCTATAACTGGCTTGATATTGTTTGCAACGATAGCCCGGTTCTAAAAGTGATAGTTAGCTTACGTCTCAGTTCGGAAAATGCAGCAGTATGTACTAACCATGTCCTCAAACATGTCCTTGCTGCCCACAAGCAGACCCCGGACAGTACAAACATTGATTAGAGCGTCCAGGAATTGAGGCTGCTCCTTAGTAGCAGCCGCCACAAATCCAATAAGAGAAATGATGCCATCAAACTGCACAGCCTTGAGACTCTGTGCCATAGTACCAGGTCCACCAACCTCAATCACGTGCTTCACACCCACGCCCCCTGGAGTCAGCTCCTTCGCCTTCTCGCCCCAGTTTGGCGTCTCCTTATAGTTAATCACATGATCCGCTCCCAGCTTCTTCAAGATTTCCATCTTGGCGGCTGACGACGTCGTGGAGATAACCTTCGCTCCTGCTGCCTTTGCGAACTGAACAGCAAAGAGAGATACTCCACCAGTGCCCTGTGTCAGGACGTAATCACCCGCTTTAATAGTAGTGAGGCCATAAAGAGCGTTCCAGGCCGTCAGACCTGCTACAACGAGAGTGGCCCCTTCGAGGTAGTTTAGATTGGAAGGCATATTAACCAAGCCATGTTCAGGAAACACGCCATGGCCTCTTAAAGCGCCGTCAGTAGCGCCGCCTAATCCTGTAGCAACGGATGCATAACTGATAGAGCCGCTTTGGTGGCCTTGGTTGAACAGAGTCACAACCTTGTCGCCCTCTTTGAATAGGGTAACTTTCGATCCGACTGCGACCACCTCGCCCGCACCGTCAGATAAAGCAACAACATCGTCCTTTCTAGGGAAAGGATACGAGCCCTATAATCTGTTAGTCATTGATTCTCTTTACTGACTAGGAGAATATTGGCCATGCCTACCGTGAGGATAGAGATGTCTCGGTAATTTAGAGATGCACCATGGAATTTAACCATCACATCATGATCTTCGACGGCTGGAAGAGGGCGACCACTCTCAAACACCAGGTTGTCAAGTCCAGTTGTGCCTTTCGTGACCCACGCGTCTGTAGTCTTAGGAAGTGACATTTTGAGTATAATAAAACGAGGTTTAGGCTGATTTTGATATATTTTTATTAAAATTGATCGGACAATAAAGAAATCATATAAACAGACCAGCTCCCCATAGACTTATATCATCCTCAGTGGGTTTGTCATTACCAAGCAAGGGGCAACTCACCGTAAAATATACGTCACAGTCAGTGGGCCCAGCAGCTTTTACTGGTCAAGCTGCAAGCCAAGCGTGGATCGAGCTTCAATTGACAAATGCCATGGCTATAAATCCCTTGCCTCATGGCTTAGAAGTGAATCCCCAAGCTTATAAATCCAATTGAAGCTCAAACAGTAACACTGGAGCTGTTTCTAACTAGGACCACAAGCTCAGGTTTGATGTCCTAAGTTGGGAAATATGGTTTTAAGTTCTCGGTATCCGAATTATCCGGCATTTAACCGGCCTGGATTGCTGGTGGAACTGCCGACGCAAAGAAAGGGCCGCCTCTTCAATAGTGCGGTGAGGGCCTTTAGTGGAGAAGCTAACAAGTAACATCACTTGAACTAAAGGAAAAAGAGAAGAGTTGACGGATTAGCCATCAATGGTAGTTGTGAGTGAGCTTCATCGTGCCTCGGCAAGTAGTTTAGGAGCAGTTTTGTCCTCAAAAGCTATCAATGGAGAACCACTTCGCGAGGACACCCTTGGTGTATGAAGCGGGGGGAGAAAACGTGACTTCTAGGAGATGTATAAGAACTTCAAATCCCACAGTTGATTGTCATGCTCCATTCCTTGCTTGCCATGCCTCAGAAAACGACAAAAATAAATGCAAATAGAACAACAAACCTGGGTCTCCTTTACGCCATCAGAAGCCCCTTGCTTCGTTGGATAGGAGAAAAGACATGTCATGTGACATGAGTCAAGCCAGAATATTCGCTTCGATGAATCAGGATACTATGAAGATGACCATTTCTGTTGGAGGCTTTGACGTCTGAAAGAAGAACAGTGGTTCATTCTTGGCCGAGATGGACGGTATGGGACGCATTTCCATCGAGTATGCCGATCCGGTCGCGGCCACGAAGAGCAAACACGAAGCGAGTCATGCGAAGTCACCAGCCCCGCCAGGTAAACGACATTCCTTCCCTTCGTCCAGTATTAAATAAGGATTAGCCAGTCAATCCGAAAAATGCAACCTTCCAAAGAGCACGTCCATAATCCCCGTACCCCGTCAACATGCTCTCTCCTCTCACCCCAAGTCCATCACTTCGATCGCCATCCGTCACCCCCATACCCCCATACTCCCATCACCCTCCACCCCCAAATATACCCTGTTGCCGACGCATCACAGTCCCAAATTAAGCACACCTCACCGCCACCCCATTGGCTAGCGCACAGGCATCTGTCGCACGGCTCATGCGGAGAAGGGCTGGCGGCGTGGACATGCCGGATTCTCGGGCCGGGCGTGTCGGTGAGGATGTTTGGTGGCGCTGGTGTGAGACTGAGTTGGCTGGTGCGCTGTGTTGGACGGCGAACGCCGTAGTTAGAAAGAGTCGGCAGATAGAATGAGTTGGCTAGTGGTGGTGATGACCGCCGTAGAATCCGGGTTCGGCAATGGGGCAGGACGGTGACGGGGAGGTGGTGTGGGATGGGATGGGGTTACGGGGTTTGGCGTCGTGGGGAGTCGCGGGGAATGTGCATGATGGTGGACAACCTGTGTGGGTTGCTCTATCTGACACTGGGGTATTGCTGCAGAGATGCTATATTTTGTCTGTGGTTTAAAACCGAGGATACTCGGAGAATGGCTCTCTTGGAGAATTGGCAGTGGGATGAGTCCTGGGCTAACTTCCTTGTTGACTCGTTCTAGCGCAGCTGCTAGCTCGTCGTCGTCGGCCGTGTAAACGGGGATAAAGTGTGATGGCGCGGTGACGGGCGATGGCTGAGACCATTCGCGTGGCACACATGACGAAGGGTCTGGGCGGGGGGGGGCGGCTGGCATGGAACATGGAATCCTTCTTTGGAAGGCTTCTGTTCGAGGACTGTGCGGCCGGATAAATTGCCATTTATCCCCAACCCCTGCAATCATAGCCCCTCCGTCCGATCTCAGACTACTCGTATACACGGACTAGGTTATGCCAGCCACCTCGCAGTGAAGGGCATGTGATTCGTGGTTGGGAAGTGGCTTGACGCCGCCCCTCACATACCCTGGCCATACGGGGGGGGAGCTTCATAGATTGTCTAGGGCTTCTTACTCGGCAGAGGCTTGTCCAATGCGCTCCACAACCGTGATTGCAACCACGCCGCCATCCATGGGTTGAGGCGAGGGAGCGAATGAGCGCGCGCCATACTAGGCTCGCAAGCAGGTGTATATTAGGCATCGGACCGTTTACAAAGTTGGGGGCGTCGAGGTGGTGGTTGGTAGGGACGCGATCCAGGGCGACTAGACATGGAGACCGCCTCTGGAAGGATGTACGCCAGCTTCGAGAGTCTACGAGCTACGCGCGACTCCTCTGTTTCGGGCGATCTCCCCCTATACTCGGTCTGATCTTGGTCGAAGAAGTCAGGAAGAACATGGAGAGCCTGTCCCAGTTGGGATACCTCAATCTAATTACACCCTCATCGACGTGGTGAGGGCGGGTTGCCGGAGCGGAGACTTCAGGCTGACAGGGCCTAGAGTGGCGCAAGGCCATGGTAGTGTAGACATGCTGCTTCTGTGATGGTAAGACACGCCGAGCAACTTGATTAGAATGTCTATGTCTTCAAGATGCAGGGAGCGAACGTGCTGGTTGAAACAAGACTGCGGGGAACACCTATGCAAGGTAAAGATAGTCAATGTAGAAGTCCAGTTCAGTTCTCGATGTTGATCAAGTTAGAGTACCCTCTATGAAGCAGACCGAGCCAGGGCAGGAGCTGCCACATTCCATCCAGAACCACGGTAAGTTAGGTAAGTATGGAGAAGCCAGAGCTAACCGTACAGCAGTACTCGTAGAGAGGGAATAGACCCCATTACCTTTTGTCAATTGAGGGGATGACCCCAGGCCGAGTCACAATCGACTCCCTACTAGTAAGTATGCTAGTCGGGAGCGACTCTAGTAGCGCAACGCGAAGTAACCACGACCAAGTGTTGAAAGCGGTTGGTTGCAAGCCACCAACCGCCTTCAACACTTCTCACAACATTCTAGGGCATAAACTTCACCGGCATCAATCCGATGAATGCCTGAGAGTCTCCACATTGTATCACCGAGAAAAAAGAAATGAAAAGGGTCAAATTCGATTCGCTGGAATTAATCCGTTGGATAACATGTCAACCACCTTATAACGTGATCCGAGGTGACATGAATTGGCCAGACTGAGCTGACTAGGACCCGCTCCGCACTATGCGGTGTGATTGGCCAGTAAGTCGGGTCTTGGGCACCCCTTTGGGCATGCAGTAGAAGGGCAGTAGAAGGGTCGATGCTAGGTACTGGATCAGCCACGATGGGTAGCATCTCCGACGAACAGACCAAAGACTTGGGGCTTGTTCTTTCTTGGAACTGGCGGCAGCTTGCAATCTAATGTGTGGCTCGCGCCGGCGACAGCGCCTTGGAAACAGTGCGGCATAGGGCACGCCATATAGTGCAGAGCACGGTACTGTACTCACGCGGAACGCAGGAGAGGATACCCTCACAAAATGTGGAGAGCTAATGTGCGCGCCGAGGAGACCATTATCTCCCCTTGGTTAGTATCAGCTTTGATGCTTGCTGAGCGGGGAGCGGGCTGCTACGACGCTGGGACGTAGCCGAACGCCTTCGCCAGATCCTGCCGCACAAGGCACCCCGATGCGTAGATGCATCGCCCTGACAGTTGCCGCTGTCGAGGACGCTGGCGACAGGGAGGAGGGCGGTTCGAGTACATTTACACATTCCAACACCAGGTTGACCCAGTCTACTCTTCTAGCACAGTTCTTGGCACGCCACATATCAGTGGCCATGGAAGGCTTCCATGATCAGCACACTCATACCCCAGAATATGACGGCAATGAAGGCGGCTTTCCGACATTGGCCAGGACGGAGGTCCCCCCTGACCTCCACGGCGTAGCTGCACGCGCATGAGGTACAGCTCAGCACAGCGCCACTCAAGCATGCCTGAGCATAGCATAGTATAGTACCGCGCCTTACAGCTCCGTGCTGGTCAACACACCGCAACCGCAACCGCAGTACAACAACACAACACAGTATAGCTGCGCATCGGTATGAATGATGCCGCTTTCGGATCCACCATGGCCGAGCGAGATCTCGGAGGGCAGAATACCGTGATCCTTGTTAGTCCCCTGTTAGTCCTTTGGTGAAATGTCAGTCTATCAACTGAACTAGACCAAAAGAAGCACAGCGTATACTATTCGCCTTAGTTGCTCTCCACAACAGAACAGAAAAAGTGGCCGAGAGGGTCGATGTACCTTTACATCTAGTTTGTACTGCAGATTGCGTGGAAAGCTATGTGTCGGTACAAAAATACGACGACCCTTAGCTACTCTAGTGCGGTCTCCCCGCTCAACTCCCCGCCATGGAAAATTCTACGCGGACTCACCCCAATGGCCTCCACACACACATACTACCTACCATACAAGGCGCCGTTCAACGTATTCCTCTACTATTACTGTGATCTTCTCCAAACGCCGCCGGCCCCCCTCGCCCCGCTGTCGAGGATGTGCATGGATATGGATGGGATGGGGCTACCATAGTGTGATTATCTCCGCTTGTCATCTTGTCGTCTTCACTCTGCGCCCCCCCTCCTCCCCCGTCTTTCTCTCTCCTCATTTTCTCTTCCCTCCTCCATCATCTACTCATCTACGAGCAAATCATATTGCCGGGCTTCCCAGCGCATCCCTGATCGTGATCAGCCAACCTCCTCACCTTCTTAGTCCACTCAAAAGTGTTCTGACATCCAAGCCTCATATCCGTCTGCCCATCATCCCATCCTTCCATCCATCCACTCTCACTCCCCCACACACCTTAGGGACCCTGTCGTCTCGTGGACCGCCCATTATTATTGCTATTATAGCACGAGGCGTATGCCCGATAATTCATGCACAACGGCCACCACCCATTCTAAAGGACGTGCTCAGCTTTCCTCACATCCCCGCCTTCGATAGCAATATATCCTTGAGCAGGCATTCCGCTCCCTGGTAGATGTACACCGTACATCCAGGAAGCAGACGTCGACTAACTCTCTAACGCTCAACCCCGCCATGCTAGCTGCCCTGTCCCTGGCATAGTGTGGCACGCCCTCGCTCCCTAGTCTCACTTCAATCTGCTGCTCGTTTCCATTCTTCGGAGTACAAACAAAATAGATTTGTTGCCGCTTTGGGGTCCCTAACGCTACAACCTTCCCCAGATCGCGGAGAGATGCATGTTGAGATATAGTTGGGCTGGACACCACTCTTCTGACGCTCTTATTCTCCGTATCTCATCACTTCGTTTCACTCCTACACTACAGACTCATACGCCCGGTTGAAGCTCGCCGAGCCACGTCTACCAAGATAACCAGTGTCTGTCTATCATACTATCATTACCTCCCCGCTCCAGCCAGTCTTACCGACCAGCCTGGGAGTAGGCATTTCTCGAAAACTCACCAACCAAAATGCTTTCTAACCCCCTCCATCGCTATTCGAGTTACCACACCATGCCAGTCAACAACATGGTGCCGACTGGCCACATCCCATCGAACCACATTCACGGAGGCGGCTTGGACAACCTGGCGCATGGCTCACAGTATGCGCTACAACAACTGCAACGGCAGATCGATGTGCATCAGAATTCTCATTCGAATAGGGACTCCAATTCAAAGCATCGGCAACACCCATACAACGGGGTAGCCGGTGGCATGCTAGGCGGCCGAAGCTCCAGCATGAATGGATCTCAGGCTTCTGGCCCAGTCCGACGACGAATCAGCAGGGCCTGCGACCAGTGCAACCAGCTTAGAACCAAGTGCGATGGACAAAATCCATGCGCACACTGTGTTGGTATGTTGCCCAAATAATTATTGCCGCGACGATGCTAACGCCATACCTTAGAATTCAACCTAGGCTGTGAATATATACGTGAGCGCAAGAAGCGCGGAAAGGCATCGAGGAAGGACATTGCACAACAAGCGGCAGCAGCAGCAGCGGCCGCGTCAGGCGATGGCCAAAAATCTCCTACGGCCGGATCGTCGGGCGACAGGTCGCCAATCGAGTCTCGAATGGAGCACAAACCATCGCTCGGCGAATCATCCGATGGGAATCGACGAAACTCGGGAACCGCGAATGAACTCGCAGGGTCGCAAAATATCAACAACGCGCATCTGATGAAAGGCAATGGACGCGCTCGAACCAGCGGACAGCTCGGTGATTTACCACACCAGCTCCAGCCAATAATGACAAACCGACACGACGACGCCATGAGCCAGTCACAGATGGACAGCCCAACAGAAATAGGGCTCAACGGCTACGGCGCGATGCATGGCTACAATCGATCTGTCAATGGCCATCTGATGAATAGTAATGCATCCGTTTATTCCTCTACTTCTTTACCCGGATACCCAGACCTCCCCTACGCCATCCAGAGCCCCCCACATTACCCAACGAATAATCAATCCCCCGGATTCAGGCTAGGGGACAGCCCCATGCCTGGGTACTCGATGGAGACACCCACCGTCGCCTCCCCTGGCTGGGCCTCCATCGAGTCTCCCATGAACCAATATCACATGACACCTCACCATCATGTGCAGACACAACTGAGATACCCAGTCCTACAGCCTCTTGTCCCTCACCTGACTGGGATAATACCCGTCTCGTTGGCATGCGAGCTGCTTGATCTCTACTTCGCCAGCTCGTCGTCGGCGCAGATGCACCCAATGTCGCCGTATGTACTTGGCTACGTCTTCCGTCGGCGGTCATTCCTGCACCAGACAAAGCCGCGCCAATGCACCCCAGCACTCCTGGCGAGTATGCTCTGGGTGGCCGCACAAACTAGCGATGCAGCATTTTTGACAATCCCGCCATCAGCTAGAGGCCGAGTTTGCCAGAAGCTCCTGGAGCTTACTGTCGGTCTCCTTAAGCCACTCATCCACGGCCCTCCAGCTGATGAAGCATCGAACAACTTCTCCGATACTGTCATCAACGGAGTTGCGTTGGGTGGACTGGGCGTAGCCATGCCTGGCACTGTCAGTGAAGAAGCCATGACTGGCGAAGGCGGCGCGTTCGGTGCTGCTGGCGCTCTGGACGACGTTGTCACATATATCCACCTAGCAACTGTCGTTTCTGCTAGCGAGTACAAAGGTGCAAGCCTGCGCTGGTGGAATGCAGCCTGGTCGCTGGCCCGCGAGCTGAAACTCGGTCGCGAGCTACCACCAAGCTCCATACCGCAACCCGACCATGATGTGGACGCCGATGGTGAAGCTGATGATGATTTGGAGACCTCACATCCTCCTACCGGCTCACCTGGTAGTATCACGGAGGAGGAGCGTGAGGAGCGCCGGAGAATCTGGTGGCTAGTTTACACAGTAGACCGACACTTGTCGCTGTGCTACAACAAGCCCCTGTTTCTTCTGGATGTTGAATGCGATCGTCTGCTGCAGCCAATGGATGATACATTATGGCAGAGTGGGGAGTTCTATTCCGGTGATTCTAGCCTTCATATTACTTCCCCGAACGGCTCAGCCCGAATCAGAAGGAAAGGACCTAACTTTGAGTGTACTGGCCATAGTATATTCGGGTATTTCTTGCCCTTAATGACCATCCTCGGCGAGATCGTAGATCTCAACCACGCCAAGAATCACCCGCGATTTGGCGTTGGGTTCCGGTCGGCCCAAGAGTGGGACGACTACGCCAATGAGATAACGCAGCAGCTTGAGGCGTATGGGCGCAGCTTGAAGGACTTTGAGTTAAGGCACCTGTCTACCAATGACGAGAACCCAGGCGCGAACAATGGCACTGGCCCTGATGGCATGCCCATGGGTCAGAATGACACTTCGTCGCCGCACTCAGTCAATACGACGACGTCGCGCATGACGACTGAGTCGGATATCCAGACGCGCATTGTTGTCGCGTACGGCACACACGTCATGCACGTCCTCCACATTCTCCTCACTGGGAAGTGGGATCCTATTTCGCTCCTCGACGATAACGATCTTTGGATCTCGTCGCAGAGCTTTATTAACGCCACCGGTCACGCCGTGTCAGCTGCCGAGGCGATAGAGAACATCCTTGAATTCGACCCGGGGCTGGAGTTCATGCCATTCTTCTTCGGCGTTTACTTGCTCCAAGGTAGCTTCCTGCTCCTACTTATTGCAGACAAGCTGCAGAGTGAAGCGAGCCCCAGCGTTGTCAAGGCCTGCGAGACAATCGTCAGAGCCCATGAGGCATGCGTGGTTACGTTGAACACAGAATACCAGGTTCGTACTAGACAACTACTTATAACTTGTGAGCATTGACTAATAAATTTATAGAGGAATTTCCGCAAGGTCATGCGCTCAGCGCTCGCGCAGGTGCGCGGTAGACTACCAGAGGACATTGGGGAGCAGCAGCTTCGACGACGCGAAGTGCTTTCGTTGTACAGGTGGACAGGAGACGGCACAGGTCTGGCTTTGTAAGACTAAAAATATCAAGTTGAAGGAGTTTTCGTTTGGAGTCTGGGAATGGATGGGGGATGGGGGATGGGTTATAAGATATATCTTTGTGTGTTTTTTCGTCTTAATGGGGGAGTTTTCTATCAGTGGTTGGGAAGGCTGATTATAAGAGGTGGGGATCACGAGCGGGATGAATTGTCGATGATATCAGGAACTTTCTATATATCCCATACCACAGTTAAGGTATTTAGCAATTGAGAACTCAATTATATACTCTACTTTATAAAACAATCCCATTAGACATGTCTTGTCTTGTGAAGATGAAGATGAAGGAGCATCTGGAATACACCCCGCACGTGACATAACTTCCCCAGAACCAACAATTAACCGACCACAATTTTTACCCCTCGCCCTGGCCTCAAAACAGTCACAACCCCACCACTACCCAACTACCACAATCACACCTTCAAACCGCCACACTGTACACCCCACGCCTCCTACACCGCACAACCCGTGCCCTCCTCCACCCAAACACCCGCAAAATGTCGACCTTCGCCGCCCTAACCTACACGCCCGCCCAATCCGCCGAGATCGCGCAATGGCAGACCACCATCTCGCGCCTCTCCGACGAAACCGCCCGCCCCGCACTGCTGGCAACCCTGAACTCGCACCTGGCCACTCGCACCACGCTTCTGGGCGCCCTGCCCTCCGTCGCGGACGTGGAGCTATATAAAGCTCTCTCGCCCGCCATCGCGAGCTGGAGCGCGGAGGAGCGCACGGGGAAGGAGGGACACCCGAATTTGGTCCGCCATATGGACTTTGTGCAGGGGTCTGATCTGTTTGGACTCGCTATTGGAGAGGGGGATAGGGTTAAGGTGGATAAAGATGAGGTGCTCTTCGTGAAGCCGCCGGTGGATGCTAAGGCGGAGAAGGAGAGGATTAAGAAGGAGAAGGCTGCTGCTGCTGCCGCTGCGGCGGGTGGTGCGGCGGCTGGCGCGCAAACGACACTTCCTGATCGCAGTGGAAACGCTAAGGGACCGAAGGAGGCTGCTGCTGCTGCTGGTGGAGAGGGAGGACAGAAGACACAGAAGAAGGAGAAGAAGGAGAAGGCGCCTAAGCCTCAGAAGGCCCCCGCGGCTACGGCTCCACTGAGCCCGTCGCTGATTGATCTCCGTGTCGGACACATTGTGAAGGCGATTAAGCACCCCGAAGCAGACTCGCTGTTCGTCTCGACGATTGCGATGGGAGATAAGGCTGGGACGGATGATACTGAGGAAGTGGATGGTGTGGTGTGCCGAACGGTGTGCTCGGGCCTGAATGGGCTGGTGCCGCTGGAGGAGATGCAGGGCCGCTACGTGGTGGTGGTGTGCAACCTCAAGCCTGTGAAGATGCGTGGAGTGAAGTCGTGCGCGATGGTGCTTGCGGCGTCGCCGAGACTGAAGGAGGGTGAGGTGGATAACCATGCTGGGCCAGTGGAGCTGGTGACCCCTCCTGCGGGTTCGAAGGCGGGAGAGCGTGTGTGGTTTGAGGGATGGACTGGGGAGCCGGAGGGTATCCTCAACCCAAAGAAGAAGGTTTGGGAGATGATCCAGCCTGGATTTACGATTACCGACGCGTTTGAGGCGGCATTTGATGCCGGCGCAGTTAAGGAGCTCAGCAAGGAGGGCGAGGAGCCCAAGACGGGTCTCGGGAAGCTGGTTACCGTTGGTGGCGGTGTGTGCACGGTTAAGACTTTGGCTGGTGGCATTGTCAGGTAAAAGGGGTGCATATGAGCTGAATCGGCTGGCACAAAAGAAGTATAAAGAGCTATAGAAAGCCTTACAATAAATGTGTAGACTGCCGAACCGGATCTCTATGACTTTGCTTCCAAGCACGGAACTGTCCCTGGAGTCCCCCATCTACGCCTTAACCCCCCCAACCCTATCCCAGCCAACCTCTCAAATAGTCTTCTCTCCGCCCCTATCAGCCCTTGCCAACCTTCTCCGATAATTCTCCCTGAATCCCATTCTACCGACGGTTCCCCACCCGATAACCCCAATAAACAGGACAGCCCACGTGCCCGTGATGATGCCTCCAATGGGGACGATCGCAATTTTGGTGCCGGGAAGCACAAAGGCGACATCGGCTATAACACCAACGGCCGAGATCGTAGCCATGGTGTGGGGTTGATCGCTAAAGAGGCCAGTGACGAAGGTCGCTTCGAGGGAGGAGAGGGAGCTGTTCGCCGCGTTCTTTGCGACAGATAGGGTGACGACTGGGATGAGGATGGCCTGGAGTGCGGTCCTGGGAGAAGACGCGTTAGCTTAATTGGCTCGCAGCGGATTTGGGACGAACTTACGAGTTCAGATTTGCGTTCTGCAGCTCCTTGTTTATCTGTCCAACGAACGCAAAGCTTTGTGCCATCACCGGTGCCTGATCCGCGCGCTTCGCGAATAACCCCCTCTTCGACGGCGGCCACGATAGTGGCAACCCGCGCGCTGCGACTTGCGGCCTAGCTACCAGGTCGGTAACGGGCACAGGTTGAACTTGCGCGCCTGCAAAGCGAACGTCGATGCTGACATCGGCGGGTGCAACACCGGCGAAAGCGCCAGTTGCCGGGCCGATAGTGAAGAGGCGTAGGTCGGCTTCAAAGACGCCGGTGGAGTTGTCTAGGAACGGAAGATTGTAGCACATTGCCATGCCGGAGGGGGAATTGGCAAGACCCCTAAGCATAACGAGAGCAGTAGTGCAAGCGGCCATTGTGGAGGCGTTCCAGTTGGCTGGCGGGGCCGGAGGGGTGTCCGCGCGGCGGTAGAGAAGGTCGCGGCCGTCGTCGGCGATGCTGGAGATGTAGTTCTTGAGGAGATCAGAGGGTGTGTCGGCGCGGCGGTTGATTGTTGCCACTGCTGCCGCGGGGTTGTTGGCGGCAGGAGAGGGCGGGGATCTGCGGCGATAGAGAATGTTTGTGTTGTTGGGGAGGAGATCGAGGTTCTTGACGTATTCGAGGACTATGTCTGCCACGTTCTCGGTCTTGCTTCGAGACGCGATGTCGTCTGTCATGCTTTGGGGGATGTCTGATGCCGATAGGCCCGAGACGCTGGCTGCGACCAGCGCCGCCGTGGTGATTAGGCGTGGCAGCATCATGGTTCGATGCGGTGGCCGTCTTGTCTAGTAGGGTCGTGAGATCTGAAGGCAACGAGTGGGCTCTTGATAACGCGGCAAGTCTTCCGGAATGACTGTATAGATAATCTGTCTGTACCAGCAGAGCAACAGAAAAAAAAAAGGTATTAAAAATATGAATTGAATGGGCCAGCCCAGAAAAGAAGGGTTCGCAGTGCCAGCGAGAGACGATTAGTTTCCAGGCCCGACGAGCAGGAAAGAATTAAACATGGCGAGAAGAAGAAACAAGAAAGAAGATGTTTAGACAACGATAGCAACGTAAGAGCAAGAGCCCTTGGGCAAGGTGAGGGAGATCATAGTCATGCAATGGTAGGGTGGAGAGAAAGCCAAGCGTTGGAGGTGAAAACGCGGCCAGGTATGAGACTTCACATGGCGTGAGCAGCCACAGCTGCGATACGAGGCTGTGGGGAAGATTAAGCTTCTGAGACGAGGGTCTGAGGTTGGCAGGGGCGTGGAAGGTTTGTGATTATCAAAATAGGTATAGTAGGAGTATGATGGTTGTATGGCAGTTGCATTGTTGAGCTGTCAGGAGGCTCCATGTCCTCCAAGGGCTCTGTGAGCTCTGATGCGGACCCATGCCATGGGTTGCATGGCGGTACCAAGCCGCCGCGCTCGACCTCGACCACGGCCTCGACCTCAGGGGCTTCCAAGCGCCGTACCAGACGTGGACCGAAGGCCGAACAACCCGTACTGACCAGTATCGGCAAGCAGCCACCGCCGGCGAGTGACCGTAGAAATACACCTACAATACTCCACCCAGCCAACTGAGCCCGAGTGATGAGTGCATCTCAGCATCTCGAATACTGTACTTGTACCGTAATCGTTATGTCGTCGTATTCAATTAAACCCGGCGATAGCTCGAGCATCTCGAGTTTGGAGGGGTGTCGATGAGGAGACGATGAGACGTGCACTGTCTCTCATCTTGTGTGGCCAAGCAACCGCGACCCCTGGCGCCTCGTAAGGTTGTCGCAGGTTCGGCACCACCAGAAAATCTCTGCTTTTCATCCTTGGCGGAACATTATTCCCTTCCTCTTGAAGAGCGGCTTTCATGCCACCTTCATGGTCTATCCAACTTCTGAACGCGACCGAAAGGAAGGGTGGAGACAGCAATTACAACCACGTGATTATGCGATGCGTGTCACGTGATTACATAGCAAAAACGACTGGGATGACACTTTTATATTGCACCGCTTGTCGGCCCGGATTGTCGTCCTATAGCATCCAATATGCACAGAAGCAGCCGTGCACATACTTATATGCTTGGTATGGTACCGCACATGTTGCCGATACGCCGTCAATGACTGTTGTATCTTCTGTGAGTCGTTGCTCCTTTCTGTCATATCATCCACTGTCCAGCAGTTATATCTCATATGGATGATGTCTTACAGAGCTGTAAGTTGTTGCGTTCCTCGTCATCCAGACCCCCATAGAAGCTGGGTATTTTGAAGCTTCTAGCTGGGAACATTTGTTGAAGCCAAGCCCTTGGTCAAGTGGCCTAGTCCTCCCTATGCCGCCTTCCCCGCAGGCAAATCTGATATGTATTGGGACTGGCAGAGCATCATTCTGCCGCCGACCCGGCGTTGCGCATACCTTCGAGCATTACCCCACCAGAGCTGCAATTTATATCCCGGGCCATACGGATGATCTCGCTCCTTAGTCGGTCTTCCGGACGACAAACCCATGTTCGTCGAATATATGGTTTCTACCGCGGCACTACCAGAACCCCTCCTCATTAGCCAATGAGTATTTCCTCCAGTTGATGGTGATGTTGGGTATAGAAACCCTCGTGGTTTATCCCGTTGCACTGCATGGGGACGCTATCTGCTGCCGAGGGGGCGTTGTGCCACTACTGGTCTACCGGCAGAGGCCAATGATGCCACGCAACCACGTCGTGGTAGTTGGTGGGATACTGGTAGATATATTGGAAGCCCAGGTAGCTGTGCCGTAGGAATCGGATGGCGTCTTTCCTGAAGCCTACTCAGGTACATACGACCCTCACTTGACTCTCGTCATGGTATGCCTCTTCCCTCTAACCCTTGCTCCCTAAGAGACCTCACTAACAGCCCGCAGTCTTCCAAGGCCACACAGCTCGGCTTCCTAATTCTCATCACGGCTCTCCTCGTCTCCAACTATGACCGCACACTCTCCCTCCTCTCACCCTACCTCCGCGCCGCCCTCGATCGCCTCGACCCTTCCTCATCCCACTTCGAAGACTGTATGGGTCATAACTACACCACCGAAATCCTCTCAATCGACCCCCTCCTCATCTACATAACCTCATTCGTCTCCCCTGCAGAGTCCTCCGCCCTCCTCGCCGCCGGCGAATCCCTCTTCGAATCCTCCCAGGTCACCGTCGACGGTCGCGACACCACCACCTCAGACCGCACGTCCTACTCGGCCAACCTCCCCCTCACCCACATAACCTCGTGCATCAGCTCCCGCGCGCGCGCCTTCCTAGGCGCCACCCTCCCCGTCGGCGACATCGGCGCCCCGCAACTCGTCCGCTACACTGCCGGCCAGAAATTCAACTTACACTACGATTGGTACGACACTCCTCAGGTCCTCACAAAAACAGGACAGCGCTTCAATAGGCCAGCCAGCTTTTTTGCTTTCCTGGAGGCGAATTGCACGGGTGGGGAGACGTTCTTTCCGCATATTTCTGTGCCCGGGGAGGGGAGGTGGAGGGCGCATGAGGGGGGAACGGCGTTTATGCCGGTGGAGGGGAATGCGCTGTTCTGGGTCAATTTGATGCCGAATGGGCGGGGGGATACGAGGGTTATGCATGCGGGGTTGCCGGTGGAGGAGGGGAGGAAGACGGCGATGAATATTTGGCCGAGGGGGTTTGTGGTGTGATGTTAGTTAGTGTGCATCTGGCGGGATGCATGTAGAGAGCAGGTGGTGTGGCAGTGTAAATATGAAAATGTTTGTTGATGCGTGCATAAAGGTCTGACGATCTCGCAGTTGATCCCCCGATGTGAGGATCTCGCGGTGAACTACTGCACGCCAACCCCACGAACCTTCTCTAACATGCTACCCCACTTCACACATTGTTCTCTCCGGTTTAGAACCCATGAACCAGGAATCAGCTATCCAGCTAGATGGCACATTGTCTCACCCCCGCAATGCCCCCACAGCCGTCCCGACCCAACTGCCGTTGTAAGCCACACCCGCAACCCATCCCGACGTGTTATGGTACCCCACATCTACAATGCCCATGTGGCAAGCTTGTGCATTCTAGTCTACCTCAGGACAAAGTCGCTGAATGCTACAAAAGGCATGTGTGATGAGGCAGTTGGGATGAGGCAGTTGGGTTCACCATGGCCCGGCGGACCTAGAAAGTTGACGGGGTATCTAAGCACCCAGCAGTCACGTAAGAAACACACAAACACGCACAAGTCACAATCAACGACAGCGCATCACACAATATAAAAACACACAAACGTATCTACTGACGCATAGATTCCTGCCTAGACACCATATTTATATACCCGTCTACCCACGAAATCGCCGCGCCCGCAGCCACCACGCCACAACAACAAACAGGGAGAAGAAATATACAACTGCGCGCGGTCTCGAAGAACTTTTATTTATAGATCCGATTTTGATGCAGGCACGTCTCTTCTAGACATGCGCATGGCAGTTTTGGAGGAGGGGGAGGTGATAAGCTTAGTTGCCTGGGTTGGTGGCAACGAACTGGACACCCTTCTCGATGTTCTAGGGGGAGGAGTTAGCTGGGTGGTCTCTGTGAATTCATGGGGGAATGGGGTAAACAAACCTTCTTCAGGTCAGCGAGGGCAGCATCCAAAAGCTTCTGCTCCTCAGCAGAGACCTTGCCAACCTCGTGGATCTTCTCGACACCGCTTGGGCCGAGCTCGACCTTGGAGGCGAAGAAGTCAACACCCTGGTCCTTGTAGAGTGGGGAGTCAACGAAGGTTGGCTCAGTAACACCCTTCTCGCCCTGGGCAGCCTTGAGCAGCGACTCGGCGAAGCGAGCACCAGCCATGGCCATGGAGAGGGTGGCAGATCCGGCACCATCCTTGGCCTTGACGACCTCATCACCACCGAACTGGACGCGGTTCAGGAGAGCAGCGTCACCGACAAGGTCGGCGTGCTTGCTCTGGGAGAAGAGGGGAACGATGGTGACACCGGAGTGACCACCGACAACGGTGATGGCCTCATCAGCGGGGTCGGTCTTCTTGATCTCGGAGACGAAGCGGGAAGCGCGGACGACATCGAGGGTGGTGACACCGAAAAGGCGCTTGGGGTTGTAGACACCAGCCTTCTTGAAGACCTCAGCAACGATGGGGACGGTGCTGTTGACTGGGTTGGCGATGACGAGGATGTTGGCGTTGGGGGCAGACTGGGCGGCGGCCTTGGCCAGGTCGCGGACGATGGAGGCGTTGGTGTTGAAGAGGTCATCACGGGTCATGCCTGGCTTGCGGGGAACACCGGCGGGGATCAGGACGATCTCGGCATCCTTAAGGGCGGCGGCGAGGCCGGATGGGGTGGGCTCGTAACCGGTGACGTTGGAGCCGGTGTTGATGTGGGAGATATCAGCGGCGACACCTTTGGAGTCGAGTCAGTACGTTTTTTTGTGGACTCAATTGGACATGTGATGATGATGGGGGAGACGAACCTGGGCCTCCGCGGATGTCGTAGAGAGCGAGCTCAGTGACGCGGGGGTTGAGCTTGAGGAGGAGGGAGAGAGGCTGTCCAATGCCACCGGCAGCACCGAGGACAGTGACCTTAGAGAGCTATTCAAGTTGTGTTAGCAATTGCTTCATTCATTTCGGTCCGGCAGTGGGCGGCCGAGGTCTGAGAAATTTTGTCAACGGTGGCTTCTACTTACATCTCTGGCCGAGGCCGAGAAGGCGCGGCGCTGGGCGGCGCTGAAGGTGCGTGCTGCGAACATGATGGGTTTTGTGAGGGTGGATTGGAGGAGAGGAATTGGGTATTTGTGGTTATGGATTGGAAAGAGAGAAAGGATGGCTCGGGAGAAATCGAAGGGAGAGCTGTTGGGAAATCGGCACGGACCGCACTATGATTTTGCTGTTCGCAGCCTGATATGGTAGGCACATATCACGTGTTGCGCGGATATTTCGTCATTCAGCCTGATCATGAAGCGTAATCGGAGGACCAAGCATTTTCATGGTATCCAATTGGCGTATAGTATGTGTTTGAAGCTCCCCTGCAGTTATAGCGATGGATTTCATATATTTCAAGAGTAGCGATAGAAGTTGTCACGAATGTGTTAGCTAATGTCGTGCATGGCGATGCAAATCGCCTGGCAGATCGGAGCTAATGTCGTGGTTGGGAGAAGATGAAACAATCGATTGTCTCCTATGACTTCTTCATACTTTCTGACCAAAAGAAAACTTATAGATTATCACTCATTGACGAACGTTAAATCATCCAAAATTACCGCCATCGACCATCTCTCATTCCCAAGCCGGGAGGCCCTGAGCAATGGCAGCCCAAACATCCTAGGCCTCCACCTTCTCAACCCTCCTAGCATCTTCCTCGCTCTCCTTCGCGTTCACATCTCCATGACCACCCACCAAGGCATCCGCACCCACTGGGCGTCCTGTAACCTCGCGCAAGTCATCGTCGTGCTCGATGGCAAACGATCTCTGCAGGTACTCCGGGCCGATGAAGGTAAGGACAATCACGTAAGCGTAAACGGCGCCCATGAAGATACAGATGACACGGCCGTACTATCAACCGTTAGCATGAACCACCTCCAAGGGTCTGTGGGACAACATACCTCATATCTCGACGCGTGAGTCTTGGGGTTGGGAGGCAGAGGGAACCTCTCGCCGATTGTCGACTCGATGGTCGAGCTAGCTGAGGAGACCAGGTTACCAAGTTGGTAACTGGTTCCGACAACAAAAGTGCGGAAAGCACCGGGGGAAAGTTCCATCAAGTGGATTGGGATAACTCCCCAGGCACCTTGGACGCAGAATTGCTCGAAGAACGCAGCTGCGTTGATGGCCGATGAAGATGTGAAGGTGTATGGGTATAGCAAGGCCCCGCCAATGATGCTGATGATGATAATGGAAAATCTGCGACCGAATATCTGCTTAGTGTTAGTGGAAATTATAGAATCATTAGAAGCGGGAGACATGCCTGCGAGCAGTAACCAATTGTGGTACCTCCTGTGATGGCTCCAAGATTTGCAACCACCTGAGTGACAGTTACGGCATTTGGAGAGTAGTTATACTGATTCGAAAGCATGGTGGGGTAAAGATCTTGAGATCCATGGCTCTAGAAATAAAGTTAGTCGCGTTATCATCAAGCCCAGCTTATCAGCGATCTTACCATGAAGTTGAATCCAGCCATGAGGAGAACCATGTAGGTCAACAAAAGCCAATGCTTCTTGAGCGCGACCTTGCCCTCCTTCATAAACGTGCCCGTAATACTACCCATCGCAACACGTTCCTTCTGTCTTGCAATAAACGCATCGGTCTCTGGTAGCATCAGCCGGAAGGCGATGATCAACACTGGAGGGCAGGCCCCAAACCAGTAGAACGGACGCCAGCCGTGGGAAGTGGTATCAACCAGCGCGCGCGCAAAGACGACGGCAAGCAAGTAGCCAAAAGCGTACCCTTGCTGTAACATCCCACTGATCAGGCCACGGGCAGCCTCCGGGCAGTCCTCGAGGGCCGTAGCGGCGGCGTTACCGTATAGTCCACCCATTGCAACACCAAACAAAGCACGGCAGGCAAGGAACTGGCCGTAGGTGTTGGAAAATCCCGTGCCGAGTTCGAGTACGATGAACAGAATGTTATTAATGACGAACGGCCACTTGCGACCGTATCTGTCTGCTGCAATACCGAAGAGGATGGAGCCGACAGAACGGAACATGAGAACAAGGGTGATACCCCAAGTGATATCCGTCTTAGTCTTATCGAATTGCTCTGCGAGCTGCTCGACCGTCAAGCTGACGGTAAAGAAATCGAAGGCATCCCACGACCACGCAATGAAGGCTACGGCGAAGAAGGCCCATTGTTTGCGGGTCAGCATCATTAGCAGCTTGATAGGGTTGGGTGCCTGGTTCATAGGCGGCTTGAGCGTGGTGGCGCGAGTCGCAATGTACTCGCCAGCGCTCATTGAGACCTCGCGCCGGCTCTCAATAGTCGGCTGCTCTTCCAGCGAGCCATTTTTCTCGGCGTGCTGAGTGTCTGCCATGATGACCTGCAAGGCGGGTTAGCAGCTGCTGCTTCCGAAAATACACTCATATGCGCCGGTTGGTCACATTTGCACGCTGGAGCGCACATATGAGTGAGCGCAAACGCGGCAGGTTCTAACTTACTGAACTTGATATCCCACGGTTCAGCGACAAGAAATCCAATGTCCCAAAAACCTTGACATGAAAAGTCTAAATAAAAGAGCTACTGAGGGGGTAGAAGTAGTAGGAGCGGGGAAACGACTCACAGAAACAGGTGCTCCACACATGGTTGGGGAAAGAGCGATCATCCCCCACCCTGTTAGTCAAGACAGCCATGCTGATCGTCGCCCTCCACACTCCTTCACGCTGATTACAGTGCATCCCCATCTCGCCAATGTGACCGGTCTGCCGCCAGTCGCGCCTGGAATCACTCCAATCACGATAATCGGTGTCACTGTCGGTTCATCTCTTACCCTGTACCCTGCTCATGACGCTGCCTGGCCGCCAAGTCGGAGATCTTGTTGCAATGCAGGCAAACTCTCGTGCTCACTGTGGACATGGTGATGGTGGGCCTCGGTAGGATTCCGTGGGCTAGTCCTATTAACGGCCTACTAGGGGCATTCGGGGTCCAGATAAATCCCCGATCACCAGAGGTACTACTTAGTAACGCTCTCGATGGAGTAGAGCGGCGTGACAGAAATGAGACTGAACGTATCCCCGCATCTGCTTATCTGCGGGGTGGTAAGCGGTTAGTATTAGTTATGTGTACCACAACCTGCCGCGTATGGTGATGATGTGGAGAAAGTGGGAATTTCGACAGTAATACGATGTTTTACTGCGGTGTTCTCTCCGATGTTGTAGTACAGTACTGTACGTATAAAACTGTATTTTCCAAATACGGGGCCTTGTGTGGAGAAGATCCCTGGCGGGAGCTTGTTGGTGCCAATGTGTGCCAATGTGTGCCAATTAAATCAAGCCTTCGGCAAATCAAATCGGTAAACTTCTTACCTAGTGGAGGCTAGTGGAGGCGTTTTGTGGCAGACTTGGCGCTTACTTGCCGCATACGTGCCGTTCTTGACCGGCTTGGCTTCAGTGGCCAGTGATCGGTGAAGTCGGTGGCTGGTTGGTGCCTTGGTGTTACCCCACAAACGGTGCGATTGCCGTGGATATAGTTACAATATCGAGCGTCACTTGCCTCCAGAGCCGGCAAAACAAAACTTGCACTGGTGGGAATGCGGAATGGATGCGGGGCCCCGTGATATTGCCCTTGCTTCCGTGTGGATTAGTGCAAGAGATGAGACGTCCGAGCAAACAACTACAACAAGGCTGTCAAGGAGGTCCATGTCAAGGTCTCGTGATGTAGCACCTGTTGGCTGTGTGTTCCCTTGCATATAACTCGACCGTGTGCTATATGCACGGACAGTGCTGTTTCAATGCCAAGCAAGGAAACACAGGGAATCAAGTCAAGTGGAAAACCCTGGGGGGCACGAAGAGAACTCAGCCCCTGATGGAGCGGGTGACGACATACTGCTTGTACGCATCTACAGCATCCGAGCCGAGACATGGCCTTCAATGACCATACAAACACGAGAAAACACGCGGCAATGACTGGAATATGAGGCCGGGAAATTCTCGTCATGCAGCGCATGGCGGCAAGCTGCTTGTTGCTATTCGACACTGGAGTTGGCGCTTGTTTATTCCCTCAAACTCGACGCGTCCTTTCCAACATTCTGAACCCGGGCATGAGCGGTGAAAGGAAAAGAGAATGAGGAAGGAATCTAGTGATTCAATGCATATCGGCAAGCTGCTTTTTGCTCTCCGGTGTTGGACTTGGTACCTGCTTGTTCTCGTTGGGCCTTATGGGCTCTTTGCAATGCCCTGAGCCTAATCCCTGCGAGAACAAGGAAACGATCTAGTGGTCGGATGCGTCTCGGCAAGTTATCTGCTTCCATATGTTGGACTTGGCGCTTGCTCGTTTATTTTGACTATACACGCGTACCAATGCTCTGATCCCAGATATAGAGGAGTGGGGAAAGAAATCAAGGGCGAGAATAGGATCGAGAAATTCCGTGGATGTCTGAAAGCTGTTTGTTGCCATTTGTAATGTTGGGTTTGGGCCCGGTCCATTCTCTTCGTCCCATACGCCTTTTCCACCACCCCTCTGTGCCCATCCATGGCAGGGGTTGACAACGTGACAAGACCAGAATCCCTTGCTTCAGTGAATGTTAGCAAACAGGTTCCCATTCAAAGTCTCTGACTTGACAGCAGTTGTTTGGTAGGCTCGCTCAAACACTGCCAATCTGAAGTGCGGGGAAAACGGTAAGCAAAGCATGACTATACTCCCACAGAGCATGTCATGTCAGCAAGCTGCCAGGTTGCAGTCTCGTGAGGCTGGCAACTCACAATACATAGTCACAATTCAAACAATGTCAGATTCCGTGATGCAACGCGTGCTAGCAAGCTGTTTGTCGGCCTCGAATTGGCAATCGCAGGAGGCAAGGCCTGGGTTACTCTGTTTGCTCTGCTCAATCTTGATCGTCTTGCTCATATCTGAAGAGATTATTTATAAAACCGGCAATACCTCCACAGCTAAATTTACTCTCCACACATTATATTCCCATATATATATATATATATATTTACAACATGAAACAATTATCTTTTTTTCTCCTCCGCTCACCTATCGCCATTATTTTAATACTCTCACAACATGGGATGCGGAAGCAGTTGCGGCATGAATGGAGTTGCTGAGGTATTGTTCCACAAACTCTTCTTTGAAACTTGTCTAAAAATGAACAGGAGGAAAAGCGACTGCCATGCGCGCGGGCTTTGGGATTTGATGTCGAGTCATTTCAATCCGTCACCCAAACCCTAACCCGGGGGGTGAGGGGGCTGGGAGGGCTCGCAATCGGCGCGGGCACAAGACTTCGGAAGTTCAGGGAGCAAGTCTGCTCCCGAAACTGTAGAAGGCTCAGAACCAATACACGGAATGGAGATTTCCAGTACCCAGTTCGAAACCGTATTCACACGCAAGGCAGGGCTTCTAATCATATGGAGATGGCATGAAACTGGCGTTCTTTTCCTGGCAAGAATTCGTCTGGACCCACCTCCTAGTGATTTGAACAGACCGCCCGCCGTCACAGCTGAGTTTACCTATGTCTTTCCTCATCGTCGACAAATTACGCCATCACCGACAGGGAGATAGTGGGCTTATCCCCACCATTTAATTGATGGCGGTTCCACTAGATCACGCTGGATTTCAAAACGGCCCCAAAGTGGAGGTTGGACTGAGCCAGCTCTATCTTCAAGCGGCTTACACGACTTTCCGCACCCTGCGTCAGGTTGCAGTGCTTTCCCGGCAGTGGAAAAGCCGGCCGAAAGGCTGGTGTAATGAACCACATGGAGAGAGTAAGTCGAACTTAAATATTACCAAGCAATTACTCACAGTAAATAGCCAAATGGTCACAGTGGTGACCTTCACGAGCCTCAAACCGAAATACTTGCTAGTGTTAGCAGAAGAGCAGAATTATAGCTCTCCGCGCCCCTGGACATGGGATTCTTCCCCGTCAAATTATGCAGGTGTAGCAGGAACTCTCGGTGCTATTGTGAACTATCGTGCTGCTAGCGAGGAGGGGTTCAAAAGATGCTTCTTAACGTGTTACCGTGGTACAATTGGACATGGAATGGAGCCATTAATACTGCTCTCACCATTCTCAGTGGTAGTATGTGATAAGAGCTAGGGACCCAACTGGGAAAGCAACAAACGACCTACGTGGCATTGGGGTCATTAATCTATGGCTTAAGGGCGACGAAGCCACTTTGTCTTCAAAGTTAGCCAGGAGACGTAAGCCAGTTCTCCAATTCGCCGCCTTCTTCCATTAACTGGCAAATAGTCGTTCCTTCTTGACCTAGGCTAACCTCCTTTTTCACCTTCGCAGTTCCGCGAATTTGGCTCTAGTTACGCAGCGGCTCGCTGCCTGTAGTTACCATCTCTAGATTCGGTCCTGGCATAAGATACGAACTTGAAATATACCAGCGTAGGACCAATCTCGGCATTACCCTCGCTGAATAGACCCGATCTTAGGTCAAATATATCTAACGGGCGGCGTCTGTGGGCCTAGCATGATCGAGCCATAACCCCCATTACCCTCCTCATTAGCACCTTTGTCCTTGTCTCTCTCGGCCTTCCCATCATGCAAGCCTCCACCCTCGCAATCTACCTGATGCCTCTCGGGCAAAGAAATCAAACAGACGTGGTATTATCATGTCCACGAAAAAGCACATGCCTTTTAGATTCTTCGATCTCCCGTTGAGGTCAGAGAAATGATCTACGGTCTACGGATACATCGTTAAAAATGACGAGCCAGTGTCAATTACGCTCGATTGGAAGGAAGTCAAGGAGGCTCTCACGTTCAACTCCGAAATACTCAACATTGGTGGACAGATGGAGACCGAAGCCAGAGCGGTTTTCCACCGCATTAACACTTTTATAGTGCACATTAGAGACGATTATCCTTCCTTTGTCCAAGGGGATCTTACCCGAGCCCCCCCGTCTCGGCTGGCGGCTACGGTTTCTCCGCCCTCCAACTCGTCTTCTTAACCATGACCGCCTGGGCCGGCATAATCAGCGCCCAACTCTGCGGCTACCTCTCTAACAACCGCATCCCCCTCGCCGTTGCGTGCCGCAGCCGCGGAATCTGGCGCCCTGAGTACCGCCTGGCTAACACGTTGATTCCCGTTTCCTGCTCCCCATCCTCTCCAAGCACCTCATCGACCGCAAAATCCTCGAGGTTTATCGCGCAGAAGTCACGACTGTTTTCAGAAATGTTCTTCGCCATCACCTCCCCCAGGTACGAATCCTCTCAGAAACCATCACTATCGCTCTTCTACTGTCAGGCTCTAACTATCAGCACAGGAGCCCGAGGTCTCTTTCGAGTCCTCTTTCCTAGCCACGAGTGCTAGCAGGACAAGGCAGACAAGCCCGCCAACACCTATCTATCATGGATTAGCCTCTATGGTATACTACAGCCACAGAGCCCACGGAATAGACTTTCTTTCGGCAAGAAGCTCTGCTACCAAGGGGAGCGAGACCAAAGTTAGGGCGTTGAAGTGTTTAGAGGTTCTGCCGAGGGTTTGGGAGAGGAGTGGTGCGATTAGGTTGAGTTGGGGGGGAAGGCTATCAACCGCAAAACCTAGATATCTATAACGGGGATTGCTAGTGTCCCGTGTATGGATGTAGGGAAGCGTTTACTGTAGTGACGATTCCCATGGTCGCTGTTACCCTGGGGATGCCGAGATTACACTCTGAGACGCATCATAGAACGGCTGTTATGAATGGCCGTCCTGTCGGAATACCCCGTGGTTCAGTATTCCACAACCCTCGCCTCTCGGCCGAAGAGGATTTTCGCCTCCCGACAGATCTAGCTGTTGTGTCTAGAAACATGAAAGGATAGGAGCTAGGCGTCCATCCGATCAAGCTTGCCGAATTCATGGGACGCTTCGGACCGGTGATTTCCAACCCCACCCCCAACTCTCAAATGAGGCAGCGGCACGCTCTTACCTATCCATCGCCGGGCAACACCAGGCCCAGAAGGGTGGCACTTTCAAGCCATGGAGTTTGCGGTATCACAACCTTGGGCCGAGAGGGATCGCAACCAGTGGCCATTCCAAGACAGATGGATAATCGGCATTCAATTGAAGAGCAGTATCGCAACGAAAGCTGGCGCCATTCGGCTTATTTGGTGTGTCCGCCAAACTTGGTAGATATTGGTGCTGCACCATAGCTGGTTGCCATGCTCAGTGGGGAGAATCTGGAAAATCCATCCTGGTCACGACCCGGCCGAGTTCGGGGGTTGATGATGCTGGAGAACTTCATCGACAACGGGGCCAGGATTTCTCGGTGTCTCGAGCAATTTCGATCTACGAGGGAACGGGAATTGCAGAGGGTGTTGGCGATGCAATAGACACTGAGTTCTGTACTATCCCAGGACGAAAGAATGTCTCTGAGGTAGCACTAGTTAACGTCAAAACAAACAACCTTGTTGTCAACACTGTCTTCAATAAAAAACGCGGCATAACTGCATCTAGAGAAAGCGGCCACCAACGCCAGCAAAATATGTGGGGGGAAACAAGGTCAGGATCAAGTGCAAAAACGAACACAATTACACAAAACAAATATCAAAACTTTTACTCATAATGACCTCAATTCAAGTACAGTAGATGTCCCAAAATTGACCATGATAAACACCATTAAAATCCAATGAGACTGTATATCCCAGTCTTTTGTAAATATAGACCTAAAAATGCCCTTTTACCATTCCAAGATGCTCACGTGTAAATACTCTCCGTCCACTGGTTAACCGCCATACCGGCATTCTTCTCCGCTAGGTCCACGTCCTTCAAGAAGTCAAGCGGCATCCATACACTATTCATATGTTAGTGTTGTTCTATAAGCCCCCATAAGAAATGGGGAGAACTTACAGATGTCCCTTGACAGTATCCAGCTGCTCACGAATCTCCGTAGCCGCACGCTGCTTATCAAATATATGACCGGCACGACGTCCCTTGGGCGGGAGGTAATTTTCGTACTCCTCGAACGTCTTGACGCAGTTATCCGGATCCGCCTAGATTGTTATGATTAGCCTCACATCTTTACACCTTCTCCAATCACACAGACACTACTCACATGGAACAACTGCCTAAACACCCTCGTATTCTGCGTCGCCCTCTGCGTCCACATATTCCACAGATCATCACCCAACGGATCAGCCACGAACTCATAATGCTCACCCTCCTGCGCATCATTCTTGATCGGCGGCGGCTGCGCGTTCGGGTCATTACTCGCATCCAGCTCCTGCGGCGGCAGGAGACCAAGGTGCTCGCGCCACAAGTAGCGGCGGAGCGTAGCAGCATGGCGACGTGCCTCGTAGGGCTTGCCGTTCATGGTGCTTTGGAGGACCTCGGTATCTTCCATCACGATAGCGATTTCGCTGTCGTGGTACCCGATTTGCGAGCGGTCGTTGATGTTGGAGCTGCCGCAGATGGCGATGCGGTCGTCGACGATGAGGAGTTTGCCGTGGACGTAGAGTTCTTCTTGGATCCAGAGGTTGGCTTCTTCTTGGTCGTCGCCGTCCCATGCTTCGGAGGCGAGGCTGGGTTGGCCGAGCATGGCGTTTTTGGCGACGCTGGGTGTGTTAGTGGTGAGATTTCAACTATGGGACGAGATAGTGGTGGGGGAGCGGGACGAACCTGTCTTTACTCTCGGGTTGTCTGCCACCAGTCTCATCGCGGTGAGCTTCGAACTTGCGGATGGCATCCGTCTCCTTCTCTTGCTCTGCAGTGTTTGAGGGCTCACGGCCCGGTTCCTGGAGCCCAGAGACACCGCCGTCCTTACCCTGCCCACCAATTCCACTGCCCATAATCTTATGGGCTTCGGCCTTTTGGACTTCCTGGTACGAGACGCCTGACTCCTCTTCTTGCTTCTTGACCTTGGGGGTGACGTTAAGGCGATCGTAGGAGCGCAGATTAAAGAAATGGATGTACTGTTCCGGGTCAACGCCTGCGGCCTTGATGCGTCCGAAGATGGAGTGTTCGCCACGGCAGATGGACTTGTATTGGTAGTCCCTATGTTTGGTCAGCCAAGTGATCGGTATTTTTGAGCAGGAGAAGGAGACTCACATGATAGCACGTGTACCAGCTGCGGCATCATCTCTGAGGTCACCAGCGAATCCTGGGATCTATAGATTACCGCGTTAGCTATAGTAAATAAAGGAATGGCTTGGATATAAGTACCGCTGGGATGACCAGGATTATCCTGAATTTGCGAGCCTCCTTTGCTGCTCTGAGAACGGCATCGACAATAGCCTAGATTCTGTGTCAGTCTCTAGATGCCATAACATACACGCAGAATATGGGGCACTTACTGCTCCGATTTGGTTCTTGACTGGACCCTGTTGTTCGCCAGTAGCAGTCTACAACATATTAGCACCCTCCATAACACGGCGCTCCACGACCAGTAGCACTGACAATAAAGAACTGGTTCTCAACGTAAACATAATGCTCCGCATTGCGAATCAGCTCACAGTATGCATTCTGAATACTGTGCTCAGTAAGTATACCGCTGCTCCAATCGTCGCTGCTCCGCACAATCTGGGCCTTGACGGTGCCCTGCTTTCCGAGCTTCTTGGTCGAAAGTGGAGTCAAGGGGTGCTTGATATATCCTCCCACTGGGTGCTTCGGCCTCTGGACGCCAATGATGTCCTCATTCTCATCTTCTCTACCCTCCATGATCATCCAGGGGTAGTTCTGGTCGCGCTTGTACTTGTCTCTCTTCACGAAGTTCCAACGGCTGGGGGAAATTGTTAGAAGAGCCGTAATAAACGAGGTTGAGAAAGAGACTTACAGAACGAAGTGTTCTGCGATATCAATAACACAGTCTCCAATGACAGCCATGGCGGTGTCGTGCCATGGCATGCGTCCGTACTCGGCTTTGCTGATTTGGTTTTGTTCCCAGTCATCCACGTTGTGGAAATCCATAACACGGTTGTTATTAAAGTCCCTAGAGGATGTCAGTAATTTCTCTCGCAGAGTCGCCTTAATGGTGCGAAACTTACTGGCCAGGCCAAATCTGCATTCTCGTTAGCAACTGACCAAATGGTCTAATGATGGGGGAAGCTTACCTCCTCCGCAACACCAGCAGGGTGCACATCAGCAAGCGCGTGCTGGTGGCTATCCCAACGCCCAAAGCACAGATCCAAGCCACCAATAAAAGCGATAGCGTAATCAACCACAATGAACTTCTCGTGATGCGCCCAGTAGAACGTCATATCCGCAGCATTCTCAAACACGTTGTGATCCGGGTGGCGCATGAGGATGATATTTCCGTACCCAGGGCTTCCTTCCGGGCAAAGATCCCTCAGAGCTTTCTTCGTGTGCTCCGAGTTGCAAGTAAGGGCTGCTTCCACCTCGCGGTATACACTGCGCAGGGTTATTAGCGATGTTCGTAGCAGCCTTCCTAGGGTATAATCACATTATGTATATCTTGACTCCCTGCTCGGCCTTCCTCTTCAGGATCTGGTCTAGTCGCCATTCCTGGTTATAGTATGGAGGTCGTCGCAGGAACAGCTCGGGCGAGAGCCACCAGTCGGCAATGTAGATCGTCTCCTTCGCCTCCTCGAGGGCTACTGACACAGCCTTTGTATGGTCAGCTCAATGCGCGCGCAGGCTTCAGAGAGTGCTTACCCAGAAGTAATCCCGTCCATCCACGTACCACTTCACATCGTTGTCGAAGCGCTCCGGCGCAAACGACTTGAATCTGTGGGACTCTGAAATGTCGGTGCGCTTCTTGTCTGTCGCCTTTTCGTGCTCCTCGTCGTGACGGTGGTTGCTATTAAGCTACTCCCATTAGCTGCGATCGGGATTCTGGAATCGGTGAACCTACGAGGTTTCCGAATTTGCCCAGCTCGTGCCTAGTATTGTTAGTTGGGTGCGGGGTTGATGGCGGGGGGCGACTTGCTTCTTGTGCTATTGCCCGGTCAGTAGTTGGTCTAAATGGTCATAAGTGTTGCGCAAACTTACAATCAGGGAGACCTTCACATCTTCCAAGCTTGTTTTCTCGAACTTCTCCTTCAGGCGCGAGAAGGGGTGCTTGAAGGCGCCCTTCACGTCGCGGGATTTCTCGACAGCTGGGTCCTCCGGAGCACCTGTAGACATTCTGGCGATTGTCGGGCTGGCAGGTACTGGTTTTAGGAAGAATGCGAGTCTGCGCGAGACTGCACGTATATATATGTGTCGTAGTGAAGATCAGAGGCGATCAGAGCGAGATGCAAGGGGTATATAGGCAAGTTTGTATCTGTCAATGTGCAAGAGCGAGACCCCTCACTACTGTCTAAATTGTAGCTAAACTAAATGCTAGCACGCGCTCACATGTGCCGCCAGCTCCGGTAGACGCTGAATGGCTAAGGAACTGTATTATTTGTTGGTGTGTTAGTAGACTTATCTCATTATTAGTGACGAGTCGTATTGTGCCAGTTATGTGCCAGTATGTGCCACATACTTAAGTAAAGCAAGGCTGGAGATCCACTCAAGCATCTTTCCGGTTGATGGCGGGAAGCGGCGATGACGTATCCAATGCAGAACTTGATTCCCATATAAATAGCTTCGCTTCTTGACCCTTGAGGGAATGGATAAAAATAGGGCATAAAAATAAGATAAGATAGACAGGACATATTTGCATTTGTTTACTTATTCATTTTCATATATGCATTTATTTCTGTTTGCTGTCCTATACCTTCTCGTGGATACTGTAAGTAAATAAATAAATAAAAATATGGGCTTGTACCTGGATTATCCTGAGTTACAGCGGCAGGTGCTCGCCAGGAACATCAATCTGATCATGAACCATTCAACAACAAACAGTGACTGTCCAACCAGCCAGCAAGCAGAGTCGGTCAGCCCGATATTTAATATAACAAAAATTCCACTTTTAAAGGTCCTATAATGTGGCTGGTGTTCGTTCTCACGGGTCTAACGACGTGGCTGGCTCTGCTAACCATCTGTGACCCCTCAGACGGCGTCCCCACATCCCAAATCTCAGGCATCCATGCATCCCCAGACCTCCAACCCCACCATCTCACCGTCCACTCTCACGACCTCCACGACTACCACAACCACCAACCTCCATCCACCACCGCCACAATGCCCAACTTCCTCGACACAATCAAGCGCTCCTTCGTTGACGTTACTGTCAACAAGGACAAGGAGAATGCCATCAACACCTCCGAATTCCTCGAGGCCGCCGAGTCCCTCACCACCCTCTTTGGTACCCCGCTCCACCGTTCCCCCAATCCGTTTCAGTTGCTGATACCCCATTTCTAGATGTTCTAGGCTCCGTGGCCTTCCAGCCCGTTAAGAACGACATGCTGGGCAACATCAAGGTATGAATTATCCCTTATTCGCCCCCGGAAGACATTCAAGATACTTACCCCGCACCAGAAAATCCGCGACCGCCAGCTCGCCGCCCCTCTCGAGTCCGAGACCCTCCAAGAGCTCGTCGTCAACGAGCTCAAGACCAAGAAGCACGTCGCCACTGAAGGCCTGATCTGGCTCGTCCGGTTTGTCACCCCTCCCCTGGCCCCAATCCTAGGAACCGCGTACTAACACCCGACCAGCGGCCTCGACTTCACCTGTATCGCTCTTTCCCAAAACGTGCAACTCTCCACAGAGGAACTCTCCGTCTCCTTCCGCAACGCCTACGGCTCGACCCTCAAGCCCCACCACAGCTTCCTCGTCAAGCCCATCTTCAGCGCTGCCATGTCGGCGTGCCCGTACCGCAAGGACTTCTACGTGAAGCTTGGGGACGACCAAGAGGCGGTGCACCAGGGGCTGACGGTGTGGTTGAAGGCGCTGGAGACCCAGGTGGCTATTCTGAAGGGATTCCTGGATAGGCCAGAGGCGAAGTGGTAGATTGTGGGAGGGTGAGGGTGACGCGGGGGTGGAAAATTTATACTGGGAAGTGCTGTGATTAGCGGTAACGGCCTTAGCATATATATGAAGCAATGAAAAGCACTGGTAGCTTGCATTTTTCGTCAGGCATGACCCATGATATTTTATTTCCATACCATCTCGTGCTCCGAAATCTATCCTCGCTCCAGGCTAATATCTATACAGGGCCCGGCAATGCATTTTTATAAGTCAAGAGTTTGTATTGAGTGTAATTCTGATGCAGGGGTTTGACTGTATGTCAACTAATTCCTAGAAAACTGTCCTCATAACCATGAAGCCAAACTCCTAATGATGCCAATTCCCACCAACTCCAGGCTAAGATTCATACTAAGCAAAGCATGAACAAGTATCCGCAGGACAAACAAACCACTGCCGTCGAAACTCAGATTGAGTAGTTTCCCTAAACACCGCTCGCATAGCCATGAAGCCAACCTCCTGACAATGCCCGCTTCTACCAACTCCAGCGGCGCTGTTCATACCAAGCAATGAGCAGATGATCTGTTACAACGGAAGAAAACCATGATCACCGCGACTATCATCCAGCAGTTCTTGTAATTCAACAACAATCGAGATCCCTCCAATGCTGCGCCCGTTTTTGTTTTCTCGTGGTCATAGAAGGCCCCCCGAGGGCCATTCTATTTAGGTTGGTCGTCACAACTAGGATGTTGGCCAACAAATAGACTTGGCACGAAGTATTTCTCATTTTCCGCGGCGTAATCAAAGGCTGATTTACCCCGGGTATCCAGGATATCCAAACTAGCTCCGTGATCGATGAGCAGCTTCGCGCTAACCAAATCATCCCGTCTCCAAACTAGCTCACAGCGAATATGTCTTGATTCATCCTCTGGTATGAGTGATACTCCCTGGCCAATGAGGCGTAGATCCGCTGTGGCCAAACTCTTCCTTGCTACTACATCGTGTAATGCAGTAGACCCTTTGATATTCTGCATGTTGGCCAACGCGCCATGGTCAAGAAGGAGCTTCAAAATGGCTGGTTGGATATTGTCTACCACAAGATGCAGACAAGTTCGGCCGTTATCGTCTTGCTTGTTGACTTCAGCACCATGCCTAATGAGCAATTCCACCGTGTCTAAAACACCAAAAGCTACAGCGTGATGTAATGGGCTCCTGAAGTCTTCTTCGCCGGGCTCCGCACTGATTCGTGCACCATGATTGAGGAGAAGCTTGGCTATACTTGAATCTGAATGGTCTACAGCCCTGAACAAGGGAGTTATTCCCATGTTGTCTTGTATGTTAATCGATGCTCCGTGGTCGAGGAGGAGCTTTGCTATGTCCAGATCTGGCCGTTCTATTGGATCCGGAAATATTGCGCATGGATCTGGCTGCTCTACAGCCCTAAACAAAGGAGTTATCCCCAGTTCGTCTCGTATGTTGACTGGCGCGTCGTGGTCGAGAAGTAGCTTTACAATAGATAGACTGCATTCTGCGGCGGCAATATGTAAAGGGGTTGCTGAATGGATATCCATCGCTTCAAGATCTGCACCACGCTCAAGTAAAAGTTGTATCATGGAAATGCCGGTTTCGTTGCTTCTCAAACAGGCAAAATGAAGAGGGGTTCCGAAATAATCGCATATTTCCCAGCTAGCGGTTATATCAGAAGAATCGATATCAGCCCTATAATCAAGTAGGAGCGTAGCCATGTCCAGATCGCAATCGATATCAGCCCCGTAATCAAGTAGGAGCGTAGCCATGTCCAGATCGCCTTGATCAACAGCAATATGCAATGCAGTTGCTACACGGACATTTGAGTTGTCCACGTCCGCTCCATTCTCAACTAAGAACTTCGCTACTTCAATATCACCCCTCTCTGCTGCTGCATGCAGTGGTGTACCCCACTGACTAGGTGAATGGTCCACGTCAGCTCCATCCTCAAGAAGTAGCTTAGCCATAGCCACGCTTTTGGCAAAATGTAAAGGTCCAACTGGGGTTTCTGGCAGCAATTTCGAATCGGTATCATAAACCCCATTAATCTCCCTCGCGTCTGCGCCAAACTCGAGTAATAGCCTCACACCTGTTTCATAATCATCGCCGACACATGATATTAATGCCGACCCCGAGTAGAACTGGACGTATGCTCATATAGAAACGAGAAGAGAAGTTGGTAGTTTCGTGCACTGGTCCCCATAAGTGAAGAAATATCCTTCTCCGTCTCTAATTGTCTGGCGATCAAGAGAAGTATCTCAGGCGGCAGTGTCGAGAATGACATCTTCGAGAGGTTGGCTGAGGAGAACGATAAAGGGTTGGAAGGGGTTGGAAAGGGCAGCGTGTTGCGGAGAAAAAGTAAGGAGCTGTGATGGCGAGTTTCGAGTACAAGCTTTGGTGGGGTTTTTGGTCTTTTGGTGACTATAAATGGATTCTCGAGTTTTATATCGTCGGGTGTAGATATTGAAGTATGAAAGTCACTCTGGCTTTCGACAGTGAATGTTGGGGGTTGTATTGACAAACGGAGACAAAGATAAAACGATCAATCAACAAACAAATGACGGCTAACGCATTCCATATCATGCTGGATTATCTATGGGCTGTCACGTGGAATTATTCCTTCTTCCCGAATGAGAGAGTAATTTGATCTAGAACTTGAAGTGAATTGGTGAATTGGTGGTTATAACAGGGAGGATGGGGGTATATTTAACTGGTTAGGCTGCAATTTATTGCCTTGTATATTAGGCCACAATGAAACGAGATATCACCGACATGCGGCGTTTGCTTTTACGAACACACCAACAATGGATCTGGACGAGTTCATAAATAGAAATACTTCAATTTTACCAGGTTGACGTATTGTTAATTGGCAGAACGTTATTTTACCTAGGTGACGAGCTATGGATTCTGATAAGAATATGTACAAAAAGGACGTCGACTTCACAGAGTTGGCGTCCCAAGATGCCGAATTCAAGAATATGTAAGTGTGTTTCGATTACTATCTGCCAGTTGCAATACTTCATTTCAAAGCGTTCCAATTATTTCAAGCATCTCCACTAAACCTCTCCCCCTCAGTCTAAAGCCAAATGGCCAAGTTGATTTCAGCGACCCCGAATCCGTCCAACAACTCACCAAGTCCCTCCTAAAACGAGACTTTGGCCTGAAGCTCGACCTCCCACCTGACAGACTATGTCCCGCAGTTAGTATCCTCCTCCCTTAACACATACGCCCCCATCATACTCACAAAGCCCAGGTCCCAAACCGCCTCAACTACCTCCTGTGGATCCAGGACCTCCTCGATACCAGCACTCCCACCCCCTCTCTCGACGACACCCACGACCCCACCCGCCCCGTCATCGGCCTCGACGTCGGCACTGGAGCAAGTGCCATCTACCCCCTCCTCGGCTGCTCGCACTATCCGACCTGGCGCTTCGCCTGCACTGGTATTCCTTCCCACTCAACCCAACCCAAATTCCCAATGTCACGAGGAACCTAACAAACGCAGACACCGACCCCCACAGCTTCACCTTCGCCCGCAAAAATATCACCCAAAACAACCTCTCAAACCGCGTTCGGCTTCTCCAAACCGAACCGGATGGTCCTCTGCTCCCACTCGATGATTTGGGACTTGACACGTGAACTCTTCTCCCCCGTACCTCGACCATGTAAAGCTGATATATCCCCCAGAATCGACTTCACCCTCACCAACCCCCCATTCTTTACATCCCCTGCTGACCTTATTGCCTCCGCCTCCTTGAAATCCCGTCCCCCATCCAGCGTCTGCACAGGCGCACCGTCAGAAATGGTTACTCCCGGCGGCGAAACTGCGTTCGTCGCACGCATGATCGCTGAGTCTATCCCGCTAGGCCAGCGCGTAAGATGGTTCACGGCGCAGCTGGGGAAGTTGGGGAGCGTATCTACTGTGATTAAGGAGTTGAAGGAGAAAGGGGTGAAGAATTGGGCTGTGGGAGAGTTGGTCCAGGGACGTACGAAGAGGTGGGTTGTGGGATGGAGTTGGGTAGGATGGAGACCCGCGGTGCGGGTTGCAAGGGGAGCGGTGGGTGTGGCGGGGGGGGATCTTCCGTTTCCCAGCGAGGCGGTAGCTGTCAAGGTTGTAGTGGAAGCGGAGAAGGTGGGGAGAAGGGTGGATGAAGCTGTTGCGGGGTTGGGGGGGAAGTGGAAGTGGGATGCGGATGGTGGGGTGGGAGTAGGGTTTGTGGCGAGGAATACGTGGTCGAGGGCTGCGAGGAGGAAGGGAGGGGGTATGGAGGAGGAGGGGGATGAGATGGCGTTTGGGTTTAGGATTTATGTGAGGGGGGTGCCTAAGGAGGAGAAGAAGCCAGCAGAGACGGAGGTTGTGGTGAGATGGCTGAAGGGGGATGATAGCGTCTTGTTTGAGAGCTTTTGCGGGATGATAAAGAGAAAGGTGGAGGCGCAGTAGCGTCCATGTCGGTTTGTTGCTGAGCATACCCGAAAGAAATATCAACCCCACACTTATTCAGGGGAATAACTAAAACTGGCAAAGTTTCTTCTCAGGAATCTGAATTGCTAGTTTGCAATAATAGAACTTCCAGCCATAATATATTATCATGATGATAGTTAAATGCAGTTTCCAAGGGGTGGTGAGGTTTATTGTTCTCGTTTATAACTTATACCTTCAGATTGATTATTTTTTACGAGAAAAACGAGAAAAACGAGAAAATAAAATTCAATAAAGCCAACTTTTATTTTTAATTGTATCTCTTCTACTACAATAGATTACTTATATAGAAACAATAATATCTATAACAAAATAATAGCTCTATATCGTGTGTTGGCACACGTAAACCCTCCTTGACCAGAAAATCTGGCCTCAGGGGTAATCTCATACCACGATTCTTAACACTCGTGCCGCACCCAAAACCTCACAGAGAATGTGCCGAAGCACCAACCGGGCCCCCAAAATGTCCTCAGAACTTACAGTCTACGCGGATGCCCCAAAACGTTGCATCGCAACCCATAATAACCATCGTGGCCAGACAACTGATTCTTATAGGCCATCTATTCCTATCAAGCACCACTATATCAAGGTTCCACTGCACAATCACCACCTCAACCCGCATCCACCTCTCCGCCCCCAAACCAGCTCAAACAAACAAGCTTCCCGTCATCCTGACACCTCTCCACCAAGCAAAAATAAGAACAAACCTACAGCTGCGACCCAAACCAACGCGACTCCACATGACCGAGCACGCCGACCACCACAGCTCACCCCGCCCCATCACGACAACGTGCAACACCGCCACCGCATCTGCAACTTCAGCTATCACGAAGCCATGGTGTGCGATACGAGGGCGTTTACTGCCCGGAGACCCGGCGATGAGGGTAGGAGTAAATCGCCTGTTAATTTCTATAGAATTTTATCAAGTCCTCCCTGGTACTATCAAGCCCTATCTGGTAGTATAAAGTCCTATCCAGTATCGTCAAGTCCCACCAGTCCTAGCACGCTCTCAAGTCCCAGTAGCACTGCCGTGCCACCTCTCAGTCCCAAGCGGAAGGAACACACATTACCTCAGCACCTCAGCACCCTCACACAATCCCCTCCAGCCCTCCGGAAGAAGATCCGACCCTCATCACCGGAACTCGCACAGCAGAACAGACAAACAGACAACAGGCGTACATTACAAACCATTCCTCGCACAACATCAACGCCCCGACAACGGCACTTTCTGCCGAGACCACCGGAGGAGGGGAGGGCAAGATAGGGTGTGATTCAGCGCTGCGAACACAACGGCGCGCGGAAAGTGTCTTTCCGGCCAGCCTGGTGTGTGACGGGAGTAGCGTGTCGGGATTTGGACTTGGGGACGCCGGTGTGCTACGAGGGGAGCTGGGGGGAGGGGTTTCAAAGGACAGACGGGGGGTTCCTTTGTGTTGGAACCCTCGGTGTTGGAATTGTGCGACGAGATGGTTTTGTGGGTGGTATTTCCGAGGAGGGGGATCGGGTCGCGCGAAAGGGGGGGTAGGGAAAAAGGAAAAAGGAAAACCTTCCGCTCGGGAGGGGTAAGCTCAAGCCGAGCCAGCGGATCGGGCTCACAGCATGACACTTTCCGTCTGGGAAGTTGAGATATGACAGAGACGTCGTAGAGTAGTCCTCATTTCCTTCCATTCCATCGCAGTCTCTCCCAACGTTCGTCGCGCGCACGCCCCCGCCCACGGGGCATGCCTTGTCGAGAACGAGGACGCAGATCGAATGCACCACGGCTACGCGACCGCCAGCAGCAGCACCAACCATCGCGTCCCAACCATCCACCCCACTGTAGTCTCACCGCACCACAGAGCTCGCCGGTGAGACCACTCGCGCAATGTCTCGGTCGCGCACACGTTCCCCTGCCTCGGAAACGGTGTGACGACAGTGCTGCATGGGAACGTGATGTCACGCCAATGGCGAGGGAGGTTGGGAGGGCAAGATAGAGAAGGAGGGGAAGGGGGCGAGAGGTCGAGAAAGAGAGGGGAGATAGGAGATGAGAGTTTGTAGATGAGACATACTATACCTCCGGTCCTGTACTCCTCCTGTTGTCGCACAGTACGTGACGTGAGGGGTGGTGGAGGGATTAGCTCTATCCCCGCTGGCACCCGAGCTGGGCATCTGGCTGGCTGGGCCTCTGGATGGGCGGGCTGGAAGGTCTCAACGTCGTGCGATGATGGGAGGTGCCGTCCCACGGCCGCTACTGTAGCCTTACTCGCGGGACTCAGTTCCACGGAAACCCAGATCGCGTCGACCTTAGATGCGGGAGCTGGTCTCAGAGCTTACTCCGCGCGCTGGTCCTGCTCTGTCTCTCTCCCGCGAGACTCCGCGTGCGGTGCTGTGCGTGGTGTGCGGGCGGCGGGCGTGTGTCTCGAGAGCTGTCTCTGCGCTGTCTCGCTCACCTGCTCGATCGCGATGGGAGGGGGGACGGGGGGTGGTGCTGGTGTGACGATTGTGTAGCTGTGGGTTTCCGAGGGCGGTGGTGGCGGGTCTGCGGTGCTACTCTTGTGTCTCGGTCATGGACCTGCTGGTGGTGGGCGGGGAGAGGTCTGGATTGGTATCTGAACCTGGAGAGATAGGTCTTCGTGCCTGGCAGGTGTGCGCGCCATTGGCTCTCGCCGCTGTTGTTTTCTCATCACCTTTTCCGATATCACCATCCCATCACGCCCGAATCCCTTTCCCCCCTTCCTCCCGGCTCAACCTTCCCTTCTTCCCCCCTTTCCGAGCTACTCCGAGCTATCCCAAGCCACACCTCCAAGCTCCCGAGCTTGGCCTTACCTTCCCAAGGTAAACGCAAGCTGCGGTGCTCTGTCCTTGTCCTTCGACCCGCTCCAACATAACCTCTGAGACAACGCCCACCGGCGGCCCCACCCGTTCCGTGCCCCATCCCCGCGGCGAACGGACGGCGGGCGCCGTTAGATCCCATATCACCATCCGCGATCGCGCCCGCCGGAGATGAGACAGCGCTACGAGCCGCTAGTGGATTTCCCAGTCAGTTGGTTGGACGACATTGTACTCTTTGTATCCATTGTGGTACCGGTGACTATTCGGGACAAGTATAATAGTGTTGTACCACCCGCCCAGGACAGGATCGAACAGGGGGGTTTTGCAGCAAAGTATTGCATCAAGTACTCCATCAAGTATTTTGCAATTTTGTACTCTACGGTATCCAGTACTAGCTATAGCTATACTCTATACTCGAGGTACTCGACACCGCAGTTCTGGTTAGCGTATCACCACTAGCGCCCGAAGCAAGCGCACGGACTCCGAAGCCAATTGACCGGAGGAGCGTGACAAATACCTCTAGCAGTACAGGGGGCGGCGAGGCTGTTTTGGGGATAGACCGCGTGTGGGCGGCTGAGAGGCGGCAGGACGAAGATGGTGGTCAGGCTGAACAAATTTTATGTGGTAGGAAAGGGAGAAAAAAGGGGAGCGAAGGGTGAAAATGTGGTCTTTTTGAGGGAAAGGGAGGGTGTGAAGGGGGGCAAGATTAAGGGGACGGGGAGGGTTTGTGACCTTCTCAGTTCACCGAGCCCGAACTGAACTGGGCGACTCAACTGAACTCTCAACTGAACTGAACTGAACTGGACCAAGCTCTCCCCTTCCCTCCCCCTTTTCCTCCCTGCCGAACTCAGGGGGAAAAAAAAAACAAAACCAGCGCGCCCTGAGCCTCGCGCCCCTAACCCCCTTCCTCCCGCATCATCAGTCAGAAAACGACACATCCCCCCTCCCATCCCCTTCCATTCCTCACCTCCTCGCCGCCCCCCTACCCCCTGCATCGCATCTCTTCCACTTCCACACCTCCAAACCAAGTCACCTGTTCTACGCGGCGCCACCTCCGCCAAGCCCCATCACCCCCATCCCCATATCCCCATCCAGCCTCACGGCGCCCAATTCATCGCGCTCCCCCGCCTCAAAACCACTAGCCCAGCCGCCTCCTCGGGGATCAGCAGCGCCATCACCGGCGCCCCTCTCCACCGACCGATGGATGGACAGATGCACGCACACACGCACCGACAGCGTCGATCGAGCGGGAGGAAGCTATGGGCGGGTATATGAGACATGCAGCCGGTGGCGGGGCGGCGACGTCAGGAGTGCTGGGACCTGGACTAGGAGTGAGGTACTGGGAGTATTAACACTATTAACACTATTAACACTATTGGGACTACTAACAGTACTAACAGTACTAGCTAACACTACCAACACTACTGAAACTACACCCACACTACCCCAACGCTACCAAAACTATCGCCTCCCCCCATCCATCACCACCGGCACCATCCCCAATCGAGACTCTGACGCCTCGCGCCTTGTGCGCGCCAGGCACGGGATCTCTTCTTTGGGATTTCGCGACTTCTCTCCTCTACTCTGCCCTGTACAAAGCCCCGGGCTACATGAACATCGGAGGAGAGGTGGGGTGCATGATCTTGGCTCTCCCCTTGGCTCTGCCGAGGAGGGAAATTAGGGATGTTTGCCTTACTTGGTCTTTGCGCGGGTAAGCGTGCTTGTACCTTACCTCGATTTCGCCTTGCATGCCCTTGCGAGTTACTGTATGTACTGTACTGCACGGTACTGGGCTGTAGTGTGCGCTGCTGTAGCTTGTTTCCCTGGAGAGCTGGTGCCGGCGCGGATCGGTTTAGATCGCGGTCTGCAGTACACAGTGGCGGCGGCGCTGTTTCGCGACGGACTGGATGGCGAAGGTTATTATTACGCGCGCTGGGCTATGCTGGTTCAATCCAAGGACACCATAATACTACCCCCATAACACTACTACGAAAAGTACGCGCACGCACACTCCGCAGCACCAACGCGCGTCATACCCAGCTCCCCTCCCCAGCAATCCGGAGCTGCTCCGCCTTGCACTTCCTCCCTCCTCCAGCTAACTGCCCCCATCAAGCAAACCCAAAGAAAGCAAACCCCGAGCGAAGCCCACAGCATACACCAGCAAGCAAGTAGAGAGGAGCCCCCCCCAAAAATACAGGCCTCAGCCACCCACACAGCCGGAGCTGTACCAATGGTGGTCCCACTGGCGGTACCCCAGCGGCACCGGCAGCACGTTCCTCCCCCCCGAACGCCACCCCTGCACGGCGCGGCAGCGGATCAGCTGCGCAGGGGTGGGAGGACCAGCAGGGCGGCGCTACAGGATGGATGGATGGGATGGGTGGCGGCGATCATAGGATGTGCGAGTATTGCATCCGAGTGTGTCTATCCCGCACCTACAGTATCCAGCATACGGCATACGGCATCCATCCTGGTATATTAACGAATCCTGGTCTATAGTTTTATCCCAGTTCGTCTATTCGTACAATCCCAACCAGCAGCTTGGATTGGTGTATACAGCTGTAAAATACTGTGCAGCGCTGCCAAGTCTGATACGTACCTCTCTCTCCCTTCTTGGCTTCTGTTAATACAAATGAACTTCTGCGAGCTGCTTGGTTGGTTGGCGGACAGTGGCACATCGGCACCCAGGGAGTTGCGTGACGCACTATCGAATTGCGCATCCACCTCCTCCCTCCCCTGCCTCCTCCGCCTACCGGGGAGCGGAGCGGAGCGCGGAGCGGATAAATTGGGGGATAGATGAGAGCCGGTCAGGGCGGAGGTGGTTACTTACTTACCTGTATTTGGCTGTTGTAGGGGGGTATTATATCGTGCAGAAGTAGTTATCGTGCAGCAGTAGTAGTAGAGTAATCATTAGTCCAATTCTCGCAAAGTGGTAAAAAGTGGTAAAAAACCCCCCTACTGTATGTGCGTGATCTTGTTAGCCTAGCCCCCAATTTCTCCAGTTCACGCTGCTTGTTGGAGACGGCGGCGCGATCTAAACCGATCAAGCAGTCCAGTCGGCGGGGATCGGCGCGGGGAGAGGGGATGGGGGTGGGATTTTATTAGGCTCTGTTGTTGCTGGGGAGGGGGAGTGGGTTGTCGTACGAGTCGAGGAGAGGGAGGAGAGGAAGGAGAAGGGGGGATTTGCCTCATCACCTTCCCTCCCGTATAGAGAATTTTGCCTCTCTCTCTCATCCACAGCGGGAGACCGATCGACGCGCTCACGACGCGGTGATGGCATACAGTGCACAGTGCGCACGCATAGGAGAGTGCAGTACAGTGCAGTGCTCCAGACCCTCGCGTTGCACGACAGGAACCTCGTTCCCAAAACAATTAACCCACCTATCCATCATCTATCCATCCATCTACCACCCGCTGCACGCGCACGCACACACACAGAGTTCAAGCTCCGGCGCGGTCGGTAGGGTATAACCACCCACCCCATCCCGCCCCGTTGGCATTCCCGTGCCACCCCCCATCAGCGTTGTCGGCACCCCTGTTGATTCCCCAAGTAAGTAGGTAAGCTACGTAAACGAGTAGTAAGCACGAGTAGTACAGCAGGAACATGGAGTTGAATCCAACCAAGCTGGTTGATGATCAGGTCGGGCATTCACACCACCCCGTCTATCTATCTCTTTACTACTGTCATCCTCTCCTCTCCTCTCCTCTCCTCTCCTCTCCTCTCATCTATCGTACAATTCGTCTAGTAGGGCGGACTACACACATCCATTCGCGTCCACCTTCCCTCCCCCCCAAGTAAGCAAGCCCTCTCCGTCCTGACAGCCCGCCGCGCGCCCCACACACACGGAGGTAGACAGAAGACAGGGGTATGACCGTTGCTAGCGCGGAGGGGTGATGGATGGGGTTAGACGGGTTAAGGGATCGGCGCGGGGCTAGGGCTGTTTAGGGGGGATGGGGGACAGGGGTAGGTGTTGTGTGTGGTTGTGTACCATCCTCCACCACCCAGCTTCTTAAAAGTACAAATTAACAGCATGCACACAACACACACACAACCCCAATCCAGACACCACAATCCCAATCTAGATATCCCGCCCTCCTAGACTCGAGCTGGCCTGCGACCTTTGTTTTTTTGTTTATGCAACACACCACATCGTCCTCTTTTGCACCCTGCTACTTGCGATTGGGAACTGACTGCTGCGTGATGGGGATGTACTAGGGTACGGTACCTAGCACACACGGCATGTAGTAGCTGACCGGCCGACCGGCGTGAGAATTTGATCGGCGCAGACTATCGGTCTACCTCCCTGTCCTCACCCCCCGTCTAGCTCGCGGCGGCGATCGATCGGGCGCTGGTGGGATTTGCTGGGTGTGTGGGATTTGCTGGGTACGGGGGGGGAGAGCGGGATTCCGGATTCCCGGATTCCTTTCCCCCTTCTGCCTTTTCTTGTGAGGGTTAGGTTAGGTTAGGTTAGGGATGTTGGTTAGTGGTGTTGGTGGTGTTGGTAGGGTTAGTAGTGTTAGCAAGTGGGTGAGGTAAGGGGATGGTGGTGCTGGGATGGGGGAGGGAGAGTTTTGTGCTGGGATGAGACGGGGTTGGGGGAGATGAGGATGTTGGTGCTGGGAGTGGTAGTGACAGCGGTGGTGGTGCTGGTGACAGGACAGTGGTGGTGGTGGCTGCCGCTGATGGTTTTTGTTTTGCCTGTTAGAAGGTTAGAGTGTTGTGGTTGGATGGATGTGTGGATCTCGTCGTCGCTGAGTGAAGGAGATGGCTCCGAAGGCGGGCCGGCCGTTGAATGGATTTAGAGGTGAGTGAGGTGACTGGGTAGGCGGCGAATGACTGATTGATTGATTGATTGCTGCCAAGGAGAGTGATTTGAGTTCATCTTCACGCGTTGTGTGTGTCTTGTGTCTATCATGTCTATCCTGTCTGTGTGTGTGTCTGTCTGTATGCCTGTCTGTATGTCTATTTGTCTCTCTCTCTGTCTTGGATTTAGTAGTAGTTGTTAGCTTTAGCTTCAACATTATTTCACCTCATTCATTCTACCCTCCACCCTTCACCCTTCCCTCACTCACCCACCCTCCATCCCTTCCCTTCCCTCACCCCCCTCACCCCTGTGCTCACTCACCTCACACCCTCGCTCTCCCTTCACACACACCACCACATCATCCCTCCACACACACACACCACACCCTATCTGGCTACGTAACATCCCCATCTGGGTGTGTGGGATCCCGATTGGGGGGTGGGGGATCACGTTAGGAAGGGCTTGGGGTTCCGTATCGAGCATCAGCGGTAATAGTAGTACAGGTACTCCCTCTGTCTACCACACAGATGATGGACTACCACAGAATTGTACACTTTTCTACCACTGTACGAATCGCACGATGACCACCTTACTTGGCCCTCTCACAGTACTGGATGTGCTCCATCGTATCAGACTGCATGTACTCTACTGCACGTTACGTTGTACATGCCGTATACATACTCTCTCTCTCACTCTCACTCTCTTTCCTCACTCTCCGAGCTGCAGTTACAGTACAGCTGCATTGCATAACAACGCTATCCCACTTTAAGCTGCGTCTCCCTCGCCGTTCTTTCCGTTTTGGGGACCCCTGCGATGGGATGCAGTTGATTGATGGGTGGTGTGTGGTGTGCGTGGTGTCTGGTGTCTGGGTGTGTCTGGATGTGTGTTGTGTTGTGTTGTGTTGTGCTAAGTTGTGGTCTTGTGTACAGAGTGAGGGATGTTGCTTCAGTGAGCCTTGTTGAGGGATGGACAGGTGGATGGGTGCATGTGTGTTGGGTGCATGTATATGTGTGTGTACGGTGGTGGGTGTGGTGATTGGATTGGATTAGATTGAATTGTACTAGAGTTATACGACTGTTACTGCCATTATACGATCTCTGCTGTTTACGATGTTACCGACTCCGTAGAACTTTTATTATTGTATTACACTCAATTCTACTCTACTCTACTCTACTCTATCCTCCTCTACTCACTCTACTACTCTATTCACATTCCACCACCATAACCCATGTCCCCTCCAACACCCATCCCCCCCAACCGCCCATCCCTGCCCTTCCCGTACACTCCTGCGATGCACGGTACATCCCATCCCATCCATCCCATTCCCCCATTCCCCCATCCCCGGCTCCATCCCCGGCTCCATCCCCGGCTCCATCCCCGGCTCCTTCTCTCCCCGGTCCCATTCCCCCCTGGTCTATCCAATCCACTACCCCCGTCGTCCGTTCAATCCACCCATCGACAACCGACCAACCCATCGTGCACATCCACACATCTACATCCATCCACATCCGCACATCCACATCCGCGCCGCCCACATATCCCCATCGGTCATCGGTTCATCGCGCTCCCATGTACGTATTTTTTCCCATCTCACACACCCCTTGCTTCATCCCTGCACGTCAGTTTTTTACATACTCTACGCAAAATGGCTTACTTGACTAGTATTTTTCTGTTATGCTCGACGATACGATACGATGCGATGCGATACTTTGTGGTCTATGTACCCCCCTGCGTACCTCTCTCCCGTGATTTCGCTGATCGCTACTGCCAACTCCAGCTACTAATATACAATTCCGATACTATTGGAATATTTGCCCATCTCCTTACTCTAGTTGTACTTGTTAACTCTTCTGTATTGGCACACTGTACCCACCACACTCCTGCTCTACTCCCACTCCCCTCTGTCTCCCCTTCCACCCCCCCTTCTACTCCCCTCCCACTCCCTAATCCTGCCTGTTTCTGACTTTCTTCCCTCTATTCCTCTCACTCTCACTATCCCACACACACACCACCACTATCATCAATTGGTATATCCACTACCTACACCACCACCTACACCACCCCCCAGATCCTTCCCCCCTCACCCCCCCTCCCCTCCCCTCACACCCCTCCCATCCCATTCTATCCTATTCTCACCCCCTGCTTCCTCCCCTTCCTCATCCATCTACCTCCACCTTAACTTCCTCCACCTCAACTTTCCCCCTCCCCTCCACCCCTCCCCTCCCCCCCCAAGAAACTCAACTCCACCTACCCACTTCTAGCGGTTACTCTTGCTTCTTGTGCCTTGCTACCTCCCTTTCTGTACCCGACATGGGTTTGTCCTCCGCCTCAACATGGGTTTATGCCTTTTACTATGTACTTCCCTTCCACCTCCACCCACCCACCCCGGTACCCAGCTACCTCCCACCGGTACTTGATCTACTTTGGGTTACATGGATATCCACCCATCTCCCCACCATCGGCCTCCACCCCCCCCATGCCCCATGCACACCCATGCACCTTCTCTCCTCCTCTCAACCTCTTGTCTGCTTCTCACCAATCCCATAAAGATAAAGATGTCTAGCCGTTATGGTTCTTATTTACCTTTCCTCCGCCCTCTCCGTCAAACCAAATCCCAAAGCTCAACTCCATCTCAGACCTGAGGAAGAAGGAAAAACCCAAACCTTAATACAAAACACAACAACACACAACATATAACACCCAGACAGCCGTGCGCCTAACTCCTCGCTGCCGCCGCCGTCTTCTCACTTCCTCACTTCAGTCCTTCACTCACGTCTTCTAACTTCACAACCACCAACACCAACACCAACCACCCTGGCCGAAAACCAAAACCACACATAAGCAAGCTATTTTTACATCCCCCACGGGAAGACCAACGAACGCCTGCTCCCGCTTCGCACCGACATGTTCGTTCGTGCTTGCCCTACTCACACCTGCTCCTGCCGCGAACTGGTTCACGCCGCCAGGCTACCTGCAGCTTCATCTTCCCCGGTCCGCTTCTTCGGAGTGATCGCGTCGCGCCAGATCTAGATTTGTTATTACCCACGCTTATATCTGCCGTCTTCAGCGAGAGAGCCTACTTACCTTGGTACGTGCCCATCCGGAACAGTTCATTTATTTTTGGGATGGAGTCTGGGACTCGCGGAATATGAAACGCGCCGCGAGATGGGCCCTCCCAGTCTTTCCTCAATTTCTCAAGTCGATCGATGCCTCTCCCCAACCCCAGCCCCGCTGGTTCGCTCGATGCCGGCGAGGGCGACGGGATCTTGACACCCCCCGGCTAACCCATGAACCGCCTCTTAGATTAATATCCTCTCACACTCACTCACTCTTTATCCTCTCACAGTTCCCGAGACCGCGTTTCCTCCTAAGCTCGGAAACCCCGGCAAGCCTTACCGCTTCTCGTCGCCGCCGCCGTCGCTACCGCCGCTGTTCAAAGGAATCCTGGATCAGGGCTGCATGAACCTGTCTCGGACTGTGTTCGCCGATATCTGCCGCTTCGCAAGACGAGTTTTTTTCCTTATAAAGGAGAGCGTCTCTATCTCGTTTGCTACTTGGATTTAGATCTGCTGCTGTGTCTCCTTTTTCTTCGACGGCAATCTTACTCCTTTTTACTTACTTCGCACCGACTCATCTCGGGTGCGCGCTGTTGCGAAAGAAACTACTCCTACCGACATATTAATATCTTTGGGGATTTCTCTTGGGTCTCATAATATTTACTTACGAGCTGCGATTGCGACTCTGAAAATCTAGCACTTATAATTTTTTCGAGCAACACTCGACTTCTCACCATTACCTCTTCAACCGCAAAAGTGGCATTCTCAACCTACACAACCGTTGAGGTGAGTCTAACTTCTCACTCTCATACACTGATTTGTCCTACGACGTCAATGCAGAAAAGGCTGCTTGTTTTGATAACATTTAACTAACCCCTGCATTTATAGCCCGGGTTTCATTCGGCGACCCCAGTCATCGTCGACGAAGCATACGAATCACCGGAGACGGTCACACTCAGATACGAAGAGGCTTGCGCGGGAGGTCCTATAGGCAGGTCGGACTCCCTCTCGGGATTCCTTCCCATGTCTGCCTTCGGGAAGCCCCCGCCTTCACACCTTCAAGGTATGTTTGTACACCCTCCACGCACCCTCACTTTATAAGCAGCCACACCTCCACGGGTGCATGTGCCGATACTCGTTCACGTGAGGCTGGATCATCAAAAGTCTACAATGCTAACATATCTTCTAATCAAGGATTTGATGCATCTCGATCATTCTCCGATCCCGCCTACGCCTACCCTGCTGCGCCACAACATGCATCGCAACCCCCCCCTCATGCATCGCCGTTCCAAAATGCACCCGAGATGGCGCAGGTGAGCTACGGCAGTCATGCGACGCGCGGTAGTTACGATGAGCAGCAGGCCGGCTCCTACGCGCCCTTCAACTCTAACCCGACCCCCGCGTCGATCCGCGTCACGTCGCGTCAACCCCCGCGAGGCCTGCCGGGCTCCAAACTCGACGTCTACGTGGCGTCCGTCTACGAGCTCATGACGACAAGCCTCGAATCCATCTTCCTCATGTTCGGGCAGCAGAAGTGCCAGGCTTCGCTCATGCGATATGAGCAGCAGAGCAGGGACTACCAGTATATCGTCTCGACTGAGGTGCCGCAGATTGCGGTCGAGGCGTGGGAGTCGGCGGAGATGCCGCTGTTTCTGCTGATTGAGAATGCAGAGGGCGAGCTCATGGAGAAGGTCGATGTTGGGCCGTTTACATATGAGAGGGGCAGGCTGGGAAGCGATGCCGAGTCGTTAAAGAGCACTGAGCGGTCGTCGTCGCTGGTGATGAAGCCACAAGAGGATTTCTCGACTTACTCATATCTGCCTTCGGATAACTACTCGCCGCAGGTCCAATATGGCGCGTATGAGGGGATTCACTCCCAGCAGTTTGGGCGTGGGAATTCCATGTATCAACCCTCGCCGCCTGGCAGAGGCATGTACCAATATTCGTCTGGATCGCCTTCCTCCGCCATCAAGGCAAGGTCTAATCAGATTCCGACGTGGGCTTCTTCGTACAGGAATGGAAGTTCTGACGGCCACCATAACCAGGGGATGCCCGGACGGACATCGCTCCCGTCGATCTCGCCGAGCCCACTGTTGGTGAGGACGTCGACGATTGATCAGAACAGAAATAACGCGGGTGTCCCGATGAACGCATCTGGGTCTTACTACCACCAGGCGATGCACCCGCTCGCCGTCATTCTCAACCTCCACAACGACCTTGATTCCATGGGCCGCCTGAACACATGGTCGACGGAGGAGATCCAGTCGAGACGGCGAATCCTGCAATTCAAGCGCTCGCAGTCCGGCAACACGATCAACATCCGCGTCAAGCCCGTGATGCCCGAGGAGCGCCAACAGCACTCCATCTGCATCAGCTGCATCCTGTGGGAGGACAAGAACCAGTGCTTCGTGACGAGCGTGGACACGATCTACCTGCTCGAGTACATCATGGCGCAGAAGTTCCAGACGGAGGAGAAGAACCGCATCCGTCGCAACCTGGAGCACTTCAAGCCGCTGACGGTCAAGAAGCCGATCCCGGATAAGTATGACGAGACAAACGCGTTCTTCACGGCGATCATGGGGTTCCCGCAGCCGAAACCGAGGAATATCGAGAAGGATATTAAGGTTTTTGCGTGGAAGAGCTTGTCGAACGCGTTGAGGAAGATTACGTCAAAATACGTAAGTTCCATCACTCCACCATAATCACTGATTTCGCTAACACGTCACAGTCCGTCAAATCCGGCTCTTCCCAACCCCAAGCCTCGCTCCCACCCCCAACCCTCCTCACGCCAGCAAGCTCAACTGGCTACGGCGATAACTCCACAACAGCCTACGGCCAACCCACCGACCGCAACGGCATGTTCTCCCCCCGCTCCTCCACGCGCTCTATGTCCGGCGCCTCAACCCACCCACCCCCCTTCGCCGGCATCCCCGCCCGCCTCAACTCCCCGCCTTACAACCACCTCAACCCCATCAAAGGCGACATCAACCACAACAACAGTGCGGCGCCGCCAAACCTCCCCTTATTCGCCGACAACACCACAACCAACCATTCCTCCCACGGCGCGGGTACAGGAGCGCAGTGGTCCGCACCAACACAACACCACATGCCCGCCCCCCTCCAGCAATACACCCCGCGCTCATCGTGGGATCTCACAGCTGCCGCGGCGGGGGGGTACGCGGATCCCGCGGCGCAGGCGCAGGGGAGTGCGGTGGGTGGGGCTGTTACTGCTGCGGGGGGGATGCCGAGTGTCTTGCAACGACCGCCGACGACGCAGATGCCGCTTTCGCCGCTGAGGAGTAGGGGGGGTCTCGAAGAAGTGGGGGCAAAGGAGGAGAGGAGGGGAAGTCTGCAGGCGCTTCGGTCGTAGGTGACTGACGTTCCGGGATTTGGATTTGATCGACCACCACTACGACAGCGTGCGGGACGATGCGGGTTCGATTCGCTATGGTACGACGATGAAGATGTGAGAATTAAAGTCGACAAAACGGTGGTGGTGGGGCGTGTAGTCATGCGGCCCAGTCAGATCCCGTTGCTAGCCCACTAGCGTGGTGTGACCGACCAATCAGAGGGAGTGTGGGTACACCACCCTTCTTGCTGGGGACGGGGGCACGCGCGCGAGCCCTGGATGCACCCTTGGGGATTATATGGGAGGTAGGGTGGTCTGGGGCGGTCGATGAGGGGTAGGAGGCTCGTATCGGGGGTGTGTGCCGGTGGAGATGCAGATGCCGGTTGGGGTATGTGGGTGGGCTTGGCGCTGGGGAGAGGCTTGAGAGGCTTGGGGTGAAGTGTGTGTGTGTGTTTAAATTCCTTATTAGAGGAATGGCGTATGTATGGATGGGCATATCAGTGGGATCGGGGATCGGATGGGATAATAGGGGGGAGACAGGGAAAGGATAGGAAGGAATGGGAAGGCGTTTTGATTTCTCTTTGGCCTTGGCTTTTTGAGCCTGGCGGTGGGTTTTGGAATGGAATGGGATATACCGGTATTCGGATAACTGGGATGGGATGGAGGAGAGTCTGTACTATCATATTACATCACTGTGCATTTTGGCGTTTTTCTTGGGTGTGTTCTTTTTGTTTTCTGTGGGTGGGGGGGATGTGTGTGTTTTTATGAATTGGATCATGGGATGGGTATGGGGATGGGGTGGGCGGTTATATCACGGATTGGACGGGATGGGGTGGGAAAGTGTCTGCGAGTTTATACGGGGTTGTTGTTACTGTACTGTGGATCTGGATGGGATGGACTGGGGGGGGTTTATAAAAAAATAATCGGCGGGGGGATGGGCGGGGGAGAGGGGAGAGACATACAGTATATGCTTACGTTACTTACTTAATACCTTTTGTGTTTGGATTTTGGTCTGCGGTTGTGGCTTGTAGGTGTTTTGTACTAAATAGTTTGTTTAAAATGTTTTTTTTATATAGTCTGCTGGGATGGATGGGATGGGATCTGGGATGTGAAGGGGATGAGGGGGAAGAGAAGGGGGGTTCGGGGAAGGACGGAAGGGATTGGGAGGGATGGAGAAGGGATGGGAAACGGATGGGGGATGTTGTTTTAGATACCCCTCCAACCACCACCTTGCGTGAGGGTGTGTGTGTTTGATTAGAATATTAATTGTCTGTTTAACTATCCTCTACTGCTGTCTGGTATATTATCTATTTAATCTCTGTGGGTTGTGAAGGGGGTGTGAGGGGTTTATTTCTTTTCCACGCTGTCTCCCTGTCTGTAGATGCAGATGTAGGTGTAGATGTGTGTGGATGGAGATGTGCAGATGTGTGTGGATGGGAATGTATGTGTATAATGATTTGGAAGGAGGTGTGTGTGGGGGTATTGTAGATGGGCTTGCATATGCGAGTGACAATGACAGTGACAGTTACAGGGCCGACTAGTGTGCTGTGCTGTAAATGCAGAGGAGGGGCTGAAACGGGGGGGGAAGTGCTGAGTCAAGATGCATATCTGCAGTACATGTCTGCAGTCTCATCAAGGCCAGAAGGGTGGATGTCCAGGGCTGACGACAGAAGAAGTCCCGCAGTGGCAGTGGCGTTGATGGGGCTGAAATTCTCAAGGCGGGAGTGGAGAAGGGAAATCGGAGACTGAGACATGGCGCGGAGGGAGAGGCTGGAAGAATAGTGATCGCCGTGATGGACGGCGGTCAGTCGGCCATAAGGGGGGAGATGGATTGGATACTGGATACTGTAGTTGATTGATTGATAGATGGAAAGGAAGGAAGGCTACATACACCACGCCATACCACACCACACCACTATCCACTCCTCCACCCCTCCACTCCTCCACCTCTTCCACTTCGCTCAACAAACCAACCCTGCACAGTCTAAGGTAGCTGCCTGCCAAACGCAAACGCACACAGACCCCCAGCTTCAGCCCCTCACACTTGCCACCGACGAATGAGTAAAACTGGAAAGACGAACAAACGGATGGACGGCTCCTCTCCCATGCGTCAGCTTGTGACGTTACTGCACTGTACCAAGGTAGCGTTGGGGGCTGAAGACTGATGGTACTGTCGAAGCGGGTGCGTACAGGTAGTGTTGCATGGGTTTATGCGCGGCCGTTTGGTAGTAGTAGCGTGGGTTTGTAGTACTAGTAGCACCCCACAGTGACGATAAGGATGGTGAGAGTAGCAAAGGGGGGGGTGGGGTGGCGGTGTTGAGTAGTTGGGGAAGAGGTAGATGTTGAGTGAAGGAAGGAGGGAAAGGGATGGCGGCGATGAATGAAGCGGTTTATTTCCCAGCGTCTTCTTTGAGAGAGACGATGCGGTTGAGGATTGTGTGCTCGGGCGTGCTGTCGCTGTCCATGGCGAAGTATGCGACCTGTTTGTAGCGGTTAGCGCTGGTGTTTAGAGGGGGATTCAACGAGGGACGATGGGAAATAAGGCTGTTAGGATAGTAGACCGGATATCAGACGAAACTGAGATGGCGGGGGATAGATAGACAACAAACAACAAAGAAAAAAAAAACATACCCTCATCCCCTGAAACCTCACCGTCTCCGGTCCCCCCTCACCCAACTTACTCTCCCCCGTCTCCTTCGCCTCCGGCCACGGCGCCCGCTTCCTCACCTCCTCAAACCCAGGCTCCACAAGCGCATCCGCATAAATCGTCTCGCTCTCCGGGTTAACATCCTTCATGAACCCTCCCTCCACATCATCCGGCTTCTCGCTCTTAAAGAGCTGGTTATACATCCTCACCTCCACCTTGCACGAGTCCTCCGGCACCCACTGGATATAAGTTTTCGGCTTCGCGCCGCTGCGGTCATATTCCGCCGAGACAGAGGCGACTGTCTTTCCGTCCTCTGCGAGCGTGAAGGATGTGCATTTGATAGGGAATGGGAGCTGGAGCAGGCCAACGGACTTTCCAGGCGCGAGACGGAAGTATCCCTTGCTGTCCTCGGTGCGAAAGTCGGAGGCATCGATGAACACTGTCTTGGTGAGGTGGAGGGTGTGTGTGCCCATCGCGGCGTCCTTGGGGGAGAAGGGGATGACGAGGTCGGTGGGCTCGGCGTCGCTGATCTCGACGCGGAGGGGTGTCAGGACGAGCATTAGGCGCGGGACGGAGCGCTCGAGGTAGCGGCGCACGGTCTGGTCGAAACGCGCGAGCTGGATGGTGGTTCCTGCTGTCGTGACGCCGAGTTCGTTGACGAATTCGAGGATGGCTCCGGGGGGGACACCGCGCCTGCGGATGCCGATCAGGGTGTACAACCTCGGGTCGTTCCAGCCGCGGACGACGCCTTCGTTTACGAGGCGCGCAATCTTGCGCTTCGAGAGGACGGTGCCGGAGATGCTGAGACGGCCGTACTCGCGCTGCATGGGCTCGTATACTTCGAGGGACTTGTTGAGCCATTCGTAGGAGACGCGGGATTGGATGAACTCGGTCGTGCAGAGGGAGTGGGAGATGCCCTCGAAGGAATCGCACAGGCCGTGCGTGAAATCGTAGGTGGGATAGATCTTCCATGAATCCCCCGTGCGGTGGTGCTCTGCGTCGAGCACGCGGTAGGCGGCCAGATCCCACATTTGTGGGTTCCCGTCCGTGATGTCCTGCTTCATGCGCAGGAAGGCGGTCTTGGGCGCGTACTTGCCGGCGCGCATCGCGCGGAACTCGGTGAGGTTGGTTTCAATATCACGCTCGGCGTGCTCGCAGCGGTAGCGTGGCCTCTTGCCCTCGTCGCCACGCTGGAGCTTGATCTCTGTGTCGGAGCAGTGGCACACGTAGGCTTTTTCGCGGCGGATAAGCTCTTCGGCGAGTTCGTATAGGCGCTCGAAGTTATCGCTCGAGTGAGTGATCTTTGCGGGTGTGAATCCGAGCCATGAAATTATCTCCTTGATCGCGGTGAAGTAGACCTCCTCCTCGGCCTCGGGGTTCGTATCATCGAAACGCAGGTTGCATTGACCTCCGTGGAAACGCGCAAATCCAAAGTTGATAGCGATAGCTTTTGCGTGTCCAATGTGGAGGTATCCGTTTGGCTCTGGTGGGAAACGGGTGTAGACATCCTTTACTGGGCGTTCCTTGTAGACACGATCGAGGAATCCTTCTTTGAAGATGGCGTTGATGTCGACTGGGACGTCCTCCTTCTTCTCGGCGGCAGGTTTCGGAGCCGCTGCCGCCTTTGTAGGAGCTTCACTCTTGGCCTTAGCCGTCGCTGCTTTCTTTGCCCGCTTTGCTAATCTCTTCTTCAGCTCGCCCTTCGAGACCATGTCCCCCGTCTCCTCATCGAGCTGGAGTTTCGCCGCTCCTTCTGTAATTGCGTCCGCCATGACGTCAATAGCTCGGTATAATCGTTACGAAGTGTGTTGTTGTACCAAAAATGCGTGCTGACAACCCAGAATAGTTCTGCGACACCTGTTGTGAGATTTTTTGTTTGAGCGACGTTGACTTGCTTTATCGGTGGGACCCCTCGTTTGTTGACTCAGAAATGTTCTAACGATTTCATTGCCCCGCGCTTCAGCCTTATCGCTCGATACGCGAACGAGATAAGATTGCCGCGCCCTTACTTGCACGAGCACGGACCTAAATGGACTGTACCTTGGGGATTGTTATTGCCTAATTCGTCAGTTCATTATCGCTATTCTTTGTCGACCATTATTCTCTGTCTTATTCAACTTCGACTCAGAAAACTAATATTCCCCCCTTTGATGTTAACATCGTATCTTTCCAAACGTTTATCCTCACTATCCTCAGCAGCCAAGATGGCCACCCAAGTCTCTGATATTCCAACTGTTGCGCAACTATATCAGCTCAAGAAGCTCTCACCCCCAGCGACCGAGACTGGCACTTCCGTAACGCCATCGGAGGCCCTCAACAATAAGGTTTCCATTTTTCGTGGCAATATCACGAAACTCCAGGTCGATGCTATCGTCAATGCAGCCAACAAGTATCTGGCCGGAGGAGGCGGTGTCGACGGAGCAATTCACGCTGCAGCCGGCCCCGGCCTCTTGCAGGAATGCAGCACTCTAGGCGGATGTAAAACTGGCAGTGCTAAGATTACTGGTGCTTATGAGTTGCCTTGCAAGAAAGTTATTCACGCCGTTGGTCCAGTTTACTCCAGATCAGAGCGTGAAAAGAGTGCTCAGTTGCTAGCTAGCTGCTACACGACTAGCCTCCAGTTAGCAGTTGACAATGACTGCAAGAGTGTTGCATTTAGCGGTATCAGTACTGGTGTTTACGGCTACCCAAGCCAAGATGCTGCGTCTGTTGCAACTAAAGCAGTGAGAGGGTTCCTGGAGGGTGCTTCCGGAGATATGATTGACAGGGTCATTTTCTGCACATTCGAGATGAAGGATGTCAATGCATACAACGATTGGGTTCCGTAAGTCGCTTTATTTAATGTTCAAGTGGGATTTACTGATATAAGACAGCCGTGTTTTTCCACCAGCAGGGCAAGATTTGAAGGGAGGAGACCAGGCCAACGAGAGCAAAGAGACTGAAGACAGCGACAAAGCTGAGAAAGCGAAGGTTGTTGAATCCGGAGGTGCAGCTATCGGTGGTGCTTCTGGAAACGTTGCTGGTTCCCAGACAACCGTCGATGACCTTCCAGAGGTTCCAAAAGCAGAGCCATCGACGGGGGACGGGCCAGAACCAAAGAGGCAGAAGCAGGAACCATCAGACCCATAGGAAATTGCCGCGAAATGGATTCATTCTTGGAAATGACTAAAGCTAGTAGTTTCAGGATCCAATATGATCATTCTGGTGCGTTTGGAAAAGCGTAGGAGGAAGGGGGGGGGGGGGTAGAAAGCCTATTGTGGCCAGGGCAATAGACGTGGACAATAGTTGCAGTTATCAACTAAAACATGCTTCATCGATAAAAGTGTGCCTATCTTCTTCAGTCCCCAAATTGACCCAAATGAATATTATGCTATGATATCCTACAATTCAAGCGACTGCATAGCCAGGCTTACCGTTTTGTTTTCCCGCCTTCGTTGTTTTCACGACCAAACCCGGACGGGCAGCCTGGTAAAAAGCATAGTTTTAGCAACCTGCATACCATTCATCCCGAAACTCCCTGCGGAATAAATTTAATAACCCACATGCATTTTCGTGATTATATCTCATAGTTATCAGCTTGAATCAGATAAATGGCGTGGATGGTAGGGGTCTTATGAGTCCCCAGACTCCCAACTGTGGGGAAATTGCGTGGGGCGGACCGTTGTGCGGGGTATTGGGGTGAGATCCAGCCGAGCCGAGGAGCCAAGGCCCGTCATATCGAAAGCTATTACCGAGGGAGGAGCTTCAAGACCAACCAGTATCGCCAATTCAGTGTCTTGAATTTTGAAATCGCTGTCTGCTTCAACTCTCACAGCTTCATATTCACCGATACAACAAGAATCTCCCTCAATTAACCATGGCAACCTTACAATCCCAACCCCCGACCTCTGAAGCGTACCTTGTGAGCTACCCAGCTCAACATGTTGTCCTCCTCACAATAAACCGCCCAAAGGTCATGAACTGCATACATGCGCAGGGCCACTGGGATATGGATGCGTTCTTCCAATGGTTCGACCATGAGCCCAGTCTTCGCGTCGCAATTATTACCGGGGCGGGCCCGAAGGCCTTCTGCGCTGGTCAGGATCTCATCGAGCAGGGCCGGTTTAAGGTGAACCGACCACCAACGTCGTCCATGAAGCACCCACCGAGTGGGTTTGCGGGCGTGAGCAGGAGAATTGGGAAGAAGCCGATTATTGCTGCCGTTAATGGGTTCGCGCTGGGAGGAGGGTTCGAGATCACGCTTAACTGGTTAGAAACCTCATTCTGTATTTGAGACAAAAGCTAACGAGTGGGCAGTGACCTTGTTGTAGCTTCCCCAACTGCGTCGTTTGGACTACCAGAAGCGTCGGTCGGTCTGTACGCCGCTGCCGGTGGACTGCCCCGTGTCGTCCGCAACTGTGGCCTTCAAATTGCTTCAGAGATTGCAATGACAGGTCGCCGACTTACAGCTGAAGAAGCGCTGAAATACAGCCTTATCAACAGGGTAGCAAAGTCTCCCAGCACTGTCATGGAAGAAAGCTTGGAGCTCGCCGCCAAGATTTCGAACCTCTCACCCGACGCCATCATCGTTACGAGAAGCGGACTGCGTGAGGCATGGGAGACAGGCAGTGTTGAGAGAGCCACACAGATTACGTCAGATAGATATGATTACCAGCTGGGCACTGCCCCGAATATGAAAATTGGGCTGGATGCGTTCGCGCAGAAGAAGAAGCCGGAGTGGGTGCCAAGCAAGCTGTAAAACCGCGATTTTCGAGAGCGTTGTCGTTTAATCGTAGGATTTGTATCAGATAGATAAACTATGGGCTATTTACTTTGTTCAATTTGGTACTAAAATATGTTGATAACATTCCATTGTTCTGGTTGTGTCTCCCTGAGGGTCCATGTGAAACTTCCCCGCGTTCCGAGGTTCACCCAATAAAGTCTATGGCAGCTTGGGTGGACTCAGTTAATCCTAGCAACGCGACCAACTCGGCAAGAGGATCGTTACCCCATAGTTAGATACCCGTCCGGGTAGCCATATATATACCCTCTACCTTGGGAGCTCCTCTCATAATGTCCAAATACAGAATTAAATACCTGTAACCACCGTAACTCTTATTATTATCTTTTAGCGTAAACCAAGATGTCGCTCGTTACGCCCCTCACGAAGCTGCTGAATATTCAGCACCCCATATTCCTGGCCGGTATGGGGAAGACCTCAGGAGCGCCGCTGGCAGCCGCGGTCTCCAATGCTGGTGGACTCGGCGTCATTGGCGGGGTTGGATATTCTCCAAACCAGTTGAGGGAGATGATCGATGAGCTCAAGGCTAGTTTAATTTGAATTGACGGTTCAGTTATCATTCTAATACTCATCTAGAGCCTCTTGGTAGACAAGAACGCCCCATTCGGAGTCGACCTTCTTATACCTCAAGTCGGCGGAAACGCTCGGAAAACCAACGTAAATACGCCTAGGCCGACCTATCAAACTGAACACCTTCTAACATAGTAACCAGGTCGATTACGCAAAGGGCAAGCTGAACGAGCTGATCGACGTCATCATCGAAGGTGGCGCCAAAGTCTTCGTCTGCGCCGTCGGCGTCCCCCCCAAAGCCGTCGTCGAGAAACTCCACAATGCCGGCGTCCTCTACGCCAACATGGTCGGCCACCCGAAACATGCTCACAAGGCCTGCCAGATCGGTGCCGATATCATTGTCGCCCAAGGTGGTGAGGCTGGTGGACACACCGGCGATATCCCATTTAGCGTGCTCATCCCCGCTGTCGCCGACGCAATTAAGTCGTACAGGTCGCCGCTGACAGGCCAGCCTGTCTACCTCGCTGCCGGAGGCGGTGTCTTTGACGGACGCAGTTTGGCCGCGGCGCTAATGCTAGGTGCGAGCGCTGTGTGGGTGGGTACGCGGTTCGTGGCGTCGAAGGAGTCGGGTGCGTCAGAGCACAACAAGAGAACGCTTGTCCAGGCGGGCTTCGACCAGGTTATCAAGACGACGATCTTCACTGGACGCCCGGTGAGGCACTATGCCACGCCATATATTAAGAACTGGGAGGAGAATCGCCAGGGGGAGATTAAAGAGCTCCTTGGAAAGGGGATCGTGCCGCTCCAATGGGAGCTTGAGAAGTATGATAAGGAGGGGAAGTCGACGGAGGAGATCGAGGATCAGACTACCTTTATGTATGTTGTCCCTGTCGCTGCACCATATTGCATAAGAATGCTTGCTGACCGAATATGTTTAGGCCTATGGGATATGTGGGTGGTCTCGTTACACAGTTGAACCAGCCTGCTGGAGACATTGTGCGGGAAATGGTCGATCAAGCATATGAGCTTCTTCGCAGCCCAAGTAAATTTGTAAATGACTCGAAATTGTAAGTAGAACACAGGGGCAATGTGTTAGCTGGCGAGGATATATTAATTATATATTATTAAATTTCTTTGAAATGATGTAAAAATGTGATTTAATTCTCAATCTGTATTTTAGCTATCCGTATGGTCTACTTCTTCTTCAAGTACAGAGTCTGCACGTTACAGTATGCCTTGACTCCACCCAAGCCGTTCTCGTAGCCAATGCCACTTTCCTTGTGTCCACCGAATGGGAAGTTCGGAGTGACATCCATGTGGGAGTTAATCCACACGGAGCCGGCCTCAATTTGCTCTGCAATGCGACGTCCCTCAACTAAATCAGTGGTCCACACAGACCCTCCAAGACCCATCCTGGTGTTGTTCGCGCGAGCAATGACATCGTCCTCATCGGACCACGATAAGATTGGGAGAATTGGGCCTGTACTAGTTAGTACTGTGCTACGTTACTACTCCAAGAGTGTAAAAGAATCCCTTACCAAATGGCTCCTCGACCACAATCCGCGAGTCCTCCTTAGGCCTATCAATGATAGTGGGGTTAATGAAGTAACCAGGGCTCTCATCAATCGTGCCGCCAACAGCCACCTTCCATCCCTCCTTCTCGATGTCGCTGAAAAATCCCTTGACGCGCTCATACTGCATTTCGTTCTGGACTGGCCCAATAGTCACAGTTGGGTCGTTCTCGCCCTCGCCAACGCCCTCGCCAAGCTTGAACGCCTTGACAGCAGCTACCAAGGCATCACGGAACTCCTCGAAAATGCTTTCGTGGACATAGAGTCTCTTGATGGCAAGGCAAACTTGGGACGAATGGCTGAATATAACGCCGGCGAGCGCGGGAGCAATCGTGGCAACGTCGATGTTCTTAGTGATGATGGCTGCGTCGTTTCCACCGAGCTCGAGCGTGACTCTCTTTAGGGTCTTGGAGGCCGACTGCATGACCTTCTTTCCGGTGGCGGTGGAGCCAGTGAAAGAGATTTTATCGACACCTGGGTGCTCGGTCAACAGTTGACCGAGGCTGTCGTCGCCACTAAGAACTTGGACGACTCCAGGAGGGAAGAATTTTTGGGCCATCTCGACAAGCTTGAGGCCAGAGTATGGTGTATATGGAGAGGGCTTGATGATGATGCAGTTGCCAGCAATGACAGCAGCCGCTATCTTGGCCGCTGTACAGTGAAGAGGTAGGTTCCAGGGCACAATTCCAACTACAACACCGAGGGGCAAATAGCGGACGATGACTTCACGTTCTGGGGTGTCCTCAACAACTTCGTCAATGGGATGAAGCTTCGCAGTCTCAGACAACCATCCAGCGCCCATGTGGATAAGGATTTCGGCAATTGAAACCGGTGCTCCCAGCTCGTAACCGTTGAGCTTGACAAATTCCTGTTGGTATTCGTAAATAGTTGCTGCCAGGCCGTTCAGCGCTTTAGCGCGTTCCTCGAAGCTGGTCTTCTTCCATTTAGGGAAGGCAGCACGCGCAGCTGCAACTGCGTCGTCAACATCCTTGGATGTAGAGAGAGGAACTTCAGCCAGGGGCTTCTTGGTGTGGGGGCTGATGGCATGGCGGGTGGTTTCGGTGGTCTTCAACTCTCCGTTTATGACATTTTGGAATGTAGTGAAGTTGAACTCCTTCTTGGAGCTATCGTTAGTTACTGCAGCCATTTTGTTAAGTATAGTATAGTAAGAGAAATACGAATTTTAGAAGGGGTCGGGGACAGTCTGGACTATATAACCCCTTATTGTTTTGTGGTTGGTGATATGCCCCGCTACGGATCGATGGAAGTCTTTGAAGGCGGGGAAGGCTTATCTGACCTAAGCCTCACAAAAGGCTCGAATAACTCCAATCACTACTTAACTTGACCTTCCTAATCGACCCCCTTTTACCATTTCAAGCAAAGAAGGCTGAACTTGTGCTTACAACCTCGGTGCTGACGTCGGCAAAGGCGTGTAATGATGGTGGGGTAGTTGGCGGGGTAGACCCGTGGTTGGCCGAATTCTGTCTACTGACGAGCCACCACTGACCTGCTCCCGCCAACAAGGCTGTAAACTTGCCTCAGAAACAGCATCAAGGCGCATGGGGGGGTAGAATGATTAGTTGGAGTATTATATAATCGATCCATTGCGGTATTTTTCAGAGGCCGTGGTGACAAAGCGATCGTTTTTCGTGGTCCTTGAAGTAAATGTCCAATACAAGGTTGGGATAAACAACAAGATATGAGATAAGATCGTCGACTTTGAAGTCGGTAGGGGCTGTGGGACAACTCGTAGAACTCGATGACTGTTTTATGAGTCTATAGAAAGTGCGAACGAAAAATTAACCAATGGTTGCTAGCGGCTGTAAGTATGATAGTACGGGGACATTCTGATAAACCACATAGTCGGGAATTGAACAAGAAGAGTGAATCCATTGTGTAGAACTGCATGACAGCCTCACCACAGACTTTTGTGGAGTCGTCCGTATCATTCTATGAAGTCGTCGGAATCACTGTTGCGAGTATCAGTTTCTAGAGTCTTTAGAGAATAGTAACTGCGTCTGAAAAAAGGAATCCCCGCCTACTATGACCTATGATTATCATATTGGATTTTTTTTTGTAAGCATGTTATATAGAAAGACAAGAGTAGAGTAATTGCTGGCAGTGTTTGGCGAGGGAGGATATATATCACGTGTCATTACCCCAGAAAAGCTAAATCGGGCGATTTTTGCTAGTCCGCATTTGACAATCATGTGATTATAACCGTCGCGCTAAGGTTCCGCGACTTGATATTTTGGTGATAAGGCTGGATGAGGTCAACCACTCGACCCCTTCCACAACTCCATCCGCCTATAATTCGACCGCCACCGCCACGATGCCTGTCGTCAAGGGAGGAGTCTGGACGAACATAGAAGATGAGATCTTGAAAGCGTCGGTCGTAAGAAGCCTTCAGAATACCCTCCTTGGAGTGCCTCAGCTAATCATTCATAAATAGTCGAAGTACGGATTGCAGCAATGGGCGCGAGTCTCGTCGCTGCTGGCCAGGAAGACACCGAAGCAATGTAAAGCGCGATGGAGCGAATGGCTGGATCCCGGCATCCGGAAAGTCGAATGGAGCAAGGAGGAAGACGAGAAGCTCTTACATCTAGCGAAGCTTATGCCGACACAATGGCGCACGCTCGCCCCTCTCGTCGGCAGAACCGCGAACCAATGTTTGGAACGATACCAGAAACTACTCGACGAAGCAGAACAGAGAGAGGCTGGAGATTTGGGACTCACTGGGGTTGGTGGTGAAGCGCAAGCGCCATCAGCAGACGATGTACGAAAGTTACGACCGGGCGAGGTGGACCCCGACCCAGAATCGAAACCTGCCAGGCCTGACACGATAGATCTCGATGAGGACGAAAAGGAGATGCTGAGCGAGGCGCGTGCTCGTTTGGCGAATACACAGGGAAAGAAGGCCAAGAGGAAGGCTCGAGAGCGCCAACTAGAGGAGTCTCGGAGACTAGCTGTGCTTCAAAAGCGTCGCGAACTCAAGAATGCCGGAATCAACGTCAAGGTTGTTAGCCGAAAGAAGGGGCAGATGGACTACAACGCCGACATCCCATTCGAAAAGAAGGCTGCCCCTGGATTCTACGACACCGGAGAAGAGGCAGCCATCAACGAAAAGCAAAGGGAATCATTCGATCCTCGAAAACAACAACTTGCGAACAAGCGAAAAGGGGACGCGGATGAGGACCCGGATCGTAAGCGAAAGAAGACCGAAAAAGATGCGCCATCCGCATCATACCAAGCCGCCATTAAGGCTGGACAGATGCAGAAAATACGAGAGGCCGAGCAGAGCAGCAAGAGACGTGCTCTCGTTCTACCCTCGCCACAGGTTGGGGAGGGTGAGCTGGAGGAGATTGTGAAGATGGGCATGATTGGAGAACGGGCAAACCAGATGGCGCGTGCCAGCGAGAACGACGCAACGAGAGGTCTTGTGGGATCATACAGTACGATTAACACAGGGGCGCCGATTCGGACACCTCGAGCCCCACCCCAGGAAGATCGTATCGCGAACGAGATCAAGAATATTCGAGCCTTGACCGAAACTAAATCGTCGCTGCTCGGTGGCGAGAATACGCCATTATACGAAGGCGCTGGCAGCACTGGCTTTGAAAGCGTGGCTCCCCGCAAAAGTCAAATAGAAACGCCTAATCCTATGGCCACACCATTTCGCGGGGGCGCTGGTATTGGGGAAACCCCCATGCGCACGCCAGGTGTTGGGCAAACGCCGATGCGAGACAACTTCGCCATCAACACCGAGGGCGACATGGACCTCGTCAGCGCCACGCCGCGGGATATGAAACTCCGGGAGATGGCACTGAAGCATCAACTTAAGCAAGGCCTAGCCTCTCTACCAAAGCCGAAAGACACGGAGTGGGAGCTCGAGCTCCCCGAGGAGCAACAAGAGGCCGCTCGCGTGGAGGTATCAGAGGAAGATGCGGAAATTAGAGACAGGAGGAACAAGCAGATTAGAGAAGCACAGGAGCTCCTCGAGCGTAAGCGCCAGACGCAAGTTCTCCAGAGAGGCCTCCCGCGTCCTGCCCTGGTAGACCTAGATGCGATTCTGAAGGAAGTGTCGGCGATTTCCGACCCCATCCAAGCAAGCATTGCAAAGGAGATGTCACTCCTCATCGGAAATGATGCCGCGAAGCACCCCGCTCCGGGCTTGAGACTCAAGGGCCAACCGAAGAAGCTTGATTTGTTCGAGGACGATGCACTCGCACAGGCAAGGCTTGCCATTGCTGTTGAGTCTTCTCGCGACGGCTCCGTCGTGGGCGCCGAGATATTCGACAAGACGTGGAATGAGCTACACCGCTCAGTACTGGCGCCTGCACTTGTCGATTACGAAGATGAGGAGCCCACTGAGCGGGAGCTGCTGATGCAAGCATTCGACGTAAGTATCCTGACACTCTCCCTCCATTCGTCGAAACTAACATGCGTCCCAGGCCGTCCAGAGCGAAATCACCACCACTGCTGAGCGTGGTAACAAGCTCGAGAAGAAGCTTGCGCTGCACTTGGGAGGATACCAGAAGCGACAGAAGATGTTGCGGCAAAAGATATCTGAGGCGACAGAGGCACTATGCACCGCGACGAACTCGTTAGATGCATTCCGCACCTTGCAAATTGGAGAGGAAGCCGCGATTTCGTCGCGTCTGGAGGGGCTGCGGGCCGAGGTTGGGTTTATTACCACGAGGGAGAGGGAAGCACAGGAACTGTATCGGGAGAGGAAAGAGGAACTGGACCGGATTGTAGCGGCCAGTGGAGGGACGAATGGGTATCATTAGGTGTAAGGGATATTTGTACTGTACTATAGGTAGCGACGGCTGGGACGGACAGAATCTCGGGAAAATCATAATTGTAGACTCATCTAGCTGTCTTTGTACTTTGGATCGCATATTTATATCGTGCCTCATGGTTTTATTTGAGGAAGGTATGGCTGGCGACCCTCGCACCATCCTGCTATTTGTCTCTTCGTATGTTTTGGCAGGAAGGTGCGAGGGACGGCGGTTGGTCGTACCTTCCTCAGCCTCGCGTCCTTGTCAGGAACCAACGCGACCCACGACCTCGTGCCAGCCACCACACGGCTACAGCCTTGTGACGTCCAAGGTTACATTTCCGAGATCCGTAGGACGAACAACATCAGTACAACCCTCATGGTCCATCTCCAACATCATAATAACCCATCCTCGCGATGTCTAACCCATCAATAATGCCACCCGGCTTCTCAGAGAAGAAGGAGCACGCCAGCGAAAGCACCAGCGCTCCACTTGCCGATTCTAAACGAGACCAGCCTTTCAATTCCCCGCATCAAACAGACTCTAATTCTGCGCCGTCTTCGACGCAAACTTCCTCTTCACGGCTTCAAACAGCGAATAATATGGGTGTCCAGTCGCAGATACAGGCCCGTGGCGCGGGTTCCGCCAGGAACAGGCCGTTCGCGGTTGCCCTCACGGTTGCTGTGGTTTTGTATTTCGCGTTTACGATGACTACGAGGGTATTTGACTTCAGAGGTTTCACGTCTACGGCATGCCATCACCAAACGAGCAGTGATGCAGCCCCAGCTGTGGTCGAGAAGGTGGGGAAGTTAGTCCCACTCGAAGCGCACGTTATGAGCAAATGTCCAGACACAAGGGTATGTATTCCTATAAGTACCTCCAAGCGCGCAAGCTAACACATCTACCAGGCCTGCCTCCGCGAACTCGTCCTCCCTGCTATGGAGCGCGTCAGCTCCAAGGTCGACTTCACACTTACCTTCCTCGGGCGCCCGACCGAGAACGACGGCGTGGACTGCATGCACGGCCCGCCGGAGTGCATGGGCAACATCCTCGAGCTGTGCGCCGCCCACCTCTACCCCGAGCCGCGCATCTATCTCGGCTTCGTCATGTGCCTATCCAACGACTACAGGGAGATCCCCGATGAGGCCCTAGTTAAGGGCTGCGCGCTGGAGCACGCCGTCGACATCCAGAAGCTGAATGAGTGCGCGGGAAGCGCCGATGGAATGGGTATGGGGTTGCTGAGGGACAGCGTGCAGAGGAGTATCAATGTGGGCGTCAGGGCGAGCTGCACGGTGAGATTGAACAACGAGGTGTACTGCGTGCACGACGGAGATTGGAAGAACTGCCCCAATGGTCCGGGGGTGAATGATCTGGTTATTGAGATAGAGAAACTGTACCGCGATTCTTGAGCGGCTCGAAGACGTCGATCCATAGCTCGCTAGACTCCCCAAGACCATATGTTAGGCTCACGCTGTCCAACCCAGCTTCCTCGCCGCCCGGCATTGTCTCTAGCTGTGAGATGAGGCTCTCGAATCCGATGGCCTTGCCCACTGCTTGCGTGGCGCCGGCTTCGAGAGCGACGTGTACGACGTGGATGTGGAAGTGATAGTACGTAGGCTGATAATGCACATACAACTTCAACTGATCCTCTTCGAGTTTGGTATATGTCCCCACAGTGGCTTGTAAAATCTTGCGCCTCATGTCCTTCAGCCACAGAACATGCTTTTTCCGCAGGTCACGCAGACTCCAGATATCCCTACGCTCCACCAGCGCGAGCAAGTGCAGGCTCTCCATCGTCTTGCGGTCCCAGTTCAGGTCCGGTAGCAGCAGGAAGCCGCGCTCTGTATCTACCCCACGCACTGTGCGGAAGATCACATCCTCCACCTCCGTCTTGCCCTCAATGATATTATACACCCAGGTCAACCTTGCCCCCTCCCGTTGTCGCTGCATGTACGGCCTCACGGAATTTTTGTATGTCTCCGCCGTCTCAGTCACCATCCGCGTCCCCTGCCTGCTGTACTTCTTAATATGTTTCTCCGTACACGGATATATTAGGTTGATCTTCAGATCATCGTGTATCTCAGCCGCACCACCATCCGCTACATCCCCGCTACACGCCATAAACCAGAAGTAGACATCATTTGCACCGAGGTTTCGGCACGAGCGCAGCGCGCGCGGGAGTTCGGCGAGGTGTTCGGCGGAGGCGGAGAATGGAGCACGCTCGAGGAGGAGGAGGGCTGGAGTCGTGGAGATGGCGCCGAGGAGGACAATGCGACGTCCGGCTTGGTCTGGTGGTGGGGGGTGGTTAGCGGGGTCAAGGCGGGCGGGGGGGAAACGACGGACCTTGGTTTAGGACGCGTTCGAGTTTGAATTGGGGGATTAGAGATTCGGCCGCTGCGGTTGTTGTTATACCTGCACTGGTCTCCATGGCGCCTTCGATTGAGGGGTTGTACTGTGGAGGGGTGCTTGGTGGGAGGTGGGAGGTTGGAGGTTGTGGGGTGTCTTTTTTGGTTGAGCAAGAAAGTTGCGGTGAATGCAAGGTACGCGACAGGGGTATCCGCGCGACCCAAGATCCGAGGATGAGATCACACGGGTAGCAATCGGAACGAAAATTGAATCTGAACTACTTTTCCATTTGTGATTTATTATTGAAAATAATAATTATCTAAGTGCAGTATATTTCTTCTTGTCGATATTCCCCGAGCTATCAAACCCTGTTTATTGGCCAACCAAGCATGCAACATATGGTTAGTTGCAAACTGATTGGTTGCTTGTCTGTCAGTATGGCACTCGTTACACTTCTGCCCGTTTCCGCAACAGCGACGAAAATAGAGGGTTTCAAATCATACAATCAATTCAAGCGTTTAAAAAATCGAGAAGAACTGCCACAAGTGGATATATATTTTTGCCCCGTGACAGTGTTCACCGAGAATCGCGACGCACGCCAAATGGAGCATGCTATTTATCGAACGGCCTGATCCAGTTGAACATCACTCCGTTCGCTGGGAAAAGGCACACTATATAGATGCCGCAGTATTTGGAGCACCGCATCATCATTATTCACATATTTCATAGTAAATATCACAGGTTAATTCGGTTTCAATTCTCAAATCTGAAGGCTTTATCTGTCCATTTCCGCGAGACTTTCACGCCTTGAATACCAATTCCGTACGAGTCCTTGCGAAGTGCTTTGACTGTAATAATTAGCCAGATGCATCAAAGCACGGATATTCGAACCTAACCGTATAACAAGAGACTGGCTAGCCATATTATGGGGTGACTCTATTTGTTATCCTTGGCCTAGGTGAAGTTAGTATCAGAGGATAAAAAATATAACTCAAACTTGCCATTGCAACAGCATTGTTTCCAACCTCTGTGAGCTGGGCGCAAAGAAACTGATGGAACTTCACAGTCTCAGGGTTATTTTTGTTCGCATTGAGGTCTTCGACTGCCCATGTAATGAACTCTTCAAAGAGGCGGTTGAAATCCTGAACATTGCGCTTGGAATCTTCCTCGGACATAGTCGGTGACCATTTTATCGCGTGTATCTTGTCAAGTATGTCTCCTGGCTTCGCCGGCCACATTCCCTTGTCCTTTAGCTCCTGGCGGGCTTTTCCAATGCCCTTCTCTTCTATCTCTTGGAGGCATTTGCGGTATTTTTCAGGAGAATACGCATCAGTGCTACTTTCGCCGATCTTGGGCTCCTTCTGAGACCGTTAGTCATAGTGAAAATTGGACCTGACAGTTGCATGTTACAGGGAAACCAACCTCATCTGTGTTGTTTCCCATCTTCTATAACATATTAGCTAGATTTAAGACTTATAGTGGAACTGTAAATCTTACTGTGATGCAGTTGCGTAGATGAGATTGGGTTGTTTGGTGTGAGTTGTGGGTTGTATATTGGTGAATGTTGCAGATAATAACAATCGACTACACGTTAGAACTATGGGCACTCATCTTTTTGGCAAAGCTAATAAACAAGGCAAACAAATACAGCCCTCTTAATTCAGCCTTGTTAACTAAAGTTATCTAATACTGCATCATGTCATGACCCTCTATAATAAATCCAAACGGCAGATAAACCTCTAAACAAGTCTATAAACGAGATGAAACTGTCATAAATAAAAAATCCAACAGATAAGAGACAAACATCAAAGCCATAACAATTTCAAGCCTTCCACAAAGCTTCCAAATCCGTCTCAATACCCATCAACTCAGCCAGTCGCCCATCTTTGTTCTCACCCATCATTGTCAAAACCGCGCTGAACAGTTCAGCGAATTTGTCAGCCTGGCTATCGTTCAAAGCCTTACTATCCCATTGCAGCTTAAACCGGTGGCCCTTTGCAGTCTTTTGGACCTCCACCATCAAGGCATAGTTGATAGTCATGAAGACCTTGCTCTGCGCCATGACGATCCACCTCATAGGATCAGGCTTGGCCGTCGCAGGAGCAGGCTCAAATGGCTGAAAGCAATAGAGCAGTTTTGCGGAATGCACCTGCCTGTCTCTATTCAACGTCTTGTACATGTCATTAAGACCAACTGCACCATGCTCAGTCGTGTCCCAGAACTGTGCTTGCGTGTCTTTGAGGAACTTGGCGATCGACTCCTTGCTGGACAGCTTCGATCGGAAAGGTAGAAAGTTTGCACACGCCCCGTTCAAGGTTTGCGGGTTCTCGACATCTGCGTTGCGGCCAGTGAGGAGGTTGTCGACCAGTACATCGTTGGCCCCAGTCAGCTTGCCAGCAACGATTGAATAGGCGGCTTGGAAGACGGTTGAGGCTGTGACGCCAAAAGCGGATGCAGTGCTATCCACGTCTGCATTTACCACAGCAAACTTCAGTCGATCTGAAATAGGCTGTAATGGTAGGTTGTGTCTGGGAGTGTATGAGTGGAGCGAACGCTTCCAGTATCGCAGTGCTTCGCTTCGATCGACACCATGTGCCCAGTCAATGAATTTTTTGAATGAATTGACAGGAGGGATATTTGTATCACCGCGAGCGATGGCCCTGAATTGGTCGTCGAAGATCCGGAGAAGGGTTCCATCATACGATCCATGATCTACCTTGATGCACAGTGTCCTCGCGCCGTCTGTCAGGGATTGGAGGAGCCTATACTTGATATTGGGCCTGCCAAAGGTAAAGAGCCCGTCCCGCAAGCTCTCCATGTGGCCCAGCTTCTCTGCGTCAGTGGCGTAGAAGATGTGCTCAAAGTCCATTACCGGCTCTCTGAGGATGATCTATAATACTGTTAGACGATGCTGTCAATTTTTCGTAGTTATCATGGACTTACCTGATACCAAGATGATTCGTCAATTTGATCGACTTGGAAGTACATTGTTCTCAAGATTTGATTTCTGGCCGTCAGCTCCCTCGTGGTATCTTTCCAGAGCTGGAGATCGAAGTGTGGGGGAAGTTCTCGACAAGCAGTGAGATTCCAGAACTGTTGCTTCTTGTGCCCTTGAGTCAAGAACTCAATCTGGCCAGCACCACAAGGATAAAAATCCTCAATATATTGATGAAAATCAATGCCAGCATTTCCCATGGCCGACAACAATGATTGCGGAGTCTCATACTTGACTTCTGCGACGACCTTCTTCTTTTGTGCTGCTTTGAGATTTTTCGCCTGCTCTCCGAGAGTTGGGTTGGAGAGAATATGGGATACGGAGATGTTATAGGAAAGCTTTCGACAGGCAGCAACAACATTGATGGCGGATATTGAGTCTCCTCCAAGACTGAGAAAGATGGAACTCGCACCGATCGATTCCTCAGGCTCGTCGAGAACCGACGCCCACGCCTGTCGCATCACCAGCTCTTCTTCAGTTGAGGCAGCCACGAATTCGTCCGAACCATTATCGCGAGGCAGATATGTTGTAATCTCGGAATTCGTCATCTGCTCTGCAACTGCTATGAGGGCCTTCCTGTTTGACTTTCCAGACGGGAGAGTTGGGAAGCTTCTGAAAGGCAGGAAGAGACTTGGCACCATATAATGCGAGAGTGTAGTGAGCCGGGATGAAAGGCTTAAAATCCTGTCCAAGTAGTCGTCCGCTGGCAGCATTGCCGTGTTATTCGGAAGATGGTCGCCTTTGAAGATGCAGAATGCAACAAGCTGGCGCTTTCCGTGTAATTCAGCAACGGATACGATAGCAGCGTCGACTTCCTCAGTTACGAGGATTGCGTTTTCAATCTCACCAAGCTCGATGCGGAAACCGTTAAGCTTGATCTGATAATCCTTTCGGCCGAGACATCTGTGACACAGTTGGTGATAGCTCCTTGATGTGATGGGCATACGTACTCAAGGCTCCCATCATCTGCCCATCGTGCCAGGTCTCCGGTTCTATAGAGAGGCTCTCCATCAGTGTCGCGGACAAAGGCTGCAGCCGTTTGTTCAGGGCGATTGAGGTATCCCTTTGCAAGTTGCGGCCCGCGGACACAGAGTTCTCCTACAGTACCACGTGGTACGGGCTCCAAGTTGCCAGCTTCAGGCGAGACGACGGTTGTGGTAACATGCTTTAATGGGTATCCGATACTGTTAAGACTGCCGTCTGGCTTTACATGCGAAACAGTCATGAGAATCGTGGCTTCAGTGGGACCATAACTAGAATCTGGTTAGCCCTGTTTGGGTACCTCGATCTGCGGGAGACACTTACCCGTTATAAACATCTACACTCTGTGCCCAGTTCAGGATGTTCACATCAATTTTCTCGCCGCACACATTCAACACCTTCAGACCGGGCACTTCTGCTGGGCCACCAGAAATGAGCTTGGTAATCGTCGGTGTGAGCATCACCTGCTCGATCTCCAATTTGTTGATATAGCTGGCGAGGTTTGATAGTAGCTCATCCTGTGGTGCGAGGCATAAAGTCGCCCCAGCCGAGAAGATGGTGAAAACATCATAATAGGAAGCATCGAAAACATAGTTGAGGACCCACAGAGCATTCCAATCGGAAGTCACGGCTGTGGCTTCAATCATACCCTCTGTCGAAGCTGTCACAGCTGAATGTTGTACAACGACACCTTTTGGCAATCCTGTCGAACCAGAAGTGTAGATTGCGTAGATCACGCTTTCTGGAGTGAGCTCTGGAATCACAGGGTTCTGTGAAGAGTCAGAAGGAAGCTCCATGTCCTCGGTGATAATCATTTCAACACCAAAAGATGCACAAGCGCTTCTGGTGTGTTCATCTGTGACAATTCGCTTCGCCTCGACATCTTTAACGATGAATGCGTTTCTATCATGCGGATTGAGTGGATCGAGAGGCGTAAAGGAAGCGCCGGCTTTAATGATGCCGAGGATAGAGATCAAGGTTTCCGTCGATTTTTCCATGTAGAGAGGGATCATCTCGCCATGCTGGACACCTTCTGAAATGAGCCAGGCAGCAAAGCTATTGGCCTTTCCATTGAGCTCTGCATAAGACAACATTTCCCCTGAGGCCGTGCGAATAGCAGTCTTTGACGGAGTAGATGCTGCAAAAGACTCAAAAGCAGCATGTGCAAGTCCAAATTCTGGATATGACGTTGCAAGCCTTGGAATTTCTTCGGCCGAGTCTTCATAAACTGAGGAAACCTCATTAGACATCTGAGCTGCGACCCCCTCGGGATTTCCGATCATGCCGCCCACGATTTGAACAAATCTGCCTAGTAAAGTCTCGGCGGAAAGCAAATCTCCAGCGAAAGGCACTAGCATCTTGACTGATGTTGGGTCTGTTTCGCTGATCTCAATGGTGATGTATCTAATTGCGATGTTAGTTTGAACAATGATTGAAGTACTACAAAACGACAGGGGTCACTCACTGCGTGAAGTTGTCTCCGTGGGTAATAATCGGCACCAATGGGCCAGCGACGAGAGAGTCATCTTGCTTCACAAGTATATTAACCATGGTGTTAAAGGCACTTGGTTTCATGGATCCCTCGGTCAGGGCATTTCGCATCCCAGAGTGGGCGAATCTGGATAGAACCCAAAGATTGCTTTGCACTGCCTTTGCGAAGTCAACGGCATGTAGCCCTTCATCTACTTGAACCCGCATGGGCACAGTATTGAGAGTCGGGCCATCTAGTGACAAGATTCCGTCTAGGTCGGCATCTCGTCCTGAAAATGCTGCGACGAAAGTTACGTCTCGAGTATTGAGCATCGAAGCAAGAGTTAAAGCCCAGGCGGCATGGACGAAGGCACCCATGGTTACACCATAATTGTGGCTATATTCTGTCAAGCCATGGTCAATTGTGGATTTTAAGACGAAAGGCTCAATAGCCTGTGCACTAATCCCGAGATCAACGACGGTTGGCGTAGCCGACTGAAGATAGCCTCTCCAGAACTCCTTAGCCTTCTCATCGTGTGTGTGTTGCTGAAAGGCGACGTATGAACTAAAAGGCAGGCGAGGAATCGTCGATTTCCCTTGCAAGACTGCAATAGTATCCTGGATAACGAATTGGCTAGACCAGAAGTCGAACAGGCTGTGGTGCATCTCGAGGAGAAGAATATCTTCGTCGATAACAGTAACCCTGATGAGAGGCTCATCGAGAGGCATTTCCTCTTTGCTTGATTCCTTCACGACACTGTCTAATGAAGCCCCTTTAATGACTGTCCAAGGGATTTCCGCGGTTTTCTTAACTGCCTGAACGAAACTCCGTTTGTGTGGGTAAAAGACCGTTCGTAGCATATTGCTGCGAGCTAAGACTTGATTCATTGCCGCCTGTACCTGAGAAGAGCTGACTCCCTGTAGCTGATACGTGCGCTGATAGACATAGTTGACAGTACCCAAGATGGAGTCTGCCAGGATGCCTTCCTGAAGCGGCGTGACGGGATAGGCGTCTTCAAGCCCGGCTAGATTAATCTTTGCTCCCTGTGGGAGTAAAGAGAAAGGCGCTGGAGGGGTTGCAATTTCCAAATTTGGCTCAGTTTGGCAATCAAGCATCTGCCTTATCGACTCAGACTGCAAGATATCCGAAACGGAAATGTGAATATCAATTTTTCTCAGGTTGGATGCTACAACAATGGCGTCCAGGGACGAGCCACCAAGCTCCTGGAATGAAACACTGAAATCAACCGTGTCTGGCGATATAGAGAGAGCAGAAGCAATTGTCTCAGCAATCTTAGCATCGGAACTAATTTCAAGTTTATCAGTGGCTTCTGCGAGTCGGAGTGATGCATGTGACGATTGTGGTGTAAGGATTGATGGTGTGATAGACAATTTGATCAGCTTGTTTGCATCCATCGCTTCAACCGCCTTTTGGAGGCTGGATATGTCAACTTTTCCGCTCGCTGTGAGAGGCAATTCTTCGCGCTGGACCCAGTATCGAGGGATGGCGTAATGAGGGAGCAGAGCTCCCAGCTCTAGGCGTATCTCTCTGATGAGAGACGACCACTCCTTCCCCTTCTCGGGCACAATAACACCAACCAGAGAATTCCTATTGAGAACAACGGCAGACACCACAATGGATTGGACGACGCCAGGTTGGACCTGGATTATGAAGTTTGACTCGCTTGGCTCTACTCGTTGGCCGTCAATCTTTGTCTGCTGGTCGATTCTTCCAATAAGCTCGATTGTTCCGTCGTCATTCTCGATGACCATGTCACCTGTCCGATAGAGGCGTCCAGCTCCGTAGGGATTGTTGATGAAGACTTCCCGAGTTTTCTCTGGAAGGTTAAGATACCCCTTGCCAAGTTGGTCTCCACCAAGGCATAGCTCGCCAGAGGTCATTGGTGGCACGCGATTGAGGGTATTCGGAGCAAGTACGATATATGTTGTGCCTGTGTCACGGTTAGTTGCTTCATATCAAAATACTACTCCGCATGCAAGGGGCATCAGCCCCGAATGTTACGTACTATCTGAAGGCATTCCAATAGTTCGTGCCGAATGACCGGGCTTCAGGAGATGTCTCATATTTAACTACTATTCGTTAGTGTCCTGTCGTTTCTGCTCTGGGATTGGGGCGGCATACCTGAGTGCATTCGCTAAGACCATATGCACCGATCAGCTCGACCTTTCCTGCCCAAGTCTCAACAAGTTCCGGGCCGACGGCTTCGCCACCAAGTGTGATCCTTTTGATAGCCGAAGGTACATTTAATGGATCGATAAGCTTGAGCATGCTTGGTGTAATCTCAAGTGACGAGATGCCCATTTCCTCAATGGTGTCGCTTAGACACAGGGTGATATTCTCTTTGCTAGCAAGGCATAATGTGCCACCACGGCATAGAGCCCCGAGGATGGTGCGTTGTGCGGCGCTGAAGATGGGAGAATGGCAGAGCAGCTGTCTGAAGGGTTGTGATACATCCAAATCGGGAAGTGCAGATATCCCAGTATGGGCAGCAGAGTGAGGAAGAATAACACCTTTAGGGTGCCCAGTTGTGCCGGATGTGTAGATGACATAGGCGGTGTCTGATGGGTCTTGATAATTGTTGACATTGGTGAGATATTTTGGACTCATTGCCTGTGACACGGTGACAAGATCCTCGATAGATGCTTCTTGAGCAGGCGTGAAGCTTCCCTCAGTTGTGGAATCGGTGATGACGAATAATGCTTTGGTGTCGTTGACGATAAACCGATTCCGCTCCGCAGGGGAGTCAGTTGAGAGGAGCACATAGGCTGCTCCGGCCTTCAAAACTGCCAGTAAGGCAACAATCAGGTTTATAGACCTAGAGACGGCAATGGGCACAATGGTATTTCTGGCCCAAGACAGCTGGCGTGCCACACCATTGGCAGTTTCGTTGAGCTGCTGGTAGGTCAGCTCATCTTGGTTCTCGAACTGGACGGCGATTGCATTGGGAGTCTTCTTGGCCTGTCTCTCAAACAACGAGTGGACAAGGCCATCTGACCCAGCCGTCAAGGCTTCGATATTGGATGCGGAAGAATTGAGGGCTTTGAAGATGCCCTCAAAGCCTGAGACTTGGTCAAGCTCCAACTCAAGGAAGAGCTTGTGGCCCCTGAGGAATACCGTGGCAGGGGATCGCTGCACAACTTGAATAGCCATCTCGATTACTGGTTAAAGTAAAGGTAAAGAGAAGAAGTCAAAGGCAAAGAGGAGAGACGAAATGAGAAAAAAGTTGTGCTTGCTCGTGATTGATATTCTAGAACGGCGAAAGAGAGAGGAAATATCAACATTATATATTCCACGGTCTAGACAGTCTCTTCCTGATAATCCACTCCGAAACGAACACCCCTACCTTTATCACCGACTGCTGCAATACTACAGCCCCATCTACAATACGCCTTGCAGTATTTGGCCCATGACTAGCAACATCCAGCCCAAAGGCGGTTCTAATGTGCTTGGGATGAGCTGCTAGGAGAATCTAAGAATACGACAAATCAGGCATTAGCCTCTTTCCAGGCGCGCGAAAGGGTACATGGAGATAGCCATGGTAACTGGCCCCGCGGCTATTTCCCCTTCTGAGTAGATGCTCCGCGTAAATCCGAGTCAGCCAGTGTAAGTATGAGGTGCGAGGGTATTACGAGACGCTGTAATCGATGGTGGCTGACCAGGCAGATTCAGCCCCTTGGGCTAAAAACGTGGTATGACTGCTTCAAGGTACCAAGATTGTGGTCTTAGAAATCATAGCCATTACGAGGCTTATAGCCCCTTGCTGTTTCAGGATCCAGTCAGAGCTGAGGGTTACGAATTCAAACGGCAAAGAGGCAAGCAGATAGGATGAGACGCTGAGCCTTCACAAGGGGTGCCGTGATCCTGTAGAAGATTAGGCTAGAGCGCCAAGCTAGAGTGTAATACACGCAAGAAACATAATATGGGGGCTAAAATTCATGGCAATTAAGAGTTAGGCGCGGAATATACCAAGCTTCTCACCCCATCTTGTCCCGACCCAAAACCCGTATATATTCTGTTTGTGATGGCAGAGCGCCACACGGCGCTATAATCACACCGTAGCTGACATGAGAAGAGGTTACAGCAGTAATAAAAATTGAAACGCAAAGAGGAAAGAACAAAGAACAACATTTAAGTCATTTGGCGGCATTTTCTTAATCAATGTAGTAGACGTGCACAGAAACCGTTTGTATTCCGTAAGCATATGTCCATAAAGTTGCTTTGTAATTTGTAATGTGATGGATTTTGCCGAGACCACAAACAAACAACCACGACTTCACTGTGCTGCCCACCACTAACCATACTTCAAATATTCTCGCCTTTGTTCCTCTTTCACTTTATCCCATCCTTTTTTACTGAATAATCTAAGATCTTACATTCAAATCACACGTTTTCCAGAAATCAATCAATCTCACATTTATTCACATTCACCATGGCCCAAGTTCTCACCATTGCAAGCGGCACCCAGGTGCCAGCCGTGAACTTCCACGCCCAAAAATATTCCGTTGATAAGCTCGAGGCAAACGAGGTCCTCATCAAGATGCTCGCAGCCCCAATCAACCCCCTCGACATCCTGGTGCTCGCAGGCGTCTACCCTGTTAAGCCATCCCACACACACCTTGACGAGCCCATCCTAGGCTACGACGGCGTGGGCGAGGTTCTCAAGATCGGAAGAAGCGTGACCACCCTCTCGCCCGGTGACCTCGTTGTGCCGAGCAAGTTCGGGACAGGCACTTGGCGCACCCATGCTGTGCTCGACGCTGCGTCACTCCAGAGGGTTACATATCCTACGGACCTGGCTTTCGCATCCATCCTCCGCATTGGGATCGCCCCTGCATTCTGCCTCGTGGAAGACATGAGAGCCTTGAAACCTGGTGACTACATCATCCAGAATGCTGGAACCTCACTCCTGGCTCAGTTTGTCATCCAGTTCGCACGCCGTCGCGGGGTTAACGTCATCAACGTTGTCCGCGACCGCGAGGCTTACGAGCTAGAGAAAGTCGAAACGGCTCTCCGCAAGCTTGGGGCTGAAATTGTCGTTACGGAGAGTGCCCTCGCCGGGGATGCCCGCGTTAAAAATAAGCGCATCATGCTCGCTCTGGACTCGGTCTTCGGGACCTCCGGACGCGGGCTAGTCAAGGCTCTTGCCGTGGGCGGGACGTACGTGCAGCTGGGATTCCTGAGTGGGGCGGCAGGGGGTCCCATCGCGATTGATCCCACGGATCTGTTTGCGCGACAGCTGACGATGAAGGGGTTCCGTGGGTCTGCGCAGGTGGGGCTGCGTTCTGCTGAGGAGCAGGTTGACTTGTTCAACTGGTTCGTGGAGCTGTTCAACAACGGAGAATTGCAGCTGCCCGCGCTTGGCTTGCAAAAGGTGAAGTGGTCTGTTGGTAATGCAGAAGGGAGCAAGGGGGCGCTTCTCGAGGCTGTGGAGCGCGCCAAGAGCGGTGCTCTGGGGCAGAGGAAGCAGATCATTCTCTTCGAGTAGGGGTTTGGCGGGTGGTTGCGGGACACAGAGCGCGTGGCAACTGCAACCAAAGCAGGAGTAGTGGGCGAAGCATGGAGGCTGGGACTCGTCGATATTGAGACGGCAAGGGGCGGTGGATCGTTACACGCCCTCCTGTTTTTATACTCGAGTAGCCGGTAAAACAGAATTATGAGAGTGGTATTTTTGCTCGTTTATAGCCGCACCGTCAATGTGCCGCAAATGAATCAACAGCCGCTCCTGGAGTGTTCTCCGTTCTAAAGATGGAAATCTAATTATCCCACTACTACTCACTACTGGTATACTTTCGACTGTTTCTACCTCTGACTATTACAATTTCATACCTGTAAACGTTTCTCACTATGACCGTTTTGGTACTAATACCACTATTAGAGTGCTGCCTTAGGAATAAGCCGTATTATTGCAGTTGTAGTATCATATTGCGTTGACGCCATTGCGGCTGCTTTCATGATATCCAACTAACATGAAGTTGATTGTTAAGCTCTATTTTCTCACGTAATCATTTGCCGTTGTTGTCATTGACTTTGTATTGTCCGTAAGGATTTTGAGTATTCATTCCGTGGCTCACTGCATGAGGTCCTGTACTATCTTCTCCCGCTGTTTCTGGATTTCCCCGCGTGACACCCGGCATCCCCGGGCCATAACGAAAGCTATACGCTCGCCATGCGAGGCAGTTTCCGCGTCGAGGATACGGCGAGAACGGCTGATAATCAGCCTGACATCAGAAACCCAACACAGCGCATTTCACCTCCTCTCCATTACCAAACTCCCCGTGTGTAACTGTACCTACAAAAGATCCTCGTGGCGCAGCTGTATTGGGTAAAGCGGAGAAACATCCGATGCAAGTCTGACAGATCCAAGGGGGTGGCAAAAAATGATAAATGCAAATACCCGTACGTACGTACGGGAAGTTGGATGTTTTCGATATACTGTGCAACGGAAAGATTTGTGTAACGGGATCATGATGCGACGTTGTGTTCTCGATGACATGGTGGATGGGCGTTAAAAAGGGGGTTTCACGAGATAAGGGCACGACATCAGTTAGGCGAAGAATATAGATTTTCTCACTTTGTGATTTTTGTGTCTCGTTACTGTTACAGTAGAACGGGTTGTGAGACTTTTATTGATCCCACACAGGAACTTCCCTTATTTGTCTCAGAAATATACAAATAGAAATAAATTCAATAAATCAATAAAATCCAAAAGTAGCTAAACATCATCAACGCACTACACTTGCGTTCATCACATCACACCCCGCTCTACTCCGTAACACTAGCCTTCAGCATATCCTCTAACCCCTCCGGCCTAATTGGCTGATCATCATCAATTCTCAACCCATTAATGATTCTAGCAAGCGTGGAATAAGTCCCCAAAATAATGAGCACCTCAACCAACTCCGCATGACCCAAGATCTCCACTGCATCATTGATCGTGCCAGGGGTGTTAGTGTAGGTTGCGAGCTGCTCGTCTATCACGCGTAGGATTACACGCTGGCGGTCAGTCCATGGGCCTTCGCCTTGGCGCACACTGAAGGCAGTGCAGCCGATGGCGGCTATCTTTTCCTCGCCCAAGTTGAAAATTTCAGCGACGGGGAGGTTGACGTCGTATTCGTACTTTGCACCGAGGGTGGTGGCAGTGCGAAGGACGATGAGTTGCTGTTTGCGTTAACTTGTTCTCACCTCATTATAGTGATACTGTGCCTGTTGCAGATGTGGTGTAGGAGGTGAGGACTTACCCAGTCTAGCAAGGGGATCTTGCGAACATCCTTGTTGAAGCAGCCCCCAATGAGGCCCATTATGTGTGGGAATAGGCCCGGGGAGTGCGCCAAAAGGAGAAATATATTGCGACGGAAGGGTAGGACGTTGATTTTCTCAGCGATATGGGGCGGTGCTGTGGCAGCTTCGACATAAGGGATGAGGCAGGTGTGTCGGAAGGGGTCAGCGTGTGGTTCAGTGGGGGCAGACATAATTGTTAGTTTTTCGGAGCTGGATATCGTAATAGAAAAACTGGATGGGATGGGATGGGCTGAATTGAAACTTGATAAAAATCAGACTCTGATCTCTGAGGAATCATGCAAAGGTAAGAGGGAATAGCCAAATTTATCTGCTGAACTCGTCTATGCCGAGTGAGATGTCGATTACAAAACGACAAACCACAACATTCCATGGTTCTCTGATCTTTTCCTGTTGCTTCACCGTCACGTAATTCGTATACCTCGTATACCTTACCCAATTCTCCCTGTCCACCAACACATAAGCCGGATACCTCCATCCCCAGCCCATCCTCCTGACTCCTGTCAGCCTAACTCGCCGCTTACCGAGCAGTACAACTTTACACCGCATCTTGGATACATACGCGTCTAGAAAAGGTACGGAGATAATCATGCATTTGATAATACCTATTTCTAAGCTCGTCGGGCCCTCCCCTGCCTTTCGCTTACCTACGCTCGGAGGTGGGGCCGATATTGGCAAGACGGGAACTCACGAGCGGGAGGGTTCAGCTAAGGGAGTTTCCGTGTGTGGCGTTTCAGGGTTGGTGTGAGGAGTTGGAAGATTCTATTTGTGGGGGCCAGAGTGTGCAGCTGGGATTTTGCGTCGTAGGAGCCAGGGTGTGGAGCGAGGTTCGCCTTGGGTGGCTCAGCTGTGTGTTACGATCGATTCTCAGAGGTAAAGAATGCTAGTTTTGGGAAGAATGCATGTTTTATTTTACAGAGGGCTGATTTCTCTGTTTAACGATAGCTGAGAAGGATGAGGGCTAGTGCAGAGATGCGGCACATTGGATTTTGTTCAAGAATGGACGAGAGTCCGCGATTTTGAAATTGAATCTTCAAGCTCACTGTCTTCTATCCTCAACAACATCTATCTTTTACCTCATTTCATATTCTCAAATCCTGAGCACACCAACAAAGCACACCAACATGGAAAACTCCACCCCCCCCGCCATCCCCTCCTTCCACTCCACCCTCCTCTCCCTCCCCTCCTCCCTCCACAACAGCTACTCCCACCGCCTCCCCGCCCTCACCTACCTCTCCCCCCTCCTCCGCCCCTACATCTACGTCCCCCTCCTCGTCACCGCCTACATCCTCTACTACCGCTACCTGACCGGGCTCTCCCACATCCCCGGGCCCTTCTCTGGCACCTTCAGCAACTTCTGGAAAATCAGCGCAGCATGGCACGAAGAGATGCCCAAACGAAACATCGCCGCGCACCGCAAGTACGGCCCACTTGTCCGCGTGGGTGCGAATATGATTAGCGTCGACGACCCGGCGGCGATGTCAACTATCTATGGGTTTAAGCCGATTTACTCGAAGACGGCATTTTACCCTATTGTCGAGGCGTTGTATAAAGGCAAGCTTCTCGCGAATCTGTTTACCACGCGCTCGGAACAGTATCATGCACGCCTAAAGCGCGCGTCGGTGACGGCATACTCGATGACTGCACTCGCAGATCTCGAGCCGCACGTGCAGCCCGTGATCGACCTTTTCCTGAAACGCATCGATGAGGTTGGTGCTGGTGGAACCAAGGCCTTCGATATTGGGTCTTGGCTGCAGTTTTTCACCTTTGATGCGCTAGGAGAGATCAACTTCTCTGAGCAGCTTGGATTCCTGGAGACGGGCACCGATGTGGGGAAGAGTATTGGCACGATTGATGGGCTATTGGCATATTTGTCGGTTGTGGGGCAGGCTCCATGGATGCATCGCTTTTTGCTGGGGAATCCAGTCTTACCGCATGTATTGCCGCTGGAGAGCAGTAACGAGGTTCAGAATGTGAGTCCCCGCCTCCCCCCCATTCAAACAGTTACACAAGCTAACACCCACCAGTTCGCCATCAAAATGATCAACAAACGCAAATCCCCCTCCTCAACCACAAAACCCCACCGCGACATCCTCGCCCGCCTCCTCGAAGTCTCCGAAAAAGACCCGTCCAAACTAACATTCGAGGAGATCATCGCCCTCACAACCACCAACCTCATCGCCGGCTCCGACTCCACCGCCATCGGCCTCCGCGCAATCCTCTACTTCCTCTGCCGCACCCCCCGCGCCTACTCTCGTCTGCAAGCAGAGGTCGACGGCGCCTTCAATAGCGGTGCTCTCACCACCCCTGTCAAATACGCTGATGGTACGAAACTGCCTTACCTCAATGCTGTGGTCACTGAAGCGCTGCGCGCCCACGCGGCGACGGGGTTTGTGCTGGAGCGCGAGGTGCCGGAGGGGGGCGTGACGATCGCGGGGCAGTATATCCCAGCGGGGACGATTGTGGGGGTGAATAGCTGGGTGATGCATGCAAATAAGAGTGTGTATGGGGAGGATGCGGAGAGTTTCCGACCAGAGAGGTGGTTGGGTGAGGAGAATGAGGGGGAGGCTTGGGAGGAGAGGGTGAGGGAGATGAAGAGATGTAATATGGCTGTGAGTGGCTCGTTTCGTTTGTGTTGCTGTTTGTTTTTTCTCCTTGGGCGGTTACAGGCACCCATTTTCTATCTTGGTTCGGTGACACAAGGCTAACATACCCCGTCTAGTTCGGAGCCGGACCTCGCGTTTGCATTGGCCGCAACATCTCCATGATGGAGATCATCAAGTTCATCCCTGCGCTTGTTCGCATGTACGACTTCCGGCTTGCCGACCCCGAGAAAGAGTGGAAGGTGCTGGGCCACTGGTTTACAAAGCAGAGCGGAATGGATATGATTTTTGTGAAGAGGGTGCATGCTTAAACTTGAGTGGTTGAGGGTGCCGTTATGTGTGCTGTTTTGGATGTTGGATATTTATTTGTCCTTTTTATATTTCCGTTTCGCTTTCCTTTGCTATGAAATGAGTGTTAGTGTCGTCGTATAAAATCTCCTTTCTTTCATAACTACAGTCACTAGATTAGAGTTCAGTTAGAATGAAGTGAAATGGTTGTATCAATCACGTTCTAATCAGGCACATGCAATAAACTGGTCATAGTCTCACTGTCATATTCGATGATAATCCGCCGATAATGTCGTATACAATCATTGTTGTCGTACTCGTACCGAGTCATCTTCTCGTCGTGGCAGTCCCCACTGTGTGTCGTTGGTGCCAAGCCACTAAACCAACATGGGTACTGTGACATGCATTAGCGCCACCTGTCACACCATGCCACCATTTCCCTTTTCGGCCAACATGGGAAATATAGAGCTCGGCTTGCACCCGAAGAGGCAAGGGATAGATAGAGATTGGGTATTTTGGGCGTGGAGGTGTATGTGCTGTGTTTGTATTTGCCCGTATTAGGTAACAGACAGAAAGGGAATAAATGTTGGCGTAAGCAGTGTCGTGTTGGAAATGCCTGCTGTGAGATCCGAGACGAGGCACACGGGAACACGGCGGCGGGACACAAAGAGACACGAAATAGTGCCACATATGGTGTAAAGTTAGGGTTGCGTGCGCACATATGTTCGCATCCATCCGTCTGTTTGTCTTAGAGATGCGAAGTTATTCCAAGACACGAGCCGTATTGAAGATTGAAGAACTGTCGTGGTTGACTGTATGTTCGTCGTAAAGTACGAGCATGCGCTTCTCCCGAGACACGAGGTTGTTAGCTGACGATTCGTGCCGTGGAAGGATAATGCCGCCTTGAGTCGCCTCGTGCCGTGGCTGTGTCCGCTTCTGTTTCCCGCATCTCGTAAGCACACCTCACCAATTGTACTATACTGTGCCATCTCCACAGAATTCACCATCGTGTCAGGCAAGGCTGATGCATAAGATAAGCCAGAATAGCGGTGACGTGACGGTGCTCTCTATTGATCCCTATGTGCAACGTTTGCTTTGGAATGTGGTCACACAATGCCGGCCGATTCCAGGCAGTAATTACGGGAAGGAAGCCAGAATCCAAAATAGCTGGGGTGAGAAAGCGGGAAGGAACAACCCAGAGGCTGTGGGCCAATCCGAGGGAAGGCGCGACGGACGTACGTGGCGTGCTTTCCTTGCATGCTCGCTGTTACACCGCCACTGCTCCATGCCTGTACGCACCCGATCTGTACTCATCTCGCAAGTAACCATCCGTCAGTAGCGCAGCTATGTAAGTAACAAGAAGAAATGTAAGCGCCTCGTCGGCATAAGCCTATAATGGCGCTGAATGCCGTCTTGGGCATCATTATGAAACTCGTTCAGCCGTGTTTATCGCTGTCGTGGGGTTTGCCGTATGACAAGCGGCAGCCGCACTAATGCATGTGGCGCCTGCCGTTGTCAGCCAGGATCTGACTACCGAACACGGGATGACAGGGTTTAGACCGGGGAAGGAACGGGGGATCTCCCATCTCGCCTACCCCTGTTCGAATATCCCTGCTGTGACACGTTGTTGGGGTTATCAATCAATTTTCATAGACCCCGCCGTTCGTTTTTTTATCTCACTTCAATCTCACCTGCTGTGTGACTCTACCAGCCACACCCTACCCTATCCTATCCCAGCCCAGCGTAAGCAACAGAAACAGCAACCATGACCACGGTTCACGGTGTCTGTTTATGGAATGCGAAATGGAAGGAGTAACCGCGAAGGAGGACGAGGCTGACTGGAAGTACGAAGTATGATTAGAAATCAAACAGGCAGATAATCACACTAAAGGACATAAGATAAGTCACGGGGAGGCTGACCAATACGCTCGGTGTGAGCGCTGTTACATGTCAGCTACTTGTTACTTACCTGTGGGCTGAAGAAAAATAATGCGGATATCTTTGCTTCTAATAAGGAAGTAAGAGTCTATGTATGCGTGGTTTACTCTTTCTCTTTCTTTTCCAACTTTCTTCATTGACACACTCTTCCCTGTTTGTTTCCATACTCCCCGTCTCCGTTACTGGTTTACTTTTCTCCTCTCTTCCGCCTCCCATTCTCTTTCTCCTTCACCTCTCACCCAATCAACCGCGTCCCCAACACACACTACCAAAATGGCCTCCCAAAACCCCACCGAAAAATCCTCTATCCACTCCCTCCCCATCCCTGGTGCTGATGCAGACATCGAGCGCGCACATGAACCCGAATCCCCGCCCACCGGACGCCAAATTCACGGTTTTCAATGGTTCCTCGTCGTTGTCGCTGTCTTGAGCAGCATGTTCATGTACTCACTCGACGGCACTATTGTGGCTGACCTCGTACCTTCGATCGCCAACGAGTTCCACGCTGTGCCGCTTCTCCCATGGCTCTCTGTTGGTTTCATGGTCGGTTCCATTGTCACGGTCTTGCCGCTGGGAAAGCTCTACGGAAAATACAATGCCAAACACCTATATCTTATTTCTGTTGTGATTTTCCTGGCTGCCTCGGCGCTGTGCGGTGCTGCACCAAATATGAGTGCCATGATTGTGGGCAGAGTATTGCTTGGTATGGCAGGAAACGGAATTTACTTTGGCATTCTGACGCTTCTGAGCGTACACACCGATGATACAGAGCGGCCAATGTACCTCTCGATGGTTGGTTTGATCTGGGGTGTTGGCACAGTCCTCGGGCCTGTTGTTGGCGGTGGGTTTGACAAAGTCAATTGGCGATGGGCGTTCTACCTGAATCTCAGTGAGTTCCTCTCCTCATTTTCAATCTGCGAAGCAACTTCTAACATTCCACAGTAATCGGCGGCCTATTCGCTCCGGTCTACGTCTTCCTCCTCCCCGCCTTCGACCCGTCTCCGTCTACCTCCTTTGTTGCCCGTGGTAAGAACTTCGACCTTCTCGGCGCCACTCTCTCCATTGCCTCAATCCTCTGCCTTGTCATGGCCATCAACTTCGGAAATGCCCTATACGCCTGGGACAGCGCCCCCATAATCGTCCTTTTTGTCCTCGCTGGCGTTTTTCTCATCCTCTTCGCCATCCAGCAGAAACTCGCCCTGTTCACAACAAAATCAGAGCGCATGTTCCCCGCCCACCTCCTCCGTAGCAAGGAAGCTTGTCTTCTCTTTGTCGCGGCCGCTGGATGCAATGCTGCAGGATTCCTGCCAGTCTATTATATCCCTGTGTACTTCCAGTTCTCCCGTGGTGATAACGCCCTGGAGGCTGCGGTGCGACTGCTGCCGCTGATCATCGTGTTGAGTGCGACTATTATGGCGCAGGGGTTCTTCATGAGCAAGCTCGGGTATTATCAGCCTTGGTATCTTGTTGGTGGTGCACTGTTGCTGGTGGGGGATGTTTTACTTTGTGAGTTTTGCCTCATTTGTCTCACTATTTAGCTAACCATGGCAATAGCACGCATTGATGAGAACACGAATGTTGCCAACATCTACGGATACGAGATCCTCGTTGCCATCGGCGCCGGTGCCTTCATCCAGGCTGGTTACGCAACTATCCAGACCGTTGTTCCTGCATCTGATACCTCATATGCCATTGCGTGAGCTTTCCATCACTCCGTCCTCCCACCTACGTCCGCTCACTAACCGCTATCAGCTTTATGATGCTCGCGCAATTCATTGGCATCGTCTTTGGCCTCTCTATCGGTGGCGCAATCTTCATCAACACCGCCTTATCCTCCCTTCGTTCTCTCTTCCCCCTCCTCTCTGAGGCGGACCTTCGTGTCGTGATCAGCGGCACCAGTTCAAATGCCATTGAGCTTATTCCTGTGGCGCTCAGGGATGACGCAGTGGCGGCTATTGTAGGTAGTTTGAGAAAGTTGTGAGTCGACCTCTTGTTCTAAGATTTGATGATGAGATGGGGCTAATGCGACGTGTAGGTTTATCCCTGCGTATGTTGCGGCGGCGGTGGCGCTTGTGGTGTCGGTGTTTATCAACGTGAGTTTATCTCCAAACTATGCATTTTTATGTCCTCTCCATGGTTATCAAACTGACACCGACTTCAACAGCGCGGTAAAGCTTTCCATGCCACAAGGGCGAGCAGCTAACCGGTGGATATATATATGTATGTCATTAATGTGACTTTTTTCAAGGGGAAAAGACGTTGAGAGAAATACAGAGGGGTTTGCAGTATTTACTGAGGTTTAAATTTTAAACCTGTGTTGTCGTTTTGCTTTTTATTTATTTATTGCTTCGGCTTTGAGGGATGTGGGAATAGGGAGTTAAAGCGTATAGAATAAAGAGGTTAAGGATTTACCCATTTGCTTTTTCTATAAACTACTGCAGGAAGCTAGTGAGCAGAAGATAACATTAAAACGGGTCAGGACCAGTGTATCGTCAAAGTTGTGGGTAGAGATAATATGAACTATATGTGATTTGCCTAAAAGATCTTAATTATTCAGCGCCTCTCTCATCCCATTTGATTTTATTTCTTTCAACTACCTTGCTATGAGTTAATAATATGTATGGGGATGTATCCCCGCTCGAAATGGATCAATATTTCGCTCTCATATTTTTAATAATACATCTATATAGGTTTGCATAGCGATATTACGTTTTGTACTTTGGCAGCTATTTGTAGATATTTTATCAGTGCTAAAGTAGCCATATTTCCTGCGTTTTCTACAGCCTCTTTTAATTGAAGCTCTAGGGGTATTAAATATGTGACCTGTCAGATTGCTGATGTGATTCTCGAATTACTTGATGGGAAAGAGGTACATAATAACCAATACGAATTACAAATCAGCGACTCGACACGCCAAGTTGCGCAAGAGCTGTATAATGATGATGGAATCGACGCCGAGTATATTCACATCTATATTCATTGCATGGAAAAGATAGACGCGCTGCATAGTGGGAGAGCCGTTCATAGTGACATCAAGCCAGACGTGTTCATGAACTGCGCATCAGTCATGATTGATTTCAGCAGCTCATGGTCCTGGGAAGATGGAAAAGACGAGCCGTGCCTTGATCCATTTAGGCGGCGTCAAGGGCCGACGACCTTCGAATCGCGCAGTAAGGGGGAACGAGACGGCTTTCGGTGGTCAGTGACAAAGTGAGTCTACAAATTCAAGATGCCAGCCATACATTATGCTAATCTAAGCTAGCGAGCATAATGGGGATGATTTATTGAGTCATCCTAACCCTGGGGTTGTGTATGTGCAAGAGTCTCGATCACATTTCCGCGATCCAACGCTCCGTGATCGCGTTCCATTTCTGCGAGATTGCCCACGTTGCCAACAAGCCGTGAAGGAAATCATTTCATCAGCAGATATGTCAAAGCTAGAGCAAGCAGAGCGGGAGGCAGAGATGACAACAGTCCAAATAGTCTCTACGGAGTAGCATTCCAATTGAATACTATTCAGGTACACGCAGAGGGATTGGGTTTCCAAAAAAAAAAATGCCATTTCACTATAACCTGGGGGCTTTTTTGTTTGAGAATAATTCACCTTCATAAGCGAATGGATACCGAACTTGGGATTCTCTTGTCGTTCTGATTCAGCCATTTGTGATGAAGAAGGTTTTGGTGACGTGACGTGTAGATCGACGACGTTACGTTTTGCATCCCCCAGAAACAACAAATTAATCGACCACCAGCTTCGCAGCACAGTTGCCAGGCTGCAAGACTGATCTCCAATATCTCAAACTCCCCACTCCTCAGCTACATCCCACCCGTGCTCCCCCTCCTTCAGCCCCAGCCTCATCGCTATCTCAGCTACGCCCAACCCTTCCCCGTCCATACTTTAAGTACCGGGAGCCAAGCCTGGCGCCTTCACATTCGTATCCTCAGCACAACCCAAAATTGGTATCTACCCTCCGCCCCTGATCCCTAACCGCGCTAATGCGGACTAAGGCGCATGCAGTAGCGTCTATCGATCCTGGGAAGTTGCGTTTGCGCGCGGAAGGAACAGCCGCGAGGTTGGTCGCTACTTCCTTCAGCTGGTATCAGGCTTGTGCGACGTGTCAGCCTTGACGGTTCGAGTCATCATATCGTGGGTTGTGCCGTGTTTCTATTTTGTTTCGAAACCTTCTTTCGTTCATTTTGTGTGCCCACGGGGTCCAATTCTGTACAGTCGTACAGACTCCTGCATGGTAGTGGGGGTGGTCGCACAGAGACGGCTGGCCGGAGTCAGTTTGTAAGCACCGCTCCTCGTTGTTGGGTCACACCGCTACGGCCGTCTCCGCCCCGTCTCTCAGCCGCTGTACGATACGAAGACGGGGTTCGTTCCTGTTTGGAAATGTGAAGCGAGAAAAACTCCCATTTTAGTTCGAGGCGCAAGACAGCAAGGGCACATGGCATCAGACGGGATGGGATGACCCGGGGATTATAGGTTACGCATAATTCCGTAGCCCAGGTCCAGGGGGCTTCTTCTAATGCGGACACCACAATATCTCGGGACACGTCGTGCCTGATCGGAGAAATGCCGCGTGGGAACCACGGTGGCTTGGCCCCTGGTTCCTGGCTTGTCCGGGGGTGGGGCAGACGAGGGTTGTCCAGCTCACGCTGAAGATGTTGATTATCTACATGTTTCATCATATGGGGCTGTGGCTTGCGAGGCTGGAAGATGGGGGCCGGAGGTGGCGTAGGAAGAGGAGGATTACTGGGACGGAGGATGGAAATGGCGTCTAATATTAGATAGAAGCCACTGCGCCTCGACTTGGAAGGATGGGTTGCCTTGCCTCGTGTTGGACTGTTTCGTTTACAACGTGAGTGCGTAATGCGAGAGGAATTGGGCGTAGGACGAGGAGAGTGAGTACATAGAGAGCGCGTTTCGCTGCCATGGGGAGGAGATCATCAAGCAAGTGCTTTCGTTGACTTTATCTTCGCTCTCTTATCCCTATTGTCCCCTTTTTCTCCCTTTTCGTTTGGGTTAATTCGCTCCTTTAACCATACCCGCCAAAGGCGAGACGCCACCACTCACCAACAATGAAACCGACCACCACTACCACTCTCCTCTCCTTTCTCCCACTCTTTCTGCCCGTCTTCTCTACCCCCGTTTCTACCCGGCACTACGGAAACCCCAAACCCCCAGCCCGCCTCTTCGGCTCCTCGTTCGGCGTTCCAGGACCCCAAACATTCGACTATGTTATCATCGGCGGCGGCACCGCCGGCCTCGCCCTCGCGAGCCGCCTAAGTGAGAACCCCAACTGGACAATCGCCGTCGTCGAGGCAGGCGGCTTCTATGAGACGGATAACGGGAACGTGAGCCAGGTTCCGTTATTTGCGAGCATAGGCTCGGATAAGACGGCCGCTAATTACAACCCGTTGGTTGATTGGGGGTTCATGACTGAGCCACAGACGGTGGGTTACCCCTTTTAACTATCCGTTTGTCTTGCCGATTTTCGCCCCTATGCGCGGAGTGGTTGCAAGGGTGTATCGTGCTGGCGTCTTCAGTGGAATTATGTGCTGACTTTCTCCTGGAACAGGGTGCTAACAATGCCTCTGTGCATTATGCGCGGGGTAAGTGCCTCGGAGGCAGTTCGGCTCGAAACTACATGGCCTACCAACGTGGGACTGTCGAGTCTTTCGATCTCTGGGCGACGCTTGTGGGCGACAAATCGTACTCCTGGCGCTCCTTCCTGCCCTATCTTCAGAAGAGTGTGCATTTCACACCCCCTCCCGCCGGCAAGCGCGCCGCCAATGCCACAGCGGCCGTAGATCTTAAGACAATTGGCCTGAACAAGGGGCCGGTCTCCCTGACCTTCTCCAATTATGCCATGGCGATCAGCAGCTATGTGCAGAAAGGCTTTGCGGAGATGGGGATCCGACCCACGAACGGCTTCGCGAGTGGCACGCTGAACGGGTCGAGCTACGTGCTCGAGACGATCGATGAGAGCACGCAGACTCGGGAGAGTTCTGAGACGGCATTTCTGACACCAGCGCTGGGAAGAGATAATTTAATTGTATTTGCGCATACCCTGGCAAAAAAAGTGTTGTTTGATAGCCAGAAAAGGGCCACAGGTGTGAGTGTAGAGACTGGCGGGAAGGTGTATACGCTCAGTGCGAAGAATGAGATTGTGCTTTCGGCGGGTGCGTTTCAAAGTCCGCAGCTGCTGATGGTATCGGGCGTTGGACCAAAGGCAACGCTAGATAAATTCAACATTCCTGTGGTGAAGAACTTGCCAGGCGTGGGGCAGAATATGTGGGTGAGTTTTGACCCTGTGGTGTGGATCAGCAAAGTGCAAGATACTAATTATGGCAGGACCATGTGTTCTTCGGCCCCAGCTATAAGGTCAATGTTATCACAGGATCAGCAATGGCGAGGCCTGCCTTCGCAAAGAAAGCTGTGACAGACCTTCTTGAAAAGCAATCCGGCATCCTTACCAACTCTGGTGGTGATTTTTTTGGTAAGTCCACTATTCCCACTTCTCACACCTCACCTAACCCCGCGCAGCATGGGAAAAGCTCCCACCCACCAGCCGTGCTTCCCTAGCTACCTCCGACCGCAAAGCCCTCGATTCCTTCCCTGCCGACTGGCCCGAACTTGAATACCTCACCGTCGGCGGCTACATGGGGAATAACGTCGATTACACCACCGGCCCCTCGGACGGCTCCAACTACGCCACCGTAGTCGCCGCGCTCGTCGCCCCCCTTTCCCGCGGCACCGTTTCCATCCGCTCCAATGACACTTCTGACGCGCCTCTGATCGATCCGCGCTGGCTGACGCACCCTACAGACGTTGCTGTTGCCATAGTTGCACAGAAGCGGTTAAGGGAGCTGTTTGCGACGAAGGCGATGAAGGGGGTTGTGCTGGGGGAGAGGGTGTACCCTCCCGCGTCGAAGGGGGTGGAGACCGATGCGCAGTTATTGGCGGAGGTAAGAGCGAGCTTTAATACGGTGTGGCACGCGGCGTGTACGTGCAAGATGGGGAAGAAGGAGGACGAGATGGCGGTGGTGGATGGGAAGGCGAGGGTGTTTGGGGTGAAGGGGTTGAGGGTGGTGGATGCGAGTTCGTTTGCGTTATTGCCGCCGGGGCATCCGGTGAGCGCTATTTGTGAGTATCATTATTTCCTATGTGCTGGAGTTGGTTGACTAATGGCGGGTGTGTGTAGATGCATTGGCGGAGAAGATTGCGGATGATATTAAGAAGGATCTGGTGGTTGTTTAGATGGAGGGGTAATGTCGATGGAAAGCTGTCTGGGTTGTCGAATAGGAGGTTTTAGAGAGGAACTATCAGAGAGGAGCTGTTAGAGAATGTCTGTGGGTAGAGAGCTATGGGTGAGGGGATTGGGAAAGGCCGAGAGGTTTCTTTGGGTTTCGGCGTTGATGAATAATGTTATTTCATTCTTTCGTTCATATTTTGATGTATAGTTAGGCACATACAGGTATCCACAGAACAAAGGAATAGAGATGCATGGATGAAGATCCTGTAACCAATCGAAATGTTGCTTAGAAATATATAGAAATATCATCCTGTTGGATGTTGGTATTAAAAATGGTATGCCGTTTATAATGTATCCCATGCACAGAGTGAAAGGCTCCGCGCCAAGAAACTGTGAAAATGCATCACATAGCTGTATAATTCGTCATGGACGGAACCATACAGATGTAAAGGCATAAATGCGAGTTGTATAACGTACCAGGTATACTGTGCGCTGTAGGATTTATAACATTTTTGCGTGCTGCGTCCCGTGAGACATGCATACTCCATCTCGGCACATCCATCCCAGAACAGGAAAGTCGACGCGGCCGCCTCGGCGCAGTAGAACGGTTTACCAATCGTCGATCCAAGGGATGATCATCGGCGCGCGCTACTTCTTAGCTTCAGTTACGGTTACGTCTGACAGGTGACAGTTGTCAGCTTACTACAGCATACAGCAGTAGAATAAGGCTTTGCCGAAAACACATATCGGATGCAGCTTACGAGAATCGGGAACTAACCAAATTAAGCGGCTGCCCCTATCACAACTATACGCATTTTTAATGGATAGGAGCGATCGTGTTGGTTCACAAGGAATTCATAGGGCGGGAAGGTGGCTTTTGCCGGGGGGGACGTGCAACTTCAATTTCTTACCAATCTGTCGTTTTTGTGTGCGTGGTGAGTAATTCAAATGTGACCACCATATTCCACTAGATATCAAAGAAACACGGGAAGGAGAAGCTCAAAGAAAAAAGAGAATAGACGTCAATGACGATGACGACGCGAGGCTGGTTGGATTGCTTAGTAAATGCGAAATACCGACCGACTGGGTAGGCGAGAGGTTGTGATTAGAAATCTTGGGCGACGACGTCGATTGTTACTGCCGTTTTGGATATTGTCGTTCCTGCCATTCTCGTCGTCGGTGCTCTTCTGAATATGCTGTGTGATTGATGTTTGCTCCTGAGGGAAAGGTATAAAGTATCCTCCAATTTCCACGGTTGGGCTCTCTTCTTTCTTACAACTTCACTCTCACAACACACATTCACACTCAGTCCTTTTACAACCTTCTTCTTCCACATCAGTTTCTAAACTTCAATCAACAACCAACACAACTCCATTTCAATCACTTTAAAGTCATCTATCCTACCTTCAAAATGGTTCAACCAATCAAGCTCTACACTGTCGCCGCCGTAAGTCACTGCCCATTGCCATCCACTCCAAAAAAAAAACACACAGTTAAACAGAAACACAGGGTCCAAACCCATGGAAGGTCGCCATCTTCCTTGAGGAGCTTGGTATTCCTTACACCAACGAGCTCCGAACCTTCGCCGAGCTCAAGGGGGAGCCATACCTCGATATCAACCCCAACGGCCGCGTTCCAGCCATCCAGGACCCAAACACTGGCATCACTGTCTCTGAGGTGAGTTTAACCTACCACAACCCCCCTCACCCAACCTCACCCTCATCTTCAATAACCAATCCTCCCCGATATCACCTCTTACTTACTCTCCCCACAGTCCGGCGCCATCCTCCAATACCTCGCCGAGACCTACGACACCACCAACAAGTTCCACCACGCCAGCGGCCAAGAGAAGTACTCCGAGTACCAGTGGCTTCACTTCCAGACCTCCGGCCAAGGCCCCTACTTCGGCCAGAAAGCCTGGTTCTCCAACTACCACTCCGAGAAGCTCCCCTCGGCCGAGGCCCGCTACGAGGGCGAGATCCGCCGTGTCCTCGGCGTCGTCGAGCTCCACCTCAGCAAGACCAAGACCGACTACCTCGTTGGCAACAGCTACTCCTACGCCGATCTGGCCTGGACTACTTGGAATCAGCTGATTGGCTGGTTGGCGGCTGACATTGATGTCAAGAAGGACTTCCCGCTCTTTGCGGCTTGGAATGAGAGAATCCAGAATCGTCCTTCTGTCATCAAGGTTGCGGCGGACAAGGCTGCGCTTCAGTAGATTGAGACCGTCGAGACTTGACTTCCACTTTCTGATGTGAATGTGAAGCGGTTAGACTGGGATTCGGGATGTGGATGCGATGAGAAACGCAATGACTTTATGGCTTTGAGAAAATGAAGATCATTTCATACATGTGTTCCATGATGCTTTTCGAAGTGACTGTAAATCCAATGATGTGAGACCCTCCAACCCTCTCCTCCATCTTCTCTTTTTCCTCCGCATCAACAAGCTCCTCCGTCACGGCGCGAGATTATCAACCAGCTATATGCACGTAGACGTAAATATATACTATGGTCTTATGATAAGACTGTATTACATAAAACACATATATAAAAATACTGAAAGAATTTATTACCAGTACGCAAATTACCCAGTGATATCATTTAAGAAATATTTTATTATATATTAAAGACATTTTCTTTACGTCGTGTATTTAAGCTGAACGTACATCAATTAGTGAAATTCCATGCTCGACAATAATCCAATCATACATCATAAATAGTGGTATATTTAATTACGGACCGGCCTGCTACAGTATCTGTTGCTATAAATAACACAAATTTCGGTCCGCGGCGGATGGGATAGCAATTACGTTGGGAGCTATGGCAGCTGCATGAGAGCTTCACAGAGTACGGCGGCATAAGTTTCCGTACAGGTCTGTGCCTTTCCTATACAGAATGACACCCGTTTACTGCAATTTGAGCTTCGTATCTATAAGGTTATAGACATGTGAAAATCAATAGTTCCTCTTTTTGTGAAGCTTAATCTAACAGGGCAAACTATAATGGATATCTTGGCAAAAAGGGTCATAGCAGCCACGTTCTACTTAGTAGTAGTATATGTAGTATCCTGTCAGCACCGAATACTGTGACTAGTACACGCGATCTGCCTGTGATGATAACTAACTAAGACAAAGAAAACATAACGCAATAGAATCGGTGATTATCTCTCATACTGTGTAAGCGTGGCATTAGGATAAAGCTTAGCATCTCTAAAATATTGCAACTGTCACAGTGTGGTGTGGTCGGCCGGGGAAAATCACTCCGAGTAGCGAGAAAGTCACAACTTGGCAGCGCCGAAGTAGCCTCACTGGTGCCTTTTGGTAGTGAAGCCACGCGCATGGCCATCCGCAATGAGGCGTTGTATTTTGCCACGTAACTTGTATGTAAAAGTACATCTGATCTCGATACAGTTATAGGTGCCGTGCCGTTATAGCTTGTTCCGCCACTGACTCCATTTCTTCAACGCACTGATTTCTTCCTCGCATGGATTCCTACGACGCCCACCGGATTCCTACGATGACCACCGGAACTAGATGCCCATTGTATCGTAATTCCCACCCAAGCCTTCCATGCGCCGCAAAACGTGCTGACACGTGATTGACGACAAGAGCATACTGGAATTTCCGTTCTCTATCCCCACAATGAGCGAATCGTCCACTCTTACCTCGTTTTGAATACCCAACTACGGTGCTACAAATTTCCGCAAGGAGAGAGGGCCAATCAAAGCTTAGGCTAATGCCAACATCCATTTATCCGTTTAAAGAAGGTAAGCTGTTCGCGTCAGCTATGACCGAAGTGCCATGATAATACCGGGATAGGCGTAAGCTAAAACCCCGCTAGCTAATGAACCCCAGACTTCCGATGGGGCCAACCCTGGCAGTGTCACGCCCGCGCTAATATTGCGTGCGGGGAAGATCCAACATAACGTGGAGATGTCAGGTTCACGCCGAAGACTACACCGAAGCTCTGGGAATTGAGGGAATTGAGGGAATTGAGGAAGAGGTTCGGAAATTCGGCATAGATATAGGTTCTAGATGAAGATTATTTCGCTGTCGTTATGTTCCGCCTCAAGTTTTACCTACCGAGGCCTGATTAAATCAATCGGCACCTGAGCCAGGCCCCTGTCTAGCGCCATCCCTAGGTCGGTCCTTGTCGGCCCTATATTACTTCTACGCTTCCTTCGTTGAGCGAAAGGGGACGATTGCTTCGTTACCCCGCCTCCGGTGGGGTACTAAGTCTGATAATTATCCACGTATCACGCTAATACCATTGGACGGGTTGTGGAGGTCAAGGTGCGGAGCAAACTTCACTCAATTGAGTTAAGATCGGGATTACCATCATAAGCGTGTTGTCGCAGGGATAAAGATATAAAAACCCAGTCGTGCCTGCCTCTCTTTCGTTTTTACGTTTGTTTTCACGTTTGTCTCAGAAATCGTCAACATGAATAACGTCACCACAGAGAAGCCGACCTCAGTGTCGGAGGTCGAGGCGCTGCCCGCCTCCACGGGCGGACCTGTCTACAATGCCGATGAGAAGGTCGACGTCGACTACAACAGAACGGGCGCCATCGATGCCGAGAAGATTGAATTTAAGATGACTGTGCTCGAGGCTGTCAAGGCCTATCCTGCTGCCAGTTGGTGGGCATTCGTTATGTCATGCACCATTGTAAGGTGTTTTACCCATGAGATGCAGATCATTTCTCTAACGCTGCGATAGATCATGGAGTCATACTGTGTTTTCTTGATGGGACAGTTCATAGCCACCCAAAAATTCGCCGATGATTTCGGTGTATACAGCCCTAATAAGAAGAAGTTTATTATCGAAGCTTCATGGCAGTCAGCATTCCAGTGTAGTGGACCAGTTGGTGCCTTCATGGGTGTCTTCATGGCTGGTCCCATTACTAGTCGGATTGGATATCGATGGGCAACCATTGGCGGTCTCATGTTCTTAAACGCTTTCATCTTCATCTTCTATTTCGGCAACAGCCAGGGGATGTTTTTCGCGGCCCAAATCCTGGAAGGCATTCCTTGGGGCATTTTTATCGCCAATGCACCCGCTTACTGTTCTGAAATTGTGCCAATGAGATTGAGAGCTCCAGCGACGCAGATGTTGCAGATGTTCTGGGCTATTGGGGCTATTATTGTCGGTGGTATCACTTATCACTACCAATCCAGGGATGACGCCTCAGCGTACAGGTTCGTCCGCTCCCATAGATGCCATCGAGCAACACTCTACTAACAGTCATACCAGAGTTCCCATTGCACTCCAGTGGATGTTTCCTACTCCTCTTGCTATCCTACTCTTCATTGCGCCTGAATCACCCTGGTGGCTCGTTCGAAAGGGTCGTCTGGCTGAGGCAGAGGCTTCTGTCAAACGCCTTGGACGCGCGAGTGCAACCGAAGATCCCGCTGACGCAGTCGCAATGATGCGTCGTACGATCGAGCTTGAGAAGAACGATACGCAGCCCAGTCTCCTTGAGCTGTGGAAAGGTACCGATCTATACCGCACATTGATTGTGTGCGGTGTGTACGCATCCCAGAATCTGACGGGCAATCTGATCGCTAACCAAGCGGTTTATTTTTTCAAGCGTGAGTTCAACCGTTTCCTGCAACCTCATATACGTGACTAACACCAGCTCAGAGGCCGGCATGGCAGACAACACCGCATTTGGACTTGGTCTCATCACTTCTGCCCTCCAGTGGATCATGGTCATGCTCTCTTGGGTCCTCACCACATACCTCGGCCGACGCACAATCTATGTCTATGGTCAACTCATCAACTGCGTATTTTTGATAGCGCTGGGTATTGCTGCTTCAGTTGGCCGTAGTACGGCGGCTAGCAATGCGCAAGCATCACTTGGCTTGATTGTCTCCGTCTTGTTCTGCTTAGGACCCGCCCCTGCCTCATGGGTCATCATCGGCGAGACATCTTCCATTCGTCTTAGGCCACTGACAACCGGTATCGGACGAGGTGCCTACTACATGGTCAATATTCCTTGCATCTTCCTTGCTAGCTACATGCTCAACGATGATAAGTGGAACCTGGGCGGCAAGAGCGGCTACATTTGGGCTGGCACCGCCTTTTTTTGCACTGCCATGGCTTGGTTCTGGATTCCAGAGATGAAGCACAGGTCCTACCGTGAGATCGACATTTTGTTCCAGCGTCATGTCCCGGCTCGCAAATGGAAGCAGACGGTCGTTGATATCAACGATGATGAGTAGATTGGAAATTGATGTTTGGAGAAGCCTGAGTGGCACTGCTTGTGCAGGAATGGGCGGCAGACACATGTATCTTACTACATACTTTCAAATAATTATTTTCCAGATGAGTTGAAGTGTGGAGATCACGTCGGAATGTACTGCATCCTCTACCCTTGTCGGCAATTGCATTAGGTGCTACGTCGAGTAATGTTGCTTCCATCTCCAGACTTATCTTTGCAATTAACGTTGGGAGCAATTGCGGAATACGGGGATATACTACCAAAATGGTATGGAAATCGCCAGTCTCCATAATCAATCTCTTGGCAGATGGAACAGAGAAGCCTAGTAGTAAACACAGTAGAATATAATATTAAACGATTGAATTACTACACTATTCCACGGGCCTACGTACTATTTGTATTCGATTGGGGGACCTGCTTACCCTCAACAGCCGAAGGATTCCGGCATAGCTCTCCATATGATCTCCACAAGACAAGTAAACATGCCTATATGTTAAGGCTAACAATAATGGTACACTTAATTCAGGATAGTTTACGAATATATATAAACCAGAGTCAGTTATTCCTGCTCTCTTAGGCTCACATGGTATTAGCCTCTTACATTAGACATACAAAAGCAAGCCTGGTACGGTACCAGTCCATTTCAATTGCTAGTGCGAGCAATCCAATAAACTATATAGGATTTACTTCTAGGTAGCATGAACACCCCGTCGCAGACTTCCCTTCAAATCGTCGTTAGACTGGGACTTTCACGGGTGGGCACAGGATAATATGATAACCCTAGTAATAGTCCTAGGACTTCCAACATATGGAGCGCATCATATGTCATATGATAACAGTGGTAGAAAGTGGTCCTTGATCTGGGCTAGTGTAACTATTCCGCTGAGAAGGGTCTACACAAAGGCATTAACCGCGCTCTATTGGATCTCTTCCAAAGGGCCCTAGGGATTACTCTAGCGTCAGTATACTGCATCTGCAAACTGCATGCTATGCAGCAAGCGATTTATTGAGCCAGTGCGTCGTTGCTCCCGCAAAGGGCCAGTAGTAAATCCCAACGTCTGCAGATCGCAGACTTTGGAATTGACTATGACAGGACAAGCAATGCTACCAGGTATTAGCGTTGCCTGTCCTGCCGTCGCTCCCCTGCCTAGAACCCCATCAAACCCGTTCCCCGTTGCTACCCTTCCGGAATCTAAATGGGACAATACTTGTTTTAATCCACAACTTTTTGCTTATGGGGCATCTGTATAGTCTTGAACCACTCGTACCCATATTAACACCCAGCATTTTTCTAGTCAACCAAGTGTCGAAATGTCGCTGCTTTCCCCAGATTTTAGAAAGGAGATAGGAGAAATCAGAAAATGGTAAACCGCAACTAGGGGCCTCAAAGTCGAGCAGAATCGATGGATTAATACCGCTAAACCACTAATACTTTCTAGTTATCAGCCGGCGCGGCCGCTTTGACAACCTACATACAAATGGATAACTTCCAGAAGCCGCCTTCGGCCAAATCCAGGTGCAAATCCCTCATTTGACAACGTCTAACCCCGAGCATCTCAGCAGCTATCAAACGCTATCAAGTGTTTGTACAATGTCCTCAATGGCGTCTGAGACTAAACTGGTGTCAACCCATTAGGTAGTGTTAGGGTTAAGACTACCTAATGGGTTGACACCAGTTTAGTTAAAACGTGAACAAGCGGGAGCTGGACGGGGGGCCGAGGGTTAGTTCACTCCGTATCGGCGTGTTGGCATACGGCTACAATGCGGACGTTATCTGCGGAGTTAGAGTCTAGGGAACTAGGTCAGGAGGCAGGAAAGTAATCGTATTTGAGAAGCACAATAGGTTTACGTATATAAAGCGACTATTGAGTGGATTCCCTCCTCTAAAACCTCCAACCCCTTTTGTTCGGAAACCCCTTTGCCCTCATTAGGGAAGGCCTCTTTGACCAAAACAGGTCATAAAACCATCAGAATTACCCATATAATTATCTATCTGAGGTTAGAATATGGTTATTATTATGTACATTGGGACTTACTTGTGTCAATCGAGGTGGAAACAGTGCCTCCAGCAGCGTTCTTACACTTGGCATGGAGAACGGTACCAGACAGATAAACGTCTGAACAGGATCCAGAATATCTGCCCCTGAAAACGAGTTAGTAATGTTAAATTCATATATAAAGAAATAAATATTTACCATAGGCGGGCAGCAAGTATGCCGTTGTCATTGGCGAAACATGAATCGGGGTTGATTTCAGTGCCGACTCTGTAAATTCCACTGTTCATTCGGCAGTTGGCGAATATCACCTTGCCTCCGTCCCTTGCATTGTAATAACTAATGGAATTGCAAGATGAACCATAGCCACTGTCTGCAGCCACTTCAGTGACGAGGCTGAGAAGCATAAGCGGAATTAAAGATGTAAGGTGCATGGTGGGCAGGTGTGAAATGACTGGAATAAGACAGGATAGTGATGTTCGATGAAAGAATAACCTGGGGAATCATGGCGCACTTATAGACGCAAGATGACTGAAATATTAAATACCTGCAATGATTACTTTAGATAGTACCTCGTATTGAATTACTAAATACACCAATTAAATAAACTGCAAGATAGAATTACATATCACTGCACACTGGCAATCTAAAAACTAGCCAATGGCCTCACTGAAACCCAACAATCCAACAGCCCCCAACATCTAACATCCTATTGGGAATGATTCACTGTTCAAGGGATCTACACGCAATATCGTATGAGAATCTCCAGTCACCATAATCAAGCTCTTAGTAGCAGCTGACAGAAATATCACAGGGTAGAATGTAGTATATAGAAATATAATTAAATCAATTGAATTATCTCAATATCTCATCGTTCTACGTAGTTCTCATAGGTGCTTCCTGGGGAGTAGCCAGAACCCTAGTCTACAGCTATCCCCACGTCGCTGGTGACAGAGCTAGCGCACTGCCAAGCAGGCCAATGGGATATCTTTGGGAAAGACACCTAAGCCAGGGCTAATTACTTGGCAAATCCTAGGAAATCTCACGAATCTCCAAGACATCCAACATCCAACATCCAACAACTAAAATCTGCATCCCCGCGTACACTAATTTCAGAACCCCAGTTTCCTCCAATGATAATAATGCGGTCAGAGCTTATACCCACTTATTAACCTCCCTATACATAAACGGGTGCCTTTTTGAATGGGCAAAAGCATACGCCCGTACGAACACTTGTTGGCGCTATACTGTATCAAGGGTTTCTCATCCGACAGGCTATGAATCCTATAGCACAGTCAGGCTATAGAGACCGCCTATCTGTATATATTTACTATATCGGGTAGGAATTCCGAAATTCTGTTGTAACACAGCAGTTATAGCAAACAAAAACCATAGAAGTAATGACACAAGCTTGAGCAGGGCTTCCTCTTCTACTGGGCCATGTTCAAGATGTCGACAGGGACATCGAGGACGCTGATATTGCAAATTTTAGCCTATTGACACCCAACCTTGGCTGCTCGTAGCGAAGTAGGTGATCGGACAACTTTACAGAACTAGGTGCATGCAAGGATATTATCAATTGGCCACGCGTGCTTGGAATATCAAACTCAGAAGGTGCTGCATTATCAAGTTGCCACGCCTGCTTGGCATATCAAATGCAGAAGGTGCTGCCAACTTATAAAATTACAATAGCTTGCTGTATGTAGTAGGAGACCAATCATAGCGTGCTTGCTTACCATTACAGAGTCTTTCACCTTTTTGCTAGGCCGAGTTGATATTGTCACCCGTTACGCTCTTTGCGTCCATGGAGGGTAGAATTGACATGAAAACGTAGCGGCCTCACCCCAAGATCACCCTCAAGGCAGCAAGGGGCTCAGACTCCACGCTATGCCTATTGGCACGATAGAGAGTACAGTGTATAACCTGCTCAGGTGAGAAATACAATAGAGTAGGCACCTACCAAGGGATAAATAGAGTTGGTAGAGCAAGCTAAAACAGCGTTACGCCGATTCATTGCATAAAAACCACCTGTGCTTTCTCACAGAAGCAAAGGAATAGAAAACAACGCCTCACTTCAGATACCCCATATCAAGGTCCTAACAGATAGCTTCTCTGCATAGGGCTGTAAGTGAGACTCTACTTTATCAGCGCAGCGCTGAGATCACTACTGCATCAGGTCCAACTATAGCTTTCTCGCTGCTCGTATTTCTCACCCGAGGCTGGCTAGGCACTGTAGGAGCGTAAAAAACAGCCAAAAAAAAACATATAACAGTGGGTATTCGCTAGTGGCCACCCACCCAACTACTAATCCACCGATCTTAAGCTTGTGTATAGCAGAGCGGACGGGATGCCCAATTCTCTGTGAGCTGCCATCGCTTTCGCGCTCAAGACCACGACCAAAACCGTACCCTGTTGTCAGCCTTCCGCTCCCTATCGCTCTAGGGCTAATGCTGCTTTGACCTTAACTTCTCACTTGTGGCGACCACTAACGCAGCATAATAGCATCTAAAAACGCAAAACAGTTGGTCGATTTCCGTAATCTGCCTCAGGCAGATTTCTGCTACTCAAAAGGTCGCATCCTATATCTGCGATTACGACCGCAACTTTGTGGAAACGCAAAACGGTTGGACGATTCTAACATCTGCCTCGGGCCTCTCAAAAGGCCGCATTTTGTGTATTCGATCACGATAGCGGCATCACGACAACGGGGAATGGTTAGTCGATTTCGCAAAACTGCCTCGGGCTTTTCCAAAGGCCGCATCCTGTGTCATGGAAACGGGGAACAGTTGTGATATCTGCCTGTGGCCTCTCGAACGGCCGCATCCTGTGATTACAACAACGGCTTCCTGGAAACGGGGGATAGCTGGCTGGCTTCAGTGCTTTTACCTGTGCTGCCCTCTTCTCGTTCGGAAATCTGCGTTAAGGCCTAATTTCCTGGGCATCTCTGCTGGAGATGGTTGCTGGATGAGGCTACTTTATGACTCCTTTTGATAGAAACTTGATTCCTAGATACTGAATCGCGTGGTCGGTAGCTAGGCTTAAATCTCCTATGCTTGTGTCGATATCCAATCTGTTAATAAGGGAGTATGTATCACGCGTCCTGTTTTGGCCCTTCCTCCAAAGTTCACCTCACAGATGTGATTTCCTGAGCGCGAACCGACTTGTAGAATTCTATGGGACTACAGCCTTTACTGATGCCGTGGTCCCGGAGGCTATTCTACATAGGGTCGTTACCTCACAGGGAAGATTGATGGAAACCGTCACGTGACACATCGTAGTTTATATAGTTGTTGAGAGCAATTGCGGGATTCTGGGAATTACACACAAAATCGTGTGATAATCTCCGGTTCCCGTAATAAGCTCCTACGGGCAGCGAGACAGAGGCTTCAGCAGTAGAATACAGTATATAGGACAATATATTCAATTGAATTACTACCTAATCTACGGGCTACGTACAGTATTTGTAGGCCTGGGGGAAACCCCCAAAACCTCGAACTTGCTTCTTCTGCCCCTTGGCTGTGGTGAGACATCGGTGTAATTACCACCCAACGCTCGAACCAATAGGGGAGCCGGACGGTCTCACGGAGAAAAGTGACCATTTTGGCTGTAAAAGCCTGCCGTATCCCACGGGAATGTCGGTTTCCCCCCTTCAATAGTATAGCATCATCAATTTAAGTATTACAGCCGACATAATTTTATGTATTCTTTGCTCCGCCGTGTTGCTCCGTCCGCAGTGGGGTGGTTCAATCCCGGGGTTTCTAACTCTTTCGACAGCTGGTCATCAGATTAGTGAGCCAATGGGATACCCTAGGAATACGCCTAAAATGGGGCTATTCCTTGGCAAATGCTAAGATATCCCCAGAAACTCTAACAAAATCCACTACCGACGTTGAGTCCGGAACAAAACTTACAAACATAACCTCCGTAAATAAATGGCTATACGCGCGCGCGGGTGTGGATTCACATTTTTAGTGTTGTGGTATAGCATGGACTTGGAACTACACACCGAGTTAAAGGTTTGTAATCTAGTTGGTTTAATTGCGTCATGGTGAATTCCGGTCCTCCCGGTCTGCACCTGTTGAAATTCATTAGAATTAGTCTGCTAGCAAGTGTATATATGTAGAGCCCTTAAGGGTGGAATTTCAAGAGAACCAATTCAACGACGCGGAGCCAACTTTCTTTACAGTATCTCAAACCACCATGGCTCCTACCATGTATGCCGAACCATGTCCCTTCGCTTCTTCTCTCAAGCCCAAGTCCAACATAGATATGAAGATTTCAGCAGCATAAATCCTGCACTTGAATTGCACTTTTGCGAGAACAGCACTAACTTTTAATCGCAAACAGACTTATCGTTGGCGCAACAGGCAACACCGGCCGTAGCGTCGTATCAACCCTCTCAGACTTCACCCAAAAACCAAACCACCACGTCGCCTCCTATCGCCTCGTCGCACAAACCCGATCCGCTTCCAGCGACGCCGCGAAGCAACTAGCCTCCCTGCCCAACGTCTCCATCCTTGAAAAGAATTGGATAGACATCACCAGCGACTGGCTCCGCGAGAATGAGGTCACCAAAGTCTTCATCGCCTCCCACAATGAACCGACAGCATTCTCAGAGGAGTCCCAATTCCACGTCGTTGCTCTAAATGGAGGGGTCAAGCACATCGTGCGCATCTCCACCACAGCTGCGAATGTGCGTCCGCATTTCCGGGCTTACTATCCTCGCACACATTGGGCCATTGAAACCATGCTGGATACGAAGGAGTTCAAGGGGATGATGTGGACGAGCCTGCAACCGAACGTCTTCACTAGCATAGTTCTAGCCAATGCGGTTACTCTAGTCAAGGAGTACCGCAAAACGGGTAAGCAGCAGCCATTGAGCTTGATCTCCCCGAAGGACGTCGGCGTGGGTATCATCGATCCAAATGACGTCGGGACTTTCGCAGCATATGTGTTGGCAAGTGAGAATCCGGAGGTGCACAATGGGATGAGATATGTGCTGAATGGGCCGGAGGACATCAGCGGTCAGGGGATTGTGGATTTGGTCGAGAGAGAAATTGGAGCGAAGGTTGAACATGTGGTATATAAGGATCTGTCGTGGCTTGATGACCTTGCCCAGGGGCCGCACAAGGCCCTTACTTTGTCGATTAAGTCCGCGGTCGAGACGTCATGGGAAGGAAAGTGTGGAACAGACACGACGAGTAAGGAGGCTATTGGAATTTGGGCACCAAAGACGACGCCAGCCCAGGCGTTTAAGGGGTATTTAGAAGGGTAGAGATGTATAGGATTAGAAATTAGAGAAGTCGGCTGCATTTACACCCCACCCAATAGGATCTTAAAATAGAAATAGCAGTACTGTATCCTTTTCTACGTGCTTACCTTTTGTCTTATAGTAGAATATGCATACTACTAATAGCTAAAACTATAAACCTTAATCATTATAATGAACCCTTCCTTACTTTAGACTTAGCATATATAGTTACTAGTAAACCTCTCCTTAATAAGCCTATCCTATCCTATCCTAGGGTTTCTAACCACTCTTTCGTCAGGTGGTCACCAAACCAGCGAGCCAATGGGATATGCCAGGAAACGCTATGCCTAGGAAACGCTCAAAAACAGGACTATTTCTTGGCAAATCCCCCATCCTCCCCTTTCGTCGCCTGATTTAAGATGGCGTGCATCACTGCTATCCCATCATTAAGAGACAACATGGTCATATTCTCGAGTAGACCTTTACTCTCTACGAGGGAAGCAGCTGTCCCATAAGACTAATACGAAGGTTGGGGCCCTAAGTTGTGTAGGTGGAGTGAAGCTTCACGCGCCAGCGCTTTCTCGAAGCGGATAGATTTTGCAGCTGCTTTTCCAGTTACTGGGATTATTTGTGCAAAATATTGTGCATTGCCAGCAAAATGTATGATTATTGCGGTGGATTGTAAAAGCAGCTTCGAGCCCACAAGGCCTCCACCGTCGCCCTCTACCTACACAACTTAGGGCCCCAACCTTCGTATGTAGCTACTTCCCGAGTGTTTGTTTCCCATTGACTGCTCACTGACCCTGAAACCAGGCCTAATATGTATGCCGTACTTGGCGTTTCCGAGTTTAGAAGGACGCTGGTCGAAAGTATTTCTCATAGCTCCGTCCTAAGTCTTCTATCCCCATAACGCCACACTCGAACGAATACGTAGTTTTGGGTATAGCGTAAGCAAGTCCTTGTCTAGTGAAATGGAGCCCCTTAATTGGACGCTTGTGGCTTGGGGGGTTTCAGGAAGACAGAGTCAAAGCAAGGAATTTAACCTTAACTTTTCCTATGGCAGGCGTCCGGGTCAACAATATATCGGCGTAACTTAGGTAGCTTTACTGTATAAAAATATCAGAACTATCACCCTACACTACTTGCGAAGAATCAGCTAGACGGGCTCCGTTTAACTCAGCAAATACAAAGAAGCTGAGGAAATGGCTCGACGAGGGCTTGATGGATGTGAGAAGACATTGGGCAAGGATCATCTGAACACAATTATAGGCGCTGCCAATCTTGCTCTTATACTGCAAAGTTAAGGAAAATTCAAAGGGGCTAAACCAATAAATCGACGAGCGCTTGAAGCACTTGAAGAGACGTTGAAGGATAACCACCCGACCACACTTACAATCGCTAACAATCTTACTCTTGTGCTAAGGGACTAAGGAAAATACAAAGAGGCCGAAGAGTTGAATAGACGAGTGCTTAATGGCTATGAGATAACGCTAGGCAAAGACCATTTGCTAACACTCTTACGTATTAGCAACCTTTCTGTTTTATTACAACTTTAAGGTGAGTACGAAGAGGCTGAGGAAAAGAGCTGACAAGCGCTTAGTGGCCGTGAGAAAGCGCTGGGCAAAAACCATTCAGACACACTTACAAGCATGAACAATCTTGCTTGGGTACTAAGAGACCAAGGCAAGCATAATGTAGCTGAACAGATGCACTAACAAGCGCTTGATGGCCGTGACAAAACCCTAGGCAAAGATCATATTTACAAAGCATAGCAATCTGGTTGGAGGCGCTACTAAACGGAAAAAAATCAAAAAAAAAAGCGAATTAGACGAACTAGCGAGCGTTTCATAGCTACTAAAAGGCGTTTAAAGCTTTAATATTTATCTTATCCTTTGTGCTCTGTTTGGAATCTTCCTACAAGAGCTGCACAGCTATCCTCTATTATCTAGAAATTGGGGTCCTTTTAGAGCAACAAATGACAAGTGGCCTATAGTCGCTATAAGTACATCTTTCTGTTTTACAATGGCTGTATATGTTTAGCTGTTTCGTGTAGTGGTGTTGTTAGATAAAAGCAGCATTGGCCTTAGAACCGTTCACGCGATACAGCAATTAGTTATCAAGTTTACATAAACAGAAATCTCAAAGTTGTTGCATTCAGCGACCATCTCCGACAGAGATGCCCAATTCTCTGTGAGCTGCCCCCCATTACTTGTGCAGCTAAGACTACTACCAAACTGTCCCCTGTTGTCAGCCTTCCGCTTCCCTGTTCCAGCCCCGGGTCTGATGCTGCTCTTACCTAGACTGCCTCAAGGCCCACACTTCTTCACTTGTGGAGACTACGCGAAGGCCTGAGAGCGCTTAATAACGCAAAACGGTTGGTTGATTTCCTAAATCTGCCTAGGGCCTACTGAAAACCGCATCCTCTGCCTCCGATTACGACCGCGACTCAGTGGAAACGCGAAACAGTTGGTTGGTTTCCGAAATCCGCCTCGGGGCCCCTTGAATGGCTGCTTCTTGCGTCCGCGACGACCACGACAACAGCTTCATGGAAACGGGCGATGGTTGGCTGGTTACAGAAATCTGCCTAGGGCCTCTTAAATGGCTGCATCCTGTGTCCTCGATCACGGCAGCGGCTTCCTGGAAACGCGGACCTGTTGGTTGATGTCCAGAATCTGCCTAGGGCTTCTCGAATGGATGCATTCTATGCTTTTGATCACGTCGACAGCTTCATGAAGGCGGGGGACAGTTAGTCGATTGTGGTGTCTGCCTCGGGCCTGTTAAACGGCTGCATCCTGTGTCTTCGATCGCGACAGCGGCTTCCTAGAAACGGGGACGGTTGGTCGATTTCCTAAATCTGCCTAGGGCCTTCTTAAAGGCTGCATCCTGAGTCTTCGATCACAACAGGAGCTCCCTGGAAACGGGGGATGGTTGGTCGACTATGACGTCTGCCTAGGGCCTCTCGAAAGGCTGCATCCTATGGTCTTCGATCACGACAGCGGCTTCCTAGAAACGTGGGATGGTTGGCTAGCTTTAGTGCTTTACCTGTATTAGACTCTTCTCATGCAGAATTTTGCCTTATGGCCTAGAGGTCACGTATCCTCTAGCCTAATACTACTTAGGCCTAATAACAGCAACCTAAGACACGCGATAACAGTTGACTAGTTCTATAAATACTGTCGTGCTATCCATCAACTTAGTATAGTCTCCCCTAAGTTCCTAAACAACTTCGTTAGGTTTCCTATAGTTATATAGCAATTTACACTACCCTTCTAACAAAATTCGTTAGACTATTATAGCAACATATGCTATATATCTTAGTAATAGGTACTAAAGGTAACAATCTTATAGAAGTTATATAACGTAAGAGGCTATACTATAGTTCTTAAGGTAAGAATATTAACATTTACATACTAAGCCATACTAATAGTAACGTATTTTATAGGCAAGCTAGTTATATAGGTAAGCTAGTTACTAAAACACTAAAATTTAACTATTACTATTATAGGCATAGTAGGGGGCTTTGCTTTAGGGGTAACGTAGGCTAGGAGGTAGGTACCTTAGGCCTCCTTTACTATTATGCCTATACATAATAGCTAGTAAGGAAGTAGCACGTAGCCCTAACTTACTACTAAGTTAGTAGTAGTCTAACTCTAAAGTAGTAGATAAGAGTAGCTTAGCCCCTAATATAGAGGGCTTAGAGATTAGTCTGTTAAATGCTATACTTCTTACCTAAATCTAAGGCTGCTATACGCTTCTGCCCTAACCCTTATAATAATGTATTCTACTATTCTACTTAAAGTAGAAGTTAAGGCTCTATAAGTAGCTAATAAATAGAAAAAGAGGAGGGAAAGGAAGCATAAGAGGCATATATAAGGGGGTAGTCTCTCTATACAAGAGGGAGACGATATACTTTAGAGTGCTAAAGTTAATGCTTAGGTCTATATAGAGGTAGCAAGTGAGGGTAGTTGTTAGGTGGGCTCTAAGGGCCGACAGAAGCGCTACGGCTTATGTGCTATTATGGGCCATAATACCCATACGTGCGAGAGGCGCCAGGAATCAATTACGATCGAATAAGGGTTATTATGTAGGGTGGTGGTGTAGTAGTAGTAGTAATAGTTAGATTTTAGTGTTTTGGTGCGCCACTCGTATGTGAAATACGTTATAGCTTTAAACAATAGTCTTGAATATATACGGCTACAGAGCCTCTAACATTTAAGTCCATCCTATGTAATATTGTTGGATTGCTTAGATAATAGCGGCGTCCTTTCAGTCAGTCCTCCACTTTCGATCACAGTATTTCCATTATCATCGGTTTCCAAAAATTCATTTTGAAGACTCGGTGTATTATCAGCCAGAAGACTCGTCGTTGCCTGTGAGCGAGTTAGTATCAAACATTAACAATAATCCAAATGCTGGTTTGGAGAGCTGTATAACTTACCTCTGACTCTAAGTTGGTCCCTGTTTTCCTTGCCTGCAGTTCAAAGTATATCCCCATCACCAACAGGCAGCCTTGCAAGCATCCAGTCACGAGATATACTCCCCAGATGCTCCAGCCCTCGGTCCCGAGCCTTACTGCAAGGCTGCCTGCCCATACAAAGCTACCAGGAGTTTGGATGACCATCATCGGAATGCTCAAGCTCCCTACATGGCCTAGTTGGAATGTCGTCCAAATCTGTGGAAAGTATTGCACACAGGCCAGGCCTGCAGCCATGAGGCCCAAAGTATTGGCCAGAGTTCCCAGATAACTCGGCCGCGAGAATTGAAACCACGCGCTAACAAATATAACTAGTAGGCCATGGGCAAGACATAAGAATGCGACGCCAAGAGCGGTGCGCCAAGTTGGCGCCTTGACGGTCGTGCTTTGTGGAAGGACGGGGTTTCTCGGGAAGAATATGAGGAAGAGGAGTAATCTAGCATATAATGTTAGCTAGTTTCAGAGACACACGATTCCGTAGCTAGACTTACATAATAGCAAAACAAAACCATTGAACGCCGACCTGGAAGATGCCGAGCAATCCCGCGAAGCACTCAAACGAGCTCACGGTCTTGCAGCATGCGACATCTGCTCTCGATGCTGGCAGAACAAGGATGCTAGCAAATGCGCTTGTTCCGGATGTCGTTCCGAGAAGGATGAAATATGGTGATATGCCTTCGGAGGTGCCGCGCGCAATGATACGGTAGTGTTGGGGGAGGTAGGAGACGAGGATGCCGACGAGAATAAGACTATCATTTCCAACATTAGTATTTGCTTATCAAAGGGCCATATATATAATTCACAGCTCAACGCCTCGATTTGAGTGGCGTAGGAGTAACTTACATTGATAGCGACAAGTTTAGGTAGCTTGGCGCTTGGAGCTGCTCGCATCGGCTTGCGATAAAGGTGGCGAGCTCCATCATGGAGCTTATGGGCCGGGGCCCGGCTGATAATAGGAAGGTAAGTAGTTGGTGGTACAGAGGAAGATTCGCATATATCTGGATGGCCACCTCTTAATGTGTATGTTCGAGGATGCGGAGGCTAAGAGGAGGATGACCTTGGCCCAGCCTCGCTATTTGTGTTGCGGGCCGCCACTGCCCGCATTACACTAACCATTTAAGTGGGACTGCGGGGTGCGGTGAAAAGCGGCAGTATGCAGGATCTCTAATCCGATTATATGGACTCGAACCATCCTGTTCTAGAACCTTAAGCGCGCGAAATATGGGGTATAATCATGCAACAGAATAGGATTGAACCATTTATAGTCGACATACAGCTGAATAAATATGGATGCTGAATTATGCCCCCCGCAATTGGTGGCGACAACAAGTAGCACATATTCATGCTCAATCGAAGAATCGAGAAAACGCGAACTTGAAGCACGTGAAGACTCTACTGTCTTCTCCCCAGTAGGGACTGCACAAGATGGCCGCGAGTCTAATTACTTTAAAAGCATACAATGGTCTGAAATCCCACGCTGTTCGGCCTTTTTTTTAAGTACTCACTAACAAAGATCTAGGTCTCCTGACGGCACATCGCTGATAGCAGCGTCTGCCGACAACAAGCTCCGTTTCTACGTCGCACCCCCTGACCTTCTATCTCCGTCGTCCTCACCTCACATACTGACACCATATACTACCTACGCTGCACCGGAGCCAACCTACACGCAATCCTTCTACCCGCATTTTGATCTCCAAAATTCCTCAACAACCGTCCTCCTATCATCACCACGAGATCATCCAATCCAGCTCATCAACGTCCTCTCCCCAGAGCCATCACCAGTGTCCACCTACTCACTAGTATGTCGCACCACGGAAGCCTACCTGACTCCCTCCTCCTTACTCTGGCACCCGTCTGGCCAGGAATTCTACACCGGGACCGACTGTCTAATCAGCATCTTCGATGTATCCCGCTCAGGCGAGGGCCCAACCACACGCCTCCCAACCATTCCATCAAAGCGCCATAAAATGAAGGGCGGTGGCGTTGGGATGCGTGGTATTGTCTCGTGTCTAAGTTTGCAGCCTGACGCGCCTGATAGTCCGTTGGGGAATGGCATGCTAGCTGCTGGAACGTGGACGCGATGGGTTAGCCTCTATGACGCGGAGGGGCTGGGAGGCACTGTTGCGAACTGGAGTATTGCATCTGCAGCGGATGATGAATCTCAAATCGGCGGGGCTGGGGTGAGCCAAGTTCTCTGGAGTGCATGTGGTCGATACCTTTTTGTTGTTGAGCGCAAGAGTCGAGGGGTACTTGTCTACGACGTAAGAGTTACTGGAAGGCTCGTAGGTTGGTTGGAGGGACGGGAAGCAGAAACGAATCAGAGAATGAGCGTCGACACCGCTTCTATCGGTGGCAAGAGCGAAGTTTGGGCAGGAGGAACGGATGGCAGGGTCAGAGTTTGGAGAGACGTTGGAAGTAAAGAAAGAGGTGCGAAACCAGACATGGATTGGCTTGCGCATGAGGAGGGGACAACAGTTGGAGGCCTAGCATTGCACAGCTGCGGCTCTGTCGTCGCGACTGCTTCTGGAATGAGGCGAGAGAGGATTTATGTTCCAGAGACGGACAGTGACTCAGAGAGCGAAAGCGAAGACGATTCTTCCGACGATTCAGATGTTAGCGATAAAACAACCAAGACGCTTTCCGAAACCTCGACAATCTGTTCCTCACACCAAGAGTTGACCGAGGATAATACTATCAAGTTATGGAGCATACTATGAAATCTATCTCATATGCTAGGTGTGCATTACATCTCATGGCCACTTGCTATCAGCACCGATACATGTTACCAAATGGATTCTCGCAAAGCAGCGAAGCTACATTCGCCAATATTCCTCCCAAACCAATGCTATCAGGGCGTGTCATGTCTCCACCGAGCATCAATGATACTAGACACCCTGCCAAGAACCCTCTCACCATCAAGGACAGGGCTAAACATGCGTATTCTCTCACTGTGGCCCATCCCAACAAATGCACTGATCCCGAACATGCCACGCCTACTCGGATGCACGCCCTCTGGTGCCTTCAAAGACGAGACCACCGCTTGCGCGGCATATGGATTCATGCCACATCGCCTTAAGAAGACTTCCCATTGCGTTTCATCCTCAAGCAAACCACGGGTATTGGAGCCGGTTGCGCCGTATCGAATCATACCTGCGACGACCCAGTTTGCCAGCGTCTCATGCCCGCCAGGCACGAAATATGCGATGACTGTACATGGTAACGAAGCACAGAATCCCATAAAATCAGCCATCGCCATACATTCTTGACCACCTAAAACGGCAACCGAGCTCTCGTCAGGCGATGCTTCACTGATAAAGACCAAAAACCTTTCATACCTCATACAGACCGCTTCAACCCTGCTCTTGATCTCAGACTTCTCTTTCTGGCCCGGCAGTGGCTTCTGCTTGATTTTCATGAGGGTTGTTAGCACCACACCCGTCGACGGAGAGAGAACAAGATCTGCTTCAGCGGCAAGAGGACTTCTGACTGGAGACCGTGTGATGGTACCTTGTCTGAGCCATGCTGTTGTGTTGTATCTGTTGAAATTCCTCTCGATGAACTGAGCTGTTGGAATTAAGGATTTGATGGCGCTGAATAAGGGGCGTTGCTTGAGAAGATCCGTTGAGATTATGTATTGGGTTGGCTCAGTTGGGATAGTGATGTTTGATAATGGCAGTGGAATGTCTGCTTTTGTGAGACGAGAGCTGGCGACGACTGGCGGTGGGATAGGCAGAGGTGCGGAATTGTTGGTAGGAACTGCCTTGGGGGTGGAGAAATAGGAGGTGGTGCTGTCTGCGGGCTTGTGCCTCTTCGTTCCTCTCATCTCCATAAAATTGTCTAGGGCCGTTGTTGCTGAGAATACATCGCCTATAAGTGTCTCTCCATATCCACTGTCGCCATGCCCCTTGTTGACTGTGTCGGAATCAGCTACGGTTCTTGGCGTGAGTTTCTGGGAATGTCTGTTTGCTGCATAATGCATCGTAGAGTTTCCCGATTCTTGGATGTTTTCTTGGGTTCCATTTTCTCCCATCTCTCCAAGCTCCAGCTTTCTTTTCTTGACCAGTGAAGCCATATCCAGCTCTTCAGATAAGAACACGCCAGCTTCTAAGTCCTCATCATCCTCATCGTCATCCTCTCTCAGGATTCTTATTCCTGGTGCTTTGTATGTAAGGCTTTTACTGCTGGTAACACCGGTGTCCATCGCTGGATTGATGTACTCCAAGAGAACGTCTTCGTTTCCGAACTCCTCAGTCAAAGCAACTTCGGCAAGACCTGATGGGAAAACTGTCCAGTGGACAGTGTGATTTAGCTTCCGCAAGACTTTTGGGCGATCTGGGAGCTCGATCTCTTTAAATATTAATTTCAATATCTCTCGGGGCTGAGATAGGCTTTTGTTGAAGCTGCTGATCTTTGAGACATCCCAAGGTGTATTCGGTGCAGTGAAGTCCAAGATGGGCACTTCTACCCTGCCTGTTGTCGCAGCTTCTTGCAGCTGCTCTTTGTCAAGCCTGCTATTTTCTATGTTATATGCCTCTTTAAAAGTGTCATACAATGTGTGGTCCATGAAAAACGAGTCTTCATCCCCCGACTCATTGGCGGATGAAGTGAAGCCCGGGTAGTCCTGATCAAACAGCATTTCCTCCACGGTGTCGCTGAATGTGACGGTTTTTACCAATGGTAATGGTGGCGTCAGCGGGGCTTCAACTTTGAGGTCATGGGATGTTTGGTGCTCGTGAACTGGAAAGAGTTCATCGGAAAGGAGAGATGGAGTTTCGAAATATGTATTTCTCTGATTATAGCGCTGCTCCTGGTGATGTTCAATTGGGTCGTTGTAATCGCTCGATTCTTCCTTAACTGAGAGGAGTTCATCGTTTTCAAAAATGGCCCTTTCGGCCGCTTCCAGGTCCGCTCCAAGTAGCGACGGAGGATCGGAGAGTAACGGGAGATGGCAGGTTGGTGAAGATGGCTGGAACGGCTCAGGTGTGCCCCAGCGTAGAGGAGACAATGGAGGTGTGACTGGAGCAAGAGCTGGGTTCTGTCCAGTGTCATTAGCTGCATGGAAGAATAAAATCTAACACGGAACATGCATTGAAACATACCCGTTTGTAAGAAGACTGGGAAGCAAGCAGATCCTTTGTGTCCTCCTTGGACCAGTTGTCTTTCAAAGCTGTCTGCAGGTAAACCATAGTGTCTCTCGTCACAGTAATTTTTTCCATTCTGCAATCTTTCGTAAGAGAATTTGGCAAGTTTGCAAATCTTGACGGCCATTTGATGCCTTCATCTTTCTCAATGTCAAGCGGTTCATATATGAAACTTTCGTCACTGATGCATGGATTCTGTCGTTGCCTGAAAGCTGCAAGATCTGCATCAGGATCCGTCCTTAACAGAGGTAGTTCCAGCTTCAGTTTCTGCCGCCTTGGTCTGACTGAAGCTGCAGCGGTGATCTTATCCATGGTGCCTTGGTCAAGAAACACTCCATTTGCGCCGGCAAGTAGTATTTCGGCGCCCTTGTCAATTGTGAGACGCTCGTCGGTTGGAAGGATAGGCCGATAGTTGATTTGGGAAAGGTGAAAACCATCTGATATATCTTTCTCATAGGTCTGAAAGAGACTCTCGATATGTGATAGTGGTGGTGGATCTCGAAGAGGGTCGATGGAAAGCCCGTGGAAACGAGCGTATTCAACGATGGGCTCCTCTTCATCCTCCTGAGAACTCATGAGGACAGTATCAAAGCTTATTTGAGAGGAGGTAGAAATGTGCTATAATAATACTATTGATATAAAGTTATTTTTGCACGTATGGGAAGTTCCTTTGGCGAGAGGATCTTGGGTTGATAAGAACTAACTGTCAAGAGACATTGGACAGTTGTTGTCACTGTATACCTCGTTTACAGCTACACCTGAATAAGAACGAGGAGCATTATACATCTCCAAATTACACCGCCTTTACCCCCGATCATACTGCACTGTAGTAGAATATTGCAACTGTCCCTTCGTAGCAAGAATTAACCGTATTTAAACTGACGTCCATATATCATTTTTGCCCTGCTACCATGACACTTTATTCTTGCTTCCATGCCCGCCATATCCAGCCATCCATATTAAAGTACAAAATGCCCATGCATGAATGGCATTCAACACCAGACTCCATCCCGATCATAACGCACTAATACACGCCCCTGCGCTTTCCATTCCCATTGACGGATACAGGGCCAATGAAATGTCCCAATTGCAGGCTCTGCACTCCCTCTCGTACGCCCCCAACCTTCCCAGCAACCTCCAAAATACCCATCTCAAAGTCCCTAAGCACGCCCACAAGATTTTCCACCTCGTTCTTATCTTGGCCGTTGCGCCCAATATTACTACCCGCTTGCATGAGCGACCTCTCCACGCCACGTAGATGGAGCTCGATCTCGCTGATGTTGTCCTTGTACGTCGATATCGTCTGGCCCATCTCATCGGACGTCTGCGAGAAAAACGTAACAAGATCTCCCGCCGCCTCTCCCGGCGTCGAAGCCGATGGTGACGGCTTCGACGGGTTCCAGATGCCGGTGTGGAACTGTTGTGGTAGCTTCAGGTTGTCTACGACCGTGAAGCTGAGCTTGGCGTTTTCACCATCCACGTAGACCTGTTTGCTTATCTGCGAGACGGCTTGGACGTCCCCGTCTAGGTTTGCTTGCACGCCAATCACCTTTCGTTGAAGGAAATCGACGTTATCGGGGACAAGCTCGAGCTGCTCGCCGTGCGCTGGGAGGATGGCGGTGCACTGATCGCCTTTGGCCATGAGGCTGAGAACCCCTGCGTCAAACTCTTCGATCTTCTTTTGGAGCTCCTCGTTGAGGTCGTTAAAGCGGGTAGTGTTGCGCAGATTGGTCAGATCTATACGAACGCCGGGGACGGTTGCTTGTGTAGGTTGGCCTTGCGACTGGCCCATCGTCAGGCCGCCAGCGAAACTGCTCCCAAAGGCGCCAGTTGATTGTTGTGGCCTGGCAGAGGAAGAGAATAACGAGCTCTGTGGCTGTTGCTGTTGTTGCTGAGGCATCTGCATCGATGCGCCCCCACTAGGTAGATTAGTTTACTGCGTGCTATTTTTTTTGGGGAAGTATAGTACATACAAGAACGAAGGCTTTGCCGCCTGGGCCTGGGTGTTTGCACCGCCAAAGAGCCCGCCACCAGTCTGCTGAGGCTGCTGAGCCTGTGCTGATCCAAACATCCCTCCTGTAGAAGCCGCTGGCTGAGCGCTACCAAACAATCCTGAGCTCTGCGGTTGTGTTGAGGCTGGAGCACCACCAAATAGACCGCCAGATTGTGGTTGTGCAGCAGGTGCAGCGCCGAAGAGTCCTCCAGTCTGCGCAGGCTGCGTCGCGGTTGTTGACGCCCCAAAGAGACCCGATGTCTGAGGTTGCGCCTGTCCAAACAAGCCGCCGGTTGGTTGCGACATTGTTGCTTTGCCAAACAATCCGCCAGCTGCAGGAGCCTGACTTGACGTATTCGTTGATCCACTATTTTGCACAAAGGACGTTAGTAACGCTACTCTCCGTGGCCCGGCAGAGGGATTGGGAGCGACGGGGTTGCTCACAACAAATTCGCAGAGCCAACGTTGATACTTAAGGCTCCAGGACCGCTTGCTGAGCGTGCAAGTGCCATATTTTATCAACAGTTAGGCTCGCGCTTGTGGTAGCCTCAGATTGCAGCTTAGTTCGTGAGACGCGCCGCAACCCAAAAATGAGGCTAAGCGAATGAGCTTGTACCTTACCTACCCTTGCTCGTGTAGCCTCGTTCAACTACATGCGCTCGACGTCACTTGCAGCCTTCGAAGCTCCCATACACATTTATAGTCAAGATGGATATCGACGACGACGACGATTTTTACGCGCCTGAGGAGAGCGTGCCTACTACGAGTGAAGCAAAGGAGGAGCCGCGACAGACCCCCGCGCAGGAAGTGAGGCCTGAACAACCAGAGGATGGTTCAGAAGAGGGCGAAGAAGAAGGCGAGGAGGTAGAGGAGGATGATGACTCGGATATTGATATTATCACTGAGCGCAAAGATGGAACGAAAGCCGCTCCGCCGTCGTAAGTAGCATTGACATGGTGGTTATGGCCTCATGCTAACAATCCCTCAGAAACGCACGTTACAACGACATCCGCAACATCGCCCAGCGCACCGCCTCAAACGACGTAACCCAAAAAGCCACCGCTCCCAAAAAGTCAGAGAGCGCAAAACCCTCCCTCCCAGCTTCCGGCGCCGACCTCCCCGCCGTCGCCACCTCCACGATCGACATTGACGCTAAGCCCATATACGACCCAGCGCGCAAGCCCATCACACAAGTGAATATCGACGAGGACTTACCCGACAACGACAAACCGTGGCGCCGCCCCGGGACGGACATCAGCGACTACTTCAATTACGGGTTCGACGAGTTCACGTGGGCGCTGTATGCGGCGAAGCAGGAGAGCCTCCGCTCGGAGTACGACCAGAGCAAGCTGGCGGACAACCAGAAGAAGATGATGGAGGATATGAATATGATGATGAGCATGGGCTCGATGCCGGGGATGCCGGGCGGTGCTGGCGCGGGTATGGGCATGGGCGCTATGCCAGGGATGGAGGGAATGCCACCGGGAATGGAGGCAATGATGCAGCAGATGATGGCGTCGGGGATGGACCCAAGTCAGATGGATCCCTCGGCCATGTTTGCAGGCATGGCTGGGCAGGGAGGAGCCGCGGCAGGACAGGCGGCCGGCCAGAATGCTGGATTTGGCGGACAAGGGTTTGGCCAGGGTAACCAACAGCAGCAGATGGGAGGATATGGTGGCTTCGATCAGGGGATGGGGAATACCGGGGGCGGGGCGAACAGAGGGAATTTTAGGGGTAGGGGAAGGGGACACCGGAATTGGTAAAGCCAGCGAGTGCTGTGCTGTGATGACATTTTGGGTGTATTTGTAGCCTGGCGTTTGGTGGTGAAAAGATGGATATATCTCAGGGATGCAACTGTTGATTTAGTGGTGGGTGATATCGGTTCCAGCTCGATGAGAGCCATGGCTGTGTCTAGATATGTTGAATGTCAGTGGACTGGTTATCGGCATATATTACAGGCATCTGGTTCATCGATGCTGTATACTATACTCTTGTGACTCCGTGACTGTGTTGTCGCAGGGAATTCTCCGTCTTTGTACTTGGATTTGAAGGTTTCCGGTCTCTGTTCTCTTCGGAGTTGATGTCAGTTACTGACGAGGGAGATATGGCCAAAGCGGGAGAAATGCCTCATCAATCCTCATACAGTGCCTGGGCTGCTAAAATAAGAAATATCCTGCATACCCGCACATACATACCCCTCCTTTCGCCCCCCGACCAAGCCGGGATGACCAATATAGAAATCCGAACGAATACTCGCATTCAACAAAATCTTCGTTGAGGAATGGCTATGGGTGACAAGAGTAAGCTAGTCGTCTCCAACACACCACCATCCGATAAACCAAAGGATAGCCGCCGCGAAGTGCCACCGAAGTAGACCATATCACGTAGATCCATCCATCCCCGCCGACGCCGTCTCTGCCGCTTCACCAATAAACACCGTGACACTAACAGCATGCACCCACCCCCACCATCTAAATCCACGTGGGGTGCATGATTGCACTGCACGTACGGCCATATACGGTACTGGACGCCATGTACCGTACCACATCTATCATCTGATACTGGCCAGTCCCCAAAGGCCGTGAGAATAGCCAGCCTCGCCCGTCTCAGGTGGTTGCATGACATCCCATCCCATCCCACACCATCCCACGCCGATTCGGCCGCTTGAACCACTCCCAGGACGTCGCTAAGGCACGGCCGCCAGGGACAGGCTCCTCTGCGCTTCGCACCCGTTCCCTTCCTTGTCTGACCTTGCCGTTTCGGGTAAGTGGGGGGTGTTTACGGCTTGTCTTTTGTCGTTGCTTTGTTCTCTTCGCGGTTCTTCCCATACACTCGTACTTACGCCGTACACAACTTGTATAGGAACTATTGTTTTATATCTTACTGTATTGCGGTGTACTGTGAACTGAAATGTAAGATCAGAGTTACTGTACTGCGCTGTACTGCGCTGTACTATTTGTTTACATGTGACGCCCGGGCGTTGGCAGACGTCATGCTGGCCAGAGTGGGGGGATGAGGGGCGGCGTGGGGTCAATATGGGTTTTCGTTTGGGCTTGGGCCTTGGAAACCAGACGACGAGAAGGGTCCATTTGCCTTTGGGCTAAGGAACTCTAAGTCGGGCTACTGAGAACGCCGTTTATTTGTGTTTGGACTATTTTCTACACCAAGCTGATTTGACTTCGAGCTACCACTACACTACTTCGAACTACAACTTACTGCTTTACTACTGAAACTGGTGACTGCCTATAAGTCAGCTCCCCAACCATTATGTATATCGCCATCTCAGCATATCCGGCCTGCATCTTTCAACCCATACTCGATCTGCTGCCCAACCTGCACCTGCACCTGCCTATACAACGGCTTGCCTGAGGCGTGGGGGGATCAAGACAATACCAGAACCAACACCAAACGTCTCATATATCGCTCATCTCAAGAAACCCTTCCTCCTCAAGCTCCCAGCTTCTTGAAACACACAAAAAAAATCGCCCAAACCAGCAACCATGCAGTCATTCACACCCCTCACCACCGACAACAAGCCCTCCCCCTCCCTCCACCAAAGAAGCAAATACTCCTCCTCCAGCACCTCCACCAGCTCCCCGCTCTCCAACACCGCAAGCCCAATGTCCGTCCTCCAGCCCTCCCACAACACCACCGCCTCCCCAGCAGACTGGCGCACCTCCTTTCTCTCCATCATCACCCCTGCCCTCCGCTTCTCCTTCGACCTCGCCTACACCACGCAGCTCCTCTTCACCATCGTGCTCTCCTTCCTGCTCTCCCACGGCCTATACGCTACCAAGGCACTCGCCGTGAACGCCTACCACGCCTCGCGGATCTTCCTCATAAACGCCTGGCACACCCTCGTGTTTGTGGGTATCAACCTCTTCTTCGCGTCGAGGGTGGTGGGGATCAAGACGCTGCAGGCGCTGGGGGTGGCGACGGTGTTTGGCTGGAGGAGTGGGAGTGTGGTGTCGGGCCATGGGTGGGTGGCTGCGAGTACGGCGGTGAAGAAGGGGTGGAAGGGGACGGAGAGGGCGAGGGCGAGGGTGTTTTTTGAGTTTATGGTTTGGTTGTTGCATCCGTCGCCGTTGGTGTTGTTTATTTTCTGGCCGGGGTGGATTTTTGTGTTTATGGGGATGGGGTATTATTACTACTGCTGAGAGGATGGTGGGGATAGAGCATATATGGTGCATGAAGGTGTGTTGCTCAAGGCAGAGGGGGTCGAGAGGCAGCATGTTGATATCTCCCAGATATAGTCTACGAGGAGCTCTCACACGGCGATGAAGACTCACAAGATGATGGGAACACTCACACACGCCGAAGACACTCAGAAAGTCGAAGATACTTGCACAAGCCGAGGACACTCCCGCATGTCGACGACGCGTGGGGCTCTAGCAAGGCAAAAGTTAAACTGGGCGTGCGAAAGACATTTACAGGGTCAAAGAAGTTGGCAGTTAAAAGTCACACAAAGGCTACTGTAGGAAGCCGATATGTCGGAGAAGAGTTCATCTTGACAGTTGAAGGGCTATAGAAGGATTACTGTTTAGTCAGAGAAGGGTTACAATTACCACTTGAAGTATCAAAGAGTTACTCATATACAAATAAAAACTATCACAACCCATCCAACTCACAACTACTCTCCACATATTATGCATTGTGAACATCTCATATTCAATCTCTATTCGGGTATCCATCTCGAAACCACAACGCCAGCCTATATAATTCTCTACTTTTCCCCGCCCCGAACCATTCTCAATTCAATCACCTCCTTCCCCCGCCGCATCCTCTCCCCCGCCCTACGAGAAGAAAAACGCATTCCCCCCCACATCCCTCTTAACCTCCGCCTGATAATCCTTCTCCGGATCAAACTCCTGCCACACGCTCGCCGGATAAATATGTTTATTCCTCTCATACCACCTCCGATCCACCACCTTCGTAAACGTCGGATCGTCATTCGCGCCATCCAAGTCCGCGATGGGTATCGCAGCAGTGGTGGTGGTGGATTTGTTGTTCGAGGGCCGCGAGAGGGGGTTATAGTTCTCAGGGATCTCATCGCTGGGTGTCGCGGCGGAGGGGGTGGTGTCGGGGGGTGCTTCGGCGCTGTAGTCGAAGAGGAGGCGGGAGTTGGGGCCGAGGGTTTTGTTGATGATGAAGTAGTAGAAATCGTAATGCTGTCTCTTGTCAGCTCCCGCAATTTCCCCATCTTTTTGCATCAAGTAAGAAACTCACCGGTGGAATAATAATCTCCCCCCTAACCATCATCAAATCATCCACCCCCACCTTCGCCCACTCCCTCCTCGCCTTCGCATCTCCCTTCCCCGCCTCTCCACCCACCCCGGCTCCTACCTCCGCCCCGACCTTGCGACTCCCATCAAGGAATTTCCACACGAAATCGCCCTTTGCTACTCTGCACACTCCGCCGGGGACATTACTCCCATCGTAGAAGACGAAGGGTATCGCGATCGGCGCTGCCTTGACACGTTCTTGTAGCCCCAGGAACTCTTTCCGTAGCGCCTCGCGCGCCTGCGACTCTTGGAGGAGCGAGCGCTTCGTTAGCGCTTTGGGCAAGGCACCGATGGAAGTGTTGGCTGCAAATTTGCGCTTTGGTGCTGCATCGCTTGAAGGTGCGGGGGATCCGCTTTGTGAACGCGACTCTGCGCCGTTTTTGGGGGTTGGTTTATTTGAGTTGTTGAAATCGCCTTCTTCTTCATCGTCGACGCCAAAACTCAGCTTCGGAGTGCCAGCTTTGCGCTTCGGTTTCTTCTTAGGAGGTTCAGAGGGGGTAGAGCCACTGTACTGAGAAATTAGCTTTTCACTCTTCTGCATCAATTGCGCGATGCTGAGGGGAGGGGAATTGAATGCGACTCACCCCGAGCCCGCGACGGGCGTAGCAGCACCAGAGCCGCCGCGACTACTGCCTAGTAGCGATTCCTGGGCATCGCGCTCTTTCTGCTCGATAGCCTCCGCTCGGCGCTTGCGGAAGTCGGAGAGGTTGACGAGGCCGACGGTTTGGTTGGAGAGGATGTCCTCGGCGGTTTTGGCTTGGGGCTTGAAGCGCGGGTTGGGGGTGGAGGAGCCGGAGGAGGGGGTCGACATTGCGGTGCGCTGTGGGGAGTAGGAGCGCAGATTGGGAGTATGGAGAGTGGTGATGTGGGAATCGTTGTGTAGAATCGGTGGAGGTTACGTTGCTGGGTTGGCTTGGATCCAAATTTGGATGAGGTGCTGCAAGGCTGAGATGTGGCGGGAGGCTGATCGGCGCTAGTAAGACGTGTGGGTGCCAGTTGAGAATCCGATCCGATCGTCAAATGTGCACGGGTGTTATCGCCTTATCAGTTACTGGAGGAGGGGGTTGAGACGGAGGATTCTGTAACTCTTCGTATGCTCGAGAAAAGCTAGATCTTTAAAATCGAGAAGCATTTATATCTGCAAGTTAGTTCTTTTAAATATCCCGAATCATCTACAAGACCAAGCTGGCTACCGCCAACTCATCCTTCTATGTATGGGTGGGAGACCCTTGGTATCTAAATGTAATAACCCAATGTCTATCGCATGCGTCTAGTTCTCAACCACGATTCCATACTTCTCATACGGGAAGTTCTCCAACGTGAGGAGATACTGGGCATATCCGTCACCAATCTCTCCTGCGCCCTCTCCAATGACACCCTGAGCATCAGGAATTCTACCTGCCAAGACAAGATCTTCCCTTCCAATAAACTCCTCCTTGAGACCTGGGTGAGGGCACCAAATAGCTTGCATACCCGCCCTCCTTCCAGCCTCAACACCTGGGACAGAGTCCTCAAATACAAGGCACTCTTCTGGTTTAATTGGCGCCTCCCCTTCTGCTAGAGTAGCGTTCACCATATCCAAAGCGAGCAAGTAGATATCTGGTGCTGGCTTACCCCTTCCCTTCGCGATTCTCGGGTCATCTCCCAGCACACGCCTCGCATCCACGAACACCTCGAACAAGTGTCCCAGGTGATCGGTCTTCAGCTTGAAGTTCCCGGTATGCGAGCTCGTAGCCAGAGCCAGGTGCAGCTTCTCCCCATCCTTCGCGCCCTTGGGCTTCGCGGAGTTAAGGTTCTTCAGGAGCTCGACAACACCAGGTAGTGGTGCCGCTGATGGAAACAGCTTGCGCTGGATCTCGGCTTGCTCGAGAGTGAACTGCTCTTGTGGGATGGGTAGTTGCGCCCACTCGTGGAAGATGGCTGCAGCGGCGGGGCCGGGGCGGCCTTGGAGCTGTGCCTTGACGGACCATGGCATTGGGGGGCGGCCGTAGCGCTCGAGCATTGTGTTAACGCTCTCGGAGTATTTATCCTCGGTATCGAGGAGGAGGCCATCCATGTCAAAGAGACATGCTCTGATGGGAGGGAACCTGGGCTGAAGTTAGATTCCGCAGTGGGCGGTATAAACATCGCGATTCGGTACTAACTCTTTAGTATCTTGAGCCATTTTGATAGTCTTTACCGCGGAATAGTCTTGGGGTAATATTACGGGAGTAGTTGTAGATACTAAAGAGTCACAGTGGCAAAGAGGTGTAGCTGTTCAGGTTACAGGGCGAAAAATAATAGAGGGGTACGGTCCTTCCCGTTGGGGTTTCCCCACATCAGCGCGGTAATCATTCCGCCCAAGGTCTCATGAAGGTCGGTGGGGTTCTCCTCTGGCTTCCAACATCCGCGCCATGGCATCCAGAACAGAACGCTTCGAGCGGAAAGCAAATTCCAAGCCTGTCGTGCCATCGCCGACCGAGGAAACAGAAACTGTGCGGTTCGAACCCGAAGAGGAAGCTGTACGTACGGAATCCCTGCCGAGCCAATGCCACCTCCTAACCCCAACCTAGGAACTCCTCAGGGAATCGAACGAGCGCAAGGCTGCGGCTAACGGAAAGTTCGCTGCTGGAGAGTATGGCGAGGCGATAAAAATTTACGCAGAAGCCATTTCGTCATGTCCGAATTACCTCTTCTATGAGCGCGCAGTGCTGAATAGCAATGTTGCAGCTTGCTACTTGAAGTTGGAAGAATGGAAGGAGACGATCAAGGCTGCGAGTGAATCTGTCGACGACCTCGACCGTTTAGATCCCACAAAATTAAAAGAGAATAAAAAAGGTAGCAGTCCCAAAGGCGAGGATGGGAAGGAGATCGTTGAAGTCGAGGAGGAAGAAGCAGATGAGGAGATAGTCAGTGTTGGGGCAGCCAAGGCTGAGAACACTTCAGAGGCAGCGCGGCGGAAGACAGACATAGAACGGATACGCTCGAAGGCCTTACTGAGGAGGGCAAGGGCAAGGAGTGAGATGGGGGGGTGGTCGGCACTTGGGGGGGCTGAAGAAGGTATGTTATAGCGTTGCCTGTGCGACGTCGGGTTGCTAATGCGAGATAGATTACAAGGAGCTCTCGAAGATGTCGAACCTATCACCAGCAGACCGCAAGGTGGTGCAAAGGCAGCTGATCCTGCTACCACCACGGACAAAAGCAGCACAAGAAAAGGAGATGGGCGATATGATGGGGCAGCTCAAGCAGCTTGGGAATGGCATTCTGAAGCCGTTCGGCTTGTCCACAGATAATTTCCAGATGGTCAAGGATGAGAAGTCAGGTGGATATAGCATGAACTTTAACCAAGGGAATAAATAATATCTATTCTTGAAAGCCAAATATCTACTAAAAACACGGTAAATGACAAGGTATCATCGTATAGTACAATCAATTACAAATGAGCGGGCACCATAATAGCCCTTCCTCTCCTCTTCTTCTTCCCTGACGCATCTGCTTCCTTTGCAGCATCCGCTGAAGCTGCCGAAAACAGAGACTGGCCTAATGTGTCCGCAAGCGTGAGCACTCTGGTGCTGACAGTCGCGCCATCACGTCTATTCTTGCCCTCGCGTCTCGACTGCGCAATCATTTCGGTGAAATCCCATAATTTGCCTCGTGGAGCGATCTTGCCCGTCAACGGGTCGCGTTGTGGCGTCCACGCCGGAGCGAGCTTCATCTGGGGAGGCGAGTTGGACAACTTGTCTTTTGCTATTACTATAATACCTTCTTCTTCAAAGCGCTGGTATGCGTTTTTAAGAGTTTCTTTGTTAACCGCTTCGAAATACGAGAGATCGCCTTGGTGATATAGTGTTTTCCCGAGCTGCAACATCGTTAGCTTGTACCCAGTTATTCTTCAGTTAGAAGGCTTACCAGTTGTGCACTGTTTTGTGCACTAGTTACGCCTACCCAAGCTTCGTCTGGTCGCTCAAATGATGGCGTCAAGCCCATCAGAGACACTGCACCGAGCCAGCTTGCCTCAATGAAGGGCCAAATCATAAAGCAGTAGAAATCGTAGTTCTCGCGTCCAGCAGCGCGCTCTTCCTCAGAAAGACCAACTTCTTTGATGTTTCCATCGGAGTCACGTATTAGCTCAATGACCTTGTCTTCCTCGAGGCCATGGAGAGTATTTTCGAGATTTTGAGCCAGCCCATCTGTTGGGTAAATAAACTCGCCCCTGAAAAGTTGTGACAGAAACAGGACCTGGTCCCGAAGCTCAGTAAATGAGATTCGCTGGTCCGACCTTAACCCTCCGCGTTTGATTCTCGTATACATGCTGGCGCTTACAAGCGCTTCCGTAATGAATAGATGGATTGTCATGTTGCGATAGAAGGACAGCTGGAATCGGTCGACAGCATAATATGTCGGTGTAGGAAGTCCTTCGACTACGCCAACCAAATCTTTTCCTAGCACGTCCAGACCTCTATCAATGACAGAAGAGGTTGTTGCACCGCCAAAATGAGCAACTCGGCCTCCCTTAGCTCGAACTCGGTCGCTCAGCCATTCAATCCTTCGAATCAGCTCTGGTTTTCCTACACCGCGTCCACGAAGCGTAAGAAGGACTGTACCAATCAACGCAGTTGGCATCACCACAGAAATAGCATTAATGTCCGATAATACCTTATAGCCCAATGTCCGCAGTATTCTTTGGCGGACGGTGGGGTCGTCGGCAGCCTTCAAGTTCAATTGCTGGGGAATTGTGGTGCTTCGAGACATTTGCTCCTGAATAAACCCTCTTAGGCTCCATGGCTCGTGGAATCTGACATCAACTCTGCCAAGCTTCAACGATAGCACTGAAGATGCCGACAGGAAATCTGCCAGGTTCTCCTTCTTCTTAGGAACTCCAAGTAACTCGCCCACATAGCCTTCGGTTTCGATGACTTTATCGTATTGTGTACTAACTGGGCAGATGATTGTATCTTCAACGCGCCCTGACAGTATACTATCCAGAATGAAACTGAGAATGCCGAATTTTGGCGGCAGGAGTTTTCCTGTCCGTGAACGGCCGCCTTCAATAAAACATTCGAAATTGAAGCCTCCTTGAAGAAGTGTATCAATATATGCCTGGACGACAGTGGTATACAGGACGTCATCACCAAAACTGCGGCGGATAAACATGGCACCTAACGAAGTCAGTCTTGTTGATATCGATCAACCAACAGAACATATCTCTACATACCTGCGTGCTGTAAGAATGACCCAACCACAGGGAAGTTCAAATTATCTCCCGCGACCACGGTCGGTAAGGCCATCCCAAGGCGGTAGCTAATAAGTTGTAAAGATACATAGTCCACATGCGACCGATGGCATGGTAGGAATATGATACTTTGTCGTTTCTTCTCTGCCTCCTTAGCAACATTCCGTAGCCTCAGAACTTCTTCGCTTGACACGTGGATGCCTATTATTATAAAGCACGTCGTCAGTTCAGCTTGTAAAATGGGCCATCCATACCAACGCACCTTGGTGGTATGCTCTAGTCAACAACTCCGTACAGAAATAATATGCGCTCCTGATAAATGTTTTGTTTTCCATCTTGCAGATCATGCCATCTGTCATTTGTTCTGCCAGCTGTAGTAGGCTATGCTCTATCGCAATCTTTCGTGCTGCTTTATGTGTCTCGAACATGCTATCGTCTCGGTTTAAAAGGCCCTGTTCTTCTTCCGCCACAACGCGCTTCGAAGCCAACTCGGAGATTTTGCTTTGCAGGATTGGTGTCGACACTACTGCAGCTTTCATATTCTCGCTGAAGCCGGAGTAGTAGACCGGCTGGCCTATGGGTTTGTCGTACGAACGCCATCCTGTCCCAGATATGTGGAGGGATATTTCGCGGAGGAACCTAAGACTCGGCGTTAGACACTTGCGACACTGAGTGTATATATCAATAACTTACTCGAGCGGAGCTGTTCTGAACCTGCCAGTATGTTGCATGAGAGCTTGCTCGTTGTCAGCCGCTTTCTCAGGGGGAGCAATATATCCACTCGGGTGTAGGGTGACCTTGTCGCCGAAGATCTCCAGATCTGGGGCCGAGTCCTCTCGAGGCCCAGAGCCTCCCGATTTTGCCATTGTTGCAGAGATTCCGACCTCACTTCATCGAACTCTAGTCATAGTCGCATCGCAGTTGATCTCAACAGTCTAGGTCGTGGAGGGTAGGTTGGCCTAGCTTGCTTCCCCGGACTTGAACCCCACTGTCAGGTGCGAGCCGAATTGCCGAGTGATTGGTTGGCCCGAGGACGAACGTCAAAAAGCCTTGCTCACGCATAATAAAGTAATCCACTTCGAGAAATTGTGCATAACCCCACCTCAACATTTTGTGTCCGCGGCTCTTGACTGGACTGCAATCGACTACACTGCAAGATCTCGGCATCTCGATGGCCAACTCGAAGCTGTAATCACAATGGCAAACACCTCGGCGTCACCGGGTACGCATGTCGCCATGCACCTTCTGTCCCTTGCGCATCCTTCGACAACTGCCTCCCGCATCTTCACTGAGAAAGTCAAGCTCCGACCCTTGCATCTCAAGCCTGGTGAAAACCCCACGCCCTCTGGTCGCGCCTATCGACGCACACTGCGCCTACAGGCTGCATCGAAGCTTAAGAAGAAGCGCAAGCCGCAACCATTGAGTGCGGCCGAGAAGCGCGCAACATGCCTACACTCGATTCCCAGCGATCAACAAAAATATGCGATCTTCGAACCGCTCCACCAGCTATGGACAGGATACATCAATGAAATATTGGGGTCGGGGAGGCCAGTTTCTGGGCCAGTAGCTGCCAAGCTTGCGAGTGCAGATTATCATGGCGCACTTATCCAGGTAGCACGAAGCCGTTGCACAAGCCGTGTCGGTGTCAAGGGAATCGTCGTCAAGGATACCAAGTTTACATTCGAAATTATCACCGAGGAAAACGAGCTGAAGGTTCTGCCAAAAGAGCACACAGTCTTCAGGTTCGAGGTTCGAGATGATGCAGAAGCGGAAGAATCAAGAGACACGCAACTGGATCAGGCGGCAAAGAAGAGCTTGGTCTTCGAGTTACATGGGGATCAGTTCCAACATCGCGCTGTAGATAGGGCGAACAAGAAGTTTAAGCAACACTTCCTACCGGATATTTGAGGAGATGGTTTTGTTGAATTGGGAGATTAAACAATACCTCCAGGCATCCCAGAGTACTGGCCATACATATCGAGCGGTAGCTCTATAAGCTGGCGCGGCCATTGGGAGCGATGGGGCGAATCTACAAGGCGGTAACTCGCTGTGGTGCGAAAATGAAGACGCCGTGAAGGCCACTGTCTGAGGCAAGGCTGTGGGTATGCGGTTCTGCCACGCTGGGCTCGATGTGGCTGAGAAGGCCCATACTTTACTCCAAGACGAGAAGTAAATATAACCTGAACACAGTGGTAGGCGGTCGCATCACCAGGTGATTGGGTTTGATATTTATACATGCCGGTGACCTCCTACCCTCACGGTGTCCAAATGTTATCCAGCGGTTGGTATTCATAAGTCTAATGTAAAGAACAAGAGAAGCGCCCCAGCCGGATAGTAAGAAACTCGGTGATTATTGTGGACTTTGTCCCATGCTTCCAAAGCTCCTCATAATGCAAGGCATTGGAGCGCAATAAATAAATTCTTACATATTTTGAGAGAAATGAAGAACGTGTTTGTAGCAGTTCTATATATGCCAGCTCTAGAAATATTGTGATGTGAATGAATGCAGATTTTAAATAGAAGTGTTTATGTTAATTTTATGCCCAGCCCATTAATAAGTTGGGCCAAAGAATATTGCTCACCGGTCGGGACCTCGTATATTCCCAACAAACCTTCAATAAATGCAATTAAATTTGACAGACAACAATGTTTTTCCCACTTGCAACTCGTGCTCAAGCCGTTACCCTGAAAAATTGTGGCTACAGTTTCGAGAATATCGAGAAGTTGACCGGCATCAAGAAGAAACAGCTCCAGTACATAATCAGCGAGGCTAAGAAACGCGGGTACAACCCAGAAGTCAGCCCGACACTCAAAGACAAGTATTTCCACGACGGACGTCCCGACAGGCCAACGAAGCTTTCAAAGGAGCAGATAGAGGCTTTAATCGCCGTATCAAAACCATTTGAAGGGGTGCCAAGGAAGACGAATGCGGTACTGGCCCAGGAGTTTGGTGTCTCAGCTCGAACTATCCGTCGGTTTAAGGGATGAAAGGAGAGTATAAGAAACCTATATACCGACCACAGCGAACAGATCCTCTTGCCACCGGCTCTGAGGACCAAAGTGAAGAGGAAGGTGACGTTGACATGACCACGACGTCAAGCACAGCTGACCAAACCACCTTCGGCGACTCACTGTTGGATCAGTTGCAGGCGGCAGTGACTGGCGAAGAATACGCAACACCAAATTATCCCCCGGCTACTTTTAATTATACGCCATTATCACAGCAATAGATACACGGGATTTCACATCATCATGGCCTATGAGCCGGGTCTATATTAAAGCGGCTGCCTAGTTCTCGGCAAGGGGTCTATGCGGACCAGAAGCCTACTACATTTGTTGAGTGTAGCTTCGGATTTGGATTCTAGTATTATCAAGCAAATCCTTGGGTGAACCGGGGCTATTCTGGCACCGACGGAGACGTGCAAAATGACGAGGAAACTTCCATGGCTCCAAACAGACACCAATCAAGACAGCTCAGGCTCTCGGAGTACGACTTCATCACGCCCCAGAAGGTCGAGACCCATAGTGGATAGTTCGGACATAGAACAGCCGCCAGGGAGACAGAATCGCAGGGGGAAAGGGCCAAGAGCCGCAGGTAAGCTTGTTATATATTCCTTCCTGTTGAACGAAATGCTAATAAGTCTAGCACGTGAAGTATCTCCTACTCCGCTAGATGAACCGCCCGACGAAAGGTATGTGGTATCATGTGGCTACCGCTGTCTTACAACAGGACTAAACCTATTATAGCTTCATGATCGATGGGTTTAGCAATGATGACCGGTATCGTATGGTCGAGGACGAATTCCTGGACGTAGCAAAAGAGTTCACCCAGCATCTCCATACTGCAGAGTACCAGCGAATGAAAAATAGCGCAAAGGCCAAAAATGCAGCTACTATAAATGCAATTTCCAGGCCAGTTACCACAAAGATGGGAGGAGAGACACGTCGAAAAGTTGAAAGCATAGCTAGGGCGAAGAAGCAAGCCGATGCTATCAAAGATATCCATGGAGACCAACCTCGGGAAGAGGGAGAGTCAGATGAAAGTCAGGGGCCTTGGCTTGGTACAGCCCTTCATGGGCTCATGGAAAAACCGAGGGCATCCGCCGTTCCACTGACTGATATTTCGGGATTCCACAGTACTACGAAGGCAGCTGCGGGCTACAAAGGGTCTACTGTTGGGCGAATGGAAACCTACGATGTGCCAGATCCAGAGGAGTTTGAATTGGCGAAGCCTGCCTCAATAAAATCTACTGAAGGAGAAGGAGAAACAGAAACTGAAGATGATGACGACGACCTTGCTGCTGCTCCTGTGGTTACTCAGAAAGGTTCTCATATAAAAAAGGAGTCGATTGAAAAGAGAAATATAATCTCCGAGTCTGGGGAAACACGACAATCGGAAGTAATAAAGAGCGAATCGTTTGAACCGTCGTCATATAATCAAGGAGAGCCAACTTCTACCGGTAGCACAATTTCCGCAGAAAGCAAAGCCCGTATTGCTCGAAGGAGAGAACAGGGCAGAATAAAACGGATGAAAGAAGAGGAGGATATCAAGGACGCCAAGTATATGCCCAAGTTCCTATAATACATCATTTTTGAAAGTTATCCATGCGTTTGCTCACGTGGCCTTGATACCATCTGGGCAGAGTCATTTCTGGAGTGAATTCTCCAAATATCATCAGCCAAGAGGCCCAAGACCAAATATAATGAGTCTTAAAGCCCAAGTGAAATATTTGGCGACACTCATTGGTTAGTAAATTATAGTGTACAAATCGACAGAGATTTGAACAGTGGTTGGTTGATAAGCTATTGCCACCTTGGTGCCCCTCGGCTACCGTGCGTAATCAGCAATCGCGGGGCAAACTCTTGACTGGAACTTTTTGTTATCCTTCAACAAACACCACACTCGAAACTCTCGAGAACTACAAATCAACATCACAAGAAAATTCACCTGGGCCTTTCAAGATGGCGTCCATGGATTTAGATGCGCCGATTTCTATCGCGCCCTCCGCGCGTGCCCCCCAGACAGCCGCAACGTAAGTCATTGATCTTTTTCCCCGCCATGTGAATAATTTATACTGACGCAACTAGTATTCTGTGCTGTAACTGTGGTGCACCCATCGACGGAGCAGCGTCGGCGAACGCATTATGTTACGACTGTGTCAAACTTACTATGGATGTCTCCGGAGGCATCCAAAGAGAGGCTACCCTCCATTTCTGCAGAGATTGCGAGAGATGGTTACTTCCTCCCACCAGTTATATTGTGGCCGCACCTGAATCGAGAGAATTATTGGCTCTGTGCCTGAAAAAGCTTCGAGGTCTTCATAAAGTCCGAATTATAGATGCAAGCTTTATCTGGACGGAACCCCATTCTCGCAGAATCAAGGTCAAACTCACTATTCAAGACTCCGTCTCCGAGGGCGTTGTTCTACAGCAGTCGTTCGAGATCGAGTATGTTGTGGCATACCAACAGTGCCCCGACTGTGCGAAGTCATACACAGCGAATACTTGGAGAGCATGTGTACAGGTTAGACAGAAGGTGCCGCACAAGCGTACTTTCCTCTACCTAGAGCAACTTATCCTCAAGCATGGAGCCCACAAAGATTCCATCAACATTAAAGAAGTCAAGGATGGTCTGGATTTCTACTTTGCGGCACGAAACCAGGCAACTGCCTTCGTCGACTTCCTCACATCCGTCGCCCCAGTCAAGAGCAAGAAGTCTCAAGAGCTGATTTCCATGGATATTCACACGTCAACAAAGTCATACAAGTTCTCGTACTCCGTCGAATTAGTTCCCATCTGTAAAGATGACTTGGTAGCACTGCCTATCAAGCTGGCACAGCAAATCGGAAACATGAACCCGATAGCACTATGCTACCGTGTCGGAACCGCCATCAACCTCCTCGACCCAAGCACTCTGCAGACACATGATGTCAGCACCCCTATCTACTGGCGTGCACCATTCTCGTGCCTTGCGGACGTAAAGGAACTTGTCGAGTTTGTTGTCCTGGATATCGATTTGGTGGGCGTGGAGAAGGGTCGCTGGGCGCTTGCAGAGGCAACCATTGCCAGAGCGTCGGATCTCGGCCAGAATGACAAGACGTTCTTCACAAGAACACATCTTGGTAATGTTCTCCATCCCGGTGATTCGGTTATGGGATATGTCCTCAGCGAGTCAAATTTCAACAACCCTCAATACGATGCGTTGGAGAACTCGTCTACATACTCTTCATACATCCCAGATGTCATGTTAGTGAAGAAGTTCTACGCGAGAAAGAAGAAGCCAAAGAACCGTAACTGGCGCCTCAAGCGCATGAACAAGGAGGAGGGTGATCTGTTACCCAAGAAGGGTGACCAGGAGAAGATGGATAAGGACTACGAGATGTTCTTGCGTGACGTTGAGGAGGATACTGAGCTCAGACAAACTCTTGCTCTTTACAAGGCTCAACAGGCACAGAAGGATGCAGATGCTATGAGCATGGCAGAGACAAGTGATGGAGAGGAGGACAACACCCCGCAAATAGACATGGATGAGCTCCTCGACGAGTTCGACGAGCTGAAGGTTAACGATGCCGGTGGGAGTTAGATTCCATGATGTCAAGTCTTAGGTTCGGAATCTGGACATATATCTCCTGACACATGAGATGATGCGTAGTAGCAGTTTGTGTCCCGACACATCCTGTCTACTCCTCTTCCATTGTCAATGTGGAGTGAAACACGACACGACGCATCCGCCTGCCATTTCTTCGCTTTCAACCAAACCACGAACTCTTCACCAGCCAGGTGATGGTTCTAAAAGCGTGTCAGGGCCGGAAGAGCGATAGAAGGAACTGGAGTTTGGGCGTTTTGAGCATTGCGAGGTTGGGATTAACGTGACATGACAAGGAAAAGTGTTGTTTTAGTTAGTCGCCAATAACAGTGACTTCAATACGTCTTACTCCAAAAATTGGTCCCAGTGATAATGCCTCGCACATGCCTCGTGATTAAGTATGTAATGTTCAATAAATCGTTAAGACTGTAAGCTACGCTGCTTCCTAGAAAATCTTGCTCAACACCTGCTTCACACTCTCCGACTGATCCGCCGCCTTCCTCTTCGGCACAGCCTGCGTCTGCTTAAACTGCCTCGCCCTCTCCCCCCCCCTCTTCACCTTCTCCACCTTCGCGGGTATACCCTCCTCGCCCTCCTTCTCCCTCCTCGCCGCCTTCTTCGCCTCCATCCCCTCCAGCATCTTGGCCCTCTCCACATTCTGCACAAACTCCTTATTCTCCTTCGTCGTCTTGCTGATCTCCGCCCTCATCCTGCTCGCCCTCTCTGCATTCTCCGCCGCGATCTGCTGCGTCAGGTTGTTCCACTTGAAGCCCCTCAGATACAGCAAGTTCCACACATCATCATGGTAATACGTCCCCTTCTTCCCGCCGATGATCTGCGTATTAAGCAGCTCGCACGCCTTCTTTGCGTCGGACTTGCTAACGAACTCCACCCATCCGTCAGTGAAAGAGCGCTTCTTGTTCCCCCCATTCCTTACACGCCGCGTGTGCGACGTAGGGTCCTCAGGCGTCATGAAGATGCGGTTTATATCCCCGAACGGCTCGAGGAGGGAGCGCAGTTTCTGGGGCTTCATGAAGGGCGGGATGCGGGAGAGGTAGACGACGCCGGAGCGCTTGACGGCTGCTTCGGTCGCGACGAGGTTCTTTTTGCTGAGGAGCTTGGAGGTGCCTGGTAGATCTCCGGATTTTCGTAGCCGTTTCGATTTTTCTTCGGGTTTATCGTCATCTGGGGCGGTAGTGGCATCGCCGTATTCTTCGTTTAGGATGCTGGGTTTGGAGGTCTCGTCGGCGGAGGCATCGTCGAGGTTGTCGTCGTCGTCGTCGAAGTCGCTGGCGTCGCTGTCGTCGACTTTGATTCTCTTCTGCCCTCTCTCTCCTTTCCTCAAATCTTCCGCTTCGGAATTATATCCCTCGCTCCCCCTATCATCATCACTCTCGCCCGCCTCGAGGAATTCGTTGTGCTTCCTTGTTGTCATTATCGCTGTGCTTTCCTAAAACGGATTGAAGTCTCCCATACATTAATTCTCGCCCATTAATTCTTGTCCTGGAAATTTACTGATAGCCGGAACATCTATCGGGCCGTCGCACCGATAAGCACAACCCAGCAACCGCCACCGCCTCCGATAAGCCCCTCATTTATGGAGACGAGCTTACATCAAAGTACGTAAACTGCGACACCCCTCGTCACCATTGACTTCTTCCCTTGTGTAAATACAATTCTTCTACCTGTAAGTATTGTAGAGTATACACACACATCCCCATCACACTCCAAAATGTCCGCCGAAACCCTCACCACCATCTCACCCACCACCAACAAAGGCATCCTCATCCGCACCGGCGCCACCCCCGCCGAGCTCGAGAAGATCGTCGATGTATCCGCCGAACGCTTCAAGACATGGAGCAAAACCACACTTTCTGAGCGCCAGGCGATAGTCAAGAAAGCCTTAGAGATCTTGGTTACGAAGAAAGATGAATATGCTAAAGAACTCACGGAGCAGATGGGACGTCCTATCGCTTATACGGGGGTTGAAGTGACGACGGCGGCGAAGAGGGGGGATTACCTTCTTAAGATCTCGGAGTCGGCGTTGGAAGATACACCGGGGGAGGCAGAGAAGGGATTTACTAGATATATCAAGAAACTTCCCGTCGGGCCAGTTCTCATCCTCTTTGCTTGGAATGTACGTCACCCCCCCTTCTCCCCCCCCCCAATCCATCCATCTCCAAGCAACTATCTAACACATAACCAACAGTACCCCTACCTAATCCTCATCAACTCCCTCATCCCCGCCCTCCTCGCCGGCAACACCGTGATCCTCAAGCCCTCCCCCCAAACCCCCACCATCGTCGAGAACCTGTCCTCCATCTTCCTCTCCGCCGGTCTCCCCCCGGACGTGATTCAATACTTCCACTCCGGCAACGCCAGCACCATCGACACTATTGTCAAGAACCCCAAGGTCGCGTTAATCGCCTTCACAGGCTCCGTGGAGGGGGGTCTGGCTGTCCAGAAAGCGGCGGCGGATCGCGTGGTGCCGGTGGGATTGGAGTTGGGGGGGAAGGATCCGGCGTATGTGAGGGCGGATGTGGATGTTGCCTGGGCTGCTGAAGAAATCGTCGACGGCGCAGTCTTCAACTCGGGACAGAGCTGTTGTAGTATCGAGCGCGTCTACGTCGATTCCTCGATCCATGATAAATTCGTTGAAGAAGTACAGCGCGTGCTCAAGGGATATAAACTCGGCGACCCATTCGATAAAGAGACGCATGTTGGACCAGTGATTTCGAAGAGGTCGAAGGTGGCTATTGAAGGACACATCAACGACGCCGTCGCAGCAGGGGCCCGAAACGTCACCCCCGCAAACGCCACCTTCACCTCCCCCCCCCCCGACGGGAATTTCGTCGCCCCAACCCTCCTAATCAACGTCAACCACACCATGGCCGTCATGACCGCCGAAACCTTCGGCCCCGTCATCCCCGTGATGTCCGTCTCTTCCGACGCCGAAGCAGTGCGGTTGATGAACGACAGCGAGTTCGGACTCACTGCTTCTATTTGGACCAAAGATACTACAAAGGGTGCAGAGTTGGCGGCGGAGGTGGAGGCGGGGACGGTGTTTGTGAATCGTTGTGATTTCCCGAGTCCGGATTTGGCGTGGACGGGGTGGAAGGATAGTGGGAGGGGGGTGACGCTTAGTAGGTTTGGGTTTGAGCAGTTTGTGAGGTTGAAGAGTTTGCATTTGAAGGATTATCCGAAATAGATGGGTGTGTGGATGGGACTGGGGATGATGTTGGGGGGGGGGGATGGATGAATGGATATAGATTTTTCTAAAATGCCGATGTGCTTGCAATGCTATGGTATGCGGTGGGTGCTTTTTCATGCCTGATGTAAGACGCCTCTTTATGCCTCAATCCACGACCCATACTCGAAATCCTTCTCAACTCGCACACCTTCCATCTCCCCCTTAACACCTAATAACTTCACCTTTCCCTCCCCCTTCGCGGTCCACTCCTCCAACGCCTTCTTAACCCTCTCCAACGTCTCATCTCCTTCTCTAATCAATAATGCAACCGCATCGTGACCACCGGCTCCTGGGACTACACCGCCTACTACGCCCTCCACTTCCCCGAGCTTATCAAGTAATGCAGTTTGCGCTGCGGGTTCGATGGGGACTCCTGATTTCTCGCCCATCTCCCTTATCAACGCCCTAATCGCCCCAAACGCCCTGCTGATCTCGTCCTCTTTCCCAGCCGACAAGGCGCGCGCGAGTTCCTCGTTGGAGGTCTGTAAAGAGGTCCAGATCCTACCCGCATCATCGACTTCCTTCCCCCTCCACGCAAGCACCGATTTCACCATCCCCACAGTCTGCGATCCGCAATCGACATCACACATCACCAGCGCGTACCCCCTTGGTATCGCCACCCCTTCCTTCTCGATCTGCGTATCCCACTTCCCATCCCCCTCCCCCACCACCCCCCTCAACCTCTCCGCAAACCCCTGACTCCCCGGCCCCCCGGCATCGCTGATTGAAGACAAAAGCGAAGGCGAGAAACGACGGTATAGGCATGTCCCGTACACAGCGGCGGCGACGTCGAAACCGGATCCGATTTTTCCTTGGGCGGCGCAGTGGCAGGCTTGGGAGAGGTTGTGTTGGAGGATTTGGGTGGGGGGGGTGGGGAGGAGGAAATGCAGGAGGGAGGAGGTTAGGGCTGTGGTGAGGGCGGCGGAGGAACCGAGACCGGTTTTGTTGGCGGAGGTTAGGGGGGTGGGGAAGGAGGTGAAGGGGGAGGGGGAGGAGGGGGTGGTGATGGTGGTGGGGGAAGAGGGGGGTTGGGAGTAGTAGTCGTTGTCGGCGAGGATGGTGATGGTGAGGGAGGGGAGGGTGGTAAGGGTGGTGGTGGTGAGGAAGTAGGAGAGGGTGTAGGTTAGGGTTGTTTCGACGAAGGGGTTGCGGGAGGTGGAGGGACTGGGGGGGGATGTTAGTTTGACAGAATATAGTCTGGTGGACGGGGAGTGAAGGGAGAGGGGTGGGTGATGAGGGGTAACACGTGATATGTTATTTTGACCACCAGTTGATATTAAGGGACAACTGTAAATAGAAAAAGGGGTCCACGCCCGAAAAAGAACAATAAAACACAGCCCAAGAAAACGATACCAAAAAGAACCAAATAAAATCTCAAAAAATACCTCTCAATCTGCTTAACCTCCACCCCCGCCCCATCCCCCAAAATAACAGCAGAGTACCTCCATTCCGCCTCCACAAACTGCGGGCTCTTAACGACAATAAGCGGTTCCGCGCCCTCGGCCGTCACGGCCTCCTTGACGATAACGTGGATGCGCGCGCTGAGACCGAAGACGAGACCCGTGTAGGCGCGGTCGAGGACGAGGTAGCCGCCTGCTAGGAGGACTTTGCCGGGCGCTGAGACGGCGGTGTGGGAGGGTTTGCTCATTGTGAGGAGGAGGACAACTAACAAAGAGTAGTAGCCGAGATTGGGAAGAGTAGAAGAGCAGGTATAATAAGGAGGAGTTTTGATACTGGCGCACTGCACTGCAACTGGTTGTATGTATGTAGAGAGATATCACGGGGTGAGGGGTGAGTTGAAGATCCCGTGATGTGACGATTTGTTGACACAAGTAAGTGAGGGGTTACGCAAGGCTGACAGATTGGGCGACGAGACGAGACGAGACGAGGCTGACGAAATAAGGGCGAAGGGATGTACGAGTAGGGATAGAGCGGAGACTAGTCTAGAAAGGGATTATCGGCCGAATCGGGGATAACGCGGATAAAAACGTCTTCGGTCGCGCGGACTCAGGATCTTCGGACCCGACGGACGGGGTTAGGGTATGGCATTCCGGGCCCGCGTGTGGGTATTTTTGGTAATTATTTTTGTCACTTGTAACTTTTTTCTGCGCACGGCACTACACTGCGCCCCTGCGCCCCCTTTGGAGTGAGTGAGTGCAGCATCTCCGGACTTCCCGAACGCGAACGCGAAACTAAACGAAACTAAGTGCGAAACCTCAGGCTTCCACGTGCTTCTGTGTGATTTTCATGGGGCCGGGGATGGTAGGGATGTGGACGGGGGGATGGACTGGGATAGTAAGGGAATAGTAGGGAAGAGCAGGGATTAGTAGGGAATAGTAGGAGGCAGAATGGAGAATGCCGTATGGGTTGGGAGCCAATTGCGATGATGGCATACACACGGAAGATACAGATTCCCCGGATCTGATTATTCTGGACCAAAGCAGTGGGTAGTAGACGGCATCAGTGGCTAGACTGGTCAATCAACGGCGATCCCCTCCGACAGGCCACCCCTGGACAGCGGGATGAGGGAGGGTCGGGGAGGAAGTTTAGTGAAGGAGGAGCAGAGTCAGACGACCAATGGCGAGCAAGAGTCGCCGGTTTGAATTCGCGACGGACCCGGCTCTTTCTCTTCGGCATAGAAAAATGTAAATTGGGGGAGGGATGGGTAGGGATAGTAAGGATACTAGGGATATACCAGCGAATTACCAGCGATGCTATCGATAGCAAGGCAATTACCAGGTAAAACCCAGCTAACCAGGCAATAACCAGGCATGAACCAGCCAGGACACTCTGGGTGGAGTTAGTGGAGTTGAATTTCTATGGACTTTTGTTACTCACTGTTAAAGCCGAGTATGCGGGTTGAAGATTTCTACGCATTTTCACGATTATCCCTTGTCTTTCTTCCTCTTGGCTCTTGTCACTCTCCACCCATATTACACCTGTATTACACACAAACTAGTACTTCCACTGGTACTTCCAAACTTCCAATCCACTTCCCTTCCTCCCCTTCTATCATCGCCTGCAACCTTCTCTGTGTCTCTCTCCGTATCTGAGTGCATCTGCGTATCTGCGCGTAGGCCCGAACATCAGACAGACGTGACTCGTCATCGTTCAAACTTTCTTTTCCACACACACCCACACGCAACCACCAATATACCTACAATCCTACCTACCTACATACGACCACCTTCCACTCCGGAGTACAGTCAGAGTCAGAGAACACATACCATCCACACATACCAACCACAACCACACAATAGCCTTATTCCCTCAAGGCCCTTTTCCCTTATCCCACTTAATATACCAACTCACTTCGCCCTCTTTTCTTACCCTTCCTCCCTTCTTATTCAGCATCTGCTCTTCAGCAAACAACAACTTCAATACCGTCCGTTTATAATCAATCATACTCAGTTCGACTCGACAACTTCGAGTCGACCTTTCCAATCCCAACCTCAAACTTATACCAAATTCACATAGCGCGTTTGTTGACGGCCACTGCTGTCAATGAACCTGCAATCCATCTCTCTCCGAATCTAATATCCTCCCCTCCCAGTCAATGAGAGGACTCACCATCTGCTAAATGCCCATTTACTCAAACCTCTACTCCAATCTCGCACGTCAGGGGTTCGCCAAAACATTTCACCACGGATACGCCCAGTCACTCGTTGCTGCGACACACCCGTCCTCCTACCCGAACCAGCACAACCGCAGCGCGTTCGCTCGTCGCCACAACAGTGTTGGGAAGCTCCACAGCTACCGCTTCAAGAATGCGTTTCACACCAGCGTAAATGCCTCGTCGGCGCTCACCCTCCAGCAGGATGTGCGACCAGAGAGACTCAATACCGATGCGGGGCTAGACGCCTACTTCGATGCCTGGAAGAAACAGCACCCCGTCGGGGAGCCGGAGAAGGAATGGACACAATTCCAGTTCGCCAAGCGGATTGAGTGGAAGCCTTCGGTTCCAGAGGTCGAGGAGGTAACTGCAGAGGCAGTAGTCGCAAGCTATGAAGATCAGCGCCCGGGCTTGGAGAGATCCCAAAGCACGGGCGACCTTGATGGCCTAAGGAAGGCGCGCAGTGACACATTCGTTTCAGTCGAGGGATCGGGCGCTGTTACCCCGGAGGTCGCGCAGCAGATTAGAGACCTCCATATCAATGGATTGGAGCAGGTTGCTTCGGGGCTCGTAACACCTCCTATGAGCCTTGAGGATTTCCGCCGCTCGCCATTGTCGACCAGCTCCGTCACGACGACCTCGGACCTCCAATCCCAGAGCTACGCTGAGCACCTCACGAAGCTCTCTCAATCGCAGCGCTATGCCGAGATCCCCGCCGTTTTCGAGTCCATGCTTGTTGCTGGCATCAAGCCAGTCGCGGACTCATACAACGCGCTTCTCGACGCTGCTATCCACCTGCCTGCCGAAAGGATCCAGGTGGTTCCCAAGGCTCTCGATGTCTACTCCGACATGCTTCGCCGCAAGGTGGCACCCACCACCGCCACCTACAACACTCTCATCAACCTTCTCGCCTCCAGATCTCTCGAGGTCAACGAGTCCAAGAAGATGTTGGAGGAGAAGCGGGCCCGTTTCGGCGGTATGGAGCAGCCCGACAAGTTCATGCTCGCGTCCAGCGAGATGGAGTTCGACATCTTGTCCGAAGACGACAGGCTCGACTTTGCCGTCAAGATGTTCGATATCTCCATGAGGACCAACAAGGACCGCACTTACCCAGCAGAGACATACTTCAAGCTCATTTCAGCTTGCGCTGAGGCTGTTCGCGTCAACGATATGGCGCGCTTCTACGAGGACATGGAGTCGAAGAAGGTTATCCCTCTGGCTGCCACATTCCCATCGATGATCAAGGGATACGCAGCTTCCCGCGATCTCACCAGCGCTGTTGAGTGCTACAACGAATACAAGGACATTGCTGTTGCAGACAACTACGGACTGGTGGAACTTACTGACCGCCAGGATGCATTTGTCTACGCTGCTGTTGTGAAGGCGTACGTCGATTCCGACAAACTTCCCGGAGCGATCCGCTTTTACGAGAAGATTGTTGAGTCATCGAGCGCAAAGAACTCTGCAGTGAAGGACATAATCGTGTCACACGGACTTGTTCAGGGGCTGCTTGACCGCGGTGTTCACGCCGAAGCTCTTAAGTGGGCTCAGGGCTTGAGCTTCGCACCCAAGGCCTCCGCCATGGGCAAGATTGCTGCTTCTGCAGCCGATGCTGGTAACACCCCAGTTGCTCTTTCAGCATTCGAGAACGTCCCTCTAGACAGCCAAAATGTTGCGGCTCCAGCCATGGCGCTGCTCGCTCTTAGCGTCCGCTCTGGAAACGTCGCCGAGGCCTCCAAGTACTGGCAGATTCTGTCTGCCCCTGGAATGGCCATTTCGCCTTCATTCATTGAGCCGACGGCCATGTATGCCATCAGCATGATCGGATCTGGACAGGCTGCTATCGGACTCTCCCAGGCGGAGCAGATGTTCCAGCGCATCAGGGAATCTGCCTCTTCGCAGTCGTCGATTGCTGATGAGGTGGAGGAGGGCATGCTGCTTGTGGAGCAGTTCATGGGAAAGCGCGGCATTGTTGACCCCCGTACTATCGAGTCGCCTGTCGTCTACCAACAGCAGTTCCCAACACACTTCCAGGCGCCGGTTACTAGGCCATCATTCGAGGACTCATTCGATCCTTATGCTGCCTCTACCGACTTCAAGGGCTCGTCTCTCATCGCTGATGAGCTTGAGAGGGGACTTACCTCCCGCGCGAAGGTTTCTCGTCTCAATGAGGCCCTGAACAGATTCCGCAACATCAGACGCGCTGGTCGCCACCCACGCTACATCACATACGCCAAGCTAATTTCCGCTGCTGCGAGAGAGGAGCGCACCAACCTAGTCCACGATATTCTCGGCATGGCTAGGTCCGATGTTCCACTCCTGACCCAGTACCCTGTCGTCAGATACGGATGGGTGTCGATTCTGGATGCCATGGTCGGAGCCTGCCTCACGCTCGGCAACCGCACCTTGGCTGCCCAGTTCCACCAGGAGCTCCTCGACATGGGCGCTGCGCCGACCGCGAACACCTTCGGTCTGTACATCACCACTCTCAAGGAGTCGACCAAGACCTTCGACGAGGCTTCCGAAGCCGTGAAGATCTTTCACCGCGCCAAGTCCGAGGGCGTCGAGCCTTCTTCCTTCCTCTACAATGCTCTCATCGGCAAGCTCGGAAAGGCCCGCCGCATCGATGACTGCCTCTTCTTCTTCGCGGAGATGCGCTCCCTCGGCATCCGCCCCACCAGCGTCACCTACGGCACGATCGTCAACGCGCTCTGCCGCGTCAGCGACGAGAAGTTCGCCGAAGAGCTGTTCGAGGAGATGGAGTCGATGCCTAACTACAAGGCTCGCCCTGCCCCTTACAACAGCCTCATGCAGTTCTTCCTCACCACCAAGCGCGACAAGACCAAGGTGCTCATGTACTACGAGCGCATGAAGAGCAAGGGCATCCAGCCTACGAATCACACATACAAGCTCCTCGTCGACACCCACGCCACGCTCGAGCCAATCAACATGGCTGCCGCTGAGGCCGTCCTAGACGTCATCCGCAGCACCGGACAGAAGCCCGAAGCGGTGCACTACGCGTCCCTCATCCACGCCAAGGGATGCGTACAAAACGACATCGCCGGCGCCCTCGCAGTCTTCAACTCCGTCTCAGCAGACCGCTCCATCCGCCCGCAAGCATGCGTGTACCAAGCCCTCTTCGAGGCTCTGGTCGCAAACCACCGCGTCGCTGAAACCGAGCCGTTCTTGCAAGCTATGACTGCGCAGAGGGTGGAGATGACGCCGTATATCGCGAATACGCTCATCCATGGGTGGGCGAACCAGGGGGATTTCAAGAAGGCGAAGGAGGTCTTTGATGTTATCGGCAGGGAGAAGAGGGAGCCGAGCACGTATGAGGCTATGGCCCGCGCGTTTTTGGCGGCGGAGGATAGGCCTGCGGCGATGAGGGTCGTGCAGGAGATGTTGAGTAGGGGGTACCCGAACGCTGTGTCGGGGAAGATCCTTGAGCTTGTGGGTGGGGGGCATGGAGAGGTGGTCTAGGGAGACCGCTGTTGCTGCCGTTCGTGCTGCATGTGTGTCCCGAGGGTGGTGCGGCCATCTGAGGGGGACACGTATCGATATTTACCGCTTTTCCTTTGTTTTCTGATACCCAGTGCGAGACAGTAATATAAAATTTTCGGGAGGAAAGGGGTGGGCGGGTGCAAAACTGGGTGTTTTATCTTTGCTTTTTGTTTGGGTTGGGCATATCTGGAACCGGGCATTTTTGTGGCGGAAGAAAGGACGGGGGGGCTCTGGTTCGGGTTGGCTAGCCCTTCGGTTGAATCGATTTATCTTGTCGTTTCCTTGGCGTTTTGATATCATCGGTGGTGGTTGGGCGGCCTTTGCTCTGTTGCGACTTGTATCAACATTGAGCTTTTGGCGTTTGTTTCACACGGAAGGGGTTTGGGTGGCGGGGCATAAGGGAGACAAACCCAAATATTCGTGTGATTTAGACATTTCTCCACTCTTCGATCTAGACGGCGGGCTCTTTTTGCGTGCGATTGTGCATGAGAGGGCGTGGGGTCTGGACTGACCTGTAGTATAGCTAGAGATAGCATATAAAGATAATCTGCCAACTTGTTGTTTTTGATTGTGATTTGTGCTGTGTAGTGTTAATCGAGTATCATCTGTGCTCCACCATAACCTTTCGGGACAGTCTTATAGCTTTCATATATGCAATAAATCGGCGTGTGCCGCCATATATACATTTCTATATCCCCCCCGCCTCCCATCTTCTCTATTCAGTACATATATACCCGTCATCTACTTCTCCTCCACAGCCTCCAAAATAATATTATCAATCAACCTCACCGCCGGCCCCCCACTCAACCCCCTATCCTCCCCCTCCCCCGCCTCCTCAACCTCCAACATCTTAAACGCACCACTCAGCACCGCGCCCCTCCCCTCCTCCACCGTCTCCAACTCCTCCAACGTCTCCGGGTCAGCGAGGGATAGGTAGCCTATCTCGAATCTCACTCGCTGGCTTGGCGGTTTGGCTTCTTCGGCTTCTTGTATGGACTGGACGTATGATTCTGCTGGGCCCATTATGTCGCCCCGGCTTCGAGCGCCGGATTTATAGCGGGCTTCGGCGATTTTTAAGGCGCTGCTTAGGACTGTTGCGCGTGCACGGCGACGGGTACCGAGATAGACGTTGCGGCTGCTCATTGCTAACCCATCACTCTCCCTCACAGTGGGACCGACGCGCACCTCGGTATCCATACAGAAATCCTTGACCATCTTCCTGATCACGACAGTCTGCTGAACGTCTTTCTGGCCGAAATACACCTTTTCTGGTGTGACGATGTTGAACAACTTCATGCACACCGTCGCTACGCCGCGGAAGAAGGTTGGGCGCTGCACGCCCTCAAGTTTCTCGCCCGCGGGTGTGATGGTCACGAAGCTCCCCTTCGCATCTACCTCCTGTCCCGGGAAACCGGAGGGGTACATCGTCCTATCCGTCGGCGCAAACACCGCCGCCACACTCCCCAGATTCCCCCCATCTTCCGCTAACTCCCTATCCAAGTCGCGGAGTAAGGCACAATCGGAATCCCAGGTCTTCGGATAACTAGCCAGATCCTCATTTACGCCGAATTGCGCGGGGTTGACATAAATCGAGACCACCACCGCGGAGGTCTCAGAGGCGGCTTGTCGGATCAAAGAGAGGTGGCCTGAGTGCAGGGCGCCCATGGTGGGGACGAGACCGATTGTGCGGTGGAGGTCGCGTTGGGTGCGCCGCCAGTGCCGGAGGGAGGGGAGGGTGCGGAAGATGGGGATGGAGGTTTTGGGGATTGTGGATGAGGAGGAGGTGGGGGAGGAGGAGGTGGACTTGCAGGCTTGCGAGGGGGAAGTGGTGGTGAGGTTGCGGGACGACATTGTGGTAAGGAGGAATGAGGTTGTTGCTGTTCGTGGTGGTGGGAGTGGGCGAAGGCGGGGGAGGAATCGAGGGATTGTGGACATTGCGCGGCTCTATAGGCCGAGTGGTTATTGTGTTGGTTCTGTGGATGATGGTAGTGGAGAAGGACGTGCAGCTTTTGGGAGGGCCATGGTTATTTATGCTGTTGCCTGCGGGGAAGACATGGTTGCTGTTTGCTGTGCTGTGGTGTGCGGCGTATATTGAAGCATTGAGAGAGGACCATCGGCACCGTGGGTATCCGATGGGCAGAATTAAAGGTTTGGAGACTGTGGCCGCGTGGGGGCTAGAAGGGGTTTAGCGCTCCCGCATCCCGCATTTTTGTACTGTGGGTGGTCTGTGCGGAGAATTCCTCGATAACGAAACTTTTTAGGAAGATAGGAAACCCGTCAAGCTAGTTCTGAGGAACAATCTCTCTCCAGTATCCTCTCCAGACGCAGAAACTAGGAAGGGATTCTTTTGATCCCGGGAGAAGCAAAGATGGCTGATGATGGGATGCTCATGAATTTTGAGATTGGCGATGCGCCGCTGGTTGCGAAGCCCGTGTTTAAGGGTGGGAGGTGGAAGGATCGGTTGACGGCGAGGAAGGTTGCGAATCACAAGGAGTCACGCATGAATGGCGAGGGAGGGGGAGGAAACGAATCGAAACGCTCGGCGCCTGCGCATAGGGATACGGCGAATAGAGAGATTATACAGAATCCGCGCTTCAGCGAGGCGCAGGAGGAATACATTGGCCCCAACAGCGAGGCGAGAGGACCGAAGAGACAGAGGGTGCAGGTGGACTATTATGGTGATGCGGGACGGCAGACGGCGAGGCTGACGACGGGGAAGCTGCCGCCGGGGAGTATTAATATTGGGGGGGGTAAGAAGACGACGTTTGGGGATGGGCCCGGGTCGGGGCCGAAGAAGACGTTTACGGATGGGAAGCCGGCGCAGATTATTTCGTCGCTTTTCACTTTCAATCCTTCGGCGAAGACTAAGTTCGAGGAGGAGGAGCCGAAGGAGGAGGTCGAGCCTGCGAAGCCGTCTAATGCTCCGCTTTCGGATGAGGCGTCCTCGTTTGCGTCGCTGGGGATGTCGAGGCGACTTGCTGGGCATCTGGCGACGAAGCTGGATATGAAGGCGCCGACGGCTATTCAGAAGGCTGCTGTTCCGCAGCTTATTGCGGAGGATAGCGATGCGTTTATACAAGCCCAGACGGGTTCGGGAAAGACGTTGGCGTATTTGTTGCCGATTGTGGAGAGGATCATGGCTATTAGCGCTGCTGCTGAGTCGGAGGGGGTGCATGATAAGGAGAAGCAGATTCACCGCAATTCAGGACTCTTTGCCATTGTGCTGGCGCCGACAAGAGAATTGTGCAAGCAGATTGCTTCGGTCCTTGATAAGCTGCTTCGTTGTGCGCCGTGGCTGGTTGGAACTACGGTTATTGGAGGGGAGAGCAAGCAGTCGGAGAAGGCGCGGTTGAGGAAAGGTGTTAATATTCTTATTGCCACGCCTGGTCGGTTGGCCGATCATCTGGATAACACGGAGGTTCTGGACGTGAGCACAGTAAGGTGGCTTGTTCTTGATGAAGGTGATCGACTGATGGAACTCGGCTTCGAGGAGGAAATCAAGGGCATTGTCGATAAGATTGCTTCAAGGGCACTGATCAACGACAGGACAGGACGAGTGGGCAAGGGACAACTTCCCAGCCGTCGTGTCACAGTCTTGTGTTCGGCTACCATGAAGATGACAGTGCAGAAGCTGGGAGAAATCTCTCTCAAAGACGCCATGCACATCCAGGCCGACCCCTCCGACGAAGAATTGGAAAAGAACAAGACGGACGGCACGGACCCCAAAGAGGACGGATTCTCCGCCCCTGCCCAACTTAAGCAGGAGTACGGAATCGTACCAGCCAAACTCCGCCTCGTCACACTCACCGCAGTCCTGAAGCGCGCCTTCGCCCGTCGCGGCTCAGTCATGAAGGCCATCGTCTTCATCTCCTGCGCCGACAGCGTCGACTTCCACTTCTCCCTCTTCTCGCGCCCCGAACTCACTCCCCCCCCCGTCTCCGGCGCCAACACCGCCGACGAGGCCAAGCCCGCCGTCGCCGTCATCCCCAAGAACGAACTCACCAAAGACACCATCGCCACCGGCGCCGCGTTCTCCAACGCCACCAACGCCGTGACGCTCCACAAGCTCCACGGCTCCCTCGCACAGAACATCCGTACCGCGACTCTAAAGCACTTCTCCGAGTCCAAAGACCCCTGCGTCCTCGTCTGCACGGACGTCGCATCGCGCGGTCTCGATCTCCCAAACGTCGACTTCGTTGTCGAATACGACCCTCCTTTCTCCTCTGATGACCACGTCCACAGAATCGGTCGTACCGCGCGTGCCGGTAAATCCGGTCGTTCGCTGATCTTCCTGCTTCCCGGCCCTGAAGAAGCTTATGTCCCCATATTATCCAAGCTGAGCCCTAACTTGTCCGCTAATACGGGCGAGGAGCTCATCCGTAGGGGCTTTGGAGGAACGGGACATGAGTGGGAGGAACGCGCGACGGCGTGGCAGCTTGAGGTGGAGAATTGGATTTTGGGTTCGGCGAAGTACCTCGAGATGGCGAGGAGAGGGTACCAATCGCACATCCGCGCGTACGCCACTCACGTTGCTGCTGAGCGTGCGATTTTCGACATGAAGGAGCTGCATCTTGGACATTTAGCCAAGGCGTTTGGTCTGCGTGATAAGCCGGGTAGTATCAAGGTTCCTGGACTGCGACCGAAGGCGATGACGCATGCGGATCGTAGTGTTGCGATGAGGAAGGCGAAGAGGGGAGATAATACGGATAGGGATGGGAATGAGAAGGCGCCAGAGGGCGAGCATGCGAGGAAGAAGAAGAAGGAGGATAGGGAGAGGCCGAGGGATGTCAATGAGGATGATGCGGCGAAGAGGATGAAGAGGAAGATGATGGAGCATATGGGGGCTGCGTCGGAGTTCAATATCGGGTAGATGGAGGTAGATATGTTATATAGCACAGCGCAGCGTCGTTAGGAATCATAATTGTATATACACGGATCTAGTATATTTCCCATAAACTCACTTTCCCGTCTTTGCTCCCTGCTGCCACCCAGTGCGTTTGGGTGGCTTGTTGTATCCTCTTCTCTTTTGCCGATATGGCCAACCCAACGCGTCTTGGAGGTGCAACCACCGCAGTCTCACCTCCTTGTGACGATTCTGCCTCTGGTTTTTCCTCTTCTGGCTTGTCCTCATCAGCTCCTTCTTTATCCTCTTGTACATTTATAACTTCAGCGAAAGCCACAGCAAAACACCCATCCTTATGCCACTTCAGCACCGCCAGTTCCTTCATACTCGCCACGCTATAAACCCGCACCTTGGTATCCCACCCCGCCGTAGCGAATATCCGTCCGTCGCTCCTAATCCGCAAGCTCTGTTGCCCAGAGTGCTTCGTCTGCACGACTTTCAACGGCTTTGTAACGACTTCAGGCTTAACGGGCGGCTTAGGTGGTATTGCCGAGGGGGTGGTCGGGGACTGTGCTGCAAACATCCCGGAGAGGAGCGAGGGATTCTTAACTGGAACTTTCTGATGCGTTGGTCCTGATTGTGGCTGGACTGGTTGGGGTAACGGAGGAGATAGCGAGGAAAGGGGGTGCTTGGCAATTATCCCATCGGCGCCGCTGGTGATAAAGGATGCCATATCCAGGGTAACTCCGAGGGAGAGAATAGGCTGGGAATGAGGCTGGGCGAGGTAGAGTCTACACCAGCCAAGGACAGGGTTGTCCTGCACAACCATTGCATGCCCACTTTCATAGCCCACGATGAGAGTGAGGCGTGAGGATACGTAGAGGATGGAGACGGACATTACCATGCCGGTGTTGGTGGACTTATCTCCAGGGACCGTAAGTAGGCGCTTCTGGGAGGGGAGATGGAAGATGTCGACCTGAGGAATGTTAGCTGTGATGAATGAAAGGTTGTGGTGGATACTAACGGCTTCGGAGCTCAGGGTGTTCGGGACGGCGATGAGAAGTTCATCCTGACCGGGTGACGGGATAGTCTCAGTTGATATGGGGCCAGGAAGTTGCTTTGCAATGCAGTGGCCGAACGAGCAGAAGTTCAGCGAGTTGACGTCCAGTACGTAGAGGAGCCATGGTTGCTTCCTGGGCGTCGTTGGGTCCTCGACAGGGAGGGTAGTACTCAGGGAGGCCTCATCCTCTTCCGAGAACTTCCAAACAATGAGCTTATTGTCCTTGCCGTGACTTCAAAACTATTAGTAACCTTGCATAACACGAGGAATAAGATATAATAGAAGAGTTGGTGATATTTGAAAATTAAGCTCACGTGATTAGTCTGTCTGATCCCCATTCAGCAACACCGAGGATGGCGGCCTCGTGTGCCCTCCACACGGCCGTGGGTCTTCGTGAGGCTAGACCCCAGAGCACGATCCATCCCTCCGCATCGCCAGTAACGAGGCGAGAGTTCCCTCTTATGAACTGCGTTGAATGGATCTGCGCCGCATGGCCGCGGAATATATATGTTGCTTCCGGAGGCGGCTGTGGGAGCGACATATGTTGAATTTGTAGAGTCTAACTTGGACCGTTTGAGGGTTGATGAGCGGCCCGCCTTCGTCTATTTCATGCTACCAAGAGCCACGGCGGATGGCGGCAGACCTGCGCGGCAACCATGTCGGAAATGCACAACCACAATACCGACGGCTTCCAACTTGCGTGTACCATATTCTAAGTAGCTCATACACTAGGTCACATGGACCAGGCACCAATTGCGCCTCTATCAACCCGTCTATCTTATCGAACAACTCCGCGCGAACCGTACTCGAACCCCTTCACGAAATATATTCCTATACAGAGTGTCACCGAGCGACCCCAGCATCGCATCCACCAGACCACCCTGTCCCCGACATCCCCTGCTATCTCACATGCAAATGTTTGTGCGACGATAAGGCGCAACGCGACGTAGTTCGCAGATAACAACACTTTTTGGCCGCATATGACTTCGGGGATCGCAAACTCGCTGCCAATCGACCAGCACTTCCGGCTTGCGCGCCGCTGGGCACAATTATCCCGTTCCTTCAATTGGCTTCAACAATTTCTGCGATAAACCCGAAGAACCCGCACCGCCTCTTGAGGTGCGGCACTGTCGAGCCGGCGCCCACCTGGCAGCCCCCAATCCCGTTATACTCGAGGAGAAGCAGGGCCAGCCCATACTGCGCCTGCGCATATGCCCATGACGGCTCTCGACTCTCCCGGCTCTGCCGTGGTGGCTGGCGAAAGCTCAGTTGCCAGCGCGAGTAAACCGCGGAGAGTGAGGACCGGGTGTTTGACATGCAGAGAACGGCATCTGAAGTGCGACGAAGGGTTGCCGCATTGCCTGAACTGCAAGAAGTCTGGGAAAACATGCAGGCGTGGGATGAAACTCAACTTCCACTGGATGGACGTCAGAGACCCAGCAATTCTCCCTCCGACGGCGGATTGGTCTGGTGCGTAATCCCCCAGGGGATTCTGAGCCAATGCTGACATTTTCTAGTTCAATTCCAAGACGAATCTCGACTCATTGCATCCGAATACAAAGGCGGCCTGGGCCAATACAGGGCAATAGAAACAGTCGCAGTCACCCCTTCTCACGATCCTGTTCCTGAGTTTAATATTCCCATCGATCCGAATATCACTATGCATAGCAACCAAAACTCGATGTTACAACCAGGGGCCCCAGGATTATATCCAGAGAGCAAGGGGGTATATCCAGAGAGCAGGGGGATTGGCAAACATGGCTACCAGACGCAGGAAGATAACCGTCACCTTCACCCCCATACGGGCAATGAGGTTTCATATATGCCTTCAATGGCCCCAGCTTCATATGGGAATCCGGAGGCCATACTCGCACCTCCTGATGTTGCTAGGGGATACCTCAGCGATCCGCAGGAGGTTCTCCTCATGCAGGTATTTGTGGAAGAAGTTGGGTTATGGATGGACAGTATGGACAAGATGAAGCACTTTTCTCGACTATTGCCTTTCCATGCTCTACAAGAACCCATGCTGCTTAATGCCTTCCTTGCTTGCGGGGCGCGGCATCTCTCACTTGTCAATCCCCTGTATCATGAAGATAAGGCACTTACCTATTACGACACAGCAACCACACTACTATTACGAGCATTACAAAACCCAGATCGAGATACGGTCGTCTGTGCTACTTCGGCAGTTATTCTCAACGTCTATGAAATAATGTCTGAGCGTGCAGCTCAACGCATGAATCACATTGCGGGTGCTAGAGCTCTAATCAAGGAATGCGGCTGGAATGCTCGATCAACTGGTATTGGTGCGGCTTGCTTTTGGGTCAATATCGGCATGGAGCTGTTGTCATGCCTACACTTCAACTGGCAAGTGGCATGGGAACCCGACCTATGGGGCGTGGATATGGACTTTTCACAAGGGCGAGAAGGTGGGAGTGAAGAACTCTGGACACACCGGATGGTGTATATCACGGGAAAGATTTCAAATTTCAGGGCCGCAACCCCAAAATTTCCAGAGGCAACCGCGCATGAAGAACAATTGAGGCAGCAAAGGCGGTATGCTGAGTGGCAAGACCTGAAGAACCTCTGTGACAGCTGGAATCAAAGTGTTCCAAGAACTATGCACCCTGTGGGATTTCTTTTTCCCCATCAAACCTCATCCAAGTCACTGTTCCCGGAAGTCTGGTAAGCTATGCTGACCTCCATTATCTCATGATGATTGCATACTGATACCCCACAGGCTGCTCAAACGGTCCGCAATCACCGGCCGACTGTTCTATCACACTGCAATGTGTGTCGTAGCACAGAACAATCCTATGTTTCCGATGCCCAATCCCGAAATGGCGAGTCTCCTTCACGACCATGCGCACCAAATATGCGGTATTGTCGCCCACGTCAAGGACAGGGGAGTTGCCTCGATAGCATTGCGGTCACTGGCCCTGGCAGGTGAAACTCTCGTACAGCGCGACGAGCAGGAAGAGGTAATACGCATATTTGAGAAGGTGCAGAAGGAGACCGGATGGAATGTCACATACGTGATGAAAGAACTGCGCGACAAATGGGGTTGGATCTCGGAAGAGCAGATGCTACGGGACCAAATGACTTTTAACCAATTTGCTGGGGCGAATGCAAACATGTCGACAGCAGGGCAAGGCCTACAGGGTGGGCAGCAGCAGCAACCTCAACAACCACCAAAGATGATCGGTGGGATACTGAACCCATTGCTCGCCAGGGCAGACTTTTCACTGCCGAATCATCCGTATCAGGCGTATTATCAGCCGCCGAGAGTTCATGATTTGCAGGGACAGGGTCAATATGGCCAGAATTACTTTTGAGGCAAGCAGGTTGGGGGTGCTGGTGACTGTATCATGGATAAGTAATGTTCGAAAAACTGTGTCAGGTCGCGAAAGTGGTGTTATGATTCAACGAAGTTGTATTTAGTATAGCATCTTGTGTAAATAGGTTGGCAGGCGTCTGGGATGGTCGGCAATGAGCGGGCGTCCACATTTGGGGGGAAATATTTGTTAACTCTGAAGGCTCGGGATTATAGAGAGATGGTGGGCAATGGTTGGGGATTGGAGTATTATTATATTAGGGGGAACATAAACATATGTAGGTGAGGAACATATACGAGGTATTCACTTCACAACTTAATATATTTGACGGGGGGCACCTTCCGCAAACAATCACAACGAAACCTACCCACCAACCCATATTTCAGAATTTACGTGCCAAACGACCTCGAGATACCTCCTCAGGTGATAATTATCGCCGACATTCGTTCCATGTTGCTCTACTTATACTACACCTTCCTTTTTGCCTCCTTTTTCGCATCAACCATACTTTGGTGCCACATTTCCACCGTCCGCCCCAGGACAATATGCGACCTCCCGGAGGCCCACAGGAAGAATCGCAGGTACTGGCTCCAGTGAAGGGGCCTTATCCAGTGGCGCCAGTTACGGATTTTGCAAAGGAGGCTCCTGAATCATTCTCTCAGTCTTACGCGGGCCTGGATATCATTTCCTTCGATAACTTCGTGCCTCCGCGCCTCAAACACTTTGGCAGCATCGATGGCAAACTACGCCATAAGCCAGAGGGTGCTGGAGAGGGCCTGAGGATTTTCACCGACTTACCTATGCCAATACGAGAAGAGCCTATTGCGATTGAGACACCTTCAAAACGCCGTGCTAAGACCCTGAGAATAATTGACATTTGGGGCAAATCCCCTGAACCCCGAAACTCAAAACCCACGACACAAGATACCAACAAAGGAAACACAAGCAAATCCGGTTCCAAGGATCTCCGACTGACTACCAGCTCCACGAATAGAGAAATGGGGCATGTGCAAGGAGAGTCTTCCTTTGAAAGTGGCAGCAGGCCTGATCTTACACGTTCTATGCTTTATAACTGGCACTTACTCCGGATGGACAATATACGAATACTGGATCCGCTCTGGGAAGGCTTTCGGGGTTCTGCTCATGATTACGAACTCCTCAAACTCCTGGCACAGACCCATGAACATCAACGGTGGTGGCTGATTGTTGTTGACGGCTTCGCCTGCCCCCAGTGTGTTGATGAGCTCCGTCTCCAATGGATGCATCCAAGAGTATGCAGATCTACCACACGAACCATTGATGATTAAAAGCTGACGTTCATTAATAGTCCCTAGGAAAGGCTATAAAGAGCTTGAAGTCTAGGTGTACGAGGCATTCCCATTGTGATGGTGGCAGTTGCAAAGTCATATGCACTCACACACACCGTGATTGCAACAAGGTAACCAACAAAGCCGTTCCAGACAAAAACACTCTAACACGATGAAAGGTCACCCAGTTCTTCTCCAAGCTAGGCCGAGAAAACTCAAATCGCATGCGCAACATCGTCTTGGAAACCCGAGACGACCTGCTCCCTGATGCCGACGTCCTTGTTTCCGTTGCCCACAATGTCGGCCGCTACTTTCCTGACGTCCAGAATCTCGAGATCAATTTCCACTTTGGTAACAGGCACCTTGACAGAGACGTATGGACTCGTATCCTATGCGCCTGCCAACGCCTGGAACTCTATCTGCCAAAAGGCCAGCACTTGCGCATCAGAGGGATTGAGAAGCATACGGAGATGCAGAATGACTGGACCAGGAAGGGTAGGAAGTGGCACGAATAAGAAAATAGGAACTGGGGCATCAAATGGGAGTGACAAAGTTCAGAAATACATTACTTGATATCCTACAAATCGAGAATATTCAGCATTATCATTTTGGTAGAAATGCATGGTGATGATTAATAATAACCTTGTTTGGGCATATAAGCATGACAGACGCATTAGTAAATGTTCCTCGGCAGGACACGGGGATTGTGATTGGTGACGGATGATCGCAAATCGCTGACAGCCTCGCCTAGTCACGTCATACATTGTGTAAGGCTGTGGAATATGCGGGACACGGGATTGTCCTTATTAACCCCACCTTCGCTCCGCATTCACGTTCATAACAACGTTCTACAAGACATCACCTAGCCTTCCATGCTACTTTCTAGAGGGAAGCTACTTGTAACTCCCAATATTACAACTACATCCAGATTGTTCAGTACTTCATCACCAAGCTTCACCATGGTACGTCATATTGCCCGCGGAGTTCCGAGTATTGTTTGGATGGCTGGAACTGAAAAACATGCAGGCAACAAAAATCTCCAATTGGGTTGACCCAAAGGATAAATCGGGAGAGTTCAAGCGTGGAGCGTCGGTTTTTCGCAATCATATCTCCAGAGAAGCAGGCGCCGAGTTTCCTGCCGAGAAGGGGCGCTACCACCTCTATGTGTCCTATGCTTGCCCTTGGGGTATGCACTCGCTCTTTGTCTTATGAATGAATCCGTTACTAACAAATGCCAGCGCATCGCACGCTGATCGTAAGGAAGTTGAAGGGCCTGGAGGACATCGTCCCATTTACCGCCGTACACTGGCACATGGGCGAAAACGGTAAGCCCTCGGGATGAGTTTCATAGAACCCCACACTGACATTATCAGGTTGGCGATTTGCAACCGCTAAGGATAAGGATGCTCCTGGCGAGAACGTGGGGTCAGACCCCGTAGCAGGCCATGAGAAGTACACCCACCTCCGCCAGATCTACTTCCAGGTGGACCCCAACTATACCGGACGATTCACTGTGCCCACGCTCTACGACACTGTCCAGCACAAGATTGTGAGCAACGAGTCTGCGGATATCATTCGCATGTTCTACAGCGAGTTCGATGATATTCTTCCCCAGAAGTATAAGGATGTAGTCCTTTTCCCTGAGAATCTCCAGGCCAAGATTGAAGAGGCGAATGGCTGGATATACGATCTCATCAATAACGGGGTTTACAAGTCTGGCTTTGCCACAACACAGGAGGCGTACGAGAAGAATGTCGTCGCTCTGTTTGAGGCGCTGAATCGGGTGGAAAAGCACCTCGAGAGCAGCCCAGGACCATACTACTGGGGCGATAAGGTCACCGAGGGCGATGTGAGACTGTACACCACCATTGTGAGATTCGATTCAGTGTATGTCCAGCACTTCAAGACGAATCTTCGGGACATTAGAAGTGGGTACCCAGCCATCCACAAGTGGCTGAGGAACCTGTACTGGAATGTGCCTGCTTTCGGAGAGACTACGCAGTTCGAGCATGTAAGTTAATACTTTGTTCTATGGACATACTGGCATAATACTGATACAATACAGATCAAGAGGCATTACACGAAGAGCCACCCGCAAATTAACCCATTCGGAATTACGCCTGTGGGACCAATCCCAAATATTCTGAAGGTGGATGAGGAGGTTACTGCGGTAAAGTCTGCTTCTAAATAATGGAGCAGGCTGTAAATAGTCAGAGAGTAATAATTTATTATTTAACTTATTCTAAATATGCTATGTGATGATATGATTAATTTTTGTAGAAACGAATAAATTATACTATGAATTAAAAGTGTTATTCAATAAAACTAAAGAATTCAAATGGAAGGGAGTACTACAAGTATCACAGTCAGGGTGTCGAGGCATCATAATTAGAGAGGCTTCATTTATTCATAATCCATACAATTCCTGTTTGGAGGCTCATAACCTCCACTCCGTATCATACACCTTTGCCAGGACCAAGCACCCAAAATCTACAATGTATGCTTGATCTTGATGTCTTGAAACCTCCTCAACCATGGTGTATCCGCATATTTCCTCTCGATCTGAAACCATCTCGCAATGTATTCAGGGTCGTTCAACCTCCACTGATCATCGTGTTCTTCATCCCTGCTTGCTTCCCAGAAGCGCAGGAAGACTTGCTTCTCGTATTTTTGTGGCACAATGTCTTCGAGTGCCATCACGTTGCCCTCTTCGTCGAATGGGAGGGTGAAGCTATGGATGTCAGAGTTTGTTCTGTGTTTGGTTCCAGTGGCCCCGTTGCTATATTGTTTTGGAAGGGAACCTGGGAAGAAAATAGGTTACTCACAGAATCATACCCAGGACGCCATCAAAGTTTGGCCTGATGTATTGGTGTATAGGAAGTTCAATATCCTTGGGCAACGGCTTCAACTTAATTCCACGTGGTATTGGCAGCCATTGTTCGCGGATGACACCTCCGATCTTGATAATTTTTGCCATGCAGTAGTTGAGGATTTCATTCTGCTGCTGGGCATCAAGTGTGAGATTGATGATCTTGAGCTGTAAATGTAAATAATGGCCAAACAAATGTTTGGGAGCTGTAAATGCTTACTTCATAGTGATCCTCTTGTGCAATATTGATTGACTTGTGTTGCTGTATCTTTAAAGAAGGCATGTTGACACCCAATTAGATACTGGGCCTTTGATTGGGAAGAGGCCATTGACAGTTCCTGGGTGAGTCTTTGATGGTGATAGGGTCTTTGATCTTGACCGATTCTCTGGTGCTGGCTGGAACTTTGGCCTTGCCAGAGTATTTGGAAGTACTGACAAGTTTCCAACGGCAATCTCAACAGCCAGGTATTTGGAAGTATTGACAGGTTGTCAACGGCAATCACAACAAAACAATAGGAGGTGAAACCACGTGAGCTTACTCCCAACCAAGTAACGTAACTTCATCTTATTATTTTCAAAGCATATACACAAACTTTCTACTTACGTCTCTCCTGGCATTTTCGCCAACGAGAGTGTCCTCCTCCTCCTCCTTGTCCACTTCTACATATTCCCCTCCATTTTGCTTCTCATTGTTTCTATTCTTCCTCGAAAGATAGAATCGCAGTATAACTGCCAAAGCGGCAACCACTACCATTGCTCCTGCGCAACCAGCCATCCCACGTGTATAATACGGCGCATCAACATCAGGATACAATCTTGTCCCGACTAATGGTCCACACTGGCCCACAAGCTGCAACATAGCAAATCCAGCACCCTGTTTACTTTCCGACTCCTGATTATTGATCGTCCAAGTTATAACAATCGTAATCACGCTGAAAAATCCAATCGCAGCTGGATATATAGCAGCATAGCGCCACCAAACCCCCAACCCAAATCTCTCCGCAAGAGCGAGCACGAGATACCCTGAACAGGAGAAGAGCGCATGGAAGATAATGAAGGTCGAACGTGACTGCACACGATCGGAGAGGTATGCTGTTAAAATCACGATGAAAAATGACATGAGATATGGAGGGGCCGAGAGCGCTTGCGACACAACGGAGGAGTGGCCCATAGATCGGATAATGATAGGTAAAAATACAGGCATCGATGAGAACGCCATGTTGGTGAAGAAGAACATGAAAGCAGTCAGATAGGCTTTGGGATCCAATATTGTCTCGAGGACCTCTCGCCATTTGAGTCCGCCCTTGGTCGCAGCACCTCCTTGGCGACGACGTAGGCGTAATCGGGCAACCTTTCTTTCCCTCGCAGTCAGGTACTTTGCTTTTGCCGGTCCGTCTGGGATAACATGCCAGGCGATGACAGACACGATGACACTTGGAAATCCTTCAACGAGGAATAACAGGCGCCATGGCGCAATAGGACCGTTTTCTCCGAGCTTAAGAATCGCCCATGCGAGGGCGCTGGCGAATGAGGTTGCCAGAGGGGCGGCGCTTATAAAAAGTCCGGTGCGCAAGGCCAGCTCTTCTTTCCTGTAAAAGAAGGACAAAAAGTATGGGATTCCAGTAAAGCCAGCTTCGCCAATCCCAAGGAGTAGTCGTAGTATTATGGATGTGACGAATGAAGTTGACAGAGCTTGAAGAGATGCGATAATTCCCCACGACATGACGATTACAGAGACGTATATGTGTGCAGGTATGATTTTCCAAAGCAAAGACATCCACTCGAACATGATATATGTGATGTAAAACGACGTGAGGATCCATTCGTATTGATCCGAATGAAGATTCAAATCAACATCCATTCCTGCGATTCGAGCATTGCCAATATCTTTGGGTGTGTCAGCAGCTGTCGATACAATTGGGCACAGTATACGCACTTGATCTATCCAAAAAACTCAACATGTACAATAGTGCTACAAATAATACAAGCCTCTTGTCAAACTTTCTGACCACTGCGCGCTCCTCGTCTGGTGTATACAATTGAAACGATTGTGTTGTCGAGGCGCTGCCTCGGCGGGGAAATGTATTGCTGCCATCGTCGCCAGTCCGAAGAGGTGCCTCAAAATCTGCCTCTTTATCTTGAGATTGGAGTTCTATGCTCTCGTGGCCATTGTAATCGTCGTCGAAGTCTGAATCCCCAGAGTCGGGTTCGGGTGTCAATCGATTCGCACGGGAACTGGAGCTGGAATCTGAGGGCACAATGTCACTTCGAGCCCCTGACTTATCGCCGACATGCGACGCCTGAGGGAGACTTGAGGCCATTCTGAGCCATCAAGATTGTTGAACTTCAAACAGCAGGAAAAATATATTCAATTCATAGTTTGTTCATTCCGTAGCCTCACCACCATCGTGGCCCTGAACTGGGATGCGGTTGGTTCTAGCTATGACGGGTGCGGTGGAGACCCTTAAGGGTTGGCGTGGGGTACTTTTGCAAGGGTATCACGATCCACAACGTAAGTGAGGCATGGGTTGGACCGCGAATAGATTTCACATAAGCTTCACATCCATATCAAATGAACTTTCAACTTCCAACTTTCAACAGGAATACAGAACATTTTCACAGATCAAATTTATGGCAGAATGAATATATTTGATGAGCTATTTGAACTATCTAAATTATGTAGGTCACTTGGGCGTAAAGGGCTTTTGGGTTTTTGGCAATGTTGGACCCTGTACCTGCACCGTGCGACAGTATGAATTTTGGCGTGAATGACAACTCCGACCGGGGCAGAACAAAGTTGTCATCCGTTGCCTGTATGGCCGAAGAGGAAAGAAGGAAAGAACGATCCGGAAGAGGGGTGTTGGAAGTGGCATTTGAACTTTCAAAAGCCACCTCCATTCATGTAGGCCACCTGGGCATAAAGGGCTCTTGCGTATTTGGCAATGTCAGGCCCTTTACCCTGCACCGTGCGACAGTATGTGTTTTGGCGTGGATGCCAACTCAACTGCAGATGGAAGCTGCAAGAGTTGGCACCCGTGGCCGTGAAGTGAAGTGAAGAAGAAGGAAGAAACGAGAAGGAAGAGAGGAAGAAAGATCAGGAAGGGGGGTGTTGGAAGTGGCATTTGAACTTTCAAAGCCACCTCCACTCATGTAGATCACTTGGGCGTGAAAGGCTCTTGCGTTTTTGGCAATTTCAGGCCCTTCACCTGCACCATGCGACAGTATTTATATTGGCGTGGATGCCAACTCAACTGCAGATGGAAGCTGCAGGAGTGGGCATCTGTGGCCTGAACGGTGATATGTGAAGAAAAAAGAAAGAAGAAGGAAGAAGGAAAAGGTCTCGGGGGTGGAGTTGGGGGGGGATTTATATTCCTGGGTCTGCGACGCCAGATCACTCAAGCGCGCTATCACCAAATAAGCGCGACTCTCACGAGAGGACGCCATTGGCTAGATCAAGCTAGATCAAGGAGAAGCGAATCAAAGTTAACGCTTGTAGGCGGTGCAAACACGGCAAACGTTGGTCCAGTTCTGTAACTGGCCTGGAGGGGTGCAAACAGTGCAAATATCTGTCTAGTGCCGCACAGTCCTAAACCAGACGTGGAAGGTACGTTGTGTGGCCATATACATTGGAAGGATGATACTACAACTGTTGCTCTCTTTCTTCGTTGCCATAGGTCACCATAGACGTCCCCTGCTTGTGAGCTGCCTTTGTTGGAGCTATGTTTATTGCAGTCTATATACTATATACCCCATATCTGATTCCATCGTCTACTATCACCATCCAACGGCCCATCCAACCTTCCAAACCTTGGAGGCGTTCTAGAGGTAGATTCTGGCAAGCAGACCCATTCTCGGACACAGCCAGGGATCTCCTCTCGAACGTGGCTAATGCACAAGAGGGCCTGCTCAGGACCTAATCCTCGAATAGCTACGTTGCCTGCCCGTGAGGCGTCGGATTCAATAACATCACGCGAGCCACCCTTCCACTGGAACGTTTTGGTTTCTCCATGGGCAAGGAATAACATGCATTTATCTCTCACGACTTCATCCATACCACCAAATGATTCATCCAAGATCACAAGATCTGGCTTCTTGACTATGGCTCGTAGGAATAATGCAACACGCTGAGACGAGAACGGTAGATCGTTGAAGAGGCATTCACTAGCCCATGCGGTTGAATCAAGAGCTGGCTTTGAGGCATCACTGGCAGCAGCACCTGGCCGCAACTCATGCTCAAACCATTTGAGGCAGGCTTCGACAGCCGCAACAGCGCCTTTATCCAACGTCGGGATTGCCATGAACGTCTCCGACCAAGCGTTCTCCAGTGTCTGCCTAAGTGTCAGAGTACGTGGGATATGGTGGTGTATCTCGGGTGAAGAGTGACCGATCCGTGCCTGAATGTCAAAGATGGATATTCCAAGTTTGCCAGGCTCAGGGAGACGTGACCGCCCAAACAACTTCACAGGCTGCGAGTATGTCTGAGGGTGGTCGGAGCAAATCAGAGAAAGAATAGTGGTCTTTCCACTCCCGTTCGCACCGATGATACCCCATCGCTGACCCCGCCTGACTTTCCAATAGAGACCTTTCTGGGGCTTGCCATCCACGTCTTGTGTCCAGTTACCGAGGACAATTTTCGGCCCGTATGCCACGCGAACACCGTCCATGTCAACCAGAATTTCTCCTGTTTCCGCTTCCTTCGATTCTTCCATGTCGTCTCCCCGAGTAGATGAAGGAGTTCCAGTTTCCTCTGGGGTGTCTGGCTCCACAATTCCTCGATCGGTGAGAGTCCGACCAATTTCATGGAGGGACTGAATTGGGATGTTGACGGCGCTACCACTGTTTGCTTTCAGTTCGCTCAGGACCTCCTCCTTCGGTCCTTTGAAAGCTACTTCGCATTCCGGGCGTAGATACATAAGATGCGTAATCCAGTCCGGAATTGGATCTTGAGGTCTCAACGAAAGAATAAGCCTGGGATCATTGGCCTTCGCAAGTCCATGTAGCAATGGGCTCAAAGTCATCAGGGTTGGTGGATCAAGTCCCATGAGCGGCTCATCCAACAACAGAACTTCTGGTTTTCCAAGCAATGCCCTGGCAATCTTTGCTCTCCTAGTCTGTCCATTAGACAGGTTTGACACTGGCATATCGATAAGGTCTCCGAGTCTCAAATCCTCAATGACTCTTTTCAAAGATGCCTCGTTAATGGACTTGCTTTTCTCTTCTTCTGAAGGATTCAGCTCCGTCCTGCCCTGGAGATAATTCAGGACGGTCCAGTCCGTGGCCTCCCGGTGAGCCTCATATCTCGCGCTCAGGTATGCCCCTCTGGTTCCCTGCCCCGACAAAACTCCTTGCTCGCCACCAAAGCCGACATATTGTATCGCTCTACTGGGTATGCGTAATTCATGGTTCTTCTGATTTATCTCCTCGGAGTTAAGGTACGGATATGACCGAGCGGTAGGTGGAAGAGACAAATATAGTCCTCTCAAAATCTGTAGAAATGTGGTTTTTCCAGAAGATGATGGCCCCAATATGGCCCAGTAATGAGGATCTTCTGGGAATGAGGGTAATTCAAAATTTAAGTCCTTGAACAGTGCTGGATTGGCTTGTTTTGCAGCCAGGGAGGACGGATGATGACGGTAGAACGTGCCATTTTTAATTTGTATTATAGCCGGTTTAGAAGTCGCCAAGCTGTAGCTTCGTGAAGAGATCCTATGAAAAGGACCTTTTATCTTAATTAACCTCATGGCTCATAATTGTGAAAGCTCAATATCATCAGCGTATGACTCCGCATTGGGGGGAGCTCCGGGCCAGGGTCCACATATCGCTTAGCGCGTCTATGCGTTGCGTCGTCGTTCGCGCTTACACGTCCGCCTCGCAGCCTGGAGCTCCCATCAACCGACGCAACATCAAAACAGCTATCAATCCACGACACTATTTCTCTAATCCTAAACAACTCATAAGAACACGCCATCCGAAGTAATCTCATCACATCCGCAGCCATGGTAAATACCCCCTCTCGACTCTCAATCCTACACTCCAAACTCTCTCACGTCACCAAGGGAGACCTCACCAAGACCTCACAACTAACTCTCATCAGTCCATGCGCATCGCCCCCGCCTCCGGCCACTCCTCCCTCCACTCCCACCTCGGTGCCAAATCCGCCGGCGCCCCCTCCGCCCCAGGTCTCCACGACACCCTCCGCGTAGGCCTCGGCCCAACCACCCACGGCTCCTCCGAAACCCTCCAACTCGACTCCGCCCACCCTCTCGAATCGCGTCTCGCACAATGGACCGCAACGCAGGACAGCCTGAAGCTTGAGGGTCTGCGGAGGACATTCGGCATGGCGGAGCCGATTCGTCGGGGCATGGAGCTCAAGATCACGAGAGATGGAGAGTGGCGCCCGTTGGTGCTGGGAGGTGGACAGCCGAGTGTTCATGAGGATATTTTGGCGGGCAGGGATACGGGGTGTACCTGGGAGGATGTTTTCCAGGGGACGGAGATGAGGGGGGTGCAGGGCTTCCATGAGGAGTTGGAGACGAAGGTTAGGATGGGACAGCAGTAGATGGGTGGTGAAGTGGAGGTTGTACGAATAGCCTGGCGGATAGATGGAGCTACATGGTATTTGCAGGAAGCATTGGCGATGGTTTTCTAGGACGGGATAGGAATGCAAGGAGTCACAAATACATTTCTAGTCACAAGAAGGAAGAGCGGATCACAATCAGGGACGAAGACCTGAGAAAATGACCCGCTTGTCTATCATATGGAACACGATCCATTGAATAATTCATTCGCTGTGCCTTTGTAACACCCCATGGACCTCTCTGCCCTCCCATACCTGTACAATTTCAGAACCAAATGAAAAACAGTTCCCCTGCCAGTGCTAAACGAAGTGACGGCGCCCTATGATGCTGAAGAAAACAATCCTGCGGTGTCATATGTGTCCGCTAATCGGGAACCCGAACGCCTGTACAGCCCATCCATGTATCATCCCCAGCCCCGTGGTATAAAGAATCTGCCATTGCCTCCTCACATCCGCGTGGGGGCCAAAGCAGAACTAGGGAGAATGGAGAGGCAAAATCCTCCGTCGTATGGTGTCGTTATATCGCATTAAATGCTCGCATGTCGGATTAAATTCCTGGTTCGTCGTAACGTCTCATAGAATGACACAGCGTCCACACCCAGGCGTTGGTTCCGGCCGTTCGTGCTGTCTGGCTTCGGCCCTCTTCCGCTCTGTCTCCTCCTCATCCACTATGTCCTGAGGACGTACCGTCATATGTACAACATTCGTCGCAGTCTCGTTGAATCTGCACTCTATTGATGGGGTTAGTCTAAAATCCCGTCACCCGGTTGGGCTGGGATTGCTTCCATACCTTTCAGCGCCACATTGTCATTCAACAACCGTCCAAAATAAATCAAACGGATACTGCTCGGGCTCGTAGGCTTAGCATCCCATTCTTCCCTCCACTCCTTCAGGATCAGCTCTTTCAGCATAATTACGCTGATGCTGTATGGGTCCTTCTTGCCGGTCTCCGTAACACCCGGGATGGTCATTTGCCGCTTCAGTAGATACCGCTCGTCTACTCTGTATCCATGTCGTGCCCCAGACGTAAGGAGAAGCATGATATTGCAGACCGGATTCGCCACATCCGTTGAAGGCGATACGGTGCTGGCCAGCGGTTGTCCCTCATCCGCCGCCGTCTCGCCCGTGTTTGAACCCAGAGACAATGGCGCCGAACTGCTGATGACCTCCTTGCTCTTCTCCTCGCCGTCAATGGCAGTAGAGTCCTCTGACGACTGCATCGCTTCCTGGGCCTCGCTCAAGGTGGTTGTTGGTGCTGGTTCTTGTGGCGCTACAGCGACTGGCGGCTGCGCTGGGGTCTCCTCCATCTCCCTGTTTACCATGCTGGACATCGGAGGTATCGGTCCAAATGGCGTGGGGATGTTCTTCGTGATGTCTGTTGTGACACTGCTCGTGCTTCTGGTCAGGTCGTCCAGCTCGATAGTGGCATTTGGACGTTGCCCCAGTGGTCGGGGATCGGACCCAGTGTTGTCGGGGCCTGAGACTTGGCGAGGGTGAAGCGACTCCATTGGTGGGTGGCCCACGTAGAGCGCTCTAATCGATTACTCCGTATGTGAGTGTAGGGGTTTGTACCAGAGCTACGATGAAGTATACACTTTAGTGTCCTGCGATATCGAATGAAGAGCTTCGTATCGTAAGAATATCTATAATATATGGTAAGGCGCGTACATGTACTTTACAGTAGCACAGCAATCTGGAGCGGGGATGTGTGTGTCAGTGAGGTAGATGGAAGTAGTGAAGAGTACAAGAGTTCCAGTACACTGACACGCCTGAAACCTTGTACCTCTGTTGGCAATGACGGAGCGAGATAAACATGGCCAAACGTCACAAATAGAGACACATACCCTCTGTGTACTCATACAAACAATCAAATCTACGCATACAGTCTATGGTTTCAAATCTGCAGCAATCAAAGCTATACGTCCCTAATGAATCCAGTTGCATCCTATCTTGCTCACCGCGATAAGCCTCTGCCTTGCTTTCACATGGGGCTGCATATATACTCTCAGATCACAGGTTTATTGCGTGCCAACTTGTTTTCCAAGACACTCCCTGATTGGCTTTCAGAGTTATCTTGGTAAGTATAATGTGGTTTGGCTGGCTGGCTGGCGATTTCGGCATTTGGGTTCTTGCCACCGGCCAACTCGGAAGCGTATGGATTACTACACAAGCTTTCTGGCTTACGGGATATTTTCAGGGTCTTCGAATGAGATATGCAAGACATGGTCGCGTGTTGAAAAAAACTGCAATCTTCTGATCTGAGTCTATCTACTTGACTAATAACGTAGCATTTTCATTTCCTCGTGTATGTTCACGTAAACCTCGACCACCCACGACAATCTTCTTCAGCGTCGATCCATGGGAGGCATTCATGCCACCCTAGTTGCCCATCTTCATCATGATATAAGGAACTTCAACATCCTCCCCGCTCTCATCATCAGCGCAGATCTCAAAGATGACGTTCTTCTGGTGCTCAGGAACCGCCTTCTTCGATATCTGGGCCACAAGGTCACTGAGCTTCAGCTCATAGCGGTCCTTCAGCTTCGCAGGTGGGAAGAAGCTAGCGTACAGCAAGCTAACCCCGGAGCTCAGCATTGTGATATCAAGACCCTTCGCCTTAAACATATCAATGAGCTCCCTGAGAGTGATATTGTCAACCTCAAACCTGTCCCACAGCTTGTCGACAGTGACGTCTCCGTTAGGCCCCTTGTAAGAACCCTTCGGGCTCGCAATTGGCTCGCTGAAACCGAAAAACGGCAATGCGAGGTTCACAAAGCCGTTCTTATACTGCTCAATGTCGTCCTTGCCGTCGAGGACCTTGTAGAGTTCAAGAATGACCAAGCCTGTTACCAGCGCAGTAGTTGTTGCAATGGCCGGAATAATCTTGCCAGCAATGAACTTTGTCTTGTGGCGGTCTGCAGGAGCGATCTTGTAGTTGTCAGCACGTAGGTTACTCGCAGCCGTGATGAAATCAATGTGGTAATTGGTGTCGTCGTCCTTCTCAAATTCAACAGGATACAACTTAAATCCTGCCAAACTGCTTGGTGGTGGCAGGGTCTTCATGATCTCCTGCAATTCGCTACTATCATCAAATGATGAGTTTGCGGCCGGCGCATTTGGGTCCTATAAGGGTCAGTACTGAGATTTAGAGTAGCTTCAGAGGTTATGGCTACTTACGGGTTCGCTGTCGTCTGCCTGGATCTTGACGGCAGGGTTTGGTGAGAAGTCTGGGATAATCATGTTATCCAAGACCTTTTGGATAACCTGACCATCCGCATCTTTAGTGTTGATTCCGTAATTGAATGCGTGCAAATTAGCTCCAGCAATTACGAATCGGAGGTGCTCTTCGTTGTTTGGGTCGAATTTCAAAGGAGTTGGAGCACGCTTTGGTCCAGACCAAAATGGCACTCCACTGGATGAGTTTGAGTCCTTCGGGAAATTGTACAGAAGCTGCTGGATAGCGTTGTTGTACTGGTTTTCAAATTGAAGGCGCGCCCAGATGACGCAGTCCTCGAAGCTGAGGGGCTTATCAGTAACCAAGTAATCTCTAATGGTCTCCAAGGTTGCCTTCTCGTTGCCACCTTGCTTAAGAGTTGTATCGATATAGTTTGGCTGGCTGAGGTAGAGGTTGACCGTTTCGGCTGGCTTGACAAAGTACGATTCGAATAACTCGCGGCCCCACGCAATCGTGTGTTCGATTTTGTTTGGGAAGCTCTTGAGAGTGCACATCGGGAACGACTGCTCGGGCGGATCTTGCGAGCTCGAATAAGATTCCGACAAATGTGGCAGAATAACTTGTGTGTTCCCCTTAGTGCCCAGGGTACCGCTCTCAAGCAGAGGCTTTCGGAAGAAGACGCAACGTCTATCGACGTATGTACGACCATCTACGTTGTCGAGAGCATTTGTGACGCCGTCGAGAGATTCCCAGAACTCCTCGTTGAAGATGTGCTCGGTATCTTGGCCCACTCTGTCTCGCATGGTGACAATGTGGCCCTCTAGTGCTGGGTTCATGGCGACAACCGCTGCGGCAGCACTGTCGCTCTTCATCTTGCCAACATCCTTTGGTCGGAACAGGAACTGTCGGTTAAGATTGCTCTTCTCAATAGAATCCATGTCCGTCACGCTTATTTTGCCCTTTGGCCCAGTTGCCAATCCAATCATTGCCCAGTTCTTGAGCATCTCGCATCCAATTGCACCAGCACCAACCAGGAACTCGTTGGTGTTTGCCAACTTCTCTTGGAAGTCCTTTCCGAACACAGCAATCTGGCCATCGTACCGGGAGTTTGTCGGTTTGCACAGCTCTTCCGAACGCTTGAAATTAGTGGGTAAAGACTCGAGGGAGTCGAAATAGAGCCACTGAACGATCGGGTGGAATTTGCCGGAGACGGCCTTTAGAACTTCCTGGGCCGCAAGGCCACCAAAGAAAGCAGCCATGGGGTTAAGGTCACCTTGAGCCTGGTAAGATAATTCCCTGATAAGCTTTTCATCGATTTCCACCGACAATTTCTCCCTTTCCACAAACAACTTTGCGGAGCCAACTACAACTGCTGCGTCATCATCATTGTGTGGCCTTGGGAAGTGCCCATGGCCCTCAGCAAATGCGTGAAGAGCCTGGAATCCGACGTGAAGCTGCTCAGGTCGGTCCATCTTTGCGTAGTCGGAAATGAGAAACTCTGGGGTTTTCAGGCATTCCGAAAATGGCTTGAAGTCGATAAACTTGGGCATTTTGACCTGCGTGTATATCCCCCCTGCCTTGTATTGACCTATACCAGAAACGTCGCCGATCGAGAAGGTGTAAGGCCCCTTAACCGTGATTTTACGGGGGTCTGAATTGTTGAGCGCTTCCATTCCTTGCAATTCCGTGAAGGTAACGTAATCGCCATCTTCTAGGCCATGCCTAGTCTCGTCGAGGGCAGAAACGAGGCCCTCTTCGTTGATACTAGCGACAATTCCGGACACTGGGGTTTCGCCACTTGTGTCGAGGACTGTGAATTGCTTGCCGAAATCGCAAAAGATAGATCCGAATAGGCCAAAGGTATCGGCAACGACGAGATAAATGCCCTTTTGGTGGCAGTAGTCACCAATAACTATTTGATCCTTGATCGGGGTGTCCGTGAGAACAATCACTTGGAATTGGTCAAGTACGGCGAGATTTCCTGTCAAACTGGGCTCGTCAAGTACCGACACTGGAGTGTATGCGTTGAGCTCTGCCACGCGAGGGGCAGTAACGAGACCCCTCTCTTTGCCTACATCTTCGGCGTGAATGAAGAATTGCGAGGACAAGTCGGATATGGCTGCTGGTGTGCGGTCGTAGAGTGTAAGGCTCTTGACACCAGCAAGAGCAATGTTCTTGGCAACTTCGACTCCCAGACCCTTCAATCCCACGATGAGGACGTTCGACGCAGACATACGCTTCATAGCTTCATGTCCGAGGACATACAGCTGCCGGCTGTAGAGCGACTCGTCGATATCATTGTTGGCGGCTGAGGGGCCATCGACCTGCATTTTGGTCGCCATATCTGTTCCTGATTTTAGGCTGCTCTACAAATAACGATTAGTGACTGAATCTCATCTAGAAGCAAGTCGTCATGGACAACGAAAGCTGTCTTTCGCCACCAGCATAGGTAGAGCTCGGCCATTTGCTTACCGTCAGGGTTCGTTTGACAAGTCGGGGTTCAGCCTCAGAGGAAGCCTTGCGTTTGCCCTGCTGGGTCACACCTTCGGTGTCTGTGATGGATGGAATTTTGAAGGTCTAGCCAGTGGCCGAGACAGCTGGGGATATGGTTTCGATCCGGATGTAATGAACACTTTGCCCAAGGTAAGTTTCGTAATACCCCACCTCCGTCTCAGAGTGACGTCTCGGAATGTATGACGACGGGGTACAATGTTCAAATCGGACGACAGATATTATATGGGAAAAGGAATCAAAGGCGGCAGTTGTGGCTCGCAAGAAGGAAGAAGTTTGAATATCCTAGAAGTTGTACTTCAAAAGGTGTGTGGTGATGTAAGTTGCGGTACAGCTGGGAGGTACTCTTTGTCTTGACTCAGGTAGGTGTGCAGGGAAGGTGCTGGAGCTGTGCTTACATAGAGGGATGGATGGATGTCCCCGCCTTTGCTGCCTTACGGGACAAGAGGGGTTGCCTTATGCGCGTCAACCTGGTGATTATCGATAAGCGACGATAAGGAATCCCGCACCGCGTTCGGATGACGCGACGAACATTATATGAGAGAGAGCACAACCTGTGACCAACTGACTTTTCCTGGGATCAATGGCAATGTGTTTATGAGGATATCAACGTAGTTCAAATCTGGAGGTTCTGACCTTCTGTGCCCTTAATATTACGACAACTAGCCCGGCAGAAGATGTGGTGTTGACCAATGTGTCGGTTCGAATTGCTGGGATCCACCATCTTGCTATTTCACGCCATCTTTGGGAGGAAAGGACAGACTTATAACTCTAAGTCGTAAGCCAATTCAAATCATTAACGTGTGCATTTTTAACGGCTCTTATAGACCATGTTACACGAGATCATCCTCTCCCTCAGCGGCCATCCCTCTCCCCTCCTTACAGCCGGCAGTTCAAATGGGTCCTCCGACCTCCTCTCACCCCCCGAGAAGGCCCTCCTAGCCTCCATTGCACATCTTAGTAACTTGCATTGCAAGTTGCTTTCCCATACGGATAGCATATCTTCCAGAAGCCAATCCAGCATCTGCCAAGCCGTCGCAACGTCAATCCGATCCACACACCTCGTTATGTTCCAGCAGAAGGTTTTGGATGTGGAAAGCAGTATCCTTCAGAAGGACTCTGGAATTGTCGGCGCTTACAATGTAGTCCCACTCACTGCTATTACTGGGCAGTTTTTAGAATGGACCAGACGCATGGAATGGTTCTGGGAGATTACAGAATTTATGGAAACGGATGGTTGCACAGGGTCTGGCATTATTAACAGGCTATGTGTTGAGATGCAGACGGGGTACTCAGACATTGAGCAGGTTGCGTCAAGTCTTGTGCAGGTTGCTGAGAGCGCTTGGCTCAAGCAAGCATCTTGCTGGATTTTACATGGGCGCCTCCCTGCCTTCGGCGAACACGATTTTTTTGTCTTTGAAGGAGAAAACGGTGAGTACGAGATAAAGCAGGAATTACGTCCAGACTTCATAAGTAGGTCAACAGCAAGTTCGATTCTGTTCGTTGGGAAATCACTCACGCAGATTCGAACCAAAAACGCCAAGTCTGCAACCAGCATCGCGGCTCTCCTTCCAAAGCACTTGCAACTACTATCATCAATCCCATATCCCATCTCGACATCCAATCTCTCGACTTGCATCACGTCAATTCGAAAGAGCCTTTCACAATCTGCTCTCCAGGAGTTACTACCTCTCTCAAAAATCATACAAATTCTAGCGTTATTCCATGATTTCTTCTTGCTCAGCCGCGGAGAGTTCGCGGTTGCGATAATAAATGAAGCGGATGAGAAGATAAGGTCCCGATGGCGCCGATCAGATAACCTAGCCTTTGAGAAACGAAGTGGACTAAGCGACGTTGTTGTTAAGGAAGGTGAGGTGGCAGCAGTGCTGGCACGTACGTGGGCAGCAATATCAGCTCTACATGGTCTGAATGACGAGGATGAGGATCAATTAGAACTTGCCAGGAGTTTGATGGATCTTCGAATCGTGAAGCCCAAAAAAGAAGATGCGAGCTTGTCCAAAGCAAACCCGACGCCATTCAGCACCTTGCTTTTATCAGTCCCAACTAGTTTATCGTTGAAGATACCATCACCACTGGACCTATTTTTAACTTCGAAAGAAGTAGATATATACGCAGACATCCATACTTACCTTCTTTGCATCCGTCGGGCGCATATACGACTCTCCGACTTGTGGAAAATCACATCTCTTCGGAGAGACCACCCTCCACCACCTCCACCGCCACTCGGAAGCACACCCCATGGCCGAGCAGCAACAATAAAGTTGCGTCAACGTGGGAAATCACGGAGTAGGCAAATGCGTAGGGTGTGGGCAACAAGTAGCGCCGGATTATATCTCCTTGGCGAATTAGAGGCATACTTCCACGGCGAGGTCGTGAAGGGGACTTGGGAGAGCTTACAGGAGTGGCTAAATGGCCCTATGCCTGCTTCAGCATCGACATCAGGCGCGGTTCCAGGTGCGGATGAAGATTCCGATGAGGATATTTGGGCAGCTGCTGGAAAAGAGCTACCAGACACCAAACCCAACGACCATTCTCACGACCCCCAAACTATCTCAGTTGCCCATCAACGCTACCTTTTGTCTCTCAAACACCAACTTCTACTCACCTCGCCATCCTTCACCGATCCCTTATTCCAACTTCTGCAACAGATAGACCACCTTGTTGCACTGGTACATCGGATTAACTCGGTTTGGTCATCGCTCGATCTCGAAACAGATGAAGGTGTCATCGACGCATTCTCTGACTTCCACAAGGAGGAGACAGACGTTCAAGGCCAACTTGTATTGGCGGCGCAGAACGTAAAGGAAGCCATCAATGTGCTGATCCTGAGCTTGAGAGATATAGATCTTGACGTTGAAGGGCGAGAGAAGAGGCTTGAGCAGCTTGAGGCGGAGATTGTGGATGTGGACCTGAGTGGGGAGGATATTTATAAACCTAGGAAGGTTGGGAGGGTCGATAGACTACTGATGAAACTAGATTTTGGAGGATGGCTTGCTCCATTAGATACCGACGAAGGAGACTTCGAGTAAATGCTATGTCTGGAACAAGTGTGGGGATATATTGCTGTGGGGCTACAGGGCTGTGTATGACTTTAATGAACCAAATATACATATTTATATACATATTGTGGGTTCTCCTGATGCTTAACATTTTATTTTGCTACCAGATGCTTTGTATCTTATATGCCAATGATGCTTTAAAGTATCGACTTCCTCAGAAGCGGTCCAACCTGCTTCCGGCTCATCCCCAAATTATTTTGAACCCAGCAACGCCTCCACTGGGTCTTGCTATCTATACTATCCAACCTGCCAGATTCCCAGCCCTGTAATCCAAGTTCCTCGCTCGCCATCTTTTCAAAGGTCTTCGCCGCCTTCACACCAGCTTCATCTAGGCCCAACAGCAGTATCTCGCGGCTATACTGGCCGTTATGCGTGAACGACGTCATCACAGCGCAAACAGATAGTTTCCGCGCTTCAGCAAAGGCGTGAACTTCTTTCCAGAAGGACTCCTCATTCTTGACCTTATCAAGAAGGAAGCGCACATCTTTTATAGCACTTGACATTCCCAGGTTGACGCCTTGGCCTTCGGTCCACTGCTTGTAGTCCTTCCGGAGGATATCATTCAGACTTAGGTCATCGATGGCTTCCTTTGCGTCGTTGATCTCGGTGTAATAGAAATCTCTACCATATCTGTCTGGCGATGAACTTCGAGGGATTTTCTCCAAGGTTTCGGCAGCAGTTATATCATGCTTGGTAACCTTGTTCTTATTCTTCAGATTTGCCGTGTCGATTAACACGGGGGCTAGATCATATTTGTCTGGCGATGAACTTCGAAGGATTTTCTCCAAGGCTTCGGCAGCAGTTATATCATGCTTGGTAACCTTGTTCTTATTCTTCAGATTTGCCGTGTCGATTAACACGGGGGCTAGAGCTATTCTTGCCCACGCACTGTCGTAGTTAGCGGCTTCGTCACCATGTGACAGCTTATCCCAAGCTTCTTTGCAGTGGTTCACAATGAGACTTGCACAGCTGCCAGCCTTTTCGACTATCCTTGGCTCAGAGCCACAGTCTTTGGGAACCTTGTTTTCCTCGTCATGGTGGTCGATGCAGCCAACAACCCGATCACCGTACACCTGTCCAAGCTCGCCTTGGAGTGAGTTGTGATCTACAAGAAGCCATCTGGTCTTCTCCGGGGAAAGCAACGCTGTCCGTTTGGAGGGGTGAGGTAGATCAGTGAGCGTGATTAGCTCGCTAGTTTTGATTCCCGCATGTGACAGGATCGGGCCCAGCTCTGTCCGTAGAGAAACATCAGCAGCGGGAATGTTGGCTATAGGGACATGTACATTCGGCGGTATTGATGTATATGTTCTAATGTAGGCGTAGGCAATAGCACTGCATATGGAATCAAGATCTGTCTCTCGTCAGACCAACTCGTATAGCACGTGAAAGCACAAGGATGACAAGATAATGCAAGCGCAGATCATATGCAGTGGAAAATTGGGAGCAATAAGGTCTTTACCAGCGGATTCGTTTCCAACAACAAACGTGATGGGCTGCGCATGTTGAGCACCAGTATTCAAAGTAGCCTTGGCCGTAGCAAGGAACGAATTCAAGGACACCCTAGGTAACGCCATGGCTGGATTGTTGCGTTGTAACGGGATCTATGGGGCGGACTTTCATGCCCTCCAACTAATATACAGGGTTGGACCTGATGCCGAGGTCCTAAATGGTATGGTTTGAAATATAGTGAGTTCATTGGGGAGCAAATCCGCGTCTGGGGTACCGATCCCTTCCCGTTTCGGCTAGCAACGAACTCTAATTCGACCCCGACATGCACATGAATCTAGACTCCGATTATGCCCGAAAGTAATCCTGCTATCATATGGGAATTTGAAAGAGGGGTTTGTGGGATATATTGGGCTCTAGTCGCTCGTAAACAAACTCTCATGAGTTACTCCGTCAACTGATTCAATAAAATCATTCTTATTTTTTGGGAATACAATAATTACAAGAAAATATACACATTTGTTTGCTATCCCAGGGCATGAGTCTGGTTTCTCATGACTCTCCTCCCACTTATAAGCCAGTATAAAGAAGGCACATAAGCCGTTCACCTCACACAAAGCAACTACGAATCAAATCTGATAGCATAGCTACTTATCATATCTACGCCTACTACGCATAGTCCACCAACCCGCCATTCAACATGTCCTCTCAAGCCTCCACTGACACGGACGACACGTGCTGCCACATCTGCGAGAGAATGAATTTCAGAGATCCAGCCTGGAAGCAGTATGTCCCATCAAGCCACTGTGTGCTCTGCGATCGCCCCTTCTGCAATGTTCACCAGGAACAAACCGAGGACGACGGCGACGTCTGTGAAGCGAACCACGGAACGTACTATAAGGTCCACCACCACATGCTTCCTGGAAAGGTGTTCACGAGCAAGCAGGAGCGACAAGAAGAGCTGGGAGAGGAGGTCATCGCACGCCAACAGAGAGAGAGAAAGGAAAGCATCGGCTGGACACCCCAGGACAACGAGGATGATAGCAGGCGCGTTTCCCTTTGATTCTGCAGCGAGCACGCGATGGATGAAGCTGGTCAATTAGGTAGCGAACCGTGTGCCTGACTTTATAGCTCTATGCATTATCTTTGACATGAGTCTATATTCCCGTGCAATATTGTGCCATCCTCCAAGCCTATATCATGCAATTCGTCACACCCCACAACCAAAGACGAAGCGTCTATTACGCTCATATCGATTCAGCAACGCTCAAATACGCGGTAAAGCCCCTTAAGATTTGCGACTTCCAGCACCGCCCCCTTCATCAGCGCCTTGGTAGCAATCAATCTCCCAGAGAACGCTGGGAACAGCTTCTCCTCCACAGCTTTTCTGACCACATTCCTCCGCTGCTTGATTTCCTCATCAATGTCCTCTTCACTCCCTTCTCCTTGGCTTGGAGGGAGCTGTTCTGGAACATAGAAATCTGCTAGCTCACGCAGAAACGTGTCAAAACACATTTTCTCGTCCGTCCAGTTAACATGTGGCCCTAAACGCATCAAGAAGCGTGGCAGTTTCGCAAGACTGGGGGTATATCCTTTCATCAGTAACGGTATGCTGATCAGATCTCCTTCTGGAGAAATCTCGATCGTGAAGTACTCGAGCAGCATTTCTCTCCTCTCAATAAGCTGTGCGCTAACAACCTCTACTACCTCTTCGATATCGAATTCGTCTTCCTCGCAGGCAGGTTGCATCCTCTCTTTCTCATGGGCCGCCGCAATCCTGAGCAGGTCTTGGATTTTCGGCGGAGCTTCAAACCGAATGGCACCGAAGTTCCCGAAATCTGTCAACCCAAGTTGATAGAAGTATTCGGACGACACCATGCCATAGTCAACCAGGAATAATTTAACTCCAGACTGCATAGCTGCCAAGCGCCGCCTCTCATCGACGATGCCGACGAAAGTATGGCTGGCAAACATCTCTGTTAAGTTATTGTGCATTTCATCCCGAACAGTTGCCCGTAGTTCCTTGATGGTGACCAAGCGGCAGGTTACCGGTTCACGGTCAGAGTGTTCATACTCCATCTCGTTGCTAGATAACTGCGCCCCTTGGGGAAGGTTTGCTGCCTCTGCCCCTCCAGAACCTGGTGTGAGCATGGTTGTGATCTTTCTGAGCTTCGCATCAGTCCGCACAAGATTATTCTCGTAGAGTTTCTGTGTTGATTTTGGAACCGGCGTGCTTGGGTTCTCTCCGCCCGCAGTCCCGCTGGGTGCTCGCGCTCCAGGCAGAAGGCTCTGTGTCATGAATGTCCGGCTTGTATCGATATTCGCCAACTTGACGCGGATATCGATGCATATCTGCTCAATAATCTCATCCTCGTTGAGGAAGTTAACTTCCCTTTTGGTGGGATGCACATTGACATCCACACGTTGAGGATCGATTTCCAGGCTCAGGTATGTAAACGGGTGGCCTCCTTTGGGTAAAAATGTCGAGTATGTTTGCTCGATAGCCTTCCGGATATTTGAAGACTCGACGCAACGGTGGTTAATGAAAAGAAGAAGGGTAGTCTTCTTGACGTGATAATTGGCATTTGTAGTCCATCCATTTGCCACAAATCCAAAACGGCTCTCCGCAGAGCTGAACTCGACCAACTCGTTCGCAACAGCACTGCCGTGTATTTGGCGTATGCGCTCTGTCGTGGATGCGTTTTGTGAAACGGACAAGGAGGTACTTGATTCACCATGTTTCTTGCAGCTGAATGAAACACCAGAACAATGGACGGCATATCTACCTACCATATCCAGAATTTTATTGTACTCCTCAGAAGCAGACCGGAAGGCCCTCCGCCGCGTCGGAATATTGTAGAACAGGTCTTCCACAGTAATCTGCGTACCTTGTCGACCAGCCACAGGCTTTGGTTCCGCCGACTGCCCAGGCTTGGGAGGAGATAGCTTGCAGCTTGCGTAGCTTGCTCGATACGCACAGTTTGAATCCTTCGTCCTCGTAGTGACGGTTAGATGGGCAATGTAACTAATACTGGCAAGAGCTTCGCCTCTGAAGCCATAGGTGCCAATTGAAGTCAGGTCCTCGAAGGATTTCAGTTTCGAGGTTGTAAACCTTTCGCACAGGATAGACAAATCTTCTTTCTGATACAAATTAGTTTTCTTGTCATAACAGGCTTTCTACAGCTGCATACATCTATGCCATGGCCATTGTCTGTGATCTGCAGGAGCTTCAGACCGCCATCTTTGACAATGACATCGAGCGCCGTTGACCCAGCATCGACCGAGTTCTCTATCAACTCCTTCAAAGCATGGACCGGAGCTACGATAATTTCACCAGCTGCGATTTTATTCACCACATCGGGATTGAGTGCCTTCAGCAAGTTAGATTTGAACGCCACAGTAGGATTGGCGGGGCCTACCTTGATCCTTCGAGGAGGCGAGGCATCCAACGGAACATCATCCGCTTTCCTCTTGGAACCTGTGGGTGGAGTCTCCACAGAGTCGATTTCCATCTTTATCGTGATATTTCAACCCTCTAAGCTGAGATTTGGCCCTGAAATCACGCGCAGAAGGAAATGGGGTCTCCCAGGGACCTCAGGCCATTCCTCCCATACAATAATTCGACGCGTCGGCCTGGATTGAGGGGTTATTTTATCAAAGGTATAATATACCCATGCGCATCCCACTGCTTTTTTATCGCAAACCCAAATATACCTATTTTTTTTCTCACGCGTCTCGAATGTACCGCGTGGAAATGCTGCGAACGGGTTGTCATCGTCATACAGTACCCTCCGGCCGCTAGCGCTGCAAGGGGGGCGGCGATCAGTGACATATCACAGCCTCGCGTTATCTGGGGATTTCCTTCGAGCTATCCATACTACTATTGTATAGTTATATGTATGATTTGGCGTCACCCAAACGTCTCTATTACGGTCTCTTCCTGTCGGATACTATTACAATCATTTGAGCGTCGGGGGTTCTGCTTACAAGGTTACGTTGGGACAACAGGGAGCTCCGCACGCCCTTCGACGGTGCCGCATGCGGTTGGGAGCAACAACTTACCCAGCAGCGCTCGAGACGACATGGGATAATGGCCCCCTCAACACGAATATTCCCGGGCGATGAAGAACTAGGGAAACGAGACGATGACCACAAAGTACGGTCGAAGCCTATCGCTGGGTGGCATTACCGACGATGGCTGCTCCGGAGGAACATGAAGCGAATTGGCCTCACTCTGGTGGCTCTTATCGCATTATACTATTTCGTCAAAAACATACCAACAGATCTGAAGCAGCCTTCAATAAGGCCGTCCTACGGCCACTCCCCGTCGGGGGGTGGTGGGATGTCCGGATTGCAACCACCTTCACCCGAAAAGACACAAGCAGCACCAACGGGCGATGAACTTGACGGAGAGAAGCATTGGTATAATGGACCCATTAAATTCTACGAACTGGCAACCTCGTTGTATTTGATAAATAGTAACGGGAGAACCGACTTCAACAAGAACGTTGTCTTTGCCGCTGCCAATCTGAAGAGCGCCGCGACCTTGCTGCCTCTTGCATGTGAGATGGCAAGATGGAAAAGAAATGAAGTTCACTTTGCCCTGATGGGCCGAGAGGATATCCCGATGAAGACCCTGGAAAAAATCAATGGAATTACCGCAGATTGCAACATTCGGATGCATGGTATGAAGTTGAATATCCGTTTTATGACTGGTGGCTAATACCTGTTCTGTTCTAGATGCGCGACCTGATTATCGCCCAGAAAGTACCGACTTTAGAATGGAAGTTAGCAGTGGAGCTGCATTGGGCCATATCAACAACTATATGCACCCGCAAGCCGTCATTGTGGACGGTTCTGGCACTGAAGAGGAGTATTTTCTCAGAGGGGTAAGAGATCGATCTATAGAACTCGGAAAAACCCTCATTGAGCTTCCATATAATGCCGAGCAAAGCTTGATATGGCTTACGAGGCTGGATAGCTGGTCTTTGAATGGTACGTCACCCAAGAATAGCTTATACGAATATCCTGTTAACAACATTTAGCATATAACAAAATCAGTATCGATATACTGATTCACGCCCAGCCTGCAGCATCCGGATCATTAATAAGGCTCTTAACGTCATTGAAGAAGGCGGATTATTTCGGGTCCGCCCCTCCCCGCCTGACGATCGAGTTGCCCAATGATGTTGATGAATTTGCAACCCGATTCCTGGCGCACTCGTTCAGCTGGCCACCATCAGAGCTTCCCGTGCAGGGGAGCGCCCAACAACTTACACTACGTCGGCGTATACCGCACGAGAGACTGACTGCCGAGGAAAGCTCTATCCGCTTCCTGGAGTCTTTCTGGCCGGCGAATCGATTCACGTCGCACGTCCTGGTCCTCTCTCCCCAGGTTGAATTGTCGCCACTCTATTATCACTATCTCAAGTATGCGCTTTTAGAATATAAATACTCCTCAGCAGCCGCCTCCTCAATGATGTCCCACGAAGACCTCTTGGGTATCTCCCTGGATCTCCCCTCGACCTACCTCAATGATACTACGCCCTTCACAGCGCCACCGAACCCCGCATCAGCGAAGGCCCCAGAAGCTAACGGCCCATCCTTTCTCTGGGGCTCTCCAAACAGCAATGCAGCTCTCTACTTCGGCGACAAATGGACTGAGCTCCACACCCTCGTCTCACACTCGCTCAGCTCCGCCTCTTCCGCACCCAAGAAACGCATCAGCACCTCCTACCCATCTTGGCTCGAGTACATCCTCACTCTATCTAACTCCCGCGGCTACTCGATGCTGTACCCCCAGCTGACAGCTGGCGACGCCCTCGCCACTGTGCACAATGAACTCTACCAGCCACCTGAAGAATTCGACAAGCCAAAGTCGGAAACCGACACGACGGCAGAGGATGGCAACTTCACAGCCGACCCGGCACAGCATCTAAGCTTGCAGCACAAGGAGTTTCCACTGGCACATTCGAACCTAGTTAATATGCTCCCTGACAACCAGGTGCTAGCGCCGCTACACACCATCCCGTTGTTGACCTGGGATGGGAGGGTAGTGGATAGGTTTGATCTCGGTGATGAGGCGGAGGAATTCAGTGCGAAATTCCGGCGCGAGGTGGGTGGTTGCAAAAAGCCTGTCCCAGCTAAGACAAGGCTCGTGAATGTGGGCGTGGAGAACCTATTCTGTGATGGAGGCGAGGAAGATGAGGTGCCTGATAAGGCAGCCGACAAAGCGACTGATGAAGCCGATAATAAGGCATCTAAAGAGGCACTTGATGACGAGGATGTAGAGCCCACTGAGACGGAAGAGAGTCATAGCACAACGCCTGCTCACTCCCACTCCACCGAAACGGCTGCCGAGGGGCATATGAATGCAAACCAGGAAGAGGGGATAATCGTCGGGACATGATGAATATAACGAACTGTACTGTATGTATTATCTGAGTCTGTACTTTTTTGGTTAGCATGTACTGGAGACACCGCTTGCCCCTGGTAGGAAGGCACTGCATGTATTTTTTTCCCGACAGACTATGAGCATAGAGCTCATAGTCGAGTCTAGGCTAGTTATGCCAAAGCACTGTTTTTTTCGAAATGCAATATCACATAGAAGCATCAAGTAGTGAAAATATTAGTCATCTATTTTTTTTATAAAGCAGATGACACGGCCCCTCCCATTCGACGGTCAACCAATGTCTAGGGCTAGCTTATAGTACAGTGTATCATATTGTGTTCCAGCGCCCTCCCAAACCCTTGTCAACGCCCCGTTCAGCTCGTCGTATCATCCCACTCTGGGTTCTATTTGCATATTAGTTAAAAGGCCTTTGTAAATAGCTAGAGATTGCTTACCTTTCTTAAAATAACCAGGCCCTCCAGCGTGCTCGACAAGCTGATGTACTGCTCGTCCTCCAACTCAGCCCTCTCACCATACGCCAATAGCACTGGCGTGCTCTGTGTCTGCCAACCAGTGATGGTCTTCGGTCGTCCGGCCTGGCCAACAACATCGACAGCCTGGCCGACGCGTACGTTGACGGTCAAAGGCTTCAGGTTCTCGTCGAGAGTAACGAGGAAGCGTGGGTGCATTGACGTGACCAGGAAGTACAGGAGGTAATGCGAGTCCTTGGTGATGAACAACTTGGAATCGATCATGGCGACCAGAACCGCCAGCAAGCCGGCAGTGGAGACGCTCGACAGAACTTGCCTATCAGTGTGGAAGGGGTTGACCGAAAGGGTGCCCTTGCCCATGTGCAACAGGCCCTGAGCAATGCGAACCATGAAGAGTGATTCGGCGTCACGGTGGTAGTAGCTGGCGAGTTGGCGCAGGAGCTGAGCCAATCTTGCGTTGTTGGTACCCGCGCCAACAAGACCCATGGAGAAGATAGCATTAATGGCGACATCATTATCATTGTCGTGGCTGTATCTGGAAAGGGTGTCGTAGATCTTCATCTGTGGGTTGCTGGGGCTGATCAGACCCATGGCCAGAGGAACAGCCTTGCGGATGTTGGGCTCTCCGTAATGCATCAAGTGTCCAAACTGGCGGAGGACCATCTCCTGACCGACTTCTTCTCCCATCGCAACTAAGGCAAGGCCGATAACGGCATATGCTTGCAACAGCTCGTCGCCCTTCTTGTCGTCGCTATCCTCGATGTGGTCGTTACAGATGTGGAGCAGCTCCTGGAGCTTCAGCACGGTGCCTGTTCCCGCCCAGGCGCAGATCTCGGCCAGAACCGATGTTGGCTTGGACATTGGGTGGTCGATGGCCTTCAGCGTCTCCAGAATAACGTCAACCTCCTCCTGGCGGTTGAAGAAAAGCAGGCCAAGTCCAAGAGCCATGAACCTGGTCCACTTATCCTTCAGCTGGTGCTTGCGGTCATCATCGAGGAAAGTTTGAACAATAGCCTCGCTGACATCGCTATTCGAAGAGCCAACGAAGATAAGACCAAGCGACAACGCAGCCATGGCTGAAGTCTGCATGTCCAAAGAAGTATCTCCGACAAGCGGCAACAGCAGAGCCAGGAGCTCATCCTTGTTCGACCCAGCATATGCCAAGCCCAATCCCATAATAGCAGAGACTCTGATTAGAGGCTCCTTGTGGTTAAGCTTATCCGAGTCGCCAAGCAGAGCCAATGCGGGATCGGAATCCAGACGCACGCCACTGTTGACAATACCAGTGGCCAACAATGCACCTGCTTGGATCTCGGCCTCCTCGGCGTATGTGTAGCGATCAATCTTGTCCAAACCAGCCTCGACATCCCACAAGAGGAGGGTACCCATGGAGGCAACCGTTGAAAGCTGGCCCTCCTTCTTCGTCTTCCATACCCAGCTGGATTGCTGCTCTTCCACCAACATCATCTTATCGTTTCCGAATCCTGCGTTGACGAAGGCATTGACAAAGCTGGCCGCCAAGTTGTGTGCCGCGGAGGTGGTGTTTGTAGTACCAGCAACCCGGGTGCTCTCGAGATGGCTCTTGTAGATATCCTCTGTGGACTTTGGGTCCAGAATGTTTAACTCCTTACCCAAAGCCTTGAAGTGCTCTGGCAGCTTGATGTTGTTGAGACAGTCAGCAATCTCTTGCTCCTCCTCGGTTTCCGTTGGCACATCCAGCCAGATTTGTTGTCTCGCGATCAGGAACGCCATCTGCTTCTTGAGCGCCACATCGTCGGTCGAATCGAAATCCGAGCGAATCAACTCGATGTCGTTTAACCTAATAGCCAAGACGATCGCCTTTGTGAGTTGGTTGTATTTCTTGTAGATATCGTGTGCAGTGCGGAGGAATTGCTGGTCTTCCGGGTAGGTCAATAGGTTGACCATGCTGACCATATACAAACAGACGCGTGGGTAGGTGTTCTCATCCAGGTACTTCGGAAGGTCCTCTATTATCTCAAGCTCGCTCATCAAATCCACAGCGTCGGCCTCGGCGTTGCTCTTGAGGAATAATGGGACCAGAACCAGGGCCAAGTCGATCAGGTCCTGGCTAGGCTCATCGTTTGTTAATCTCTTCGGGTACACCTCACCGATCTCCAACGCCAGATGCCTAGTATATTCGTGGCCCCAGGACTCGATATCTGCCGTCGGTGCTAGCAATCTGTACTTGAGTGTGTCCTGTCTGTCCTCGTCCGAAAACGTCATTCCGATAACAGAGATCACGTCCGCCAGAGAGGTCTTGTTATCGCCCTCATCCCACTGCTCGTACAGCTTGATCATCGGCTCGTAGTGCGGCCTGAGGAATTTGAGGGGTTTCGGTACCGCGGTCATCGAAGATGTCGAGGTTTTGATGGAGTCTTTGATCGCTTCCAGTGACGGCTTATACAGATCTGTGTCTGGCTCCTACAACGCCGTCAGTACGAGAACCATTATCATTGAGGCCCAGGAATATAATTTACCGTCAGGCGCTCCACGAGCATGTCTAGTTCGCCCTTCAGCTGCTGGTCCTCCTCGTTGAGATCCTCCCCTGTGGCAAACAGTCAGTATGTTGTAAACACTGGAGTGGTGGCAGGCAGCCTCGTCATACCTCCAACAACAGCCTCCTCCTTCCCATTAGCAAGCGGCTTGCCATCCTTATCCTTCTTCACCTCCTTCGGCTTGCCAGCATCGCCATCGACAGCCTTTCCCTTTCCCTTGTCGACCGAGTTGGGCGCCTCTGCGTCTTTCGCCATCGTGGAAGCTCACAGAAATGGTAACCGTTCGATGTAGCGGACAGCGACGCAACTGAGGCGGAGATGAATCGAGTGGGGTTGTAATAAATAGACTTCGCTCTCTTAATATTTCGCAGAGCGTTTCCGAGGCAGGTAGATGTCAGAACGCGGAGGACTGAGGTGCGGATGGAGTTTATATGGGGTTTGGGGTTTCTAAGCTTCCGCGTGTAAATACACGCCTAGAGCTTCGCTCGCATCGTTCGTGAGAGGACCACACATCCATTAAGTAAGCGGGCCCGTGCGCTAACCTGACAGGGGTGGCCTATCATGACCGCCCACGGCAGAAAAAGTCCACGACGACGATAATTGATCGTGTGTGAGAAGCCTCGAACCTGGCTCCGAAGACCTTCAAATAACAACCGCAAATATGAAGTTGGACACGAAATATATGCGCTATATCACCCAGGAGGACTGGAAAGTCCTCACTGCCGTAAGTCACACACCCACTTCCTCATCACCATGACCTGCCCCGCCACTGAACCCCTCCAACTAACATACTCCAGGTGGAAATGCTCTCAAAAAATCACGAAGTCGTTCCCACGAAATTAATTGGGCAACAATCTCACCTCGGCGGTAGCACCGCGCGCTCCATCTCCGCCCTAGCAAAAATCGGCTTGATCGCCCGCCTGCGCAACGCAAAATACGACGGCTACCGCCTCACCTACGGCGGTCTCGACTACCTCGCACTCCACACGCACAACAACAAGAGCGCCGTCTACAGCGTCGGCAACCAAATCGGCGTAGGCAAAGAATCCGACATCTTCGTCGTCGCCTCGCCGACCGGCCGTCAACTAGTCCTCAAGATCCACCGTCTCGGCCGTATCTCCTTCCGCACAGTCAAGGCAAACCGCGACTACCTGCGCAACAAGCAAGGCGGGTCGTGGATGTACATGTCCCGCCTCGCCGCGTTGAAAGAATACGCCTTCCTCGTCGCCCTCCGCGAGCACAACTTCCCCGTCCCCGAGCCCATCGCACAGTCCCGCCACACCCTCGTCATGTCCCTCATCGACGCCTTCCCCATGCGCCAAATCGCATCAGTCCCCGACCCAGCATCCCTATACGCCGAGCTAATCGCCATGATCCTGCGTCTGGCGCAGTACGGGCTCATCCACGGTGATTTCAACGAGTTCAACATCCTCGTCGAGGAGAAGCCCGACCCAGCTGCCAAGGGCGGCGTCGCGCTCACTCCTATCCTTATCGATTTCCCGCAGATGGTGTCGGTGGATCACGCGAATGCGGAGTACTACTTTGACCGCGACGTGAACTGCATCAAGCGCTTCTTCAAGAGGAGGTTTCAGTTTACGCCTACGGAGGCTGGGCCGCACTTTGCGGATGCGAGGAAGCTGATTGGGAAGGATGGCGCGGTGAGGTTGGATGTGAATGTCGAAGCGAGTGGGTTCTCGAGGAAGCAGGCGAAGGAGTTGGAGGCATATATGAAGTCGGTGGGTGTAGATGGGGATGGGGATCCAAACGCTACTAGGGCCGATCTTGAGGAGGACGCTAATGGCGATGGCGATGATGACGAGGAGGAGTCTGATTTTGTTGAGGAGGAGGAACCGGAAGCTAAGCCTGTGGCTAAAAAGGTATGGGCAGACGATGTCGAGTTTACGACAGACCGTCTGGGAAATACGGTGGAAGTTGTGAAAGAACCAGAAGCCGTGCCCGCGGAGAAAAAAGAATTGACAGACGATGTCGAGCATACGACAGACCCCTTGGGAAATACGGTGGAGGTTTTGAAGACTCTGAGCGTCGATGATAAAACATGAGGAGTTTACTATTATCATGGTTGGAATACTTTTTAAAGGGCCGCGAGCACTTCACATGGTTCATCCACATTCAGGATCCAGGACGCTATCACGCACAGCTCTCCGTGTCAAGAAGGGTTGTAAGTAACTTGGTCACAATTGCGAGTCAAAAGGCAGCAAATGCAAGATTGATAAGCAAGTTTTTATAGCTAATTAGCTAGAGGATCAGCGAGTACATCATCGTGGGTGGGAAGACCACAACCACGGGAAAAAATAAAGCGCCGAAGGAAACTACAAGCAAGGATGCACCTTTGATACTTCGTGACCACCTGCAATCGCCTGTTCGATCCTTCTACTAATGAATGATTGCGTGCAAATCGCTTTTGATGAAATGCCATACCCTTCTTGAAGTATGTCCTCCTGCAGTAGACCCGATGCCACATGGCCGCCTATGATACACAGCTGAACTCCCAAGCTTTTGATGGACATTACGTATGTATTGAGGTAGGTATGATCCGTAAGGCTATGCGCCTAGATGAATATTCGAGGGGTATAATGCCGTGAGTATGAGTATGAAGGTCGTTGGATGCGTAAAACTGAACGTGGGCTCTTGAACTCCACGAAATATATGCTGTTCTTGATAACATAAGACTGTTCCTTCTCTTTAGTTTGCAGCCGCAAGTGGTAGTTATCATGCCAAAGTCGCATCAAACCCGAACTGGAGATAAACAATTAATAGTAGCGCCCTCATCAGCTGAGTCGTCGTCAGACACCGTTGGAGTGGAACGTTCTTCCTGTCTGATTCAAATACTTAGTCATGTAACGTAGCAATATGATGGGCCGAAGCTATACATACTGCTCGGAGCCCTCCTGTTTGCTTGGTGTAAGGATAGTCTGGGTAACACGGGTGTCAAGGTCCTTGAATGCAGAGCCAGGAGCGGAAGCTCCATCAGACGACCTGCAGGTTCGTTAATATCACTGCTTCTTTAAGAGAGAGCCACACTGACCCAGTATTATCCGAAGAAGATCCATTTCTCTTCCATGACCCAACATTCTTCAATTGGGGGAGGTGGCCAGATATTTGAGCCATGCGCGTAACCCCGGCGGATGCTATTAGAGGGGAGAGGTTGGCAGCATCCGCGGGGCTGCCATAAGCACTCACATTGTACTCAGTGGTGCGAAACTGGCGTCTCTCAGTCGTGACTTTCTTGAGGTCTTTCTGCGCTGGCGTATCGGCATAGCGGACCTGCATAAGAAGACCCTCCAGGCCTACAGGAGTTCCGTGGAACGTTCTGATAATCTCCTCGCAAATTTCACGGCTCTCGAAACTAAATAACCATGAGCAACTGGTTCCCAATTTAGGTATATGGAGGATCCTCACCGTGCAAATCCAACACCACGACTGTTGCCCTGAGAATCGTGCAAAATTCTGCTCGAGACCACATTGTAATCCATGAAGGTAGCAGCAAGCTCCGTCTCATTCATGTCCTTTGGCAAGTTCGAAACGTACAGGTTGGTGGAGCTGTGGTCGCCCTTTGCTTTCAAACGTGAATTGAACGACTCCTATGAAGGATTAGCTGGGGTATAATGTTTTCAAAACAGTATGCATTACCCTGGCAAAACCGACTTCATATCCCTTAGCGAAGAATCCACGGATGCACTTCTCAGAGTCACGGACATCAAAGTATTTGGCAAAACCGAAGCTGTGAGACTTAGTAAATATGCATGTTATTCCCATGGGAGCGTCGACTTACCCTTTGCAAGTTCCAGTGCCGGTATCAATGATAGCCTTGGAAGTTTCCACACGACCGAAAAGGTTGGCATATGCGGCCAAGGTCTCATCATCAGTACCTGGATGAAGTCCACGAATGTAAACATTGCGATTGCCGTAGATCGGGCTGGACAAGCTTTGATCCAGAGTTCTCATGCTCTCTTGAGGAGTGAACACGGCCGGGACAGCATCTGGAATTATCTGGTTGATTGTGGCGGCGTTATAGTTGGCTGGAATAGACTTGTATGGCAGAGGCTTTCCCACCTGTGACATGTTCACGTTGTATGGTAACTGCGGTGACGGGGTTGAGTAGATCGGAGATCTATCCACAGTGGCAATAACAGTGCCGTGGTCACCGTGACCCAGAGAGCCATAGAATGGAGTTCCTGGGGCAGATTCATTGGTCGAGTAGGATCCTCGGCGATTATCAAGGCCTGGAACGTCCTTGTGCATGGCTCCCTGACGATCTGATAGATGACCTTGACGCGCCTGTGGATAAGGCATCATGGCATAGCCAGGCATGTAGCTAGGATAACCGGCTTGGGTGCCATAAGGAAGGCCTGGAGCATATGTGGCATAACCGCCGTCTTGGAGCTGAGCAGTTGCAACCGACTGGGTAGGGTAGATATTGGCAGAAGGCATGCAAAAGAGCTGGCCCTCCTGCGTGAGGAAGTACTGTGGAGTATTGACACCCTGAATGGTGTTTGATGCAGCTGGGATAGTTCCATTTGGAACACCGATGTGAGCCTGAGCAAATGAACCAATCATGGACTGGAGGCCAATATCGTTCTGAGAAGCTCCAGCAGCCAGGTAGGCCCCAGGATGGGTTTGAGAAGCACGGGAGGCTTGAGCCTGCGAAGCTTGCTGAGCGTACATGACTGGACCACGATTGTTGTAAGAACTGTCGGTCGCTGGTTGAAGCTGTTGGACCGGCATGATTGTCTAGAGTAGAAAATATTAGTTTGTCGACACGTATGAAGTTAAGGGTAAAGGCAATTGATCAAGATGGCTTTTTGGCCAGTTGAGGTGTATCATGAGAGGAAAGAAGTCCTCAAGAGTCATCGACAATGTGGGTGTTGGACCCAGGGATGGTGGGTTGAAGAGTTGTTTACTTACAAGTAGAACACTACTTAGAACAAAGTTAAGACTTTGTTCGCACGTTCCAAAGATGATCTGTTCACGAGGATTAATTAACCTGTGCAATATTTGCGTTGATGGGAGTGATTGCATACCTTACAATGCCAACAATGGAGCTGTATCCACAGCCACAAGGTGATGGAGGTGGAAGCAGCAATTCAGAATCTGATGATTACAAGAATTGTGGAAGATTGTCGGTGAGTAGCGAACGAAAAGGAGGTGAAGGATAGTGAGCTATCAGCCAGGAAATGTGTCGAATAACTTGTTGATGGATCTTTGTGTGATGATGGAGGATGAAGAGTGAATTCGGGGGGGGGAAGAAGGACTTATATGTTGGCGTCCGACTAGAGTTGTTGAATGGAAGGAAGGAACGTTCGAGAGAAGGTTCCGCGCAATAACACGATCTGCGGACGGAAGGTGAAACCCAGTCACAGGCGAAGAGAAAAAGGCAGGTGCGGTCTCGGCAAGCTGAAGCAGACGGAGATGTGGGATATATATCAATAGACGCAGGCTCAGAGAAGAAAGAACTCTTGTGTTATAGGATACGGTTGGGAGCGAAGCTTCTCAGACACGACGACAACACAACGTATATATAGTAATATAGTCAGTGTTATCTGGCTTTTTGAGGCGTAGTTGAGATATTGTCGTCTGATTTTGGTACAGAATGGCAGTGGGTTTGTAAAGATACAGAGACTGCTGAACGATAACATGGGGTAGGAGCAGCGGACGATACAGAATAAACGGTGAAGAGGAGGAAGGAGCGAGGGAAGTGAAATAGAGGGGCAAGCCAGCCTCTTTAAGTCTAATGAAGCAGATGAGCAGCGCAGAGGTATAGATTGCGTTTCCCCGTCGTACCTTCCCTAGCTAGAACGCAACACTGATCGTATGGAACCATGCTGGGAGTACATGTCAATACTTACAGGCATCCCCGAGTTGGCATTCATGAGTGGCAAATGGGAAACCAAGACTCAAGACCCAAGACCCAAGTGGCAGAAAGCAGACGGCGAGAGCAAGGGAAGGAAGGCACGGCACGACACGACGGCATACTAGGACGGACAACACAGGACGGACACGGTGCCTCCACCCCACATGTGTGATCTCGGCACAGCTGACTGTTGACACTGGGGAATGCCGGACGGCGTCGATCTGTGCGTTAGGTGAGGGGGGCGGAGGGAGGGGGAAAGATCAGAGAAAGGGATCGGAGGGGGGCCAGAGTGCGGACCGTGTGGCATAGAAGCTGCGATGGGGAGGGGGGAGCTATGTTGATTCTTGAGCTTAGTCCAGTTGGATTGGATGCAATCATCACCAGTGAACAACCAGACAAGCCATAACACACTAAGATTGACCAAGAATGCTATCCAGGGTTGAGTACATACTTTGTGCACATACAGCACGGAACGTGGGCAGTATTCTCCCCGCGACGGCCCGCTAGATTTCATGATCGATCGGGACGTTGCACATCTTCTGCCTTCTCCTCCCCATGCATCCCGGAACCCTGAGAGAAATGTGTGCCAAACGGACCGAACGAAGCTGTTGGCCCTCACAACTCTGCATACAAACAGGAGAATAATGCATGTTCAGACATACCTGTGTATGGACACAGCGCGATCACAGTGTTCACATCGCACCCTCCCCCCCAGCCACTTCGGTCATATGAGACGGATGATCTGCGAGTAGCCGTGGACGATCAAAGACTGCCGCCCGAACCGCTGACAAACGCAAACGCGTCGAACGCGGCACGATGGGGCCAATTTGATGGCCAGGTTACATTGAGATAGCGTGAATCGGGGCTGAAATGTTGGTTTCTCGTGCCCAACTCCACGGTCAAAGCGCCTTCTATCTCGTATCTCCTACGCGCCGGATCATCACATAAGACTGTGATCACACAACGCAGGCTCCAGGGTTACCCTTGAGAATTACCGACAGTCTGGAAATGACCAGGACCAAAACTGTCACATCTGCTAGGATTAGCAATGTTGGTTCTCGAAGTAACATTACTGAGGACGACAGCAAATTGTCAGGGTGATCGGCTCTTCCGTGGCGTGGCTGCCAATGCCGTCGAAGGGGTGGTCTGTATTGCCTCACGTCAAAACAGAAATCGACTCCAAAAAACTGCCATTACACCAAGTATCCCTCTTGGCTCCGAACTCATGGCTGTTGTGTCACCCCAAGGACCACTTCCCATGTTGGACAATCCAAACCTCCAAGCCTCTTACTTTATGACTTCGCATCACCACGCAGCCACTAAGCCGTACGCTCAAGGCCACGAATCTCGTGTTGGAATTGAAAAAAAAATCCCAGTACCGTGGGTCACATTAATGAGACCTCCTTACAAGGCCATCAAAAAAGCCCTGCGCTGCAGCCATCCTGTCCCTTTGGCAAAGCGCATTGGTTGTGGTTGGAGACTGGAGTACGACCTCGTACGTTACCGAGCGCTTAATGCGCCAATGGGGGGGTGAAGCGACGTGCCAGGGGCTGGCTGGGGGATGTGATTCGGTAAATTGGTCTTCCTATTCGATCGTTCGATTTGACATATCCTCTCCTTTTTTTGTCTACTCATCTTCAACATCCTCAGTACCTCTCCAAAAAAAAATTGAAGTCACTCGCGGGTTTTAACAGTACCTGAAAAATCGACAGTTCGGCAAGAAATGCCGCCGTCGAAGAGGCGCTTCCCAATCCAGGATCACGAGTTATCAAAAACAAACACACAGACTTACCACCCACCCATGCCACAACAACAAATGTTGATTCACAACCCTCAAAAACAAACATCGCCACCACCACCACCGGTCATCGACACCACCATAAACCGCTCCTCCCTCACCCTCTCGGCCCCCAATCGACCAAACCACGGCTCCCCCCTCCCATCTCCGCGCGAGCCGTCCGTCCCTAGCATCTCTCACTGTTGGACGCTGCCTGCCTGCCCCCACCCGCTCCCATCTCGATCTCCCGATGAACCTCCCTCGCTTTAGAACCCCCCCGATCCCGTTTAAATCTCATCCCGTTTCTATACCCCCCCACCCCCCACCCCCCCCCCCACCACCGCGGCGTCAAGCAAACTGTAAATCCCTACATTATCACATACAGCAAGATCCTGTCAGACAGAGGTCTCCGCGGCAGTCACACAACCTCCCTTCTCGAAAACACACGGAACTCCACCGACGCACTCTACGCAACGCCTTCTCTCCTCTCCCCCCCCCCACCCCCCGACCCTAGGCTAGCGCCACAGATCTCCACGAGATGAGATGTGATAGAACACGCCGCTACGACGTTTGAGTCAACTCTTCTAACCACTTCCAGACTTCCGTCCTTTTCCCCCCGCCCGGCCCCTCCCATACATCGCCAAGAAGTTGCTGAGTGAGCGAGAAACAGCCCTGCGGCGATCCCGCTCCAGAACGCACGCATGTCACCAACGTAGGTCCCTGCATGCACTGTGCAGTCACCGTGTGGCGAATGACTTGGCTGAAATGAAAACGAAAGGGGTGTGAACGGGTGGTGTGTGGCTTGATATACGTTTGACTTGCCTATTATCTACCTAGAGTGTGTGAACAACATACATCCCTACCCAAAACGATGCACGCCTGCTTGTCCCCTTTCTCGCCCCCAAATACACCCTCCCCTCTGTCTTAGAGATCACAATCACAGGCAGTCCTCACCCCCCGGCCGGCCCAAACCCGGAATATCTCACACCCTCCAGACCACCTCGCGTCTCCCACCAGACCACCCCCCTTCAGCGCAAAAGCTAGACCTCGATTTTTCGATCTAAAAAACAACGACGGCAACTCGCCCAAAGCCACAGTAGCCCGCCCACAGCACCACAGACGTAAGGAATAGTAGTGAAATAGATGCAACTTCATAGATCTACAACAACAACCAAACAAACAAGCTAGAACAGAAGAAAAATATCCCTATATCCCGCGCTGCTCCGAAAAAAGGAAAGAGAGAGAGAGAAGGAAAATATGCATGCGACATGTTCTCCGTGAAGTTATGTGTGCGTGTATGTTGTGGGTCCCCCATGTTCGCGTCCGTCGTTGGCCGTTGTCGTGTTGGTTCATGGTGTTTATTGGGGGCGGTTTGTTGTACTGAGTGTGATTGATGAGTGATGGGTGATTAGTTTTTTTTGTGTTCATGTGTGCCTCCGTATCTTTCGTTCCGTTCCATTTCGTCTGTAAGTCTAAGGTCTAAATGTGCGCCGAGTATTGAATCACTGGTGTCTGTCTGGTTGTCTGGCTGGCTTGCTGGCTGGCAGGGCCACGCCGCGGACTCTCTTGTCGCGAAATGAGGCGAGTCCAGGTGCTTGTAGCGAAGATTCTATGACCAGACGTCCTCCTGTGTTGATATTAGCTTTCTGTTCGCCAACTTGGTAGATAAGGTAGTCCGGCGGCCACGTCCGATCGGACCGGGCAGGCCGCATTTAACGCGACCCTCCCATCCCGCCTTGCATGGCCCGCCCACCCGACCCATAAAACCAAGATTAAAAAATTGAGGACAAAGACGCATAAAAAAACATACCTGGTACTGATTTGCGCTCCTCATCGACTTCACGACATCCTCAGCCTTCTGCTCGGTGATGCCGCGGTTCTCGGCGATGATGGTGGCCAAGGCGGCATTGACCTCGCGCGCCATGTGCGAGGCGTCGCCGCAGACGTAGAAGTAGGCTTTCTTCTCAAGGAGCTCGTTGACGAGCTTGGCGTTCTCCTGGAGGCGGTGCTGGACATAGACCTTTTTGGGGCCGTCACGGGAGAAGGCGGTGATGAGCTCGAAATTGTCGCCGAGGGCTTTCTTGTACTCCTGCGGTGTGTAAGTGGGGGTTCAAAGGGAGGCGGGCTATGGGATAGGACTTACTGCCCACTCTTGCTCGTAGAGGTAGTCCTGCTTCTTGGATCTGCATCCGAAGAAGAGGATCGTCTTTCCGACGGGGGTTCCGGCGGCAGCTTGCGCAGCACGCTCCTGGACGAAGGCGCGGAAGGGTGCGACTCCGGTTCCAGGACCGATCATAATGATTGGCTTGGTCGGGTCAGATGGGAGCTTGAAGTTGGAGTGGCGCACGTGCACGGGGACGTGGATGCCATCGTATTTGTTCCTTGGGCCAGTGATTTCGTAGGTAAGTCCGTGGGGATCCGGGTTGGGGTCGCCGTGCTGCTTCTGCTTGAGTGCCAGGAGGTAGTTGGTAGTTACACCCTTGAGGGCATCAGGACGCGATGGCAGCTGGATGGACTCGACAACGGCGGTGATGGAGATCTTAGTCTTCTGGACGAGCGAAGAGGATGAAATAGAGTAGTAGCGGGGCTGGATCTTGTGGATACCTTCAATGAGGGCAGAGAATGGGATATTGGACCAGATGGCACCAGGAGCGACGGAATCAAGGACTTGGGCGATGTTGAGGAATTGCGACGAGACCTTGCTGGAGAAGTATTCCTTGTCCGAACCGAGCTTGCTCATCTCAGCCTTAGCCTTCTCATCTGGTGCGAACGCAGCCAGAGTTGCGAGGTATTGACGGGAGACAGGGGCGCAGATTTCCATGTGATAACGGGCAACAGCTTCGTAGGTGGTCGGGGTTGGGAAGGGAACCTTGGCAGTTGGATCGAGGGGCTTGACAGCAATAACAGTATCGCGCTTCTCGTAGAGACCAGTAACCTTGAGGAACCTGTCGACTTCCCTGCCGGCGTTGGTGGGCCAGACGGCAATATGGTCACCGGTCTGGTAAGAGAGGTTGGAGCCGCTGATATCGATTTCCATGTGCAAGCAGTTTCGGTCCTTAACAGTGAAGATTTCCTTTGATTCGACGATTGGTGCAATGTATGGGTTGTGTGCGTTGTACGGGCCCCTGGAAGCTCCCTCTAGGTGCATCTTGTTCGGCTCGCCCAGGTAAACTTCAGGGGCATCTTTGGCAAGGCCTTCGCGCTCAGTTGTGCTGAAGACTGGCTCGTAGACAGCCTCGCGCTCCTCAAGACCAAGCTTCTCGGCCAGAGCAGTCCACATTGGGTCCTTCCAAGCCAGGAAATCTTCCTCCATAGTGCCAGCTCCGTCGTCACCCTCGCCAGCGGTACCAATGCGTTCTGCTCCGAATTTTGTGAGGGCCTTGTCCACATTGCGGACCATAGAGTTGTAGTGTTCGTAGGTGTTGTTTCCGAGGCCAAATGCGACGTATTTGAGGTTTCCGAGTGCGGGTTCCGCTCCCTCGGAGAAAGCGGTATCTTCGCCCGTGATGAACTCGTAGAAGTCGACAGCGTTATCTGTGGGCTCACCCTCGCCGTAAGTGGCAAGAACGAACATCACGATCTTGTCGCTGGGAATGGTATCAATGTTTTCGTAGTCGTATTCCTCAATATCGGCAACCATGGTCTCGAGACCGAACCTGCTCTTGCCCTCCTTGGCGAGTCTGGCGGCATAGTCCTCAGCGGTACCGGTCTGCGATCCGTAGAAAACGACGCAGTTCTTGTTGCTCTCGTCCATCTTCTTAACAATGTCGCGCGTCTTGCCGAACTTTGCGCCGCCAGTGGCGTTGGCGAGCATATTGTCATAGGGATCCTTTGCCACGGCCCAGTAGGTGCCCTTGGTGAAGTAGGCAATGGTGGCCGCAAGCAGCGACAGGAGGACAACTAAGTCCAGAGTGTCGAGGTTCGCCATGATAGCGGTTTGCACGAGGATTGGGGGATGTGAACAGACGACCGTGACAGTAACCTTTGACGTGCTGCGGGCGTGGAGGGGAAGTGGGCAAAAAAAGACGGGGAAGCTCCGAGATATATTTGGGGGTTCAGTTCAGTTCAGTAGTTTCCGCCGGTCGGTCTTCGATTCTCGTCTCCGTGGTTGTTAGTGGCCCGGGGTGGTTCCAGGGTACATACAGTACGGAAGCTCAACGGAATGTTAATGCCGACTATCAGGACACGACTGAGCGCGAGTCAGTGGGGAAGTATTGCGAGTGCGGAAGCAAGGCCGGCTAGCAAAGTTACATATCCGGGCTTCCTTACTTTAAACCGAGATTGATAGTTTGAGGGGGAAACTCTAGAAATATAATATGTAGAATAATTAGAGTAGAGTAGAATAGAGTACGGGATGTCTCCGTAGACGATTAATAATGAGACAGTTGACGGCTCAGTCAGCTGCGGCTGTTCAGCTTTCCCTTGCCCTTTCTCATCTCATCTCACACACATAAAAATACTAATAGAATCCTAGCCGCACATTCTCACACATCCACCGACTATTTCTGGTTATGCTGTACGTGAGACCGGTTTCAATTCTACTGTACTGACGACTGTCACTGGCCTGTTGTACGGCAGAGAAGAGGACAGATTACTCATTCCGTGCAGACGCGGAGACCGCGCAGGCACTATTTACCTACAATAGGTATGAGTGGTTATCCTCGAGCTTCCATGGGAATCTTATAGGGGGCTGGCTGGCTGGCTGGCTGGCTGGCTGGGCATTTTCGGTAGAAATATAATAAATTCACGGCATGTGAAATTATTAGCATGTAACTGTGTAGTGTAACAACTGGAGCACAGCCGGTCTTTCGACCCGAGTACGAGCATAACAAAAGACGTCAGCACACACAGAATTGAGTCCACGGTACTTCAATAAGGCATTTAAAGGAATACTCCTCCTATCCTCTACAACGGACTCCGTACTACCAACCCAAACCCACTGAGCACGCACACAAACTCCGCGGCCCGAAGAGAAATGAGACCCATACTCCATACTCCATACCATCCATACTACCTACTATGGATGGTAGTGCGCTCTATACATACATCTTTAATGTTGTTAGACTATATAATACAAGGTCTATCAGCACATCAGCACACCTGGTTATCAGATCCTCATATATTGTGCTCCCCCTCCCACCTGTTCATAGTCAATTAATCGAGGGAGCAACACTACTGCACATAATTAAACCCTAATTTCAACGTGGCATGTAGAAGAAACTAACTCTACGAAGTACTTCCCCTAACATCACTAACATCACAGAGACCATGGGGTCACGTGCTCTCCCGCTCGTTCCCCCGGGTTTATCCACTCCCGCCTGTCCCCAGACACCAACCGCATCAATTCTGCCCCAGGCGCGTCTCCAGTAGGGCCCAATTGGGGCGAGTCGAAACCCAACCCCCAGTAAAAATGTTGTCGGGCAACCGTAGTAGCAGTATAGCCGCTATCGCCGGGCGGATGTCCTATCTCAGAGATCAATATAACCTCAACTCCTATAAAAAATTGCTCTATCCCTATCCAAAATTACAAAGTGATGCGTGTCGTCGCATTGCTTAGGCACTAATAATGACCTCGGTAGACATGCAAGAATGAGGTCAGATCTGACCAACAAGGGACAATATGTGTGAGTGCTATATCCCCTCCAATCTGTTTACTCTAAATTCCAAGCCCCGCCACACCAGTCCGTCCCGGGTCACGAGAAGCCGCTGGCCCTTTGCCCAATCCAGTCGCGGAAGTGATGCGCTGCCACACGAGATACGCGTAGGCGGCTTTTTGTCCGGCGTTTAGCTGAGGGCCAATGTTGAAGGAGTTGCACGGGCGATCTGCTGTTTGTTCGCTGTAGAAAGCATTGCTAACTCGAATTTGTACCGAAGCTCCACTATTACAACCTTCGCCTGATCGCAACCCCCAGGAGACCCCGAAGACAGCTCACAGACATGCGCCGAATGCAGATGCTGAGAACTGGAACGGCAAAGGCATACCGACGCTGAGGGCTGGGGGGCGACCGGACGGCACGAACACGCCTTACTCTCCAAGCAGGGAGCCGTCACCACACAAGTTGCCACCACTGTCGGGCACGGGGAACCCGCCTACATCCGACCCATATACCCTCGGAAACCTCTCCCCTCGATACATACCCTCTCGGAGTCGAGCTGGAAGCGCTAGCGTGGAGAACTCAGGGGAGCTTAAACTCATGCCGTACGGGCATCACCGGCAGACGTCGATCGTCCATGGGATTCAACATTCCGGGAACGGCAGCCTTGGGCCCCTGAGTCCCCAGATTATCGCGGCTGCGGGGTCTGCCGCCGGGGATGCGCCAACGATGGGACGAGCGGATAACGATGTGCCGCCTGCATTTTCGATTGCTAGTCCGTCCTCGAACTTATCGTTCAGCGCGAGTGCTGCCAGCTCGACCACAAATTTAGTGCCGGAGCGTGTGTCGCCGGGCGAGAACAGTGTTAATACGCACACGCAGAAGAGGATCGAACGCATGCATAGCGGAGCTGGAAGGCGCGAACATGGGCACCACCCTTCCCACTCGAGGCATCATTATAAAGAGGAGAGCAAACCGGTCGGCGAATACGCTTTACATGTGCTTTTCACTTCGTTCATTGCGCAGGCCGACGAGAAGATTGGCCAATGTATAACAACCCCCCTCGAGCCGGAGCCTCAAATCGAGCGCATATGCGGCCAGTCTGCGGACCCGAACTTCGACCAGCTTATATCTGCGCTGGGGCATATTGCTGCGCAGAAGCCTAAGCCGCTAATAGACACCCTTATGTTATGGCGCAAGAAGAAGAGTGATGCTGCCAGTGCTGCTCGTAATGAGCTCCAACAATACCGCAATGTCACAGGAGCGGTTGGCGGCGGGATAGCAAGGCGCAACACAGAACCAGGAAACCCAGGACCGCCTGCGGATGCAACAGCACAGCCTAACCTCTCCCTTGCCACCATGCAAAACAGCGTGGCCCAAGCAGAGCGCCGGTCAACTGTGTCTATATATATATTATGCAGGGTTCTCACAGAAGTTATTGGCCAAAGCACGCTAGCACGCATCACCCCAGAGATGGAAGAAAAGCTAGAAGGCATTATCTTCAGCCAGCTAAAGATCGCCGATACGGAATCTCTGGCATCATCACCATTGAAACTTGCAAACTGGCATCTATTTAGTCAGCTTTTAGGTGTCATGAGCAACATCAATTTCCAGAGCGTTACGGGACGATTTATTGCGGATCTAGAGAAGTCGCAGCTCGATTTAGAGGGGCGAAATCAAGGCAACCGCGAAATAGAAGGCAGGATGGAGCTTGTTCTAGGCGGGATGAAACATTTGCGCATCAAGACCTACCCAGAAGCCTCCTGGGAGCAATCATGCGACTTCATGGTATCATTGGGTCGCGCTTTTGCCAAGTCCCATGGCCAGCGAGTCAAATATGCATACTGCCAGATTTTGGATGTCATGTTACTTCCTATAGCTGCTGTTGCCGCAGGGACTGAGCTCAATGTCCCAAAGTGGTCAGAGGTCTTGGTCACTATTGGCCAAAGACTCGCATCTATGATGGCCAAACCTCGCCATTGGCCTATAGCTTTCCCTCTCACAGCTACGCTTCTATGTGCCTCGCCTCCAGAGACATTTAACACGCAATGGCTTCAGCTTATACTACCCTTGCAGTCGAAGCTCAAGGATCGCTTGACAAGAGCAAGTTGTCTCCAGGTTATATCAAGGCTCCTATGGACATATGTAAATAGGTGTACCGACCCGCCAAATGCCACTTATAGAAAGCTTGAAGAAGTTGTCAGGATGGTGCTACCACCCGGGAAGAAGACACACACCATGGACCCGTCCATAGTGGACCCCCTGATCGAGATTATAAGAATCATTGGCTTCAAACACCAGGAATTCTGCTTCCGTACAATCATCTTTCCTCTTATCAACTCGGACCGTTTTGCTCCAGGGAAAGACGTCCATTCAGTCAGAGTGGACCAGCTGGAGCCAGAGAAGATGGTTATTGGGATTCGAGCATTCCTCGCTATTATGGCCGACCTGGAGAAGGGAGAGTCGGGCAGACCTCCGTTCCCGCAGTCTTACCAGTCCAACCTTCACAGCGAGAGACTCCCAACATCTCCAATCCTAGCAAGCCCAAAGCGCATCCCATCGCAACCTCTGGCAAAAGAACGAGCTGAGCGTCTTTCTCGACCAGTAGCAACATCATGCCTCAACGATGTGGCTAAAGACTACTATAAGCGCTTCTGTGAAATCCTTGGAAAGATTACTATCATCTGTGACGAGACCTTTGGTGGCCAGGCTGTTCTGGATGAGAAGTTTAATTCTCCTACGCCGAAAACTCCTATTGTTGACTCCTTCAACTTCTCTCGCAGAGACGATATCCTATCGCCGGTAGAGCAGAGACATGGGTACTATGAACTATTACATGTGGCAGTGCAAGCTTTGCCCCGGTGCTTGTCAGCCGACATACCCTTCAATTCATTGATTAACCTCCTATGCACTGGTACTGCTCATGTGCAGCAACGAATTGCAGATTCGTCTGCGCAATCAATTAAGTCCATCGCTCGCCAGTCGCATGCCCAACAAGTCACAATCGGGTTTGCCCGCTTCATATTTTCATTCGACGACAAATACTCCACCATGTCAGATGGTGGCATGCTTGGCCCCACCCACGTAGAGAATACACTGAAGCTCTACGTCGAATTACTACAAATATGGATAGAAGAGATCAAGCTACGATCCAAAGAAGCTGCAGGAACCGGCTCAGACGAAACCGGATCCGAAAAGCGTGGCGCACCCCTTGATGTCTCTGGTATTTGGGCGCACGTCGAGGAAGTCGAATCACACGGACTGTTCTTTTTATGTTCACAGTCGAAAAGAGTACGCAGCTTCGCTGTAACAGTTCTCCGGCTAATCACGGAGTACGACGCAGCGCTTGGACAGGATAATGTCCGACTAATTCAGATCCTGGAAGGCGATTCCGCGCGCGTCATGAGCTTCAATGACGAGCATTTGACTGTTGCCGAACGGAGTAGACTCCAAAGAGGTTTGAAAAGGAGTAACTCCCAGAGCGCTCTTGTCGAATTATGCAGCAGTGACGTTTCTTACGATACCACACTATGGTTCAAGATTTTCCCGAACTTGATGAAGATCAGCTATGGACGCTGCCCTGTCGTTGTGACTCTGGGTCGCGAGCTGATTTGCGATCGCATTCTGCAAATGTATAAGGGTATTACGGCGCTGTCGGAAGCCCGAACACCCCAGCATCAGTATGATGGCAGCGGATCTAGGATAGGCTTCCGCCCGTCTACTACACCGCCAGAAGTCATGGTAGAGCAGTGGAAGCTATACCTCATAGTTGCTTGCACCACCCTTACCGAGATGGGTGGTCCGCAGCTGCAACCGGCTACTCAGATGCAGCAGCATTTGCGCAACGGGTCCAAGACGGCGCTGGTCCAGCCTAAGATCAACTCTGCTCGGACTTTGTTTAAGTACATTCTACCGCTTCTATCAGTCGGACATCCTTCTGTACGGGAGGCTGTTGTTGTTGCGCTCGGTTCTATCAATATCAACATTTACAAGACGTTATTGGAGGAGTTTCAAGACGCTGTCAGCAGATGCAATGATGATGCCAGAGCTCGCATACACCAGAGGACAGGCAGCAGTTCTCGACGGAGCAGACGAACTGACACTCTTCGGACGGAGGTCACTCAAGTATACCGCCTAACCGCACACTTCCTCAGAGAGGAATCGGTATACTCAGATGATTGGATCCTGAACAACCTCGTTGTATATGCCAAGGACCTCAAGTTATTCTTGATGGACGGCGAGGTACAGATGGATTGGGAATTCCAGAAACTACGACGCCACTACTGCGGTCTGATGGAAGAGCTCTTCGAAGGCATTAATCGGACAAAAGATCCATCACGCTGGATGACGTTTGAGATGCGCAAATCTTCATTCGCGCTGATGGAGGATTGGTGCGGCTACTCGCCGAACCAGGTGCAGATCCAGCACAGGGAGGAGATCATGAAGCAAAGCATGATCGATCGGCAGACGATTGGCGAGCGCCCGACCATAAATGCAGCTATGGAGAAGGAGAAGAATAGTCTTAGGACTGCAGCTCTTAGTGCCATGGCTGCCCTGTGTGGTGGACCGATTAGTGTCACTACGGAAAGCAAAGCTAACTTGCAATTCGATCTCCGGAGAATGCTACTCTGGATCGACGCCATCTTTAGCACCGAGAGTGATCGCATGCATGTCATTGGCAGACGTGCTCTAAAAAATCTTATTACGCATAACAAAGAGTATCCATACCTCTTGGAACACTCTATCTCGCGCTGCTACACTGCTGAAGTGCCAAAGGCGCTACATAGCTACTTTGAAGTAGTCACACAAGTATTGCTGGAACACCCAGACTACCCTGTACCGTTTTGGCGGACCCTGGGCATCGGATTGTACACGCTGGGCAGCGACCAGAGCGAGATCCGCTCGAAATCCACCACGGTCCTCCGCGCCCTCGAGGAGCGCCAGAACCGAAACTCCAAGATCCAAGATTTCGACATCAGTATCTCCGATAAGACGAAGGCGGTCTACAAGCGTGCCCAGTTCGAGATCTCAATGCGCCTGGCAAAGCACCACTCTGACTCTGCGTTCCTGATATTCTCGGAATTTACTGTCTATTTCAAGAGTCTCAAGCCTATGGCTCAACAGAACATGGTCGCTACGATATTACCTTGGATTCAGACTATCAAGCTACAAGTCGACCCCAATGGCGGCCCTACTGCTCAATCATACGTGCTACTAGCAAACTTATTCGAGATCACGATCAAATCAAGCAGCGCACTACATAACGAGGTGCAAGCTCTCTGGCAAGCCCTAGCGACCGGCCCGCACGCTGGCAATGTACAGATCATTCTCGACTTCAACATCTCCCTCTGCCTAGACCGACGCGAGCAAAACTTCGTCGAGTACGCCAAGCAGATCGTCGTATTCTTATCCAGCACTCTGGCGGGCGTGAAGGTTGTGGAGTTCCTCTTAATGCAGATTACGCCGAAAGCCATGATTCCTAACGAGAAACGGGAATCCCCCCCGACACCACCGGATACGAGCGCTATGCCGTATGTTGCTGAGCTCTCCGAGGCTCTTCCTGTGGGGGCGAAACAGGCTGGATTTTCGCTTGGACAGCTGTCGCTCATATTGCTGGTTGATCTTATGGTGGCGCCTGTTCATCTTTTAGCGGAGAGTGTGCCGCTCTTGTTGCAGGTTGTTACTGTGCTGTGGGATCATTATACGCCCCTCGTTCAAGACCAGGCGCGGGAGATGCTTATTCATCTTATCCACGAGCTAGTAATATCGCGTATTGACGATGAGACGACCGTCCCGTCTAAGAGAGAGATTGAGGACCTCATTGAGGCAATTAGGCGCCACGATTCCAAGATTGTTTGGGCGTACGGGGATTCCAATGGGAAGGTCGATGACCGAGACAACAAGGTGCCTACCGCCATGGAAAATCTCGCCACGCAAGTCGTCAATACATTCGAAGTGACATACCCCGGCATCAAGGAGCAATGGGGCAAACTATCATTAACCTGGGCGACGTCCTGCCCAGTTCGCCATCTCGCATGTCGTTCTTTCCAGATCTTCCGCTGTATCCTGACATCGTTGGACCAGACTATGCTAGCTGACATGCTTGCACGGTTATCAAATACGATTGCTGATGAGGATGCTGAGATTCAAACATTCTCGATGGAGATTTTGACGACGCTGAAGACTTTGATTAGCAAGTTAGAGCCTAAGGATTTGATTACATTCCCGCAGCTATTTTGGACGGCGTGTGCGTGCTTGGATACTATTAATGAGTTGGAGTTTATGGAGTCGTTGGGGATGTTGGATGAGCTACTTTTGAAGCTGGACTTGTCAGATGCCATGGTGGTGATGATGTTGTCCGAAGGCCAGCCGCCAAAATGGGACGGCAATTTTGAGGGTCTCCAGCCTCTTGTCTACAAGGGTCTTCGCTCGTCCTCGTGTCTGGATCAGACATTGGTGACTCTGAACAAGCTCGTCCAAATTCCAAGTGGGGATCTCGTTGGGAACGACAATAGACTTCTCTTTGCTATCTTAGCAAATTTCCCAAGCTTCCTACATTCAATGGATCAGGGCGTCATCGACCCCGCTATTGCGGCAAACGCGAGGATTTTAGCAGAGGTGGCGGATTCTCAAGCATGCGGCACGATTTCCGTGGCTCTGGGCAACTTCGCAGCATCTAGGTATCGAACAAGCAAGGATTTCCTGTCTCAGCTTATTGCTGCTCTTCGGGATAATTTCTTCCCGAGGTGGAGCTTCCAGGCGCTTAAGTTTCTGATGGGCTTCTTGACGAATAGCTTGCCTTGGTTCAAGGTTAATACGATGCGCATACTTTGCGTATTTATTCCAGAGATTGATATGCGCCTGCCAGAGATTGCCTCGCATGGTCCAGATATGATATCGCCATTACTGAGACTGCTCCAGACCGAGTTCTGCACACAAGCACTGGAAGTCCTCGATTGCATCATGACAATGACAGGTACGCCAATGGACGACCACCATCTCCGAATGAGTATGGCCGGCGGAAGATCCTCAAAAGCAATCCGCAAAGAATACGAGCGAACCCAGAGTCTCTTCGGCATCCCCGAAGACTCCGGCTGGTCCATCCCCATGCCGGCCAAGCACGCCGAAACCACGCGCTCCAACGTCCACGCCGCCTTCTACATGTGCCAGAACGCCGAGAGTGCCGACCTCGAAGCCGCACCCAACGCAGACGTGGAATTCCACGTCGATGATTTCCAATACGGCTATTTCCCGCCCCAAGATCGCGCTGATACCATGATGTCCGATGAGGTCCGCACGGATGGCAATATCGGTGACCTTGTCAATAAACTCGATAGTCTGGATGATTTCTTCGAAGATACACTCCAGAGCCCCTCTAGCGACGGCCGTTCCTCGCGCACCGTCACTGAGTTTGGCGGGGAGTTCGAGTCGGGCGCTGAGTTATACGATGAGCAGACCCTGCCGATCCTAACCCAGTCACTCGGTCGCACATCGAGCACAACATCTTTCCAAAACGGATTCGCGGATATGCGCCCAGGACTAATGAGTCGCCAACCGAGTTTCAACTCCATGAACCCCGGCGCATTCAGCAAGCAACCCACCTCCTCAAATCGTCGAAGCATGCACTCCCGCTCTGTGACCTCGCCCTCCGCGCCGTCCTCGCACCAGCCCGACTTCATGTCCGACGACGAGTACGCGGCTGAAGTGTTCTCGGACGGGGAAGAAGGGCGCGCGACGCCGGGGGAGGGGGGGTTCTTTCTGGAGAATATGATTAGACCCCTCGCGCAGCAGACGAGGAGTGGGATGAGGAGGTTGACGGGGGGGAGGACGAGGGAGAGCGAGAGGTTGAGGGAGCAGGTTAGGATGGAGGCCAGGGGGATAACGGTCCCGAAGAGTCCGATGGTGCCGAAGGTGCCGAGGGAGTATTTGAGTCAGGCGAGGCAGGGGGGCCCGCAGGGGAAGGGGGCGGGGGGGGTGGAGGAGATTTAGAGGGGGGTTTAATTCGGGATTTAGGTGATGGGGTGCAATGTTTGGATAGGGATACCATTTTGATATAAGAGTTTTTTTTGGTGTGGTTTGATGGGTTGGATGGGCGTTTTTGGATGTTTGATGGTCTACGAACCAGTGGGGGATGTTTTGGTTTGAAGATTTATCTGGTAACAATAGATATTCTGATATATATACCTGATCATCGTCGTGCTCTCCACTTTCTACTCCATGGTGTGTAATTTCCCTGCTGAGGCAATGCTTGCTTTCCTCCCCTACTGCTAGCCTCTGCTGTGAATATAATCTCGCCATCGGTGGAGCGCGCGTTATAGGCCATCGGAGCCACAAGGTCAAGCATAAGTAGGCTTTGCAGAAAGCTTCATATGCAGATCATTGATTTCTATCCAGATCACGCTACGATGCATCCTGGTGGCTAGGAGAGAGCTGGAGGGCGCCGGGGTGGGTTCTAGAGGCCATTTGAGGGAGAATGGAGCATGGGAGCGAGTGAAGAAAAGAAGAACGTGGCTCTGGAGAGCGACAGCAGCACCGAGCGACAGCAGCATGGTGACAGGACACCAACACCGAGCGACAACAGCATATGACAAGATAGCAACAACGAGCGACGACAGCACCAAGTAACAGCAGCAGTGAACGACAGCAGCAGTGAGTGCTAGCAGCATTGGGTAGCAGTAGCATCGACGCTATGATACGTAATGAAAAGAATCCTCGTCGACGAGCTTTCCACACACCTGTGCCGGGTATCACGCATCGTTTTATCTTTTCACGCTTAGTTTCGATTTCAGCAAGTGTGTTGGTGGTCACTATGAGCAATATCGCAGTACCTCATATAGACTTGAAATCTTATAGAATCAAGGGACAACCCTGCTGCATTCACTGATAAGTTCTTTTTACCCCGGATTATGTTGCTGTGCCAGGGTCATCCAAGAGTGCTTTAACCACCCCGCTCTGACGGCACGAACGGTTAAGCAATGATCGTTTTGCTTGGCGGAGTTTATATATCCCCGATATGCAGGCACCTGGCAAGCCCCCAATCACTCGACTGTTCACAGATTGGGAAGGATAAATGCTCACTGCGCCTCCAGAATGTCAACGTCGGTCAGCAACGGGACAATTCACAGCCATCTTCAATATTTTTAATTATCCATTCACAAGCGAGTCCCTGCCGAGCCACTCTCTCGTTTTCGTCAATATATATTCATTTGTCCTACGGGTAATGCAGGGTGCCATTCGTGACCCCCGACAGGGCTGAAGATGATGCATCCTAGATTAAATCGTCTAGACTGGGTGAACATTGGCGAGGCAGCACAAGGGCTAAATACGAGCTGATATCAGGAGCATGCATTCTCATGTAAAGAGTTCATTTGGGCGGTACACTGCTTGCTGGATGAAGGCTGAGGATCAAGTTAATGTAGGTTCATTTCATATTTAGCCTTCAATATGTGGCCAGGCAGTGAGATGGCCACCCCGCATGCCTCTTCGGAGGTATTTCACGGGAGGGAAGGTAATACCGTTTCTTCCAGATTGTTTATCCCCGCTTTCCTTCTTTAAATATGTTGTCTCTCCCATCTTCGAAGGTCTTTGCCGATCCATTTCTTAAACAGTTACTCACCTGTCTACTATCTGTGTATCATCGTACCAACCGCGATATGGCCAAGCTCTCTCTCCTCCTCCTGGCAGCAGGTCTAATCAGGTATATATCTCCCTCCCCCAATCTCTTCCCTTCACCAAACCACCCCACTAACACCCCCCCAGCACCACCCTCTCCCAATCCCTCCTCACCATCTCCCGCACCGCCATCCTCGACCCCCCCGCAACCTGCACACCCACCCCCACCACCATCCTCCACACCACAACCTACACCCTCCGCCACGCCACCATCACCAGCACAGTCACCTCTGTCTCCCAAGCCCCCCACAGCTGCTACACCGCCACCGAAGTAGCCAGCAAGGCATTCTGCCCGCTCTTCAACTCGGCGACATGCGGACCGCACCCGGATTGTATTGTTTTGAAGACGGAGACGGTGCCGTGTAAGGATGCGTGTTGTCAGACGACGCCGACGGTGACGGTGGCGAGGTGTCCGACGTGTCAGACGGGGTGTGCGACGGCAGTGGAGACGGTGTCGTGTAAGTAGGCGGGGAGGAGGGGACGGGGGGGGGTTGCTGTTACGCTTTCGTAGGGTGCGTGGGCTTGGGATGGGAGGGATGTGGGATGAAGAGGAAGATATGTTTATATTAGGGTCACTGCTTCTGGTTTGTGATTTATCTAAGAAAACAAATTACCGAAATTGCCTTTCCTATCGAGCATCATCCCTAGTCTTTCAGGATTTGATGGCGTCCGATATTGGAGTTGTGTGGTTTTATTATAAAATTGAATATTAAAATAAAAAACAGATATGACAAATTGATTTGGTTTAAGTATGTGACAGTAATTTATCTAGCGACCAGAACGAGGTTTTAATGATTACCTTTCTAAGCAAATGCATTCTATGATATTTAAAAAGAAATGATTGTTCACGATATGACAACGCTATCATGAAAAGCCTCATATTCGAATATTCTCGCTTATTTAATTAATCATCTCTCTCCCAACCACCAAACCTCCTTCATCTTTGCTGCTAATACCGAAAAATAATTATAAAAAAATTGCAAAAAAGAAGATCCGTAGACGAGTGTGCTCGTCTGAAGAGTTATAGTCCCTTCGCCCGGAATCGAACCGGGGGCCCCCGGATGATTTGCGTTACATTACAGTCCGATGCTCTAATCCAACTGAGCTACAAAGGGGAGTTTGTTAGTACTCGGCAGATTATCTAAGCTGATGTACCATCTTCACTTCCATTTTAACCACCACCAAATCTATAAACCAAACGGAACACGACTATCAAATTTGGCAGGAGCGACTTAGAGGGATTAACATATGCAGGAGTGAAAATGAGTAGGTCGCTCCTCCCCGAATTTTATACTTGACAATGCGTACGTCGCTCCTTCCCGAATCCCATACTCGACAATACGTAGGTCGTTCCTTCCCAAATCCAACCCTCGTAGCAAACAGCAGGCGCGATCTTGCTAGCAACGAACCGCTCCTTCCCAGACATTTGCACCGCAATGCATTAACCGCTTTAAATATCCAACAAAATGACCTCACTACACTATCATACCTCCCTCCCTCTCTACAACTCCCCCCTCCCATCCTCCCCCCCAGCAACCAAATCCAACCACTCCGCCAACCTCACCCCCGCCCTCGCAACCTGCATCTCCACCTTCCCAATCGCCTGTTCATAATACTCCCCACTCAAATCCTTCCCCTGCAACTCCTCCCACCCCCCCTCCGGCACCACCACTTCACAAACCAGTCTATTACTCTCCTGCGCCCACCTCATCACCGAGTTCTCCACATCGCCCAGACTGATATCCTCTCTCCACTCATCGACGAGGGAGGAGTACACCCCGCCCTCGATGGAGGAGAGGAGGGTGCCGGCCCATGAGCGAGCGTGCGTGGGCGTGTACCCGCCGATTAGGTGCTCGGCGAGGGCGGAGTCCCAGACGGAATGCAGGTTGGAGTTGCGGGCGCCGAAGCGGACTTTTATGCCGTTGCCGCCGCGGAGGAGTCCTTCGGTGTGGAGGGGTTGGTGGATGTCGCCTATGAAGTGGACGACGAACTGGGGGGTGTTAGGTTGCGCTCGTAGTGCAGGGAAAAGGGGGATAAGGTGGGAGGGAGGGGGGAGGGGGTACCTTTGCGGCTATTGCGCGCTGGTAGGGATTGAGGTCCGCGTCCATAAGTCGTGATGTCTGGTGGGAGGGTTAGCTACTCAGTCCGTCCAGTGGCGACGGGGGCTACACACATAATTCCCAATCGCCGAAACGATACAAAACTCATCCGCGCAATCCCTCTCTATATCCAACCCACATTTCCACGGCGGACTATCATCCGCATCGATATAATGCAGATGCGCCGAGTACCTCCCATCTTTCGTATACCGATACGAATCCGCCCAAGTGGCGATAGAGCCAAGATACCCTGGTGATGAAGGGTTGGATAGGATCTGCTGCATGTATACCGCCGTCCTAGGAGCGACGAGGTGCTCAGCGAGGTAGGCTACTGTCATGTGACCTAGCGACCCCCATGCGGAGACGGAGGGGAGGATGGGGAGGAGGAGGAGTGGGAGGGAGAGTGAGGGTTTCATTGTTGTAGCAGTGGTGGCGGTTGTTGCGCCGTAAAGGTAAGGGTAGTTTCAAATATATATGCAGAGGTAGATACGGAGGAAGAAAGATGGGAGATAGATATATTCAACAAAGAGACGTTAAGCGCCACTGGATCTGGTGCCTCGACCTGATGACCCGTTCGCGAGCACGGGAGTCACACACAGCGGCTGTGCCACGCCGTCGAGCGCCTGTTGTCTCACGGTAGCGTTGGCAGGGTGATGTAACACCTTTCCCTTCCCTAACACTCAGCCGCGTCGACAAGGCTGAAGTGCATAACAACACCCCTCCATCTTCACCACCACCACCACCCTCCCAATTCAATTCCACAACCTCACGTCTCCAACTACACACAAGGTCCTCCTCTTGCCACACCCGCCACGACGGGCACTCCAACAAAAAACACACACAATGCCGCCATCCCCGTCTCTCTCCGGGCCTCCACAACCACCACCCTACCCCCTCTACAACACAACCTACACCCTCCACCGCCTCTCCCCCCTCTACTCCTTCACCCTCTCCTCTCTCCCCTCCCACACCACAGCCCTCTCCGAGATCCTAACCGGGTCCACCCTCCGCGGCGTACGAATCGGTCTCGACACCACCGATGTCTCGCTTTCCCGCGCCGGCGCGTTGAGGGGTGTAAGTATGCGGCCACTACGGAATCCTGATGGGTGGGCGGCGGTGCATGCTGCTGCTGAGCCGGATGATACTGGTATTGGGGGAGGAGGAGAAGATGGGGAAGTGGGGGAGGGGTGGGGTGTTATAATCGAAATCACGTACGAGAAGGCAAATTACACCGCGCTTCTCCTGCGCGATATTCACAACTCCCCCGCCACTACCACCACCACCACGACAGAAAGGGAAGGGGGGTTTACGCACCTCCCCCTCCTACTAACCCGTCTCCCCCCGCCCCTACGCACGACCCTCCTCGATTTCTTAGCTACACGCTTCGATACACGCGCGTCGCCGATGCACCTGCCATCCGACTTCCTTCAAAAGGCGTTGGGTGGGTACATTGACGCCCTTGTGGCGGGGGGAGGGGATGTGAGGGGAGGGGTGAGGGAGGTTGTTATTAGTCTTGCTTTCCCCGCTGGCGGCGCTGGAGATGCTGGTGAAGGTGGTGGGGGGGAGTTGAAGAATATCGATATCACGATCTCGAGGGATGATATTGTTAACTTCCTCGAGCGCGGACGGAACACCAGTACCACAACCACAACCAACACCCCCACCCCCCCCACCACCACGGAACACCACCCCTTCTGGACAGCCCTGCACACCTACACAACAACACACCTCTCCCTCTCCCTCACCTCCCCCTCCGTTTCAGTCGTCAAAATCGCATGTGGTGCGTTTGTGATTGCTGCTGAGGGGAGGGTTAAGATATCTGCGCCTTCTGCGAGGGGAGAAAGGGAGGGGGCGGAGGGGGTGGTTGGGGCTTTAATAGCTTCAGCTGCGCGGATGGGCTGAGGAGCGACGAGGGGAGGGAAGGAATTTACAATTACGAGCATGCGATGATGGATATGAGGGAAAGCTCGACAGACACGCAGCAGGGAGGGAGGCGATAAAACCGTAGCGGGACGGAGAAGGACACGACCACCAAGCCCTGCCACGCACCGCCACGGCAAAAACCCCCCCCCCCAATTCTGCGCCGTGCGCTCGGGAACACAGGGAAGGAAGATCGAGCGAGTACCGCGCCGCTAGTGAGATGAAAAGGCACAATGCATGCTGGGAGTTCAGCTCACCTCCCGCTCGACAATGCTCGTCCTCGAGACGGCGCTGCGCACCCACCGCACCCACAAGCGCACGCACGCCTCGGCACAGCGCGCGGTGCAGGGAGATGAAGAGCCTCGTTCGTCTCGCTAGCTGGGATTGGGATGTTAAGGATGGGATATGGGGGGGGGGTCGCGGCGGGGGTGGATACTGACATCGGAATGGTTTGGAAGACGGTGGTTGAGGCGGCATTATGATGTGGGATGCAAGTGTGTGATAGATGGTAGGTTTACAAAAAAAAAATTGAAGTGCGATTCCATACAAAATAACTATAACTGACTGACTAATATGAACCGTATATAAGACGCCTATATGAACAACCATCCCTCCCCTCCCTCTCCCTGTCACACCCTAAACGTATGTATAAATACCCTCCTCTTTTCCTTCCTTTTTCCCTTTCTCTTATTTTCATCCCTTATCCCTCATTCTCATTTCTCTCATCGCAACTCCCCGCCTCCCTGCTATTACCAATTGTTTGCATGAGAGCGACAAAGCGACAAGGCCAACCAGGACCTAATTATTTAGAGGTGTTGCTGGGGCCAAAGATACTCTGTACCACCTCACCCCCCCTGTGCGCGAGGATAGACAATAGCGTATCAGACAACTATCACACATACATGTTAGCCACCATCCATCTCCAAAAAAAAATGTGATGCAAAATACAAAAAGCATAACTTACCCCATGAGTCTTCTCATTACACCCCTGCAACCAAATCCCCGCTCCCTCCTCCACCGCGCCCTCGGCGTATTGTACTTTATAATCCCGACCCACTGGGAAGACGGCTGGTGCGCGTGCGACTTCGGCAGACACCTTCACCTCGTCCACCGACGCGGCGTTAGATTCTGGTTCTGGGGTGGTCTCCGTGGTGGTCTCAGCAGTGGTCTCAGTGGCGATCTCAGTGGTGGTCGTGCTGGTCGTCTCCGCGACAGGTTCTTCAGCCGGAGCGGTCGTTACTGGGATACCTTCTGTCGCCGGAACTTCCTTTGTAGTCTCTGCTACAACAGCAGCAGCAGGAAGAGCTTGGGCAGGAGTAGCTACCGCCTCAGGAGTCTCAGTGACGGGAGTCTCGGTGACAGTCTCTGCAGTTACTGCTTCGGGAACAGCGACTGCCTCCACAGCTGTCTCGGGAACAGGCGCTGCAACAGCAGGAAGCTCTTCAACAGCCTCCTCGACAGCAGCAGGCGCCTCGACAGCAGCCACCTCTTCAACAACAGCTATCTCTTCAACAGCCTCCGCAACCGGTGCAGCCTCCTCAACAGCAGGCGCCCCAACAGTCTCAGCAACACCCCGCTCAGCCTCAAGCAACCCCCTCGTCCCATCCAAAATCCTCACATGCGCATCCCTCACATACCCCGTCGCAAACACCACCAGTCCCGCCTCAAGCACTTCCCTCTCCCCATTCTCCACCCCCGTCCTCGCCACCTCAAGTCTCACACCCTGTCCCTCCTCGCCAGCCAATCTCTGCACCCCCACCACCGTGCGGGAGTTAAGGACTCTACACCTCCACTTCTCTTCACATGGTTCATCGACCTCCTGCGCGTATAGTTCCGAGTATATCCGCTCGAGGAGTTCAAGACGGACAACACCGTAGTTAGTCCCCTTATCCCTCTCCCTCTTCTCCATCCTCTCCTTGGCTGCCATCTCGAAAGTGGGAGTGACGCGGTCGGGGTCGAAGATCTCATTCACAAACGGACTATCATCCGATGGTCTGAGGGAGGTGTCCTTCACCAACAGCGTGATCTTTGACTCCGGACAGCGGGTAGAGAGATCGACGTAGATCTCTGCGGCGGATTGGCCACCGCCTATTACGACCAGGTGCTGTGGTGCGGGTGGAGAAAGGACGGTGATGGAGAGGTGGGGGATGGAGGTTGCGTATTGTGAGCTGTGGATGAAGCGCGCATCTGGCCCGGTGATGAAGGGTGCGAAGAGGGTTGGGACGGCTGGGCTTCCACCAGTGGCTACCACGATGTTGCGCGCTGTCGCTGACCCTGGAGCGCCAGTGGCGGTATCGACCCAGTGGACGTTGAATCTGTCAACCTTGCCGGTTTCCGAGTTGTGCACAGCATCCACCCTCGTAATCTCCGTCCCATATCTGACCGCGCGGCTGAAATGACTAGCACACCAACGCATGTAATCCTCATACTCCCTCCTCGCCGGCAAGAAAGTCCCCAGATTAATAAACTTCTGCAACCTTCCCTTGGTGAACAGGTAATTCAAAAAGCTAAACGGGCTCGTAGGATCGCGGGGCGTAGCGAGGTCTTTGAGGAAGGAAATCTGCATGTGTGTCCCCGCGAGCTGCATGCCGGAGTGCCAGGCGAACTGGGGTTGCTTTTCGAGGAAGAGGACGGGGGGGGAGGGGGAGGAGGGAGAGGAGGAGAGGTGGTCGGAGAGGGCGATTGCGATGGCGAGGGAGGCGGGGCCGAAGCCGATTGTGAGGAGGCTGAGGGGGGTGGTGGGGGAGGTGGTGGAGGGGGAGAGGAGGGAGGCGTGGGTTAGGGAGGTTAGGGGCGTGTTGGGGGGTGTGGTGGAGGGGGTGGTGGTGGCAGTTTGATGAGAGTGAACTGGGGGGAGGTGTTAGTGGGAGTCTTTTTTAATGAGGGATAGCGGGAGGATAGGGGATTGGGGATGAGGGACAGGGGATTGGAATAGAGGACATACCATCGCTGCTGTTGTCACCGACGGAGCTGGTTGGTGTGGATTGGCCGGGTGAAAAGAGACTCTCGGTGCTCCGGGACCTGGAGGGAGGGATGTTGGCCATGTGTTTTGGTATGGCGCGTTGAGTGGTGGTTCCTGGGATTTGTTAGTTAGAGTATGCATGCGGGGTGTGGTTTTTCTGATATTGGGTGTGGGAGTGCTGAGAGAGGGGTGAGGGGGAAGGAGTGGAGGGGTGGTTAAAGGGTAGGTGTGACGGAAGTGTGGATGAGAAATACATGATGCAGGGCGAGAGTGATAGTGAGAGTGAGAGCGCGAGTAAGGGTAAGTGACGGAGAGGGTGTGAAGCAGCTCGGCGGCAGTGAAGAAGAGGGTGTGTGCAACGCGGCAAGTGAGAAATCAGTGTGATAGGCCTCACATACAAAAGTAAGACTCACCAAAAAAGCTGGATAGGTAAACCGTCAACCCGGGATTGAGTATAAAAGTATAAGAATACACGAGTCAAGCTGCCGAGAGAATCAACCACGTAAAAGGTTTGACGTGACAAGGTCAGGGCGTGAAGGGCGTGTCAGGAGTTTAAATAAATAAATTTCGAATATCGGAATTTCGCTGTGAGGAGTTCCCGAGGGAATGGATGCAGTAGAAGGGGGAAGGGGGGGGGATAGATAAAAGGGAAGAAGATCAGATTAGATGGTGAGAGAAGGAAAGAAAGAGCGGTGCGGATGACTAAGTGGAGGACATGGTTAGTATTACCGAGTAGTGGTTAAGGTTAGTTTGGATGGAGAGTAGGGGTATGAGTATGGGTATGGGTAAGGGTATGGATGTATTATAGGATAGTGTCTGTGGGTTGTGGATTTGATGGGTTGTGGTGGTGGATGAGGATGAATGGGTGGGTGATGGATGGGATGATGAGAAAGAGCTAGAGCTAGAGACAAATGATGATGATGCCCGAAGTGGAGCAAACAAGCGCGTATGTGTGTGAAGGGATTTTTCTTTTGGCTTGTGAGAAGAGCGTGGGAGACGGAAGTGGGAGTGGGAGTGAGAGTGGAAGACAGCGAGACTGGTGAGTGGAAGGAAGAGAGGAAGAAGAGAGGGATGATCACCGGGTTGTGTGTTTGTGTGTGTTAACAAGGTGTAAAAGTAGCGTAAGAAGTGTAGTAGGATGGTGGTGAGAGTCGTGGGGGTGAATGTAGAGCGAGGGAGGGATGGAGTGAAGACTGACTATAGTAGACTGGAGTTATAGTTGGACTAGTAGAGCTATAGTGTAAATAGGGCGTAGAGCGAGAGAGACAAGAGAGTTTGTTAGCTACGACGGTGTGTGTTTGAGCATGTTCGTTTCTGTTCTGTCGTGGTGGTTCGGCCCCTCATGGCGTCGTCTCATGCCGCGTTCTCGCATCCCAACCCTTCCTTCCCGTCCCATCTAATCTGATCTTCTTCCCTGTTCTTTCCCTTGTTGTGGAGGGGGGGTGGTGGTGGGTGGAGCAGTGGTGGACTAGGGGAGTGATGAACAGGTAACAGGGAGGAGGGATGGGAGTGGACAGGGTGGATGGGAGGGAGGAGAGGTGCAGAGTCAAATATGTACATCATCCCCTTGTACATACATGATGTGCTTTTTCCTAAAACATGTATGTAGTAAGATGTGCAGTTATGTGCAGTTTCGCGTGGGATGTGCAGTTCTGTGCAGCTCTGTGCAGTAGAAGGTGTAATCGACTCGGGGATGTGAACGGGGAGAGCGACTCTGTGCATACTGTACCATATGATGTGAACGGGGAGAGAAGCCGGTGGGTAGGTGAGGGTAGGGGGGAAGGAGGGCTTGGGAGGTTGGCGGGCTGGTGGGTGGTACTCGAGGTGGAAGTAGAGGGGTAGAAGGTGGGGGTAGACGAGAGGAGAGAGAGAGGGGTGTGTGTTCGGAGTAGCAGCGAGGGAGTGGGGAGCGGAGAGTGGAGAGCGGAGTGGAGGGGGTGGAGCGGAGAGAGAGTGGAGAGTGGAGAGTGGAGAAGTGAGAGGAAGGGGAGTAGTGAGGCGAGAGAGTAGAGTAGAGTAGGGGTAGGGGCGGGAGTGAGGGAGTATTGCCGTAGTAGTGGTGATGTAGGGCTAGTACTGGCGGCAGAGAGAGAGGCATTTTTAGGAGTGGTGGTTGTCTGACTTGTCTTGTGTGCCTTGTCGTCTAGTCTAGTATATCATGGTATAGCCACCTGATGATGGATGGCCCATCGACCTGATGAGAGAGCCGAGAAAGGAGGTAGGGGGGAAGGAGGGTAAGGGTTGAGTTGACGGGTGAGGGTATGATGAGGGAAGGGTAGATGGGTAAGGGTAGTAGACGGGTAAGGGTATGATGAAGGGTTGAAGGGTCGACGACGGGCGGGTAAGGGCAAGGGTATGTGAGGGAGGGTATGAAGCCAGACAGGCAGACAGACACACAGAATAGTCCGTTGATGGGTAGGTAGGTGGGTAGACAGTCGATGGGTAAGGGAAGAAGGGACGAAGGGAAGGAAGGGTAAAAGGGTAGAGCGGATCATACCTCACACCACCACATGGCTTGCACGGTTTGTGTGTGTTCTATGTGTGTTCCTGCTGTGCCACCTTGACTGCAGTATCTATCGCCCATCATCATCGCTCATCCTTATTGCTTCTTCTTCTGTGTGTTACTGTCTTTCTTCCTGCTGTGTTACTATCCTGTCTGTCTGTCTGTCTGTCTGTCTGTATGTCTGCCTCATGTTGCTGTATGTCTTGATTACACGTGGAGTGGGAGTGATTTAATGTCTCACATGCCCTTTCTACCTGCTAACCGCTACTTGCAACCCGGATGTCGTGCGGTAGGAGTGCGGCAGTTGCCATTACTCATTCCCATCTGTGTGAGTTGCCCGTGCCGTGACTGTGTGTGTGTGCGTGAGTGTTCGCGCCTTCCCTTCCCACTGCCACTTCCTTCCTCTACCCACCACCACATCCTCTCCCACACGCGTCTTTGTCGTCGTCGTCTCTCTCTCCACTCTCCCCTCCGATGCCGCCCGGTCCAATTCCTTGGCTCTTGGCCTTTCATTCAAGGTATGGGTAGAGTAGCCGTCCTAGCCCTTACAGCAACCCTTAAACCCTCCTTGTCTCCACTCTCTTAACCCTCTTGTCTCCACTTCCTCTTCGCACCATCTGATTAAGTACGGAATTTCAATCTGATTAGGGAGGATACGACTCTACGGCGTCTACTTCCTCCTAATGTACATCTGATTACTCCTTCTTGTGGAGTAGTTTACATCTGATTACCCTCCTCCCATCCAATCTGATTAGAATAAGGCCGTGGACCCTATTATTGTCGGACCCATCATCGTCAATCCACCGTCACCGTCAATCAATCCACCGCCGTCAATCCATCCACCCACGAATCCATAACCCACCCCGTCCATACTATACAGCACATACACACCCATCCATCTATCCATCCAGTCCTATACCGCCCTCCCACCCCGTATCCCGGCACAGAAAGTACTTTACTTTACTTCCTTCCGTGATAAAATGAGGTCAGATGGGGTCATATGAGAGCTGATCGGCCGGATAGATCAGGAAGGAAAGCCGGTCTAGCCTTGGGGGATACATCGGATACATGGGTAGGGTTGACGTTTACTCTATAACTGCTGCACATACACACACATACATACATACATAACACACATAATACACACACACAACCAACCACCTACAATCCACCCACCACCACCACCACCACCACACCAACCACACACCCCCATCTTCACAACAACCAACAACCCAAACCCAACCCCTGCCACGATCACACCTCCTTTCCCCCCTCCACCTTCCACACTTCCTCCCCCCTCCACCCCTAAACCACTCACGCAACCCTTCCACCCCCCCTCGGTGAAGAATCTTCCCTGTCAAACCCCTTCCCCGTTCCTGGACTAATCTGATGATCTGATAAGATTTCTTCACCTTGGCGAAACCCGCTCCCGCCCCACCCCGGTCTCCACTCCCGCCCTTGCTTCCACCTTACTACAGTACACCTGCGTTTTTTCTCGCTTGCACGCGCCTTGTATGTGTAGTTAGGTCTTGGGATACCCCCCACTCCGCTTCCGTCTCTTTCTCGCCCGCGGTCGCTTTTGAACGACTACTACTACGGAGTGTGCTGGTATGGTAGAAACTTACTTACCGCCGGACGAGGAGAAGGGAAGTACCGAGGACGGGCGGAATGGGCGTGTGGACTGTGAAGTGTGAAGTGTGAGGTGCCAGGTTTTTTTTTACCCCTCTACTATCCTTAGCTACCCTTAGCTACCCTCACCCTCACCTTTACTTTACTTTACCCCTCCACAGCTACGTCCACACGACTACCGGCACACCTTCCTCTTCAATACGCGGCTGCACCAAAAATGCGCCTAGATGCATACAATTATGCTCTCTTTACTGGGCACACACCCTGCACCTTCCTTGAGCATTCAATCACATCACACCTTTCATTGCAGTACTGTGCTGCTGCCTTCACAGCCACCTCCATCACAGCCATCACAGCCATCACCACCACCTCAATCATCCACACCACCACCCACCACCACCCACCACAACCTCCATCAGCCACCAGCCACTATCCAACTCCCCACCACCATCATCCATCAATCATCTCCCATCACCTTCATTAATCACTCTTTACTACTATCACCAACAAACTAACTCAACTCCAACTCCCAGTAAGCCTTGCCACTGCTTGTACTCCTCACTAGTGGGGTGGCTCTTAGTGGGGTTAAGTTAGCTCCATTACTCCATTAGTGGGAATGCCTCATCATTCATTCACAGCTTCATCCCACTTTCATCCCACCTCTCTCCCATTCATACTCCACTCCCTCACATCTCCCTCCTCCCCTCCCATCCCATCCCCATCATAGGTTCCCATCCCACCTCCTCCTTCCCCCTTCAGCTTCCATCACACTCCCATCACCGCGCATCGCATCACTAGCCGCCCATCTTCCTTTTCTTTTTCCCTTGGGGCCCGGGACCTGACCGAACCTTCTCATAGCCTCACAGCATCACCCCACCCTATTACACTCCATAACTCCTCCTGCCCATCCCATCCCATCGCATCACATCTCCCGCCTTGCATGTGCCGCCTCCCATCCCACCCACCTATCCCTAACCCACTCCCCCCCTGCAGAACCCTAATGGAGTCCCAGTCCCCAAGGTGACCGGCGACGAACCGATCGATCACTGATCATCGGTGATGATTCATCCCGGACGACCCTCAAACAAACCCTCACCCTCACCCTCACACCCAAACTATCCCTCCCCCATCCACACTCTCTACAGTCAGAAAACAAACAAACCGGTGTTCCACGCGAAGCGCAAATAACAGAAAAAAAGCTGTCTCACACACAGCCCACCGCGCCCAGACAAATCTCACTTACAGCCCCCATTACATTGCATCCCCAAACCCCTCCATCCTATCCATTCATTTTATCACATATTACAAAAACCGCCGATGCATGTTTCTGTCTCACGTTACACCCTTCCCTCTTTGACCTCGCATCAATCCATACCTAACACCCGCTGCTGAGACACCTAACCGCCACACCCACCAAAAGCCCCAATAATGCCCGCCCTCTCCATCCTCAACCCCGACCCGCCTCTCCTCCCCGGGCCGGGCCTGCTACACGATCTTGTGAGCTGGGACGACGCTGGTGATGCACCCGCCCTCGACTTCCTCGGTCCCGAAGGGTCGGATGAGCGGTACAGCTACACCTACTCCGAGCTGCAACGCTGCGTAGCTAGCCTAGCTGCAACACTACATGAGACTCTCAGATCCTCTTCCTCCTCTAGACAACAAGGGGACCCTGACACCGCAGCCAGCAGACCCCAGCTCATCATCCCCCTGCTAATCCCGCAGTCCCCAGCGCTCTACATCGCGCAGCTAGCCGCGCTGCAGGTCGGCGCGGCGTTCTGCCCGATCAATCTCGACGCGCCTAGGGAGCGTATCAAGTTTATTGCTGGGGATGTTAAGGCGGAGGTTATCATATCGACGCGCGATAATGGTGTTGCTGTCACGTGGGAGGGGGGCCCGATTCCTATTTTGATAGATGAGCATTTCCCAACCCCCCCCGAACTGGTGGACCTTCCCCCTTTTCCGGAGACGACTACGACGGCGTCGTTGGCGTATGTGATGTACACTTCCGGCTCGACGGGTCTTCCAAAGGGGGTGGGTGTCAGTCATCGTGCGGCGACGCAGTCGTTACTCGCGCATGAGGTTCTCATACCGACGTTCTCGCGCTTCCTCCAGTTCGCTGCGCCCTCCTTCGACGTCTCGGTGTTTGAGATCTTCTTCCCCCTCTTTAGGAGGGCCACGCTGATAGCCTGCCATCGCGAGAGGCTCCTGAATGATCTCCCTGGGACTATCAATCTTATGGAAGTCGACGGATGCGAGTTAACTCCCACAGTCGTCGGATCGCTGCTCCTCCGCCGCTCCAACGTGCCGGGGTTGAAGTTGCTACTGACGATTGGGGAGATGCTTACGAGGCCTGTTGTGGACGAGTTTGGGGAAGCGGAGGGGAGGGTAGGGATGTTGTATGGCATGTACGGACCCACGGAGGCGGCGATACATTGCACGGCATACACCAACATGGCTGCCGGCTCCAAAGTCGGTAACATAGGACGCCCATTCTCAACCGTCTCCTGCTTCATCGCTGCCATCCCCGACCCCGCCGTCCCTTCCAGCGCAGAGACGCTGGATATCCTCCCCCTCGGCGAAGTGGGCGAGCTGGTGCTGGGAGGAACGCAGTTGGCGGATGGGTATCTGAATCGTGAGAAAGAAAACAAAGCCGCGTTCGTGACTTACAACAACTCCCCCGCCTACCGTACCGGCGACAAGGGGAGGATACTAGACGACGGCACGATAGAAGTCATGGGCCGCATCAGCGCTGGCCAAGTCAAATTACGCGGTCAGCGCGTGGAGCTCGGCGAGATCGAGGAGGTGGTGTATAAACACCCGGGCATCGAACTCGCCTTTGCGAGCGTGCTGGAGGGGATGTTGATCATCTTCGCGCGTGCCGGAAAGGGGGAAGACGTCGTGGTGGAGGATGTGGTGGAGACCTGCGAGCAATGGCTTCCCCGCTACATGGTCCCCAGCGAAATCGTCATCATGGCAGAATTCCCCTACCTCCCTTCTGGAAAAATCGACAAGAAGAAGTTGGAAGCTGAGTACCTCCGTACCCGTGCCGACGAAGATGGTGCGGACGAGGGGGGAGTGGTTAGGGAGACGGAGAAGATTGTGGGGAGGGCGCTGATGACGCTGTTGAAAGTCCGCGTTAACCCCACGAAGCGCCTCGCTACTTATGGTCTCGATTCCCTGACTGCCATCCGTCTTGCATCGCATCTCCGGAGCGCGAGACTACGGATATCAGCCGTGGAGATCTTGGAGGCGGAGACGGCGAGGGAGATTGCGAGGGTGTGTGAGGAGCGTCTGAGTCAACCCGATGCCACCTCCCAGGCCCCCGAGGTGTTCGATTTCTCCGTCCTTGAAGGGCCGGTGACAGAGGTGCTGGCGGAGATGGGCGTGACCGAGGCGTTTGACGAGGTGTTGCCGTGTACGCCGCTGCAGGATGCTATGTTACTCGAGACGGCTGTTGATCCGGTTGCGTATTGTAATTATATTGAGCTGCGCATCAACGACGTCGACACGCATCGGGTTGCTGATGCGTTGAGGGAGTTGGCGAGGCATAACCCGTTGCTGAGAACGGGGTTCGTGGAGTGTGAAAGCGAGTGGAGCGCTTTTTCGCAGGTTGTGTGGCCTGCCCTGGCAGCGGATCAGATTGTTATTACTGATGAGTCTGGAGACGAGAGGATGGACGACGATAGGGGCGGGTTGGAGATGTTGAGGCCGATACGGATGAGGGTTTGTCCAGTCGAGAGGGGGGTGGTAGTGAGAGCGGATATTCATCATGCGCTTTATGATGGGTGGAGTTTGGAGTTGGTTATCAGGGATTTGGAGACTATACTGTCTTCCTCCTTACCATCTACCTTCACCTCCGCCTCCTCACCAGACAACAACGACAACGACACCAAACCCATCAGCACCATCCTCACACCCCGCCCCCCATTCCGCGCTATCGTCGAACACACACTCCGCCTCGCCACGAGATCAATGGAGAAGGAGAGGCAGTACTGGAAAGATCACCTCGCGCACTTCTCACCCGGCTCATTGCCGTCTTTTCACTCTAACGTTGGTGTGGCGCGGGGGTTGGATATCGTCGGCCATATGACGGCTATTTCCACCTCCGCACTGGAGAAATCCGCTGCCCTTGCGGGAGTTAATAGCCAGGCGATGGCGCAGACTGCATACGCTCTCGTCCTATCAGCTTACCTCGGATCGAAAGATATATGTTTCGGCTCCGTCTTCTCAGGCCGCTCAGCGGATGTAGAAGGGATCGAAGAGATTGCAGGGCCGTGTATTGCGACGTTGCCGGTGAGGATTAATATCGGGAATGGAACTGTGGGGGGTGTTATGGCGGAAATGCAGAGGGTGGGGAGGAGGCATATGGAGAATGAGGGGTTGGGGTTGAGAGAGATACAAGGGTTGGTGGAGGCGGAAGGGGGGGTGTTTGATACGTTGGTTATTTGGCAGCAGAGCCTCGCTGATGATTCTGATGACGTGGTGGTGGGGGGTAAGGGGAAGAGGGTACAGTTGGTAAAAGCGAGGGATTACCTCGAGTTCGCATTAACTCTCGAAATCACCCCTGCCGCTGGGGAGGGGAAGGTAAGGTTCGATGCTAACTACCAGACTGCGATCTTTGGACGGGAGATGATAGAGGTGTTGTTGAGACAGGTGGAGGGGGTGTTGGGGGCGTTTATGAGGGATGGGATGGAGGCGGGTGTTGAGGGAATTTTTGGGGGGGTGGAGGGAGAGGGGGTTATGGCTGTTTTTGAGCGGGGGGTAGGTGGTGAGTTGAGTTTATTGGCTGCTGCTAATGGTGAAGACGGTGGGGGAGTTACAGCGGTGGGGGGTAAGTCGAAGGTAAGGGGTAATAGGAGGGCGAATGCGATTGCACGACTGGTTACCGGAAGAGACGACGTCGAGGTAACCCTCCAGCAATCTATTGGGGGGAAGGTAAGAGGCTACCTCGGACGTGTCGGGCGGGGGATTAAGGTCCTCGTCATCGCACCTCAGTTGGAGGATGATGTGGTCCTCCTCCCTCTCGGCGCAGAAGGCGAGCTCTGCATCTCAGGCGCCTCCTTGGGTGAGGGCGATATCGAGATTGACGGGACGGAGTGGGTGGATTGTGGTCCTGTGCATGGGATGCTCCTACGCACGGAGGATTTGGTGAGACTCCTTCCTGGTGGTGAAGTTATCTACCGTGGGAGAAAGGGGGAGGAAGCTTTGGTTAGGGGACAGAGAGTTGATGTGGGGATGGTTGAAGGGGTTGTGCTTTCTCACCCCGCTGTTGGGGGTGGGGAGTGTACGACGGTGTTGGTGGGGGAGGGGAGGTTGGTGAGTTTCTTTACCCCTGTTGATGCGGATAGTGGGGAGGGGGACTTTAAAATCCTAGATGCCCAGCGCGACGTGCTGGAAGGGATTTACGCCGATCTAGACGCCGCTGTGCCTTCGTACGCTGTGCCGGTCTCGATTGTACCCGTTTCTTCCCTCCCTGTCACTGTGGAGGGGGATATTGACACGGAGAAGCTCAAAGCTGCATACGCGACACTCACACCCAACCAGCTGGCGCAATTCGCCAACCCCTCCGCCTCAACAGCGGAATACACATGGACACCTCTTGAATCCATTATCCTCTCTGCCGTGTCTTCAGTGGCTAAATCCCCAGAAGCGGTGATAAAACCGAATACACCATTTGCAGCGCTGGGGATTGATTCGATAGCTGCGATTGGGCTGGTGAGGGAACTTAAGGAAGTGGGGGTGAAGACGGATGTTGGGGGGGTGTTGAGGTTTGGGACTGTGAGGAGGTTGGGAGGGTGGGTTGAGGGGGAGAGGGCTAAGGCCGAGGAGGCGAAGGTGATAGAAGATAAAGAACTGGGAGTGGGAGGGCTCCCGACGCCTGAGGAGATTATCTTCGAGCCGACACTGGTAGATGAGGTTCGCAACGCTGTCGCACGGCGCGGATGGACTGTGGAGAGGGTGTTGCCGTGTACGCCGCTGCAGGAGGCTATGCTTGCTGCCAGCGAACTGGCTTCTGTCAGCGAACCCTCTACCGCTGAGCACTCGTCAGCTGTCGTTGGTGACCCATCGACTGGCGACAAGGAGGAGGGGGCGTACGTCAACCGCGTCCTCCTCTCCCTATCTGTCAGCATCGAACAGGTTGAAGAAGCGTGGCGCGAGATGGTGAAGAGACATGAGATTCTAAGGACTTGTTTTGTGAGGGCTGGACATGCGAGGTATGCGTTTTGTCAGGTTGTCCTTGGAGGGTACGAGCATGAGAGTAGGGTTGTTGAAGTCGCCGACGCTGCGGGGGTGGAGGGTGTGATGACCCGCGGAGTGAGCTGGCAAGTCGAGGGGAAGGGAGAGGGAGGGGGAGAGGTCAGGCCGCCGTATGAGTTGACGTATACCCGCGTCGCGGGTGGGGACGGCGGGGTGAAGTTGGTCCTAGCGATGCATCATGCGCTTTATGATGGGTTTGCGATGGGTGTTCTTTATGACGAGATGGAGACGTATTTGAGAGGGGGGGAGTTGAGGGAGGCGGTGGGGTTTGCGCCGTTTCTGAGGTATATGAGTGGTGTTGATGCCGGGAAGGCGGATGGGCACTGGAAGGGGTTGTTGGGTAATTTCAACCCTGTCGCTTTTACACCACCGTCAGAGGAGGTAGGGGAGAGAGGGGTGAAGACAGAGAGTGTAGAAGAGGTGCAGAGGCAAAACCACGTCTTGACGATACCGCTATCCATGAGCTTAACGGATATCGAAGAGAGACTAGCCCACAACGACGCATCCCTCCTCTCAGTCTGCCAAACAGCCTGGGCCGCCCTCCTCGCCCGCCGCACCTCAAGCACAGATATCTGCCTCGGCAGCGTCGTGAGCGGACGCACCGTCCCTGTTGAAGGCTTGAATCGACTCGTCGCGCCTTGTTTTAATACTATCCCCTTTCGGCTCCGGAATCTCCACAGATTAAGCTATTTAGAAGCGTTCCGAGCCTTGCAAGAACAGAATGTCGAGGCGGTACCGTGGCAGATGACTGGGCTGCGGAGAGTACAAGCCCTCGCTGGGGTGGAGGGGGGTGAGGGGCTGTTTGATACTCTCATCCTCGTCCAGACGCCGGAACGGGAGATGGACGACAAGGTGTGGAGGGTGGAGGAGGATAGAGGGGGTATGGACTTTCCGGTTGTGGTGGAGATTGTACCCCGCCCGGGGAAGGGGAGTGGTGGGGTGTTGGAGGTTACCCTGCATGTACATGACCTCCCACTGGGGAGGGAGGAGGTGAGGGCGGTGTTGGAGAAATTCGATAGGTTTCTGAGGATTGCGCTGCTGGAGCCGAGGGAGCAAATCGTACCGGGTGGGTTGAAGAGTAAGTGGGCTGCTAAGATGGCGGAGAGACGAGATGCCAGATCCCACCGCAGTGATGCCGCCGCTGCTGCTGCTGACGACGAGGCCGTTGGGAAGGAGTGGACGGATCTTGAAGTAGTGGTGAGAAGTGTGATAGCGGCGTTCACGACGGTGCCAGAGGGGGAGATTGGGAGGGGGGCGAGCATTTATAGGTTGGGGCTTGATAGTATTAATGCGGTTCAGGTGGCGACGGTATTGAGGGGGAGGGGGTATAAGGTTGTCGCGGGAGAGGTGTTGATGTATCCCTCTGTTAGGGAGTTGGCGGCGTGGATTGGGGGGAAGAGCGCTTTGTCTGCTGGCGCTGTGACGGGTGGTGAGGTGGGGGAGGGGGGGGAGTATGATTTCAAATCCTTCGACGAGCGCCACCGAGCTGCTATCATTAAAGAACTTGAGAAGTTCGGGGTGCAGAGGGAGGTTGAGGGTGTATACCCCTGCACGCCTGTGCAGAACGGGATGTTAGCACAGACGCTGCATAGCTCGGGCGTGGAATATGTTAACTCTTACACCCTCCAGCTTTCCGCGGATGTCGAGTTAGAGAAGGTCAAGGAGGCGTGGAAGGTGGTGGCGGAGGCTTGTCCGATGCTTAGGGCGGGGTTTGTGGGGACGGATAAGGGGTTTGCTGTTATTGTTTATGGAGCTTCTGGCACAACAGTTCCTTGGGTCGATGAAACTGGTGGGGAGGGGGGGAATGATAAGGGGATGACGGTGGAAGAGCTGGCGAGGAGGCCGTGGTGGTTGGAGGTTCTCAGGAGGGAGGGCGGGGAGGTGTGTGTCAAGTTCACGGCGCATCATGCGCTTTATGATGCACAGTCTCTTCATCAGATTTTTGAGGATGTACAGGCTGTGTATTCTCACGGGTTTACACCAAGCTACCCCTCTTTCCTCCCCCTCCTCGGCGCGATCCTCAACTCCAACTCCCCCGCCGACGAGGAAAGGCGGAAATCCTTCTGGATCTCGCAGAATCTCGCCGTCCACCGCTTTCCGGACTTGACGCCCCTGAAGGTGGAGAGTACGCGGAGTGTTGTGAGTAAGACGATATCGCGGATGGGGTTGAAAGAGATTGAGGAGAGGTGTAGGGAGATGGGTGTTAGTGTCCAAGCCGTCGGACAGGCGGTTTGGGCGAGGCTTTTGGGAGCGTATGTGGGAGAGGGGAGGGTGGCTTTTGGGGTCGTGCTTAGTGGGAGGGGAGTCGCTGGTGGTGATGGGGAGGGGGGGGAGGTGCCTTTTCCGACTATTGTTACGGTGCCAGTTTGTTATGAAGTGGAGGGGGATGGTGGGAAGGACGGCAATGGGAAACTGTTGGAGAATGTGATGAAGGGCATTGCGAGGGTGGCGGAGTGGCAGTTCACCCCACTGACGGATGTGCAGAGGTGGACGGGGAATACGGGGGGGTTGTTTGATACGCTTTTTGCTTATCAGAAATCCTCCAGTGATGTCCAGGAGGGGGCAAAGGTAAGTGGCGAGGGAGATGAGGTGTGGAAAATCGTGGAAGAGGACGCAGAAGCCGATTTCGCCGTCTCGATTGAGATGTTACCCGAGGGTGGGGAGATGATACTCCAGCTTACGGTTAAGGAGAGCGTGGTGCCGAGGGAACAGGCGGAGTTGATGGTGAGGCAGTTTGATGCGCTGATGGTGGATTTGTTGAACCCCGGGGCCGATGGGCTTGATGAGAAGATCCTGTCTATCACACCCCCAGAGCACTCGACGCTATCGGATTCTGACGAGGGGGATATGCTACTCCATGGTTTCGTGGAGAGGCAGGCTCGCTTGACGCCGAACAAGGTGGCCTTGGAGTTCACCACCAGTCTTGAGGGTGGAGAGGGCAACACGGCGGCTTGGACGTACGATCAGCTCGATAAGGAGGCTAATCGCATCGCGAACCTCGTGCGGAACCTCGGTGCTGTGCAGGGGCAGTTAATTGCGATTTGCTTTGACAAGTGCCCCGAGGCGTCGTTTTCCACCGTGGGTGTTATGAAGGCGGGGAGTGCGTATGTAGCGCTTGACCCCGGCGCACCAGCTGATCGGGTGAAGTTCATTATGCAAGATTCCGGGGCGACGGTGGTGTTGACCGCCGGGAAGCCTGCGGAGAGTTTGAAAGCGACATTTGAGGGCAGCGAGATCCAGGTTGTTGATCTAGGCACCACGGACCTGCTGGGGGGGTGTAGTACGGAACCCCCGATTCTGGCTCGCCCGATTGATAGCCAGGATTCGTCGTACTGCCTCTACACGTCCGGCACGACCGGGACGCCGAAGGGGTGCGAACTCACGCATGAAAACGCCGTGCAAGCCATGTACGCGTTCCAGCACCTCTTCCGCGGCCACTGGACCGAGGAGTCGAAATGGCTCCAGTTCGCGAGTTTCCACTTCGACGTCTCGGTACTTGAGCAATTCTGGAGCTGGAGCGTGGGCATCTGTGTCGCGAGTGCGCCGCGGGATTTGATATTCGAGGATATCCCCGGAGCCATCCGCGCCTTGGGAATCACGCATTTAGATTTAACTCCTAGTCTGGCGAGGTTGCTGCACCCGGATGAGGTACCGAAATTGTGTAAGGGGGTCTTCATCACGGGGGGCGAGCAGTTGAGACAGGATATCCTCGATGTGTGGGGGGAGAAGGCGTGTATCTATAATGGGTATGGACCGACTGAGGCGACGATAGGGGTTACGATGTACCCTCGCGTGCCGAGGAATGGGAAGCCTGCGAATATCGGACCGCAGTTCCTGAATGTCGGGTCTTTCGTCCTGAAACCGGGGACGAGCGAGCCGGTGCTAAGAGGCGCGGTGGGGGAGCTCTGCGTGAGTGGGAAGTTGGTGGGGAAGGGGTATTTGAACCGTCCTGAGCTTACCGCTGAGCGCTTCCCCTATCTTGAGGCTCTGGGAGAGAGGGTGTACAGAACGGGCGATCTGGTGAGGATTTGTCATGATGGGAGTTTCCTCTTCCTCGGCCGGGCGGACGATCAGGTGAAGTTACGCGGGCAGAGGCTGGAGCTGACAGAGATCACGGAGGTGATTAAGCGCGGGGTGGAGGGGGTGGGGGAGGTGGTTACGTTGGTGTTGAAGCATAGTGCGCAGCTTAAGGAGCAGCTTGTTGCGTTTTTCGTCCCCGCTGCTTCTGCTGGGGTTGAGGAGCCGATGGAACTCATTGGAGCGATGCGCGATACTTGCACGAGTCGCTTGCCGGGGTATATGGTTCCTACGCATTTCGTCCCGTTGGAGGCGCTGCCGCTGTCGCCGAATAATAAGGCGGATGGGAAGGCGTTAGCGAGGTTGTATGATGAGCTTTCTATGGAGGAGTTGCAGCGTCTTGGTGCTGCGGGACAGGAGGGTAGGCAGTGGAGTGGGGTGGAGAAGGAGGTGCTGGGTGTGCTGGCGGAGTGTATGGGGGTGGAGGTTGGAGAGTTGAAGAGTGGAACGAATATCTTTGAGTTGGGCTTTGATTCGATCTCTGTCATTGGCCTTGCGCAGCGCTTGCAGCGCGCTGGATATACGGGGGCGAAGGCGGCGGTTGTGATGAGGAATTCGGGGGTGGAGGCGCTGGTGGGGGTGTTGGTTGTGGATGGCGCCGGGGAGCAGGGCGCAGGGGGTGGAGAGGTCGTGGCGGCACAGCAGAGGATTACGGCGTTTGCGCAGAGGAATTTACTCGGTGCGGCGGAGGAGATGGGTGTTGATCCTGATGAAGTGGAGGGTCTGGCGCCGTGCACTGCGGCGCAGGCGGGGATGATCTACAGGTTCCTTGATAGTGAGGGGCCGCTGTATTTCATGAGCTTTGCGTTTGAGCTCTGGGAGGGGGTGGATGTGGAGAAGTTGCGCGAGGCGTGGTGGAGAGTTGTGAGGGGGTTGGAGGTGTTGAGGATGGGGTTTGTGTTTACGCCTGATGGGTGCGCGCAGGTTGTTCTTAAGGAGGGCGAGGTTCCTTGGGGTGTTGATAGGGGGTTTGTGGGGATGGAGAAGGGAGAGGCGCTGGTGAGGCCGTGGGGGGTTGGGGTGAGTGAGCAGGAGGGGAAGAGGGTGATGAAGTTGGAGATCTTTCATGGGCTTTATGATGGGGCTAGTCTCCCGCTTTTGCTGAGGAAGGTGGAGGAGGAGTATAAGGGCGTGGAGGGGATCGATTACGGACCTTCTTTCATGAGTTTATTGCCGCATGGACCTCTCGCTGCTGTTGAGGGCGCAGAGGCATTCTGGAAGGGGGCGTTGGAGACGGCGGAGTTTAACCCGTTGCCGCTTCTTGAGAATGCGCAGGGGGGCGATGTGAGTGTCTCACGCCGCGTGCAAGACCTGGGACACTTGGAGGCGCTGAGGCAGTCGCTCGGTGTTACGTATCAGGCTATCCTGCAGGCAGCGTGGATCTCAGCGTTCCGTGCTCAATTCCCTGCTTCCGCCGCGCCGTCGTTCGGGAATGTCATTTCCGGGCGCGCTATCGATTTCAGCGGTGCGGAGAACGTGGTTGGACCACTTCTTAACACCCTCGTCTTCCATGTCGACATCAAGGAGGGGATGACCTGGAAAGAACTCATCCAGGCGTGTCACTCCTTCAACGTCGGCGCCATGCTGTTCCAGCACTCGCCATTGAAGGATGTGCAGAGGTGGTGTGGTGAGAGCGGACGGGAGTTGTTTGACACCCTCTTTGTGTTCCAACGCGAGGAGGAGGGGGGTGAGGAGGGGTTGTGGAGAGAGTTGGAGGGGGAGGCGGTGGCGGATTATCCGATGGCGTTTGAGGCTACGTTGATGGGTGGGGGGGATGTGAGGATTGCGCTTGTTGGGCAGGGCAAGTATGTCAACGAGGAGGTTGCAGGGGGGCTGTTGGAGAGGGTTGAGAGTGAGCTTGCTGCTTTGAAGGAGCCGGAGGGGGAGATTCCTGGTGTTGAGGGGTCGGTGAGAGGGGGTCGATTGGTGAAGAGCGGCAACGAAACCCAGGCGCCGGATACGACATCAGACAAGGACTTTGAGTGGACACCCACGGCGAGTGTGATTCGTGCGCAGATCTCGGAACTTAGTAAGGTCGAGGAGGACAGCATCGCGGTGAATACGACGCTCTTCTCGCTGGGGCTGGATAGTATCGATGTCATCAAGCTCGCCTCACGACTTAAGAAGGCTGGCGTCAAGATCTCGGTCAGTGCGATTGTGAAGAGTCAGACCGTTGCGAAGATGATGGGGAGTATACAGCTCGAGCAGGGGCCGGTGGAGGTGAAGACGAGCATTGATGAACTTGAGCGCCAGTTGAGCGAGTCGTTGACTAGGGAGGAGGTGGAAGGGGCAACGGCGGTGCTGCCGGCGACGCCGTTGCAGGAGGGGATGGTGGCTGAGATGGTCGCGTCGGGGTATAGGAAGTACTTCAACCATGAGCTGTATCGCGTTAAGGGGGGTGTCGATATGGATGGGTTGAAAAAGGCATGGGAGATGGTGGTGGCGGAGTTTGATATCCTGCGCACTTCGTTTGTGGGGGTGGAGGATGTGGAGATTGATGTTGGCTTTGCGCAGGTTGTGCGTCCTGCTTCTGATCGTAGTATCTGGCGCACCGCTGGGTTCGAGGAGGATGCGGATCTGGGAGTGCGGACGAAACAGCTTATTGAGGAGGCGGTTGAGCGGGCAAAGACGGGAAGTCTGCTGCAGCTCGTGGATATCACACATGGAGAGGAGAGATACTACCTCCTCTCCATCTCGCACGCGCTGTACGACGGATGGTCTCTCCAGGCCCTCCACGCCAATGTGCAGAAAGCTTACAACGGGAAAACACTCACCAATCCGAGCGTGCGAATCCCGCTCGAGCAGCTGCTAAATGCGAATGGACCCGAAGCCACGAAATACTGGCGCACTGCGCTGAGCGGTCTGCCTAAGTCGGAGTTCCCGCTGCACAACTCGACATCAGAAGGCGTTAACCGGTTTGAATTCGCGTCTTCGATTCCGTTGGATGATGTCAATGCCTTCTGCCGGAAGAGCAACATCAGTCTCCAGACGCTGGGACAGACGGCATGGGCTATCCTTCTTGCCAGCTGCCTCAAGCGCCTCGATGTGGCCTTTGGAGTCGTACGGTCGTGCAGAGACACCGAGGAGACAAGTGAACTCATGTTCCCGTTGATGAACACTGTCGTTGTCCGCGCGGTCATCCACGGCGATTGCAAGGGGATGCTTCAGTATATGCAAGAAAGCAGCAACGCCATGCGCGCTTACCAGCATTTCCCGTTGAGAAAGGCGCAGGCCCTTGCTGGGAGACAGGGAGGTGCGCTGTTTGATACTCTGTTTATCTATCAAGGTAAAGCGCAGGAGGCTACTGGCGAGGTGCTAGCGGAGGCGGTGGAGAGTCAGGCAGAGGTGGAGTTTAAGGTCTGTGTGGAGATGGAGGTTGTTGCCGGGGAACTGGTGTGGAGGATTGCGTGTAGGGATGCGGCGAGGACGGAGGGGGAGACGGAAGAGTTGTTGAGGGATCTTGATGCGCTGATGGGGAGGATCGTGGGGGATGTGGAGGCGGAGGTCATTGTTGCTGCTCAGGGGCAGGTGGCGCTGTGTGGGCTAGAGCCGTTTGTGGATGAGTCGTCTATGGTGGGGGTGAAAGGTGTTGCGAAGGCGCCGAAGAGTGGAGGGGGTGTGTGGAGTCCGACGGAGCTTGCGATTCGGGGTGTGTTGTCGCAGGTCTCGAAGACCCCGGAGGGGGAGATTGGGAGGGGGGATAGTATCTTCCATCTTGGGCTTGACTCGATTAGTGCCATCAAGGTGTCGTCGCTGTTGAGGAGGCGGGATGTCAGGATTACTGTTGGGGAGATTATGAAGAATAGCAGTATTCAGGAGATGGGTGCGTTGTTGGCGGGGAGGGTTGATACCGAGGCCAAGACGCAGACGAAGGATGTTGAGGCTGTTATCACTGCGTCGCTGAAGCATATTGACAAGACGGCGCTGTTGGGGGAAGTTGGGGTTGAAGAGGGTGATATTGAGGATATCATGCCTGTATCAGCCGGACAACTATACATGCTCGCGCGCTGGGAGCAGACGGGAGGCGCGCAGTTTGAGGCGAACTTCCAGTATAAACTCGACGGTGCGGTTGATGCAGGGAGGTTGGAGAAGGCATGGGAGGCTCTTATGAAGCGTCATGCGATTCTACGGACTGTGTTTGCTTTCGTGGAAGATGAGGAAGTGAGGGCTGTCCAGGTTGTTCTGAAGGAAAGGAGCAATCCGGTCAAGTATGCCTCGTCTTCTAAGACGGCAGTATCGCTCTTGGATCCTGTGTTTCTCGTTGTTGAAGAAGTGGGAGGGGAAAAGACGATCAGTCTCCGCCTCCTTCACGCGCTCTACGATGGCGTAAGTCTTCAGCTGCTCATCCGCGACCTGGAGACGCTGTACTTGCACCCCGACTCCGCGCTTCCGCCTCCACTAAGCTTCAAGGAGTTCATCGCCCGTGACCTCGACGATGAGTCTCGTAAGAAGCAGAAGACGTTCTGGGAATCCTATCTCCCGCGCATTGAACTCGCAAGCATGCCAGAGAGCCCAGATCTTACACGCAGGGTGGAGATCTTCAAACCTAGTGTTCCTATTGGGGATATCACGTCTGCGGCGAGGAAAGCGGGGGTTACTGTCGATGCCTTGCTTTTAGCTGCGTTTTCTAAAGCCTATGAGGTTACGAAACAATCTAGTAGCGAAGAGACGGTCATCGGGCTGTATCTTGCCAATCGGTCTGCTACGACTGATTTATCAGAGTTGGTGGCACCGACGCTTAATCTGGTGCCTTTGCGGATCCAATGTTCGAGCGATGGGCTTGAGGATGTTGCTTCAGGGGTGCAGAGAGACCTCCTGAAGTTGAGCGAGGTGGCGAATGTAGGCGCGAGTTTGGCGGATGTGTATAGCTGGACGGGAAGGAGTGTGGAGGTGTTTGTTAATGTGCTTAAGACCACCACCCCGTCCTCCTCCGATGACGAGGGTGGGGACGAGAAAACAAGCAACCTCTTCGCCGAGAGTCTAAGTGAAGTGGATATGCTCCGACCCAGGGCTGAAGTCATCGACGTCGTCCCTAACACGGCCCTACTCACTGCGTTTGAGAAGAGAGAAGAGTTGAGAGGAGCGTATTCGGTGAGTCCTCACTCTTTATATACACCTGTTTCGATGGGAGTGCTAACTAGTTATCAGGCGTCGGTGGATATTGAGCTTCGTCTTGTGGATGGCGGGAGAGGGATAGATGTTGGGCTTTTTGCGCCGGGGGGGCTGCTTGGGTTGGAAGACGGGGAGAGGCTTGTTGACGTTTTGGGGGAGGTTTTGAGGGGGTTGTAGAGAGGATAGTGAGATGAGGGTCTTGGGGTGTCTGAATGACGGATAGAGAGAGTTGGGGAACTCTGGGTTGGAGAGATAACGTCGGCTGGCTGATATGGTTTCTCTTGCCATTTATTGGTTATTTCTTGTTCATTTTTGGGGGAGTTATTAGACTCGCTGTTTATGCATGGTATTTCTGTACATGAGGGTTGATTTTGGAAACGTTATGTTACATATTTTGGTTTACGGTCTATAGATTAGAATTTCAAGCCTCACTGTTCACACATGCCTCAACATTTGCTTAAGTGGAAGAAATCGTTGATGAAGCCTTTTGCTCCCATGTATGTTTATAAATGTGTTCGCTGTACAGTCCTATCTATCTGTACATATCTAAATTGTATGCAGGTCCTCCCTGGTTTTTACACAACGCCATCCAGACGCCCCTGCATCCTCCTCATCCCTATATACATACAATGATCTTACAACACCCCCAATGCAGCGGCCTTCTCCAGCCTTTCTTCCCCTTTCTCCTTCTAAATCGCATGCTACCCCCCAAACGCCGCATGCTTTCAAAATGAACTTCCCAAAATTAAACGCCCTTTGTGTTTGTTTTCCACACGCAAAAATCCCCCCCTTGAATGAATGAAAATCGCCGAAATTATGATGATAAATAGGTATGTATATATACAGAAACGCTCCAAAAGACGGGAGGCAGATCGGAAGAATGTGGTTGCTGAGGTCGATGGTGGTCATGTGAGGTGTGGCGACACATCTATGAGAAGAAGTACTGACTGTCCTTGAGACGAGTGACATCGAAAGAGCCCTGTGAATAATTAGTAAAAGTAACTTGGACAATCAAGGGTGGGGATGCATACCTTCTCTGGAACAGTCGGGAACGACACGGGCAGCCAGACCGAAAGCGCGGCGCCCTTGGAACGGACACGCTTCTTCGAGACGCTTCTGGAAAACGCGTCTTGAGAGCCCTCATCGGCATCATGCTCGACTTCCATCTCTCCCTCACTATCATCCTCTTCCGGCTCCTCATGCTCCTCGTTCTCGTCCGCATCCTCGTCTTCGATCTCGACAGACTCCGCGCCCGCAGCCTTAGCCTTCTTTTTCGGCTCTGCAGCGCCCTTTTCCCCGAGTCCTACAACGGGTGTGTCGTTGCCACCCTTAATATCATTATACGCCTGCAGTTCCTCGAAAATGCTTGCAGGTGTCACCATAGCCTTGCCCTTTGCGACCGTCTCGGGGTTGTCCGATGCAAGCATGCGCGCGCGCTTTCGCTCTAGCAATGCTTCAACGAGCTGCATGTTCTTTTGTGACTGCTTCTTAGACTTCTTCCCTTGGGGCCCGCGGTAGGGGTTTTCAATGTGGCCAGCCTTGACATCCGCGCGCCACTGCTGGACGCGACGGAAGAACTCGGAGTCAGACTTGACATGTGCGAGGTAGAGACTGCCCTTGTATCTGGCATCGAACTCAGCAGCGAGGCGAACAACGACGTTGTCGGAGTGCATCTGAATGAAGGCGTCACGGAGAACGCCGTTCATGGTATCGATGTCGGCTGCATGGGTCCAGAAGGAGTCGTGGACGGCAGCGAATGAGAGACCAGCTTCGTCGCATTTGAGGGCCGAGAGCATCATGTGTGTGGCGTCGAGAGAGTGCACGAAGTTGGGGGGGAAGCCTTGAAGTTGCTTTCGCTTGCTGACTGGGTCAGATCGGTGAGGCTCCGAAATGGTAATCTGCTGTAGATTTGTCTGGACCGTTCGTGACTTCGTTGCGCGGTATGGCTGAACAATGGGCATTCGTAGAGGAGTTGTCCAGATGACACTTGACTTGAACTGCAACTGCTGCTCTGCATCAACCATAGAGGTCTGGTAGCGGTTCAGTCGGGGCGCCCTTTGATCCAGTGCCTCTTCGTGGAGTTGTTCAAGCTTGTCCAACTGCTCGGCTGTGATAGATGTCGAGATTCGACTGGCACACTCGCCAAGCCAGTATTGAATATCATGTGCGCCTCTAAACATGGTTCCCAGAGCTTCGAAAATCTTCGTGGCAACATATCCAGATAGCAGACTGACATTGAAAGTGCCTTCGTTGGGAATGTCGGTGTGAGCAGCGACAAGCTGCTTCCTGACCTGGGCCTGGGCTCCAATATAGGTGACACCATAAACATTCGTCATAACCGTTTGCTTGACGACTTTGCGCTTGATTTTACCCTCGAGCCAGATGGCGCACTTGTTCCCATTCTTCCTGTCAACAGCCATCTTCTCCTTGACCAATTCAGCGACAGCGGTATATACATCAGCTGGTCGATCGCCCGGTTCCAAGTTAACTTGTCTTGCGCCCCATTCGTCGCCGCCAAGAGCCGCATAATGCTGGAGCCCGTTGCAAGTTCCATCTTGATGCACCGGAAGGTGCGACACAAACTTAGTTGGGTCTCCGGAGTCGAGCGCATTTTTAAGCTCGTGGCAAGCAGCGAGGCATTGCCAAGGGTCCTCCGCCTGTAGCCACCACCTTCTTCCATTGAGCGGGTTCATTGCAGAATCGTAAATATCATCAATGTGATCAACAGTGTACTGTTCCCGTTCCTTTAAGCTTGCTTTGTCGAACCCATGGACGTTAGCAAGATGGACTCTCAGCCATTTGAGGCCAGCTTCGCCAAGTTCCCGCCCTTTGCCAAATTTGAGGAGGCCACGGCAGTGATCAGCTCCCATATGGTTCAAGTATGGAGGTATAGGATACGCCCGTCCACGGAAATCTAGATTGTGAGGGAAGTAGAACTTTTCTTCCCGCAGCGACCGCGCAATCTCGAGCTGGAAATTTTGGAAGCATCGGGCAGAATGGAATCCACTTCGTGTGTTCTCTATAGTCTTCAAACTCCGTATCCATTTGCGCCTTTCCGTTGGGTCTTTGGATGCCGGCGGTTCGGGCGGATACTCCAACTTCGGATCCTCAGCTGGGAAGTTTGCGATGGCTTCTCCAGTATTCCAAGCCTCCAGCATGGTGTCAAATACAGGTCGGTTGATCACCCAAGAGGTTTTCCCGAGAACATCCAGCCCTTTGAACATCTGCTCCATATCTCCTCTTCCAATGGCAGCCTCTTGATATTGCCGTTGGTTTTTATCGCCGCCTTTAATTCGCACGGCCTTTGCCGGATGAGAAATGAAGCCACCTTGGTTAAACTCTGACCAGGGCACTGGTTCAGCTACCATTGGGAGATGCTTTGCCAGCAGACTGTGAACGGGCTCACGCTTCAGGGACGCTACCAGCGCGCGATTGGCGAGAATCATTCCAGTCTTTTTGCCGATTTTGTACTGGTGGGTGTGCGAGAAAGCGGGTTGTATTTGCGTTAAGAGCTCCTGAGTCTTCGTATTTTCCATGGTGACTGGTACCTTTGCAGTGTCGATGAGCGCAGAGAGAAGGTATGATCCGACTTTAGCCTTAATCGTCGCAGACCACTCCGTGTTCCATTGGTCGGAAAGATCATGCTCGGCCGCAGAATCTCCTCGTACCAACTTTGCCAGTGAATCTGTCAACTGCTGCCGGGTACGCTTGTTTCTTATTACACGGGCTAGGCCCAGTCCTTTCCCTGCACTGGCAGTCTTATTCAATTGTTGCCATCCTTGTTTGGTAGTGTTCTTGCGAATAGTCTCGGTGATGCTTTCGTCCTCAAGGTTGGCTCCAATTGACATAATGACAGCTGCAAGTGGCATTCCTTTATCCGTCCCATGCGAGCTTAGGCATTGCATAGAGGTTAAAATCGTCACTGCTGCCAGCTTATCTGTTGGTAGATACCTCAGAAATGGGCCATATATGCAACGTTCGACATCCAACTGCGACTTCTCTTTTTCCGGTGTCGCTTCCGCCTTATCAATATTTTGAAGTTCTTGGTTGAGGCGTTGTTCTAGGGCTTCCTGCCACTTCCACATTCTTGCGCCTAAAGACTTGGTTTGAAGTGATGTATCAAGTCCCATCTTGGAGAGTGAGACGCTCTCCTTCCTCCATCTGTCGACAGCAGAAATGATTGAGTCCTCCTCCAATTTCATTTGACGTAGGCGTTGCTCTTCAACACTGAGGACGTCGGCATTGAACCCTTCAGGCTTCCGAGAAAATAATGACAGGGACTGCTTGAGCGCCTTCAGCCCGAAACCTCTCTGGGGGGCTGCCCGAACGTCCATAATAACCTCAGGTGTTGTTTTTGAGGATTGAAGGTCGGCTGCTGCAATATCGTCCTCCAAATTGGCCTCCTCGTCAACAATAGAGTCCAGTTTCGCAAGTATATTGTGCTCAGGCGCGATCTGATTGATAATGTCCAAATCTTCGGCGGACATGATATCAACCATGCTTAGAACCTCCAATCCAACATCTCCACGAGCCATATCCATGTATCTTTTTACCAATCTATCCTGGCGGGCTCCTCGGGGAGACTGTAGTGATGTCTTAAGCATAATTGCAATTGTCGTAGCTGTAACTTCGATGCCCTTGCTTCGCACCATAACTTCGAACCATTTATGCATGTCGTGAGCATGTTCAGCGTTGGGTTCCCTGAGAATCCGTTCCAGAGACGCCTTCAGATACTCATTGTGGAGTCTTCCAAGCTCCTCCGGGGAAAGCTTCAGGAACGGTACAGATCGTTTTATTATAGCCGCTGCGCGCTCAATCCGCCCCAGCCTCAAACATGCCTCCAATATCGCAAAAATTTCTCGTTGTTCTCCTGTAACTCCATTTTTCATCCGCATTCGTTCCGCTGGCAGCGCCAGCGTGTTTTCCAGGGAAATCGTCTTCGTTGGGTCGAAGGGCATAATAGTCGACAGACGAGACTGGTCTTGTGTATGCCCAGGGTATTTCGATGCAACTTGGTTTATACTATCAACGAATGGAATCTCATCCGTCAACGGCATATGTGCAGCTGTTGCCAGCGATCGAACCGTGGGACTTGCGCCATCCTTGGAATTCCGCCTCTTCCTCAATGGAATCGTACTATCCCCAGGCGCTGTCGTCAAACTTCGGTGGCATGGCTGCCGCAGTCGTGGGTATGTTGGGCACAACCAGGGAAGGTATAGTTGCTCTCGTGCTGCATTGTATGATCGGATTGTCTGTAATCGAGTATGCCTCTGTGCAGCTCGAGACAACATGGTGATTTACGAACGGAGAGTGGTAGATCCGAGAGACATTAAAGATCGAATAAATTAAACAAGAACTAAATAATCGGACATATAACTTGAAAAGAAAGTATGGAAGAATTGAAGGGGTTAAATGGTGTCGCGTGTGTTCGTCAGAAATTGTTCCTGGCGGCCAAATAGGGATGGGTACGGAGATGGGCGGCGATTTTCTTTTTTGCCAAGACTTCCACTCAGTCGGAGTCGCGACCTGACTAATGTACGGGGTCCAATGCTTGTATAGTACGGAGTGAAGGCGGTGTCCCAATTCAGCCAATCATATCTATGAAGATTCATCCTTTTCTCGATTCCATATACTGTTGCACTTTATACAACTCCCAATTCCAATATACAACGCTGGCCATGGTTCAAACTGTGAGCAGGGCCATAAGGGCAACGGCATGTAACAACTGTCGGACCTCGTTATTACGATCTTTCACGTCGATAGCTGGAGTTCAGTGGCACGCGAACACCGCCACTGCAACCCGGTTATGGAGGACGCCAGGCGCAACCCAGACTTCGATTCGATATTCCTCCAATACAAGCGGTAGCTCGTCACAATTTGATCATCAAACATTAGGGACGACTGGGGTGTCTTATGCCGCGAATTTGAAACATACCGAAGCTACAGAAAGCGCTGTGGCCGAAGAGTTGGCCGCAGAGGAGGCAATTGAACAAGAAGCGATTGAAACCAAGGCAACTCCAGAGGAAGAACCAGTACTCGAAGAAGATACCCAAGCCGAGTCACAGGCATCCTCAACACCATGGTATCTCCAAGTCGACACTCCCACGACCCATATCCCGACCCTATCTGAGCGCCAGAAAATCCCCGAACTCCCCTCCTCTCCACCCGCAATTTTGCAACCTCTCCTCGAACGCATCTCTGTTGACCTCGGCCTCGATGACCTCTCCCTACTCGATCTCCGCAAACTCGATCCCCCTCCTGCTCTCGGCGCTAACCTCATCATGGTTATTGGCACCGCCCGCAGCGAGAAGCACCTCCACGTTTCCGCCGACCGCCTCTGTCGCTGGCTACGCACAGAGTACAAGCTGCGCCCTGATGCAGATGGACTCCTAGGCCGCAACGAGTTGAAGCTGAGGCTAAAGAGGAAGGCGAAGAAGGCGAAGTTGACAGGCATGCCGCATGAGGACGATGCGGATGATGGTGTTAGGACGGGCTGGGTGTGCGTCAATGTCGGGACTGTGGAGAGTGCAAAGGATGCGGAGAGTGAGGTGACACAGCCGGATACTGGGTTTGTGGGCTTTGGGCGCCAGACCGATGGGACCAAAATTGTTGTGCAGATGCTCGTTGAGGAGAAGCGTGCGGAACTCGACCTCGAACGGTTGTGGAGTGGGATTGCTAGGAGACAGACTTCTGGCCTACTTGCGGAAGTAGATGCAGATGGGTTCGTAGACACCTCAGAAGGATCCGTGGATGAAATCCCGACGCAGGAGTCATCGCCAGTTGTCAAGGTTCACGACGCCTATGCAACCCCCTTTCCAACCACGGCGTCATTTTCGCCTGTCGCCGTCCAACCCAAAGGCGACAACTAAGCTTCGAAGGCTCCGTGGACAGAGTTCCTGTGATCACAAATTGGGTTCACTGCTAGTAGCTTGATATTGTTACAAGGGAGCTTTGGGGGTTACGGCACAGCTTTAATAGGTGTCACCATGGTGTGTAATGACGTGGCGACCTCGAACGCCTTTTGTATACGATGTAAATTATTGTATAATATGTAGCTATATCCAAGTGCTATTGTCATAGCCTTGCCTGTCTTATGAATGAATCCAATTCTACTGAAAAAACCTTATAGTCTGATGTATTTTTATTGGGAGATCTAACTCTTAAGGTGATAATTACCCCTTTTTACAACCCAAAACACCTAACCAGTGAACCCAGCCAGATTTCACCCATATCCAAGCCACAAATCGCCAAAACTCCTGAAACCCACCCTCCAAAGCGCCATTCCGGATGCAACATTTCGTACTCTATGCATCTACAAATGCATCATGAACCGCCTCACCCTCCTCGGGCGTCAATGCATTCTCAAGTAGTTCGTGCGCTTGCTGAGATGTGTCTTCACCTATTCCGTACTCTAGGACACCGTGCTCACCAGCAGTATAATTCAGTCGTGCCAGTGCAATAAGGTACTTTTGACTGCCTCCATGAACCACCGATAGCTTCTGCTGCATGTCGATTTCCGGGTGTCTCTTGAACAGGTAATAGAGAAGACGGATGGACTTGGTAATGATTTGAGAGAGGGTGACATGGAACGAGGGATATGAGTACAGTGCGTCCATTGAGCCCGACAAAGCTTTGACGATGCGACCTATCGCATGGGGGTGAGCTGCGAGCGCGGCAGAACCAATGGTTGAATATGAGAATGAGATGAGTGTCGTTAGAATCTGTGAGCGCAGTTTCGCCAGCGTCTTTGCGTCGCACTTTGGTTTGCCTTCTGACGCGACAGGGTTGTTTCCAAGGAGATAACCGACGCGGTCGAGAATATACTTCATCTGGTCGGGCTGCGAGTCAGGTTCAACGGAGATAGGGCCAATCGAGTCTTTTAGCACGCTCATGGCGAGGAGCTGCAGCATCATGTCGAAGTCCTCTACGGGCTGGTGTTGGCTCAATGTCATGAGGACAAAGTCGAGACGCATCTGACGCCAAAACCGAGTAGTATATTCCTTGTTGCATATACAGCCAAGGGCGGCCAGGTGTATGGTTACAAGACAGGCGTGTAGGTCAATATCAGCTTCGTATTTGGAGTATGATTCCTGTCTAAAACGGGGAAGAGCAATGAGGACTGCTGTTTCTTGAGCGGTGGGTAGTAGGGCGTCGAGGATGAACGGAGCAATGGCCACCGTGCGGAGCTCTAGAGCGAAGGAAAGGAGATCGAGAAGGAGAAAGATAGGCTTGTAATATTTTTCGGTCAAGCAGCGAGACCACAGAGAAATAATGAGCTCGCAAAGCTCTATGGGAAAGTCCGTACTGGGCGGATTGGTGCTTAAAGTTGGAAGCTTGCCCAAAATCAATGACGTCAAAGACTCGTCAGGGGCGGACGGAAATGCAAACTTTGTAAGCTCTTCAATGGTCTTCAGATGGTTTCGGTCAATCTTGTGATCCAAGACAGTTTTGAGGAAGTCGAGACTATCGTCGGGTTTACCAAGCTTTTCTGAAAGAGCATCGCCGGGTATCAAACTATCAGCCTGCCCGTCCCGGTTTATAGCTGTCTCTCCTGGCGCAACATCTAGCGGTGGAGCAGGGCTTTCCTGCCCCCTTCTTTTCCTTTTGGCGCCAGGTTTCCTAGGCGAACTCTGATTCGATTTCCTGTCGTTGAATTTCGAAGGAGATCTTATCTCATCATCATCGAAGCCGTCTCTGAAAGCAGATGTCTTGTCTTTCTTTGGTGTTGTAACTTCTATCCCCAGAGTTACTTTCTCCTTCTGTCTTATCAGACTTCGAACCTTTTCTGACTCTTCGAAGAGATCTCTCTTTGCAAATTCTAGTTCGGTGGCTCTGGTCTTTTCCGCTTCTTTTGCTGCTTCGATGGCCTTTTGGTTCTTGGTTGAGTTTTCGGCGTTTAATTTTCGAAGGGCAGTCAATTCTCGCTCGTGCTCTTTGACTTGTCGTTCTTGCTTGCTTCGCACAATACTTATTTCGCCTGTCTTGGCTAGTAGGTCTTGCCTTAGCTGGTCTTTTTCTTGCTCCAACTCTTCAAGTTTCTTGCGCAGAGTTTCAACGTCCCCATCCACATTCTGGTATGACTGGTTGCTGCGACCATAGTCTGGTTGAGTGCTTTGCCCAGCTGTGACACTTCTAGAAGTAGGGAGAGGGTTTTTGTAAAGAGGTTTATTTTGAGGCTGTATCTTGCTTCTATCTGAGAGAGGTTGTGCTGTTTCGCTCCTACTGGGCCGTTGTGCTTGGAACTGGCGAGCTTGTTGAATAGCAACAGACGACTGGAATTGAGTTAACCGGTTCGTCGGATCAACCTGCGCCCCATCAAACACTACGGCATCATCGAGGTCCTCATCATCGAGGTCGTCCCCATAGTCAGACGACTGGGCCAGCGTCAGAGCCTGGGTGGCTTGATATTGTGTATAGCGGATTGCATTGTTCTCGATTTCATCTAACGCGTCCGGTGCTAACCCATCTAGCCCATCATCGGAGAAGAAGTCATCTCCGTCGGCTGAGTCCGCCATGCCATTGAGAAATCATTAGGAGCACTTGAAGGGAAATTGAGAGTCGCGATTGTTGCTCAAGGCGGGACGTAAATACGTGAATTGTGCCAGATGTCACCGCTTACAGATTCGGATGCCCGACAGTCCGAGTCTCCACAGTTCAAAAAGCTTGGAACTGGTATACATATGGGCAAATAACAACGAAAGCAATGGTCTAATATAGTAAAAAGGCATTATTTCTACTGTTATCAAATATTCCAAATATCTGGATTTATGGTGCTTGCATTTCTAACGATCAAGATATATCCCAAAACAGCCTACACGTGCTAGATTTACCGCCTGTCTAGATTACGTATGGAGCTTGTGCGGCAAAGCTAAGAAAACTAACTGCGTCAGCGGCCGCCTTACAATTTAACAACCAACGCTACGAAAAGGGCATCGGAACAGACGTCAAAGGGGCATCTTCAAGCCACAGTTCAGTTTTCGCCATAACCCCTTGCGATCCACGGCCTTTTATTTCTAGACCAGTAACTTTCAAATCGCCCCCTTGAAAGTTGACCTCTCCTTGAATTCTTCGATCACCACATTGTTGAACCCTGAATCGCAAAACACGACAACGGATCAAAAGACCCCGAACTCTTGCGCCGGCACGCGCGGAAATCCTCAAAAATGGGCAAAACGCGCCGTAATGTCAAATTTAACCATAGGAATGGAAGCGCAACGGGACTTGATGGAGGACGGCGAAGCAGCTTCTCGGACATAAGTGAGGGTTCCTCGGAGCATACACTGGAGCAGAAGACGGGAGCTGGAGGCGATGTTTCCAACGAGGTGAGGCCTTCTACCACAGATAAAACTCTCTGTGTGTGCTAATGTATGTGTCTAGCTTCAACAGACGAAGGCGCAAGAGTACGAGAAAAAGAAGCAGACCTTCATTACCAGAACGATATGGACGCTTGTCATGGTTGCGTTCTTCTTCTTAGCTTTGGGCATGGGACATCTTTACATCATCGCCATTGTCACAGCAATCCAAATCGTATCATTCAAGGAGGTTATTGCCATCGCCAATGTGCCCAGTCGGGCGCGGAGGTTACGGTTCACAAAGTCCCTGAATTGGTACTGGTTAGCGACCACGATGTACTTCCTTTACGGCGAGAGCGTCATATATTATTTCAAGCATATTGTACTGGTGGATAAGGTTCTTCAGCCATTCGCGACTCACCACAGGTTTATCAGCTTTACTCTTTATGTTATTGGTGAGTAGTTTCCTCATAACCACTGTGATGCTGTGCTGACCGGTTCTCTATAGGATTCGTCTTCTTCGTCGCATCCCTTCAAGCCGGCCACTACCGATTCCAGTTCACCCAGTTCGCATGGACACACATGGCACTCTATCTTATCGTTGTCCAGACGCATTTTATTATGAACAACATCTTCGAAGGAATGGTCTGGTTCTTTTTGCCAGTGTCCCTGGTCATTTGCAACGACATCTTCGCATACCTTTGTGGTATCACTTTCGGACGTACCCAGCTCATTAAGCTGTCCCCGAAGAAGACAGTGGAGGGATTTGTTGGTGCTTGGGTCCTCACGGTCATCTTCGGTGTCTTCCTCACAAATGTGCTCATGAGATACGACTACTTCATTTGCCCTGTGAACGACCTTGGGGCAAACATCTGGACTGGACTCCACTGCAAGGTTAACCCAGTATTCTTAACTCAAGAGTACCCGCTGCCAATCTGGTTTCCATTTGCTTCATCGGTCCGCATCGCACCCATGCAATTCCACATTCTGGTCTTTGCGACTTTTGCTTCCCTGATTGCGCCGTTTGGTGGCTTCTTCGCATCTGGGCTGAAGAGGACCTTCAAGATCAAGGACTTCGGAGATTCTATTCCAGGGCACGGTGGTATCACCGACCGTATGGACTGCCAGTTCATTATGGGATTCTTCGCCTACATGTATTACCACAGCTTCATTGCTCTTAACAACGTCACCTTGGGAGATGTTATTGAGACCGCCATCCAATTGACAGCGGAGGAGCAGATGGAACTGGTCAAGGGGATCAGCAAGCATCTTTATAACCAGGGCGTGATTTCTGATACGGTATGTTCGTGCAAATATTTATCCAGGAGTGGGTTGCTAATATATGACTAGGTATTGAGCTGCTTCAACGGCGTCACTCGTAGATGAAAGCCCAAACTCACCACTCTTATGACTTACGGCAAAATACACATAGCATCCAAGCTCATTGTTTCTTTTTTTTTTCAACAAAATATGTATAATAAAGGAAAGGGCTAATTATGCCGCTATTCATCCCCTTTCAAAACATCGAGGTCTGGGAACTTGGCACTTGGCAAGCAGGCTTTCAAAAGGGCGGAATACGACTTCCCAGCGACGAGGAATATTCGAGGGGACGGACATAGGGTGATGGGATATGGGAGAGAGCTGGCCTAAAGGTTGGGTAATGTCAAATACGCCGAGGGAGGCCAAGATATGTGCGTGGCCGGACTTGGTTCCCCTGCCGTTGAATGGTTTTCAAGGGATGAGCGGGAGATCTCTGAGCGTGGGGTCTCGTGGTATACTAGTAATACCAAAGCGCAATTGTAAAGATGCCGGCTGTTTGTTACGTGTATTCCCTGTCCCTCGAGCCTGATGCATGCTTCCAGAACGAAACCAAAGTAGCCCTTTGTCCCAATCGCAGAAACCTGTGTACTTGTTTGTAAATGGACTGGGAGGCAACGCACTGAAAGATGTATCTATGAAACTGGGATATAAGTGCCATATCTGCAAGTGGGAGAACTAGTTTCGGGTGCTGACGCAGAGCAGACGACAGCAAGAGAGGGGTACATGGCATCAGAGACGGAATCTAAAGCGAGTAAGGTGGATAGAAGTGTGGCAAGTGCCCATGAGAGTAAGAATGAACGAGTCAAGGTATCGCTTTTACCATCCTCTTTTAGATGTCCCATGCGGAAAGACAAGCTCTGAATTGTCTCTTTCCAAATGTCAAAATATTCCTGTGTGATATAATAGAAGAAATATATGCGTCATATTCACCACCAGTAACTGGCTCGAAGCTATAAATAACCCCCTTATTTCCAGTCCTTCTATTTCCTGAATCGATCAACACTCTTGCATACTCATCCAGGCATGGTTCTGGTGGGCGCCCAAATAAACCCCCTGAATATATCCTCGAATACACCAGGCCATCAAAAAATTAGCTGCCGTTGGACTACCAGATTCAACAGTGACAGAGGTACTACGGTGGCACAGGTGCTACGGTGACAGAGATACTACGGTGACAGGAACATAATGGCAGCATTAAAGTTGTCTGTTGGTGTCTTGTTCTCGCTGTCGCCCGCCATTGGGTGTAACAGAGTCGTATTTAAGTAGGTCAGCTACAGCTGACATCTCTAGTAGGTCTCCGCAGATAATTCGCCGAATGACTCTTGACGGGATTTCAAAGGGGGCTTATAGGCAGTTGTGCCGTGAGGGGGAAGCCTCGGTTCAATATCCTTGCTTGGGAAACAGGCTGGAGCGCTCCCGTTCGAGCAGTGCAACTTATTGTGTTTATTTCTAGTACGACTAGAGGTGGTCTTGAAGTGGTAAAACAAAGTAATGGTATTGTTTGCATCGTACATTCCAAAGCTGCTATGAGTATATAAATATCCCCCCATTCATTTTACATTTTTCATAACCTCAGCATCTAGACCCCTTTACTGCTCGTTAACAAACAGACCAGCCATTCCCTGTCCAGTTCCAATACACATGCTAGTCAACAGAATCTTCTTGTTCTGCCTCCTGCACTCGCTCAGTCCTGTGACAATCTGTCTCGCTCCAGTGCATCCCAGCGGGTGACCGAGGGCAATAGCACCACCACGGGGGTTCATCTTCTCATGCGGCAGGTTAAGCACCTCCTTGCAGTACTCTGCCATCGACGCGAACGCCTCGTTGACCTCGATGACATCGATGTCGTCGATGGAAAGCTTGTGCTGCTTCAACAGCTTGGGGATGGCAACAGATGGGCCAATACCCATGATGCGGGGTGCGAGTCCAGCAACGGTGGCGCCGACGAACTTAGCCACGATGGGCTGGCCGAGCCTGATGGCGGTCGAGCGCTTCATGAGAATGACAGCGGCGGCACCATCAGTCACCTGCGAGGAGTTGCCACCAGTCGACTTGTCACCAAACTGGGGGAACGCCGGGCGAATCTTAGACAGAGACTCAAAGGTGGTGCCGTAGCGGATACCCTCATCCTTTGACACAATGATCTTCTTCTCCTCTCCGGTCTTTGGGTCCTTGATGGTGGTCTCGATAGGGATGATCTCGTCGTCGAACCATCCAGCCTTTTGTGCCCTCTCGGCACGCTGGTAAGACTCCGCAGCATACCTGTCCTGTCTCTCACGAGTGATGTTGAAGTCCTTGCCGACATTCTCCGAGGTCTGGCCCATGGGCTGCATGCAGTCGGCGGCGTCCTGCGAGCCGGAGATGATATCAGCGTGGAAGGGCTTCATGGGGCCGTCGGTGACCTCAGACATGGACTCTGCGCCAATGGCAACACCGATCTCGATGGAGCCCTCGGCGATGGCATTGGCGATGTCCTGGGTGGCCTTGAGACCGGAGGAGCAGAAGCGATTTAGAGAGTATGCACCGGAAGTGTTGGGGATTCCGGCAGCGAGGGAAGCAGCACGGACGATATAAGCGGCCTTGCCATTGTTGACCTGGTGGATGTTAGATACAGAGTTTCACATGAGCCAGCACCGCTGGCTGACGAGCTTTCACAGGCTACAGTTGGGGAAGTGAACGTACGTTTCCGAGGCAGATATCCTCAATCAAGCTTGGGTCGAGTTTGCTTTGAGCGATAACCTTCTTCAACAGCGAGTACACCAGGAAGTCCAAGTTGGTGTCCTTGAAGCTTCCCTTGCCAGCCTTTCCAAGCGCTGTGCGAGCGGCGAGTGTGATCACAATATCATCAGCATTCTTAGATGTGCTGTTGTGCAATAATCAGCATCATGCCGTTGTTTCCGGGGAAGGCGGGGAATGTTCAGTAATCAAGTTGGGGTTTAAACTTACATCGTAGAGAGGCCAGAGCCTGGGGTGATGTGCTTGAGGATGTTGGTGAGGCGTTCAGTCATCTTGACGGATAATGATAATGCTTTAAAAATTACAGAGACTTTTGTGGTTTAAAGAGGGAATGAAGTTGGGGAATCTGGGGTTGGGGGGGGATTATATTATGTTTTTGGCCGAGCCGCCTTGGTGTTTTTGACCTCGGCATCTTCTGTGACCGGCCTTTTCCGCCACTAGTCGGCCTAAATTTGGAGAATCAGGCGGATGACGTAAGCATGCCGCGGTCTCGCCTCCACACTCCTCCGCAATGCGGGGTACACCTTGGAGGATACACCAAATCAATAAATGCTTTGAATTTATTGAATTTAACGCCATTTGTATCTACAACTACCTTCTATTCCTCATTTACTTGCCGTTTGTCTAATATAATGGTATCAACGCTATTCAACATGGAGAACATTACTCAAACCCAAAACTAGAATCAAACCCCAAACTCAAAACTCCAATCGACCCCACCAGCCAAGCAACTAACCAGAGCCCTCGATTCTCGACTCATGCTCGTCACCCGACGAGGAGCCTTCGACGGTCTCCGTCAGTCTCAGGGCGTCTCCGACATCATTGACATAGTGAGTTTCACCGCCTATCATCTCGACGATACGACTCCTCACCAGTAATTCCCACACCTCTCCCTCCGTAGGTCCTCTTGAAAACCACACTCGCACGCCTCGCTGCCTGTAGCCTTCCACTATCTCCACTAGAACCTGTGCTCCACTCCCATCCAAGCCCGTCACGCCGTGGATGTCGAAGATAATGTTCTTGTTATGGTACTCCTGGCGAACGCGTGGGAGGGCAGGATGTGCAGCTGTAGTCCCATAGAATTCCAGTCGCCTAAGGCGATTCTTCAAATCGCCAGTATTGGCAAACGTAAGAGGCTCTGGGATCTTTACAATCAGGCACCCTTCGATAAATTCCAAATCATCTGGGTGGGATTCTGCATTTTCAAAGTGGTTGGTGTGCGGTCGTCTGCCCAGAATCTGAATGCGAGGGCGGGTCGAGTGGCGGATTACGGACAAGAGCGAGAGACCAACTCCAATTGCAATACCGAAGGTAAGGGAGTAGAAGATTGTCGACAAGAAAATGATGGCCATGAGAGCAAGCTCCGGAAGCGCTCGGATACGCCAGAAGAATCTTATGTCGCTAGGGGCTTCTTCTATAAGACTCCAGGCGACGACAGTAATCATAGAAGACAAGACCGCTCTCTGCTTTTTGTTAGTACAATACTATTTTGCATGCTAGAATAATGGTAAGTTCGGGGAGAACTTACAGGTAGATAGTAGAAGTATGGCAAAAGAAACAGAATGCAGATAATAGTGATGAGGCTTAGAAAGATGCTGCTCATCGGAGTCTTCCCCCCAGTTGACGCATTGACTTTACTTCGCCCGTAGCCTCCAAAGCCTGGCAGGGACATGAAGCAGCCGCTAACCAGGTTTGCAAATCCCAACGCGATAAGCTCGCGGTTCGCGCTCAATTGGATGCCTTGAATTCCATCGCCTTTCTTACTCTCTCCACCGCCGAGTGCCTTCGCCGCCACTGTAGATTCAAAGAACCCGAGAAGAGCGATCACAAAGGTCGTCCCAAAAGAATCACGAATGTGTTTCATATTCGAGGTCCGGAAAGGCCAGCGGAATGGGAAAGAGTTCCCGCCAGCTGCAGACTTAATGTCGCCAAGAACTTTGAGGCCGCGTTGGTCCCAGCCAAATTGATAACAGAGGACGGCAGAGAGAACCACGACAAGGAAGCGGTCCGGGATATATGCGACATTAGGGTACCGAGGTTGAAGTCGTCTCTTGATTTCCCTATAATAGTATCAGCAATTGGACGTTTACTTGTTAGTACGTCTAAACATACCTGCATATCATGATGATAAGAAAGCTCCCACCCGCAACAGCACATGTTAGCTTATGTGCGTCGTTAAAATGCGAAAACAGGAATCCCAGCTTCTCGACACTGCTTCCATGCGTCACTCCAGCTTCCTTCGCAATCCTCCCAAGGCCCATCTCCTCAACCAATTGGTCAATCAAGATAATGAAGCCAACTGATGAGATGAAGCCGCGCATGAAAGGGCGACTAAGCACATTCTCCAAAAAGCCCAGTCTAGTCATGCCAGCGATAAAAATTATTGCACCAGCCAGACCCGTCACCAAGCCAGCCACCTGCGCCTGCGCCACGCCATCTTCATGCCCGACGTCCGTGGTAGAGCTCACAATGGAGCCAACGAGGAGCGAACCAGCGGCCTCGGGCCCTACTACCATTTGCGGGCAGCTGCCGAGGAATGCGTATATCAGAGGGGTGAAGACGAAGGAGTAGAGGCCATTGATCGGGGGCACATGGGCCAAGTTAGCGGCTAACGAGAGTGCCATCGGGATGTAAAACGATGCCACAGTGATTGCAGCGATAAGATCTCCGCGCACGTACGCCCACTTATATTGCTGTATCCAAGCAAAAAATGGGACATAATATGTCACGTACCTATGGAGGGTATGTTAGCAAAATCGCCATATAATTACTCGCGACCCTCTACTATGAAAGTGACCAGGAAGTGAGGGGGAAGACATACATAGTTTTGTTCAGTGTTAACCCATGCTCTTCTGCTAGCCTTGCAGTTGTATTCCTCTTTGCATTATTCGACGGTGCAATTCCCGCTGCAACACTACGAAAGAAGCCTCTGTCTCTAGCGGAGTCTGTTGTCTCTTGGCTTTTAATGCTTGCTGGTCTGCTTATCATATTAGGGCTAAAAGTCCCATGGTCGCAAGGCCCTTCATGTGCCCGTTCTGATGAAATCTCTAGTGGTCTCTGTAGCAATGGTGTGGACTCTCGTGAAACATCTCGAGCCAGCTTTGGAGGGCGACCGAGCCAGTTTCTCGGCTCTCTGGAGTGCGACGGGCTAGATTGGCTTTGAACTTCTGGGGAACTGGAGGCGGTATCTTTGTCTTTTGTCTGCGGGCCGGTCTGTCCAGCGGTAGGGGTGGTGGTACTAGGAGGGGATTGGTCGTTGCTGTTGTTATCGCTGTTGCCGTCAACACCGCCAATGCCATCGCCCGGCTTACTCACTCCCTGGTCTGGCGACGAAGAGAGCGTATGCGCTTCACGCAGTTGGCTTGGACGCGCTGGCGCATGAAGATTTGGGGTTTGGGTTCTAATTGAGGGCGAAGGAGACTGATCAGGTCGTGGAGTTGCCGGATCTGGGCTGCTGGGCCCTGGTGGTGTAGGTGCCATGTTCGAAGAGTATTAGCTGAACGACATGTGCTGTGTGACGGTAACGCAGTGATAAGATGCAACAACTCGAGCCATGAAGCAAGTAACGGTAGCTAGCAAAACGCAGATGTGTGAAGAGAGTTGTAGAATATGTCAGCACGAAATAATATCTCGTAGGTACGTAGCCAGTAGCCAAACGTTAGGACGGATACAAGGCAAGCGGGGTCTAGGTCACCCCCAAGGTTGGCGCGGTGTTTTATTTGCGGAGCCAAGTCCCTGGATTATGTCATGGCATTGTTTTCACATCCAGCTGCCAACGCTTGGCTCCATACGTGATTCCGATAAATATTTATACAGTAATGCCAACTAGAAAGATCACGATGTTGTGGTCAATACTAGGTCCTCGCATACTTTGGCAGAAAAACAAATTAAATAAGCCATTTTTAAGTAAGTCTTGGTCGAAATCTAGGGACGTGGCGACTAGTGGCGAATATTCTTTACAACCAAATATAGATACACAATACATATATACATAAATATAGATAATTTTTGATTTTTAGTTTGAACCCCAAAATAAAACAAAAGCTAGTATGCTTGCTGCTGTTCATGCAAACAAAATATGAATGCGCTATAACTAAAACCGTCCCATGATATATACACCGCCGGGCTTACAACGACAACAAATCCCCATTAGCCCCTTGTCCACTAACAGGCGCATACATCTGTTGCGGCTGGTTCTGGTTCACCACATAGCCCATATTGTGGGTCCCTTGTGTTGGGCTGCCGCCGAACCCCTCGTCGCCATCATTGACGTTCATAGCAGCCATCTGGCGGTTCCCAACCCCCGCAAAGAACTCATCTGCGGCACTAACTGCAGCAGCAAGGTTGTTGTTATTCGCGGCATTCCCGTTCATGATATTGCGTACAGCGGCATCGGCGGGTCGAACCTCCATCCCTAGACTTGAAAGAGTCTTTTGAGAATCCGGTCCGAAGCCGTTTGTGTATCCTGGCAGCGTGTTCTTTTGGAGGGCTGGGCTTTCTGCCAGGCGACGAGGCCTTGCGGTTCGGAATACCTGCTGAACAGGCTTCAGGTATACTGTAGCTAGTGTGCCTACCACGAGACACATTTCCTCTAACGTCTGTGGGTCTAGTTTCTCACTTTCGGCCGTGATGGGTGGTTTCTCGCCCATAACAATTTCTTTTGCAGCTGCCATATCCGAGGACAGGAGGCGCCAGTACATATAACCTCTATCTCTTAGATCTGGGTTATCAGTGTCCTCGGTCGCCCACTTAAGCACCTTCGGCACGAGATCTTGGCCCTTTGTAGGGCGCTGGATGAACAGCTTCACTGTCGCAGTGAGGAGGGCAAGTTGAACTTCAACTGGCTCGTCCGCGAAGGTGTCTAGGAAGTCTTCCAGAAGAGTATCCGAATTTTCGATTCGTGCCGCGTACTGGCCAATAATCCAAATCATAGCAGCCTTTGCTTCGGGCTCGTCCAAAGAGTCCAAGTTCTCGCAGAGTGTGGATATTATGGATTCGTATTGATCCGGATATTTACGGAAGATGTTGCGAATGACCACAGTGGCCTCCTGAACGATATATGTGACTTTAGTCGCGACAAGCTCGAGAAGGGTGTTTATGCATTGCTTTGCGGCGGGTTCGATCTTGATAGCCAATTTTCCGATAGCTCGCACTGATTTCCGTACAAAGTGAACGTCGATCTCAGTCGCATATTCTCGAAGTTCCGTCAAAACCTCTCTGATGTTCTTTTCGTTTGCAAGCATGAAGATTAATTCCAATTTCGTAACTTTGACATAGATAGGGTCGTTATATTTGCAGAAGAAGACTCGGATGTCATTTCTGAGAACTTCCGGCCGCCGTTGCAAAATAAGGAGTGCATTTCGTAGAGCTAGATATTGGATCTCTGGACCCTTGGCCAGAAGAGTCACCAGAGGGGGCGAAAGCTTGCGGCACAGAGCCGTTATTTGTTTGTCGTCCTTAATATAGTTCATAAGGTACAGAATTACCCTTATGCAAGTGAGCACAACGGCAGAGTTCGAATGCGACAGCCTAGGGGCGATCCTCTCCGCAAGGAGCAAAGCCTCAGAGCTCTCCTGAGGCACATACGACATTAATGCCTCCAGAATATATGTCTGGCCCCATCTGTTGTCATTGTTAGCTTTGTGAGGCGAAAGGGTAGCGGGGTAACATACTCTGAGCAATCCGGGAGGATTTGGACCATCTTTGATGCATTACCATAGTCTATGGTAAGCTTAATCGCATCACTTCGCTCCCATATGTCCATGAGACTGGCTAACGCACTCGCAACTACGGTGGGGTTGTCGTCTCTAAGCATAGAGTTCAGCCTCTCGATGAGATCTGATCTCTCAACCAAGTCTTTGTCATGATCGTATAGCTTAGCCACGCAAAACGCAGCTGTCTTTCGCACATATGGGTCCGAGTCTTTCAACAAATGTTTGACGTGCGGAACTGTTCCTTCCACAAACTCCCTGACATGTATATACGACATTGTTCGAAGTGCCAGCGCTCTGACTAGAGGGTTCGAATCTTTCATATCCTGTGTCAAGTCAGTAAATCGGGGCGGAATATCTCTCCAAGAATCTAACTTACACCCTCGAGCGTCGGAAGGGCCTTGACTGCAGTCTCCGGCTTCATTCTGGCATAGTTGACGAGGAACAAGAAGCACCTATATCTCTGTTAGCATCGTCACAACCCTGCGAAGCCCCGGCATGTGTATCTCCCAGTTGCACATACATCTTCTTTATCTCCAAGCTCTGTATATCCATACACGCAACCACATCTGGGAAGAGGGCCACCATATCATTATTGCTCATCGTCATATTTGCCACGATCTTTTTCAGCGCGATCTTCTTCGCCGAGTGATTCTTGTCCTTCTTTCCCCCAAAGTTGAGCTCCTGTCGCAGCTCCGCCACCTTGCCCTGTCGAGTTTTGGGTAAGTTATATGTATGCAAGTAAAGCGCAGGGGCAAACATCGCCATGGTTGAGACTGATCAGAGATTCTCTGGACAGTGTGTGGTTCGTGGCGCATCGTGCGGCGAAGTGTCCCAAGGCATTTGATGACAATATCGAATCCGAGAGCGATGCGCTCGAGAAATATCAAACGAGGAATGGAATGGAACATGAATGGAATAATAAAGACGTACTCTAGCAAAGAGCTTGGCATCTCCCCCGCCTGAACTCATCTTGCCTTGGTCTTCTGGTCAGTGACCAAAGTGTGTCTGTTACCCCTCCACAAGCAACCAACGGGGAGCGTTGGCGCGCAACCGGCAACTCGCAGCAAGTCACTCGCTCGCTCGCCTCGTTAGTACAGGTCGTGAGGCGCAATTATCTAGTCATCGCTCCAATCCGCGCATTCAAAGCCGTGTATCGAAAATAAATATAGAGATCGTGTTGTAGGAGTGTGGATAGGGGATATTGTCCGTTGTCGTTATGGCCGGTGCTGACTACGTCTAATAATCCAATCCGCAAGCGCGCGACGATACGGCCTGAGCTCATTCCTACCTTAGCGGGACCTCGACAGGCGCGCGGCCCACCGACGACATACGTACAGTCCAGCCCAGAACACTTCACATTAAGGCCATCAACCAGCCAACATGTCTCAACCCATGGCCCCGCCTCCACCTCCCCCGCAATGGGTTATCGACCTCAATAGCCCTCCTATCTCGAAGCCAAAGTCCTCAGCTATCCCGGATCCACCGGGATTTACAGGGGCTCCTACCAGCGGATCAAAAGTCAGCCTCGTCCACCCCAGAGCTCAATTGCCATTTCAAGAATCAAATCTAATGTGTACTAGAAGCAACAACTTGCGGCAGGCAAGAATGCGCGCAAACCACCTACGACAGAAGAAACAGACACGCTTAAGCTGAAGAAGGCATGGGAGGTCGCGTTGGCACCAGTGAAGCAGATCCCCATGACTGGCTTCATGATGTATATGTCGGGCAATGGGCTTCAAATATTCTCGATTATGATGGTTGTGATGGCATTTAAGAACCCCTTGATGGGACTACTGGCGACAAATTCGGCGTTCCAACGGTTCGAAAGCGAGGGAACAGCGCAGAAGTTGATGTTGGTGAAGGCGGCATATGTGGCAATGCAGATAGCATCGTTTGGCTTGGGAATCTGGAAAGTAAACCAGATGGGGTTGTTACCGTACGTATTATGCTCCATGGGGATACGAAGCACTGTGGACTACATGAACTGACGTGGCTTATAGGACGACGAGATCAGATTGGCTGGCATGGGAGAGCGCGAGGGAACCATTGGAATACGCCATACCAGCGTTTTAATAGGTGTATTATATTATGTCAAACTTAAATTACCCGTTCGTTCGAAGTGATCCACCGCTATAGTATGGCTCTATCCGTCGAGATAATACACCGAACTCATTCCGAAGCATCATTTATCTGATGGACCTTCCATGATGAAATGTGTACAACAAACAAACTGGCGCAAGGATTGTAAAACCACAGTGGCCCCATGACTGATCATAAATACGTTGATTCATTTCATTTAGTTGGCATAATTACTATTACCTTTACAACTTGCTTCCGGTATCCTTCTTAATCCTGATTATCAACTTGCCAAACTGCTTTCCTTGCTTCATCTCCTGGAACAGCTCTTCCACGCCCTTCAAGTTATCCAACCCATCCACCACCCTCGACACGACAGGCACAATCTTCTTCTCGTTGACGAATCTCACCATCTCCCTGAACTCCACTCTTGAACCCATAGTCGATCCCTTGAGGTCGATATTCTTCAACACAGCCGACATGGGGAAATCGATCTTCGGCCCCAGCGTCATACCATAAGACACAACCACACCCCCCTGCTTCACCAACCTAACACTCCTCTTCATGATATCTCCTCCCGCCCCATCAATAATCGCATCAATCCACTTCCTCTCCTCCGGCAACATGGCCAATAACTCCTTATCCCACGCCGCGCCCTTATAGCTCACTCCCCCCTTCGCGCCCAACGCCACCGCCTTCTTAATCTTCCCTTCATCCCCACTCGTAACCCAGACATTACACCCCTTCGCCACAGCAAACTGCAGCGCATTAAGCGCCACACCGCCACCGATGCCAGTAACCAGGATATTCCTCCCCTCAATCGCCTCTCCCGACTTCGTCACCAGCGCCCTCCACGCAGTCAACCCAGTGAGCGGCAGTGCCGCAGCCTGCGCATCATTGAGATGCTCCGGTGCGAGTTCCACCTCTGTCTCGGGTAAAACCACGACCTCCTGCGCTGTGCCAACCTCGTTCAATGTCGTTCCCCCCAGGATCCCAATGAAAGTCTCCGGGCCGCTGACCTGGGATTCCCAGCCATGGGCGGGAGTGAGAATAACCCGCTTTCCATTGAGTTTGGAGGAGCCGGAGGTGACTACTCCGCAGCCGTCGGCGAGGAGGGGGGTCGTGAAGGAGATGGCGGGGTAGAGCGATTGGCGGATGAAGAGGTCGCGGTGGTTGAGGGCGGCGGTCAAGATCGATACTTGGATTTCTCCCTGTGCTGGAGTGCGCTTCTCTACATTGGCTAATTTAAGTCTGGAGAAGGCGCGTTAGTTGTGGTTGGGGGGGGTTGTGTTGGGTGGTTCTCACGGGTGGTAGACAACGCCTGGTTTCCCCTCCGCCTTGGTGATGCTGAGTGCGAGAGGCATTGTGAGTTACTATATTGTTTCGATATATGTATATTATTAGAGCAAAATTATACAATCTGCTGGCTCAATGGGTTACTAGGTCTATTATATTATATTTCGCGGATTAGTGAGCGAGCCCCCGCATTACACTACCGAGGTCAATGACGGCATTGGGGGGATGGTAGCCGTAAATCACCACAGGGCACAGTATTATACCGGGCCGCGAGTATGGAGTAAAGGAAGGCACCCATTACTGTACGTATTCTACCGACTTTATACCGAACTCCAACGGAGGTTTATTTTAATTGATATTTGCAATTAATGGATCACATGTGAATATGCCTGGCATACATCTTCAGGCACGGTGGCATAGAGGATGAAGATTATTAGAAATTAGGTTGGTTGATAAGGCGCATTCACTCATTGCAAATGGTGTGCAGTTCTAACATGATCACCGGGATGCCATCTGAACGGATATGACAGTAAATCTCAACAGTCGTAGTGTACAATAATTCATTATTACTCATAATACAGATACAGCTACTCTAACAGACGAAACAACCCGCTCCATCCCTGTGATGACGCTTCTTAACTAGTACTCGATATGCAGTAGGCCATGGTATTGATACATTTGCATCACAGTCAAATAATAACACACAGAACGATCACTTACGACCCTTCTTCTTGTTGGGCACAACCTTGAACCCAGACGCGACTGGTTCCTCCACCTTGGCTGGCCCCTTCTTGGCTACCTCGCTCCACCCACCGGCAGACGCACTTCCCGACCCTGCGGTAGAGAAGCCCGTCGACCCGGCACCGGCGCTCTCAACAATGCCCTTCTCGGCCTGCTTCTTGCGGCGGAGGAACTCGTCTGCGAAGCGGCGACCATCCATAAGTTGGGAGTTGGCGTAGACGCTATCAGCGATGACACCTGGCTCGCCTGGGAACTCGCAGAGCATTTGAACAAAGTTGTCAACTGTGAAGAAGTTAGTATTATATATTGGGAAAAGGATTATGCATTGATCTTACCATTGATATCAGTGTTGAGCCCCTTGGCAAGCGCCGCATTGGCCCACTTGGTGAACTCCTGTTGGGCAGTGGATACTCCACCTTGGCTTGAAAGCGCTGCGGAGCTAGTGTTGGCTCGGTTCTCAATGACAGCTGGTCTAGCCACCTTGGCAAGTGTTGGTCCGGCAGTAGAACTGGCCGGGCGCATCACAGGAGATGGAGCAGCGACGACGGGACCTCCAGGCATCTTGACTTTTCCACCAGCGCCAACCGTAGACCAAGCAGAGTTCATTGCTGGCTGTCCAGCAGTGGGCTTGCTTGCAAGCTCTGCATAGCGCTTTCCGCCGGAAGGTAAGGCTGGGGCGGCCGCAACGGCAGCTGCGGCAAGCTTCTGCTTTCTAAGTTCCTCCTCTCTTTGGATATCGGCAAGGGTCTTCTTGCTGGCAGTGGCTGCAGGCACTGGGTTCTGCACCTTGGTAGTGGTAGCCTTAGACCAAGTGGAAGTGGCAGTAACGGCAGGGCCGACTGGCGAGGCACTGCTGGCCCAGGTAGAGGTGGTTGGTAGCCCGTGAGCAACGGCGGTTGGCTGAGCACGAAGCTCCTGCTCCAGGAGAGCACGGCGAGCTGCAGCGGCAGATTCCTCTAGCTTGGCGGCCTTCTTAGCTTCAGCCTCTTGGATTTCCTTCAACGAAGGGCCTTTTGGAGCATCAACTGGCTCCTTAGCCCACGGGGCGATAGATGGCGGAGCAGCTGAAGTATCAGGTGTCTCAGATCTAGACCTAGTTCCCGCGTGGAGAGTCTCGGGAAGGTTGGATCGGCCGCGCTGAGCAGCGGGGGCAGGGAGAGGAGTCGTTGACTGCGGTGGTGGCGGGAATGGCATTGGCAGGCCACTGGAAACCTTCGCCCATGGAGACTCTGGCTGAGGAGTCTGCTTTGCTGAAGCAGCCTTTTGAATCTGCTCAGTAAGCGACAAAACCTCCTCCTGGTCCTTACGCTCTACCAAAACTTCGGTCTCAGTGGTAACGGTTTCCGTGCGGGACTGTTGACGGTTCTGGGGTGGGCGGATTGGCTCAGTGGTCGCAGGCGCAGGCGCATGCTCGGCCTGCTCCATATCATGTTGGGCTCGGAGCTGCTCAAACTCTTGGAGGCGTGCCCGGAATCCTTGGGGATCATTTTCGGAATGCGCCTGATGCTGAGATGCGGCCGCCTGTGCTTGAGATTGCTGCGAGAATATAGCAGGCAATTGAGTGCGGGATGCTTGCGTGGCGCCAGTTGGGGCACCAAAAGTCTGCTGGCGGTCCTGTAGGCTTAGTCTCGCAACCTCATCTTCGCGAAAAAAGTCAGGTGGTAGGTTTGAACCAGTAGTAGGTGCTGGGCGAGCACTGGCGTCAAAGAAGCTGGAGCCGCTAGTTGGAATCTGCTGCTGTGGCATGATAGGGCCAATCGGAGAGGTAATGCTGCCAAAGCTGGGCTGGCTCTGCAAGCTATGGGCGCTGGAATGGTGGTGCAGAGCCGATGGGAGGCCTCCTGGCATCTGCATCTGCTTCATGTTGACCTGCTGCTGTGCAAGGAACTCCCTTTGGCGCGCCATGAGGTATTGTTCCTCTTGCTTGCGGCGCTCGAGGTTGTTCTGCTGCTCCGCTGTCAAAGTTGTACCGAAGCTTGGGAAAGCCCCGGCAAACGGAGGCTGGACAGCTCCGGGTTGAGGACCGGGCGCACCAGTCGTAGCAGTGGGCGCAAATGGAGCTCCAGACTGAGCAGTAACAGGACCGTAAGGGATACCAATCTGGGGTACCAGGAATGGCTCACGAGAGTTCCCAATTCTTCTAATAAGTTGACCAAGAGGTTCAAACTCAACGTCTTCAAGTTTCTTGACAGACAAATCCGGCGTGAAGAACGATGCTTTGTACCAGTCGTGCATTTCCAATCCAGACCAAGGGCCTTGCGTCTGTCCTTGAGGGTCAAGATAGACCCAGCGCATGCGATCGGGCATCACCATAGTGCGCTGCTGAGTCTGTGGAAGGTTGCCAGGGGTCGGTGTCTGCTCTGCCGAGGTCTGACCTTGCTGATAAGCTTGACCTGGAGTCTGCGAAGTTGATGGCGGTTGGGAACCAGAAGCGGTTTGGGGCTGAGCTCCTTCAGTAGGAGGGTGCTGGCCTTGACGGAAATCAGATGCCTGGAACAGATCATCAAATACTCCTCTTCCGGATCTCAAGGGACTGTCGGTCTCTCTTGGAGGGCCAAATGCATTTCTGCCAATGGCCCCGAAGTTGCTCATTTGACGCTGATCCTCCCCTTGGTGATCAGCCTCAGTGGTGTGCATCTGCGCCTGCATCGCCGCCGGGAAAAGCGACCCAAGCTTGCTACCGCGACCAATCGTGTTTGACCCAGAAAGACCGCCCGATACAGGCCCCAGGTTCCCCAAACCACCCAAGCTGGGAGATTGCATGTCGCCCATGGGCCCGAAAATTGAGTTGCCAAACGCGCCTTGGAATGACCGCTCCCGGTCAGGGGTGCCAATAGGATTGGCGCTTGTTGGCCAACCTCCAAGTCCACCCAAACCACCAGCGCCAAGAGACGGGAATCCCTTGCTGCCTGTGGCGCTGGAAGTCTGGCTGCGGTCACTTCCATCGAAAGGCGCGTTGGGGAAGCCTCTAGCAAGCCCCCCAAATGGATTGGAAGCCTGTTCCCCAACCCCACCTAAGCCATGAGGACGAGCTTGGTGCATGGGGTTGCTTCCAATACTGGCCTCGTCCTCTTCGCGCTGGGCCCGCTCATCCGGTGGGCTGGCGTAAGGGTTGGTTTCCGTCGGGCTTTCCAACCCACGATGCCCTCCAAGGCGTTCATGGGGAGTGTGGATTCCATGGCCATGCATCCCATCCCGGAACCCTGGGGCATCCGACATCCCAAGGTCGCCTGAAGCCTGGCGACTAGGAGTATCAAGTCCAGGGGCCCGACGGTTTTGGCTTAACGGAGGGCTGATATCCTGGCCTCCCAGAGCCGCACTTCCCGGTCTGATCGATTCATCATCAAATGGATCGGTATCAGTACGAGCTCTTGCCCTCCACGACTTAGCGGCATCAGATCGAAGGCTCTCGCCTTTAGACGATAGCTCCTCGGAGCTTTCCTTCGGCATCAGGTGGGCAAGTCTACTCTCGCCTCTCCCAAACGCCGGGCGCTTCTCGCCAGGAGTCGCTGGAGGGTTCGAACCGGACGGAAGCGCAAAGCTTCCAAAGCTTCCCATAGTAGACATATTGGCACCGGAAGTTGGAGCTCCCCACGGGGAAGCAGGCCCATTGCCAAGGCCGCTTCCAGCAGTGTTGCTGCGGGACACTCCACCAAACGGAAGAGACGTCTGGCCGTGCTTCACTCCGTCATCACGATCGTCTGCCTGGAACGAATCTTTATCACCCGCCTTCCGGTTGAAAAATGGCGATGGTTCGTCTCGGTTAAATCTGCTCATGGTTGCGGGTGACGTGAGCGAGATGTAGCCAACAGATTCGCCGGTCTCCCTACGTCGAGTTCCGGGTCGACCAGGCGTAGGGGGTGTAACTCCGAAAGGCCCAGCTGCTCCTCCCTGACCGTGAGAGACGGATGTTTTCCGTCCGTTCGTAGCTCCCCCAGGTGTCCCTTGCTCCTTGGTATTCTGCGAAAGTGGCTTAAGTGGCGAGTTGACGTCGTTGGTGAAAATCTAGAAAATCGTCAGATGGAGGTCTACACACATCCATCGCCGGTACTTACAGATCTTTCCACGTCCGACATATCTTGAAGGCCAATAGGTTGCACCTCGCCACTTTGATCCCAACAGATTTCGGGTCCGTGATTATGGTCCCTAGTATCGTTCGACTTCCCCCAACCTCTTGCACCCGAGCTATTCTGCTGTTCGGGATTCCAGTTATTCACAAATAATCTCGCGACGTCGTCGTTAGAACTAACCGAAGACTGGTGCGCTTTGTAGATATCAAGAATCGCGTCTTTCGAATATCGCGTGTCAACTGGCGCTTCGCTTCCTGGGTTGTTGGTATATTGAGTGAAGAATGAATCCGACGCTGATGATGTGGTTGATTGCTCGACTTGCGGCACAGCTTGTCCGGGGACAGCGTTAGGGTTCGTAGAGGATCGACGGAGCGTCAAAGTGCCGTTTGAGGATCGAGCTTCCTTCCTGGCCCTAATACAAAAGTCAGTTACACCCTGCAAGGGTCTTCACCAACGCGGCGCATAGATGGGGAGTGTATTAATGAGCAGTGCCAGTATCGCATGTGATATATAGCCAGTAGAGTAGTGCAATAGTTGCGCTCCAAATGCTAATAACAATCTCCCGCATCCATCGAGATCGCTCGCGTGAGGGGCAAAGATCGCGTATAACGTACCAGTCGCCGCCTCCTCGCGGTTCGTTTCTGCCACTTGGTCGTGTGTCGCGGGATGATTGACCTGCCGCAGCAGATGCGAAGCTCGAGGGCAAATGTGAAGGCATTGCTGGTTGTTTGGGATATGGTACGAGAGCTATTGCTGAAGTACCAAAGGTGGTGACGGTATCGTCTTTAAGATGTAAAAGTGTAGGATATGCGCTGTTAAAAACACAAAAACAAGGAGGCCTTTCGTAGTAGGAAGATTGAGATTGGGAGTCTCTGAAGACGGTGGAGAAATTGTTGTTGGGGATCGATTAAGTTGTTTGATTGTCAATGCTGTGCTGCTGTGCTCCAAGTATATGCTGATGTTCAAAATGAAGGCGAAGAAAGTGTGTATTGGTGGTAGAAAAGAAGCGCTAAATGGGCTTAGCGCGATCTGGCGCATCCGGAGGTTGGTAGGTTGGTGGTCAGGAACGCGGCGTCGGGAGACGAGTCGACGCCAATCCGTTTTTGGCGAAATGTCAGATGCATAAAGAGAGGGAGGAGGCGAATAGTTTGTGACTGTTGGTTTCTACCGATTTGTCGATGGATCTGGATCAACAAAGTTACATCATACAGTTACAATAACCATATATACGCAATATACATTTTATTTATTCTATATCTACGATATGGATGGTTCCGTTCGTATGGAACGGAACGTGTTGATTCACCGACAACAACTGAGTTGGCCACACATGTAGGTCGCCATATACTCCGTCCCATTATGTTCCCTCTCCGCTCGCCTTCTTGCAGGCTGATCCCGTCGTCCAATTTAACCCCCAAAAATTGGCCGACTTCTCTTGAAATCTCCGTTTTCTCTGTCGGCACATGCGCTGGATACTATTGTCCTCCATGTTGCCATTTCTCTGGCAGCAGATTCTTTCATTTCCTCATCACATTGACAGGTGGCGGGACCTTGGCAGCTGCGCCTGGAGTGGTACAGAGAGGCATATTTCATTTTCATGTATTTGGTTTGCTCCCTCGGGGATCATGTCGGCTTACTGCCACGATGCCCCATGGACCGAAAGCGCACTATTGTTTGGTTGTGTATATTTGGTGAGACGGAGCAAAGATCAGCTGCTTGTGATTGCTCCGATACTGTTCGGTTCTATATATTATTTTGATCTCTTTCCCCCAGGCAAACGCTCTTCTTTCTCTTCCTAAATCCCAAAAGGCGCGAATGCGAGGGAGTCGATTTCGTCGTATCTTTCCTGTTGGCAATATTGAGGCCGTTTAGGATTCGAGATTTACTCCTGAAGCCCTGAGCTCTTTCTCGAACGCCTCATTTATTGGGCCACACCTGAGTTGCATATGCTGTGCGATCATACTCACTCTGCAGCTGCATATCCGAAAAATGGTCGACTATAGACGATATTTGGACTGTACGGTATCCCGACCTGAATCAGACTCTACCTACTAATCCAAAATAGACCCTGGTGGTAGAATCGTATACGACATGATGGCCAACAGAAGCCCGGGGTGGCGAGATAGACATTTACGTGCAGAGATTCTTCCTCCGGGATGGAAGATGGGAATATCTAGGCTTGGCCGCACCCCATTCTACGATCCGCTCATTGTTCAAGAGCCAGTCGAGCGCCTACCCATCCTCCCAAGGCGAACTATTAGCCCACGATACCAAGCTACAGATCCATGTTACGATGACCTCGATCAACTGAATCCACGGCTCTATCCAGAGCATGCCGACCTTGTCCAGCGCCAAGGGCCTGGTTCTGCCGGAGGTTACAACGGCCGATTTGACGACCGTGTCAGAGATGAGATTTACCTAGATTCAGATGATGACTATCCACCGCCCAGAACTGGCCGGGTACGGAGACCTCTACCTGAGAGGGTGCACGAAGATATCGTGGCTGGGCCACGATTAACCTCTCACGATTTGGACGTTGTACATCATAATCCCCATCTTCAACATATGCGAGATGAATTGAGGCAACAATCGCTGAGGCCAATCCTCCATGACCGCCCTCACCACTTTCATGGACACCATCATAGCCACCGTCCGCCCCACCACCACCCCCGCGGTCGTCGACGCGTTCACTTCGCAGATGACTTGGACGACGACCTTGACTGGAGGAACCCCTTCGAACGACGCAGGATGCCATATCGCTTCATCGAAGAAGAACTGGACTTTCCCTACGACGAGATATTTTACTCGGATGATGAGATCGATCTACATCGTAGATACGCTGCCCATGAGAGGCTGCTCATGGCACCGAGGGAGAGAGGGTCAAGGGAGCGCTGGTGGGAATTAGATGACGATTAGAGCCCTCATATGTCAGCGAAGGGATGGTTTACTGTTCTGCTACATCTGCATAATGACGAGGGAGAGGAGCGATTGCTTTCATTGTATCTGAATCGTCTGCATGCCCACTTATGATGTTCTTGGCTAGTTTGTTGCATATATTCTATAGAATGGCATTATGCAAGAGTATCTCGCCAGTTGTCAGACCACAGACTGATGCATCACATTCACCACCAAAGTAGTCATACAATACCACTTCTCGGCTTTCGAGGCTCCATCTCTCCCGTGTCCATGCCGGATATCCGTCACAAGCCCACTCTCACGTAGGCCAAGTGGCTGCCAACGCGCCTAATTGCCGTATAGGGCCCAACCAACACGGCGGCAAAAGGGCACTAGATATTGGCTTTTAGAATGACGGTCCAGGGCCAGGTGATGCGTGTAATAACAATAGAAACAGCTCAGCCTCTCGGGTCAAGCCGATTCATAGTAGTGGCGTAGGAGGAGTCGTAGTTCGTATATGGGTGCACACGAAGTGAATGTGTGGCTGAAGACACGCTATTATGAAATTCGAGGCTGTGCAGTCCGAGCTCCCCACCACCAACAACAGAATCATTGGGCTGTGGCTCACCCCTGCTCCCCCACGACAATCCTTAACCCCTCCAGGTAGATTCACTCGCGGGGCGGGAGGCCCCTCCACATGAAGCCCTGGTGCGTAAGCAATCTCAGCCCTCTGAGGTAAGTATATCTCTCATCCTTCATCTCCCGTTCACTCACACCTATAAATCATCCTCCTCCCCATCCTCATCATCGCCTCCATCAAGCAAACTCCATCCAAACCACAACCTACGTCTCCCTTCCTCAACCTACCGACCTAAGCAACAAAATGTCAAGCAACGACTACTACGGAGGCGGCGGCGGCGGCTACAACCAGCAACAGAACTACGGCGCTCCTCCCCAGGGACAAGGCGGCTATCCTCCACAGCAACAACAATACCCTCCCCAGCAACAAGGAGGCTACCCCCCTCAACACCAAGACCAATACGGCCAACAGCAACAACAAGGCTACAACCAGCACGGCGGCGCACCCCAAGGCTACCCTCCCCAGGGCCAGTACCCGCCCCAGCACCAAGGCGGCTACGACAACCGCGGCGACCCAAACTCCCAGCAACAACACGGTTACCAGCAACAGGGCGGCTACCCGCCTCAGGGACACCAGCAGCAGGGCCAGTACGGCGCTCCTGGTCAAGCCTATCCGGGTGGCGGACAGGAGGGTGACAGAGGTCTGGGAGCTACGCTGATCGGCAGTGCCGGAGGTGGATTCTTGGGACACCAGATGGGTGGAGGTATGCTCGGAACGGTTCTCGGTGGAGTTGCGGGAGCAGTTGGAGCGAATGTCCTGGAGGGCAAGCACAAGAAGAAGAAGAAGGAGAAGAAGGACAAGAAGCACAGGAAGAGGGGTGGGTCGAGCAGCAGCTCCAGCTCGGACTCCGACTAAATGTTGGGGGTGTCGCGAGATACTCCCAGGGGATGGGATCGGTTTAGTTAAGGGTATGAGGGGTGGATTTCTGTTGGCGCACTAAGGTGGTTGAGTGCTACGAACTGTTATGCTTGGCCTATGGCACTTTTGATGTTTTTTATGAATGGGCTTTTTCTAGCTGGCTGTATCTATTCGTTGAGTGCGAGCGGAGATTTCTAATGCAGGACAATAGAGATAGCTTAGAGTGAAAGCTACAGCTGCCTCAGCTTTCTTTTGAACAATTGACGAAGAGCGTTTAGGGTTGTCCATAGCTCTATTTATTAAATTACCCGCAAGTTCCTGTCAATACATGCGTTTATTCTAAGTGAACCGTCTACCCCGGTGCTAAAAGTCAATAGATCAGCGCCACAAAATTACTATCAATGTAGGTGTCCTGCATGCTAAGAAAATGCCAATATTTTATCCTACGGATGACGCACAAAGCCCCTCACAAACACATAGCTCTTGGCGTGGGTTTATCTTCGCAGAATGAGAGTCCTAACTATTCGCATCCGTACATGCATAGGCTATATAGGGCAGGCGGGGCATGGCTGGCATCCTGGCACCATGATTTGCGGTAATTTATTCCTCCGATTTATCATCTTCTTACGGCTTCATATTATACATCCGTTGATCGGCCTGCACGGTAGGGACCTTGTTGTTTATATATATGTGCATCTTCTCATCTTATTTAATATCTGCAGCATGTTCTTCGATTTTTTTTGTCGCCCTCCCATCGTATCTATCGCCCAAAGGCACTGTTTGCGATGCTCAACCATATGTATGAAATCACGAGCGACTTGACGGATAATCGACCCCGCCAAAGACTCAAGGATCCTGATGAGAAACCTAAGTTTGAGAACCTCGGCTCTGTGAACGGCTCAACCACAGCCCGAGATACCCAAACTGGTTCATGCAAAAGCAGAGGCGCCGTCCTACTCGCTTGGGCGGATATCGAGCCATGGCGACAATACAACCGCTTTATTATTCGCAGCTACAGGCCCGCAAGCAACTCCTATCTGAAGTCTATTAGCAGTCTTGGGTACATCCATGACCAGACCGTTAACATCTATAGCCATCTGCTAGGTGCCGTGGGGTTTGTAGCTGCCGGCTGTGTGCTCTATTCTATAATTTCCCCTCGGTATCATTCCGCAACATGGGTGGACGTTGCGGTATTCGGCGCCTTCGCCATGGGCCTATTCATGTGCCTAACATTATCCGCTGCATTCCACACATTCAATAATCATTCAAGTATCGTGTATGATTACTTCTTCATGCTCGACATGCTCGGCATCAGTTTCCTCATAATGGGCTCCTTCTACCCCAGCATCTACTACTCCTTCTACTGCGAGCCAGGACCGAGGTATTTGTATTGGGCCATGGTACGCTACGCTCTGCTCTCACAACAGCTCCCCCATAGAAGAAAAAACGCCCTTTTACTCACAGTTTCTGACAGATCACGGTGTTCGGATCGGGGGTTATCATTGCTAGTATCACCCCGAAGTTCAGACACAGGTCCTGGCGGCACCTGAGGACTGCTTTGTTCCTGGCAATGGGGCTGACGGGTATTGTGCCTATGACACATGCGGCTTTGACTTTTGGGATTGATCAGGCGAATCGTCAGATGGGCTGGTATTGGTATATTCGGGAGGCGATGTGGTATGTGGGGGGTGCTGTGATTTATATGGTGAGTCTCGCACTCCACGGAGTTAACAGGGGATAATCTAATAAGTTTCAGGCCAAGGTCCCTGAACGCTTTGCCCCAGGGAGGTTTGATGTCTGGGGGAGCTCTCATCAGATATTTCATGTCTGTGTCCTTTTGGGAGCTGCGTCGCATCTGACTGGTGCGATCAAGGGGTTTGATTATAATCATGACCCTATGACGCGCAGATGTTGAGAGAAGTATGACTGGCAGCGTTATTCTCAGGAAGGCTAATTAACTTCTTTATAAACCGAGAATATCAGTGGGTCGATAGTAGGGAAATTGTTGGATATCAACGAGGCTGATAGCCTATATTTCCAAGGAAGATTCGAGAGGTGTTTGGGCGATAGCTTTTCAACAAGTTAAGCATATGGTGATTAGGTATTAGTATATAGTTCGGGAGACTTCAGAGGCTCAAGCGAGTCAAGCGTGTTGCAAAGGAAGGAGCAATTCTTGATGATGATGAAGGAAGGAGCAGCCCCTCGTGCTCTAGAAGGAAGGAGCTGCCCTCTTACATTGGTGAGGAAGGAGCTGTTCATTATGCTGTAAAGAGAAGGAGCAGCCCACCATCCTCCCGAAGGAAGGAGCGGCTCCTTATTTTGCAAGCGGAAGGAGCAGTTCTCTTATGTCGCAGAAGGAAGAAGCGAGTGACGGCGACGGTTGGAACTAAGATTAATAATATATTTTGCAAATATGGAAGGAACGATTCACTACGCAAGCCATATGCTCGCACTTTCCCTACTAACGGTGACGGAACTCACAGTGAAAAGCGTAGAACGATTTCGAGTCCACAAGATTATCCCAAGGTCATCGAGGGCTGCCCATTAAATAGGTGACACTGCAGTGTAATATACAGACCAAGATTGTCTCTGTCTAGATTTTGTGCTCATATACCCATTAAGATTCGTTAAGCGTCGCGGTGGCGAGATACAGCCCTTTGACCCATCTCGTCTCAGGTGCCAGCCTTCTCATCAGCACCCTCCCTCATATCTCCCTCCAGCATGCTACTAGACCCATAAACGCCACCGTCAAGGATCACTTCCTCATTATCATCGTAGTCGTCTTGCAACCGTCGCCACGTCTTTTTTCTCGTCTGCGCCTCGCCATCTTCCACCCCCTTCCCCTCAGGAGGCGTAAAGACCGGCCTTATCAACCCCCCAATCAGCGGGTTCCGACTATATGCTCCCCCCGATGTCCTCGCATCGGCCTGCTCGTAGCCACCAGCATCTACACCTTCACCCTCATCTATATTTTCCTTATCCTCCACAGTATCATGGTACTTAACATCCACCCTCTTAAACGTCTTCACCAGTTTCCCTCCCACAACATCCAAGCTCACCATCTCCCTCTTCTTCTCATACTCCGGCTTAGCATTCCACTCCTGCTCCCTCAACACCTTCTGCTGCTGCTTCAGCATCCTCGCCCGCTCCATCGGCCCCGCCCATTGACTAACGCCCACATCCGGCGTCGCAAAGTCGGCAGCCTCATCGTATACCCGCGTACGACTTGCATTCTGCGCCTGGAACCCTAACAAGCGGTCACGATGCGCCTGCGCTTTCTCTGCGGCGCTCAATCCCTCCCCATCACCCCTCGAGATCTCTGCTGGCGTCGGGCCCGCAGGCACGGCCGCCGCACGGCTCACGTAGGGGTTCTTGGTTGTCTCAACCCGGCGATGTGCAGCGCGGTCAATAGCTTGTTTCTCCTGCGCCCTATCGGCCCTCAATTCTCGCACGATATTATCGCGGTCCTCGGGCCGGAGGATCGGCTGGCCGCAGAACGTGCACGGTCCGAACCCCTCCTTGACACATATGACTTTCCCGCAGTTGAGGCAGTTCGGCGCGGCAGCAAGGAGAGCATGTTTCGTGGCTATACAGTTGCAGGCGCGCGAGGCGTTGGAGACGGCGGATGTAGATGCGTTCTCGAGACTGTAGATAAGGGCGTCGAGTTCAGAGAGGTTCGCGGAGGCGCTGCTCATGGGCGTGCCGCCTGTGATGCTTATTTTCGTAGGCCGCGCGGAGGGGCGCGCGGGGGAGGAGGTGCGGGTTGTTGGGGCGCTGGATGGTTTTTTGAGGGGATCGGAGATCAGGCGCCCGGCTGCTGAGGGCGGTGGGCGGGGAGGAGGAGTTTGTGTCTTCTTGGGTGGGTCGCGGAGGCTGAGGTTGTTGTTCTGCTGTGATGGTCCTGCGCGAGGTGGAACGTAGGCGTCATTGCCTTTCTTTTGGTATGCCTTGCCTTGCCCCGCATAGGTAGTCTCTTGCACCTTGCGGGGAGCGGGAGTGTGGATTTGCGGCTTCTTCTTTTTGGGCGCGCGGGTTGACTTTGGGACGGCGGACGAAGCGGAAGAAGACGAAGCTTGGTTGCTTGAGGAGCTTGGTGCTGGCTGACGTCGTGAGTTGAAGGTGGATATGAATTCGATGGATGCTGGTGACTCGCCCAGCAGATTGTTGAAGTGTTCTACGGCTTCTTGTGGAGGCAGAGTTGATGCGTAGGCAAGGACCTGCTGGAGATCTTCCTCCGGCAGTGGAAGAAGCTTGGAGAGCTGTTGGAGAGACATTTCGTATTAATCTTGCGAATATACTGTTGTATGAAGTTAGTATTGCGCCGTCGACATAATAACTTCTGGAGCTTCGGAGTTATGTACGGCCGCGGTGTGATAAGGTTACTCGTGGGGGCGATCGTTATGTATGTACCTTCCGTATATAACTTAGCACAATGTGTACATCGTTCGTGGTGGATCTTGGTGGACAGGAACAACAAAATGAGGGGGTTTGAGGGGTAGGACAGCATACAACAACCACCAAGGCCCCTCCCTCTTCTGTTATGTAAACTGCGCCCTTTCAATCACAATATACTCAGGACTAGAGGAGTTATTATCATATTACAAGTTGCATATATTGCTTATCTTAAGACATATATCAAGAAGTTATACGTTTTGTTGCAAGATATATTCTGGATAAGCCTAAATAACCCCACCAACAAGCCTCAATAGAGTCATCGAGGACTCCTGCAATCAAAAGCTTCAGGTGACTCACAAGTCTATATAAATATTGGTTCTATATCTTTTGTTGCTTCCCGAACTCTGTTCTTGCAATTGGCATATCCAGAATATATTTTATCATTTATACCCGATATAACACGGCCAATCGCACCATAGTATCATTCAAGATGGACAACTTTTCTTCACTCCACATCGACCTCCACCTCAGCGAAGCTAAGGATGTGACCTATACTCGCACTCCATTCGGAAAGGAGATGCGGAAGCTCTTCAGCTTTGACCCTGAGTACAGGAATTTGAACCATGGTAAGGGCCTTTGACTCGAACGGTACCAGAGGCTTATCATCTCTCCAGGCTCATATGGCTGCTATCCTCGCGCAATCCGGGCAGTAGCCAACCACTTCAAGGACCAGAAGGAGAGTCGCCCCGATCCCTTCGTCCGCTACGCCTACAATGACTATCTGGACAAGTCCCGCGCCGCCGTTGCTGCCCTTGTCAATGCCCCAGTTAACAACTGCGTGTTTGTCCCCAACGCGACCACAGCCGTCAACACTGTTCTCCGTAACATCCCTTGGAACAAAGACGGAAACGACGAGATCCTGAGCTTTAGCACCATATACGGCGCTTGCAACAAGACCATCGCCTACATTCGTGACTCCACTGGCCTTGTTTCCAACCGCGTGATCACGACGGAGTATCCAATCTCCAATGCGGACTACGTTTCTCTTTTCCGCAAGGCCATTGCCGCCTCCCGTGCAGAGGGCAAGAACCCCCGTGTGGCCTTATTTGACACCATCGCCTCCATGCCCGGTGTCCGTATCCCCTTCGAGGCCCTGACCGCAGTCTGCAAGGAAGAAGGCGTTCTCAGTTTGATTGACGGTGCCCACAGCATCGGCCAGATCCCGCTGGACTTCGCCACGCTCGATCCCGATTTCTTCGTCTCCAACTGCCACAAATGGCTCTTTACCCCACGCGGATGTGCCGTCTTCATCGTCGCCGAGCGCAACCATAACATCATCCGCTCCACGCTGCCAACATCGGAGTCCTACCGCCCTGAGGGCGTGCCCGAGAAACCATCGCCTACTGGGAACCCGCATTTTGTTGCGATGTACGAGTGGGTCGGCACCCAGGATAACGAGCAGTATCTCTGCGTCCCTGAGGCCATCAAGTGGCGCGAGCAGGTCTGTGGCGGCGAGAAGGCAATCTATGAGTATAACAACAGTCTCCTGCGAAAGGCGACGAAGCTCGTGGTGTCTGAGCTCGGTACCGAGGTGCTTGAGAATGAAGAGGGCACGTTGATGGATTGCACCATGTCGTTTATCCGACTGCCGCTCAGCCTTGAGAAAGACGGTGGGTCTGTGAAGGCTGAGGACTTTGGTACTATCCTCACGTATCTGGGGCAGACAATGGCCTCGGAGTATCAGTCTTATATTGCGACTAGTGTTTTCCAGGGTGGGATCTGGTGTCGATTGAGCGCGCAGGTTTATCTGGACGAAGACGATTTTGTGTTTGCTGCGAAGATGCTGAAGGATGTGTGTGAGAGGGTTAACAAGGGCGAATACTTGGCCAAGGCTTAAGAGACTAGAGAGACATTTGTTGCGTGACAGTGTATTGAGGATAGTTGGTGATGAGAGCGGAGTTTCATGTTTCTTCGAAAATTTATGACTCGAGAACTCGTAGATATCTGTGCCACTTGAAAGACGCCATCGGTTGCGTGGTTTATACATTGAGAATCAAGAGGTTATAATTTGCGGTTGAGCACAAGGATGTTTGAGACGAAGTGATAGCAGCTGCCACACTTTAACTGAATTTAAACTCGCCATGGTATATTTACGACCTAAACGGTCCTCTACTCCTTTAAACTCCTTCATAACTTCATATACAGAGCTACTAATAGTCCGCCCAACGTATCACCTTGGGCGGACTGCTCAGAGGGCTCGAAAGAATCGCGTCTATGCTCGTCAACTTCTTAATCCTCACTGCTCTGGGCGTCATCGGCTGTGGAAGCACCGGCACAGCCTCATCACTAGTCGGCGGCGACGGTAATGCGCGACGCTGGCCATTTGTAGATTTCGGCTTGCCATTGGCGGGGATAGTCAGTCCCTGCACATTGGATGACAGATTGGAGAGTGGGATTCTCGAAGTCTGCTTCTTGGTTGTGGCTGGCAACGAACGGCGGCGTGGTACGGTGCTCTTTGGAGCTGCCTGCTTGTGCAGTCCATCTATCCTCTTGATCATCTTCGCCGCTTCTTCGTCTTCGCCACGGCCTGTCAACTGCCTCAGAGATGAAAGAATATTCCATTGAAGGTATGCACCGTTTGTAAGGTCTGGCCTCATAGCGCTGGGATTCTTGGGCGTGGTAGTAGGCTTGTCGTTTTTGGGTTTCGTCCCTTGTTCAAGCCATATATCACCTCTCCTCTGTCTCAAGTCTGTGACCCATGCATCACAATCCCATTCTACCCAGTAGTCAATCACGTCTCCCCATATACTGTCAGGCGGCTTCGTCTGGTTAACAAATACCACGGAGCCGCCTCGTCCATGCACTGCCTTTGCAAACTCTCGGACCATAACTTTTAAACCGTGGACACGCATACTCGTGCCTAAGATGAGTAGTATGTCTGGACCGAGAGATAAATCGTGCGTTATGAGAGGCCCAACGAGATCGGCGCTCGGATGCTCCTCGCCATATAAGACGATATCCGGTCGTAATCTGCCAACAGCAAGACTGCGCCTTCCCTTGTCCTCTCGCTTGGCGCTATTTGCTAAGCACGAGGGGCACTCGGGAGCGTCGCCTGCTAGAGTCATAACTTGTCGGTCAACGTCCCAAGTTGCCTGCTGTGCACATAGGCCACACCTGAGAAACTTTAAACTGCCATGTAAATGAACGACTTCCACGCCGGAGTCTTGCTTTCCCCCTGCTATGTTTTCTGTTTGCGCTTCCTTTCGGAGTTTTGGGTTGAAACGTCCGCGAGTGCCTGGTCCCCGTGCTAACTCGGTGCAGAGTGTTTCGCGTTCTTCGAGCATGTCTATATTTTGGGTATAATTACGGACAAGTCTGCCCCCATCACGCAGTGCCCGAATGAACTTATGTGTGGCTGTCGTTGACGTGACATCGTTGTAAATCTTTTTCCTTAGGCTCGATATGAAGGTGTAGAATATTGACGTTGTTAGCTTGTCAGTCCAGATTATGGAGTCAAACAAGTCCTTGCCCTTCATATTCGGAAGGCTTTGTCTCGATGCCGTAGACCTGCGAGACGCCTGAGACGAAGGTATGGGCTCGTTAACAGCTTCAGCTGAAACATCTTTTGGGGTCTCCTCCATTTCTTTGGTGGGAATTTCCGAGGGGGTATCTGGATTCGAGCCTGCGGAGTCTGAATCCGTTGCCTGAGTGTGAAAAGACTGTGATGATCGAAGCTGCCGGCGTAATGGTGCCTCTTTTATAATCCCATTTTCCAGCTCCGAGGACCCAAGAGAGCATGACCTGTCAAGCTTCCTCCGTTTCAGGGGACGATCATCAATATCGCCAGTGTTGGGATTCGTCTTGTTCGCCGCAGCTGCATCGTATTGGGCTTGAATAAGGGTATAAAGTCCGTTCTCCGACCTGAAATCCTATTGAAATCATAAGCTCAATGGATTGGAAATTGTCGGGGCTAAACTTACAGGTATGCCACAATTTGTAGAGATTCCAGCTCCTGTTATGACAACCACCTTCTTGGATTTTGACAGGGCATCTGCAATCTCTTGCAGCTGCAGCTCACAAGCCGAAGAAACATTTGTTGTGGGCATTGCACTGTTTCCCTGTCATATGCAGACAATCCGTGGTATCTTCCAGTTGACGCGACTTGGTAAATCTTCAGAACAGTTCTGTCCATAAACGCCTTCAAGCGCTAAAACAAACAGAAATGTGAACAATCCTCCTTTAAACCATTGTACAAATAGATCTGTTATATATATATATATCCGAGGTCGCGTCGTTCCTCACACAGTACCGGTCCTTCGATCTGCTCCAGTTGGGTCGTCGATTGCGCAATATCTCGTAGTAGGAGCCCGCCAAATACACTTCTTCGCAGCACTAGCTGATCCAAGCAGCGGAGAAGCCCCCACGGGTTATGTTGACTGTTTTGACGCGGAATCTTCGGAAATCGGAGCTGTTCGTCGACGGCCCGTTTGGATGTCGGTGGATGATTGAATCGGAGCGAATTAGACGTTAGATAGACGGGTTAAAATCGTTTAGGTATTGCAGGTTCGTTCACCGGGCGGATCAAGTATTCTTGCCCCCAGAAGTTCGCTGAGAGCTTCAGAGGATCCAAGGCGAACTTCGACGTCGCTGGCGCGTCGGGGAGCAAACACAGTATGAAAGGCGCGCTGTGAGGCTAGTTGTCGTCGTATAATAAGGCTGACGGTGGGATTTACTGTACGACGTGACACAGGTCCCTCAAGAATCCTGGGTCATTTCGTGTTGTGGTTATGTTGCCGTCGCGCTTTTGTCGGGAGTTGGGTGTAAACAATGAGAGCTCGTTATCAGACGATTGAGGTAACTCACTGATTGTCAAGGTCCGATCGTCAACCAGCAAGCTGGTCCGTGCATCCAACCCTTCTAGGGACCTCAGTTACCACCCCGAACTTCAACAACACTGGCGGTCCTGAAAGGCGATACAAATCTGTCTCCTCCAAGAAATGTTGATGGTTTATGTTGTTTGCAATATATGCGGTGCATTAAATACAAGTTTTCTCTTTCCGGTGCCCAAATCTCAGTCTACAACGGCGGCCTCTCATCAGTGATATGGCGGAGTCGATGTTTGCCCAGCCAGGATGGGCTTCGGTCAGTCCGAAATAACTCATACTACAACTTGAGAGTTTGCCTAGAAGAATAGGCAGTGACTTTGAAGATATAACCCTTGGCAATCAAGCAAGCTGCATTTGTGTGTATCGTTACAAACCCAAACTCGAGGTCGGATATAAGTCGTGAAGTTTTCCATTGTGTCATTTTCCTACTGTTTTTCCACTTATCTCTTCTGTTCGTCTTGTTCTTAGACACCTCGATTTTATAGTTCAGGCCTCCCTCTAAGAGCTAAACCCGTCAAGATGGCCGGTGGGTCCTATGTAATTGGAGGCCCTCGCTCTGCGTGGGATAAACAGTTCGTCTGGCCTCGAGAAGGAAGGAAGGGGAAAACACCAAGAGGCTGGTGGGGAGGCCTTATGAGCATTATGACAAACACCGGGCCTGATATTTTTATAACCCGGAAGAACGACACGACGCCCATCAAGCCAGATCACTGGGGGAACTGGCAAGTTCGAATCCTGATAGCCTCGATTACCCGCTGACCGGCAGAACAGGGACAGCTACGATAGCCCAGAAGCCCAGGCGCGCGAGCGCAGAAATTACGCATTCAATGCCGACAGGGGGAACCGGCGCTACGATCCTCATACGAGGAAGTATGTGCTGTGGGAGTTCACCAACAATTACGACCAAGACCCCGTCGAGAAGTATCCTCTCTTCACGCGCGAAGAGCATGAGTGGCTTGCCCGGCATCCTCGCAAGCGGCGCCCGAAGACCAAAGACTGGAGTGCTGCTGGGCCAAAGGTAAGTCCTACATCACGCTTGAAACGATGCATACTAACTGTTCGCAATATAGAGGTTCAGGAGAGAGCACAATGATTTTTGGAGAGATGCATTTCGCATTGGAGAGAATATACGGAATGGAATCCCTGAGCCTGAAGCAAGCCCTACAGTCAATCCAGGACTGTTCATGGATGATGCGTGGCGCAATCTGTATGACAGGAGGCAGGGGAGATGGCCTTCACTGCGGCGTAGGACTGGGGATGACTCGCTGCTGATCGAGAATACGCGTTATAATCGCGGTCAGATGCGGGGATCAATGCATGATTACGGCCTGTATGAGGATGACAGGCTATACGATGGCGAGGATTACGAGGACAGATCGTACTATCCCTATTGATCTCACTGGGTTTGGGTTTGGCAGAGCTGGTGGCTTCTACTGTTTGACTTTCCGATAGTTATGCGGACTTCATGAAAAGTTAAAATATTTCATTTTAAAATCCGCCAATTTAAATATTTAATAAACTGCTATATTTATTCCAACCCCCTAAGAACTGTGTCCGCAAAAGAGCGAAGGACCACCGGCGTCTCCTCGAAGCTCATCCAACTACTCCCAACCGCTACAAATACCAGCTTCTGCCTTGGTGCTACCCAAATAACCTGTCCGCCACTGCCCAATGCCATATACGCTCCTACCGATCCGTCCCCTGGCACATGTCTACCTCCCTCATTAGAATGAAAGAAATACCCATATGGATAGTCACCCTCTCTCGTCTGACTCTTTGTCGCCGCCTCTATATAATCAGCTGATACGATACGGTTTCCACGATACGCGCCACCCCCCAGCAGCAGCTCGCCAACCTTTGCGAGGTCAGTAAGCGTCATATTAAGCCCACCAGACGGCAATACAAAAGGGGTGCCATCCACAGAGTCTTCATGCATCCGCGTCCAAGTGTAGTTGGTGATGCCGAGCGGGCCAAATAGATACTTGCGCGCAAAAGCCTCGATGCCAAGCCCAGATTTACGCTCGATGAGCAAGCTGACAATGGTAGGAAGGCTGTTATCATAGTGATATTTAGCGCCTGGGTCTCCATAGCGCCGAGGGGCGTTGAGGATAAGCGACGCAACTGAAGTGGAAGTGAGCATTTTTGCAGTGTCGCGCTGGCTGAAGGCGGTGCCAGGTGTCATTGAGAGGGCGTGGCGGAGGAGGATGGGTGGGGAGTCGGTCCAAGCTGAGGGAATATCAAAAGCGGCTGCGACGGGATCATCGAGGGAGAGAAAGCCTTCATCAATGGCAATACCAGTAAGGAGAGAGACGATAGATTTGGTGATTGAGGCACATGGATGGGAATCGGAGGCTGTGAGGCCGTAGTAGTAGGATTCGTGGACGCGGTGTCCATCCTTGAGAATGAGAAGGCCTTCAACGCGATTATCTGGGTGACTACGCGGCCTGATAATAGCTTGTATGGCAGCGTCAAGTTGCTCAGCGGTCATGTTCAAGGCCTCTGGGGCGGCCGTGGACATGAAGTCGGCATTATTTGGGTGGCTCTCAGGGGCTACATCGAGACGAGGAGCTAGGTACTTCTCGTGTTCCGGGGCGCCTTGTTTAAGATGGACTTCTATAGTCTCTAGGCCAGTAAGGCCATCCCCCTCAATTTTGGCAATGAGAACCACACCGAAACTATTGCTGTGGAAGGTGCCGTAAATGGTAGCTGCTCCGCCGAGCCAGGTTGGCACAGTGGCCATGAATACATTGTTTGATGTATAGCTTATCTGACCCTCGAGAGGTTTTGGGGATCGCCGGTCATGGCGATGAAGATAGCTGTGCCCATCTCGGTATACAATATCAATAATGGTAAAATCATTGAACGGTTTCGTCGTGGACGTCCCTGACCAACGGCCCAGATAGGGGTCAGGTGCGTTCGAGGTGGAAGTAGACATCGCGAAAATATTGTAGTGATTGTAGTTATTATCGGATGATGTAACGGATAGAAATAGACTAGAAGAGAGCAGGATATATATACTCATATGCTTACCCTTGTCCGTCTGTGACCTCCATATAGCGTAGTTCAAGGCTTTCTGGTGCGTTCTTGGACAATAAAGGCAAAGGTGTGTGAAGTAGGAACTCGGCTTCAAATTAAAAAATATGAGGGGACAAAATGAAACTCATTCTATCTTAAGACAGTAATAAATTTACATAATTGGAAAGAACGAAGGCTAACAGTGGGATTATTTTGTACGGCAAGTACGTATACTTCCCTGAGTGGCGGTTTCCAATAATGAAGTTCAAAGTGATTTATTTGGTGGATGACTAATATTACAGCACCTTCCAGAGAGCTTTCCTTCTGTGTAACCCAGTCAACTCCAACTCTTCTGTCTCATCGTAAACAATATAATTGAACAAGCACAGTTAATTAACCGCTAGACACGATGGCGTTTACGATGCATTCTCATTCCGGGCAGTTTTGCCCGGGGCACGCGAAAGATCAGCTGGAAGAGGTGGTCCAGCGAGCTATAACGCTGGGGATGCGCCTTATATCAATTACCGAGCATATGCCTCGCACTCATGAGCAAGATTTATACCCCGAAGAAGTGCGTAGCTTCCCCTAACGATGATATTTTCCCTCAGCATCTTATATTCTTGCGACGGACTATCTTGGTCTGGTTATATACTGACATCGTCAATAGGTTGAAGCTGGGCACACTTCAAAGATGCTCCTTCCAAGGCACGAGGAATTTCTTGAGGAGGGTATTCGTCTGCGAGAAAAGTACGAGGGACAGATCCAAATCCTTATTGGCTTTGAGGGGGAATGGATACGCCCAACGTATGGACCCGTTATCAGAGGTCTTGCCAAGGACAGTAAAGTAGATTTCTTCATCGGCTCTGTGCATCATGTCCACGGGATTCCTATCGACTACGACAGGAACATCTATTTGAACGCACGGCAAATGGCGAATGATAGTGAGGAAAAGCTCTTTGAAGACTACTTTGATGCCATGTATGCTATGCTCCAAGATGTGCGACCACGGGTTATTGCGCACTTCGATTTGATCCGGTTGTTCAGCGACCTGCCAAACCAGGACCTGAAGACTTGGGATGGTGTATGGGCGAAGGCCGTGCGATGTCTGAAGATGATTGTCGATCAAGGTGGTTTGCTGGAGGTCAACAGCAGTGCTCTCCGCAAAGGTTTGCTCGAGCCGTATCCAAGTCGGAGTATTTGCGAGGTATGGTCTCTGGGCTTTATCTGTCACATAACACTAACAAGCTATAGGAATTTTTGAGCCTCGGTGGCAAGTTCACCTTGTCTGATGATAGCCACTCTGTTGCTCAAGTGGGGCTAAACTATGTACCGGTACAAAAATACCTTCAGGAGATAGGCGTCGAGACTCTGTGGTATCTTGAAAGACTCTCGGAGGAGGTGGCGAAAACATGCGTTGCCGGGTCACTTCGTCTTAAGACTGTGGCGTTAAGTGAACTTGACATGAAGGATTTTCCATACACAGTCAATGTTTGAGATAAAAGGATGACGGGCTTACTGTATAACTAAAAAAACGCCCGCTTTAAAAAAAATATATGATATCCCCATTTGATTTCCGCCAACAGCACTGGCATAGTAACAGTGCAAACCGAAATGGGTATTCTCTCTATGTCTACATCTGTTTATGCCTAATTCCGACCATCCTCACTTTTCCTGACCACTTTCAACTGCCAAAGCGTCATTGCTCTCTTCCAACCTCTTTTGGTGGTCTGCTGAAGCTTTGGCATCCAGCCTCACCCGTCTCTCCTCTCTCCAGCCAGGACCCCATTTGATTTCCGCCAACAGCATTGGCATCGTAACAGTGCAAACCAATGCAATGAAAGTGAAGCACCATCCTCTTCCCATTTTCTCTACCATGATATTAATAATTCCCGTGCCTCCAGCTCCCATAAAACATCTAACAAGGTTATTCGCCGCTGTAGCTGTCGCCGGGCTCTGGGGGTACAGATCCACCACTAGAGTGCTTAGGATATTAAATGAGCCGTTGACACAAAATCCTATCAAAAATGTGAGAACAAGAGGAGCAGCAAGATGTGCATTCTTCTCCATGGCCCAGCCATAGCAAATAATGCTGACGATCCCGACGCTCAGCATGGGCCATATTGTCCCTAGTCTCGCCTCTTCTATTGGAAAATGGCGCAGATCATCCCCGTGCTTGCGGTCAATTGCGAAACCGATTCGTTTGGCGATTCTCTTGTAGTTCCTGTCAAGGAGCTTTCCGTTGATGAAGGACGTCACTGCACAACCAACGCCAAAGGGGAGATAGCAAAGCCCTATTTCGAGATCATTGAATCCATACGTCTGCTTGAACATTGCAGGCATCGAGGATATAACGTCGTAAAAGGCGGTATAGATAAGAGAGTTGTAGAAGAGCACTAAGGCGACATCTTTTTCTGCGATAATGTAGATCGTCTTGAGAGGGTTGGGAAACTTGAGTTTGCGATGACTGGCAAGTTCATTTTGAGCCCTACGACGCTCGTTGGCAGTGGTGGAACGGGAGAGGGAATCTTGAGACTTCATCTCTTTGCGCTGGCGCAGGTAGTCCAAGATGGTCATATTCCAGCCCACTGGTGGAACCGATCCATTTCCCACAACATTACGGCCAGTCTCTGGAACGGTAATAACGTAGGGAACAAGCCATACTGCTGAAAAGATGAAACAAAACCAAAAGATTGATCTCCACCCCAGGAACTGCGCCAGAATTCCTCCGATTACTGGGCCTAGTGCGGGACCCAACATGGTGCCTGCGCCCACGATTCCAACATACGATCCTCGCTCAGAGCTCGTTGAGATATCTGCCACAACCCCATATCCCAAAGCAATACCGCCGCTGCTACCCGCGCTCTGTATGCAACGCAATACTAGCAACGCTGGAAAGCTGTTCTGAAGAGCCAGCCCAATATTGGCGCCAAGATAAATGATAGAGGCCACAATGTATGCCGGCCTTCTCCCCGCCATATCAGCAAGATCGCCGATAAATGTAGGTGCTATCCCCTGAAATATCATAAATGACGTTATGGTCACGTTGATAAGTGCATCCGAAACATTCAGATCCTTGGCCAGCGGATTCAGGGCGGGAAAATAAATATTTGCAGAGGTTGGCGATATGAAAGCCGCCACTGTGACCATGAAGACGAGATATTTCTTCTGCTTCTTAGAGAAGACCGAGTAGGGCGGTCCAGTCCGCACGGCTGTTAATTCTTCAAGGTCCCCATCTTCGGCTATGGCCTCGTCGTTGGCAGGCTGGAATCCTGTGCTTGCTGGTGGTATAGACTCGCTGGGAGATGGAGTTCCTGTGGTTTTCTCATCCAAGTCCTTTTCCAAGGTGTCACGAGAGATTGGCGTCCTCGTAGTTTCTTGTGGTTCAACGCCGAGACCATCCTTCTCTAGGCTCATAGTGCAGTATTACTCTGCCGCCGAAAATCACACATTAAGAGGCACCAATGAGTAAACCGGATTGAATTGAATTGGAAGAGAAAGATGAATTCAAGATAGGAAAGACAATGACGAGCAACCTACCTTATTAAAGCCGGTTTAAACCATGGATGGTTCATAGCGGCTATACGGAACTTGCGCGAAGAGCGGTGCCGTGCCGAGTTAAATCCACATCGTCTGTCTGGTGAGTTGCATTTGAGCATGGATGGTGGCGATATAGCGTCGTCGGAGTATCATTTGATTCGCGGACGTTGAGCAAATCTCGTTATTCCCGTTGGAGAAAAGTTGGAGAAGGAGAGGGGTCCGGTAATAATTTTCGGGAATAAAAAATCACCCCGCGATGGATCAGGCACAGGTACACCACACGTGGTATTGTATCATCTCCTGTAACACCGACATTGGATTTGACTTTTAGGAACAAAAATATCAAAAAAGCAATAGAAAAATCCACATAATAATGCTATCACAGTTGTAAAATAGTTACCTGCTTTGGGTTCTCTGATTTTGCTGATACGTGATGCCTAAACCCAAAGTTTCGCTTATCTTTGATACCACAAATCGTCCAAATCCGAAATGAAATTTCGTCCATGACGTCCAAATAAGGTTGTGAAGGAACAAAACACCCCCGCGGGTTAGCACTCAAAATACTGTGATGTCTACCGACAAAGATATGATGTTTGGAAAGACATTGGATGAGCTGATATGCGACCTCGAGCCCCTCAAACGCATCGAAGGGCTCGAGGAGCTCACTGAAACCTACCTTCAAGGAGAGTATCAGAAGCTTCTCGGTGGAAATGAGGCTCAAGCTCTATTCGCCCAGTTCCTAGAGCGGTTATCATCTGATAGCAACGGAAAGCCAAAGCCATGGACAACGGAAGAGAATAGCTTCCTGGCTTCTGGCAGGGCCATATTGATAGGCCTGGCGTCGTTTGATGCTTTTCTACAAGCTAACGTCACGGGACCGCCCTTCTCATCACGCTCTCTTCTCTTTGGCGCGGATATGACCTTGGACGATGTTAAGAAGCACAGACAAGAATGTCTTCTGAATTTGGCAGTGGATGGCCTCTCGGTCTACCAACTTATTCCGCACGTCGAACTATTCACTTTCGCAAGGGCAATTTTCGCGGAATACTTCCCACGTGTTGTAGCTGGCCAGACACTCGATTCGAGATGGATGCGAATCCGCATCAATGCCTACCATCAGCGTCTCCTGTCTTCCGGCGTGTCAAATACCCGTCTCAGTGATTCAGTGGCGACCCTTCAGACCCAAGCCGAGGTAGATATGTTCGCCCTCGAACTCGAAATCATGGCCAAGGATTCGTCTTATTCTACGGAATCCAAAGTCCAGTACTTTCTTGAAAAGTCCCAAATCTACATTATGCAAGGCCTTGATGCCAAGGCTAGAGATAACCTGAAGCAAGCAAAGGAAGTGTCTCAGTTTCAGTACGCGCTGTCTGGTGCATTGGGAAAGAGAACAAAATTTCAAGAGAATGATATCTCACAATTAGTTGTCTTCGCAAAGAGCAAAGAGGAGCAAAGGTCGGAAACCGAAGGTAGCCAGGACACAGCTACACTATCAAGGGATGGCGCCTCTGGATCTACCAAAACTGAAGTGGAAACTACTGGACCTACTGCACTTGAACTAAATGACGATACGTTACTCGAGTCAATCGAGTTCACAAAAGTCGACAAAGACCTGAAAACTGATCTTCCGGAGGAGCTTGCAAGCTTAGAGCCGAGCAACCAACCGCAGCTGAAGCCAGTAGACCAGATTATGCTACTCACTGAGGCTACACTGAAAGATGTCTCGGCTCCTCTAGATAAGTTGAACAGCGAGGAGATTTTGCCCTTTGCTGTCCGTGTCCTTGATGACAAACCTACGAACTGGCAGATCTACACCCAAGCGCTGCTCGTGAGGAGCAGAATCGAAGCTCATAGATCGAGGACACAAGAACGTAGCGTGCTTCAACTGCAAGCTATTGTCGATCAAGTTATCGCCGAGACCCAAGAAGAGCCAACATATAGCGGTGATGGCGTCCCTGAAATACAAATCACTCAATTCTTACCGAAAGCCAAGCCATCTGAATCTGCTCCGATCACTGAGCGGTTGAAGTTTATCCATCAACTCAATTCACCTACCAGGTGGGAGATAGAAACCGAGTTGGCCTATGCTTGGAGCCACGCAGGAAGTCTTGTGAGCGCCCTTGAGATATTTAGGCGTTTGGGGCTTTGGCCCGAGGTTGCTCTTTGCTACCACTCGATTGGTCAAGAGGACAATGCTCGCCGAGTCATCCGCCGCCAACTTTTCCACTCCACCAAAGGCCCAGAAATGGACAAGTACGGCATCGACGATGACGAAGTGCGCACAGATAAGTGGGCAGGGGAGATGCGCTCACCTCATCCCCCTCACGCACCACGCCTGTGGTGTATTATCGGTGACCTCGAGCAGGACCCATCATGTTGGGAAAGGGCATGGGAAATCTCCAACCACCATTATCCGCGCGCTCAGCGGACACTGGGCGAGTATTATACTCGCAAGGGTGATCTGCTAAAAGCGCGAGAGGCATATATCAAGGCAACAATAGTTAACCGCCAATACGGAGACACTTGGAGTCGTCTTGGAGATATTGACCTTGCGACTGCGAACTGGGATGGAGCTATTATCGCATTCCAGCAAGCAATTATGATAGATGACGATAACTCGAAAACCTACAGTAACCTCGGATCCGCGTTATTATCCAAGCACACCGAAATGATGAAGATTAAGCAGTTAGAGGCTGCAAATCAAATCCAGGAGGATGCAGAAGAGGTAAACGACGATGACGAAGTTGGAGTTCACAAGCCACAAATGTCCCAGTTGGACCCGAAAGACATCCTTCGCCAATCACTTATTGCATACAAGAGAGGTGCTAGCTTACAATACGACAACTGGCAAATTTGGGATAATGTTATTACAGTTGCTGGCCGCATGTCACCACCCTCATTCCCTGAGGTACTGCAGGGCCTTCGTGCAGTGATTCGCATCCGCTCCCCGAAGGAAGGGGAGAAATCAATCGACGTTGACATTCTGCGCGCCCTGGTCGGAGAAGTTCTGACGAGGGAAAGGGATACCAATCCTGCAACGATGGAAAACGGAATATACAACCCACCGCGTGGAAGCTTGGCACGCGCTGTTATCGAGATGGTAGACTCGGACGTGGTGCCGCTAATTACCGCCCAGGGCGAGCTGTGGGCTTTGGTGGAGAAGCTGAAGTTCTACCGACGCGACTTTGCTGGGGCTCTGGCGTGTGCTGAGAAGAGGTGGAGAGTCGCCACAGCAGGTGAGACGTGGCTGGAGAATAGGGAGGCATGGAAGCAGGTATCAGAGGCAACTGACGGGCTTGTCAGCGCCTTTGAGAATTATGGGCCGCAAGAGAAGGCAGATGGGAGCGGGGAGGTAGAAAAGGGGTGGAAGATGAAGGCGAGAAGTGCTGCGAGGGGTATCATGAGCAAGGCAAGGGCTATTTGGGAAGATACGGAAGAGTTTGAAATGTTGAAAGAGAGGCTGGAGGAGTTGAAAAATATGTAAATCCGGTTGGTAGATGCTGCATCAATAGAATGAGGCTGGTCAGTCCAGATTTATGGTTTAAAACCCACTTGCTCGTATCGTTCCGAGGTGACAGTAAGGCAAACAGTAATTACCTGTACCTCACACTGATCTGGTGGCTCCTCCTTCTTGAGAAGTCTCGCTAGCTTACCCATTATGATGGGGAGTGGCGCTGACAGTATCTGTAAAATTAAAATACGTATTTCAAGTAGTTACAAACAAAATAAATGCTTTTAGTGACTGTAGATAAATAGTAACCTTTTAGTGACTGTGGATAAATAAATGCCCTATAGTAACTGTAGATATATGATAGCATCTAGGTAACTGTGAGCAGCAAGTTCATCACCTTGTGATAAGTGTGATTTAGAGATTAAATATATAAACTGATGGGCGTGGGTAGTGTAGCGCAGAAAGGGGGTCCCTGAGGAGTACCCAGCCACACTAGCCCATGCGCCACAATGTTCCAGCCTCAGTGACGGAAGCTACCATAAAGCCACACCTATGCTTGATCACAGCTTGCGATAACAGTTATATTGTAGGTTTGTTGCCCATTCTACCGTATACCCGACTTAAAAAGAGGCTATTGTACATGGGCTTCTTTGATAGCATGATACAAGAAGGCTGAAGGCAACGTACAACCGTCATTGTACTTGCATCTTTGCTGTACCTACAAAATGACAGATATCACTCCGTACTTCAACGAGACCCTCAAGGCTCATGGCGCCCACACAACCGCTGGCGTCTCTCTGTCTATGCAACACCTTGACGAGTTTCTTAAAGAGGCATATCGCATAGTAAGATGTCATTGTTTTTCATATGCGCAAGCAATTGCTGACCGATAATCCAGAACTCCCACATTGCGTCTCTGAACGACTACCTACGTGGAATCCGACAATCCTACCTATCCACCACCCAACCACCGCGACGACAACGCCAGCTTGCTGCCGAAACCTCGAAGCCCAAAGATAAAGAATGGCGGTACCTGACAGACCGCCAACGCGACGAGATCGACGCCGAAACAAAGCAACTCCTCCGCGAACTCAACTACGGCATCCGAAACCTGGCAGATGCGGAGCAGCTGCGCCAAGACACCGAGACGACCCTGATAGAAAAGAAATATGGCAACAAACTGGGTGCTTTGGGTAACTGGGCTGTTGGCGGGATAGGGCAATCGAAGCCTCCGGAGCAGGAACAGGCGGAGAGCAGGGCGAATACGATTAGCACGCACAGGGAGAATGTGCTGTGGTATTTACGGCAGAAGCTACAGCAGTGTGGGGGGTTGCAGGCGGCTATGATGGAGACGCGGATTATGCGCGAGATGGAGAAGAATAAGAGCTTGCTCTATAAAAGTAAGGGGGTTATGATGATGGAAGGCGGCGGGTCGGGCGAACCGCCTGTGCCGGCATTCGAATACAAGGGCGCGGCGGGGAGGCAGGTCGAGGAGGAGTATGGGAAGAATGTCGAGGATGAGTTGACGCCGGAGCAGCTGCAGCTGTTTGAGAAGGAAAATCGAAACATGGTTCAGCACTACGAGGATACTCTGAACCAAGTCAAGTAAGTCAAGTTCATCTGACACATCACAGTCCTTTGCTAACAAGGTTCCCCAGGACCGCGCAAAAATCGCTCGTGGAGATCTCAGAACTGCAGACACAGCTCGTCAACAACCTCGCAACACAGTCGGCGCATATTGATCAGCTTGTCGCAGACTCATTCTTGACAGCCGAGAACGTTGGGGGCGGAAATAAAGAACTGAAGAAGGCGTCGGAGCGGAGGAGCACTGCAAAGTATGTCTTCTATGCATCATGCGGGCTGAGTGCGTTCCTGGTGGTGTATGATTTGATCATTTGATTGAATCACGTCGCCGCGAGTTAAGTTACAGTACGTAGAGAGTGCGTGGCACATACATACATATCACAGGAAATATAGACGGGCTTGGATTGCAGGAGTTCCATCTGTGGCATACATGGTCGTGCATGTGATTTGTGTGCGAATCAGTGCATCAGCGAACGAGAGACGACCGATGACATGTGAGAGACTGAATCATTCCCCAGATATAATATACGGAGTAAGGCAAGTTATACAGTTATACAGTACATAGCAAGCACTCTAGCTGTTTCGCTTCTAGCGGTATTGATCGTGCAATGATGTCTTGCAGTTCCCATGGCCCACGTCGGTCTTTTTCTTGCCGCGATGCCTCGGCTTCTCCACGAAAGGACGACCATCTCCTGTCACTCATAAAATGTTATAACATTCCAATTTCCGCGCTTCCTAGGCCGAACTACTCTAGCAATTATTATATCTGTACAATCTTTCAATTTGTCTCCGTTTTATATACCATTTGTACGAAAATTGTTCGCCATATTGTTTTTCTATTCCCTGGTATTTCCCGGTCACGTTTGCGCGAATTACTGTACCATACAAGGCCCAGCCCATTCTTGATTACCTGATAAATTACCTGATAGCGATAATATAGCGTTCCGATAATGGCAGGCAAACATAACACTGCTGCGGCATTCCTTGCGAATACATCTAAACCCTCCAAATCAACTTCCACAACTTCAACATCATCAGGTCCACAAGCCAGATTACAAAAGATAGCCGCACACATGTCTCAACCACAGACTACCAACTTCCCCCAGGATGCCGTTCCCCAGGCTCCTGAAGATCCGCTATTCGGATTGATGGCCGCTTATCGGGCTGACACCTTTGACAAGAAGGTCGACCTGGGAATTGGCGCATACAGAGATGATAACGCAAAACCTTGGGTTCTGCCAGTCGTCAAGAAGGTGAGAAATCGAATTCCCTGATTAATTTCACTCATTTCGGTCTCATATGATTCCCAAGTTGCTTTGCTAACAACCTTCAAGGCGGATGATATTCTCAGAAATGACCCCGCACTCAACCACGAATACCTCCCAATTGCTGGACTCCCCGACTTCACATCCGCTGCTGCCAGAGTTATGCTTGGAGCTGATAGCCCAGCCATCAAGGAGAAGCGTGTCACATCTGTGCAAACGATTTCGGGAACCGGCGCTTGCCACTTGGGAGGAATGTTCCTCTCGCGATTCTACAAGCCAAAGCCCACCATCTACCTTTCCAACCCAACATGGGCCAACCACAACCAAATCTTCACCAATGCCGGCCTCTCGATCGCTCAATACCCATACTTCTCTGCGTCGACCAAGGGCCTCGATTTCGATGGCATGAAGAAGACGCTGCAAGAGGCACCGGACCGCGCCGTCATCCTTCTCCACGCCTGCGCTCACAACCCCACGGGCGTGGACCCCACCCAGGAGCAATGGAAGGAGATCGCATCCATTATGCGCGCCAAGAAACAGTTCCCATTCTTTGACTCAGCGTACCAGGGTTTCGCCTCAGGTGACCTTGCCAAGGACGCCTGGGCCGTTCGGTACTTCGTCGACCAGGGATTCGAGATGTGCCTCGCCCAGTCCTTCGCCAAGAACCTTGGACTCTACGGCGAACGCGCGGGTTGCTTCCACTTCATCACCAGCCCTGCCGCTGATGCCACAGAGACCATCTCCCGCATCGCCTCGCAACTGGCCATCCTCCAGCGCTCTGAGATCTCGAACCCACCTGCGTACGGTGCCCGTATCGCTAGCACCATCCTCAATGACGAGGGGCTCTTCTCGCAGTGGGAGGAGGACCTGAGGACGATGAGCGGACGCATCGAGGAGATGCGCAAGGCGCTGCGTGGAAAGCTCGAGGAGCTGGGCACACCGGGGACCTGGTCGCACATCACAGAGCAGATCGGCATGTTCTCCTTTACCGGCCTGACAGAGGCGCAGGTGCTGAAGATCCGTAAGGATGCCCACGTGTATATGACGAAGAACGGACGTATTAGCATGGCGGGTCTAAATACGGGCAATGTCGAGTACGTTGCGCGGGCGGTGGATAAGGTCGTGCGCGAGACGGCGAAGCTGTAATGGCTTGTAAATAGAAACGAGGGCGAGGTTAGATGAGGATTGGATAAAAGAGTTATGTTTTGATGATATGGTGTCGATCACTATTTTCTTAGGTATTAAAAGATAGACATTTCTCAAATTCTACTCAACCGGTTTATTCACCACAATGCTTGTTTAGAACTCAGAAAAAGATGAATTTGTTATGCTGCACCTTGATTCCCACGCTTAGCACCAAACGCAAACTACCTTCGAGTTGGGTCTCCGTCCTTCCAAGTCGGAGACTCCTTCGGTTGGTGTGAAAGTATCTAGCAAAACAAGCTGATGGGTATATTAATCTAACACATATTCGCACAGAGGATATGAACGCGCACAGTGCCAGAGGCCACCTCCTTACCCATATTAATCCCCAGCCATTACCCTCTCCCAAATCTATCATCCAAAATGTCTCTTGTCCCCAGGTATCATCACTAGGGCCCATCCGCCGCATAAATCGTCAGGCTATCGCCGTCCCTTCTTCTCGAAAGTGACGATTCCATAATCATCCTGCACAGGCACCTCGCCCTGTTTGCACCAGAATGTCCCCCCTCCAGCAGTCCTGTCCACCCCTCCAGGTCCCCACTTCCTCTCCATCTCTTCCCTCTTCGCCGACTTCTTCTTGCCCTGCTTTATCCGCAGCTTCTCAAAATACACATACGCCGCGTAAAATATCCCAGATGAGTTCCCCTCGAGGGGGCCCTTCTGCCGCATAAACGTGTTGACCTGCGGTGACCGCAACGCCCGCGGCGCCAGGATATACTGGGCACCGAGCTTCCGCAAGAGTGATGCCTGTGTACAGTCGGGCTGTCTGAAGAACGCCCTGATCTTTATCCGGACGTCGTCGCATGTGTCGAACACCGGCACAGCGTCGCGCTCCTCCTTCTCAAGGTGGATATCCGAAACATCATAGATCGAGTTATCAACCGTGCGATTAGCAGCCGGTGGAGCATCCTGCTTCCTCCTCTTCGCCACCGGCTCGCTGGCCGCTGCTCCTACAGGTGCAACTGGTACAGGGGCAGCCGCACTTAGGTTTGCCTCTGCCGCCCTCTTAGCCCTCCTATCGCGCTTCGCAAAGAACAGCACCGCATTCCGGTACGTCTCCGCTGCAATCCCCGCGTCGCGCCCCTGCTGCTTCATAAACCCATTATAGCTACCCGGCGTAGCGCGAATAAGCTTGCGGAACGCGACAGCGGTGTTGCCCTCCGCGAGAAAGGCGCGGATCTGCGCCCTCACGACATCGCAATCCATGTCGAGCTCCTCGAGGAGCTCCTCGTCGGCATCATCATCAGTCTCTGAGTCGCCGTCTTCGGCGTCGGCGCCGGTGGGCGTGGGCGAGTCGCTGGTGTGCGTGGATTCGTAGGTGCGTTTCTTGGATAGGCAGGCGGTGGAGACGGGGTAGGGGCCGGGCTTGACGGTGGGGAGGGTGTCGATGTTGATTATGGGTGGAGGAGGGCGCGCGCTGTTCGTCAGGTCGAATAATGGTGGTCTGACGGGCGGCGGCGGAGGCCTTTTCATGAAGGGTTGTGTGTTCTCCTGGTTGTTTGGTATGGTGGGCTGGAAGTGCACGAGGCTCTCAAAAGACGGCAGAATGGTTTGATGTGTTACCATGGCGGGCGAGTATGTGCGCGCTGCGGTTTTATGAAGACAATAGCGAGAGGGAAGAAAAGTAGAGACCTAGCAATGGTGACTGAACGTCGATGACCTTGCAATGGCGACTGAACGTCGAAGGGTTGGACGCGAACTCCTATACGCGTTCGGATGTGAGATGTATCATACTCAGCTCAAAGTGGTAAGAATTGTGCACTTTGATAACGGCGGGATGAGTCGGTGGCGCCGCTGATCTTGTGTCCATATGCCGCTTGTTAATGGCCAGGCCTGGAATTTTATTTGTTGATGTTCGCGCGTTGGTGTTTCCACGGTCGGATAAGTTTTATGCATTGAAAACGCTCTCACAGCATGCAGATGACCAGTCACAAACTAAAACCTATCACCCCTTTTCTCTTGCATGGACTTTTTAGAGAGTTGTTACTGCAGATCAACCTCCTTTTTACGGCAGTCACTTCCACATCACCGGTATATGTTTTTGCAAAAATAAATTACATATAAATCTGGCCACGACGGTCTAATTCTAGAACATATAAATACACTTATTCTAACATATGCCTCAGAAACTCTTCTTCTTCATAGCCGGCTGCTGCCCACATGCACCCTCTTCCAATTCCACCAATGCCTCCTTGACCTTCCTTTTCCCATTCGGCTGCAATGCCCCCGACATCGCTGCGTCAGAATTTCTCTTCCTGACTGTTCTTCCAGCCAAAAAATCCAAGTTTTCTGCATTCGCATCGACCACGATCTCGTATTCAGCATTGATACCATCCAGCACGTCCATAACAGTTGCAGGCACTCCCCCAACCGGCTCGCCCCCAGCGGCGCCCAATCCAAGATTCCCTATACTATTCCGGCGACTGGCGAACTCGACCTCTTCAATCTGGACTCCTTCATCCTCTTCATCCTCATCATCTGTTATAATGGCAAACTGATCAGTGTCCCAGTCTGTAATTTCCGTCTGCGTGCCGGCGTTTTTGACTTTCACTACGTTAGGCTGTGCAGGTCGATAGAGCCCGCCTTCGCATGCCTCGCCATACTGGTCGGTCATGGAACTAGATCGTAGCTTTGTGAGGTTGCATGATGGGTGGGGGTCGGTCAGGGTGCGACGGTTGGACTTTGTGGCATTGTGATTCTCAAGAATCATGGTGGGTGGTTTCATTTTCACGCAATCATTGGGAGACCCAGCGTTGATGCCTTCGACATGTCAGTTCACCATAATATATCTTTGATAGGGCGAAGGATGATTAAAATACCTTCACTGTTGATCCGCTCAGTAGCAAGTTCAGCATTGCCACCACTAGATGAGGCCAGTTGTTCTTCGTACGTATGCATTTCCGCTCATGACATGCCACAAAATGGTATGAAAGTGGCCGGGGATTCTAGAAATATATATGAAACCAGCCAGCGACGCAGGCAAGTGGCGGCATCTTCTCAACTCTAGAGTCGTATGTAAGCACGTGTGTAAACGGTGAGTAATTGACTTTTCGGATTTGTTGGGAGGAGGGAGTGAGAGATTGGCTCAGAGATGATTATTGAGGTGGGTGAACGATGACGATGTAGTTGGGGAAGGAGTCATGACGAAAGCTTATGACATCCTTGACAAGAGGATATAACTAGAGAGCAATTCCGAATCCCTAGAGGCTGTTGATCCGAAAGGGTCCAGCTAGATTAACACTAATGTTAGCTCTGATATTAAGTTCTCATGAAGCATCATCATCACTATCACGTGTTTGTTATAATTTGGTCAATGAAGGATGCGCAGATAAAAATGTATTGTCAAAACAACCTTCCGAAAGCCGAATGACACCAGAGCTGGGATATCGACAAAAAAAATATGTTGCATAGTACAAATGAATACCCTTTCATTCTCCGCTCCCTGGCAGACTCCTATCGTAGACGCCTTAGTGAGACATTACCGCCTTCCATCTTTCTACTTGCGCTCGGGGTACTTGTTCTTGAAGAGGTACCTGTGGTCATGATTAGCACCAAGCGCTGGCCAAAACTAGGAGTATGTTATCTTACTTGCTGAGGTAGAAGTCGCCAGCAGCGAACAACCCCACAAGTCCAGTCCAAGCACCAACAACCTTCCAGGTCAACTCTCCATTAATATACTTTCTGTATGCACCAAATCCAAGTCCCGCGCTCAGGGCAGCAACCGCGACAGCGTTGCCGATGAAAATAGGGTTATCAGAGTTCTTCTCGATTCTAGCCGCCGCCTTCTTGGCCTTCTCCTTGGCCTGCTGCTCCTTCTCCGCAAACTGCTTCTTGAGCTTCTGCTCCTCAGCAATAGCCTTCGCCTTTAGGGACTCGGCTTCGCGCTCGAGGCGCTCGGCTTGCGAGTTGGTCTGCACCTCGTGCTCCTTGAAGTCTGAGGGGACAGTGTGCACGGATTCAGAGTCGACGTCGATGAGGGAGGCAGTGGATGCAGACTCGCTGTGCTCGATCTCCGGGGGTGCTGGTGCGCGGGCCTAAGAGGTAAGAGGTTAGAAAATGGGGGCAATATCGTAAGGTGAAGTGGTTCGCATACCTCCTCTGGGGATTGCCTTGGGCCCTTTGATGCTGCTGCTGCGTATGACGACATGGCTGCTAGTATGCATAAGCTATCGTCTTTGGTGAATATGAGAACGGCGCAAGCTTTCTCACCTGCTTTGTATGATTTATCTGTGGTAGTACAGTTCGGTGATGAAAGCTAGGTCGTGAGGAGATGATATTTAAGTCAAAACGGAAGAAGTCGCGTGGAACTCGCTCAATAGCGTCTGGCTGGGAAGGTGGAGTTCTAACGGCGACCGCGAAACATGGCACCAGAGCAAATGCAAGCTTGGGAGTGGCTGCCGGTGTTCGCTTATCTGCATGTCTTGGATTACAACGACAGAAGTGATGACGTAGGAGGCACTTTAGTGAACAACAGGGAAAAGATTCATGCGGTTTATTTATTTTCTCACTCGCGCCAACTTGGCAAATGTTCTACAGTGAGCGAATCTCTTCTCTACATTGTCACTGTATTCTTATGGGAATGGAGTAGACACGAGATAAGTATTTTTTTGCTTTTTCATGTTGGTTCCATTGGTGGCCACTATTTATCAGATTTGAAGCGACGCCTTAAAATAATGGGTCCGACGAGTAGTGGATCGTCTTTCCAAGAGCTTTCATGCGTACAAAAACAGAGTTCCAATCCGATTCTCTCAACGATTTTGATGATTTTGTCGTAAGTAGGATTGTTTGAGCTTTCTGATAGCTGTGCTGGAGCTCCTGGCCAAGAATGGCAGACAAACCGGACGGTTATTCTCGTAGTGCGTTTAACAAAATATTCGCGCAAATCCTCCACTTATCCGCAATCCATAGCAGTGGAATCTTGATCCAAGCAGATTCTACTTTCGCCAGTCGAGTTCGCGGTCAAGGAAAGATAATTGCTCTCGACCGGCACATTCTCAAGTCTTCCACCCCTGCTCATTCTCGCATCCACGGCACCATCTTCATTCGGTATGCATCGTATTTTCGCAGCAAAAGCATGAGCTTCCCGATCTGCTCCGTTCGAGATCCGTTGGCGTTTGTCAATCTCTGCCTTCCTCCGTAGATGGATTTGTTCTCTGGGCCTCCCTGCTGTCGACAATCTTGATATACGCCAAAACTTGGACGACCACCATCACTGCGGTGTAGCTCCAGCACAACGAATCATGGCTGTGGACATAGAAGTATGGGATTTGATTTCCCTGAGGCCCATAGTCTTCGAACCATTTGTACCGCGAGGAAGACGCAACGGTTGCGATTGCCGATGGTATGTAGTGCGACGCATATGTGTTGAAGCCGTGGAGGACTATGAGAGGGTTCAAAACAATACCCGGTAAGATATATGAAGAGGTGAATGAGGTTCGCATTTGAGGGTATAATTCTTTGTTGAAGTCGTCAAGGTGGGGCTAGACGGTATGCCAGTATAAGGTTCCTGGACACTAGATATAAGAGAGACCGACACAGGAGTCTTGGTATGGTCGTTTTATAACAGGGCTGTGCTTGTTGAGGTTTGTGGATTCCGGATAATAATGCCGCAGACAATTTTGAGAATCTGTTTAGAGATGCGCAACAGTGGGTCGGCGCTCTCATTGTGATTCTTCACCGGTCTTGATCCGTCGTTTATTCGCAGTGGAAGTTTGGAGACAGTATTTGGTGGTTTAGGACTCTCTAGGACTGAAGGAGATTCTTAGTATGGATCAACAACAAGATGCGGATTACATGTTGTTGGGAGAAATGGTGGTAGAGTACACTTCAATTGTGTCCTGAGTTGCGCATGGATTCATATTAAACCGAAATACTAATATTGATAAGAAACGACCCAACGTAGCCTACATGCAGGAGCGAGTCTGTACCTGAACATATAATCGCTAGAAGCTTTATACACTCAGTCCATTGCTCTTTCCACGTTATCACGCGACCACTATATATTCTTCGGTCGCCACATTTACCCTGATATCCTGGCAAATAAAATTTCACATAATTATAAGCAGGCCTGCGATGAAATACACTCTACACTGAGTAATTTATTAGGTAAAAATATAACCAAGTAAAAAAAGAGGGAATTTCAAAATAGTGAGACAAGATTATTTTACTCCTAACAGTCGGTAATGTAGTGAAATGCGCGGCTTTTGAGAATCCCCTTCGTTAACTCCATTCGGCCTTTGCCGCCTTTAGCACCTGTCACCAAATATGGAAGGCGGTCAGCACCAAGATCAGGCAGTATGCTTAATTCAAGTCCGGTACAAGCCACGTTTATCACACCCATGACGAATCTTTGATGAAATAAAGCCAACTGTCTTCCCAGCTGTCTCCAAATTGCGTTTATACCCAAACTGCGCACAACACAAGAAATCTCCCTCAATTTTACGAATACCGCCACGATGGTTTGTCTCCAGCTCCACATCGGTCCGGGCTACTCTAACACTTCCCCCTAGAACTCCGTCTTCAACACCGCCCTCAAACAATCCACCTCCCTCCGCACCGACCTCGCCACTCTCTCCTCCAACCCTCTCTCCGCCCCCGCATCCCTCACCGGCCAAATATCCGCCTCCCTAACCTCCTTCTCGCGCACCCTCGACTCCTACGCCGACCTCACCAAGCACGAGCTCAACACCCAGAAAGCCGAGAAGGCAGCCGAGCGCCTCACAAATTTCCGCCACGACCTCGCAGACTACAAATCACAGTTCGAGCGCGTAAAGAAGGACCGCGAAGAAGCTACAGCACAGTCGAACCGCAGTGAGCTTCTCGGGCGAAGGCCGCACCATGGCGGTTCCAGTACCCCCGATAATCCGTATGCGAATGCACAGATAAATCGGAGTGCGCAGGCGAATAATCCCTGGGCGCCTAGTAGCGTGGGTGGGCAGCAGAGTATGAGCATGGGGAGTGGAGAGACGACGAGGGAGGCGCATGCGATGCGCGAGCAGAACTTCTTTGGGAATACACATAGCGCCCTGGATGAATATTTAGCGAGAGGACAGGCAGTGCTGGGGGATTTGGGGCAGCAAAGAGAGATGCTTAAGGGGACACAGAAGAGGCTGTACAGTGTGGCTAATACGCTGGGTGTAAGCGGTGACACGATACGAATGGTGGAGCGAAGGGCTAAGCAGGACAAATGGATATTCGCGGCAGGGGTGGTGATTTTCTTCACGTTCTGCTTCTTGGTCTTGAAGTATTTGAGGTGATCGTACCTCTAGATGCAAAGAGGAGGAATATGCGTAATGATTTGGAGGAATGGGAAGCTATCTTGACCCTCCTGTATTTGGGTTATTGAAGCGAGGCGTTTGGAACCGATGCTGTACGAATACCTTGCATAGATCTTATATGGCATATGGCTGCTTTACGCACTGCTGCCTATCCTGCATCCTGTTATCTCGTATTGATAGATGCGTTATGCCCAAGCATTGTGGTTGGAAATTTGAGACCGTATTTCTATATTATAATATTTGAGTCTATTTTAAATCCTCGCATACTTCTTTGCGTGAGGCGCCCCCCTTTTTTTATGCCAAAAGTGTACGTACTATTCTTCCTCGCCCATATCCAAATCAATCGTAAATAAGACGTCTGCATTCGTCGTGACAGTAACCTCCGCTTCAAGCACCATATTGCTCGTGCTCACCTGCCCCCCAAAACTCGTCTCCCAATCCTCAACGTCCCACTTCAGTCCCTTCGTCGTGATCTTCGCCGACACGCCCACCGGTAGAATGCCAATATTCTTCCCTAGTACCCGAGCCTCAGGGTTCTTGACAATGATTTGATGGGTTCCAGCAGTCAGAAGAAACGTGATCGCCGATGTGGACACTAGGTAAATACGTCCTTGAGGATAGATCTGAGGCCCCTTGTACAGATGATGCAGGATAGACAGTCCCTGGTCCACTCGGCCTCCTAAGCCACCGAGTACGATGATGTCAGGGGGGGGGTCACACTTTGGAAGGTAGTGTTTCGAGATGTATGAAACACACTTTGTGAAGTCTGTAGAGTCCTGGGACGGGTCCAGGACGACTTCGGTGGAATGGGCGAGAGCCCACGATCTAGTAGTCTGGTGCAGGGAGTCGAGGTCGCCGTGGATCACTTCAAGTGGCTGGATCGGCGTTAAAAAAAGGGGTGAGATAGGGGGACACGTGATTCAACAGGTGTCTCGACGAGGCTGGTGGTGCTGGGGAGTACTGACAATCCTCTTCATTAGGTTTTCAAAAGTGCTATCGCCGTGGAATACTTTATGTAGCCTATTTGCACCTCCATCCGCCGCAATTCGATATCCAGCTGCATTCAATTAGTATCCCAGTGTCCGGTGTAGCAGCAAGGGGTGTCATAATATACCTCTCTCCCATAGTGATCTGAGCAAATCCAAATTATCAAGAGGTTGATTTAAAGTGAGCAAGGCATATCCCTCACAGCCATGATCATGAGATATGAGTCTGGCTGGGTCCCACTTCATAACGGGGCTTGCGCCACCTGTCGAATTCTCCATCAGTGACTGACAGCTGCTTTCTCCAAGAAATAAGCAGTTCCGTGTTAGCAATTTAATAATAAATATCCAATATTTGAGAATTTATGAAATGGTGTGAAATGACTGGGTTATCATGATTCCTGCTAGAAAAAGAAATGACGTCCAGTGGGAGTGGGTGAGCCGCCGACTATTTGTTAGCGATAATAGGGGTTGTCTTAGTTCCACCTTTTCAGGATGATATCTCATAGTAATTGTGCAGTTTGAGATATAGAATTATACACAACATTACTCTCTATAGAAATGATAGTAATGTATTCCATGATATTTGTCTCAGCTTAATATATCGTAAAATGGGGTAAGGTACCATTTCACGTGACCTCGTGACGACCAGGCTAAAATTAACTAAATCCAACTGGGAACAGGCGGCGCCGCGTGGTGCCGACTACCTGACAAAATCCCATAATTGTGGCTCGAAGCGGAGAGGTTTGGAAACCCAAAGGCCACATAGACGACCGCCTTCACGACATTCAACAGTAACGTCGACAACAAGAGACGGCACCGATGTCGACTTAATATTTAGAAAATACCCGCCTTTCGCTTCTCTCTCGGGAATTCTTTTCTGCATCATGGCGCCCCTCGTCGATAATCCGCAGATTGCAGCTGCGACATTACACAACCCGCTGCCCTTATACTTGCACACTTATGTCTGGCCGTTTATGATCATCTGGCCTGTCTTCTTCAGATACTATCTCTCCGAGGAGCTGTACGATAAGCACATTGGAGGCCAGGAATGGACCTTTGTGTGGTGCGGCGCAATAATTACGGTTCAGAGTCTGGTTTGGCTCAGCACCAACTGGAACGTCAACTTGAAGTCATTGTTCACGTCTACTACCGCCAAAACTGTGAAGGAAGCTCAATTGATCAAGGTCCTTCCAGTTGCAAATGCCGGAACTTCTGAGATCTGTAAGATCGTCAGAGATAATGTATGCTAACCCGCCCCCCCAAATCATTACTATGGCGCTGACAGTACCAGGCCGGTGGCAAACCCAACACCTCTTTCCTCTTCCAAAAGCGCCGATTCCTCTATAATGAGCAGGCTAACTCCTTCTCGCCGTTAACCTATGCGATCGATTCCGAGCCAAAGCCACGCATCGAGACTTTCCACAAATCGAGGGGTATCTCATCATCATCTGAGCTCTCAAGGATCCAGCAGCATTATGGCAACAATACTTTCGATATTCCGGTCCCTACCTTTTTGGAGCTATTCAAGGAACACTCCGTTGCCCCGTTCTTCGTGTTCCAGATTTTCTGCGTTGGGCTGTGGATGTTGGACGAATATTGGTACTACTCGCTCTTCACCCTGTTCATGTTGGTCGTCTTCGAGAGCACTGTCGTTTGGCAGCGCCTGAGGACTCTCAATGAGTTCCGTGGAATGAGCATCAAGCCCTACAACATCTACGCTTTCCGGGAGAACAAATGGGTCGAGACTGAAAGCGACAAGCTTCTACCGGGCGACCTTGTTTCTGTTGGCCGCACGAAGGAGGACAGCGGTGTTGCTTGCGATATGCTCTTGGTTGAGGGAAGCGCTATTGTCAACGAGGCCATGCTTTCCGGCGAGAGTACTCCTCTCCTAAAAGATTCCGTACAACTCCGCCCTGGCGATGCCTCCATCGAACCTGAAGGACTTGACAAGAACTCATTCCTGTACGGTGGCACCAAGGTGCTTCAGGTTACCCACGCCTCTGTCGATGAAGAGCGACCAAAGCTTGCCTCTGGTGTCCCAGCCCCACCTGATAACGGAGCCATGGCTATTGTTGTTAAGACCGGATTTGAGACGTCTCAGGGAAGCTTGGTCCGCACTATGATCTACTCTACCGAACGTGTGTCTGCCAACAACGCAGAGGCCCTGTTCTTCATTTTGTTCCTTCTTGTCTTCGCAATTGCCGCATCCTGGTACGTTTGGGATGAGGGTGTGAAGAAGGACCGCAAACGCTCTAAGCTTCTCCTCGACTGTGTCTTGATCGTCACTAGTGTTGTCCCCCCTGAGCTTCCTATGGAGCTCAGCTTGGCTGTCAACACTTCTCTGGCCGCCTTGAGCAAATATGCTATCTACTGTACTGAGCCTTTCCGCATCCCATTCGCTGGACGTGTTGATGTTGCCTGTTTCGATAAGACTGGTACTTTGACCGGCGAGGACCTCGTCGTTGAGGGTATTGCTGGGCTTGGACTTGGCGTTAGCGGAACCGATACACCACGTGAGAACGATGGTGCTCACAGCCATATCACAAAGGTCTTAGATGCTGGTCTTGAGACCACATTGGTTCTAGCTACAGCCCACGCATTGGTCAGACTTGATGAAGGCGACATTGTCGGCGACCCTATGGAGAAAGCTACTTTGACATCCCTTGGATGGAAGCTCGGGAAGAATGACACCCTCAGCAGCAAGAACGTTGTTGGCATGTCGAAGGGGCCAAATGCCATCGCTGCAAACACTGTCCAGATCAAGCGCCGCTTCCAGTTCTCCTCTACCCTCAAGCGTCAAAGTTCCGTCGCAACTGTTACTACCGTCGACCCTAAGACATCCAAGAAGACGAGAAGTACTTTCGTTGCTGTCAAGGGTGCCCCGGAAACAATTCAGAAGAGGCTTGTTCATGTACCAGCTGATTACGAAGAGACTTTTAAGTACTTCACAAGAAAGGGTTCGAGAGTTCTTGCTCTTGCATACAAGCATCTCACCACGGATACTGAACTCGGATCTGGAAAGATTAACGAACTGAAGCGTGAGAACGTTGAGGAAGGTCTATCTTTTGCTGGTTTCCTCGTCCTGCACTGCCCACTCAAGGAAGACGCCAAGGAATCTGTCCGAATGCTCAACGAAAGCAGCCATCGTGTTGTTATGATTACTGGCGACAACCCCCTTACTGCTGTCCACGTTGCAAGAGAGGTTGAAATTGTGGATCGCGATGTTCTCATTCTGGATGCCCCTGAGCACGATGATTCGGGCGAAAAGCTGGTCTGGCGCAGCGTTGACGATTTGGTCAGTATTCCGGTTGATCCTACCAAGCCTTTGGACAAGGAGATCCTTGCTTCCAAGGATCTTTGCGTTACTGGTTATGCTCTCGCAAAATTCAAGGACCAACCCGCACTTCTCTCTCTGATTAGACACACTTGGGTTTATGCTCGCGTGTCCCCAAAGCAGAAGGAAGAAATTCTCATGGGCTTGAAAGAACTCGGTTACTACACTCTTATGGCTGGCGATGGTACCAACGATGTTGGTGCACTGAAGCAGGCTCACATTGGAGTCGCGCTTCTTAACGGAACCAAGGACGACCTGACCAAGATCAGCGAACACATGAGAAACACCAGAATGAAGGATGTATACGAAAAGCAGGTCGGTGTCATGAAGCGCTTCAACCAGCCAACTCCACCAGTTCCAATCTTGATTGCCCACCTCTATCCGCCAGGACCATCCAACCCACAATATGAGAAGGCTATGATTCGTGAAGCAGAGAAGAAGGGTATTACCATCCCAACTGAAGCCGGCAAAGAAAATGGAGTCGAAACTGTTACATCCCCTGCCGCTCAAGCCCTTATCGATGGTGCCTCTCACAAGCGTCAAGAACAAATGAACAAGGCTGCTTCCCTCGCCGACCAACTAACTGCGTCTATGATGGAGTCTGAGCTCGATGACGAGCCTCCGACTATTAAGCTTGGTGATGCCTCTGTCGCCGCTCCATTTACCAGCAAGCTCGGCAATGTTATCGCTATCCCGAACATCATCAGACAAGGTCGCTGCACTCTCGTTGCTACAATCCAGATGTACAAGATTCTCGCACTTAACTGTCTCATTAGCGCCTACAGTCTGAGTGTCTTGTACCTTGAGGGCATCAAGTTTGGTGATGGACAGGTTACTATTAGCGGCATGCTCATGAGCGTCTGCTTCCTTTCCATCTCCAGAGCAAAGTCTGTCGAGGGTCTTTCCAAGGAGCGCCCACAGCCAAATATCTTCAACGTTTACATCATTGGATCTATCCTCGGCCAGTTTGCCATTCACATTGTCACTCTGATCTATATCGCCCGTCTGTGTGATACCATTGCACCGTAAGTTGCCATTCCTAGCCTAGCGAGACATCTCATACTAACTATCCCAGACGTGACCAGGATGTCGACCTCGAGGGCGAATTCGCACCATCTCTGCTTAACAGCGCCGTCTACCTCTTGCAGCTGATCCAGCAAATCTCGACCTTCGCAATCAACTACCAAGGTCGTCCATTCCGCGAGAACCTCTCCGAGAACCGGGGCATGTACCTCGGCATCCTCGGTGTATCTGCACTCGCTTTCTCCTGCTCCACCGAGTTCATCCCAGAGCTCAACGAGCAGATGAAGCTTGTCCCATTCACCTCCGACTTCAAGGTTCGCATGACCGCGACCATGTTGGTCGACTACGTCGGCTGCTACGTCATTGAGAAGGGTCTCAAGTGGGGTTTCAGTGACTACAGGCCCAAGGACATCGCCATCAGACGCCCAGAGCAGATCGCCAAGGAGGAGGCGAGGAAGGCTGTGGAGGCTGTGGAGGCGAAGAAGAAGAAGGCGGAGGATGCTGCGAAGAAGGAGAAGGAGACGATTGAGAAGGCGGAGAAGGCTATGGCGGATCTGAGGGCTAAATGGAGTAGGCAGTAGATCGTGGGGGAGGGGTTGGGTATACATACTGTGAGACGTTGATAGAATGTAATGATAGGCTTTTTTGATTATCTGTTTACTCTTACAATTATTATTTTGGTGTGTAATATCCAAATACGTTTCTAGAGTCGGGTCAGGGTGTTATAGTGACTGTATTCGTGCATGTTGATTACAGTTGCTAACGCGAACATGTGTCATTTTTTTTTTGTAGTGGCTGTATTCGTGCAAGGTGATTACAGTTACTCAAACGAACATTACGGCTATAGCGACTGTATTCGTGCATGGTGGTTATAGTTACTCACACGAACATTAGCTGCTATAGTGACTGTATTTGTGTAAGGTCATTGCAGTTACTGGCGCGAACATTGGATATCACAGAGCCCCTGAGCCTCACTTACAGACATGTGCACCCAAACTTTAAATCGGCACGACAAAAAAGGAACATCCCGCCCAAGTTATCAGCGAGGGCAATTTTAATTTATCTAAAGTAAATAAGGACTTTGAGAACAAGCCACTAACGGCGTAATACATCGTCGAAAATAACATCCCATCCGATTATCCGAATCCAGCCCCCAACACATACCCCATCTTTCCACCTAAGCACTAACAACCGACTCTCCTCCAGGGTATGTCGCCTCATACTCCAAGATCAACTTGCACCCTCTCCCAGGGTTAATCTTGACATTAAAGTTGATCTCCCCGCCCTTCTTCGCCGTCGCAACCGCAGATCCCCACTTACTATCCTTCCCATAAACACCCGCCCTCACCGCGCCCAATGCGCTCTTCCCCGCCGCCAGCGAACCAATACTCTCCCTCGGTTTATCCCCATCCTTCGGCGCCCCAGCCAACACCGCATCGCCGCCAATCCGCAACCCCCTCGGCGTCATGATCTCGATCTTCAGACGCTCTTCCTCGCTAATAGGCACCTGCTCTAGAAGCGTGAGTTCCACGATGGTGTTGCTCTTGGTATTAGTGAGCGTGGCGACGCGGGTGAAAACCTCGCAGTTCTCCTTTGTAAAGAGACCGCTCGAGGAGCGCTGGACGGAAGGACGAGAGTATCCCACTGTGACGGCGGGGTCGACGCCGAGGTTGAGCGTGAAGGAGTCGCCGGCGGTGCAGCGTGGGATTGTTGACTGGCCCAAGAAGGACCCGTCGACGGTCAGACCGGCGCTGCCCTTCAGGAGGGTGATCTTCGAGGTGTTACGCAGCTTGGCTTTGAGGAACGCATCAGCGCGCAACTTGGGCACTACAATGTGGCTGAATACCACGGCCTTGAACTCCACGCGGGCGATCTTATGCTTAGTTGCTGTGCTGACGGGCGAGAGGGTCTTCAAGCTCGGGAGGTCGTAGGTGGTTGTTAGGCCTGACTCCTCGAAGCTGCTCTCCTCGAACAAGAGGGCAGGTTCGATAATTCCCCCAAGAGTCGCGCCATCAGCATCATCGGCATAATAACCGCCCTCCTCCTCATCTTCGTTCTCGTACTCTTCCGCGCCTCCTCCTCCATGTGCCTGCCCCCCGAAGCCTCTGCGCGACACCTGCTTTTTCTTGGACGACGAGCTGAATAATCCTGATGGAGCAGCTCCTGGTGGCGGTGGTGGCATGCTACCAAAACCTCTAGTCGTTGGAGCTGCCAGCGAGGCCATAGCCATTGGGGCGGGGTGTTGTGGAGGTGCAGAACTTCTCAACCTCCGTGCCTCTGAAGCCTGTATATATAATAGTTGATTAGCATGCGCCCTTTTCTGTATCTGACTATGAGGGGGACGAAATCGGATATCCTGACGAAACATAACACGGTTTTCTTGAAGGGGGCTTACAGCTTCATAGTGGACGTCTTGCGGCGGTCTGAAAGCATGTTTTGCAAGAGGCACAACATCGCGGTCGATTCCAAACAGCTCATTTCGGGGTTGGTAGACCTGTGGTGGGAGCTCTTTGCGGGTTTGGTGGGCTTGGTTTATCTCGTCGCTTGATTGGAGAGCGGCGTTATAGCCATGGTACCCATCGCCCCTGACGAGACGAATGTGCCATGGCTGTAGCGTAGGGATGGTATCCGACAGCCCTTGGTAAGAGGATTGCGAGGTCGAGAGAACGACCTTGGCATCACGCCAGGTCTCAGATGTCACATTGGTGAGCTCAGCAGAATAGTCGAGCGTTCCCGTATTGGTGACTGTATTGAGACTCAGATCGTATCGTGGGGTCCATGACGCAGAATATGTGATATAGGAAAGTAAAAGATTGATCTCTGCCGTATCAAATGAATCATCGGATTTAGTGACTTCCGGAACTTTGACCGTGCTATCGATGGAGCTGCGTCTTGATGAAGCCGGCGTAAATCCAGAAGGCGCTTCGAGGCTGATTGTAATTTTGAATACCTTCTTTGGCCAAAATTTGACTCGCTCTTTGCGGATCCTGGCTTTCTCTTCTGCCTTTTCACGCCTCTTGCGCTCTTCCTTCTCTCTCGCCTTAGCCTTCTCCTTTTCTGCCTTCGCCTTCGCCTTTCGCGACTCTCGAGTGAGCCGATGCTGCTCTTTGGCCAATTCACCAAGTCTCGTCCCGATTTCCTGAATTCTCTTATCCGCAGTAGTCTTCTCCGCAAAAATCTTTGCTCGCTCATCACGATAACCATCAGTTACCTCGCTCAGATTGATTGCGTTCTTGGCGCAAGCTTGGTTTGTGAGATACAAATCAACCATGGTCAACCGCCTGGAGACGTTATTTTGGATTTCATATTGCTGCTCGGCTTCATTCTCAAGCTTTGCCGTTTCGTCAGCAACCTCCTTCAGCCGACCAGTCACCTTCTCCGCCTCAGCATCGGACTCCTCCTCTGACGTCTCATTGTCAGACTCATCTTCGTCGGGGTAGATATCAGCGTAGACTTCCGGGTTTGGCACCAGCTCAACGGTGAGATCAGTGATGGTAGCCGCTCCAGTTCCATCAACCTTGATGGAATGCTCATCACAGGTAGGAGTCAACCCGATGATGGTAACTTGGTTTGGGCCAGGCTATTGTCATGTGTCAGTTATAATTCTACGTGATAGCTAGGAGAATAAACTTACCTTCAACGAGACGCCATTAACATTGCGGACGATTTGAGCTTTGGTAGGATACAACGTGACGCTTTTCGTGCCTAGCTTTCTTATAGAAAACTCTTGTTTTGGGATCTGAGCCTCCATCGTGAAATGTGAAGATACTGGTTAGAGGCGGATATGAGACAATGATCAGTGCGAAATTGTTTGATAACTAGTGGGATTGTTGACAAGGCAAAGAGGGCAAATATTGTTTTAAATGTCAAATATCAAGAGGAAGAGAAGTACGAAGAGAAGGAAAGACGAATACTTATATGTCTTGGACAAAGAGCGATGACCCATCTTGGAAAGTTAAGCATGTTGGTGCCTGGCTAGGTACGGGGCTTTGAAAGCGGGGATGTGGCGGTGGCTGTGGGTCGCCATCGGGAAAGACCAAGCTGCATAACTGGAAATCAACGTAACACGCCAATGCAACACATCATCGCTGGGAGAAGCTGAGAAACAACAGCTATGCGCCCTGATATACAACAGCGCTGCATAATTGTCGCTTATGCAGGGATTTCGGAGATCCGTTTTGTAGACCTCTGCCCATGGCGCAAAGGGTTCTGGATCATAGCTCTTGAAGCCAGATACCATTGCCACCATCAGTCTCGGGTCCTTTTCCTTGAACGGTTTCGGTAGCTCGTTTGATGGGTTTGTAAGACTAATGAGAAGGGATCGATCAGGAGGGATCGATCTAGCTCAACTCTGTCCTAGGTCTACTTAGAAAACTTCCCTCTAAAAACGTCCCTGATCCACAGCTTGAACACATCATATTTCACGAGTTCCTCCAGGTGATACTCGGCGCTGATGTTATAGTTCGTGTTGCCCTTGAGGATCTGAATGTTATATTTCACGTAACTGCCTTGGTAGATGAATTGGTGTCCGATCTCCGTTGAGCCATCAATCTCGCGTGGTTTCGCGGTCCCAGCGACAAACCAGACATTAGCCCGCTTGAAATTGCCAACTTCTTCATTAGTCTCCGGCATATCCATTTGAGTACCTAGCCGTCAAGTAGATTATTAGACAGATAGCTATCTATATGCTTGCTATTACCACCACCGCCTCTTAATTATGCCCAATTGGTAAGCAGTTACGAGTTGCGTGTCTTCCTTCAACCCCCATGAACGCTCTAACTGAGGCAGCATATTGTCCGGCTTCATCTCGTCCTCCCACACCAGCTCCCTCTTACACCTCCCCCAATCGCTCTCTTCTCGATTCTGAAGCAGCATGTGATACCACAGGCTGTACGCTTCTGGTTGATTCTCGAAACCATCATCGACCCCGACCACATACTTCAGCCTCAGCATCTCCAGCGCCCCTTCGCGCACCAGCCACTCCAACTGATTAAGCATCAGTATGATTTGCCAACCATGGAAACGTTTCACGTCCCACACATTCCCGATTACCATCTCGACGCGCTGGATCCCCTGGCGAGCCGGACCAAGATACGCCAGCACTTCGCACCCAACCGCGTAGTCAGGGAGGACGAGCGTGTTAGCAGCCCAGAATCTGCCGGCGGTTTCAGCATGGAGCTGGCGGTTGACGAGAGGGAGGGAGTGGGCGAGTGGGAGGAGTGTTGGGGAGAGGAGCTCCGAGGTGGTAGGGGCGCAGGGAACGAGGTGCAGAGTCCTGGTGACAGCAACGCGGAGGGCGGCGGCGTAGGCGGGGACGTCGTAGGTGGTGGCGGTGTAGTAGGGGTCCTCTGTTGACCGAGGAAGGGGAAGGGGCCGTATGGCAGTCCAGACGAAGGGCGATGGCGGGTTAGCGGCGGGGAAGGTGCGGTAGTAGACGGGGAGGACGCGTGAGGTGGGGGAGACGAGGCATAGCTCCCAGATGAGATCTCGGATTTCGCGGGGGAGGGTAAGTAGGGTGGGTGGTGTTTTGGCGTCCGTCGGGGTCGTGGATGCCATGATCTTGTTCGATCAGATATTGGGCAGGCAGGCGACTGAAAGTATCACATATCTATTACATGTAAGTCCTGCACCGAACCTGTGATCTGTCGATATAATTCTATACACACATGATAAATCGTGTTGTATGTAGGATCCTCCTAATCTGGCGTTGAATTAAAGTCCGCCGTGCTTCACACTTCCTGCTTCATAAAATATCGATGCAGCTGGCCTAATCAAGTCTTTGTGATCGGTTGATATGGAAGATCGAAATGACACTGTAGTATATTTCTCTCCTAGCCAGAGTAAGTAGGCAAATCCAACGATGGTAAATAAACAGTAATGGACGGTTTGGTGGACATCACGAGAGAACCTATGAGACTCAGCCTCGTACATTGCACTTCTCGAGAAGCTTAGCTCTACTCATGCCGCTTCAAAACCAGGCTGAGGCTGTGAGCAAACCCGAAAGGGCGGTGGCTGCACCCTAAAGCACTCCAAAGTAACACAGTATGCCTTGTAGACTTTCATCATATAGGTTGAAGGCGACCAGCGTATTCACAGCTTAGAAGTGCAAAAGGAAGCTCGATCTAGATTGTGATATCGTGTACAAATATCACTAACGGACGAGATCCATGTCTAATACTTATTGTTGTTCATATTCGTGGTACGGCAGTTAAAGCCCTACCAAAGTCATACCAACATACCTATGTAGGTACTTTGTGTTAACTAAAGGGGATATAACCAAGGTCCCGTACGGTCCGTTTAGCATTCATTTATGAGATACATATAATTTTCCTTTTCCTTTCAAAAGACACAAAATCATCCTCCTCAGTGACGATATGCGACGCTATCCAGAGCTGCCCGCAGATCCCTATACGCATGGAGAGTAGCTGGTGGCGGGTTGTTGAACTATGTGGGTTCGTCCATCATGTCTCTGCCCCTCACGCACAGCCTCACTCGTATGGCGCCACAAATTTCTCCGCACATTTCTCCGCACGTAAACAATACATTTTTCAAAAAGGAGGGTTATCACGAAATGGGTTGCTTTTAATGATGGAAAAATGCAAAAGGCTGCCTGCCCTACTACGCCATGCTTATCATATTTTAGTGGTATTACGTCTTAGTAGTTTCATCACAAGTGTAGTTCCGTGTTATCATGCACTATTAAGACTGGAATGGGGAAGACGTGTTCAAGCTTTTAATGCAGTCTCCTGAATTTATGTTGCTCAGGATATACATAGAAAAATTTGTTGTTGTACAAAGTGTCAGCGCCATCTCCCATCATTATACCCCCTGCCTTCTCTCCTCTACAACAGGAGCTCAAGAGGGTTCTCGACAACCTTCTTGAACTCACGGATCCACTCGCCGCCAACAGCACCATCCACAACCCTGTGGTCGAAGCTGCCGGTAACAACGATCTGGTCGTCCCATTCAATAGACGATCCCTCCTCGGTCTCAACTGGGATGGCAACCTTCTTGGTAGTGCCAACAGCCAAAATGCCAGCCTGGGGTGGGTTGATGATGGCAGTGAAGCGGTCGATGGCAGAGTTCATGCCCATGTTGCTGATGGTGAAGGTTCCGCCCTGGTACTCCTCTGGCTTCAGCTTGCCGTCTCTGGCGCGCTTGCCGAGATCCTTAACGGCGGCAGAGATGCTGGCGAGGCCAAGTCCCTCAGCGTTCTTGACGATAGGGGTCATAAGACCGACTGGGGTGGAGACAGCGACGCTGATGTCAACGTTGTTGAACTGGCGGATGTAACCGTCTCTCCAGCTGGAGTTGACAGCTGGCACCTTCTTGCAAGCAACAGCGCAGGCCTTGATCAGGAGATCGTTGACGGAGAGCTTGTACTGTCCATCAGCAGTGGAGTTGAGGGACTGGCGGAGCTTAAGGAGCTTGGTAACCGAAACCGACGAGGCAACGAAGAAGTGTGGGCTCTGGTTCCACGACTCCTGGAGGCGGCTTCCAATGACCTTGCGCATGGAGGTGGTCTCGATGTCCGTGTAAGAGGCAGCAGCAGGCGCGGCAGCGGCGCTAGTGGCAGCACCCGAAGAGGCCTTCTTAACATCCTCCTCCGTAATGCGTCCGCCGGAACCGGTGCCCTTGACGGAGCTGATCTTGACGCCGTTGGACTTAGCCAGACGCTGAGCAGCGGGGCTGGCATTGGGCTCACGGTCCAGGGCGGACTGGAGCTTGCCTCCGCTGGATGCAGACTCCTCAGCAGCGGGTGTTGGGGCTGGCTTGGGTGCCGCTGGGGTCGACTCCTTCGACTCGGAAGCTTGCTCCTTTGGTGCCTCAGCGGCAGCTTGTCCACCAGCATCCTCAATTGTGAAATCCGCGAACGCCGATGCGTCCTCCCCCTCTTCGATCATGACCGCAATTGGCTGTATCGGATCAGCGGACAGCTCCAAGTATTATGTGTATGGGAATTGGGGACTTACGTTGCCAACTGCGATGTCCTTCGAGCCAGAATCCTTCAGAATCTTGGCCAAAACACCCTCCTCCTGGAACTCAAAGTCCATCTGTGCCTTATCGGTCTCAATCTCCACCAAGACATCACCAGGTACGATTGCATCACCGGCCTTTTTCTGCCACTGGCCAATGTTACCGGAAGTCATCGTCGGCGACAGCGCTGGCATAGAGACGATCGAGTGTGGAGGGTATGACTTCGCAGCGTAACATCTTGCGAATTGAAAAGGGAGGTTTGTGGACTGAAGCGCCCGTCGCCTGAGTACTGCTGTGAACATTGTGACGGATGGAGCGCTCGCTGCTCGCGAATGTGAATTAAATGACACTAAGAGGAAGAGGAGACCTCAATTGATGAATTTGAGGGGTGAGGAGAAAGAAGAGCGAGCCTTGTGGATGAAGTCGTGTGGCTCTGACGGGACTTAGAGACCGCTCGAATTCAAAATGTCGCGGATATGTTGGGTTGAACTCCGAAGCTTGAGGATTTTCCGTAATCTCGCTCTAGTCGCATACGGTATAGCTCATTCAACACTCGATGGAGGATATTGATTGGCTGTGACGGGTTAATAATCGACCGAGAATCCGACCGGCGGAGCGCGGGAGGATCCATGGAGGACAAGGCGATTAGGCGTGTTCAAGGTACCCAGGTATAGACGAGAATAGCTGTGAAGGCACCCTAAGGACTGCGACCTGTCCTTGCCAATAATTATTTCCAGTCTCTCACGTTCAACTTATTCCGTGATACCGCGGCCATCGCGATTTAATTATATTTTATAAGGGCGACAAGGTCCTACTTCTCTTTAACGATACCCCCAGGAACGAGCTCACGATTGGAATGGCTTAATGGGAGAAAACGGAACGGACATCATGAGCTCCATCGTATTTGTTGTGTCAGCTCTGGATGCTATCGCCGCATCCAAGGAGGCGCACAAGAAGCCTCAACTCGGCGAGGCGACAAAGAAGGCTCTTGCCGATATAAAAGCTCTCGAACCTCAACTACCAGACCCGGAGGTCCTCTTCATTCCCTTGCAGCTTGCGACCCTATCGTCGAATATTGCGCTTACGACGACTGCCCTCGACTGCATTGGGAAGCTGATTAGCTACTCATACTTTTCGCTCCCATCCACAACCCCGACAGAGAACGATGCCGACAAGGCACCTCTAATTGAACGAGCAATCGACACAATATGCAACTGCTTCCAGGGCGAAAGCACGCCGGTGGAGGTCCAGCTACAGATTGTGAAGTCTCTCTTGGCAGCTGTGCTGAATGACAAGATTGTGGTTCATGGAGCTGGCCTCCTGAAAGCTGTGCGACAAGTTTACAATGTCTTCCTCCTGTCGAAAAACAGCGCCAACCAACAAGTTGCCCAAGGCACATTGACGCAGATGGTCGGCACAGTCTTCGAGAGGGTCAAGACAAGGATACACATGAAAGAGGCCAGGGCAAACCTGTCAAAGCTTGGGAAAGATACTGCAAACGGCAGCTCCGTAACAGTTAATGCTTCGGAAGCCGAGAGTATAGCAGATGCAGATACGGAGAAGGTGGATGCGGATGCGGAACCAGAGACTACTCCTCCAGGGGAAGAAGGCCCCAAGCTCACACTGAAGGATCTGGAGCACAGGAAAGATTTCGACGACTCGCATATGGGCGATGGACCTACGATGGTCACACAGCTGAAGCAAGCCAGAAAGGCCTCTCGAGCTACTTCGAATCAAACCTCGGTTGAAGATGGTTCGGATGAGACCAACGACGACGAAATGGAGGATGAGGTCTACATTAGGGACGCATACCTCGTCTTCCGTTCATTCTGCAACCTGAGCACAAAGATTTTGCCTGCCGACCAATTATTTGATCTGAAGAGCCAAGCGATGCGATCCAAGCTAATATCTCTTCACCTCATCCACACCCTGTTGAATAACCATGTCTTGGTGTTCACCTCGCCGCTATGCACCATCACCAATAGCAAAAACAACGAGCAGACAAGCTTTCTACAGGCGGTTAAGTTTTATCTATGCCTGAGCATTACACGGAACGGTGCCAGTTCTGCGGATCGAGCTTATGAAGTATGCTGCGAGATTTTCTGGCTGATGCTGAAATATATGCGTGCGCCATTTAAGGTATAGGTTCACCGTTGATGTTATACTTCTGTCATTTTCTAACAAGCAAACTACAGAAAGAAATAGAGGTTTTCCTCAACGAAATATACTTCGCTCTTATTGAGAGACGGAGTGCGCCCCTTAGCCAAAAGATATACTTCATGGGTATCTTGCAAAGGTTCTGCGCTGATCCAAGAGCTCTTGTGGAAACTTACCTCAATTATGACTGCGATCGAGCAGCTCTGGACAATATGTTTCAAAGGCTTATCGAAGACCTTTCGAAGGCATCCAGCACCTCGGTCACTATTAGCCCGATCCTCCAGCAACAGTATGAGGACCGTGCCAACAAGGGGCCCATCGACTGGCAATCCAAGGGAGCAATGCCGCCGCCCCTTTCGACAATGTATATGAGTAATTACAGCGAGAATGAGTCGGAAGTGCCAAAAGAGTACATTGTAAAGCGTCAGGCCTTGGATTGTCTTGTGGAGACTCTAAGGTCATTGGTAAATTGGTCCCAACAAGGCATTGCTGATGTCACGGCACCAGCGCCTGACAGTCTGGATCCTCGAGTTTCGACAGACGATTTTAGAGCTTCGATTGATCCATCTGGAGGAGATTCAGCATCAAAATCGGGCGATGGTAACACTCCGTCCTCGGCCTCCACACCTATTCCCGAAGATGACCCAGACCAGCTAGAAAAGGTGAAGCAAAGGAAAACTGCCATGGCCAATGCCATCAAACAGTTTAATTTCAAACCTAAACGAGGCATAAAGCTTCTACTTTCTGGGGGGTTCATTCCAAGCGAAAGCCCCGAAGATATTGCCAAGTTTCTCTTAATGGATGACAGGCTGGATAAAGCTCAAATCGGCGAGTTTCTCGGAGAAGGTGACCCAAAGAACATCGAAATCATGCACGCTTTTGTGGATGCTATGGATTTCACGAAACGCCGATTTGTAGACGCACTTCGCCAGTTCTTGCAGTCGTTCCGACTTCCCGGAGAGGCTCAGAAGATCGATCGTTTCATGCTTAAGTTTGCAAATCGCTACGTTACTGGCAACCCGAACGCCTTTGCGAATGCTGATACTGCATACGTGCTGGCATATTCCGTGATCCTGCTAAACACTGATCTTCATAGCTCCAAAGTCGCCAAACGCATGACCAAGGAAGACTTCATCAAGAACAACCGTGGAATCAACGACAACGCTAACTTACCTGACGACTACCTGAATGGCATCTATGATGAGATTCAGGGCAACGAAATCGTACTGAGAAGTGAGCAAGAAGCCGCAGCTGCTATGGGAATAGCACCTCCTCAAACTGGTGGCGGCATTGCCTCCGGCCTCGGTCAAGCTCTTGCAACTGTTGGCCGTGACCTCCAGCGCGAGGCCTACTTGCAGCAAGCTGAAGAGATCTCGATTAGATCCGAGCAGCTCTTCAAAACCCTCTTCAGAAACCAGCGACGCAATGCTGCCAATTCTGGCGCCCCAAAATTCATTCCTGCTACGTCTTTCAAGCATGTTGGACCAATGTTCGAGGTCACATGGATGTCCTTCTTTTCTGGGTTGTCTGGACAGATGCAAACTGCCCATAACTTGGAAATTATCAAGCTCTGCATGGAAGGCATGAAGCTAGCGGTCCGCATTGCCTGCCTATTCGACCTGGAGACCCCCCGCGAGGCATTCATATCCGCCTTAAAGAACTCAACCAACCTTAATAATTTGCCAGAAATGATGGCGAAGAACGTGGAGGCGCTGAAGGTGCTTCTGGAAATAGCCCAGACTGAAGGAAATGTCCTCAAGGAGTCGTGGAAGGACATCCTTATGTGCATCAGCCAACTTGATCGGCTACAGCTCATCTCTGGGGGTGTCGATGAAAGGGCGATTCCAGATGTGTCGAAAGCTCGCATTGTGACAGCCCGACCAAATCCTGATGAGCCAAGAAAATCTTCCGCGAGCCAAAGACCTCGCCAGAGGCCGCGCTCCACCACACAGACTGGCTACTCCGTTGAAATCGCACTCGAAAGCCGTTCCGATGAGGTCATCAAGGGTGTTGATAGGATATTCACCAACACCGCGAATTTATCAGGAGAGGCAATCGTTCACTTTGTTAGAGCCCTGACGGAAGTCAGCTGGGAGGAAATCAAAATATCAGGACAGAATGAATCGCCAAGAACTTACAGTCTCCAAAAGCTTGTGGAAATCAGCTACTACAACATGACCCGAGTTCGTTTTGAGTGGACAAACATTTGGCTTATTCTTGGCGAGCACTTCAACAAAGTTGGCACTCATAACAACACCGCCGTTGTATTCTTTGCCCTCGATTCTTTGCGACAACTGTCAATGCGTTTCATGGAAATGGAGGAGCTTCCTGGTTTCAAGTTCCAGAAGGATTTCCTCAAGCCTTTCGAGCATGTCATGGCATACAGCAATGTGGTTGCCGTGAAAGACATGGCTCTTCGTTGTCTCATTCAAATGATCCAAGCACGTGGCGAGAACATCCGTTCTGGATGGAGGACGATGTTCGCGGTTTTCACAGTGGCGGCAAGAGAGCCGTATGAGAGCATTGTTAATCTTGCATTTGACAATGTCAACCAGGTCTACAAGACCCGCTTTGGTGTTGTCATCTCACAAGCTGCCTTCCCCGATCTCGTCGTTTGTCTCACGGAATTCTCAAAGAATATGAGGTTCCAAAAGAAGGGTCTTCAAGCCATGGAAACGCTCAAGTCAATTATCCCAAAGATGCTAAAGACACCCGAGTGCCCTCTCTCCCTAAGATCTACGGCCAATTCTGACGGCTCAATTCCGGCGAAGGATGGGCCCAAGAACGAGCCAAGCCGTGCTTCGCAAGAAGAGGCTTTCTGGTTCCCAGTCTTATTTGCTTTCCATGATGTGCTCATGACTGGAGAAGACCTCGAAATCAGATCAAACTCGCTCAACTATCTCTTCGATTCCCTCATTAAGTATGGTGGTGACTTCCCGCCTGATTTCTGGGACATCGTTTGGAGGCAACTGTTGTACCCGATCTTCATGGTGTTGAAGTCCAAATCCGAGCTTTCAAATGTTTTAAAGCACGAAGAACTCTCTGTATGGTTATCAACAACCATGATCCAAGCGCTTCGCAGTATGATCACGTTATTTACGCACTATTTCGAAGCACTTGAATATATGCTGGATAGGTTTTTGGACCTTTTGGCACTTTGCATCTGTCAAGAGAACGACACAATTGCGAGGATTGGTAGCAACTGTCTGCAGCAACTTATACTACAGAATGTGACGAAGTTCAAGCCCGAGCACTGGGCGAAGGTGGTTGGATGCTTTGTCAACCTCTTCAAGAAGACCACCGCGTACGAGCTTTTCTCCGCTGCGACCAACCCGTCCACTCCATCCCTTTCATCGACTGGTTTCGAAAATGGACCCGTCGATGCGGATGGTGCCGACAGCCCTGAAGTTTCTTCCTTGAAGATAAACGGAGCAAATGGAGCGAACGGCTCCGTCGGTTCAGATTCAGGAAGTATGTTGGACGACGAGGGAGCAGGCCCGTCGGCGACCAACTCAGCATCGGGATTGGAAGACTACAAGCCACAGAGTGATGTTCAACAGCAGCCTATTCCGGTCACAGCAGCCCGTCGACGCTTCTTCAACCAAATTATAACTCAATGCGTTCTGCAGCTTCTGATGATTGAAACGGTCAACGAGCTGTTTTCAAACGATGCAGTATATGCTCAAATTCCAAGCCCCGAACTTTTACGGCTGATGGGTCTTTTGAAGTCGAGTTTTCTTTTCGCAAAGAAGTTCAACAACGACAAGGATCTGCGCATGCGGTTGTGGAGAGAAGGCTTCATGAAGCAGCCACCGAACTTGCTGAAGCAGGAAAGTGGAAGCGCCTCGACTTATGTCAGTATCCTTTTGAGGATGTATCATGACGAGAGCGATGAGAGGAAGCGCAGCCGCAACGACACCGAGGCAGCGCTTGTCCCTCTGTGCGCAGACATCATCCGCAGTTATACACTGTTGGATGAAGAATCGCAGCAAAGGAACATCATCGCGTGGAGGCCTGTGGTTGTCGATGTGATTGAGGGTTATACTAACTTCCCGGAGGATGGGTTTACTAAACAAATTACTGTGTTCTACCCACTAGCTGTGGACCTCCTGAATAAGGATGTGGGTGTGGATGTCCGCCTGGCGCTACAGGGCCTTCTTAGGAGAGTAGGAGAAACAAAGCTTGGAATTCCTCCTTCGTCCAGGACGACTTCACCAGATGGAATGCTTCGCGGGCCAAACCCGTCAAGATCAAGACGGGCTAGCCGCCGCGACTAAAATCCCGGGATTTGCAGATGAGATGACAAGTTACTGTGACTTGGGTCATCGTTGGTTCTGATCCTGTTTATATTGAGCTGGTTATGCGGATGGTAAAACTGCATATGGTTATGAGGAGCGGTTGTAATACTCTAAATAGATTGTATTGCTTTGTACGATACTTTATATGGTCCTGCACAAAAATGGCAATATATCAATGATTGATTATAAATGCCTATATTTTATGCCCATTTGTTCCGTGAATAGGCGTTTTATATTTTAAATTTATGATTGTCTATTTGCGCTGTGCTAATTTGCATACAAGTAGTAGAGATAATACAGTATTGAACCATCAGCCCAATCAATTATTGTTCAAAGCCTTTATAGATTCAAGTGAAGGGACCTCATTAGGGCCATAGAATTCTAGTAGCCTTGCCATGTCTTCCTCAGTCATGGAACACAAGTCGTCCAAACTGTACGAGTCACTGACCCTTATCATCCTTCGCCACGTTAGTAATCTAAGGGAATCAGGAACAGCCGTTGACATACCAAGACATTCGCTTTGGACCTTCCTCTGGCCGCGGTGCAATTTTCCGAAGCATCTCCCTCAGCTTTCCAACCTTTTCTATGCCTCCCCCAGCATTTGTTGGTAGGTTCGAAGCAATGGAGCGCCTCATTATATTCGCATAACGCGGCCCCTTCCCATTGGTGCTCACCATAACCTGCAGTGGGCCATCTCTGTGCGTACTTCCAAAGTAAAAATCGCACTCCAGTGGTACATCTGCAATGTTTGCCGGAATCCTCCTTTCCTTGCATAACTTCCATACCTGGGTCGAGGCTTCTGGATCGTCGACCGCGGTCAGGACCATATCGACGTCGTCGAGGTCGGAGGGTTCGAATTTACGGTCGACATAGTCGACTTGGCCTTGCTCTATCCTGTATGCCACCTCTTTATTGAGCCCGCTCCGCGGTGATACGACAGTAACCTTCGCATCCGCATTGAGTACGTTTAGTATTCGTCCGGCTGCAACCTACGAAACTCAGTTAGACATCGTCCATGGAAATTGGGCACAAGTGATCTTACCTCGCCGCCTCCCACCACAAGAACCCTCTTGTTCTTAATCTGCCACGCCAATAACAGCGACCCCCCTCCCTGAACCTCTGGAAACGGAGACGGCGGCGTCATATTCTAGTTGTGGCGAAGCTATGATTCACCAAGTGCCCCGCGAGCGAGGTATTTCGGCAGGAGCACCGATAAGCGATAAGGCACTCTTGGCGAAGCACCAACACCACCTGCCGGGGTCAGTGAGGCGGCGGGACCCTGACGGCATCACCATTCGCCCAGAGTCGAATGTGAAGAATCGCGCTGTATCCACTCCCGCCATGGCCGCGCGGAAGCTTGGAGGCGGGAGGATACTGGGGAGCGGGAAGTCGCTGGCGCCGCCGAACACGTCGTCGCATACGAGGTCGTCGAGCCTCCTCAGCATTGGGGAGAGCGTTGTCAGCGTCGACTCAAATGTGAGCACGCCGCTGGGGACGAGCCCGCTGAAGGATGGCGGGAATGATTTGGGATCACGAGTGAGCTTGGATAGTAGGAATGATGGCAATGCGGCGAACACGGGGAGCACGAAGCTCATTTGCCCTATATGCAATGAGGAGATGGTAAGGTTCCAGGCTCCAGGTTCTGGACACCCTACTAATGTGCCGGACAGATGACTCTTTTGCAACTCAATCGACATCTAGATGATGACCACCGAGAGCTACCGCCGGTCGAGCAAGTGGAGGTGAAGAATTGGTTTGAGAAGCAGGTCGTTAAAGCGAAGAAGTTCCAGCCGTTGGTGGTAATAAACCAGAAGCTCAAGGGGCTTGATGTCTTCGAGTCGAACGATTCCCTTGCGGCAATGCCCATACAAACTACATCATCTTCTATCCATAGACCACAGCAATTGGTGGAACAAGTCCGGCAGTCCGACCCAGACGAGGTTGTCACGCGAACACACTGGCAGAAGAACGGATACAATGATGTGTGCACAGAGCCGTCATGCGGCAAGAGGCTGGGTCCTGTCAATGGCAACATCAACTGCAGGAAATGCGGACGCCTTTTCTGCGAAGACCATACCATGTACCAAATGAAGCTGTCGAGATCGGCACAACACGAACCTGTCCGTGGATTCTGGTGCAGGTGCTGCGAAACATGCTACAAATCAAGAGAAGGATATAACGACCACAGCAGCCTTATCAAGAACCATACGGACGCCTTTGCGGCACTACGGAGGCAGAAAGTAGACAAGCACCACCTTGAGATTTCAAGGTTGGAAAAGAGATTGTCGAAACTCACGCACCTACTGGCAAATCCGCCCGAAGATTTGGTTGCAAGTGGTGGAGGTCTCTTATCAGGCTCGCGAAACGACCCACGGAAAGCTATTGAGCAATCCGTGGTTACGTGGGAAGAAGACGCAAAAGTGGCAAAATGTCCGTTCTGCCAACAAGAATTTGGCAACTGGACTTTTAGGAGGCATCACTGCAGGATATGCGGCCGCGTCGTATGTGCTGATTCACGAACTGGATGTTCATCCGAAATTGGCTTAAACGTTAGCAGAAGTATGCATGTTCCTTTCTTGGTTGCAGGCTACTATTACCACGCGGAAGCTTACATTGATACAGATATCCCACCAGGCAGTATAAATATAGATGTTAGGATGTGCCGAGATTGTCGAACGACGATATTCAGCAGGAAAGATTTCGAGGCCGAATTAGTGCATAAACCTACAGTGCAAAAGTCTTACGAGAACCTGATACAGTTTGAGCGAGGTATACGACCACTGCTGGCTAGCTTCCAGAAGACGCTTCCGATGTTACAGGATCCCGACCAACCTCCATCTCACACACAGCTGGCTGAAGCAGCTAAAGTAAGAAAGCGGTTGATCGACTCCTTTGGAAAGTACGATATGGCAGCAAAGCGCATACGGGATCTCCCAACATCGAACGAGACGGAGGCTAAGTTGCAGAAAGCAATATACCAACAAGCGTCGAATTTTCTGCACCTCCATATGCTGCCACTTAAGTCTCTTCCCAAACTACTCAAACATGCCTCACCTCATGGGTCCGGAAACCCAAGGCCAGCGCGTAACGGCGGTGGTGGCGCCCTTGCTGCGATCAAATATAACGACATCGACTCTGCGAGCCAGATGAGCAGCAGCTCCTCTGTCGTAGCTATGGAAGCGGAAGAAAAGGAGCTGCGGGAAAGGTTAATTGTTTTAGAAGAGCAGAAGTTTATGGTTAGCGAAATGATCGCCGATGCGAATAAAAGGCGAAAATTCGACGAGGTTTCCAGCCTGTCGATGAATATGGAGGACTTGAGCAAGGAGATCGATCAGGTTACTGGTATGATTGAGCACTTGGATTTCGCCGGTGCCTATGAAAATGGACAGGTGGGGAGGTGACGGGAGGCAAACCATGGACCAAAGGGCGTTCTCTGAGCGGCGTATTTTGTCTATTGGGTTGATATATTTGGGAGTTCGAGATTTGTTAGGGAGCGAAGACAAGAGATGAGGATGAGGGTATTGATTGGCGCACGACGATGACCGACTTATAAACATAATGTCTTTCATGGACTCTTATCGAGAAAAGAAGAGTGGTCTAGGCAAGTAGCAAACAGAAGTAACCATCAGAAAATATTATATTGATCGCAGAAGCCAAGAATAAAATAAGCACTTTAAAAGAACCGGTTCAGCTCTACAGGGTGTTGAAGCGTCCCCGCATCGTCCCCTAGTTGCATTGAAAATCCCCGCATCCCGGATTTTTAGTTCGCGCGACGTCATCGCATTGGCTGTACCAGCACTAAACAAACGCCCGCTATACTGTACTAACGAGGAGCTCTTCCCGTGTTTGCGCCGAGTTGTCTCTGCCAACAGTGGAAGTTGTCGCACTCTTCTCTTCTGTAATAATCAGGAGCAGTTCTGTGGAACTTTCTGAATCGATCAAACGTCGAATCCAGAAACGATTGTTCGCTATTCAAGATGCGTTCCAGTTGGACAAGATTCTGGGACAGCGGGCATCGATCCCATATCGCGTCCGAGACCAGTCGTCGTATGCATTCCCTCTACTCCCGTGAATAAGACAGAAATCTAGTCCAATCCTCTAACAATTATCACCAGTGCTACCAAGTTACCATGAGGAGTCGCTCGCATCGGCAATTCCAGCTGAGGAAGTCACGAAAGTCGCGCTCAGGTTGCGCTATCTGATTGAGCAATGTGTACCTTGTGAGCTAGAGGAAGACCTCATCACAAAGGCGCACAGCCGTGTTATCACCCACAAGGTCATACAGGCAGCTAAAGAAGCGGGCGGGAGCGAGTATGGTGCCTGTGTGGTTTACGCCTTGCTAGTGAATAAGAGATGGTTTAAGAGGCAGGCAATGCTGGAGATTTGGGACGCGGAGCTACATGATGTCCGGGCAACCGCCGCGGAAGTTATCGCGAAGCAAATGTGAGTGTCAAAGGATAGGTGTATTGGGGTGTATGAGCTCTAGACTAATAGCATCGCAGTATTGAGGGTGAGGAAGATATGGAGTATCTAATGTCGGAAGTCATGTTGAAGAGATACGCCACTATCAACGACGGCAGCCAGACAGCAGTAGCCAATGTGATTGAAAAGTCCGTTGACTTACACGCCCTGAGAGTCATTGGGTCATCTGGGTACCAGAAGACAGTGAAATACCTGTGGAAAGGCTGGCTTGTGCAGGACGACAACGATGCCACCACGTTTGTCGACTACAAGCAAAAGGCGAACCCGAACTACTGGGTACATCTCAACCCCGATCGCATGCGCGCGCCAATCTATCAGAATGCTACACAAGTCATCGTCTCTCTCGTCTATCTCGGCCTCTACACCGGAGCAATTAACACGGTCAACCCAACTGGTGATCTCGATATTACTGAGGTTCTTCTCTACGTCTTCACCTTGGGCTTCCTTTGCGACGAGTTTTCCAAGTTTTGGAAAGTCGGGCGCTTCTATCTCGGTTTCTGGAACGTTTTCAATCTCATCCTCTATTCTCTTCTCACCATCTCGTTCGTAACTCGATGCATCGCTCTCTCTCATCCGATCGAAGATGACCATGATGGCCAGCGCGAACGCTTCAACGAGCTATCATATAATTTCCTCGCCTTCTCAGCCCCTATGTTTTGGGGCCGACTACTGCTTTTCATGGATACCTTCCGCTTCTTCGGCGCTATGCTCGTCGTCCTGAAGGTCATGATGAAGGAGTCGTTGATCTTCTTTGCCCTCTTAATTGTGGTCATTGTTGGATTTTTACAGGCCTTCATCGGCATGGACAACGTGGATAACAAGAGCGATGCGACAGTTTTCATCCTGCAGAACATGGCCAATGCTATTCTTGGCTCGCCGGACTTCAGTGGCTTCGATGCATTTGCGCCGCCATTCGGAATCATCCTCTACTATATCTTCACATTCACGGTTATGGTCATTTTGCTGAACATCCTAATCGCGCTGTACAACTCTGCATATGAGGACATTACAGGGAACGCCTTGGACGAGTACATGGCTCTCTTTGCACAGAAGACGATGCAGTACGTGAGAGCACCTGATGAGAACGTATTTATCGCGCCCTTCAATCTTATCGAGATTTTCGGACTCATCCTACCATTTGAGTGGTGGATATCGAAGCGTACATATATGAAGCTCAACGACTATGTCATGGCGGTAATATACGCTCCGTTACTTATTGTCGCGGCCTTCTTCGAGATGCGAAGCGCGAGGGATGTGACGAGCAACAGAAAGCGTGGAGAGGCAGACGATGATACGATCGAAGAGTGGGAGCAGCTGGATAGCAGTGAGTTGGATCTTGAAGGAGAGGGGTGGACGAAGAGCGTCGAGAGTGCGAAGAGCAATGTGGACCTTGACCAAGCTACGGTCGAGGTTAGGGAATTGAGGGAGGAGTTGGGAGAACTGAAGGAGCTCATGAAGAGCTTTCTTAAGGAGAAGCAGGGACAGAAGTCGGAATCTTGATTTTTGTATATGGAAGAAGGTTGGAGAATTATAGACGGGCAGGATGATACATATTAGGAGGGATCTAATACCAAATGTGTTTTTTTTGCGTCGCGAATGGCGGTAAAGCTATGAATTTGTTGAAATTGAATATTTGACTTCAATCCTTTAGAACCAGAGGCATGAGACAAGTTCGATAGACCAGAATACCCAGCGAGTCTTCTAGTATTGTAACAGGAATTCTATGCGGCCGTTTGTCTCATCTCTTTCATCCCAAGATTCTTCAATCCAGTCCTAGAGTGGAATAGCGTCAAGCTCCAGCCGTATTCTGGTCATGTGACAACGTGTATAATGGCGCTAGTTGTGTCATTCCCCCACCACGTTGGGAACACGACCATTGCATGATATTCGGAAATCTCACTCAAATCAGTCGTAATAAATACTAAATCCGTCTCTCTGGCGCTATCACTTGTTCAGTCGCTATCGTTGGCAAACCACAAAGAATAAATGCCAATTGCAAACGTCGCGCGGGCAGCATACAACAAAGAGCGAGTGACAAGATCCAGCCGCGTAACTTGAACCGGTAGTCGCGCGAAGGACGCCTGGCAGGCAAACACTTCTGGCCACGAAAGACCTACGTATATCTAGGCTGACACCCACCTATGGTCCCTCTCGAAGCAGAGAGTTAGCAATACGCGCAATCAGTTGAGAAAGGTCACTAGCGAACGATGATGAGCGCGCACGAACTGGCAGTCGCGGCGCTCGGTGAAGCGGTGGTCGTTGATTCGCGTCCCCGGGATGGTGCCTCATCGCCTGCAGCGCATGACATCGCGGGTGGCGTAACGCACGCAACCGCCATTAAACCCAACAGTACGAATAGCGCTCTGGCGAGCTCACAGATGTCTAATAATGCGCTCGAGAGTGTGTCGAGTTACAATTCGCAGTCTACGGTCCCGGACGCCGACACACCGCCCAGTTCAGGATTTTCGAGTCAGTCACACGACCAAGCCCATGGACCGACGCGTGTTGCTGAGATGCCACCGTTGGCGGTTGCGACGAATGCTGGGCAGAAGAGGACTATTGATGGCTACGTGAGACGGTCGTCGGGGTCAAGCTCGTCGGACAGTCCGGTGGTTAACGGCAAAGGCAGACATACGAGAAATGTTAGCGCCGTGAGCGCCGCCTCGTCTGCTATGAGCCCGAGAGAACTCACATCTGAGTTACGAACGCGCCTCTCCTACGCAATGGTCAAGGTGAACAAGGGCTGGGAATCTCTGCCTATCTACGAAGTCGAGTCGCTCGCATCACAAAGCGGCTCACCAACACCATCAAACTCCACGATCCATGGCCGGCGAAATACTATTGCATCACCACGCGCTACCATTGCAAGCCTCCAGGGCCTCTCCGGCGCATCACCCAAGCCACATCCTAACGCTGCCGCACCAACAGACTCCCAGGAATCCACATCCGAGGGCCAACCATCGTCACGGACCTACGAATCCTTCTGGCGTGAACAAAGCCAGCGACAAATCGGACTATCCGCCTCTCTCTCCTCCCCGTCATCATCTCAACTATCTCTCCAACCCTCCGCTGAACTATCCTCAGCCTCCCGCACCCAACCCAACTACCGCCGCTCTCCGGTGAAATCCTCAAAATACCATATGCTCAGCGCCGCGAGCTCTGACCTTAGCCAAAGCAGCCTATCGTCCGGCGGCGCAGCACCGAATACGCCTGCACAGGACACGAAGCCCCCGCATAGAGGGGACAGCGTTCTGCAGACGCCGACGCAGAAGTCGCTGCAGGAACAGGATGCGATTGAGACGCTCCTGTTCATGAGCAGCCCGGGGAATCCTATGCTGAATAACTTCCCCGGGGCGCAGAGTCAGGGGTCGCGGATGCAGAGTCCTTTGAAAACCGAGTTTGGGGCACAAGGGACGAGCGATGGGAAGTCAGATGATAGCAGTGTGACGCCGAGAGCATATGAGACTGGGACGGCACGGTATAGAGGAAGGAGGAGAATTGGAGTTCTGGGTAGGGGGAGGCTCGGCGAGGATGAGCTGGATCGCATGCTGGATACAATGGAGAACGCGGATAGTAGCGATGACGAGATCGAGCTCCCCACCACGCCAATGCGATCGACGATAGGGCGGGTCTAGAGGCTGAGATCTAGAACACCGCATGAATTTATTGGCGAGGAGAGACCGATAGGCTGGGCTACCCTAGTGGCTTGATCAGGTCCATATTATGGCGCATTACGAGGTTACGATACTATGGAGCGATTCGCATTTTTTAAACAATTTTACAGACCTATAGCTAGACTCGCACGTACACGAGATGAGGGCTAGCATAGGCGAGGGGAAGGCACGAGATACCAAGATGCAGTTTCCGTTTGCCCGCGAGCACAGCGAAGCTACGTGGGTCTGTTCTTGGCCCCTTTTAGGCTCGGAGAATCTTTTTGGGAGCGGTGTCGCGGGTTTGAATTTGCTTCATGTTTGGCATGGGACGGGTGTGGACTTGCTTTTGGGCAGGACAACGGATGAACGGCGGTGTAGATATTTAGGGCTGGGGATAAACTTTTGGTTGGTGTATAAATGAGCGAAACAAATACAATAAACTCTTATTGCATCGTGGATCTGTCGCATTGATGTATGGGCTTACGACTTGCGTACGTGCATTGTGCATTAACGGGGATGTGCCCCATGTAGATGAGCCAGTGTTTTGGGATTTGAGGAAACGGAACAATGCTTAGGCGTCGTTTGAAGGTTCTACATCGGCGAATTGCCGGGGTAGCACTGCTTGCGCGGACGCCAAGCCACGTCGTACGTATTGAAGAAATCCCATACTCGTCTCGATTCAGCATCAGGAGCTTACGACCAACTCCACAGATTCTTCTATCCCTCCTTGGAAGCTCTCCAACCATTGCGCGTAACCAAAGTTCAAACGCGGCACCTGAGGCCCTAACAAAGCCCTACCCGCCGCCGCGTCCTTTTGTCTCCGCTTAAACAGTCTGGCGCGCCACTCGCAAGGCGAAAGCCCAGCATGTGGAATCAATAACACTCCCAGCGCCTCCGTTCGAGTGCCTGGTCGTCCTGTTGGACAGCCAGCCGGCGTGGTCTCGACCCCATAAAACATGTAGAAGCGTCAGCCAAGTCGTCTTACGCGGGGGAGGCATGCCTGGTTGGGTGTAGGCGATCGCCCCTCCCCCGATCGCTGCGACTCAGCCGGCGGCTGTTATTCGTGGAAGCCATATACTGACCATATACGTACCCTGGCAGTGGTGGCGGTCGAGACTCGTTTGGGGGACGTGGAGCTCGTGTGTGGGGCGCGCGAAGGGGGTTGAAACGCGCGGTTGTCCAATCGATCCTGCGTCCTGAAGGACCCCGAGACGATCAGTCGAGTGTACGTTGCTCCCTGAAAAGAACGTTTGGGCGAGTTTCGGGACAGGGTGACTTTCTGGAATACTTTCAAAGCCATGCGTTGGGAGTGTGTTGGAGTCGTACCGCAACGCGTGGAAGGGTTGTACCTCCGTCTCAGGAGGGTCTCGATTTGCTCGATGCGGCGTCGAGGGAACGCGATGGGAGGATTCTACTGGGGCTCGGCACTGCTTCTCTACCCTCGTTCGTTGATACTTACTCAAGTTGCCGCAATGGCTGTCTGGTACCAACCCGTGCCTAGATCTTTGCGCCGTCTCCAGGTACTAGCTGAATCGTTCTGTCCTTTGGTCTTCATGTGGGGTCTAAAGTATTTGGTCTCTCTCTTTCCCACCTTCGTTTGTCTCTTTCGTTCCTGTCCTTCATCCCTCTCTCAACTCGCCTTCTCTGGAGCGGGCTCCCATCTTTTTTTACCCCCTTTCCCACGGTCTTCCCTTGTGGACTTGCATAGACCTCGTTCGTTTCGTTGTATAAATTTTTGGTTGTTTTTTGTATTCATTCTTAGCCACCTGGTGTGGTCTTTTTGTTCATTCTCTCCAACGGTTAGCTGCGTCTAGCCATTCAACCGCCACCATGCATTCAAAACTCTACAGCCTCATCCTTGTCACCGTCTTTGCCGCCTTCGTTTTAGCCATCCCGACGCCCTCAACATCACGAATCCAAAAGCGTTCGTTCAAGGTTCACCGGAAACGAAACCCGGACTTCAAGGGATATGATGGACCAACCCAGCTCATGAAGGCCTATCAAAAATTCGGCATGACTGTCCCCGAGGGACTGCACCTGTCCGTAGGGAGCCGTCATAGGAATGGCAAGAACCGTGGCGCTGGGAGAGGGAATGGCACCGCAACTGGAGCTGCCGCAGGGGCTGCAGCTGGCACCGCGGCTGGAAATAGCACTGCAGCTGCTAATGGAACTGTACAAGCCGTTGCCCCCCAGGTAAGCGGCGTCGGCAGTGTCACCGCCACACCTGTCGAGCCCAATGACCTCGAGTACATAGCACCTGTTACCATTGGTGGACAGTTAATCGATATGAACTTCGACACCGGCTCCTCGGATCTATGGGTGTTCAACACGCAGCTAAGCGCACAGAGCAGCGCAGGCCACACTCTCTACGACCCCACCAAGTCCCCAGACTTCAAGCTCATCCAAGGAGCCACATTCGATATCTCCTACGGTGACGGTTCTGGTGCTGCCGGCAACGTTGGCACCGACACTGTCGACATTGGCGGAGCAACCGTGACCGGCCAGGCTATTGAGATGGCCACCGATGTCTCCGACTCCTTCATTCAGGACACCAACTCCAACGGGCTCGTCGGCCTCGGTTTCTCCAAAATTAACACCGTAAAGCCGCAAAAGCAGAAGACCTTCTTCGACAACGCCATGGCTACCCTCGCGGAGCCGATCTTCACTGCCGACCTCCGCCAGGACGCCGTTGGCGCTTACGAGTTCGGCAAGATCGACACCGCGCGCTTCACCGGCGACCTGACCTGGGCGCCTATCGACTCCTCGAACGGCTTCTGGGAGTTCACGTCGACGAAGTTCAGTGTTGGGAATGGGAAGGTACTTAACGCTATTGGGGGAACTGCGATTGCGGATACGGGAACCACGCTGATGCTCGTCGACGCCGCCATCGTCAATGCGTACTACAGCCAGGTCGCCGGCGCCGTGAACAACGCGCAGGTGGGCGGGATCACATTCCCGTGTGACTCGGTGCTTCCGGATCTGAACGTCGATGTTGGCGGGACGTACACGGCGACCATCGAGGGCAAGTTCATCAACTTCGCCCAGGTGAACGCAGATAGTGAGTTTTTCCTGATTTTTACAGAGAGTTTTTTTTGGACAGATTGCTAACTATTTTTTCCTTGTAGCTTGCTTTGGCGGTGTTCAGCCCACAACTGGTAATCTCCAGATCTACGGAGATATCTTCTTCAAGTCGCAGTTCGTCGTCTTCAATGGCGGGAACAACACCATCGGCCTCGCGCCGCATGCTTAGAATATAGGGTTTTGAAAAACCCGATGTTAAGAGGCAGGAAAGAAATAGTAGGAGTTACATAGTGGAAAAGGGAAGCGGGAATGCATCACATGGAGCATGGCATAGGCTTGGAGTTTTGTGGTTGTGACATTTGTCTGCACATATTACTTGGCGAGGAGTATGGGATTATAAAACCCTCCTTAGCAGTGTTAGAGAGAGGTAGAAAGAGAAAGAGAATTGAAGAGATCAAACAATTTTTTAGAATCTGTTACTGCATTTTTGAGCGTGGTGGCGACTTTGTTGGCGAAGGGCGTTGATTTAGTGGTGGAGGAGTGGGGAGCGAGCGGGCCGTCCCGAGATGAGGTCTTGGGTTTGTCCCACCTTATGTTGAGTCTGGATGCCGCAGAACGGCTGATCTATATATCATGAATCATAAAAGGCATAAGTGTGAAGTCTGCCTTTTTTGGAATATAGTTTTTCTTTTGGCGCTAGGGTATTGGACACCTACCACACGGATGTCAGTTCGATCGTTTATAACAAAGCGGATGTTGCGGAGCGGAATCTGAAGAATAATCCAGTGCAAACAATACCCAACCAGGCCAGTCGACATATAAGTTGTGAAGTTGTTGCTCTGATATGCTGCTTTCGTAAGTTCTCGCTATAATCGAGGTTGCGTATTCGCACAAGAACCTTATTGAGCTTCACGCATTACCTTGTTCCGTCTCGAGGACTTGTTCCGTCTCGATGAACCAGAGCTATGATTGGGTTTCACATATACTCTTGCTGTCGCTTACTCTTGCTATCGCTTACTCTTGCTATCGCTTACTCTTGTTGTCACTTACTCTTGTTGTCGCTTGGTCCTTGTTATCACTTATACTCTTGCTTCTGGTGAATCGCTAGAGCTCTCACGACTCCCACTATATGTCCAATGGCATCTGTTTTATCACGGCGCCCCCTCCATTCCTCGTGTGGCAGTCCTGCCCAGTCCATAACTGCCTCTGTCAGCCCCAGAGACCCAGCCAAGTACATATGTCTTAAATATAACAGACGAGGAAGGCCTTAATGTCCTTGAGTTTGTCGAGTACGACAGCAAAAAGGATGGAGACCATGATCCTTCACTTATTTATTAGAAGGTAAATCCATACCTGGAAACTCCCATTTATAGCATAACATAATTCCACGTCTTCGCTTTAGAACCATCCTTATTTATATGGCAAATGTATCGCACCATAGTGATGTTAATTAATTAATTGTTATGGATAGCATCTATGTTATTGTCGTTACCGTATTGCCAAGCCTTCCATACAGGGAAGCATGTGGATCGTCGGGGCACCTGGCACTTCGCGTGCTCTCACGACCACATCACAACATGGCAAACTACGCCTAGGCTTGTAAGATAGCAAAGACTCCACTGTTATTGGTGAATTCGGGATTATAACAGTGGTTTTGGAATATTTCACTCTTTTGATTTACAGTGCGTCCGAAAAAAGAACCTTTGAAACATCACTGATCGTTCTCCAACAGATACACCCATTGGATATTTTTCAAGATCTAAGCAATTAACACGTCGGCGAAGATGAATTCTCGCGCCTTTTGCGTACCCTCTCTCGTACGCTCGTTGAAGGGCCTCCTGACACGCTCACATCTGGGACAGAGTGCACGTGGTGCTCCAGGGCTCCATCCCTACAGCCGCCGTGCCATCCCTACTCGGGAGCTTACTGCAATAAGCGGACAACATTTGGTGAATCCGAAAGAGCAGCAGGATGAGTTGTTCTCCTACACGTCTGGTCGTTACCTCTACAATTAGCAGCGCCGGCTGGCAGAGAGATATGTTGAGTTTAACATCGACGAGCTCAAAGCGGTTGCGGCAGAGAGTGTTGGCAGAAAAAGAGTATCACACATGAAAAAACTCGCAGAGGGTGGGTTTAACAGGGTCTTCCTCCTTACTATGGATGATGGGTTCGAAGTCATAGTCAAGATCCCCTACCATCTCACAGTACCAAAGCACTTCACAACGGAGAGTGAAGTAGCCACGCTCGATTTCCTGCAATCGAAAGGGATTCCCATTCCCCGCGTCTATGCCTGGTCGTCCAAAAGTGATAATGCCGTCGGTACGGAGTATATTATTATGGAGAAAGCTCCCGGGCAGCCGCTTGAAGACCGGTGGTTCAGTCTAAACCCGAAGTAAAGAGTACGCCTTGTTACGAGCTACATCGAGTTAGAGATAAAGCTCTTTTCCCTACGCATCGATGCATTTGGCAGTCTGTACTACAAGGAAACTCTGCCGCCGCACCTGCAAGCAGACATCTACGCTGCTGATACGCCGGACGAATCGGGCGACGCAAAGCGCTTCTGCGTTGGTCCTGCTGCCGACTACATGTTTTGGCGTGGGAAACGTGATGGGCTTGAGTTGGATCGGGGTCCCTGTATGTATTCTATATTCCCCTATACATTGCTATATAAACTCACTCATAAATCATGATACAGGGCGAGATCCGCATGCCTACCTCCGCGCAATAGGCACAAAAGAGCTGGAATTGACGCGCCGTTTCGGGAAGCCTCTAGAGAATGAGTTTCCGCATGGTGATATGCTGGAGGGAAAGATCGCCCCGGAGGCATACATTGAGCTTTTCGACAAATATCTCGCTCTAAGCTCTTATCTCCTGCCGAAAAGCAGGGACAATTTGTTGAATCGGCCAACATTGCGGCATCCTGGTATGTATCGCCGAAGGCTCGTGGCGTGGCGTTTGTCGGCTAATTAGCCACTAGATCTTAACCCAACGAATATATTCGTATCAGATGAGTGCGAAGTATCATGTATAATCGACTGGCAGCACACCACCGTCCTCCCCTTTCTCCTCGCTGCTGGAAACCCCCCAATCTTCGAAAATCCGGATCCCACACCCCCAAAAGACTACGTAGCACCGACGCTCCCAGAGAACTATGCGTCATTAAACCCCGACGAGAAAGAATACGCTGACGAACTACATCGCCGCAGGATGCTATTTTATCTCTACATGATCTTCAATGGTAAGGATAACAATGACCACTTCTCTGCGATGCGCTCACCACTCTTGGCACAGCGCCAGCACCTCATAGACCGCGCGGGAATGCAGTGGACTGGCAATACTGTCACCCTGCAAGGGGCTCTAATGCGCGTCGTCGACGGGTGGGGTTTACTCGCTTTAGAAGGGCATGGGGGAGTTGAGTGCCCCGTGAGTTTTGGCGCTGAGGAATCTGAGGCGTTCTATGAGCTTGAGAAGAATTGGTTTAATGCAAATATTTTGGTAGAGCACTAGAGGGATGGGTTGGGTGGAATGAGCGAGGATGGATGGGTGAGGAGTGAGGTCTTTGAAGAGGCCGTCGAAAAGAATCGGGCACTCAAGAAGGAGTGGTATGAAATGGGGGAGAATGATGAGGATAGAGCTCTTGTAGAGCGGTCTTGGCCATTTGACGACCGAGAGGAGATTGAGTGAGATTCAACCTCGGTCGGATCAGGTTGTTAAAGGGGAATGGCACACGAATACTTGTGCTGCCCAAAGTCCGAGAAAGGGGATGTGTATAACAGCAATTTAGGGAGGCTAAGAGCAGCCTGAAGACCGCGTCGCCGCTCTGAGTTTGTACACTAATATAAATAAAAGTTCTTAATTACTTAGAATTATAATTATTGTGTTCCAGTCTTTCAACTAGTTACTCAAGAATTAACCCAAAGGGAGATGCTCTTTTAGCTTCAACTAAACTTATCAATTTCGCCTGTGCACAGTCCCTATCTCAGACTCTAAGGAAACTTGAATAGATACCCAACCATTCACAAATAATATACTAGACTTACACGCTCTTCGGGACCGCCAATTCAAGACACGAAGCATCCCTGGTCCATCTCTTCTCACGACCCTGTAACGACGCATTCCGACAAGGCTGTACCTCTGTATGTGCGTCAAACCTAGTCTTACCACGAGAACGCAGGGCGAAGAAATCAATCGATCAAGGCAGCAAAACACTCAATCCATAGTGATCACAGTCGACTAACTTCTTCGCATTTGTTCAAGTCGTAGCTCATGGCAGGGCCGCGTACTTCCAGCGATTGCGCCTCAGTTGTCATTTCCACATATTTCCCGCCTACTTTCACTACATTGGCAAGCCGCCTCCATCAACTTCCGCAACCGCGCCACAGCACACTCTCGTGGCTGTTGCCGTAACGTCGTAGCTACCGATCATATGATTCCATGAGCGACGACGCACCAGGCGTTGCACAGCGCTACGGGCATATATATTGCGCTTGGCACGCGCGGCACAGCGCCATGTCATCTCCACATTCTTGGGAGAGCATATCACAACTTGGCTTTCAATATTTCGCCAGCTTGGCCAGCTCGGCCTGCTCGGCCATCTCGCAGCGCACACAGCGCCTTGTCATTCACTGGAGAGACAATCTCACAGCGTCACTTTCGATACCTCGCTGGCTCGGTCAACTCGGCGTGCACAGCACTGTCTTAGTCCATGGCGCAGTATCACCCCTCCTGCCGCGGAGGTAGACGGGCACTCGGACCTCTCCCAAAATTATGGATGGCGACTGAGTCTGTACGCTATTGAAAAAGGCTCGACTATCTCACGGTACACACGTCCTACCGCCCACGACCCGACTGAGAAATGAGTTGTGCTGTGTACGGTTCTCGTCCATTGCGGACTGTACAGTACAGCATCGAGAACAAATATTGCAAACAGCCCTGCAGTTCGCGCCAAGCAACGATCATCGTGGCCGCCCATACATCGTGGGCGTCGATCCCGAAGCTATGCCTTTCTTCCAGTCCATGCCATCGCCAGTCCTTTCGCTACCAGTCCTTCCGTCTGACTTCCCGTGACTTCCGTGGTCTTCCCGTCTTACAATTACACTGATATCTCCGTACCGGTACTTGGTTGGTCCCCCTTTCTTCACTACCATATCAATTCAGGCACCTTCCGCCAAGTCCGCCACCATCCAGCCACCTCACTATCAGGGCACCGCTATCCCCGAAACGCACTATACGAGCAGCCATCAACGCAACCACTAAATTCTCAGCCGCCAGCTATCTCTGCCAGGGAAACAAGGAGCCACAACAACCCAGACATTCTCCCCCTCTCTAACCCAACGCAGCGATCCCGCACCAGAGCCGGACGATTGCAGGGCCGAGCGGGGGGTAATGGAAGGGTTATGATTGGGCCGAAGGGTCGTATATGCGGATTATCATGCGCCGTGGACCCGGGATAGATGCGACTTGTGTGTTGGCTAACTACTCTACGGCGCTGGGCTGTACTAGCAGTACTAGCTGTACTATAGCTGGGTGCGGGTGCAGTAAGGGCCAAGGAACGTCGGACTATTGAAAATTTATCGATACGAGGCGGGAAACATGGCTGAATTCTCACTATAGTACATGCAAGGAGGGACATCTTTTGATACCTTAGGACACGTTCAGACACGTCTATCCCGTACTCGCTGGTGTGGGAAATGTGTATTACTCCGCATAGGAAGGGTAGTGTTCTACTTCCGTTGTACATGCCTGCACAACACGTCGTTTGTCTTACAATACGCATCTTGGAAGTACTTTACTATGCTCTCTGTACTTTCTGTGCTCGGTCGCAGCATGAAGGCGACATGAAAGCGACAGGTGCCCCCACTACCGACTCCCTGCTCCTAGCTCTGGTCTGGCTCATGTTTCTTCTCTAGGGCCTATGGCGATCCTCTGTTCTGACAGCCTCCTCCCTACCAATATGGGCCCACTGCTGCCCTACTGATCGCCCTATGGCCTCGCTTCCCGGATGCATCGCTCTATCGCATCTGTTCCCGCTTCCTTGCAGCATTTATGGCCCGCTCTGTTCTTTTTTTGTCTCATCAAGGCCTGTGCTGTCCAAAGTACTGTACATACGGCACCCAAAAGGTAGGGGTATCTCCAGACCGACCTGTAAGTTTTCTCCCATTTGTCTGACTTTCCACGCGGCACACGGCTGTTGTCGTCTATTATTGATCGTCCGTCAAACCTCAATCCTCCCTCTCTTTTCCCCTCCTCCTCTCTCCTTCCCTTCCCTCTTTCTCCTCTCCCTCAACCCCGGACTTCTCCATTCGGCGAGTTCGATAGTCACTCGCTTTTGTGCGGTCTTGCTTCTCTTGCTTCTGTTGCCTCGCCCACTCTCGCTCTCACCTCACCTTCACCTCCGAATCACATCACCGCCATCATGAAGCTCTCCCTCACCCTCCTCGCCGCGGCCGCGGCCCTCACACCGTGCCTTGCGGACCAGACATGGCCCTCCTCCATTGACGAGCTTGAGGACATCATGTTCCTCACGGCAGGCTATCGCAAGCGGACCTTCACTGACTCCGTGATTCCCTGCGAGAAGAGCCCCAACACCGCCGGCCGCATCAACGCCGCAGAATGGATCCGCACCGCCTTCCACGACATGGCCACCGCGGACACCTACAATGGCATCGGTGGCCTTGATGCCTCCCTCCAATTCGAGATTGGCCGCAGCGAGAACGTCGGGCCCGCCTTTGAGACCACTTTCATCTTCCTCCAGGCTTTCCTATCTGTGCGCTCCTCAATCTCGGATCTCCTTGCGCTGTCCATGTATACCGCTGTTCGCGCCTGTGGTGGGCCAATTGTGCCCATCCGCACAGGTAGAATTGATGCCACAGAGAGTGGAGCTACGGGAGTTCCAGTGCCAGAAAACCCGACTCAGACGTTTGTTGCTCAGTTTGCACGTATGGGCTTCAACACGAGCGAGATGATTGAGCTCACTGCCTGTGGGCATACCATTGGCGGCGTGCATGCTGCTCAGTTCCCATTGATCGTTCCCGTGGGGACAGCAAAGAATGAATATGCGCTTTTTGACGATGCTACGCAGGCTCAGTCCAAGTTTGACCATGGCGTTGCGAGAGATTATGTCTTGGGAAATACGACGAACCCGATGGTAGTTGGTATCGCCAAGGCCAATGGGCGCGACTCTGACGGCCGCGTTTTTGGGGTTGACAAGAACGTCACCATTAAGGCCCTGGCGAACCCCGTGGTGTTCCACGACCGCTGCAAGGTCGTCCTACAGCAGATGATCGATGTCGTCCCACCGACGGTTAAACTCACGGAGCCAATTCAGCCGTATGAGATCAAGCCCGTCAATCCCCAGCTTACCCTTGTTGCTCCTGGCACCACTCTGTCGTTCACTGGAGAGATCCGCGTGAGAACCACTGTTCGTGCGGCGGATAAGATTTCCAGCGTAAAGCTCGTGTACAAGAACCGCGATGGCGAGGCTGGCGGATCCATCACGACTACGTCTGTAGGAGCTGCATCCGGCTTTGATGACTCGTTCACTGTAAGTATGATTCCGTGACATTTATATATATAGCTAACCAGTCGACAGTTCTACAAATTTGCCGCCTCAATTGATTCCACGAAGAGTATTTCTAGCTTCACCGTTGAGGTTGCCGTTGCTGATGGCACCACTGAGACCCACGACAACAATGGAAAGGGTTACCCGGTGGAGGACTCAGTGATCCTACAGTCACCACAGAGTTGCTTAGAGATTTTCACTGATACTGATAATAACCGTGTACTGACCATCGTTGCTGCCGTAAGTACTTCCAATTTCCAGCCAATATGAACCATGCTTACTTCTGTAGAAACGCACCGCAGTCACAGGCACCCCAGCCGTTGACCTAGCCTCCTTAAAGGCTAGAACCGGCGGTCTCGTCGTCCCTATGCTCACACACTCCTCCCTCCCTATGACAGCCGGCAAATCCTATGGTCCATACACCTTCTACTCCGTGACCACCAAGATCGGCTCCACCCTCTCTCTCCGCGCCACCTTTGACGTTACTCTGGGCACAGCCAAGGACGTCTTCAAGCGCACCTCCAACCTCCCCGATGGATGCGTCCCCTTTGGATCCGACACATCGACCTCCATGGCCCCACCGACCACGACTCAGCAATCATCTACCACCGTAAGCCCTCCAACCTCAACCTCAACAACAACCCCGCCTCAATCATCAGGCTGGGCCTCCCTAGGATGCTACACGGACTCCACCTCCTCCCGGACCCTCCCTGTCATCGCTTCCCCGGCCGGCGGATCTGCAGCCCTGACGAACGCCCTCTGCCAATCCACCTGCAAGTCCCTCGGTTACGTCCTCGCTGGTACCGAATACTCCGGAGAATGCTACTGCGGGAACTACATCTCGTCCACCGGAAAGCCCGCCACCTCCGGCTGCGACATGGCCTGCCACGGCGACGCGGCACAGAAGTGCGGCGGCTCGGATCGCCTGAGCCTCTTCGGCTTTGGCGGTGCGAAGGCAGCGGTGGCGCCAGTTCCCCAGAGTAAGAAGACCGTGGAGGGGGGGTATAAGTACCAGGGTTGCTACGTGGATTCGCGCGATGCGAGAGTGCTGAGCGGTGCGGAGCTTGCGGATGATGCGTTGACTTTGAAGAAGTGCGCTTTTTTCTGTAAGGACGCCGGGTTCAAGGTGTTTGGTGTGGAGTATGGCAGAGAGTGTTGGTGTGGAGCGGCATTGGGAGCGGCGACGAAGGTGGGCGAGGAGCAGTGCAACCAGGCTTGTGGTGGGGATGCGACCGAAGCCTGTGGGCAGGGGGATCGTCTTAGTGTTTACGTGAAGTGAAGGCTTAGGAGGGAGTGGCATAAAGGCGGTATTTTCTTTTTGTTTGGGGTGAAGGGTGGAGGAGGATAATGGCATGACGGGGAGGAGGAGAAAAAAATAACGAACAGCATTGGAGTATAGTTTTGTTGTCGATACATAGATTCTTGGTATATTGTTGGATAATATTCGTTGCAAATGCGATGGTATTTAATTTTCTCACGCGCGTTCACAGCTTTAATTTGTATCAGGTCTCATGTGCAGGTATTAGGGGTCGGCTTGTGAATGCCAGCAAAATTTCTCACTATCTATGAGTAGTAGACAAGATGATATCCATCCCAGCTAACGCATCCCAGAAAGTTCATGAAGGGCACGGAGCCCCCCCGCAACCATCGCATCATTAGCATCCCCCGACCATACAGTCTCGAAGCAACACTCAACTTCCTCAACCACGTCTCCTGCGCGAGAGCAAGACGTGCAATCCTAACCCTAAAAAAAACACTTTAGCGACGGATATGGAAACAAATATACACATCCAAAAAGTGGCAGATATTGCCTCCAGAGAACCCTGACGCTAACATTCCCTATAGAACATGGATATCAATCCTAAAGGAATGCGCATTTCAGCGCATCTATTTATAATTATTTCTGTTGGTAGAAAGCAATTTCGGATAATATATTTCCAACAGTGGTGCACAGCCCCGCCAAGGCACCGACCGATGGATGGAGGGGTAGTTTTGGATATGGAGCGACATAAAGTAGAAGAACCACCCCGATAAAAAGGATAGAGGTTGACTTTTGTTAAAGGACTCAAATATATCTTCAACACTACACTCACCTAATCTCAAGATGTATATCACCGAAGTACTAAGGGCTACTGCCACGGATAATGATCGCCTTCTCAAGATCATTTCCGAAACAAACTATGGCCCCGCCGCCCTTCAACAAAGCAGCAATTATGTCGATAACCTCAAAAAAGACATCACAGCGCAAGAGAAACTCCTCCGAGACACCAAGATCACCATTGCCCGCGAAGAAGCCGAACACAGGGAGTACCAAACATCCCATGTTAAGCGTCTAGCCTACAGATTGGGAGGCAAGCGTGAAAAGTTCGAGCAGAAAGCATCCAAGGAAGAGCAAGACTGGGTTGAAGCCGTACAGAGAGGATTTGAAGTTCAGAAGAAACTTGATCTTCTGAATCAAAATATAGCCGAAGCAACCAAGACATGCGCGGAGATGGAAACTGTAGTAGCTACCTACAAACAAGCAGAATATGAACTGGACTCACTCTACAAATCTGTCTTCCAGGGGCCAACACCCGATATCCCTGGAGAGGATCAACTCGAAGGCGCTGTGTATCAAGCAACCACGGAGTTCAACTTGGCTCAGGGCAATGTCGACAAAGGGAAGCAGGTGAGGAATCTCCTCACCAGCGCGATGAAGTTCCTCTACGAGGCCACTCAAGACGTTGAGAGCGCAAGAAGTAATGCGAAGATGGATGCATTTGGGTTTGACAGCACGTTTATGGACATCGCCGAGGCGAACGCTCTTTCAAGGGTAAGGCAAAATGTCAGCCAGGCCGAGATGTTAGTTACCCAAGCAAGGACCATGGATCCATTGATTGGGAATATTGGAGCGGTAGTACATGCGCAGAGCCATTTCATGTCGGAGGTGCTGTTCGACAATGTCTTTTCCGACACGAAGAAGTACAATGAGATCAAGCGATCGCAGGAATCCATCTTGAAAGCGAAGAACTCTCTCCAGACTATGATTGAAGCATCAACTGGGAGACTTGAAGTTGCGGTGGTTGAATCAATGAAGGCAAGGCAATCGCTTGAGGAGAAGAGACTACAGCTGCAGCAGATCAGAGCCGAAGCATATCAAAAGGCTGCTAGAGGAGAATTGGTGCCTGTACAGCAGGGACCGCCACCAGGTTATCAGTGGTAGGCGTCAAACAGACAAAGGAGACAGGTGATTTGATTATAACTGAGTCTGGACGCGCCTTTCGTTTCGCGAAGACGTCGATTGGGAAAGGGACACTCCTACGTAATATCGCTCTTGTATATATAATATCAATTGTCGTGGGTCACTTCTTCTATATCAAAAAGGCGTGGTGCCAGAGTTGTGTTTTATCGTGCTCTAGCAGAGAGTTGTCCTTTTTTAAGTTGGCAAAAAAACAAAAAAATATTAAACGACGTGGGCAGGATTTGAACCTACGCGGCCGAAACCATATGATTTCTAGTCATACCCATTAACCACTCTGGCACCACGCCTCGGATAATTGGAAAGATAGGAGCTGCATCTCATAATATACTGTAATTATGTTGTTTTAGGGGGGATATAACATATTTCTCATATCTGTCGGTCGTGCTTTCCTAATTCATCCCACCCAGTCGTAGTTTCCCTACAAATTCGTTCTGGCGCTAGTTACTGAAAGATCTAGAGGGGCACATAGAAACTACAGTTGCTTCAAGCGTTTACAGTATCTACATATATAATAAAGACTTAAAGTGACTGTGAATGAAAATAGTACGAGGGACCGTAAATTATATAAATGGGTACTTTAAAAATCCATGAATACGATAAACTATCTTAATAACTAACAACTAAAGGAAACTAACTGTCTTAGTAACTAAGTGTGAAATAAACCGCCTTATTAACTAACCGTAGAATAGAGACTGTTAAGAAAACAAAGGCTCTTAATTACATAGAATTAAATAACCATATCACAGGCCTTCCCTTCCATATGATATGTCGATTTGAGCGTAACTCAAATCGACAATCAGTTGCTGACTAATCACATAATCAACCCACACCGCCCTGGCAGAAAAAGTCCCAATCCCAAAACTTTCCAAACCTCCAAATCCGCATCCCCCAATCCACCACAACACACCTCCCCAAAAATGGTGAAACCAAAAACCTCAAAGGGCGCCAAAGGCGCCAAATCCTCCGCGCCGAGCGACACAATCACCGACCCCCGCTTCGCCGCCTTCGCGACAGACCCCCGCTTCCGCCTCCCCTCCAAGAAGCACACCCGTACGAAGATCGATAAGCGCTTCTCGCGCATGCTCGAGGATGACGACTTCTCCAACACAGCGACGGTGGATCGGTATGGGCGCAAGATAAGCAGCAGTGGGAAGAAGAAGGCGTTGCAGAGATTGTATCAGCCTGAGGAAGAGGAGGAGGAGGAGGAGAGCGGCCCGGAAGACGAGGCTGAGGTCGAGGATGATGCGGTCGTAGAGAAGGAGTTGCGTCGCGCGGAGGCGGGGTATGATCCTGCGCGCGGCGGAGGCTTTTCTTCGTCGGAAGAGGAGGAGGAGTCGGAGATTGAGGAGGACGAGGAGACTGCTGTTGATGAGACAGGGGCGTTCCCCGATCTGCAGGCAGAGCAGACGGCGGTGCCCATGGGAGAGGTATCGAAACGAATCGCGGTGGTGAATCTGGACTGGGACAACATTCGCGCGGTGGACTTATACTCCGTCTTCTCGAGCTTCGTATCTGGAGCCGGGCGCATCGAGCATCTGGCTGTGTATAAGAGCGAGTACGGGAAGGAGCGCATGGAGAGGGAGGAGATGGAAGGCCCGCCGAGAGAGATTTTCGCGAAGCAGAAGGCTGAGGAGGAGGAGGAGAGGGATTCGGAGGAGGATACTGAGGATGAGGAGGAGAGGATTAAGCAGGACCTCCTCAAGCCCGATGATGGAGAGGAGTTCGACTCTGGCGCTCTGAGGCAGTACCAGCTCGAGCGACTACGCTATTTCTACGCCATCATCACATTCTCGGATCCGCAGGTCGCGCACCGCGTGTACGAAGCCACAGACGGAACGGAATATCTCACATCTGCGAACTTTTTCGACCTCCGCTTCGTGCCCGACGACACCGAGTTCGACGACGTGCCGCGCGACGAGTGCTCCGCCGTGCCGGAGGGATACAGACCCACTGATTTCGTGACCGACGCGTTGCAGCACTCGAAGGTGAAGCTGACGTGGGACGCGGACGATGTGAGTCGCAAGGACACGCTGAACAAGGCGTTCAGCGGCTCGAGGGCCGAGATTGGAGAGAATGACCTCCGTGCGTATTTGGGGAGTGATAGCTCAGAGAGCGAGGGCGAGGACGAAGAGGAGGTTGTGGCAGATGATGTGCCGAGGTTGACAAAGAAGGAGGCGGCGAGGCAGAAGATGCGTGCTGCGCTGGGGTTGTCGGCGGAGCCGACGAAGTCGAAGAAGGTCGAGGGGCCGGTGGGGGATATGCAGATTACCTTCACTGCTGGTCTGTCGACGACGGATAAGGATGATGGGGGCGTGTTCTTGAATAAACCGATTATCGAGGAAACGACCGCGGAGGCGTATATCCGTAAGGAGAAGGAGCGTAAGGCGCGCAGGAAGGAGAAGGCTAAGGCTACGCGCGAGGGCCGCGATGTCGATGCCGAGGCCGAAGTGGTAGAGGAGGACGTCGCTGAGCCGGAGGCGGATCTAGGATTCGACGACCCCTTCTTCGCGACAGACGAGAAGGTGAAATCGAAGGCGGCGTCTGACCTCCGCAAGGCGGCGCGGGCGAAGAAACACGCCGAGAAGAAGGCTCTCCAAGACGCTGCAGACGAGCAGAAGAAGGAGCTTGAGCTTATCATGACCGAGGGTGTTGACGAGGGCGGATCGAGGGAGCACTTCGACATCAATGAGATTGCGCGCGCTGAGAAGGCCGCGAAGCGCGGTGGCAAGCGCGGACGCAAGGGTAAGAGCGGGGAGGTCGAGGACCGCAAGGGAGCGCTGCAGAAGGGGTTCGAGATGGATGTTGCGGATCCACGTTTCGGCGCACTGTTTGAGAGCCATGAGTTTGCGATTGATACGAGTAATCCGAAGTATAAGGCGACGGAGGGGATGAAGAAGTTGTTGGAGGAGGGGAGGAGGAAGAGGAAGGGTGATGAGGGGGAGGAGGGAGAGGAGAGGGTCGTGGGGAAGAAGAGGAGGAGGGAGAAGGGGGGTGGGGAGGAACTGGGGAAGTTGGTGGAGAGTGTTAAGAAGAAGTTGGCAAGGTAGAGGGGGTGTGGTAATAAATTCAAATTGATATGTATAAATTTACGATGAATCAACGCTGGATCTAATACATTGATGCTTTGACTATGCGAATGTTGCAACTAACACTCTCCTCTACGTCATGCATATATCGGCAAGATATTCTTGAGGCTCACTTCCCACCAGAAGTTGAGCACTTGTGATTTGAGCAGCAACTCGCATAAGAACTTCGTTCGGAGAATTATGGGGACGAGGCACAGAAACGACAGCAGAAAGAATACAGGGACTACGAAGCCATGCGAGATTGATGGATCCACGGAGATCGGACACCCCTTTGTCTACAAAGGCAGCTATGTAAAGTACTGCATGCAGACTCTGAAGGGCAATACGAATTACAATATCGGTGCCAACTATCATCCGGAGGAGCTGATGACCGATCCTCATGATTTCAACCACAACAGTAACAGAGCTGCGGCAACAAGAGCGCCACGACGACTAGAGCGCCACAACGACAAGAGGCCCGCGACAGCAAGAATACCCCAACAGCAGCAGAGCCACCGCGACACAATGGAAACACCGACACCGAGGCCAGCAGCACTGGATCCGCCGCCACCTACTGTCTCGTCCGCTCAAACAGGACTGGGCGGCCGTTTTTATCATGGATCCTTGGTTTGATTTTCTAGTGCAGGATCGTTAATAAAGCAGGTGTAAGATGCCGCCGGATTCTTGACATAATATGATATGACTGTTCACCATGACTCACTCGGATGGTAAATCAATTTTTTCATAGTTCATATTACAGACAACTATTTAAGTAACTCCATGTCTTGCGCACACGCAAAAAATCTATAAAAACCAGGATCTCATCCGCCCGCCCAAACATATGAAAACAGTCCATCCATCCAGGTGGAGGGGTATATATACCGATTGTTAAAAAGAAAAAAAAATATACAAACAAGAAGGTTGGTCTGATCTGAGCTCTGTTGCCGTTCTGACATTCGATAGCGCGTGTTATTAAAATGAAAATAGGTGTCGACGAGAGACGGAATGAATGACGGCCTTGGGTAGGCGGAACGTATTTTGAAGTCGAGAGGGGGTTTTTTTTCGTCCCTCTAGGCTAGGCCTTCGACTTTGGGGTAGAACCATGCGCTGTGGGGTGTCAGTGGATAGTCGACATAAAGAAGAAAAGGGGAGACTTACGTTACTGCGATGATGACATAGAGGCAGTTAAGCATGATGCCCTCAAGCCAATGTGACTTTCCATCCCTATAACCCCATTAGTACTCGTTCCAAAATCAGGATACCACTGTAACTCACGAAATCAAATAATTAACCAACAAAACCGTCACAAACAGCACCGCAACCTGAAACCCATCAAAACTCAAATTCATCTCATCCTTCCCCATACACCACCCCAGGAACACCGTAAACGGCAGCACCAGCAGCGCAATCTGCATGCTACTCCCCACCGCGACCCCGATCGCAAGGTCCATCTTATCCTTAATCGCCACCGTCACAGCCGTCGCGTGTTCCGCCGCATTGCCCACGATGGGGAGGAGAATCAGGCCGACGAATTCGGTGCTGATGGCTCCGGTAGCGGTGATGGCGTCGATGGATCCGACGAGGTATTCGGCGCAGACTGCAACGACGGCTGTGGATGCAGCGAGAAGGATGACAGCGGTGTAGATGTGCAACTGCGGCTCCTCTGGCTCATCGGGAGTCTGCTCATACGCCATCGTATTCATAAGTCCATCCTGCTCATTCCCCTCATTCAAACTATCCCCCGCCGTGCGTCCCTGCGCCGCGCCCACGGCCCCAGCGGCTGCGAGACCACGCTGGATATTACCGGGCGTGAGATGCTTCTTGCGTGGCTTCATTGGGACTTTGCGGGACTCCTCGTTGTACATTGTAGAATGCGTTTTGAGCTGGAAGAGGAGGTACATGGCGTAGACGAAGAGGAGGATGATTGAGGTGCCGCGCGAGATGGCGGCTACCTTGTCGACGCCGGTGTTGGAGACCCAGAGGTCGAAGACGGTGGGGATGATGACTGAGGCGATGGCGAGGACGAGGAGGGAGGCGGCGGTTTGGGCGACTGTTGTGTTGAAGAATTGCTCTTCGCGACGGAGACCGCCGAAGAGGAAACACATACCCAGGACGAGGAGGAGGTTGGAGAGGATGGATCCGATGAGGGAGGTTTTGACGATGACGATTTCATCTTTTGTCAAAGCGATGACTGAGACGATGACTTCGACCGCATTACCGAATGTGGCGTTGAGGAGTCCTCCAAGGGTCTCGCCTACGCGCAGGGCGATTTCTTCGGTGGCGTAGGAGAGGAGCGCGGCGAGGGGGATGATGGCGATGAAGTTTACGACGAAGACGGCTATGAAGTTCTGGTGCGTCGCTCCCAGGGCAATACCGACTGGCGCGGCGATGAGGAAGATGTTGACCCATGACCCTAGGAATATCGATCTAATCTGGCTGGCAACAGTGAACTTCTTGTTTGCATGTTTTGGCGCCTTCGTCTCCTCCGAATCCGTAGTCTCAGGCCTCTTCTCCTCCTTACTGTGCTTCCCGAACCTGGAAAGGAAGCGAGAGCGCGCTTTCTCCTCCTCGCTCCGCGGCCGGGCGGTGGAACCAGTTCCGGGGACTATGGTATCCTCGCTCGTGATGCCGGCTTCTTTATCGGCTGCGGAGATGGCGGGGGCGGTCGCGGAGCCGGCGTGGCTTCCTGGGCGGTTTATGATTCCAGGCTCGATGGGGCTGTGTGGTACTGGCTCGGTGTTGGCGTGGCGTACGTGAGGCACCGCCTCTTCTTCGTCGTATGTCGTCCTCGGATCATGGCTCCTGGTGCGGCTAAATGGATTCCTTGAGTCGGACCAAGCCTCGCGCCTTGCGGCGGATTTAATCCTATCTGGAGAGTGTTAGTTCTGGCTCGCGACGGTGGTGGAATTGGGTGAATTTTTATTTGTCGCAACTGGCGCGTTTGAAGCTCGGGATAAATTCACGCTTGGGCCACACTTACTCATATTGGCGGTTCGAACCTGCGATTGAGAGTTGGGTTTGGCTCGAGAAGGGTTCAAGATCTGTCAAAGATCTTTCCACTGTCTATGCGACTCCTTTAATCGAAGTTGTTCGTGGTAGCAAGTGTTGTGTTTTGGAGGTATACGTAGGTGGAGTTCGGTAGTGCCCGTGCTCGTCGTAATTATGCGGGCTGTGGTTTAAATGAGATGATCAGCAATTATACTGGCAACTCCTTCCGCTGGGGAATGTATTCACTTTTAGTATGGCAATAGGATGATTAGGGCTTGCATTTCTCTTCAGTTCTCTGTCAGACAGCGCCACCAACGATGATGAATATGTGGGCAATGGGCCGCAACTATAGCAGAACGGGGGATAAAGGAAATGTTGGTTGGTTGTACTCTCCATGTTCTACACTAGACACACAAGCCACACCAAAACCAAGTTGTTTGTAGCTGGACAGGGGGCGGAGAAGACAAAGACTGGGTGACCAGTGAGCGATTAAACCGTTGGTTCCAACCGTGGAGACAGCAACGGAGCACCAATCTGGAACAACAACCTGGATCAAGAACTGGCACAGCCCCATATCGATCGACTTCGGGCAATTAACTGAGTTCTACTACGTACGTATATAATCCGTGTTAGTACCCATATTACTCTAGGCATAGGCGTATTATGGTCTATAGTAGAGACCTAAGGGCGGACAATCAGCAGCAAACACTCGGCCGCTGACGTGGAGGCCGGTTACTCGTCATGCATCCGCCTGGAAATAGAGCGGTGTCTCTGTCTGACACTCCCCTCTCCTCAGCCATCTTCCCATGTGTCTTAAGATTAAAGACCTTGACTGAACAAAAGGAATACATACTAGAACATATACAGCTCATCCCATTCCGTTGTATCTCATACCTCAAAAACACCCCCTACCACTGGAAGTTCGGCTGTACCCACTACTAGCCCCCTACCAACTCAATCGAAGCTTTGCTTGGATTCTCCAAGTTAGTGTCGATCCCGCTTCCAAGGAGTCTTAATTTCAAGAGATGATCCATACTAAATCACGTGTTTGCCACTGCTTCAGCCACACTTCGAGATGTATGAGTGTCACGTGAATGATATGGTATGCGTTCATATGCGTTCAGACTTTAGGCCGCATAGAAAGGCTTCTTGTAGATGGCCTTAATCCGTTGTTGGTGACCTTGATCCTTTGTTGACGACCTAGATCCCCTTGTTGACAGCGGTTGCATAAGTAACTGTAAGCCGCCGTTGGTTGGGTGGTGCCAACATTCTGGGCGAGGCAAGTTTTGAGACCCCCTTCTACCAATGATTTTTGACGGGAGACAACACACATATGTACACACATGCAGCCTCGCTTGTCTGATTGGGAAGGCACGGTTTCTCAAACATTTTTAGCCGACCACCGAAACTCTATACCGCCAAATGGGCAAAAACAGCGTTTTCTCATATCCGGATCGACAAAAATCACCCACCAACATTATAAAACTTCAAAATATTAATTAAATTGATTAAAAGAGCCAAAAAAGGGCCTAATCCGGGATTGAACCGGAGACCTCTTACATTTTGAATTTTTTGGTTCCCAAAGCAAGAATTCTACCACTGAACTATCAGGCCTTTGATATGTTGATGCTGGGGATTAGCTCAGTACATGTGAGAACTGGCTGATGCTGATGACTGTCTAAAGCTATATTTACAATTATTCTACCATTCTAAGCCTTATGGGGGATATCTCTAAGTATAGAACGTGTTAGTACAAGTGAGAAAGGTAAGTGGTTGATGGTGGTGGCTGATGATGCTATAATTCCAGTTTTTCTACCTTCTGACCTCGACGCGGCTTCTCTCTACGGGGCCCATCTATAGAATCTCTCTCTGAATATAGGATGTGTTGGTACAAGTGAGAAAGGTAAGTGGCTGATTATGGCGGCTAGTGGATCTATAATTCCAATTACTCTACTCTTCTGACCTGTACGGGGCCCATCTCTACGAGGCCTCTCTCCGCTCCAAGTATATGATGTGTTGGTACAAGTGAGATGACGGTGGTGGCTGATAAAGCTATAATCCTAGCTGTTCTATTTTTCTGACTTCTGCCTGGCCTCTCTATGCGGCCTCTCTCTATGAGACCTCTCTCTAAACATCGGCCGTGTTTGTGAGACCGCGTCCCATCCCTCACTGAGCCACCATCCTACGCCTCACATCCTCCAACTTCTCGCTCTGCCTCCCCTCCCCATCAAAATTCCCCTCCCCCAACCACTCCTCCAACGCCCTCCCCGCCACCGGCCACCCCCCCTCCACCATCGCAAACCACGCCGTATCGCGATTGCGCCCCCTAACCACCATATGACACTTACTCACCCCCTCATACTCAAACCCCAACCGCAGCGCCGCGCGCTTCGACGCCTCATTCAAATCATTACACTTCCACACCACGCGCCTATACCCCAGCTTAAACGAATGGCCTAGCAGCAGCCAGTTCGCCTCCGTTGCCGCCACGGTCCTCTGCAGGGCTGGCGCGTATATCACGTTCCCGATCTCCAGGCTGCGGTGCGTGGGGTTAATCTCGATTAGGGAGACCATGCCCATTGGTACGCGCTCTGCTCCATCGCCGGCATCAGTAGAGATGACAAAATACTGCTTTGAGTCCCTATCGTTATTGACGAGACTATTCATCGCATCCTCGAACTCAGCGAACTCGGGAAACGGGCCGCGGAGCATGTAATCCCACAACCCCGGCGGCGCGGGGGGTAAACACAGCGCTTTGTGCAGCAGCGGGTAATGGGTGGTGGACAGAGGGGTGAGGGTGCACGCTCGTCCCTCTAGAGTGGTCGGTGGTGGGAAAGGGGGTGTGGGCGTTTCAAGGAGCTGACCCATGGGTCTTGGTGTTTGAGATGCCTCCTCGGCGGTGGGATCGGTCGACATTTTTTGTTTCAATTGCGGCTTGCTTGGTGGTTCACCCTCCGTCACTTGGGGAGGGAAATGAGGAAGTTATTGACCCCATCGGAGATGTTTGGAGTAATGACTCAACTCTTCGTATGCGCCGTATTTCTGGGGGGCAAGCTACCTGGTCAACCCCGCTGATTGGCAATTTGGGGTCCACATTTGAAGAGTCACGTGATGTTTCGGGTTATGTGCAGTAGCTCCTTGGCCACCTCTGGACTCTAATTTGGTTTCGTTTGAAGGAAGCTTAGGATTGACATGAAAGCAAATGCCGAAGCTTACAGTATTTTACAGTAGTAGGTTGAAGGAGCTGCGCGATGGATTGGATATTGACGTAAAATGTAGTCTTACAGAGAAGCTATGTAAGCAACACAGGAACACCGCGCCGAAAAGATATGAGTGCATCTGAAATTCGTTGCACAGCCTCCACAGGTTCAATGTCCGATCCCCGACATCTCCTCTGGAGCCAATCCCGGCCTGACAGCAGGACCAAGCATTACCTCAAACACGATCGACAGTGTCAGCGCTTCTGGCCCGGATGTCATGTTTGCCGTGACAGCACCTGCTAATTACAGAACAGCATGGCGCCATAACACTTGCCGTGACAGAGTACTGCCGTAGCCAGGACCATTGACTATGGTCATACTGCACCATGCTGCACCATCAGGCTGTCACTTAATGCCAAGCTGCCAATCTGACGACGGCGGCCGCCCCAACCCCCCAGTTCTACTAATTTTAGCGCCCTGATTTCCCGTTTCTCGCTGGAATTAGCCAATCCGTGGTGCCTGGGCTAGACCCCCTATAGCCCCCGTCGGCCAAGCACTACAACTCCCGACGTCAAGTGTGCCATGATCACATCCTCAAACCATCTGCGGACGGACGCCCACGGTGCAAAGCCTCCTAAGGGGACGGCAAGGGACATTAACTGCAGGTAGGTGAGACGAACGAGGTAAGAGCGTCGGATGTCTCCGTGTTTCTTATGTCGCCCTCTTATTGTTTCGCACGTTTCGTCTGATGTGCTGTGCGGCAAGAGAGTGCTTGGTTCCTCCCTGCGCCTCCAACAGCTCCAGAGATATATAAGAAGCCATCTCAACACCCTCAAACTCTCTCAAACTCGCTCAAACACTTCAGTCTATTCTTCTTCGTCAATAATTTGCTGTGCAAACAAAACATTCACTACATTCTTACCTTAATAAACATTTTACCAACCACCCACCAATCAACCTTCACCCAATCAACTTCCACCACCTTCAACATGCATTTCTCCGCAGCAGCCATCCTCCCCTTCCTCTCCGTCGCTGCCGCGCAGTACGGTTCCTCCGACTACGGCTCCTCCTCCACCGACACCACCAGCAACGCCCAAGCCGCCACCGACACCACCACCACCACCGCCGACGGCGCCACCGTGCACAAAGTCCTCGTCGGCCAAACCGCCCTCACCTTCTCCCCCTGGAACCTCACCGCCGCCGTTGGCGACAAGGTTGAGTTCCACTTCTACCCCACCACCCACTCCGTCGCACAAGCCGCCTTCGACAAGCCCTGCGAGCCCAGCTCCGACACCGCCTTCTTCTCCGGCGGCGTCACTACCCAGGCTGCTACGAGCGGAAAGACCAGGCGCCAGACCGCTGCGGATATGAAGATCTTCACCATCACCGTCAACGACACAAAGCCCATCTGGTACTACTGTGGCTTCCCCAACCATTGCCAGGGCGGCATGGTCGGTGTCATCAACCAGGCTGCGACGGGCGCGAAGACCATTGAGGCGTTTGCGGCGGCTGCGAAGAAGGTGGCTAAGACTGTTGCGCCTTCCACGGTGCAGGGTGGTACTTGGGGAGCTGCGGAGGTGGCGAACGGTACCGAGACTGGTGGTGCTTCGACCCCGTCTTCGTCGACTGGTGCCGCTTCTGGCCTGATGGAGAGGGGTAGCTACGGAACTGTTGTGGCTGCTGGGCTTGTGGCAGGGCTTGCCGGGATTTTCGGTACTCTGTTGGTTTAATGCGGTGGATTGGATTGTATTGGGATTGAGGGGGGAGTTACATAGCATAGTGCAGCGCACGGCTGGAGTTAATAGGGAATATTAAATTCAAATTTTCACTTCATATGAATGTTTTAATAAATGGCTGTGACTTCTACTGACATGATGACCCTTTCCACGGCAAGTTTGCTGAAATAGACGGGGACCGATCCCCAGACTGACCATGTATCGGTCTGATCCCAAACTCATAGACCCGACCGTGATCTGGTCTGGTCTGAAACCGTCAACCGAAGAGGGCCCCCCTGAGTTTCTTGGCAGACTTAGTGCTTCTATCGAGTGCGGGTTGTAGTAGTAGATTGGATTATTACTGCTTTTTCGGGGATTTATTCATTTAGTCCCTGGTGATTTTGAAGATTCACTCTGTCCTTAACGTCTATCTACCATAGCGCAGCCGACAGCAAAGGTCAGATGTGAAAGCGCGATCTACGCACCAACGCCTTCGATCCGCCGTCTCTCCAACAAGCACGGTGATCGCCGATCTTCTTCCGAGTACGCCCTCAACAGTTCATACCCCGACTCGGGACATATAGCCGTCCCATCCATGACCGCTACCGCGCGGCGTCCTTTCCCTAAATACGCCGGGACGTTTCTTATACCTGCAAACGGTAACTCATTCAGGCATAGCCATTCAATGGTGAATTGCCTATTTGATCTCAGGATTAGTGACCTGAAGAAAGCGGGTGAGAACTGTCTGTTAACACTCACCCTTGGTACTCTCTCCCATCTTCTCTGGGCAACCAATCTTCGCTTGTGGTGTCCCAATCCATGGGACTCGTCATTCTAGCAACGCCGCAGAACTTTTGACTGTTTGAGTTCTATTAGTGGGTGTATGATTATGATAACAGGACAGTGGATGAGGCACCTTCTAACTATTGAAAAGAAAATTATGACGTTGCCACCAGACCTCCTGTAACCGTTGTCGAGTCTCGTATTCGCATCTTTCATAGCGGACCACTGCCCAAGTGCAAAGCTGGTTTCCATATCTGTTTCATTGTCTGACCGCAGGACAAAGTACTTAGTCTATAAGAGAGGGATCTGATGTTAGATTATGCGCTAGCCTTTGTGCTTGATACGAAGAAGCTAACCTTGTCAAACGAAAGATCTCGAAATGATAATGCTAGAAGACTGGGGTCGAAAGGCCGGCCTTCATAAGTGTCAATGACAGTATTATCCGTACCTAGAGTACTAGTTGAACTCTGCGTGCCCTGTGAACTGCGAGAGCCTTGTGTGCTCTGGCTGCCTCTTGTACTACGAGAACCGCTCGTACTACTACGAGAACCGCTTGTAAGCCGCAGGTTTCCAAAGGTCGACCAAGATAGTAATGGCATGGGTGAAGATGCGTCAATATCATGGCGTTGGGATGGAATGACTTCATCCTGAACAGAGAGCCTGTGTCTTGATTAGCATCAAACAGGGTGCCAGGGCAGTCAATGGACACGCACAAATTCTCTCGTTCCAGAAGAAGCCCCACATCCGCAAACCATGAATGTGAAATAGCTGCCTCTGCTGTTGGTCGATGTATCGGATTTGGGATTAACAAGAGTTTGATGAAATCTTGACAAGGTTTTGAGATGTTCATGCCCGGTGGTTCGTCAAACCTGAGCGGTTTGATCCCTCGGGTATAATCTTCTTGATCAGAGCTATAGAGGAACGGATGGGTTAGCAGTAGTTCCATTGTGATCACCCCAATGGCCCAAATATCGACAGATATTGAATACACAGAAATACTGTGGCTACTTCTAAAGTGACCTTTCAGCTCGGGTGCCATGTATTCGGTGGTACCGAGCTGTGTTTGCAACTGCGTTCCTTCGTGACATTGCTTGCTAATGCCAAAGTCCGCAATTTTGACAAGCCAGGGGGATGTGGATACTACTAGGATGTTCTATGTTGCAATGAGTGAGTAGACTCAATATCATAAACAGATTACTTACCCCTGGCTTCAAATCCCTATGAGCAAAGTTGATCTCGTGCATGAATTTTATCCCCTCAAGAACCTGTCGCGCAACAAGCCCGGTTGTTTTCTCAGGAAAGGGTCCCTCACGATTTCTAATACGTGCTAAATCTCCAAGTCGACAGTACTCCATCGTGATAAATACAGACTCTGTATTTTCAAACCATCCATAGCTTTGAATAAAAAAGTGCTCATACTAAATAGTTAGCCATCCTCTTCTCAAGAAAAAGACCTACCCCGACTTACTTGAGCCTGTGAAAAGTTTGCAACGGCCTGAACTTCTTTCATATAATCTGGGGTGCTTAATTTTCTGATCTCCTTCACTGCTCGAACTTGGTTTTGGGAAGACTGGGTTGGGTCCGAGATCAGTGGTCGACGTCGCTCAAACCTCACAATTCCGAAGGAGCCTTGGCCGATGATCGAACCAGGTTCAATATCCCATATTTCTTCAATATCAATGAATAAGTTTTCCTCGGTTTCCATCGATGACTCTTCCTCAATTCGGGCGAGAGTTTCTCCAGATTTCTTCTTAGGGACGCGTCGCATGTGCTTAACGCCTCCAGCAATAAATTCTGCGTCCAACCTCAGAGCTGCGACGAGGTCTGAAGTGTCCTCCATTATCATATCATGCTCAACCTTTTGTATGTTGAGATATATAACTGTGAATATGGTGCCTGTGTGTCTGTGCCTCGATGCATTGAGAGTTCCGAAAAGATGTTTTCCAAGGAAAATGAACTTGAAAAGGCCGGTGACTATTTTCCTCTTTGAAGTGCATGGACGAGGAAAGATTAACTTAGATTGACTGCTTAAAGTGCCGCATTATATCCATCGTTACTGATTGTTGGATGTCGCGAATATAAACTCTTTCGGCGGTATGGTTGATTCCAAGAAGAACAAACAAGGAGTCAGGTCCTAAACTAGACTTTTTGGGGGAAAGAATGGCATGAATTCGCTATTTGAGGCCGCCATGACAGCGTGGCAGCACAGTTCATATCTTGTGCAGTATAGTACATAGCCGAAATGTGGCTGCGTTGGCGTGGGGGCAGTGTCGACACATCGAAACACAGCCTCGCCACGGGCAGAAATGAAAGGTCGTCAGGTCTGCCTCGTCGCGCTCAATATCCTGATAAGGTGAGCAACTCCTTGCGCGGCGAAAGATATTTCAATTTTCCGATTGTTATGACGAGTGCGGGTTACTATGGCCGAACTAGGACTTGCAGTCGTGGGGGCCGTGGATATTTGCATTAGGTGAGTTTGTGTGGACAGAGGATGCCGATGAGTTACTTGAGCTTGTGCTAACATGCACTTAGAGTTGCCAATGAAATAAAAACCACTTGTCGACGATTCAGAATGTATGACGAGGAAATTGAAGAGAAGGCTATTTTGGTAGAGGCTGTCTGGGTTAGAATCGAGATACAAATGCGATTCCTCTCCAGAATTTCCGAGCTGCTCGAGGAGGAGCTCGCAAATAGCCAGTTAAACTTGCTGCGAAAGCTTGAAGGCAAATTGCTTCAAACCGTTTCCCAACTTAGAGTGCAGAAGCGGGATGGCGATGTTAACGACTTTTCGCCAAAGCAGAAGATCATGGGCTATCTAAGCAAATGGAGGTGGGCAATCAGGGATAGCCTAAAAGAACTGGCGGCTGAGCTTGAAGCATGGCAGAACCGGTTCGATCCAACCTGGTATTTGACAATACTCAACAGCAGCAAGGTTCTAGACCTTGAGCTTCGACAAGTGAATGCAGAGTTACCAAACGATCCAGAACTCCGACTCGACTTGCTAAATAACCAGTTGAACCCACTTATGAACATGCGGAACCTTCGTTACGCGTCAAAGCCGGACTATAAAGCCAGCCTCTACTTCGATGCAACTAAGCTCAGGGACCCGAGAGAGACCCTGATCATGTTCTCATCTGCTAGAGCAATCCTGCGAGAACAAGATGGGCAAACCAGGCTCCTAATTGTGGAGGCTGTGACGTCTCCGAATGGAGGCCATGGAACACTTGACATTAGTCAGATTAAGACTGATGTGGAATCATTAGCGGGAAGGCTTCAGCAAGTCGATCCAGGCACATTTTGTCTACTCCATTGCAAAGGCCTCATGGAGCTCCGAGATGTTACGACTCGAACCCTCAACGGGATTGATATGCTGTATGGCACGCCTAGAAACTGCGCATTACCTGTTAGCCTTCGTGGACTTCTCCTTGACAGAAGCCTCGTCCCAAGTCTCAGCTCCATTGTCCGGATTGCAAAGCGACAGGTTCGCTCGGTGAGCTTCATTCACACTTGTGGCTTTGTACATAAGAACATCCGGCCCGAAAACATCTTGGTATTTCCAAGCAAAGACTCGTCGCTAGGTATAACTTTTCTTGTTGGCTTCAACCAGTTTCGGCGTGTGAATCAACAAACCAACCTACTGGGAGATCCAGCCTGGCATCGAAATTTATACCGTCATCCTCAACGCCAAGGAATACACGTTTTGAACCGCTATGTCATGCAACATGACATCTACAGCCTTGGTGTTTGTCTCCTAGAGATTGGGCTATGGCGGTCATTTGTCCACTATCCACTACTGAATATGAACGCCGCACCAGTTCCACCAGCGTCATTCGAAATTCAGATTAGCGATGAAGACTTCACAGCCCCCCATTTGACTGCTCGATTACGCACCAAAGACCGGTTCATTGAATTGGCGAAGAGGGATCTTCCGTCAAGAGTCGGGAATGTGTATACTGAAATCGTCCTTGCGTGTCTAACGTGTCTTGATCCAGGAAGTAGAATGTTTGGGAATAATAATCAAGAAGATGAAGATGGAATTATCGTCGGAATTAGATTTATAGAGCAGATACTAGCTAGGATCGACAGCATATCAATCTAATGACGAAGATTAGTTAGTGGAATCTGTAGACCCTAATTGTCCTCGGGACGCTGCTTCCTAAACGATAGGATGCAAAGAGGTTTCTTGGGTAAGGGTTTAACTTCACAGAGGAGGCAGGGGATAAGACACAAAGGGTTCAAATAACACATTGCAGCATATAACAAATAATATATTCAGTTGAACACGAAACTCCTATCTAAAAACCAAGTTTCTACTTAAATATTGGCGTCATGCTAAACGGATATATGGATAGCAATGGATATTATAATATATCCTTATATCCTACATATCTAACGACTCCCTCGACCCTGTTGGGGCCCCAACCCACGGAGCGCCAAATCAAAACCACTCTCTGTCTCTTGTACCGGAGTCCCGAGATATGTAGATCTGTGGTATGTAGATCTCCCGTATTCGTTGATAATTGGCGTTATCTAACTGCATGCTAACTAGAACATCGACAATTTGAAAATCGCGTACCGGAGTACCGAGAAGTGCACTACGGGCAATCATTACGAGCGGTATGTCTAGCATGATGGATGATCGAACGTTTATAATAATAGTTATGCATACAGCTGCTATATACAATTGGCTAGTTCCACTGTCCCCAAAATCTGTGGTGAGAGTAGATCTCTCGTATTCAGTTGATAATCACCGTCATCAGACTGCATGCTAATCTGACTTTGCCTCAAAAGGAAGCTAGGGATCGGGCGTTGGTAGCTTGTGTTTATATACGATTAAGATCGTCTTTGTCTCATAACAAGCTAAGCCATGATCACCTTTGGCTTTCCCTTACTCATGGTGCCTTGACACTGCGGGTGGCTTATACGGCATTGTGGACCTTGCAGAAATCCCCGCGAGACATAAGCATAAGTAGAAGAGATAGTGGAGCAGAGCATAAACGGCGTAGTTTTTATACAGAATGCCAATTCGAAATGTACTACTCACATATTATTTATGAGGCAATCTACTTACCCAGCGTTACTAAGGGCCTGAGCCTGACCTGAAGTCCTGGACCCGCCTGTGAGATTCCACCTCAGTGCTGCTTAAGATCACTAACCCGCTGACGTTCTCACTGCCTCATAAAGCCCATCGAGTGCACCATGCATTGCAAGTTGCTCCAGTTATTCTAATGATACCAAGGCTGCACTGCCGGCTGAGGTCAGATTCACAATTTAGTTGCTTGCCGTTTAGTTATTCAAACGCTTCTCAGTCCTTGGCGTCGATCGATAGCTCGGCCCCTACCTTCGATAATTGTAGCCAAAAATGTGATATAAAAGCAGGCTATTGTCCTCGCTATAATCATCTTCACTACTCTATCGACATCTTCCACATCTACTTCCTCGATATACAATCTCCTTCGATTCTCTCACAGGACCAATATCTCTGTTACCTTAGAATATCACAACCGCCATCATGCAACTCTCAACGACCATTCTCGACTTTCTGCTTGTCGCTGCCAGCACTGTTTCTGGCGCCGCAATCGAATCTGACGCCGCAATCGAACTCGATTCCCGTGGTCTTGGGATCAACTGCCGAGGCAGCACGCTCTGCAGTGGCGCGGGGTCTCTAAAAGACATCGCCGACAATGTCGCGAAGATCTCGCAAGATCGTTGGTACAACGCTGGCGAGCTGATTGCCTGTGTGCAAGATTTGGCAGGCTCGGGCAAGTGCGCCTTTTTGCAGGGTAACACCGGAGGATTGCCGGGAAGTGACATCCTGCCTCTGATCCATTATCTTCAGCAACACGGCTGCGGTGGATGCGGTAGTGTCCCGATCTACTTTGGTCAGGGAGATAACAACCCAGACACCCACGGCATTCTCACCGTCAACTACAAGAGGAACACCCAGGGATGCAACGGCGCCTGCTGAACGGATACGGGTTATGGAACCTCTGGGACCAACATTGGCTACGAACTTGACGGATTGGAGAAGGCGCTGAAACTTGCTGAGAGCCAAACTATTTAGATCTTTTTTCTTTTTGTTGTTTCGGTTCGTTTGTTGGTAGACGGGGTTGTGTTTACATGTTCTAGAAGTTTTAATTGTGCTCTGTTATGTGGGTTTTCCTATGGGGTTTCCCACACTACGAAACGTAAATTGCGGGAGAAAAAAAAGTTTAATTTAAATACTATATTAAACTCTTAAATTAAGCAGTTGAATTAACTAGTCTCGTTGCAAATAATCCTATGTGGCGGCTAGTAAGTATCTCAGTGACATGAGAAACATGCCCAGTTCCCCCCACCGCTTCCTCTTGTATTCGACCTATTATAGTTTCCGCAACATCTTCTCCAGATCTTTAGTTCTTCAACTCTGAATAACCATCATCTAACTGTGGTCGGAAGCTTGTATGGCTCATTGGCGAGATGATGCGCCGAATGCACCTTGGGGGCTATCGCGCATGTGGTGAATACAATGAAGTAGTAAATCGATAACGGTGAGAAGAAGGTACCGGTGAGAAGCGTCAACAGTAAGAAGCGATGATGGTAGTGAAAAGTAGAATCTGCTCGCCTACTCTGAGTCTATCTGGTAGCGTATGCGTCTGCTGCACGTTGCCTTAATGGCCCTCCAATTCGGTCCGCAATCAATTCGAAATCTGAACTCTGAGCGAAAGAAAAACCGCAAAGTCGCAAAATCCTCAGGTCGCACGCCAACAATTCCATGCAAAGCAATTTTTCCCATATTTTCTAGCCCATCTCCAAGATCTCTTTCATCTTATGGAGTCGGAGACAATTGCAGCGGCTGATGCGTCTAGAATACCAGTGGGCAGTGCCAGTTATTGGCACTGCTTCCGCGCTGCATCCTCAATCTACCCCACCCCCAACAACGTTCCTAGCCTTTCTGGTTACTTGTTGCTCTCTGATAAAGAAGCCAGTATATTCCCCTTTCACTCTCTGTACCTTAATCAATATCCACCTCTGCAACTGTGCCGTATCCTCTTGACAAACGAAAATAGAGCCAGCTATTAGCGAATTTTCACAAACGAGAGCTTTGCTTCCCGTACATTATCGACTATAATCACTAAATATCCAATCACGCCAGTAAATTACATCCGTCAACCGCCCAGCCTTCACCCACCAGCCATCTCACCTCCCTTAGGCGCATTACTTCCACTCCCCGAATCACTCGCATGTTCACTCCCCCTCCTAAAAGACGGCGTCCTCAAACTCCCAAACCCTCCCGCATCCCTAAAACTTCCCCACCCCTCCCTCAACTCCCCCCTCGCATCTCTAAAACTCCCTATAGGCCCATTATTGCCACCCATCCATGTCAATCCCGGCCCGAGTCCCAGCACAGGAATATTCGCATCATCAACCACCAGACCTGCTGCCGTCGCCGCCGCCTCGCGCGCTCCAGCCGCTCCAGCCTTGAAGACTGGTGGAGTAGGCATTACAGCCGAAGTCGTAGCCTTCTCCCATACCTCAGCATAGAAGCGGCGTAGTCCCTCAACGTCATTACAGAAGCGTTCCATGTCATCCTTAATCGCAACATCTGGACCCTGCTTCTCCTTCCCAGCGAAAGTCGGCACCGCGGCGCTCGGCTTCGCGACTGGGCTCGGCTTCAGGCCGGGACTGGCCATGGTGGCACGCAGCATGGGGCTGCTGATGGGGGTTTGTTGGCGGGGTGGCGGCACGAAGCGGTCGTTGTCGCGGACGATATGGGTGCGGCTATTGAACATCTTATTGCTGGTCAGGAGAAAATCGCCTTCGTCGGTGATTTGGGCGAAGCCGGTACCGGAGCGGTGGATGTACTGCGAGTAGGCGTAGTTCGGCTTGCCCCAGCTGTAGATCACCTCGACGTTTGTGGGGAAGTTGGCTGCGGCCTCGGTGTCGAGGACGAAGTTGAACTTCTTCATGATCGCTTTTTGGTAGTAGTGCTTCTGTGGGCTGGATATGGGGGCGAGGCTGGTGGCGTCGAAGTCGGTAGGCGGTTGTTTTTCAGGGGGTGGGAGGGCGAGTTTGAGATGGTAGGGTGCGCGGAAGGGGTGGCTACTTGAGATTGTGCAAGCTTCTGCTATTGGAGCTTCGACGAGCCGTAGCCCATACCGGTCAGCTGTGAGAGTCCATGAAGCGATGGCGTCCTCAATGAGCTTTGCAGTGACATTCATCCAGTCAAGGCGTATATGATAGCAATTGTCAGGGTTGTGGATCCGATCATAATGCAGATTGATACGCTCAGGGCGGTACGAGCGTTTCCGTGGATCGACGTCGTATTTCATGACATTACTGAGGGATACCTTGGGTTTGCGAGCAGTTGGGGTAGGTGGTTCTGTGCCAGGGTCTGTCGACTTGTTTTCATCATTAATAGAATTGGCCTGAGTTCTTTCTGGCTTTGGAGACTCTTTGGGGGCATTCTCGGTCATGGGAGTTGTTGGAACAGAAATATCTTTGGGATCCTTGGTGTCTCTGCGACGGGGCCCGAATGGCCACCCTGTACGTGTCTCAGGTCGAGGTTTTGCGTGTTCACCAACAACTTGGTAAAAATATTGGCCGTCACGGAAGGGGTGGCGCTTTTCAACGTGGACAAATATTCCAAAGTCCTTCTCCTTTTCTTTGGAGTCCGTGTTCGCGCGCCTTTCCTCATCGTTAACCATCAACATATTGCCGAACTCAATGGCTTCTTCGCGGGTTTCGATATCCTCGATATTCTCCAACAGCCAAGTTGTCATATCGGATCCGATAAAGCAATTATAATGCAGTCTGAAATGCCACCTTCGATTCTGCATTCTGACTCCACCCTTTTCCACGGGAGCCTGGATAGCTTCAGCCAACATCCCGATATTCAAATTCGATTTCTTGAAACGCTCCTTTTCAGAAAGAAGCTGGCCACGCTTAATTTGTGCCTCTCCGGTCTCTAATATTGGTAGAGTCTCAAGCTCAGCGGCGATAACAACCGAAGGATCCTGTGTTTGATACCAAATATCGAGTGGGTTTGGATCTTTCACCCGTCGGCTGGACAGATTTTGAAATCTACGCTCGGATGGCGGAGTGTAACGATGTCTTTGCCACATCTGTGTCAAGGCTTTGATGCCCTCCAATCGAATTTCTTCTTCTGTGTCTTCGCCCTTGGGCCTATGAAGGAAGGCTGGCCGTTCCACGGGAATAAGGACAAACCTTGCTCTCCAGTATCGTAGATTATCGGTTATATCCTCATTATGCCCCGCAATAAACGAATCTACATAATTCCAATTATATTCAGGAAGTGGTTTTTGTAGAGCAACATCGCGACAGGCGTAATCGGAATCGAAGTACGTCCGTATCGCAGGCTTATAGTTTTGAGTCTCGGCATTCTCATTCTGTAAAAACGTGGCCGATTTCCTTGTAAACATGTTTACTTCGACTTCGGTTCCGTTGACGCACGAAAGTTGGTGGATGATATTCCCCATGGACAAAAATATGCTCGTGCCATCCTCAGCAATATGATCATCCTCGAATGCGTTTGCAATCTTCAATGCCTTCTGCCCAAAGGCTTCGGCAACGGCAGTTCCGACGACGATCTGGAACCCATGTGAAAGTCGCAATGCTACGAGCTCTCTCAGAAATTCTCCTCTTGTCTTCGGCACTTCGAGCATATCTTCGTCTATATTTTGGGATATATTATATGGCTTCTGCTGGAATTCTGTATCAAGTTGGACTTTAGTCGGGAAATATTCGGTCGTAAGCGGCACTGATGCCGGAGAACACAGGGACTTCCACTTCATCGCCTTTGTGACAACAGGACCGGGAAATATGTGTTGCCATCGTTTATATTGGCTTGCATCATTGTCAGCAGCAGTGGGGTTTGATGGGTTGAGAACATTCAGCCATGGAGAGAGCGCTACGGTCTGTGGAAGAGATGCAAAATCGGATGCTGGTCCTGCCAACAGCTTCGATTTTGAAGTTCGTATAGTGTCGTTCGATAGTAGCTTCTGTAGTGTTGGTAGGTCGTCATCATCCCTGACCTCTCCTCCTTCATACAATGATCCCAAAATCGACCTGGCCTGTGATTGGGGGTTCGCCTCAAAGCCCGAAAATGGGCTCTTGATGGCAATCGGCCGGCTAGTGAATTTGTCCGTATCCTCGGCATTGTCATTGCGGTCAGATTCTTTTGATCTTATACTTCCTCGAGATGAAGCAGGCCGGTTGGTCGTCCTATCGAACCGAGAAGATGATGTCAAATGGCTAGCCATTGCGGAGGAGCTATCTTTCTGCGGAGTTGATGTTTGGGATTGACTTGTGAGCCTGGCTGCATTAGCATGCTCAGTGTGTACTTCGGCAACAGCAGCTTTGGGGGCAGCTATCCCAAAGCCTCGGAATCCAAAACTGATCTGCCGCGAGACTTTGAACGGGCGTGCAAGGAGACTAGAGTGGGAGGTTGCTTGAGAGTTTGTGCTTGATATGCTGGTTTTGCGAGAAGTTGTACCCAGTAGCCCATTGTTATTTGTCTCTGGGATTGTTAGGGTTTGATTTTGCGCCTTTGGTATCTCGCGATGTGGTAATGGTGCAGATATCTTGCCATCGATGCTCTTCTTCTTTTCGTGGGTCTCATTTGACAGCTTCGGATATTTCTTCATGTCAAGCTTTGGTGATACTATCTTACTACGTCCTGGCTTGGAGACCACTGCGGCTTTCTCGTCAAAGGCCTCTAGTAACTCGAAAAAATCCTTCTCGGCAGTCGTAGATTTCTTGTCGACAACTGGCCTTGTTGGCCCATACAATGGATCCCCAATTCCAGAAAATGGCTTTCTTGGTGCCTTCACAATGCTAGGTTCGTCGCCTTCGCTTCTTCCCAGTTGGCGGATGCGATCTGGCAGAGGTGGAACAGATATCTCAGTATTCTCCACATGACCGAGCATTTCTATTTCATACATCTTGCATCTGATCTGAAAATTCTTTCTCGGCTTCACAATACCTTTGCGACGATATGCTTTTGATATCTTACCACCCTGCTTAGCCAATAGTTCTTGGCTTGCTCCTGTCCAAAAGGAGACGTCTAGCCAGTGCGGAATAGCATAATTCCATTCTTCAGGGGCATTTTGAGGTGCAAGCGTGCTGAGGCGTTGTTGCAGTTCCGACGCCTTTGAAGGAGACAAGGATTCTTGCAGCGTGTTGAAGCTACCAAAGGCGGTGGTGCTTTGCCGCGGTGTACTGCTTTCACTGCCAATATCCTTCACTCGGAGTGATTCCTGGTATACATCAAACAAGGGGTTGCGATAGCGCAATAGGGGGACTGAGTGCAGAGGAATCTTGGGGAGACAGACGAGATCAATTGCGATCCCGCTACCTATCAAAGAGTCTGTCGTAGCTTTCAGCTTCTCATAGTCCACTTCAAACAATCCCGCACAGGGCGTAATGATGACGATAGATATCCCTGTTCGGATAAGGTCGCGGTCGATGTAGTCAGAAGAGAATGAAGAAGATGCAAGATTTATTGCTTCCAACAGGTTTCCATGGACAGCGAATGTTGGTTCTGCTTCCACTCGTGTACCAGGAACCGAGCCCATCGAGAAATCTCCAGTCGGTTGCTTCGAGCCATACTTGTTAAGTCGAAACATTGAGATATCGTGGCGAAAGAAATGAAATTCGACCTTCAGCTGATACAGGATTGTCGTCCATTCCCCACTTGCCATTTCACTGACAACAACTCGATAGAAATCCTTGTACGGCTTCCTCGATCCAGTGGTATGATACCCCGTGTAGTATGAGTCGCCGCTCCCTTCCATGTCACTGGTAAGGCCCGTATCATACTCCACGCGGGTAAACAGGACAATGCTAACAAGGTGCTTTGCCTTGAGCGCCACCCACCTCTTGAATAGTGCCGGCAAAAATCCATTGACAACTTTTGTAAACACAATCTCTCCGGATCCTTCTGAATCAAAATCCCACATTTCTTTAGACATCTGAATAAATAGTACATATCGAGCAGATTCGCTCCGGAAGATGGGTTTTGTATTTGTTGAAAAGAACGCCGACTGGACTTTTCTCCCCGAAACATACACCGATGTTATCTGTGCCTTAATTGTGCCCATAAATACAAGCTTTTGTCCTTTATACACCGTCTTGTTGCTCAACTTCGCAAGTGTGAGTCGCCACATATCAGATCTCGACAGGTATTCGTCCTTGAAGGACATTTCGACATGTGAAGCCGTCGTAATGGCAGCGGTTGTCGTCGTAACCAAAACATTGGATCTATGCTTGAATCCAAATACGTCGGCGACATGTTTAGCCACTGATATTTCTAGATTGGGGTGCTTTGACGCGGTCTCCTTGTTCATCTCGCCCAATGTAAAGAGGTACTGCTTCTCGGCATCCTCCTGGGTATCCAGGCTTCCCTTGCTCGACCGCATGTCTGCGATGCTGGCATCTAATTGTTGGCTCGCCGCCAAGCTTCCGGGTTTCTTATCCAAGGCATCGTTCTTGAGCGGCACAATGGCCATCAACTGGCCTAGCTTGTAGCGCCCGGCAGGCAAGAGAGTGTGGTTGAAGATAACCTCTTCCTTTGAAAATTTCTCATCATGGACCCACAGCACGCATTGCCTCTCGACGGGCGCTTCATTGTGGCTAGGAGCAGTCGTCTTGGGCGGATTGACGGTCGCGCTTGGGAGGGGGTTGTTATCGTTACTGAGGCGGTGGGGCGGAATTGATGAGGGGCGAGCCGCAGCGCCCCGGCGCAATGAGGCTTGCGCACTCATTGGTATATGGAAGCATTAATGGGCGGCCGGTATTATTTCATTGTCTAGTGATATCTGGTGAGGCGTGTCGTCGTTGCCCACAATGAGGCCGTCGCTCCCAGGTTTCTGCCGGTAGGCTAAGACATAAGGTTACAAGGGAGCTCTCACCGCCTTATCACTATGGTCACGTGATATCAACATGTTTTTCGGAAATATCAGTTGCAGTGCTACATCTGAAGTAAGTTATACATATATTAGAGTTTAATAAATCTATGGTCATAGCTAGTATAATAAATGATTAAATTAAATTTTGTATCAGTGGCTGTGTTGAATGGCTGGGAGGCTGCTAGATTTCCCTCCATGCTGCAAATTATCTCCAATTTTTCTAGTACGAAAGTAAATAAAAATTATTTACTTTATTTGTAAACCTACCCCGCGTTCAAGTTAATGATAATCATTTTAACGATCAACTTCGGATCCCATTCATAACTTTCCATCTGTTTGTAACTTCTATCGGGTTTAAATTGTGGATCTCGGTACGGCCCGAATACTATTCTCCTCATCTAGAGATTTTTGTTCTGACGCCATCAGCCAAAAGAAGCCTGACGCAGTGCACGGGCAATATTACTACAATGTCTCAAGATACTGATGATCTCTCGAAAGAGATCGGGCTTATGAATCTCAACGAAAGTCACATGGATGGCTTGAGCATTTCCCTGAAACCCATCTGCGCTGGCATCCAGCGTATCCTCTCACCAGGCCTCGAGACCATCTCCACCTCGTCGTGGGCCTCAGTCGAGTCTTTGCTCCAGAGCACGGCGAAGAACATTTCATCCGTCTATGACACCCCTTCGGATATCAAGGATGCTGCGGTGTACTTCTCTACCATCACCGAACGGATTCGGGCCTGGGCAAAAGACCTTCAACAGGCCATATCTGCGCTTCATTCTCCCGAAGAGAAACAAAAGCTAGTCTCCCTGCAAGTAGTAGAAAAGGTAGAAGCGGCCGAACGGTCTGCTAAGCTGGCTTCCACAATCAGTGGATCATGCCAGGTGCTATTGGCAAACATGGGGAAGCGGACAGAGTGGGAGGTACAACACCCTATTGAAGCGGCTCAAGAGTTTGAGCTTCGCGAATATTCTCGGAGTTTATCAAGCTCGTTATTGCAATCGCAGGGTGGTAAGGCATTAAATGATATCCCGGGCGAGAAGTGGGCAGAAGCAGAGAGGCAGCTACGGAGTCTCGAAGATTACCTGAAGGAACACAAGATCCAGGCTGTCAGAATTCGAGAAACTAAAATGGACAAAGTAATGGTTGCCCTCCTCAAGGCCTTTGAACGTTTTGATGAGACTGGAATCAACCGCCAGAAAGTCGACGTAGCCCGGGCGGAACGCATCTGGGGTCTAGTTGACAAGCTCGGGAGTGGCATGAGCTATTTACTCCAGGTCGATGCCAGGCGTCGTGAGGGCGAGGCCGTGCCCACCACCCGCTCAATTTTCCTCCTGAAATCCGCACCTCCAGCAAACATCAAGTACTCCGCATCGCCATCTGACTGGCTAGCGAAGCGGCTTTCTAAGTCTGCGGCGTATCTTGATGCGGTAGTTATTCAAGGCAACATTGCTGTCAACGATGAGCGGGGCTGGAGTGGGGTATTCCAAGAACTGTCTGCGCTGGAAGACTTGTTAGTTTCCGGGGTGACGTTGACGAATGCTAAGGAGTCGAAGATTGACGAGACGCTGAAAGCTATGGGAGAAAAGATTCGGGGTCTGGAGGCTAATAGGAATGGGAAGGATGAAGGGGATCTGAGCCTTATGTATGTTAGTTGGGAGTTAGCCCTGAGGATAAGTGCCTACTTCAACGAACTGGAGGCCTGAACGGCCTCGTCCGAAGTATAATCCGACAAGGAATTGCCGCGGATGCCTCTATGATGGCATGCTTTCATACCAGGCAACGATATCACGACCAGCAAGAGCGTAAGGACCTGGGCGTTCAAGCGCTACTAGTGGTGCCTTCACAACAAAGTATAGCGGGACAGAGGCGGGACTTTCAACGCAACATCCATACGAACCGGCCAAGGCGAATCCAGTTACGATCACGATAAGTACGAATAATTACTTCGGAATGAAAGGAAAAGGCCATGGATTTGCCACAATAGAGCACCCAAACAAGAAGCATATAAGCGAAGGACAGCAGGTGTCATAAGTGGCACTACCCAAGCCAATAGGATAAATATAGTAGCTACAATATGTTCATTTGCTACTCTCTATCAGTCTCCAGACAACGGTCCTTAGCAATAACCGGCCCCCCCCCCATCCTTTGGAATACCATCCTCAATAGTTGCAGTGTATCTGTTAGCTTCTTAAAATTAATAAGGGATTTTACAGCGGCTTCTGGCCATATACAGCGCCACTATATTCTCTTGTTAGCGTGATCCCTTTATCATGACGGACAACTTACACCACATAGTATCCATGATTCTTCCTGTCTAGAAATGCCGCCTTTACCTGCGCCAAGTACACCTGGACATCTTCCAGCTTCCACTCCAGCACAGCTGTCAACATGTACATCGCCCAGCTCTCCATCCCCGATAGACAGAACAGCAGGCTCCACCTTCCCACCTCCTTCAATTTGGGGTCACTACTCCATGCTCCAATGGGAACTTTATAGTTCCGTTGCACCACATTCGTAAACCCCGCATTCTCCATCAGCTCTTTAGTTTGGTCTAGAGTCCGGATAGACTTTCCGAGGAGGTCGCCAGCCTTGAAGAACGGCTTAGCCCATCCTGTCAAGATGTGGTCTTCGCCAACAGTTCCATCGTCCGAGACTATCTGAACATTGATTTCGACCTGCTCAATCCAGCCACCTGGTTTTAGCGTGCGGAACGCATCACCATACAACTTGGGCCAGTCGGAAATGGCCCCGAAGAGACAGCGTAAGTGCACGTAGTCGAATGTGCCATCGTTGAACGTCCAGTCTAGCTGCGCATCGTCGAGCTCGAAGTGCAGGTTCGGCGGTACGAACGAGGGCTGGGTAGGAGACAGATCAGTGCCAATGACCTCCGCGGAGGGGAATTGGTCTGCGAAATCGATGGCCCAGATGCCTGTGCCTGTACCGATATCGATTGCCTTCTGCGGGTTGTCGCCAATGGGCGCTAGAAATAGCCGGCCGTCGAAGAGGAGGGTGAACAGTTGGTGGCCAATGTCCATCGCCTCATTGGCGTCTTCATCGTTGGGACCCCAGTATTTTGTGTCATTGAAATTATGGTATGTCCTGCCGTTCAAGACACGATAATCCCTAATGCTGTCCCGTATCGAGGTTGTGGAACTGGCGCTGGGGCAAATCAGTACGTGTAGCTAACATCTCGTGGGCGCGCAAAGCTTACATGTCACTGCCAAAGCCAGAATCAATATCGCTCTCGTCGGATTCCTTGATCGGTCAGCCTGAGCTACAGCACATAGAACTATAATACGAAGGCACCGACAATGGGAAGATGCTCATTCTCGAAATCTTGTGGAGCGGCGGCGGCAGCGGGTGGAGATGCCGCGGGTGGGGAATTAGCAGGTGGGGACGCTACAGGGCGAGACGTCCACGATCCTTCTTCCGCCATGACTACTACTGTAAGAAGAGCGTAGAGCTACCACTTAGAGTGAGGTATTGGCGAGATGAAGAGATATAACGTGAATTATAGGTATTCCACTTCATTCGCTTCTTGGTGGACAGTAATTAAATGGAGGGGGATGGAAGATCGATTGCACATGGGGGCTGAGACACCTATTTCACACATGGGACTACTAGAGTCCCTGCATCTTCAACGGGCGCCAGTGCGGGGGACGGAGTAAAGCCCTGTTAATCCTCCAACATTCGGCCTTTCGGTATGTTGAAGCGGTTGATGCGGATGCAGGCAAGATATGCTCCTGTTAACATGGATGACGAAAAATACAAGGGCCGTCCCAATCACCCCCCGCTGTGATGCGCCGGCTATTTCTCGGTCGCGCCCGAACGCGCCGAATTAATGAGCCGTTGCGTGGCGGCACCAATGAGTTGCTTCGGATGCGAAACGGCCACCACGCGTTGTGTTGGTTGCATTGGCTATCTATATGAATTTCTTCCGTGCTTGGACAAAATACTACGGCAAGGATGTCCTTCCTTGGATCAATATATGCATGTGAAAAGAAGAAAATGTATAGATTTCATGCCAAGATCCAACGCCAACCCTTCCAGAAATGACACACCAAAATAACGAGGTATCGTATCTCATCTGCCACCTATCGCTTGTCTGTTTATTCAAAAATCCCCAGCACCCCTCACCCTGCGAACCGCCCCTGCAATCCCTTTGAACCAGCTGAACTTGCCTGGATCGGTGCCGATCGCGCCTTCAACCTCTTTACCCTCCGCATCTCTCCACACACCGTCTTCGTCAACCTTTCCATATATCCCTGTCCTCTGACACCTCCTCAGCCCATCAATCCAGTTGCCACAGACTTCTTTACTCTGGAGCATGACATTGATTTCTTGGCTGTGATACCAACTCTGCGAGTCCTGGTTTCCATTTCCTTGAATCCCTATCTCCTCGTCGATGATCATCAGCTTGACGTGACAGCTCCGCTTCTTGGCCTTGGCAAGAATTGGCCGCGTCTGGTCGGCGCCAACATAGAAGTGATAATGCAGATGCTTTAACCCCTCTGGCGAGAGCGATTGGTGCAATGCGTGTGAGATCATCTCATTGGTACCCCCTTGCATCGGGAGAAGTTCACCCTGTATTAGTCAGTATATAGTTGTGATAGAGATTCGTCCGATCTGGGAGATCTTACAGCATCATTATAACCAATGCAAATGAATGCGAAAACATCAACGCCTCGCTCGCATGCGTTTAATATCTCCTTGAGAATAGGCTCTGCGTTTAGAGTCGGGCTTTGAATGTACACGTTCTTTTTCGCGTATCGTAATCCTGCCAACCACGCCTCATTCTGTGGCGTAAATACGTCGTTGTTATTGGGGGTTCCGTATGGCGGCCTGTTGACCATTGCGATTGGGAATGGCTCATACACTGCATGAGGTATGTAAGGCGTAAACTCATCACCAGCGGGAATTTCCTTAATTGAAGGAGGGAAGTCCTTGTTCTTGGTGTGGTTCAAGTGGGCGGCTGTAGCCTCCAAGCGAGTCAAGTTATCATTTGGGGATACTGATTGCTGCACACGGGCTACCTCACCAGCAATATCAATATCGTAGTGAGGGTCAGTTGACAAATGCTCGGGGAGAGGCCTGCCTTGTGGAGGCTGGCTGATAATGGAGCTTGGGAGAGAAGAGGATCCAGAACGTAAGTAAGAGTTGGTTATTGCATCCTTGCCGAACCTTTCTTGTTCGTTGTTTAATCCAGAGGGAGCGCCCTTGATATTAACGTCGTCAAGTGGAGACAAATGCGGGGCGTTAACTGCATGCTCAATAACATTTCGTGCTGGCGAAAGGTTGTAAGAAGCATCATTAGAAACGTTGGCTAACCGTTCGCCCTCGAGTACCCCGTCGTTTTCTCCTGGGATCAAGTTCGTAGAGTGGATTCTTCTTCTGTCGGCTGCTTCTAGCTGGCTAGAAGTGTTAGCCTCAGCCTCTGAAATGGCATTTGCTTGAATGCCAGCTTGATAAAACATCTCATGGTGGCTCGCTTCCCCGAAAGAGCCGATTCCACCTTGAACAGCTGGAGAATTGTAACTTGGCAATGGAGGTTCCAGCGCTTTGTGCCAGGAGATGAGAGCCATGTCGTATAGCGAGTCGACGATTGGACCTTCCAGTTGAATCATCATCTCCATATTATCGTTATCCTGGATGTTGTTGCTCTGCAAAACAGCATACTTGCGATCAACTACCATATACTTGCAGTGATACGTGCCTAACATTGGCTTGTGGTAGTTCATAACTTGAAGATCAATGTTAGGAATCTCCTCCGGCTTTGGGATGTTCACAGCGTCGCCTATAATTTATCAGCTTGGTTAATGAAAAGACCGAGCTCGCTTTACCTAGGTATTCCTTTTCAGAAACAATGTAATGTGGTTCAAATAGCTGCTTCGGGCTGCCTCTGTCATAGATAATCTTCATGACAATCCTTTCTCCACGCCTGCCAGCTCTCGCCGACAGCTCTTTCATCGCATTGGTAATGTACGAAGATGCAACAGAGTTCTGCCAGTAGTTGGTGGCTAAATACACTTCCTTTTCTGCGCGAACAATCATGTTGCTCATGTGACGCATAATATCTGGCACGCTGCGTCCGTTAATTGCAGTTCAAGCAGTCTGGGGAAAAACATACACAGATATTATCGTCAATGGTACGACGCCACAGCTACCCATCAACGAAGGGCTAACCATAGCTGCAGTGATATCCTGATCCACAGGACCTAATGCATCGTGATAGATCTTTACCTTGATTAGATTATCGCCTTGAAAGAGAGAACGTGCGTACCTTTAAGAATAGCTCACTTGGTTGTGAGGGACCCCAGTTTCCGCATTCTGCGGCCCGCTGTAGCTCTTCAGCGCTAATGCTATGCTCCTCGCTGTCTCCATCTGACCTTGCTGCACTCTTTGACGATGGCACATAACTACCATACAGTTGCTGCCATGCGTCCCCAGGCGCAAGGGTTGGGTTCTCTGCAAGAAGTGCAGATACGCTCTCCTTGCCTGTGCATAGCTTGTGCAAGCCATCAGAAACCATAGTCGAGCTACTTCGGTTAGTCTTGTTCGTGTGAGTAGGTTTCGCGCCGATTCTCTTGGGCGGACGCAATGGGCCGTGTCGTGGAGTAGTGAGGGCGTTATATGGGAATATAACAAATAATTGGAGGAAGAACGAAACAATGGCTTGCAAATTTTGTGCGAATGTCATGACTTGTAAGATATATATCGAAATTAAAATATGGGATTCCCTTAAAACCCTTGATTTTGAAGACGGGGTGCTCACGAGGTATGACGATCAATCAAAAAACAAGCTTTTGCCAAGGCGGTCCCTGGCAGAATGTGGGTCTATAACGCCAAAGACACGTCATTGAATCCCGCGTGCTAAAATTCGGGGAAGAACTAATTATAATCCGTCCATTATTATCGTGTAGCCGCCACCTCAGAGGAACCCTTGATTATTCTGGTTATTGAGCTCAGGAGTTTCAAGGGCTCAAGTTTAATCTAATTCTGCGGTAGCCTGCAACCTTCCATTACTTACCGGTCGTTCCTTCCGTCCGGAGTCCGCGGTTTGATCGACGGGTCGCTCTTTCCATTCTTGTCCGGTCGTCCCTCCCCTCTAGAGTTGGTCGTTCTTTCCCTTCGGAGTCGGCTAGCCAGCCGTGCCTTCCACTTGAAGACGGTCGCTACTTCCTTTGTTAATGGGTTGCTCTTTCTATTCTTATCCGGTCGTTGCTTCCAATTAGAGTCGGGTAACCGTAGAAAGAGCGACCACACAGAGCAACATCGCTCCTGCCAGATGGGAGAATGCACAAACTTTTCACAAGTCCCCGCATTTACGTACAACAATAACACCTGTGAAGCTTCGAACTAAAGCCCAGCTCAATTGAAGGACTGTCAATTTTGTTATTTGATATATGCTTCGTACTTTAACGGAATATCCTGCGAGTCGTGCTCCGGCCGAAGGGTTATACGGCCGTATGCCTCGTATATTTGCGGCTAATAGGGTTTGATAGGCTTACGACAGGTTTCTTCGTGGGTGATGTCGGCGACCTTATACCACGTCTAGCCTCTGCATCCTCTTCGGCTCGCATGTTGGCGGCGTAGTTTATTTCTAATAATACATAAGTAGTGGGGTGGTAGACATTCCAGCCTTAATTAACAGTACCATCCCCCCTGGGAATTTCGTTGCGTTGGCGCAAAATAGCCCTTTGGGCAAGTTACCATGAGACTCGCAGATACGCAAATACACTTAAAGATCCGTTCTATAAGCTCAGCCATAAATCAAAGTTGCGCGGCCGTAACACTAATTTCTTACAGTTAACCCAAACGGGAATGTTACGGTTGCGCCAAGCTCTGCTTTGATAACCGCCCCCCACATTTTTTAAGGCCGTAATTCACGACTCCCTGTTTCAGCCCTACTACCATCAATTCCCCAACACCCCCCTAAAAACCAGCCGCCTATCTACCAACGGTGTAGTTGCGCTTTCCACTGGCTAAGGCCATTGAAGCTTGGCCCCCTATCGTGTCTTTCCCAAATGAGTTGTTGACGTTCCTTTCGGGCCCGCCACGGACCCGGGCAGTGTTGGCGATTGCGACGCAATCGCCTCAATACGCACCGTGGCTGGCCATTTCTCTCCACAATGTGATGGCATGCAATGTTTATTTTATTTCCATTGGCTGTGAGTGGAATTGCCGCGTTTTGTTATTTTAGAGTGAGATATTAGCGCCATATGGTAATGGAGCGTGCTGTAGCTGCCAAAGTACAAGAACCCGAGAGGGAACGATGGAGGTAGGCTTTAATTTCAACACTCATCTCAAGTCATTCTCTTGTCAGTTTGAAAGCAGCACTCCATTTCTCTCACTCAATATATTCGGGTACATATAGGCAACGTCCTTCCCAATACTCCTTTCGAAACTCAGCAGCCAAATAAGCCACCATAATGGCTTCTGACTTCCCCGAATCCGACAGGTTCCCCAACCAACCCATGGACCCTTCTCTCTGCACTTTCGACACCTGCCCGCTCTCCAGCTCGATCTTCAGATATCAGCCTAACCTCGCTATGGCAGTCGTCCCGCTAGCCCTCTTCGGCCTCCTCACCATCGGCCACATAATTGCCGGCTGGCGCTACAAAACTTGGACCTACACGGTATCCATCCTAATCGGCCTCGCTCTAGAGCTCGCAGGCTATGTGGGCCGCATCCTCGCCCACGGAAACCCGTTCCTAGATAACTACTATCTCCTACAGATTGTGGTTCTCACATGTGCTCCTGTCTTGTTCTGCGCCGCCATCTATATTTGCTTGGGCCGCATCGTGGTTATCTGTGGACCAGAAATGTCCAGGCTACGACCGGCATGGTACACACCTATATTCCTAACATGCGATGTCATCTCTCTTGCCCTCCAAGGTGCGGGTGGAGCTCTCACGTCCACTGCAAACGATGATGTTGGACGGCAGCAGGGCATTAATATCATGCTCGGCGGCCTGTCATTCCAGGTCGCGACTATTGCTATCTTCGGATTTCTCTTTCTCGAGTTCCTGTGGCGCACCCACGCATCGCACAAAGTCAGCAACGATTTCCAAAATGCCTCGCTGGCGCAGTCGAAGAAGTGGACAGCGTACCTGTGGTCGTTGGGCTCGGCAACATTATTGATTCTTATCCGTTCGATTTACAGAGTCGCCGAGATGGCCGGTGGTTACGATGGAAAGCTTATGAAGGACGAGAACACGTTTTTGGTGTTTGAGGGGATACTGATTGTGATTGCGGTGATGTTGTTATTGGTATTCCATCCTGGAGCTGTGATGGATGGGTTTGGTGGTTCTGCCAAGTCGAAGGTGTCAGATAAGACGGCATATGGCAGCTCGGGCGAGGAAGGGGACTCGGAGATGAACCCTTTGCACGTCTGAAGATCGACCAGACTAGATATGCTTGCAGGGTGAAATGGGAATTGATGGGAAAGGGGTTAACGTGTTATTAGCGAATGTAAGAATGTAAGAATGGTGCAGGTTTGGACTAGAAGAAAATCAATATTGTCTATTTATTCTATCTTCTCTTTGTTCATTTCTCTAAGAACCTTTTCCGTAGGCTATCCTTCCAAACATCCATATCCACCCATTCACCCCGCACTGTCACATATATTAGTAATTGTTCTCCTATGAGTGATTTGGGGGCGTCATTTCTAAAGCCACTGCAAAGAAAAGACGTATCCCACGACAACGTAAAACAAACTTAAAAAAGGAGGCATTTAGCACAAGCAATAACTTACAGAATAGCTTCCCCACTTGCCAATTCTTCATTAGCTCTTCCGATGGTGCTGGAACCTCATACCAATCATGTCGCGGTGAGCAGACAGGACCTTCGTACGTATTGTTGCGCAGTTTAGTGTAGCAATCTATGCAGAACCCATACATGCAGTGGTAGCATACATAATGCTTTTCCCACTGTCCCGGCTTAAAATCGTTCCAGCACCCGAGACATTCGACTTCCTCAACAGTCCAAGATAGTGTCTGGGGGGAGATTGATGTCTCCTCGATCTTTTTCTCGTCCTTTTCGCTCTCCGCCCTCGACATGTTGTTACTGGGGGCTAGCCGAATTTGAATCGTGCTCTTGCTTCCCTCATGCTCCGTAGTTATTATGTCCGTCCGCTTCGCCCATAACTGAGCGAGCATCACTCTATTAGCCCATGACAGATAGAATATGTCAACAGCCTCCTCCGGTCCAATAGCTGACGCTACCACTTGGAAAAGAACTGAAAACGCAACAAAATCATCGGCAGCGTCATCATTGTCAAGTATTTCTAGACAACCTTTGACTACCTCTGCATATTGAGTCATGGCATCATCCATCCGACCTACTAGCTTGTAGTAGTTCCCTAGGTACAAGTAGCAGATACTGTGGCCCATGAATGCCACGGAGCTTTTTATAAGGTTTTTCTCATAAAGGTCCATGTCAAGCTCGCGGTCCGCATAACTAGGAACATTATCGTCGACCACCAGACGTAGTTTTCGCTGGACTAGATCTTCGAGCTGGCGTCCATATTCTTGACCCGCCTCTGAGAGAGGCCCGTCGTCCTCAATGGCCTTCCAAATTAGGTAAGAGCCAAGATAACATTTCGCATTCACCAAAGACCGCACCAGCATCAAGTCGATGCGAGTATCCCCATATATGTCGAGAATGCGCTTATAGATCTCGGCGCCTTCGTCGTGCCGATTTATACCTTTGTCATATATGACAGCTATGCTAAGCTCCAAACTCACAGCGACAACAGTTCTGTGCTCCTTTTTCGCGGTTTGTATGGCGGTATTATAGGCTGTTAGAAGCCACTCTAACTTCTGGGAATAGAGGGCCGCCACCGCGATGTATTTGAAGTCCTCTTCGTCCTGGGTCCATATACCAGTTAGAAGGGCCTCTATCAAGCCTGTGTACTCTTTATCGGGGAGCTGCACGTCCATTCTAGTTAGTGTGGCTGTAATTTTGTCGAAGTTTTGACGAAACCAGAGTAGCGTAATCAATTTTCTCAGGCAGAGGTAGCACCGCATGTCATAAGACGTGGCCTTTTCAAGGTACGCAATCTCCTGATCCTCGTTTTTGAGCTCTCGGTAGCAAATCGCAAGGCGATGACAGACTTTGTGTAGATCGATATCCCATTTCTTGGACTCATTCGCATCCTGTTCCTTGTGCAATGCTTCAAGCTCTTGGTACATCTCAACATCAAGCTCCACTGCTGTATTATACTTGCACATCTCCATGTACAGCCACGATTTGCTATGTCGGATAGGCCACTGCTCTTCTTTTGGAGCGAGTGAAGTCGACGTTTCCAAATGCTCCAATGCTTGGGTATAATGTCCAAGGTCTCGAAGCGTAGCACCTAATCGAAGGTGCCAAAGGGCATCCTGATCTAGCGAAAGCCAATTTGCACATTTCAAAATAGTTTCATCAGAGACTAAACCTGGTTTTGGCTCTTCGCCGCTCCGAAAGGCCATAAAACCCGCCACTGCCCTAGCATCTAACAGCCAGTCTCCACTACTTGTAGCAAGCCACCGTTTGCCAATCCGACGAATGACATTGCTAATAAGATCAGCGTCATTTTCGGCGGTTGCGAGGCTGTACCATTCCTTTATTTCCGGGACCGGTGAACTCTCAAGCCAGAGCTTAAGGAGGTCAAGGCTGTCGCGGCTGGTGAGTTGGGTGTTCCAATTTACATCCGCAAGGCCTGGGCTCCTTGTCAACACAGACATTAGGCCATGGGCAATGGCCTTCTTCTCCTCTTCGCTCGTTTTAGTAATATCAATTTTTCGGAGCAATTCCAGCCAAACTGAGGCCACATATGACCTCAACTCCAATGCTACTGGTTCTTTAGGGCTGCCTGGCTCGCAAGACATGATATCTAAACACGCACAGAAAACCCGAACCCTCGCATTTCTGATATCAACTCCAGCTGGCAAGGTATTCTGCCCGCCTGAGACTGGGCCTTCGTTTTCATCATGGAAAAAATCACCAAATGAGGCGTGGCTAAACGTAACCTCCGTTGTAAGTGGGTCAGAGTCTGATTCATCCGCGGGTTCATCCCAGTATTCGTCCTCGGAAGCGCTTTGAGAACATAATTTTCCGTCCTCGTCTATGCTCGAAGTCTCCGCGCCGTGCTGAAGTTTCTGGAGATCAGCTGTACTAAGTCCATCCTGTCTTATTAGTGTGAAGAATGATGCAAATTGGGTGCGAAGGGACCTCTCAAGCCCAATCATGCCCTCTCCGCTGTCAGATCTCCATTTCAGCACGCTGTTGATCTCCGCTAGCTTCAACGGTCGAGCTGCGACGGCCACCCATATGAGGATCTCGTTAAAGTCATGCAACACATCAGGGGATTCTCTAAGAGAGATTGAGTATCCTTCGAGTACGTGCCGGATCATTTTGTATAGTCCACGGGGGGCTTCTTGAAGAGCTTTGCGTATAACTCCCTCCCCACGCATTTTCAAGATGTCGGTGAATATTAAATTCACCCAGGTGAACTATCAATGTCATTAAGTTAGCCAAACGTCCAGTTTCAGCAAAGTAAAATGAAACCTCTTACCATGCCTTGAGCTTTCTTTGAGAGTTGAGTAATGATTTCATTTAATAGCACCTTCGAAGATTTCCTCAGATACACAGCTTTAGAGATAGTGCTCCGTATGTACCGCCTAATATCCTGCGAGTTAGTTTCCGCAGTAACATGTATTGTTGGCACATCCGGCATGTCTAAATATTGCTCTATATCGTCCATCACTTGCAGGCGCCCAAACATAACTAGTTGTATCTGACTGGATTGGCCAATATCTTTAGCCAGTTCGAGGAATTCAGCGCGTTCTTCCTGAAAAGCCTCGTCGAGCCCATCAAGAACGATGAATATTTTTCTTCTTGGAGGCTGCGTAGTGTCATTATCCTTAAAGAAGGAAATAAATAGCCTTTGCCATACTTTATATAGACTTGAAACATCTTCGGGCGTGTCACAAGTCGCTAGGATATGCCTCGCATACGCCTGATCACCCTGGCTAATCATATAAGCAATGTCTCGTAGGCCTTGGTGAAAGGACCGCGTGCGAGGATTGTCGTCTTTAAAGAAGAAGTACCCGATCGAGACGGTGGATGTGTCTTCATGTCTCTTTGGGTATGCAGCAACAAGATCCGTAATGACATTAGTTGCAATGTATGACTTTCCTGCTCCTGGGTTGCCTGATATCCAGAGGATCGGCTTTTCACCTCCTATCCATGCTTTGAAGTTGGGTTCGTCTCTAATCCAGGCTCCAGTTTCGGAAACTCGATTGCGCTTAAAAGTGTGATACATTTCATCAGGGCGGCCAGACGGGTCAAGTATATCCCTGATCTTTCGTAGGGGGTTTTGATCCTGTGCTGCATGCGTAGATTGTGAATTGGCTAAATTAGATACGTCAATGTGGAGCTTGTCCACCGCGATCGCTATGCCCTTCACTTCAGATAGCGTCTCAGCGCCAACAATGGCTTTCTCGCTATCAAACAGCTTGCTTAGTTTTTGCATGGCCTCTTTGCCTTCATCCGTTGCCCCGATAAGGCTCTTGCCGAAAGAGACGAGTCTCCCACGCTTCATCTCCTTTTGTGATATCGCGAGGATCTCTAATATGACAGCCAAGATTTCGGCCATTTTACCCCCGAGCCCTCGAGACATTAAATGGTGTGCATAAGTCTCAAGGCGGACTGTAAAGTCCTGCATCGGTTGTATTAGTGGTCGGCTGTTGGCTTATGAAAATTATAGAGAAATAGATGTTTCACCTTCAAAGTCTCCAGAACTTCCACGATCGCATCGTACTTTTCCGAGACTCCTTTCGCTGCCCCTATCAGGTACTGGACGGCTGCAAACACAAAAATGCTAGGTGGAAACGCCATTGAGGCAGCTTCACCTGCAGCAGCACCCACCAGTTCGATCGGGCCCATGGCTGCTGATAAGGCGGCGTACAAGCCATGGCGTTTTTGTCTAAAGTCAGCGAATACCTTGTTTTGGTCTTCTATAGCGTCTCGTAGCTCGGTCACAGTTGTCAAGCTTCTAATAGAGGGGCCATCTAGCTTTTTATTCGTGACATCTTCGTATCGACGAATGGCAGCCTCCCAGATCTTTGGAACCTGGTTCGGTTCTGCCATTGTGGGACAAGACTACCGACCCGTTACACCAAGTGGACACCCAACGTTCAGGTACTTGGCGGCTCCTGTCGGCGGACGGTTCTCGGTGGTTCTAGAAATTCATAAATCTCAACAATCAGATTTCTATAGCAACCTCCAGAAATTATGCTACAGATCCGAGTTGAAGGAATTGTGTGCATGTGCGAGCCCATCCCTTGAAGACCTAATTGGACAACGCACAATGCGTCGGCTCGGAAAATCGAACCCGCGAAAAAGAAGCTCCGCCCCTGTCAACACAATGCTTACCAGCTTAATCGAGGTAGTCACAATCACAAATAGGGGCAAGGATGCTTAGCTCACCGTGCTTTAAAGCTTGAAGTAACAAGGGTAAACAAAGTTTAAGAATGCCGAGATGATTATGGCCCTTCATGTCGCAATCTTCTCCAGCACTCACATTCCCTTCTAATCGTTATTCTACTATTGCCATTTTTTGCTAGGGTCGCCCCAATGCGCCTACGTTCCCGTTTTGGGCGGAATCTCTCTAGCTTTACCACGTGGACTGGAAAACTTCGTCCAACGTTTCCTTATGCCTTGTATAACCGAAATACGTTGAGAAGTTCTAGACGTATAACGTAATATTTGAGACGTTTACTAAGAAGAACCTTTGTTAATCCTTGATAGGACCCAGCGCTACACATACCTCATCTCTACTCGATCTACTTTACGGAGTACGCACCCACTCTCTTCAACCACTACTTAAACGCATCGGAGTGCCGATTTCAGAGGGTCGAGTTGTTTATTGTATATAAGTAATCTCCGCGTTTTTTGGTAACCTTGCCTCGCTTGCTCCCGAGTGGAAGGTGCTAAAATCAGAAAGCGATAAAGGTTTTACGTGCTTGAACACTAAACCATACGTACATACCTTATCTTAAGCTATAGAAGACCTAAACCCCAAAGAGTTATTATGAGCCCATATTATTGACGAGCTACAAGAGTTGTAAGTACGACCCTGGGTGCAAATGCAATACGCAACGTGTATTTTGTGTCCCATTCCACAAGGCCATAGCCATTCTAATACCTTGATAGTTCGGTTCAGATCAGGAATTAACAGCCAATCTGCAATCACATTTACAATGTATTTCGCGTCAGACAACTGGGCCGGCGTGCACCCAGCCATCTCAGCGAGACTTGCCCAAGAGGGTGGCGGATATGCCCCGGCATATGGCACATCTGGTCTTGACAGCGAGCTTGAGCGGCTCTTCAACGAGATATTCGAGTGCGAAGTTGCCGTCTTCTTCGTTGCAACAGGCACTGCGTCCAACTGCCTGGCGCTGACCTTGGAATCCAAGCCTGGCGGTGTGGTCTTCGCACACCGCGAGGCGCACATTATCGCCGATGAGTGTGGTGCACCTGAATACCTCTCTGGCCAGCTGCGCATAGCGACTGTCGATGGCCCAGATGGGAAGATGGATTCTAGGCTCTTGCGCCGGATAGTCGAGCGATCAGCTGAGAATGATGTTCGCCGTGGTTGTCCAAGCACCATTTCCCTGACACAGGCGACCGAAGCCGGCACAGTGTACTCTCTCGCAGAGATCGACGCTATTTCAGCTGTGGCGAAGGACTTCAACATTCCACTTCACATGGACGGCGCACGATTTGCCAATGCTCTTGTATCCCTAGGCTGTACGCCAGCAGAGATGACTTGGAAGCGCGGTGTCGACATGCTATCGTTCGGTGCCACTAAGAATGGCTGCTGGTGTGCGGAGGCAGTTGTGCTTTTTGACCCTAAAAAGGCCTCTGGGTTTCCGTTTGTCCGCAAGCGTGCGGCTCAGTGTTTTTCAAAGTCGCGTTTCATCTCTGCCCAGTTTCAAGCATACTTTGCAGATGGATTATGGCTCGATCTCGCTCGGCAAGCCAATGGAATGGCAACGGAACTTGCTAACATCTTTTCTGGATTGCATTCTTCTCGACTACTATCAAGACCACAGTCTAACGAAGTCTTTGTGGTTCTTAATAAGAAAACTATCGCCAACATAAGGGCCAGGGGCGTGGAGTTCTATGAATGGCCTGCCCCGTCAGACCTTAAAATGACAGATGATGAGCAGCTTTGCCGCTTTGTTACAAGCTTTGCAACAACAGCAGAAGATGTTAGTCGCTTTAGCGATATAATGCAAATAGCTAGTAGCGACAGCGAATTTTTATACTCTAAAATATAAATATATTATCACTCACTAGCATCTACATCTATTCGAGTTCGAAAACTAAACGTCATATCTGTCATTGGTTATCAAAATAGTAGCTGTGTTCTGCTAAATATATCTCATTTAGATAACACCCCTCAAATCAGCATATTAGCTCATACCATCAGCTCAATATGCTGTAACTCCCTATAAGATAATTCAGTTAGTAAATTCTCCCCTACCAAGGCATTCATGACCATCACTTACTTTTGCACTTGCTGCCCAACCTTCATAGCCGGATACACAACCTCCTCGCCCTCATCCTTCCCCAAATTGAACTGTTCTGCCCGCGCCTTCTTCGACTCCTCCGCTAAGCTAGGGATCGGAGCCAGGTCAAAGTCGGAGTTCAGATGCCAAAAGAATGTCGACGAGATGCGCACGAGCGGCCGCTCTGGAACCTCTACCTTGCGACGCTCGATGACGTCTATCGTCTGCGCATTCACAACCACCTCGTGGAACCCCGCCTTAATCAGCCCGCCGGTGATGTGCTCTAACTGCTTGCCAGCCTGCACGAGCAGATAGTTTCCAGGAGGGATCTTCACGGGGATGCGCTTGCCGGTGTTGCGTGCCCAGATGTGCAGGCCCGGGTAGCGGGAGCGGCCGTGGATAGTAAGGAAGTTAAGGTCCGTGTGGAAGCCAGCAAGGATGGTGTCTTTGCTACCGTACTTGGATAGATCAGATGCTGTTGGGGCGAGGAGATGCGGTCTTCAAGATGGTTAGAGGGATCATAACTTGCTTGAGCGGGAAAAGGATGTCTAAAACTCACCCATATGTGCCTTCCTCCTTAAATGTTGATGCTGGTAGCCCCAGACCAACAGCAGTCATTTCAGAAAGCCCTTCGACTCTATAAAGTGAGAGACTTAGTGACCGAGTTCTTGCGTACGATGGGACGTGACCTACGCGTTCTTCATAGACGACCCCCACTTATCCATCACCTGAGGCCATTGCTCTCGAATGTGCGGTGCCTCAGGTACGATATTATCTGCATTTAGGGCTGGAAACTTCGTCTCATACGGCGGTGGGCCAGCAGACATCCTCCAGAAGAAACGACACTTGGGATCGGGCGAATGCCCTGTAATGTCAAGCGGCCGTTCAGCAGGGTCTAGCTTCTCGATGATACGCAAGCATGGTTCGTCCACCGCACACTTTGGCTTTTCGGTGTTCTCAAGCGTGACGCCAATCTGGTAACCTAGCTCCGGCCGTTCGTCTTTCTTGAGCTCGGCCTCGGGCTGTGCGAAGTAGTCCTCTAGCAGGTCTAAGAAGGTGATGTTATCTTCCTCGGACACGCGCGAATCGTGCAGCAGAAGCGCGCCATAAGTTATCAGAGCCTGTGCGGCTTTCTTGCATTCTGCTTGTACGTCGGCTGCGTCCTGTGACCCGTTGAGGAAGATGTCGAGGTCGATGATAGGCAGGCCCATCGAAAGATCTTGTGGGGTTGACATTTTGGCACAGGTTCCACTTATACAGTATGTTCTAATGCGCCTAAGGCGTGAGTTAATATCGAGTTGATGCAATTTCAACTGTGAGGGACACAGTATCGCGTTTATAAGTTCAGAGTAATTATGCCGCTGGTAAGCGATCGGTCGATGCCGGATTTTAGTCTAGTTATTGACGCGGATTTGGCCGCTTGGTTTATCCGGCGTTGAGGTTCCGGTGTGCATCACCAATTTATCTAAAAACCTCACTTTTAAGTAATAAAGAACTTTCAGATAGGCCAACGTATGCTAGTAATGGAACATTCCCAAGCTATATATGAAACGTTCATAGTCTTTGGTAGTTGGCCTATAACTACTGTGGCTGCTCTATTCACTAAATATAGCGCTCGAAGCTTGGCATATGAGAGTTACATCTGAGAATCAGCTCTTGGACCGTATCCAACCCGCCATAGGCCAGAGCTACATAGTAATTAATACCATCTCCTCGCTGCCTACGCCTTCTTCTCCGCAGCCTCATCACGCTCCGCCTCCGCCACACCCTTCGCCTCGAACGCTCTCGCCCTTGACTCCAAGTCGGCGTTATAATCGGCCTGGTACTGCGACTTATCGGTGCCAGGGACGAATATCGGTGCATTGGTGAAGAGATAATTCATCTCCTCAAGCGGAATCTTCTTGGTCTCAGGCAGGATAGCCCAGAAGAAGAGGGCGTTTGTGAAGTTACAGACGACGAAGACGAGGTAAAAGCGCCACTTGATGGCCGTCATTGCAATGGGAGTGACTTGCCCGATCATCGTGTTGAAGGCAAATGACATCATGGTGGCGAGCGAGACGCCCTTGGCGCGCGTGCGGGTGTCGAAGATCTCGGCGGGGATGATCCAGGAGAGGGGACCGCAAGTGGCCGAGAAGGAGAAGTTGTACACCCAGGTCACGATAATGAATCCCCATGAGGCTCCGACATTTGTGGTCTCTCCGGGAGGGAAGTTTGCTGCTTAGGTTAGCGCTGGCCTGAATACCCGGCTGATGAACTTACCAAGAAGAGCAGTAGCGACAATGAACGTCACCATGTTTGCCAAGTTACCATAAATCAGCGTCCAGCGACGTCCAAAACGGTCAATAAGTAGGATGCATAGGGCCTGTGCAATCAAGGCGATTACGCTGTTGATAGCCTGGTAGCGAAGCGCAGCGTCAGGAGAAATTCCGATCTGCCCGTAGATTGTAACAGAGTAGTACTGGATGGCAGAGACACCAGTCATCTGAACACTTGCTTGTAGAGCAAGTGCAATCAACAAACGCCTGAAGCATGAGCGGTTACGGAAGAGCTCGCCGTAACTCTTGGCTTCGTGCTCATGTTCGAAGCTGATGTTCTCCTGGATCTGATCGAACTCGGCACGGACCCATACATCGTTGACATCGCCCTTAGCATGGAGTCTTGCCAATGTCTGGAGACCTTCCTCGCCACGGTCGTTATCAATCAACCATCTCGGCGACTCGGGGAATAGGAAGATAAGTGCTCCGAGGAAAATGGCTGGAAGGAGTTGAAGACCAAGTGGGATACGCCACTGTCCTTCGTTTTTGATGCCAATGAATGTTCCGTAGCTGACCCAGCTAGCAATCAACGCACCGATTCCCAGCATGAACTGTTGAAGGGCGGTGATACGGCCACGGATCGAGGGATGCGAAATCTCAGCTTGGTATAGAGGGATGATCATGGTAAGGAAGCCGACACCGACACCAGCGAAGAAGCGGCCCGCCCAAAGGAAGGAGAGATTCTGGGCAGCAGTTTGGAGAATTCCGCCAAGGATGAAAACGACACTACCGATGACGATAGTCCAGCGACGACCGACATAGTCTGCAGAGGGAGCGGCGAACATGGCACCGAAGAACGCGCCTGCTGTAAACAGCGAGACGACTGCACCGCTAGGGGTGTGTTAGAGAGGATTGGTACGCGGAAGAGGGCAGTGCATACGTTTGAGCATCGGTAGGTTTGAAGCGGCTTTGGTAGGTTTCGGAGGCAACTATTACAAGTCAGTGAACGGGCTTCTAGGTCAAGGTGAAGAAGCTTTTTCACTTACTGACTTCCGCGACAACACCCAAATCATATCCGAAAGTGATAGAACCTAACGACACAAACACACCCACGAGAAACTGCAATGTCAGTCTAGTCCTCCAGTAGCTATTCCCTGAATTTCGAGTCTCAGCTCACCTGGTAAACTTTGGGAGGGAGCGCCATCGTTGCTGTATTCTGTGATCAAGCTGATAGAGCTGCGCTCTTGCAATGGCAGAATAGTATTGAAGGAGAGCTCTGCACTTATGAGCAACAACACGCAGGAGCTATGACCCTGAGGTTCCGATTATTCCTCTCACATGCCTGTCTTGTCTGCCATAACTGCCATAGTTCCATGGCTCGCATGCCTGCTCCCATGCATCCTCCCATCCCGTCCTGCACTAGAGAACTCCGGGGCCAATCGAGCCATCTGGAACCAGTAACTTCCATCAATAGCGATGCGATATCAATCGTAACCCTGAACCCTGCCGACGCCAACGTATGGTTAACCCACCGGAGAAAGTATTGCCGTGATTGTGGGGTGTGGGGTTGGAGTTGGGGATTGGGGTCCAGTTTCCATAGATCGACCGAAATAGCGATGACCCTCGGCACACGCGGCCGCCCCCGGAACCTCCTCAAAGGCGGAGATCCAGGCTCCGTCCGAGGCATGTCACAGCTGTCAAACATCTTGATGAAACACTCATATGCATCTCATGGACACTCATTACTTCCAAGCCTTCATTTCGCACTACTCAGCTCTCTCTTCAGATCATGTGATTTTGCACATGGTACTCACCACGATATGATACAGATAACCAGGGAAGGAACGCGCGTCTAAATACAGTCACTCGGTCTCGCAGTCTCTCCATTATCAACAGAAGACTCATCATCTTGCGGGCTTTCTTGCTCTGATATTTTATTCGCCGTCTCAAGATGGCTCCGACGCAATCAAAACTGGTGTCGCAAAACCCAACTGAGAGGCTCTACTATCTCGATAACTTCCGTACTTACTTAACCGCCCTCGTAATATGCCACCACGTTGCCGCGCCATATGGCGGTCTTGGAATCTGGTTCTACAGCTCCAAGCTCTACCCGCCCGGATCATCTCCTACTCTCTCGGCATTTAACGCCCTTAACCAGAGTTACTTTATGGGATCGTTCTTCTTCCTCTCTGGATACTTCTCCAAGAAGGCACTGAAAAGGAAGGGCGCCAAGTCGTTTCTAAAGACGAAGTTCTTAAAATTGGGTGTGCCACTAGTAGTTTATACGCTGCTTGCGGCCCCTGCGCAGATTGCCATATTGAAGCTATACAACAAGGAAGTTCTTGGGTGGGATATTCTGACAGACTACTGGAAAGCGCTAGATGGCGTTAAGGGAACAATGTGGTTTTCAGCCTTGCTACTTATTTTCGACTCTGTAGCCGCTCTATGTCCGTCTATTCCTGCATTCCTGGCTCAGTCCACTACTCTCCCAAGTTTTATACTTGATATCGGGGCCGCCTGTTTAACCCGCTTGGTCAACCCGACTGGGGCAAAGATCGTACTTCTCAATTTGAAACCAGTCTACCTACCACAATATGTGGCATCTTATGTTCTAGGCGCCTCCCTCGAGTCGCCTCCTACTCCACCCGTTACAAAGACCGCCCGCAACGTCCTCCTGGCTAGCACCATTGTCTCATCCACAGCTTTAGTTGGACTCGGTCTCAACAAGCTCCGGCCCTACAGCGCCAATGCCATACTAGGAGGGACCTCGCTTCCAGCTCTCACTTACGCTGTATGGAATGAAACGACGGGATATCTTCTCGGCACCACTATCCTCAGACTCTTTAAAACTTCAAAGTGGCTGAATAGGTCATGGGGCAGCATTGGAAGGTACTCATATGCGGCGTTCTTAGTGCACCCGATTGTCTGTGTGGCGGCACAAGTTTGGACTGATGAATGGCATGCGTTGCCGGTGGTTAAGGCGACTGTACTTAGTGTTGTGGGTGTAGTGGGGAGCTGGAGCGTGGGATGGGTATTGGTTCGAGTGCCTCGGTGCGGGGCTGTGCTGCTATGATTATACGACCTCCCCTTATTTTTTGGTGCAGGGCGAGAGCATGATTTAGAAGCATAGTTTGTTACAATGCGTTTTCTATCCCGGCTGAAAAATATGGGTTAGGGTTTTGATTATCTTATCAGTATACAACTTATATAATCTTGTAATTTTACGTGTGATTATATTTTATCACCGCTCAATTTATTTTAAATACTCCGAAAGCTTCCCCACTATTAAGCTTTCCTAAAAGCACGTAAAAGCCACAATAATAGCTACATAAATCTACCTGAGCCCAGACATACATATAGATATATTTAGTAAGTATATCTGAATTTAGGCAAATCTGCCATGAACCACTTCTCTTGGGATCTGCATGGTACAGCCAGCTCCCGAGGTATTTCCGTTAACCATTAATCCGAACACCCTTGGCAGGCTGTCGTGCGGGGAAGGCCGTGCCAACGCCACCCATCGAGACCAACGCGGGACGCAATATTGTCAATATCGTGGTGCAAAACCAACCCACTAGCTTTGATTGATTGCACTCTCTGATAAGCTGCAAGCGAGACCAAGCCTACATGATACACCCAAAGCTGGTCCGACACGGAACGATGCGGCTGGAGGCGCCATGAAATCACTTACCATGGGCGCGTGTGGCACTTAGGCCAGAAATTCTAACTCCGGAGGGGTGTTTATCAGACAGGAATGTGATACGTGGGGGATGAGCAAAGGCTCTGGGCGTGCATCACTGTGTGGGGTTCGGAGTATGTGAGACCGGAACTATGTTAGTCGGATTGATTTGGATTTATTTTCCACCTCTATAGCTTTACAGCTTCGATAAATACTACTTTACCTCATTGTCCGCGAACATTCAATCAACAGGGCGAGAATGGCTACTTTCACCAGAATCCCAGATGGAGAGACTCCAGTCATCGACGTCGACCCTTCAAGAAGGGTTGCGAAGATTGATAAGAACATATATGGAGGATTTTTAGAGTAAGTGAGCTTCTTTGTGAATTTTGTATAACGGGCTGTAATAATATTTGGCATCACCATGTGCCATCTATTACCCCGCGCGAACCACCTCATCCCAACATGAATCTCGACCCCAAATCAAGCACCGAGAGCAACCCCAACTGACATCCCTAGGCACATGGGCCGCTGCATCTACGGTGGCATCTACCAACCCGGCCACGCCTCCGCCGACACCCACGGCTACCGCACCGACGTCCTCAAGTCCCTGCAAACCCTTGACATCCCCGTCCTCCGCTACCCCGGCGGCAACTTCGTCGCAACCTACCACTGGCAAGATGGCATTGGGCCTCGCGAATCGCGTCCCACGCGCCCTGAGCTCGCGTGGGAGGGCGTCGAGACCAACGAGTTCGGCACGGATGAGTTTCTGCACTGGCTTACGGTGCTGGGGAACTGTGAGGGTGGGGTGGGGAAGTGGACTGTTGAGCCGTACTTTGCGCTGAATTTTGGCACGGGAACGCTGGATGAGGCGTTGGCGTGGGTGGAGTATTGTAATGGGAAAGGCAATACGTATTATGCGAACCTGAGACGGAAGAATGGCAGAGAAGAGCCATGGGGCGTTAAGTACTGGGCTCTGGGTAATGAGGTGAGTTCTCACATCCTGCTACCTTAAGTGACCTAGCTAATAATCTCTAGATGTACGGTCCCTGGCAAGTCGGCCAGCTAAACGCAGAAGACTATTCCAAAAAAGCCATCGTCTTCGCCAAAGCTCTCCGACTCCTCGATCCATCCCTCGTCCTCGTCCTCTGCGGCGAAACCGGCTACTCAAGCTGGGACTTCGAAGTCCTCCGCTCCTGCATCCCCTACGTAGACATGCACAGCATCCACATCTACACCGCGAGCTCCGACCACATGAAGAACGTCAGCGCGCCTCTCATCGCTGAGCGCGCCATTGAAGCCACAGCTGCTTTCATCGACGTCGCGCGCATCGAGAATAACATCGCGCCTACTAAGCCGCGCACTACTATCTGCTTTGATGAGTGGAACGTGTGGTCGCCGACGCGGGCGCCTGGGAACCTGGGGGCGGAGGAGAAGTACACGCTCTCTGATGCGTTGGCGGTGGGGGTGTGGCTTAATGTGTTTGTGAGGCAGGCTAAGTACATGGGGATGGCGAATATTGCGCAGTCGGTTAATGTGATATCGCCACTTATGACGACGGAGAAGGGGATTGTGAAGCAGACGACTTTCTGTATTTTGGAGTTGTTTAGCAGGTATATGAGGGGGTGGACGGTGCATACGCATGTTAGGGGGGGAGTTTACACCGGGGACACTGAGCCAGCGTGGTTGAAGGGGGTTCAGGAGGAGGGGATCAATACGCTGGATGTTAGTGCTACTGTTGGTAAGGACGGCTGGGTCAGCGTGGCGGTGGTGAATATGGATGAGAATAAGGATGTTGAGGTGGATTTGAAGATAGGAGGGGCGGTGGAGGGCGGAGTGGAGACACATACTGTGACGGGCGAGAATGTGAATGTGGTTAACACAGAGGAGGAGGAGGTGCGGATAGCGGAGGGTACGTGGGATGGAAAGGGGAAGTACACGTTCAAGAAGCATTCCTTCACGCTGTTGAGATGGAAGAGCGATGAGAAGATCGTAGGCAGCGAATAGACTGTAGATAGCGTATAGAAGGTTCTCGCTCAGGTCGGTCCTCACACAGAGGTCATTATTATTATAATTCTTTGGAATATAACGGAGTGATCTGAGAACGTATGTATATTTAAATATATGTAGGTATCAACTGCAACGCTATGCTCCACTAACATCTATCCTATACTCTCTTCTCCAACCCCTACTCATTCTAGCAAGAATCTCAAGAACGCCCTCGCCACCAATACACCGTCTTGCTTATTTTCTAATCTCGCCATCGCATCTTTGAATGACACGTCGTCGATTGTGCCGCTCGCGTTGCGGGCTACCAGAATCTCCCTAAGGATCCCGCCTGTGTACTCTGGGTGCCCTTGAATAGTAATTACACGGCGTGGTATGTACATCGAATGGTTGAGGCACTGGTCGGTATGTGCCAGGGGCTCGACGCCCTCGGGATAGGCGGCGACTACATCGCGGTGTAGCTGGTGAATAGCCTGTAGGAAACATAAGTCAGTTCTGCTTCACAACTCAAACAGTGGGTTGGAGAAATCATATACCAGTTTCTCCTGTCCAAATATCTCCTTCCCCGCCGGCGTAAGTGTCAAATCCGTAACGCTCAGCTCCCAGCCCTTCTCACTACGGCCCACCGGAGCACCAAGCGCACGCCCCACGATCTGGTGGCCAAAACAGACGCCTACTATCCGGACCCTATCCTGAGCCAGGACCTTCTTCGTGTACTCGACGAGTTTGAGGATCCAGGGGTCGCTCTCGAAGGAGTTGTGCTTTGAACCGGTCATCAGGATGCCGTCAAGGTCGTCGAGGGACGGCGGGTATATCTCCTTCACGACATCGTAGGCTGAGATGATGAGGTCGGATTCGGGGAGGGGAGGACTGAGAGAGGATGCTGCGTCGCGAAGGAGAGAGGTGAAGAGGCCGCCATAGGTGCCGTGGGTTTTTTGGACGCCAGGTGGCGGGGTATCACACTCGAGGATCGCGATGCGGAGGGGTCGTGGTGTCATTGTCTAGGTTCGTTAGATGCAGTGCTTTATAGAGAATAAATAACTTTTGGGGGTTGGTAGTACTTAAATGGGGGAGCGTTACACTCAGCGTATTGATCAGGTAATAGTTCGGAGAGGGGAGGCCGTTGTCGGGGGAGGCGTATATGAATTGGGGTTGATGGGGTTGATCGATAAGGGTCTTATCGCCACGGTTGGGGTCGATGGGTCAGTCAATGGGGAAGGACGGAGACTTGTTAGCCCGCTTCCAGGGCGGGGTAGATAGAGGCTTGGCGAGTCATACGGAGAGTACAGGAAAGGGCGCCTTCCAGAAAATAGCTGTGGACCCCTGCTAACATTGACAACCATTCACAACATCTTACTACCACTGTGAGGCAAGGCCTATGAGCCATTTTGCGCATATAATTCTTATAAATTACTACATATACAGCATACAGTCCAGTTCCATACATACACACATACAAATCTCGTACGCAGACGAGCACGGAATTATACGTATGACTACCAATGCAACTTGCGGGTAAGCGGCGGGATGTGCAGCCAGACCCGCGATAGCTTGATCCTAGCGTATGCAATTTCTAGAATATGTGGGGGTTGTCCCCATATGCACCTGTGACTAACTTGAGCACACTTGAGGCCTTTTCTTTATAATACGCCTTCCCATGGAGTGTAGGACAAAGGTGACTTTCCCTGACTTCCCCTCTCCTCTCCCTCAACCTCGCTGAGACAAGAAGCAGAGTTCGTCACGATGCCAGGCAGTGACGACGAGAACCCTGGGCAGTCGTCGATATCAGCGATAAGCACCGACGCCCATCGCCGAAGAGCGGTCTCGGAAGACACTCCTCTGTTACGAGCAGCTACCGATGTGCCGTATTACCACAGCACCCAGTCTCCGGATGAGACGTTCCGGGACCATGAGCTGGCAGCCGACGTCGAGCTAGGACCCGATGACGAGACACAGAGCGAGTATGAAAGCCGGCTGGGACGCACGATCTCGTATTCGAGCCAGACCGGGATCGAGCCCGGGTCTCTGGAGTCGCCGATGCTGCGGGATACCTCGAGACGAAGACAAGGCGGCAATAAAACAGTGAACGGGATACGGAGTAGTAGTCGGGGCTCTGCTGCCACAGGTGCCGAAGGAGATGGGAACGACCAGGAACAGAAGAGCCCCTTTCGCGGGGGGATTAGCGTCCGCCAGTTCTGGCTTATATTTCTGGGCTTGATGGGCAATATGTTTATCGTTTGCTTCGACAGTACGATAATGGCGTCCAGTCATCCGGTTATAACGTCGCATTTCCACTCAGCGAATAGCGCCTCCTGGCTGTCGACAGCCTTCTTATTGACCTCAACGGCTTTCCAACCTCTGGCTGGGCGGTTGTCGGATACCATGGGGAGGAAACCGCCGTTGATCTTTGGGATGATCCTGTTCACAGCCGGAACACTGTGGTGCGCGCTGGCGCAGAGCATGACTAGCTTTATTTTGGCTAGGGCCCTCTGTGGTCTTGGAGCTGGTGCCTCAATGACTATAGGAAGCATCATTACATCGGATCTAGTGCCAATTGAGATCCGCGGGATCTACCAGTCCTATATTAATATTGTATATGGACTTGGATCGGCTATGGGGGTGGCCACTGGCGGTGCCATGGCTGATCACCTTGGTTGGCGGTGGGAATTTGGAATACAAGGTATGTCTCATTTACGAGTTATCAGGGCAATTTGGGACTCTACTGACATGTTCCAGTTCCCGCGCTGGTACTTATCCTTGTTACTTCTTGTGTCTTCGTGCCACCCAATTTAGGCCTGAGTCACAACATGGAGAATGAGAGTTTCCTAACCGCAATGAAGACATTCGATTATAAAGGATCCCTCGTTCTTACAGCAGGCACCACATTCCTAATCCTATCTTTAGTAAGCCCCCCCCCACCTATGTTTCCGAACCCCTCTAATCCCTACCAGAGTCTCGGAGGCAACATCTACCCCTGGACACACCCCCTCGTCCTCACCGCCCTCTCCATCTTCGTCATCAGCACCCCCCTCCTCATTTACATTGAATCTCGTGCCCCCCGCCCCATCATGCCTCTCTACCTCTTCACCCGCGCCCCCCGCAGCAACCTCATCTTCTCCAACTTCATCAGCGCAGCCACCATCAACGCCATCCTCTTCAACATGCCCATTTTCTTCCAAGCGGTCCGCCTCGAGACTGCAACTTCTTCCGGTCTCCGCCTTCTTGTCTCTGCGTTGGCTGGCACAATTTGCGGAGTTAGCACGGGATTCCTGATTACCTGGTCGAGGCGCCTGAAATGGCCTCTTGTTCTTGGAGCGGCGCTCGTGTTTCTTGGACCGGTCACGTTGACGACGATTACGAAGGATATGCCTATATTAATAATATTGATATTCCTGGCTCTGGGTAGTATGGGACAGGGCTTCCAGTTCCCAGGCACCTTCATGGCTATCTTGGCCGTTAGTGAACAGTCGGAGCAGGCGGTGGTGACGAGCACGCTTATGCTGTGGAGGAGTATAGGGACGGTGATTGGAGTTGCGTCAAGTAGTTTGGTGTTGCAGAATGCGCTGGTTAAATACTTGGACGCGTTTGTTAGTGGGCCGGATAAAGAAGAGGTTAGTTGCTACATTACGCCCCTTCTTCCCTAGGGAAGCTATTTGTATCCATTGCTAACTCGTTTGCACAGGTTATCCGAAAGGTGAGAGGAAGCATAGAAGCAATCGTCGACCTGGACCTATACTACAGGGACCAGGTCGTAGCAGCGTATTCTGCTAGTCTGCGCGCTACGTTTGTCGCGGCTGCGGGAGTGGGATTGATCACCCTCCTTCTCGTGCTTCCTATCCGGATGCCGAGGTTGGGGAAACGGAACTGAAAATGTGCCGTTTGGTTGGGGGGGGTTTGTGAGTAATGGTTTGGTTACGAAACAATGTGAAAGACATAATTTATAGATAAAATTGATACCAGGACTATTAAATATTTATGCAAGGCGTTATCTAACGGGTTTTAAGGCCTGGTTCGCTACATGTCCTTTCGATTCGAGTGAGCTTGTCATCGCCACTATTCGCAAAGCATTCAACAGAACCCCCAAGCAACAAGACCATTAATTACCCCTTTTTACTAGCACCAGAACAATTGACAGCACGCATTAAACGCCTAACCTCCCAAATCTCCAATCCAACATGCCCACACCCCCCGGACCCGCCTCCAACCACGCAAACCCCCACATGCATAACCCCGCCTCCACCCTCCACTGGGCGATCACGAGCAATATTTTCCCAGGTTTCTCTCAACCGTGTAGCAACTACAATTGCCCTTGTGGACACAAGATCCGAGACCCAACGTCGAGTCGCCCCACTTCACCAAGACCGCTAAATTCCCAGTCTCCTTACTATCCTCGGGTGGATCATTAGCTTCAGACACATCTCTGCAATCTGGCGGGGAGAATAATACTTACCCTCTGAACAACTTTACATAGGGCAGGCCGCCGCGGTAGTGCACTTCGTTGACCACCCAGACTGTTGTGAATGCAGCGACAGAGAGGAGGAGGAGGATGAGGAATTGCTTTGAGATGGTTTTCCAGAGGGGTGGTGGGCGGTTCTTCTCGTTGTCTTGGGCGGCTTTCTTTAGTTCTTGCACACGCAGCGCAACGAGACTTTCCTTTAATGACCTCGCTAGCACGGTTAAGGTGGAATCATCCCTCGCGTGCCGACCCTTGGTACTCGCTCTCTTCGTTGGCCGCCCTCTTGTGGACATCTCATCTTCAGTCTCCTCGTCTTCAGACTCCTCATCCTCATCCTCATCCTCCTCATCATCATCCTCATCCTCCTCATCCTCCTCACCATCCTCCTCCTCATCTTCCTCATCATCCGAGCAAACGCAGGAAGTATCATACTCCAACCCCGGCTCCACTCTCTCACTCTGCGAAGGTGCATACTCCGTATTCTCCGCCTCAGTGTCCTCACCCTCAGAGAAAGGCTGATATTGGGCGCGAGGAACGTCTTCCAGGTCTGGCATGCTGGGGGAGGAGGGGGATGAGTAGGTTCTGCGGGAGGAGCAGGGGGAGTAGTGGCCTGGGCTGGACGTGGAGGGTCCTGTGGGGGTGTGGGTGGACTCCTGGGTGGGTTGCTGCGAGGGCTCCTGAGTGGACTCATTGTAGGGGGACGAAGAGAGAGTAGCGGAGGAGTAGCTCGAGGATGGTGTGTCTCTGTGCCGAGGAGGTGAGGGGAACATATCCCCCATGAACATAGACCGCGGGTATGCCATATCGACAGGCTCGCCGTAGGGACTGTTGCTAGGGGGTTCGTAGGGTAGTAGATCGGGTAGATCGTCGTAGTCCGTGCTGTTGGGCTGGTTGTAGTATGCCATCTTGGTTGGTTGGTCTTTGGGCCGTGCTAGTCTTTTGCGGGTTGAAGGTGGTGAGGAGAAGAGAGAAAGGGGGAGAGGAGGAGGGTGGGATGAGGATAGATATACTAGATTTTCATCGTGCCATGTTTTGTAGCCCTAATTACGCATTGAGGTTGTCTGATTAAACTTCGTTTGTGGGAACTAGGCTTTTGGTCTGGTCCCTGGATACGTAAATTTTCTAGGAAGATGGGCTGGAACTATCACTTGTTGTTGGTAGGTTTGCAAAGCAAAGTGAAGTGTAGCAGATGGACGTCCCAATCTAGGACGATGAGAAGATATCCTATATATCATCGTTTGCACAATATCCTCCCCAACTCCGCGCAGCTCTAATGACCTCGTAGATGATATCTCAAGATGTGCCCTCCCTTCTCCTTCTCACCTGTTCACCTCATGTTTGGCACCACTAGGGTCCAGCATATGCATACGCGCGTTCTGGGACGATATCAAACAACCGACTATAATATCATTCGAGAACGCGCACACCCACTCCATGCCAAACCCACCACTCCACGGTGGCATGTTATTGTCAAAGATTTTACTTATCTCTACGAACATGATGTGCAGTTCCGAGTCTAAGTTACACCGCAACACTAAAAATGTGAATCCACATCCGTGTGCGCGCGTATAACCATTTATTTACTCAACAATGATATGATCTCGACCAGACGAGGTTTGATTAAGACTACAAGAGGCTAAGAAAGTGTATGATACTATAAATATATATTTACCAGTCTTATAAAAGGAAGGAATGACCGCCCATTCGCTCTTTCCTTTTTCAAAGGCTAATAAAATATATCAGAGGGAAAGAGCAGGCACTCGTTGGCTCCTTCTCTCCCCTCCCAACTTTGGTGTTAGGAGCCTTATAAAACGGAAGGAACGACCTTCCCATTCGCTCCTTCCTTCACAAACACAACATAAATAAAATAGGGAAGGAACAGACACTCGTTCGCTCCTTCCTTCCCTCTCTCCGCCGACTTCGGGTGTAACATACCATATCCCCCTCTAGCCTTTCAACCAGGCACTAACCCTCTAGTCAAGGCACACACCACCCATAGCGTGCGCCTCTCTCTAAACCAAAAAAATCCCCGCTGGTGGCCTGTTTGTAGTACCATGGTTGCAATTGCAATGTCACTGATTGACTTTTCATCTCCGTAGCCCAAGCAACACTATAGGTTAAGCTAACACCCTTCTAACAACTAATAGCCCGACATCGCGATTGGGTTTTGTTTAGTATTGACACGATATAAACAGCACACGACGAGGCAACCGGAAGGCTACCACTCACTCACTCACTCACTATACGCAAGGCTAGCCTCGCCTAGCCTCGCCAGCTCGCCTACCGCCCGAACGGCCCGCTGGCGGGGTACGGCACCGAACCGGGCCACTGGACCAGCTCAGCACCGGGAAGCCCCGCCGGGAGCCTGGGAGCTTGGGAGCTTCGTGCAAGGCCCACGCTATGTATGGTATGGGCTTGAAATAGATACGGTGAGTAAGGCTGGGAAGCTTGGGGCGGCTGGCGGGTGAGTGAGGGAGGGAGCGGTGAAAGGAGGTGAGGTTTGTGGGATAGGAGTTGGGGGATAGAGATGTTGTTGGGCAGGTGTTTGTTTTGTGCTGTGCTGTACTGTACTTTGCTGTGTGGTACAACCACACAAGTTCATAGGGATTCCAAGATGGAAAAAAGACAACCTCCTCCCTTACCTTCCCATCCAGAATTGTCAAGTGACACCCGCCAACCCTCCCTCCTGCCGTGCCCGCCCAAAAAATGATGAAAGCCCTAGAGCTCTCTCTCTGCATACACCAAGCCAAACCAAGTCCACCACAGACACAGCCGCCAGATGCGCTGGCCATCCACCACACACGAATCGGAATACAAACCTGCACTCCACGACACCACACTAGTGCAGCTACGCTTGAGTAAGGCATCCCGCCAGTAGGTCAGTGGACGGGTTACATACTTGCTCAACCTACCTCGCTCGAAGCAAGCTCGATGCAGCTTCGATGGGGTCATGACACAGGCCTGATCGTCTGAGGAGGGGGTGGGGTGGCAAAGGGGATACAGCTTGTTTTGGAGAGTACAATCTACGGATGATGGACAAACGATGCGTCGATCGCGGTGTTGGGAGCGCGAGGGCCCGGTCCTATCTAGGTGTTGGAGCTGGAGCTGGAACTGATCTTGACGGATGAAGGAAGGGAGGGGCGGGCGGTTGGATATTCTGCGACCAGCGGCCACCGCTCCTTCAGCTCCCTTTGATCCCGGATGAGTTCCCCTTTGGTCACCTCTCCCACGACCCGGATAATCCTACTCGTTGCGTTCGCCCAGAATCCGAGAATCGGCTGGCTATACAATAACACACGCCCACACGCACATACACGGCGTACTTGGGGTAAGGGACATGTAAGGCGCACGCGCACGGGATACACATCGGTCGTCGAAGCGCTGGGAGTCGAAGGTGTGAGTGCACGCCCCGAGAGTACGGTTGGTCGACATGCCTTTAGGGAAAGGCTGGTCTCACGCCTCACATAAACCTGTCGCGCGCAACTACGACCGCTACTACCACTGGCTTGATAGGAAGAAAGTGAGCATGGGGGGGGACGTGGCGGTCAAATTAGACTCTCCCACCCCACCCTCCATGTGCTGAGGGAAGAATGGTGGGAAGGCTCCTTCCTTTGGAGGGGAAGAAGGGGGGGGGGTGTTCTGGAAAAGGTGAGTGGCGGGGCGGGAAGATTGGAAGTGTGTGGCTGGTGGACAGAGGACTCGACTTGCTTGGGTGATGATGGGAGTGGGAAAGGACCAATCGCAGTGCAGAAGTGTGAGGCGTCTGGTGATTCGATCGGAGGATCTGGAGTGGTTTGGGAGGAGGAGGGAGGGATGAGGGTGGTGATGGATGGTGGTAGGCGGTTGGAACGATGGAAAGATGCATGGTGCCCATATTTTACATGCATGGGTACAGACAGGAGTACGTACTCCCGTACCCTCTCCCTCCCGTACACCCCCAGCCAGCTATAACCGCATCACCACAATCGAGGCGCAGCACGCAAAAAACTCTGTGATCCAAGGAAAGCACGCACCAAGTCAGCGATTCGGAAGCTGATCATCCCATCCCATCGCCCCTTCCCTTCCACTTTCTGAGACGGAACCGAACCGAGGCAGCTAATGACGAGACGGGGAGGGCGAGACAATAGGGCACACGACGACGTACGCAACGACGCATGGACGGGGTGAGATGAAAGCGACGCATCGACGACGCTGCGACGAGACATTTTTTTGTATTATAGGGCGGGGCGGGGCGGTGGTGGCGAGGGGGCATGGGCTACGAGGACTTTTTCCGTATGCGATCGGTAGATGCATTCCGGCAACGTTACCGGAAACGTCGGTGTCTGAGCCCTATACTGCCTATACTGTAACTTATACGGTCTGTGTCTGTTACCATTCCTGCGCGATGATGATGAGTGTGTCGTGCGTGCGTGCGTGCGTGCGTCCGTCTGTCCGTCCTCCGCGCTGTAGCTACTAATATTACCTGTTTTGTGGGTTATAGACGACGATGGATGGGCTGGTTAATATAGCGAGGTTGGGCTGTGTCTGGCGGTCTGGCGTGTCTGTTGGTCGGTCGGTGTCTGACTGAACATTAGTCCGTCGGCGGCGGCGGTGTCTGTCTGGTGTTCTGTCTGTCTGGTCTGTCTGGCTGGCTGCGCTGCACTGCACTGCGTCTCATCGTCGTGCGTGTGCACAGCATACGGGTAAGATGGATGCTCGTACTCTGTACACTTAGTCTGTACGCTCTTACTTGTTCCCTCCCGGACATCGCGCCGTAAAAAGAAACGACGACGACGGCGACAAATGAACGTTGGCAGAATAAATCATTTTCTACTTTCTGAGGCTGTCGGGGGGCTGGAGAAAGGCTGACTGACTGATTGACTGCTGTCGCTCTGCGGCGTTAATTAGTTTCTTGTTGGGTTTTTGATGATAGGTGAGGCAGGTGAGGCAGGTGAGTAAGATAGGCAGGCAGCATAGATTGATTGACATGACAGCAAGTGAGGCAGAGTTGGGGGTGTGTTATTATTAGAAATTAGAAGGGATGATTATGATATCGCTGAGTCGATTAAGGGGAGTGAATGACTAGAATGACCGCGATGATGACTCTGTATTATGGTCAGACTCTGTATTATGGTCATATTTGACTCTGTTTCGTGATGTTTGCGATGGGTGTTTGACACGGTGTCTCTCTGTCTGTACTGTACTGTTTTATTACCTGTTGACACTCTCTCTCTTGCGCATCTCTGTGCCCATCTCTGTGTACCTAGATTCCCGTTTCCCTTGTACCTTTTCACCCTTCCTCCCTCAAATCGGGGAGTCCTACAAGCATCCTCCCACCCCCCTGTACCACCTGCCCAATCACCATACCACCATCACCAAAATCGCCCCGAGTCCTGCAGCCAAAACGCCCCTAAGGTCACAATTCATCACGATTTTATCCCCAATTATATCCAACCGCCCCCCATGTCTGCATCCACACCCACACCCACACCCCCATGCTTGGGATACACGACGACGCACCCACTCACACATGTGCCAGGATATGGGTCAGGGTGGAGAACGGGGCGACGGAAGGGAAAAGGGAAAGGGAAGGGGGGGAACGAACGAAAGGCATCGAGGAGTACCCAGGCGGCCCAGCTACAGTCTTCATCACGGACTACGCTGGTGTTGCTGCTTGTACATATTGTCGCCGCTCGCCACCATCCCCCGCCCCCCTCTTGAGGAGATCCAAGGAGAACAGGAATTATCAGAAGCAAAAGAAGAAGAATGAATTAAAAGGAATTATATATCCCACATATAATAATCGACACACACTGCTGCGTCTAGCCACACCACACCACACCGCACTACGACTGCAATCAGCCATCGCGAGCAAAGCACGTCGCATGCTTCTATATCAACCACGAACATCACATATAACTTCCAATGGCGCTCAAAACAGGCAGGACGGGTTGCAACTAGATCACCATTCACACACAGATCGATACCAAACACCTGATTTTGGAATATTATAACACCACACACACAAACACACCACAATAAGCGCGCGCAACAACCCCCACTCACCGCTTTACCACCATAACATATATCAACGACCTCAACCCCGACCCTCCAAACCAACTAACCTAATACCAACCGCCCACACCCAATGCAATAGCACCCAAACAATGTACACCCACAAAACCAGAACCGACACCGTCTCCAGCGCCCTCAGCCGCACCTCGCGCCGCAGCGATGAATCCTACACCTCCACCACCAGCACCGCCGCGACCTCGGTATGCGACGACCACCAGCACCAGCCCAGCTTCGCGCCCCTGACGCGGCAGCAGCGCCTCCGCCACACCAGCACGCGCATCTTCCACGACAGCCGCCGCGACAGCGCGAGGAGTTCGTGTTCATCGAGTCGTCGGTCTTCTGGGGCGGATTTCTATGCTGAGCCGGAGGAGTATGGGGAAGATGATGAGGATGAGGATTACACCTCTCCGGATTACACCACCAACGACGACGACATCCCCGCCCAACCCGCGTCCACGACGCCTGTCCCAACGACACCGCATGATTTCGCATCTTTCTTCCCCTCCCACCGCCGCTTGACGATCGCGCACGATACCTCGGCGGAGGATATGGCTATGAACCTCGTTATCTCCACTACACCCGAGGGGGGCCTGAAGACGCCGATGCAGCTCTTTCATCTGCGCATGCATGATGTCCCCACGCGGGCGTTTAGTCTGCGCAGGTATTGTCGGGAGTCGGGGAGGGAGGTGTGTCATAGTGTTTTGCGCCAGGGAGGGGAGAAGGTGAAGCAGCAGAAGAAACCTACTAAACATCCTAAGCTGCAGAGGTCTATGTCTACCGCCCTCGCGACCGTGACGAGGGGTGGTGTCAAGCGTGCTGACTCCTGGGGCGCTTCTTCCAACTATAACAAATCCTCCTTCCCGCCTCAATACCCCACCCCTCTCCTCACGATCCCCACACGCCACGACTCCGGCTACGCCACCAACTCAGATGACGACGACGATTTCTCCTCCTCCTCTTCTGACTCCGAGAACGACGAAGAGGAGATGCCAATCCCTTCATCTCTCCCCGGCAAAAATGGAAAAAAGGGGAAGACAAACACCACACACCTCGAATTCTCAAACTACGCACACGTAGACCTCACCCGTCGCGGGTCGGCTGGAAAGGGGAAACGGTGGGATTTCGAGTACTGGGGTACACCCTACAGCTGGAAGCGAGAGGGGGAATCTTATCACCTCGTCCCCACGTCCAACTCCTCGGGGAACAACGCAGGGGCCGTGGCGCATATTGTGCCTGACGTGCTCACACCCTCCCAGATCCGCGAAGAAGAAAAGGAGGGGGGCTGGATCCCGAAATGTAGTTTTTGGATCTCGGACCCGAAAATACTTAGGGGGGGGGATGTGGCGGATGTGGTTGTTGCGACGGGGGTGTTGGCGTTGGTGGATGATAAGGCGCGCGCCGCGAGCCGGAGACCGGCCGCGAGGTATAGGAGGAGTATTAAAGTCCCGATGAGTCCTGTGAAGTTGGATCTTGAGGTTGTGACGCCGAGAGAGATGATGAGGAGTGTTTTTAGGAGGGGGAGTAGGGATGAGAGGCCTGGAACGGCAGGGGGGAGAGTGGGGAGGAGGGAGGAAAGCAAGTTGAGGTTTGGGAGGGCGGTGGAGGCTTGTTAGGATGCAGTATATAAAAAGGGGAGGATTTGCACATATTACGGGAGGAATGGGGGGGTACGAGTTAGATATTATACGAACGGTAGGTGGGTGGGAACGCTGCTTTTTGGGCGTTGCGGGGAAGGGATACTCCTATGCCCCTCACGGGGGTAGGATGGGTTTATGATTCTTACGATCCGATATGATAAGGTTTATGATAGATAATGATGATACTAGTATATTTCGCTACTCAAACAAGTCGTTTGACCTGACTATTTCGGTATTTTAATGTGTGAGGAAAGGGGGAAAGGAAAGGGGGTAAGGGGTAAGTAAGGGGGGGGGAAAAGGTAAGGGAAGGGGGGGATGATGGGATGGTTGCTGGTAACTGGTGGGTTTTATAATCTCCCAAACCAACGCAAAAGAGAGACACCACCAAGAAAATCTGATGCGACTCCAAGACGCCGCTATCATCGCTCTATTACGGATATAACACAGAATCAAGAACTCTTCGATGAGGATGAAATGCACCAGGCTCGTCAGGAGCTACTTGCTATGGTTGAAGGCTGTTGTCGTTGGGTGGTGGTGTCGTTGAAGCTGGTATCGTTGAAGCTGGTATCGTTGAAGCTGGTATCGTTGAAGCTGTCATCGTTGAAGCTGCTGTCGTTGAAGCTGTTGTCGCTGGGTTGAAGCTGTTGTCGTTGAAGCTGCTGTCGTTTTGCTGCTGCTGTCATTGAAGCTGCTGTCGTCGATACTGTCCTCGATGCTCCATCTATCATCCCCCATCTCCACCGCAACATATAACCCCCCCCCCCAAACCGAACGACACTGACATAATTGCACGGTCCACAGCAGCCCAGCCACGACACAATCCGAGTAACGCTCTCTCTCGTATCTGATCCTTTTTATCAACTGTTGGGATCCGACTACCAACGTAATGTGTAACGCATAACATGATAAATATATCATCGTTTTGTTCTGGATGGATTTCCCACTACATCCGGACATGGCCGGGGATGATGGGATGCAACACGTCTTTACTTACTCGGATCGTTGCATTGGGATTGGAAGGGTGGGGGGGAGGGGTTGAAGAGATGGATTTGCATGTGGGTGAGAGGGTTTGAGCTTCGGATGGGGGGGGGGGGTGCTTTGGACTGTTTGGCGGCGCGTTTGGCCTTGGAAGTTGCAGTGGTGGGATCATGGCTGGGGGGTATCGGGGATAGGAGAAGGGTGGCACAAGGAAGCTTCATTCCCAGGGGTTCATGCAGCAACAGCGACGAGGGAGTCACACAAGAGTCATCTTCCACGTGCCATGCTTCAAGGCATACACGCGCATGTATATCATAGCCATCGACCACATCATATCACATACACATACACATCAAAAAACGGGTTCACTCCATCTTTATTTGCTCAACAGGCAAGACAGGCAGCACTCAGTCTAGCCGTGCTCTCACCCGGAACATCCGCACCGCACCGCGCACAAGCGAATCTAACCCCCCTATGGATAGTAGTAGAGACAGTATTAACAATCCATCCTGCTCCGCTAGCTAGCTTAGTTGATAGCCTTCAACCAGACGTCGAAGATGAGGTCGGAGTTGGGGGGGATGGCGCCGGGGAAGCCACTGTGGGTGTGATGTCAGTACGTGCGCTTATCTCTATCTCTTTCTCGTTCTCTTTCTCTCAGGGTTGGGGAGGATGGGGGTTGAAGGGAGAGAAGAAGGGAAGTCTTACCGGTTGCCATAGGCGTAATCGGCGGAGATATCCAGAGTAGCCTTCTCACCAACCTTCATGTTGATGACGCCCTCGTCCCAGCCGCGGATGACCTGGCCGACGCCGATCTTGGTGCGGAAATCGGACTTGCCGACTGAGGAGTCGAAGCTGGTTGTCACAGCGAAGTTAGCTTTTGTGGTCTTTATCTTCTCGGAGGGGATTGATTGATGGCTAGATGCAGCTTGTAGAGGGACAGGAGAGGACATACACAGTTCCCTTGCTGCCATCAGCCTTCTTGAGGAAGCCAGTGTACTCAATAGTAACAGTCTGGTTCGCCTGGGGCTGCGCGCCGGTGCCCTCTTGGGTGGTAGTCTTGGTGACGCCCATTATTGCTGCTGTTTGCGAGAAAGTTCTTGTGTATGAGTTTGTTCTGTTGATGGATCGAGCAGAGAAAGAGGAGACTCGGGGAGCGAGGCGGGTGAACAACATTGTATGCGTGTATGGAGGGGTAGGGCGGGTAAGCGAGGAGGGGTGTGGTGGTGTGTTTGAGCTGCTGTGGGTTTGGGGGTGCTGGTTGGGTGGGATGGAGGACAAAGGAGGGGTGCTGGAAGGGAGGGGAAGAGGGAAGAGCTTGTGTGTGAGGAGGAGCTTGTTGGGTGGACGGGCTCTGCGTGCGGTTAGTGGTAGGGTGACGGTGGTTGACCAATGGGAGGATGAGGTTGGGGAGGCGGGGCGGGACGGACTTGGCGGTGGATGATTGCGTCATGCACGTGATTTTGGGGGATGTTGTGGGAGCTCGCTTGTGTGAGGGGAGATCAATCTGATATCGGGGGACGGGTCAGGTATGTTTCTGAATTCAACTTTCCTACGTAATTATATACTGTTTTTGTGCTGTTTTCATCTGTATACGAGTCTGTATGTTTAATTGTATTGCTTCATTGTGAATATTGTCCGGTTACTGCCCTACCCCGAGAACAAAGAAAGAGCTCAACCGTCGTGAACCCCCTGGAAGCTTGCTTACTCACATACGTACGAGTCCTCCGCGTCCTCAAACACCCCGCAGGGTTGCCCTGGTACCTGTTCAGATGAGCCTGGGCAAGATACTCGCTGATTACCCCGCTGACTTCCTTTCTCCGTCAGCTTGTGCAATGATCATCCTGGATTCACAATTCCCACTATCCCATATCCTATGGGAGAAGAGCACAGAAGCAGGCAGAGAGGTAACCTTACTCGCCGAAGCAGCTGTGGATATCTGTCGAGTGTCGAGTTGGGGATAACCCGTTGGTTTCCGCTCCCTGCTTGGGCGGAGGGAGTATTTGTCAATTGATTGACAGCACGGAGGTTTCTATCATTGCAAACTGGCTGGTTGGTCTGTTTGTCGGTGACTGTGTTCATGACTCTACCTACATACATACTTCACCGACTGTATGCTGTTGATGAGACCCCCTTGGCATCTATTCAACAAGCCAAGCTTCAAGTCTTACAGTCCAATATCCACACGTGACCAGAAGGTTCCCACTGGGGCAAAAAGAGCAAACAAGACAAACAAAAGTGACGTGGGGGATAATGCGTGGAGGCGTGGAGGCCTGGGATACACTTGGTACAGTACTGTTACGTGTATTGCCTCTTTGACTCTTCCTACACCTACAAAAGCCAAAGATATACCACTGCTAATACTTGTCGCACAGCCTCACTCTTTGTAGCGTGACATCCCACTCACCCACCCCCCACATGCACTCGCTTGTACCTGTCACTTACCAAGATACACTACCATACGTGTCAGTCAAATCAGAGGCTCACTGGGCACAACGTTCTCAGAATGTTCCCCGCTTCAAATGCAGGCTCTTGCGCTTACAGAAGTGTATGGTACCAGTGCAGCTCAGTACCGTACAGTAGCTTGACGCCACGACACCAAGGAGACGAATGAGACTCTGCGCCAATCCTGCTAAAATATTCCCAGACCTCAACTCCTCCACTCCGGACCTCCGTGACAATATCCACAGTGGTCGAGATGGTGGGAGGGAAACAGAACCAAGAGACGGATCTCGTCTCACCTCCGATGAATCCGCTGCGATTATCTGCTGTACTGAGTTGCACCACCGCCCCGGATCATCTGTCATTCCCATCTAGATAGGCATCGCGAATCCAGGCAAATACCCAGACTCCGCCTCATTTTTAACCACAATCGGATCTTGGACGGCACTTGGCATTGTCATCGCGTCTCGCCAACTCTTGGAACTTTCCCACTTCTTTGTGCGGAGAGGGAGGCGAGAGTGTGTTACTAACATGTTTGTGTGTTTGGTATACTTACTTATTTTACCCTGCTGCATATCATCTGGTCACGATGATACTCTGCAGTGCGTGCGCCGCTGTTGAGACTGTCGTCACCTCTGCCAATAATAGCTTGGTGAATGACGGGAGGCCGACTGACGCCGCCTTTATCAAGCCCCCGCATCCCCATCTTCCATCTCCTTTCCCTTTCAGTACTCTACTTCCTTTTTGAAGTACATTCCTCCTTCATTACATTTTCCATTTCGTCGTTGAACCATCTAGTAGTTCAACGCCCCCTTTCCTACTTCACCTGTCCACCTCTTATTGAATGGTTATTACTGATCCGGAATCCGCACTTGAGGAATGGCACAACCTTCCCTCACCACCACCTACCTTGCGCCCTGATCGGGTAGATAGCGCAAAGGAAAAGGTTGCTATAACCCATATTGGCAAGAACTGTTCTTCCGGATCTAGCCTAAGCAACACCCTTAACGAAGACGACCTCCCCGACTGGGAGACCACTACTCACACAGAAAGATACTGGGACGGCGGCGCAGAATCCGCTCACGCCATCGATGTCGATGCCATCGCAAGCAAGTTACAAGTTGACCTTCAGTGAGTTCACAGCAACAGTCCTCTTCAGAGCTTACTAATCATGCCCAAAGACATGGACTCGAGGGCAAGGAGGCAGCGGCTCGACTTGAACGGGATGGCCCTAACAAGCTTGCGAGCGCTGGGGGAATATCGGCGTGGAAAATCCTCTTAAGACAGGTCTCCAATAGTTTAACCATCGTAAGAAGAGAAACCCTGACGCTACGTCTTTTTCGCAATACAATGCACACCCTGCCGTTCTCCATGCCTAATCAGACAACCCCCTCACTCGGGGCTCTGCTCTTGACCTGTGCATGATGTTGTTGTACCCGACAATGGGATACTGACATGATGGCAAAAGGTCCTCCTCCTGGCTATGGCACTGTCGTATGGCACACTAGATTTCATTGAAGGTGCCGTCATCACAGCTGTCATCCTCTTGAATATCATTCTTGGGTAAGTGAGCAACGGAGACGTGCTTAGACCCCGCATTACCGTATTGGGATACTGACCACGTGCCTTTAGGTTCGTCCAGGATTATCAGGCGGAGAAGACTATGAAGTCCCTCCAGGGCCTCGCGGCCCCAACGTGCAAGGTCGTTCGTAACAAGGGAAAGGTTGACGCCGTCAAAGCTGAGGCTCTCGTCGTGGGAGACATCGTCCAGATCTCTGTGGGCGATGTTGTCCCGGCGGATCTTCGGATTTTTGACGGCGTCAATTTGGAAATCAATGAGGCTCTTCTCACCGGAGAGTCATTACCAGTCATCAAAATGCCCAAGATTACCTTGAGCATGTTAGACCTTCCCCTCGGGGACCGCACGAACTGCGCCTATTCGGCCACTACCGTGACTAAGGGTCGCGGAAGTGGCATTGTCATCGCTACCGGCATGAAGACCGAAGTTGGCCGCATCGCTGAGATGCTCCAAGATCGTAAATCAACCAAGGAAACGAATCCTTTCAAGCGATTCTTCATTTCCCTCCGGGATGGTGCCAAGAACATCCTCGGTCTCGTCGGCACGCCTCTACAGGTTACACTCAGCAAGTTCGCCATCATGTTATTCGGCTTGGCTCTCCTCCTCGCCATCATCGTTTTCTCTGTCAACAAGTGGCATCTCTCGGATGAGGTCGTCATCTATGGAATCTGTGTCGCTGTAGCTGTTATCCCTGAATCTCTCATCGCTGTCTTGACTATTACCCTTGCCATCGGCATTAAGGCCATGGCGAAGGGCCATGTGATTGTAAGGAGAATGCAGGCTCTTGAGGCTATTGGCGGCATCACGCATATCTGCTCCGACAAGACTGGTACGCTCACTCAGGGCAAGATGATTGCTAGGAAGGTGTGGGTACCAGAGATTGGAACGCTTGGAATTTATGATACTACGGATACGTTCGACCCTACCAGCGGGCATGCAATGATTGATGAAGTGGCAATGGATAAGTCTATGGAGCTGAACGCAACACTTGAGAAACTGCTTCACGCAGTTGCCCTCTGCAACCTCTCTACAGTCTACCACAACATCGATGAAAACAGCGAGAAAGCAACTCCATCATGGACTGCAGTGGGTGAGCCTACGGACATCGCCCTCCAAGTCCTTGCTACACGTTTCGGCCTCGGCAAACCCGACATCCTGGATACTGAGGAAATGACATTCTTGGCCGAACATCCATTCAACTCCGCCATCAAGCGCATGTCAGTAGCCTACCAAAACGGCACTGATACCATCGACGTCTTTCTCAAGGGCGCCGGCGAGAGTGTCCTCCCCATGCTCACATCCTCGCCTGCTGAGAAAGCCGAGATCGAGAAGCGCATGCAAGAACTGGCCCGTGAGGGTCTTCGAGTCTTGTGTATTGCCACCAAATCCGTTCCTTCGACTTCGAAGAAGGATATCGAGAGCAGAGAATGGACGGAGAGTAACCTGGAATTCCTAGGCCTTGTAGGCCTCTACGATCCGCCTCGTGTTGAGACGGCTGGTGCTATTACGGCCTGTACGAAAGCTGGGATTAGCATTCATATGTTAACTGGTGACCACATCGACACCGCTACCGCGATCGCCAAAGAAATCGGCCTCATCACCGATCTCAGCTTCACCACATCCAACGCCAACACCATTGTCATGCAAGGCGGCCAATTCGACAAGCTCTCAGAAGACGAAATCGACGCCCTCCCCTCCCTCCCCCTCGTCCTCGCCAGATGTAGCCCCGCCACCAAAGTCCGCATGGTCGACGCCCTCCACCGCCGGGAAGGCTTCTGCGTCATGACCGGCGACGGCGTTAACGACGCCCCGGCCCTCAAACGCGCCGACGTCGGTATCGCCATGGGCCTCAACGGCTCCGACGTCGCCAAAGACGCGGCCGACATGATCCTGACAAACGACGACTTCGCGTCCATCGTCAAAGCCGTCGAAGAAGGCCGGCGCCTCTTTGCCAACATCCAGAAATTCCTCATGCACCTCCTCATCTGCAACATCGCGCAGGTCCTCCTCCTCCTCATCGCTCTCGCCTTCCGCGACGCCTCGGGCGCATCCGTCTTCCCGCTGTCTCCCCTTGAAATCCTTTGGGTAAACATGATCACCTCCTCCTTCCTCGCCCTCGGCCTGGGCATGGAAGAGAAGACCTCAGACATCATGCTCCGCCCCCCGCACAGCCTGCGCATCGGCGTCTTCACCCGCGAACTCATCGTCGACAAAATGATCTACGGCACGCTAATGGGCTCCCTCTGCCTCGCCGCCTTCGCCATCGTCGCCTTCGGCGCTGGCGGCGGCGACCTAGGCGATGGCTGCAATGACGGCTACAACTCGTCCTGCGACGTCGTCTTCCGCGCCCGCGCAACCGTCTTCGCCGTCCTCTCCTTCCTCATCCTCGTCACCGCATGGGAGGTAAAGCACTTCTCGCGCTCTCTCTTCGCTCTCGACCCTGCCAAGTTCCGCGGTCCCCTCGGGGGTATCGGAGAGGCGCTCTGGTATAACCGCTTCTTGTTCTGGGCTGTGGCTGCGGGATTCCTAATCACGTTCCCCGTTGTTTATATCCCGACGGTTAATACGGCGGTGTTTAAGCACATGGGGATTACGTGGGAGTGGGGCGTCGTGGTGGGTGCGCTGGCGGTGTATGTGGCAGGTGTTGAGGCATGGAAGGCGGTCAAGCGCCGTTTGGGCTTGTTTGGGAGTAAGAGGTCGGCAGTTGATGGGGTTGGGGGGGGGTTAGCTTAGGTTTTTGATCTGTCAGCTCTGTAAGCGTTGGCGGCTGATAGGGCCGTAAGGCTTGTCAGGGCTGTGTGGAAGGTGAGCGAAGGGGGAGAATGCGAAGCAGGTTAAATTGACCTTGGTGGTTTAGGGTGGGGGGGATTACTGATCTATTTCGGGGATTGGAGATTGGGATCGGGGTTTAGGAGGGGTTTAAGAGGGGTTCACTGTCTTTACTGATCTGCGGTTGTCTCTCTACTGTTCTTGGCTGTCTCTACCAGTCTCTTCCTTTCTTACGCCGTTGAATCCGGCGAGCATCGTTATTATCGAGTAGGTTGGGTTATGGTCGTGGTCAGAGCTTTTTTACGTCCTTTAGCGGCAGGTCATTCATTAGCCCCACCACGTACACCTTCACAATAAACCACTTATTATTTGTTGTGAGCTTCCTTCCGTCTCACTGCTGATGCCGTCTCACTCAGCTCTACTATTAGTATTTGTCAAACGAGATACGCCTTGACTCGTGGAGCGTTTCGTGTTGCTCGTATAGTTCACGGAGTTCCCGTATAGAATCCTGCCCTATGTCCGCCGTAGCCTAAATGATCGACAAGAAGTTGGAGATCAACAGATTTGGAGACAACGGGATTCGATTAGGACCCTATTCCACGTGATATAATCCAGATCCAACGCCCACCATCCCCTCACCGGGTCGTCTACCGTTGCCGTCTCCACAAAAACCCCCCCCCAACATGCAACGGTGAGACGCGGTGAAGGCGGCCGCAATCAAGTCCCACGCCAACCCGCATCAGGGCCCAAAACCGTCAGACTGCGGGGGGGTTCTCTAGGATCTTTTTTTGGAGCAACCAGGGGGCTCACGGCGCTACTCGCCGGTGTTTACATATCAGGCGGCTGCCCGATTCGCCAAGATGCATCCCTTCCTTCGGTGATAAGAAGCATAAGGCCATGCGTGTCTCCACTCTCCACCTGGAGGGGGAACGATCCGAGACTGGATGGGCACGTTGCGTAACTTGCTGCTACCTGTCGCGTACCACAGCGTGGATCTGATGTAAGCTTGGATGCAAGGGAGTATGGTAGGTCGCTCGGAGGGTGAGATATCTCCGCCGGGGGGATTGGTGCAGATGGATGTGTCTCAGTTGGAGTATATAGAGCTGCGTGGTCCCGCTGGTGAGGGTTTTTTTTGTCTCATAATTAAGTCAATTCCTCGTTGATCAATCTCACCTCGTCGTTTACCAAAAGCCTTGCTTGTTCCTCATTACCTACCTGTCATAAACCCCTCACCCTCACCCCTCACCCACCCCTCAATCCCCAAAAATGGCCACCAACGGCACCTCCGCCAACGGCAGCGCCAATGGCACCGCTCACGCCGCAGCAGCCCCAACAGACATGCGCGCCTACCGTGCCCCGTCCCTGCTCCAGCCTCACCGCGCGCGCGACGCCCTTCGTGACGCCCACGAGGGCAAGATCCCTCCTCTCCAAGTCTACTTCCTCATGCTCTCCGCCCCCTCGATCATCAAGGTGATCGCCCAGGTCGGGTACGATGTGATCCTGATCGACCAGGAGCATTCGCCCATGGACATTGGCGAGATGACGAGAATGGCGCATGATATCCAGTTGGTTAGCGAGGGAAGGACAATGGCGTGGATCAGGTAAGGTTCCACCCCCTAGGAAGCAAGGGATGGCGCTAACAAGATGATAGAATCTGTGGCCACGACCACGCAAACATTGGGTACGCACTTGACACTGGAGCTAGCATCATGGTCCCGCAGGTCGAGACCGTGGAAGACGCAAAGCACATTGTCTCCGCCGCCAAGTTCGGAAAGAAGATCAACGGCACCCGCTCCGCGCCTCCTGGCCGCTGGCTCCCGGGCATCTCGGACGTAGGCACCAACTCCGAGCTCACCCTCTGGGAGAACCTCAACAACCAGGCCGCCATCATCATCCAAGTTGAGTCCAAGGAGGCCGTCGACAACCTCGACGCCATCCTCACCGAGTGCGGGGAGCACATCGATGCCGTCTGGCTCGGTTCGCTGGACTGTAGAGTTTCCATGGGCCTTCCGGGCTTCTGGGGCGAGGAGCCGGAGTTCATGGAGGTCATTCAGACGATGAATAAGACGCTCAGGAAGCATGATATGCCGTATGCTGGGGCGGCGATGGGGACGCCAGAGCAGGTGAAGGCGATGGGAGCCGGGAAGGCGTTTACGGCTGTGCAGGGTGATGTTTTCTCGTTGCTGGCGTCGGCGGTGGAGAATTTGACGATGGCGAGGGAGGTGATGCCTGCGGTGAATACGTCGGCGGCGAATAAGAAGGCGAACGAGTTGGATGCGAAGTGAGTGCTTGAGAGTAAAAGAAAGTGTAATGATCATGGAAATATGAAGGGGGGATAGTCGTTCTCTGGGTGTGTGTTAGCTATAGACCGGTGCCCTGGGGGTCGGTAGATTATAGAAATTAGAACGTCATTCAGCTTCAAAATAAGTCTTGGGATCAAATGTGATAGTGCTCACTGGTTGCTATGAGGCAACATTTCGAACTGCTTACAGGGAACGAAAGCCGATGGCCCCCAATGCTTTCTCGTATTTGTGCAGGGTGCCTGTTCTGTAGGGGCAGCATCAGAAGCGAGGTCTGGCGGCATGCTGAGGGAATTTGAAGAGATCATGGAGTGGCATAGAACCCGTATTAGTGCAACGGCTGGAAAGATCGTCTGTCTGGTGTAGAGGTCCCATTCAACAAAGAGTTTGGGCGCTCAAGGCATACATACCGCTGATTTGCCCGCTGTGGTGTGGTCGAGTTCGCAGTACCAGAGTCAAAAACGACCTTGTGAACATTTAGTCGCGGAGTCAGTGACAGGTGGAGATGGTGACAAGACAGAGTAGGTGGTGGCAGCCCAGGGATGGTGACAGACAGGCGGTGACAGGCAGAGAGGTGGTGACAAAAAATCACGACAGTACGACACCCCCTTGATCGACGACGAGGCGCCTGTGTGGCTTTGGCTGAACTATCTCTTGTCGTGCAAGTCTTCCTAGATGTTATACGGGGGTGTCTCTCCAATGGCTCGAATTGGTTGAGCTTCTACGAGTGGCTTGAGACCGGCGCCCTTCTTCGCTGGGAGGTTCTTCTTGTCTCCGCTGACAGACCACGATCTACTTTCAGGCTTTATTGAAATATCCTCATACTTCACATTACTTATCACATCGCTCCATGATCACATCGCTCCATGAAGAATTTGGGCATTAAGTTAGATGACCAAAATGCCACACACATACTCCCAGCTCATCAAAGCCACTAAATATCGTAAATGCCACTTCACACTATCCCTATTCTATATCCCAACCTTTCACCCTCTCAAGCCTCACCTCTTCTTCTCAACAGGTGTTTTCTTCCCGTTAACCGCCGCCGCGGACCCACCACCATAAGCTGGCGGGGTCGAATCTCCAAAGTCAATAAGATTCGGTGAGTCCTGTCCACCGGCCATCTTATAATCCTTTCCCTCCACATATCTCCCCTGCGCCGCCTCCGCCTCCTTCCAATTCTTCGGTGGAACCTCTTGCACCTTATCATCCGTAAGATCACCCCCATTCCCCCCTCCAACCACTAGATCCCCACCTCCCCTCACCTTCCCAACGACCATCCCCTTCGCCACGCTCTTGATAATCGCGCGCCTCGACACTCCAGTGGCGTCGATATACACCAATCCCACATTCTTCATCCCACCCCCAAGGTGCTTAGTCAACTCCCCAGCCTCAGGCCCATACTTATGTCCCACGACCGTCGAAGCGGCCGTGCTGGTCCCGATCATCAGTCCCCGACCCGCCTGATCAATACCATCAGCAATAGTACTGAACGCCATGAGACTCTTATTCAAGAATCCCGGCTTATACCCCGTAACCATCTTTCCGTCCGGCCCAACGCCCTTATGCGCCCTCTCCCCCTTACTCAACATCCCCGCACCGATGTTCTGCGCGAACTTGCTAACCTGTCCAACGGTCTTGGAAGAGAGGCCAGCTGCAGAGCCGGTAAAGGTGTTGATCTTGCGGACGCGCGCGTGTGTGGTGGGGGTGAAGGTCATGGGGGTGGTGTTGGGCTTGGTGCTCTTGGTGAAGCTGTCGGCGCCGGATTGGAGGGTCTGCGCGACGTAGGAGGAGGTTGTGACAATGAGGCGCGAGGCTTCGGCGGCGCGGGAGACGAGGCGAGAGCCTTTGTAGGCGGGGTGCATGGCCATCTCGAGGTATTCTTGTGAGGCGGGGGAGACGTTGATGTTGTGTGATCCGTCTTCGGGGAGGGAGAGGATGACGGGGTCTAGATGGCTGTGTTAGTATGTTCGTGGAAGCATAGGGGGTAGAGTATACGTACTTTTAGAGCCGGCTTGCATCTTGCTGTCCTCGACAACAGTAAATCCCTCTCCTAGTTCACCAACGACACTTCCATTCTCCTCATCGATCAGGACAATTTGTCCGCCGTGGTGAGAGCTGGAACTGCCCTGAACGTACCCCTCTCCTGGCTTGAACTCCTGAGGGTTGTATGCTGGCAGAGCTTCGCCTTTTCCCTTGCTAGAGCTAGCGACGCCTTTTGCTGGAGCAGGGGCGCGCTCGAGGAAGGCAGTGCATTGCGCGAGTATAGTCTCGAAGGTATCGACATCCTCCTGTAGGCCCTTAGCGCTGCCAGGTGCTGGGAACTCGATGCGAGTGAAGGCGCCACTATCAGGGCCTAAGTCCCAGCGTGGGATGAGATAGCTGTTCGGTGGCTGATGGTATATTTGAGTGGTGGCTGGGAGAGGGAGATCGAGCTCCGGTGGGAGGTGAAGGTGAAGATAGAAGTCTTCCTGGGGAGCAGTGGCTGGGTCGGTATTCTCGATTCCGGAGAAATCAGAGGCGGTTGGCACCATCAACAGAGAAAGGGTCTGAGGACCTGAAGGAGTGAGAGATTCCTCAACTCCATTCTGGATATGGTATGCCTTTATGCCATTGACGGCATACAGCAGCTTGGGTTCAGAGTTCGACATCGTAGTTTGTTTGAAGCAAATACTCGATAGCGGGGTAGTGGGGGTGTATAAAAGAGAGTCGTGTGAGTACACCCAAGCTTCAAAATATGCCCAGGTACGATTGAAGCAGCAAGTAAGAGATGGTGCAGTTGCAGCCAACGGTCGATGATGAGTGATTTATAAACTTCCGGGCCGCTGGCCAACCTTTCCAAGCGCCGGTACACTTGTGGAGGGGTACCAATTCCAACATTCCCGACACCACCGTCTCACACCACTTGACACGGGAGGCCAATGACGTCGAGCCAGGCGCTTCTCGATTGTGGCGCAGCAGGCGATCGGAGCTTGTTGGTTGGTTCTGGATGCACCATTTCAAGTATCATCAACTCACTTCTAGACATTGGGCGTTTGACGCCGCTTTGAGCATTTCGTATGCTGCTGTCTTATCTATATCTGTTGGTGCGCGGCTAAGACCCTTATCCTTTACCCTGAGTCCTGACATTTGCCGCTCTGGTGAGATCTCAAAATAAGATAAGATGCCAAAGATGAAACACAGAAACCCCATTATTGGCTGACATGAACGCTCTTGACATCGATATATATAGAGTGATAGACAGATATTTTCAATTTTTACATTCTCACCAACCCAATAACTCTGTAATTCCCATCTTGCCGCCCTCATTTATTTATATCCACACGTGACGTCGAGGTGGGGTTTCCCCCGCGAGGCGGTGTGCAATATAAAACACCCCTCGTCTCCTTATCGGGTAGCTCAGTGTCAACGACCCCGCGTTGTGCCATACCTTACCACGTCAACAAATCCATATTTCTCTCCCTTTCCAACTACAACACAAAAATTCACCATGGCTTCCCAAGACGACCATGACACTCTCCCCGAGGAGACCGCGGGCTTCAAGGTCGGCCAGAAGAAGACGCTGAATGAGATCCAGAACATGGGTAAGTGGTTCCACCTATGTTTCTAGTACATCCCTCGATATTTGGGGTCCTGCACAGAGCCCTGAATTGAACACGATTCTTCCTGTGTATTCCAAGAGCTATCAGCCCTTTTATATTCGCAGAATGTAGCTATTTTACCCTTGTACAAGTTGTCATCCGTCCTACTACTAAGCTGTCCGCACGTGGTCTCAGTTTCCATGCTCTCGGCCCGCTACTGGCAGCCTTCCCTCAATTCTTCTCTATTATGCCAAATGCGTATATATACATACTAATAGCCTCTCAGATGCCGAGGATGAGTCCCTCCAACGCTACAAGGCCTCCCTTGGTCTCTCCACAGGCCCAACCATCTCCGATCCGTCCGACCCCCGCCAATGCATCATTCTCTCCTTGACGATGGATTCCGAGGGCCGCCCACCGGTCACAATTGATCTTTCCCAGAAGGGTGCTGAGTCTACCCTGAAGGACAAGCCGTTCAAGATCAAGGAGGGCTCCAAGTTCACCATGATTGCCAAGTTCAAGGTGCAACACGAGGTCCTGTCGGGTCTGCAGTATGTGCAGATTGTGAAGAGGAAGGGCATCAGGGTCAGCAAAGACCAAGAGATGATTGTGAGTAGACGCCAAGCAACCGATCAGACGACTCGACTCGAGTTCGCTCGCCAATACTGTGACGATTCTAATCGAGAAACAGGGAAGCTACCCACCTAATACCCAGGACAAGCAGTTCTACGAGAAGAGATGTGAGTACCCCTTACCATCGAGGGGTGATTTGTACGCCCATTATAACGCACAGGCTGACAATTGTGGATAGTTGCTGAGGAAGACGCACCATCCGGCATGCTTGCCAGAGGCCACTACACCGCCATTTCCACCTTTGTCGACGACGACAAGAACAAGCATCTGGAATTCGAGTGGAGCTTCGACATCGCTAAGGACTGGTGAACATAGCTTCAAACCTATCGTTCAATGACATGACAAAAAATAGGAAAGACAGATTGAAAGACGGCGCATAGATTCCAGAGATACGGCGGTTTCAAAAGATATAAGCGGGTGGATTTGGCTTTTGAGCGCTGAAGAGCTGGCATTTACTGTGGCGAGGCCGATTGGCTGATGCCATCACACAATACTGAATAAACTTATAAGAGAGTATGGAAATGGCTTTCATATGATTTATGTGCATGTACTTGTAATTGTGCCCCACGACTACCATCTGCGTGTTGCTTCCTATCACCTCCAATATGTTCCAAGCTGGGGTATCCTTCTCTTCCACCTGGCTTTCCTCTGATTCTTAATCGAGCGTATATCAACGCTCCCCCACCACTCCCACTGTTCTCCTTTCAACCATCTAGCCCATATATCCCCCTATAAAAAGTATTCCGGCAGTGCCCCCGGATCAATCGCCTTCGTCTCCGTATTCTGCTGCAAATCGTTCTCCGGCGCCGCCGCAAAGACATTGAAGTACCTCTCCCCCGTATCGCTAACCTCCAGCACACTCGCCATATTCCCACAGCGATAACAGTAATTCGGCGCGCTCCACACCGTGCTCAGCCGGTCATCATACAGCACCTGGTACCCCTCCTGGCACAGCTGGTGCGCGCGCAGGATATGCGACATCCCGTTCACCTCGAGGAACTTCTTGACGACCTGCGCGCCAAAGGTGTATCCCGCGCCTCGCGGAGACAAGCTGAACTCGTCGCGCTCGGGGTCCGGGTCGCTCCAGACGAGGTCGGCCATGGGCCCTTCGTGCGGGATCTCGCGGAAGCGGTCGATGATCTTTATTTGGTCGATGCTGTGGATGCTAGGGGAGAGGCCGCCGTGGACGCAGAAGATGTCGTTGTTGATTACGACGGAGAGGGTCAGGAAGTCGAACATGTCGGTGAAGTAGTGCCAGACGTTCGCGTTGCCGTATTTGCGTGAGCATTCGGTGTAGAAGCCGTAGGATTGCGTGACGCCGCGGGACTCGTGGTTGCCGCGGATGAGGTGGACGCGGGTGGGGTAGCGTAGCTTGAGGCAGACGAGGAGGGAGATGGTTTCGACGCTGAACATGCCGCGGTCTACATAGTCACCTGGGGGATGTTAGTATGGCTTTGATGGAAAGACGCCCGCGGAGCAGGGAGCATACCAAGAAATAGGTAGTTTGTATCGGGGCAATATCCTCCGATTTTGAAGATCTCTATCAGATCATAGAACTGGCCGTGTATATCGCCAACTACAGTAACTGGCGCCTGCACATGAACCACGTTACTCTCCTGCATAAGCAGCTCCTTCGTTTTGGCGCATATTGCCTCGATGACTGACTCCGCGAGGAGCTCCTTTTTGTATAGTCGTGATATGCATTCGTCTAAATCAACAGAAGCTGCAGGCAATAACACATTAGCCAGAGTCAAATTGAACCCACTTCCAAGGACCCTTACATGGAAGGCCGGGCATCTTCGCACCCCCCTCTGCTTAGGCGCTACGGCTGGAGGCGGTTATCTTCAGGAATTTATATGTGGAGGTTTCCGTTGCTGAGAACAACAACATCGTCGCATCAACTCCTAAATCATGTAGCAATGTATAGGCGGCTTGCAAAATAATTCATGACGCAAAGTCAAAGACCGACAGACTGGTGAGTGAACGGGTGTATGGTGCTCACAAATCAGTGGTGAAGACGTTGGCTGAAGCTCTGGTTGGTCGCGTTAGCCACTGAGATTGAAACAGGGCTCGGCGCCACATCTGACAATAAGGTGACCTATACGCACCCATCGCGCTGATACACGCACGCTGATTTTGTATGGGATGCACCGCCACATTTTGATAACGAGTTGGGGGCGAAGCTATCATTTAGTTTAGATCCACGCCCTGTTTGAAGCGAGTATACGCTAGATAGAAACAGGATTAGCGTCTATCGACTGTAGGAAAGTGACTGTCTCTCAACTTCTCCACAGTATATTGTTATTGACAACTTCACCCCCTTTCTTTGCTCCATTAGTCTTCACTTCAATCCGTTCATTTTCATCACAGATCCCTATGAGTTGACAATACCAAGCGTGCGGGATGGAAGAGATGCTTTTTTTGCTCGTCCTGGCTTGCTAGAACGACGACGGCTTATCACAAGTTTTTAACCCTTTTCTACTTCTGGAGAGCCTCGAGGATTTGATTTTCTCTTCTCAAAAACCTCCCACGGGCACATCTTGCCTGCATTACTTTGCTTTTCTACCTGTATCGATTGAAGTGTATTTATTGTGTTCTGGTGCTTTGTTTTGGTCGAATCAGGGTCATCACATGACAACGCTCATACGTTCGCCAAACCCTGAAGTTTTTGACATCGTCTGTCTTCGACATTGAGGCATTAAAGCCATTCTTCTTTTCTATCTCTTTGAGTCAGGCTGCTCATTGAAGCGCTGCATCATATCAGACTCGTATCAAAATGGCGGCTGAAGGCCCCCCATCTACGGATATGGGTAGCCAACAGGCACCAGCGAAAGGAAATGCCCCTACGTGTTACAATTGTGGGGATTCGGGGCATTACTTTGATGCATGCCCAGAACCGGCTCGAAAGATTCCAGTGTAAGCTTTTTCTCTTGTCTCTCGCTTTCCGGTTCTTGCTTTCCAAGATACTGATGTCAATCAGTGGACTAGCTGCTGCTCAAGCTGCCAAGGCCAACGCAGGGCCACAAAGCCACCATGGAGGCTATGGAGGCCAAGATCATAGATCTAAGCGCCAGAAAACTGGATCTGGCCCAGTGGTCACTAGATATCCAGTTCCAGGCCCAGTTGTGACCAAATTTGGTCCCCCACCAAACCAGCACCCACCATATGGGGGACCTCAAGGTTACAACGGAATGCCTCCCCAGCAATTCCCCCAAGGCCAGTATGGTCACCCACAGCAACAATTTGCCCCGCAGAATGGTTATCCCCCATACGGTTATCAGGGGCCTCCCATGCCTCAAGGATACAATCAATACGGCCATCATCCACCTGCGCCATACGGCCAAGGCTATGGACCAATGCCTCCACAAGGTCAAAGCTATAGCTATGGGCTACCAAGCGGCCCGTACTATGGGCAACCATACGGGTCACAAGTGCCATATGGGCCACCTGTTCCACAGCAGTACCCTCACCAAGCGCCGGTGCCATATCCTCCACAGCACTCTCAGGTTCCCTACCAGCAGCAGAATATGCAGCAACCGGCCGGCTACGGTCCACCGCAGCATGCGGGGCCTTATCAACCTGGACCATATCCTCAGGGTGGGCCCCACGCACCACCAAACCTTTATAATATGCCGCCACAACATCCACAAGCACATGCCCAAGGGCAGCCACCTGTGCCCTACCAGTCCTTCCAGGGACAGGGTACACAGGGATACAATGAGAACAATGGGCCTTACCCTAATCAACAATCCCAACAAGGGGTTCAAACTCCAGTTCCAATTCATGGCTCCCCGGCAGCGGGTGGCCCTTCAAACAATAGTGATCAAGGCAGTGCACAAGCAGGAAAATCTTCTGGGCAACCTGAGTCTGCCCACGATCGTCCCATCGATGATGGGGCTGCCATTAAAAACCAGCCTACGCATTCAACTAACTGTGCAGAGAGTACGGAAGGCAGCCTTAGCCACGATACGATAGATGAATTCGACATCGATTGGGAAGACTCGGTGTTCAACGACCTGCTTACGGTGGTTGCTATTGCGATTTTAACTCCTCTAAGCACACAACTTGATGAGGAGCCTTTGACCTCTGATGCCAGCGATGCTCCGATAAAGAGCAAATATGTGCGCCCCGGAAACCTCGAGGTATTCATATTGCCTATACAGAAGTCGCTGCACTGGGCAATCCTGCACACAGATCCAGCTCTGGCAAAGATTGATGAAGCATACCCTGCAGTGCCCTTCGAGATGTGGGAAGAGTATCGCGAGGAGCGAAAGAAGCGGAAGATGCTTGAGGCCCGCCTGCGAGACAATACATGGGATAATCAATTGCACGAGGACGTCCAAGTAGCCGCAGATGATCAATCGATGAGAGAAAGTTCCACTGAATCTATGGATCGCCAAGAGAGCAACCGCTCCGGAGTCAGACAGTTCTCTGCTGGTTCTCAGCGAGATTCAAGGTCCAGGTCCAGGACCCCGGGGTATAGCCGTCGAGGCACTCCGACTCTTGATGATGAGGATGAGCTGTGGGCTTCACGACCTGATGAAGCACCGGTTGAGACGGTTGCATACGTTGATCCAGCCGAGGCAGTGCTTGCGTCACTTGGTGTGACGGGCGCTCCAAAGCCAGTTTCTGTGAATACCGCAGTATATAATGATGGACAGAAGTAAGAACCACTGTCTCCCAAGAGATACTCTTGTACTGACTCTCTACAGGGAACCTTCCAGTCCACGGAGGCAGCAGATGAGACAGGATTCCGGGTATGCCAGTGCCCGACCGTCCATTGGCCGTCAAAGTTCATGGAACAATGGACCAGCCTTTCGACGACCATCCAAGCCGACACGCCATCGTTCGGGATATGACGGCTGCATCGATAGCCCAATATCTGAAGTTTCTATGCGAAGCCATAATTCCGAGCGTGATGTTAGCAAGCAAGGGTCAAAGAGCATGAGCCCCGTAGAAAGCCCGTTGTCGCCAACATCCGCGGCATTGGTTGGTGAAGCTCCTGCTTCTAATGAAGACCGTTATCGAAGCAGGGAGCCTTTACGACAAAACGACGATCAGTATGTCAAGAAACGGCCACAGCCAAAGGTTGCTGAAGCATACAGGTGAGTTATTTACGTATTTCGTGTTAAACGGCATGCTTATTCCTTACATAGCCGCCGATGGTAGATTCCTACCTTTTGCGCATCCGGCGAACGATCGCGCCATACTCGACTACACCTCCGTGGCTTATTCACTTCTCTAATTATAGGTTATTATTTATCGACACGACCGGACGACACAGCATTGGGTTGGGACAATGGAGTATATATGTAGAACTTTTGGTGGTTTTTTCCTTTTCCTCAGGGCCCTTCGAACTTTTACGTCTTGTCAGGCCCACTCAAAACATTCTCTTCTTTTTCCTCAATCTCTCTCCCAGACAAGTGCGAGGGTTAGAACAAACTTAACGTTTTAATGTGCAACTACTTCTTGGTCATGGAAATATTTCTTCGTTCAAATGATATTTTACTCGTGGGGCGGCGTTCGTGGGTTTCATAGGGGCGGATTGGGTCGTTGGAGGTGCTGGGGCAAAATCAACGATACTGTCATGAGGATCCAATGGTCCGCATTGTTATTAGTGTAAGAACAGGGGTTTCGTTTTCGGTCTATCAAAACAAGATAAAACAAATAAAATTAGCACGTTTCCAGCTTCATTCCTATGTCCATATTGCCCATTGTCATATCCTCGTTAGTTTTATGGGCTATAACCAGCAACTAGTCGTCGGGTTAGTATCTCTTAACTTGAGGGACAATTATTTTATGTGCCTCGGTATTCCCATCTCGTACCTCGGTCGCGGTGCCGTCAAGACTGCCTTTATGGTGCAGCACTTCGTGAGAGTCATTCTCATGGTCAACCCTGTCTTGATATCCCATAGTACTACATATGTTGTATCGAGTTTCTCTAAGCCCACTCTCATACGATAGCTCGTGACGGATGCTTCCATTTTCATTTCATTATATGTAGACCGATAAGCACCAATTCGAGCACGCCAAAAAACAAAAACTGTCGCACAAACTGTCACAAGAGAGGGATCGGGTATATGGGTTGCGTGGAAAGGTTCAACAATGATACCTATGCCACGTAGCCACACCGACTTAATGCGTGCTTCGGTTTGGTTTTTTCTCGCCAGCTTTTTTCATCGCTGTGCCTCTTTCCTGTCATCGCCGGTCGTTCTCGCCGCCACCGCTACCCTCCTGCCACAGAGCCCTTCTCGTCACCGCCTGGTCTCGTCACCACGACGCCCGTTCGAATTATAAGATGGCCTTTATATAGATCATATTTAACCTCCTCAAAGATTACCGTGAACTAGATAACTTCTAAGTAGTTCAAAGTCGCGTAGAAGTCCTCGATCTCTCTCCGCATTGGATCCGGAGCGTATTGTAGATATTAATCGAGCTTCTTCAAGAAGATCTAGGTGGTCGTATTGTGAGCCGAGCAACCGTAACAATCAATACATGTATCCAACTTATTATAAGTTTGCCTCACTTTAATAAATACGATGGATCATCATGGCCGTTGCACATTGTTCACTCTATGGTTTTTTACCCTGTTCTATAATATTTGAAGATTTCGTTGGGTCTCATCTATTTCCAATATCAACGCTTGATAAGCTGGTCACCCTCTGCCCCATCATCACTTTCTTCTTCACTTTCTCCATCATCTTCATCATCAGTCTCCTCTTCGCTCTCCTCTTCATCCTCCTCTTCGTCCGAACCCTCTTCCTCAGACCCCTCCTCCTCCTCCTCTTCTTCACTTTCCTCTTCCGCCAACCAATCATCCAGCGTCTTCGCCTTCTCCTTCCCCTTCCCTTCCCCCTCACTAACTCCGCCCCCATCACCATTCACTCCACTCCTCCCCACAACCGTCTTCCCGCTCCCTGCCGCCCGATCCAGCATTTCCCCAGCCGGCACAGACTTTGCACTGGCCTCACCATACGCCTTCTCCTCTTCCCATTCCCTGAGACTCGGATCCGGCTCCTGACCCGCCTTCACCCAATCCGGCAATCCTTCGTACCCCTTAATCCCCATCCCGCCCAAGCTATCTCCAATTACCAAACTTGCTGAGCCTAGCATAAACCCTTTCCTGCTCTCGCTTGGGCTCGGTACTTGCGGTACCAGTTTCGGGGCCAGGAGCATCAAGGTAGCAAGCTGTGTAGAGGAGGGAGTGGAGAGGAGGGAGCGGTAGAGGCGGAGACGGTCGCGGAGATCGTAGGATGTGTCGTATCGCGCGAGGAGGAATATGTAATTCCATAGTAAGACAATCGGATGCTCTTCGTCTGGGCTGGCAAAGTGTGGTTGCTTAAAGTCTTCTTGCTGGGAAGGCGACGCATCGTCACCTCCGTCAGGCCGAGACCCACTGTCGGTCGGCGCTGGTTCTGCGGAAGCTTGGAGTCGGTTGAGGTAGTGCAGGTATACCTTCGCAGCGAGCAATACAATCTGTAGCTTTGCAGGCTCAGCTTCGTCTGTGAAGTTCTTGGCTAGAATGCGTAACACATCAGGCGCAATGTTGTCTTCTTCACCTATCCCCGAGAATTCCCCCACAAGCCAGATGATGGTGGCGCGAGCCTTTGGGCTCGTGGTGGTATCTAGGCTCTTTGCTAATCGTATAACCGTCTTTATATGGGAGTCTGGGTCTTGTTGGATAAGATGGCGGATCACAGTCAGCGATTCCGCAACCAGGTTTCCATCTGGGCTGCTAATTTGCTTCAGCAAAAGTCTCATGCAGCGTCCCGACGTTTGCGCGTCCGACTGTGCACAACGTCCAATAGCACGAACGCTCTCACGGACCAGTGCTCGATCAGACCCCGATGCAAAGTGTTCAAGTTCGTTGAGTATGAGGCTCTTAATGTGGGTATCGCAATGCGGGAATATCAGGGTAAGCATTTCCAACTTAAGCTCCCAGACTTGTGCTGGGTCGGTAGTGCGAACCAGGAAATGGGAGGCAAAGCGGACGAAAGACTGTGGCTGTGAGATTGCAACTGAGACAATATTGTACAACGCAATATGTTGGATATCTTGGGGCCCACGGAGGAGGGCAACGAGAGGCCCAATCGTGGACTCGATATAAGAGGGTGTTCCGAGGTTGACGTATGCACGTGCGACAGCCACGACGACTGCTGAATTGCGGCTTTGTAGCAGAGGCTTGATACTCTTCAGAAGAAGTTCAAGGTCGGGATTTATCACAGCAACCTCCTCGGAGATTTCTTCTTCTGCTTGGTCTTCCTCGTCTTCATAAAACCCCTTAGTTCCATTCTTCTTCTTCACAGTTGTTGTCCTTCGCGGAAAGCATCGCCTTGCATAAATAGTCATCAGCTGCAATGTCGCCAGTTGACTCCATTCATCCATATCCACGAGTTTCTTCACAAGCCCTCTGTAATGCTTATGGATCAAATCGAGCCTCTCAGGGCAGATCTCCATAAAAGTCTTCACTGCCGCACCAGCCACGTAATATTGCTTGTCTCCCAACAAGGTCGACAGGTATCCTAGCAGCTGCGGCAACGTTCCCGGGTCCAGTCTGTAGCATTTCGGGATTGCCAGCGCAGCTGCTCTCCGTACGTGGGGGCTCATATCACCCAGTCCCTTCCGAATCGCCAGGGAAACAATCTGGCTGATCACTGGGACGCGAATCCCCGACATCGTTTTGAGGGCCATGGCCCGAACTTGGGGATTCCCATCAGATAGAGATTTCTGGATTGTGTTTATGGAGAGGAGGGCGAGGTCGGGCTCAGCTTCGGCGTGGCTTAGGAGATATATGTAGACCAGCTTTTTTATTTCGAGGTTTGGGGAGGCGACGTTTTTGACGACTGAGGAGAAAAATGGGAGACATGGTTGAGAGCGGTGCATCAACTAAATAGTATCAGTATATGCCATATTGTAGCTTCTTGGCTCAGAGAGCGGACGCGCTTGACCCAGTTGTTTTGGCGGCTGGGGGACAGCTATTATAAGGGACACATACAGTTATAACCTTCCTCAGTCCATCAAGGACCTCTCTTTCGTTCCTGCTATCAAGCAGCTTCCTAATCTGTGCCGTCGAGAGGCTCTTCTGAGTGGAGCGCGAGCTCCGTGCTGCCTGAGCCGCATCGATGGTTAGGTCTCGAGCTATTCCCTCGTCAGCATCATAGCCCGGAGGGTCATGGAATGGAAAAATGAAGAAAGACATTACTACATACCACTTTCCAGCAGGCTGGAGATCCGAGACAGCGACTCCATGCTTGGGACGGGGAGCACAAGGAAACGTGCAACTTGGAGCTGTAGTGGGGTTAAGCGACGGTGACGACAATGACGCTCGTGCACCGACGTTTGGGGGTCGGCAATTATTAATTCCTGAGAGCATGCGACACCGACGTCGAGTTCTGGGATTAATTAATATCTCCCATTGAGGTTCATGGTTACGACCATATATCTAAAGTCTGCTTTCCAAACCAGACGACCAACTAACAGCAGCCACTAACAAACTAACGGCGCGTTGACCGGTAGCCAGGAACCCGCGTCTGCCGGGCTGCAGTGACAGAGACAATTCAGCAATAGCGACAGCCACGATGACGGCCCCAACCTCTAGTCCTTGAGTCACTGCTCCCGTCTGGTGATGGGATAACTATGATCAAATGGCGCCGGCATCACCAATCGCCGTTCCTCCAGTTACGCCACGCGTTCTACTCGATTATATCCTGACCTCGACCTCATACCCCACGACCCTCCTCGTCTGCTCTCCGCGAGCAGCCTTCCTTTCGTCTCTACAGAACTCAGCATCTACCTCTTCGACATTACAATCCTCGACATCGACGCTCCACCTTCTTTCTCTCTCTCCGCACATACAAACCATATTCACACCCACGCTCTCCCACCTCCGCGCCTGGCTCTCTGTCGCAGACAGCAGCTGCGCCGCACCGGCCCCAGCTTCGGATCCAGTAAGCAAGGATGCAATAGATACCGTTAAGCATGGCAATGGGAGAAGCCAGCTGGTCGTTTTGGGTCTGGTGAATATGCACAAGGGAACAAGCGAATGGAGCGTGCAAGGCTTGAGTTCAACGGCAGCAGCATTGGTAGAAGCAGGACAACGGATGGGAAGGAAGGTTGTACTGGTTGAAGAAGCTGGGAGTGACGCGACCAGGGAGGGTGAAGACGATGAAGGCGAGCCTGTAGGGATTGAAGGCGTTGAGGCTGAAGGGGATTTGGAAGAAATACATGGCTTGAATGATAATGGCGAGCTGGTGGACGACCGCCCGGTTGAGGTTGAGCAGGTAATAAAACGGCAGTGGGGTATCTATCACAAGCGGTTACCGATGCTAAATGGTAGCTCCAAGACGGATGCCAATGACTTAGAGGCAGCGACTTGGAGTGGAAGGACAGTGGAAGTCGGCATTGTGCTGAAGCGGTGGTTTAGGTTCACAGGCGAAGATATGATACCATGAGGCCATGATTGCAAAGGATTTGGTGGCTTTGGCATGCACAGCTGGAGAGGCAGTACAGAGAATGGACGTGACATATTTGCTACACATACATCGAATACGTTGGAGGCCGACATATATTCACCGTCGGGCCGGAGTAGCAGCATAGCTAACCCGGTGTAATTTAGTCCTACGGGCCTGACAAATGCTACCAGTTGGCCCGGGGCATAGTTAGGACTATCATGCTGTGGACTCTGTCGAATGGGTGTCTACATTCCTCACTTGAATGTATGCTATGAACTCAATTTCATGTCCCAGTCTCCAATGAATGACATAATTCGGATAATGATTTGAATGCACTCTTGATGATATTTTGTACAATCGGCAACTCTCGCTACCACCCATCTATCACTCTTCTCTATCACTATCAAGCCATCATGATACACAAAATCCACCGCTCTTCCGCCTCTATTTATCTTGCTGGAACCCCGTTTATCAACTATTAACCAAAACCCGCTCAGCTTAACCAATGACCAGGTTGGTCTCGTCCGCGAAGTCGTACTCTGGAATCTCGAGGTTGAGTGGTGCAGGTCCCTTGCGAATACGGCCGGAGATATCGTAATGAGAACCGTGGCAAGGGCAGAACCATCCGCCGAAGTCACCAGCCTCACCAATGGGTACGCATCCCAAATGTGTGCAGACACCTAAACGCGTGCTGTTAGTATAGGTTCCTACAAAAAGTTGTCCCGAAAACAGGAAATTTCGGCATGTTGCGTCGTTGTTTGTACGTACCAATCATGACCAACCACTCTGGCTTCTTGACACGGTCGGCATCCTTTTGGGGGTCACGTAGCGACTCAATCTTGATATCCTCGGCCTCCTTAATCTCGTCGGCAGTACGGTGACGGATGAAGACTGGCTTTCCACGCCATTTGATGAGAACCTGGGTAGTATAGTCAGTCTCTGGGTCTCAATTCCGCTCATAAAGAAGGTACGTACGTTCTTGCCCTCTGGGATAGCAGCAAGGTCAACCTCGACCTTGGCCATGGCCAAGACATCGGCAGATGCGGACATGTTGACAAGGAAATCTGCAGCAACCTCAAGTCAGCAAATCATCCCAATTGGCTCCCATATTCCATATTCCGTCGTCCTTTAGCCTTCGCACAGCTTCTATATCCCCAATTGATCCCTTCCAACCCTCTTCAAAGATTCACGTACCCTGAACGGTAGACTTGGCACCCGCGGCGGTGATCGCGCCCATCGACCCAACCATGAAGTATTGGAACAGGAGGTTGCTGCTCTTGGCATTCTTGCTCCTGTATTTGCTGAAATCGGGGATCTGGCTGGTATTGGCCTTGCTGGCGCTGGCCTTGAAGGGGCTCTCGAAGGCCGGGGCGTTGACGCCGGACTCGCCCGAGGCATTTTTCTGCGTAGTCGTGCTGAGCGCGCGCACGCTGCCTACGGTGCGTGGGGCAGCACGCAACAGCGCCCGCGAGCTGTGGGTGAGAGATGCCATGTCGTAGGTGGGAGGTTGTGCGTGGACAGAGGAGACAAAGAGCGACGAATTGGATGGATGGGTGTTGTCGGATTGATTTTGAGGTTCGGCAAAGTCAAGGTCGTATAAGCCGCTCCTGATTGGCTCGTGCTATTTCTACTGGTACGCCACGTGACTCTCGGTCATTAATGGACCTCTCGTCATAAACATCTCGACAAACATGATTTGATCTGGGCTCAGGAACAGAAAATCTACGATTGGCCACGAAATGAGCAATTATGTGCCATGTCTCGTATGTCTCATGTTTGGGAGCATAAATCTGTGTGTAACTTTACTCAATACTGTTTTTTTTCCTGTGTTTCTTCATTGAGTTTATCACGTGTATTTTGTCACAGTTTAAGGCGTAAAATTGTTATTGGATGAAGCAATGAAGTGAAAAGTTTAAAGCATAGCGTATCAATTATCAGTTTGAGCGTGTTAGTGAATCATTTATATTGTATAATACTGTTTATTCAGAAGCAAGACTTCCAGAAATTGTTACTCCTTACGACCGCTTAAATTGGATTTGCACGTGATTTCACATTGCTGCTCAACTAGGATTAGCGTTATATACAGGTACATAAATTCCAATGTAGCCGGTGCGGGGTCGCCTAAAAATTGGGGAAAGCTCCCTGACAACTCTCATATTCCATGGTGCCGCTGTCCATAATTCTTCCTCGAATGACCCACCCCGTCACAGTGCTCTAAGGACGGCCTGAGAACGGCTTGTTGCTTTGGCTGCCGGAGAAACTATTCTATTAGAGCTTGTTACTGGGAATCTAACCTGCAGGCCACTAATTTTATTTCCCTTTAGATTAACAGCAAGGCTATTTTGTAGCTCTACCATCACCGCTGTTCCTAGCCGTATTTCTCCGCAAGTTAGAGCCGGAGATATTTACTAACAATGCAAGTAGGATGGATAAGGTTATAAACCAAGCACTGTGGACACTATGAAGCTTCTGCCAAGCAGTTTGTGAGCTCTAAAGTCTTATCAAAATGGTGAAACAAATAATTGGTTGCGTTGCTGCCTTCCTTGTCTCTGGATTCTTCTCCACAGCGACTGCCTCTGCTGTTCCTGATCCTCGTCATACGTGCCAGTATCCGACTAAAAATGCTCTCGAGGGATGTCCCAAGAATAGCATCCTCGTTGGACAGGACTCCTCGGTCGCCAAGTTCACATCCATTCAGAAAGCTATTTCATCGCTCCCAGATAATGACACCGCCTTCACTATTGTGGTTCTCTCAGGAAACTACACGGAGCAGTTGAATGTTACGCGCAAAGCTCCTATTACGATCATTGGGCAAACCCGTACTCCATTGGAACAATCAGAGAACACCGTGACTGTATACTGGTCATCCATCAATGGTGCTGGTTCGGGTCTCACCGACAATGCTTATACATCGGTCTTGACAGTCGCGCCGAATCTGAACGCCAGTCTCACAGGGTCTGGACCTACTGGGTTCCCCGTCCCTGCGGACACGCCATTTGGCAACAGCGATTTCCGTGTCTACAACATCGACTTCCGCAATGTCGCCACCGAAATAGGTGCAGGGCCATCTCTAGCAGTCAGTGTGAGCAGGGCCAACGCTGGTTTCTACTCTTGTGGCTTCTACAGCTACCAGGATACCGTCTATGTTGGCAAGCTCGGTAACGCCTATTTTTACAAGAACGAAATTGCCGGCCAGACTGATTTCCTCTATGGATTCGGAACGGCATGGCTTGAGCGCACGAATCTGGCACTGCGCAGATGTGGCGGTGGGATTATTGCGTGGAAAGGGACTAACACGACGTTTGCCAACCAGTACGGCTGTTACGTCTCGAACTCGTTTATCAACGCAGCAAATTCTTCCATTGCTCCGGCTATTGCTGGGAAATGCTCTCTCGGTAGGCCGTGGAATGCACAGCATCGCAGTGTTTATTTGAATACTTTCATGGACGCTTCGGTCTTGCCAGCTGGGTACACGAAATGGTCGAGTAATCCTTTGACGAACAACTATAACAATTATACCTTCATGGGGGAATATGGATCGTATGGTCCAGGCTTCAACTTGACTGCACGATTGGCTGGAAATGTCACCATTGTGCTGGATAAGAAGACGGCAAAGAAGTACCTCCATCCTCGGGATGTTTTTATCACTCACGAGGGCAAGCCTAATGTCAAATGGATTGACCCACGCTATCTATGAATTCGGCGCCAAGAGGAGTTCTTGGGTGGTATTCTGAGTTAGATAAGCAGATCTTAAGTAGAATAGATAAAATCAATGAGAAAATGGTGTTGGATTTGAGCTATCTGAGAATAATCCAAGTGTGCAATCGTGTAGTATCTAGCCATTCCAGTCACTGTGAATGGTACATTAATTATACTTTAACGAAGCTACCCTTTCTCATATCTCCCCGAAAGTCTTGGCCCTTTGAGTAAGTGGGCCAACTACTGTCCATAGTCTGACCCATCATATGCACAGCCAGCCTGCGGTTAAGTACGCTGATATTACAAGTAAGGCACGGCATTTTACTGGTTGTACACACTTGTACACTACAGAACTAAGCAATACACCCCTGAGACATGTCAAGCTGGACGAATTCCATAAATAGCTTTACAGTTTTGGCTAAATAGAGAAAATGACAACTCTAATATTCCACCCCCACCCAAATACCTACGGCAGAAATATTATCCTTCACTCTTTTCTATCTCATTAAGCAGCAGCAGTGCAGTTCAAACCAAGCTCTGCCACGTTAATCTGTCATTTTAGTTAGCATAATTCTGTCATATCAGGGAACTGCAAAACTTACGTTAGAGCATTTAGCCTGGCTCTTGCCACTGGGAGCCTTGACCTGGAAGTTCTCGGTGCGGATGTTCTCACACGCCTCTGGAGACGGGCAAGCAACAGTGGCGACATAGGGGTCGTACTTCTTGTTGGAGACGCCGGTGAAGTCCTTGAAAAGGACATCTGAGATGTGGAATTTCGGGGGGCGGGCAGCACAGGCCGCGGCATCCTTGACGGTGTAGCAGCCCGTAACCTCAATCGGCCAGTCTACATTCTGCACGTCGTACTTGTCATAGACGACGTTCTTGACGTAGCCGCTGCCACCACCGGAGTTCATGGTCACGTTGTCGGGGGCGCCGGGAAAGACCTTGATGCGGGCTCCGTCGCCGGCGTTGGACATGCTGGTGTTGTAGACGAGGACGTCCTCGACGATATCAACGACGCCAACGTATTGACCCAGAGAGCCAACGGAGATGCCGTGAGATCCGTTGCAGCGGAGGTTCTGGACGAGGATCTGGGTGCTGTTTGGCTTGAACGAAACACAATCATCGGTATTATCAATGATTGAGTTCTGGATAACGATGCTGGAAGAACGGTAGGTGTCCCAGCCGTCGGTGTTCTTGGCTGGGTTGCCGACAGCGGCAACCTTCAGGTTCATGTTATCAATAACGATGTTGGTGGAGTTTGCGACCAGGTTGAACCAGTTGGGCGGGTTCACCATGTTGAGGTTGGACATGGTGCCACCCTCCAGGCCGTCAATGACGAATAGGAGAGGCCTCTTGGCAGTTGGCTCCTTGACAAATAAATCATACCAGACCTGCCCTTTTCCATCGATCACGCCGCCGCCAAAGATGTTGACATCCTTGCCGCCAACAGCGAAAAATGCGCTGGAGTCTTGGAACTTGTACTTCAACGAATTGGCTTGCCAGTAATTGGTATCCGTGGTAAACGTCAAAGTTCCTTGGATATCTGATAACAGTTAGAAGCTGACGCTATGATTTCAGAGAAGGATACGTACCCCAGTCGACATGCTTCAAAAATGTCAGGTCCATGACCGTGCCAATGGTGTAGGTAACGCCTTTATCAAGGACGACATGACCGCCATTGTTGCATTCATGGAATGACTTCAAGAGAGCCGCAGAGTCATCTGCAGTACCGCCCTTGACATGGCAAGTCTTGTGTCTCGGAGGCGAATTCCTGGGCAGCTTCGTCTTCAAAGTCTTAGGACCAACATGGATTTGAGGACGGGTTTTCGGGACGCCTGGGACGCCGGGGTGATTGGATGCCGGCACTGTCAACGCATCGACAGCGAGAAGCTGGAGGGCCAAAGTAAGAACGTAAGAGAGCTGCATGATTGACACGTGATTATCGAATTCGATGTGGATGCAGGCATATTGATTTGCGGAGCTCTTCTATATAAATATCTACGCCTCAATTGAGGGGAACTGTGCAATCTCTCGTCCAGACTTGGCTCTATCCAACAATACAAGAATAGGAGAATATTTACTCCGTGAGAAGAACGCGCTTCTGCACCTCGTCCCGTTTGAGCAAAGATGTTCCGACGTCAATCATCAGATAGAAATGCTAGGACCCTGGTCTCGTTTACATTGGCGTCTGGGGTTTTCGGCTCGGGCACGAGGTGATCGACCGCGAGCCGGTTCTGTTAGATCCAAGGGTATCCTTGGTTGGTGGGTTTAAATTTCCCCAACGCCTCCATATCAGCCATTTTTTTAGAGTAGCAAGGAGTCCACGAGCTTCGTATAAAAAATGTGTTTATGACGAGGTGTCGTTAAAATAGGTTGTAGGAGCTTCCATTTACCCGGATGTTCCCGTCCCCCAGTATGCATGGGGTCAATTTACCCAGAGGCGTCCGGCAGGCATGTTCATTTACCCAAAAGCCACCGGTATGCGTGTTCATTTATCCAAAGGTTTAGCCACGCTGGGTCGTCCGAGGTTCATTGCCCATTGGCTCGAAAATACATGTCAATCGCGACGAAATCAAACTCCCTTGCTGGTGCCGCGCCATACAAGCAGATCAGAAGGAAGTGCCTCTCGCTCAAGCATTTTGTTCCCCCGCACATCAATGCATGGCTAGGGCTGAGTGGGGTACTGCAACCTTACCAAGCCACAGGTACCGACGGGTGGGGAAGATTGCGGAGTAGCCGTGGTAGCCGTGGTAGCCGTAGAGCTGGGGTTCTCATCAGTTCTTACTTTACAACTCTTCGTATCTCGGTTAGCAGCAACATTACAGTGGCTTTCTCATTAGAGCAAGTTATGAAGTGTCAAAATATTTGATTCTCCGTCTGAATAAGGTTTTCCCGGCCTATTTACCCGCCTGTCACTTCCTTCCCGACTACAATCCACCAACCATGTGCTGTGGACCTTTGTTCGCATCTCATTCAGCTCATCCTGAAGCCCCTGAGCTACAGGTTATCCCAGCGCTGCTACTGACACCATTGCAGAGGTTCTTGGCCGTGCCGCTCGGTGGGTTCACGGCGTAGTTGGTGAAGTGAATATCACAGGATCCCGTGAGCTTGCAGTTAAGGTTTGACACCACTGGCGCATACTTGGAGTTGGTCGTGCCCTTGAAATTCTTGAAGTTGATCCCCGTCAAGCTTGCTGATGCCGGGTTCGCAGCGCAGTCCGCATCAGACGACGCGCCGTAGCAGGTTTGGATTTGAGCAGCATACTCGCATCCGTTGACAGTGACCCCGTCATACGTGACGTTGGAGACGGTGGAAGAACCGTGGCTGGATCCGCCGTTGTACAGCTTAATGCCTACTGCCTTGGTGCAGTCGTTCATTATGGCGTTTGTGACATATACGTTCTTGACAGTATCCGCGTTGGTTTTACCAAGAGATCCGACAGAGAGGCCGTGACTAGCACCAGAGCATGTGACGCCATCGACAGTCACGTAGTTGCAGCCGCCCTTGAAAGCAATGCAGTCATCGTAGTTGGTGATTTTCACATCTTTGATGGTGGTGTAGGTGCTCTCTCCAACGTCAAATCCGTCGGTGTTCTTGGGAAGGTTGGTGGACTTGGACGCGGCATCCATGGTCAGGCTTGCGTAGTTCATGTTGGTTGCGGCACCCTTCTGGTTGATGAAGACGTTAGGGGGGTTCTTGATTCTGAACCCCGAGGCGACGAGGTTGGAACCACCCAGAACATTTAGCACGGTTGGTCGTTTAAGTGATGAATCTACTGCGAAAATATCATAGGCGTTTTGGCCGTTCCCATCAATGACGCCGGTACCAGTGAGTGAGCGGAATTTGGCTCCATTGATGTTTTTCATCAAGATAATTGCTTCCTGGGTGGCCCAGTACGTGGTATCACTGGATACTTTCAACAAAGCTTCAAACTGGAAATCGCAGTTTGTGCAACCAGTGAAATCCAGCATAGTCCGGATGCTGTAGGTCTTGCCAGCTGGAAGGACAATTGTGCCTCCATTGCCACATGAAGTTATAGCTGCTTTGATGGCTGGAGTATCATCCTTCGAAGTGTCGTCAAGACTGGCTGGAGTGCATGTAGCCCGCTTTGCATGGGCCACGCGGTCTGGCACGAGCCCATCTGCGGGTGCAGCAAAGGTAGAAGTAGCCCCAAGGGCAACAAGAAGCAGATTGAGTGAGAGAGCCAACATGATGAACAGTGGGGAGCAAAGAGTCTGGAACGAAAATCAGAGAAAGGGAGGTCGCCGGCAGCAGCTATATACACCCTTGTTATGCCATGCCGTACGGTAAAACTAACGTGCCAGTGAATTGATAGCCGTTGAAGACTGATCATGTGAAGATCGGCATATAGTGCTGTCAGTTCATTTAAGAAATTTTAGAGTTCCTCCTTGGTGGAATATCCCTGTATTTGAAACGTATCGGTGAAATATAACAACACTATAATAACTGGGTATATGATATTATCTTTTGTATGTATAATAAACATAGGTGCCCTCGAGAAAAAACTAGTCGAGCAACTCAACCATCTTAAAAATCTTGTCGTCTATCATCATGAAGTTTACCCTCCTTGTTTCAGGAGCCTTGGCTCTTCTGGGGATCGGCGAGGCGATGGCCGCCCCGAGCCCTGCACTGGTCAAAAGAACGGCCCGCACAAGCACCCCTACCGGATGCTTGACGGTTCGGGGATCAGGGACTAAGAGTGGTGAGTATTCAACCATGACCGCTGCTCTTGCTGCCTTGGGTTCCGGATCTGCATCTGCATGCATCTTCGTGTACAGCGGTACATATAACGAAGCATTCCGCATCGCATACAATGGTCCATTGATTCTGTATGGTTATACTGCCGAGTGAGTTATATCATCTATTCACCTTGCAGTTTCTAACCTTCTCATAGTACCGGCACATACAAGTCCAATGTAGTCACCTTCCAGCGTAGTATGAGTTCGACGGATGCTGGCAACCTTGATGCCTCTTCAGTGGCCAACATTGTAAGCGCCAACTTCAAGGCCTACAACATCAACTTCAAGAACACCTATGGCTCCGGGTCCCAAGCCGTTGCTGTAACAGCCAATGGCGACAAGCAGGGCTTCTACGGGTGCGGATTCTACGGTTATCAGGATACTCTCTATGCCAAAAATGGCAAGCAGTACTATTCCAATTGCTACATGGAGGGGGCCGTTGATTATATCTTTGGAAACGCTGCTGCTTGGTTTGGCGAATGCACTATTGCAAGCAATGGCGGCGGCGCCATCACTGCTACTTCACGAGAAGATCCAGCTGATGCTTCCCGCTACGTCTTCGACCACAGCACTGTAGGTTCCTCAAGTCGCACAGTAACTGCGTCGGTCCAGTTTCTAACATATAACAGGTTACCGCTGCCTCTGGGGCTAGTGTCGTTGGGAAGGTGTACCTCGGCCGACCGTGGAGAGTTTTGTCTCGCGTCATGTTCCAAAACTCTGTGCTAACAAACGTCGTGAATGCAAAGGGCTGGACTACCATGGCGGACGGAGCGACCCCGTAAGTAGCTGTCCATCTTCATACCAAAATACAGAACTAACAAAAAGACAGGATCTATACCGAGTACAACAACAGTGGTGCGGGAAGCGATACCTCGTCTAGACAATTTTTGACCGCGTCCTCGGCTGCGATTAGCAAAGAGACTGTGTGGGGCAGCGATTGGAAAACTTGGGTCGACACATCCTACTAGGAGCCTTGCTACCAGTTCGAAGTTTCCCCGCGGGGTGGAGTGGGATGTAGTGGGGATGATGATGGGGTAGGATATCTGAGGGTAAAAATGTGAAATAGTCCGTCCTTCGTTGGGATCCACTACCCCGGGTTTACGATTTTTTTACTTCTTGTCTATAGCCTACTTGTTTATAGTCTTGATCTTGAAATCAAATCAAATTCAGTGAAATAGGTCCCAGTTTCATTAATAAGGAAAGAGCTTCAAATTTTACTGATGTAGGCCAGAAGCCTCTAACATCGGCTGCACGGCGATACGGTCAGTCTATGCACAGCTAATATAAGAGGAGCACCTAGTCTTACCGCTCCCGAGAACCACGAGTTCCGTTCCACATCACGGCTACACTTCCCCGCGACTTTTGATGACAGCACATGGTCCATAGATCCGTGTTCCTCATAGAGTAATTACTATGAAGTAGTAGGGAAGCGTCGTCAGATCCTCCACGGCCCTTGTTCGTTACGGATACTCTTTAGGATATGTCGGCGTTCGTCGGCTCCTCTCCGCCCGAGTATTGAACTGTAAGACCAATGGTACCCTAGGTATTTTAAGAATAAGGCCCACTTGGCACGCCGGGTAAAGGGAAATCAGACCAACGTTTAACCGGACCTGGGGTTTTCGACTTTATCCACTAACATGTGTTGAAACTGTGGCGACAGTCTCCAGTCCCCACGATTACAGTCCGTTCGTATGGTGGATTATTCTCCAGGTTTTGAATCCCTATCACGCTTAAATTTCCCGTCATGGCACAAGACCCAATGTCTTGGGCCAGTAATGTCGCGTGGAGAATGGATATGGAATTTAGTTTTTCCATCTGTAATCGCAGTTGGTGCTTTCGGTGGACGGGATGTAGTAAAGGGGGCCCAGCGTATCAATGAGAGCTTCCTATAAGAATGTAGGCCCATGACATTTTATAGGAATCAGCTTGGCTCTTTCCAACAACTCCGCGGATACTGCTCATTAATACCGCCTTTGAAAATGGTTTTCTTCAAGACTACAAAGAAGAGATGGTACAATTGGTAGGCAATTCTCACTCCACGAGCCGTGACCACACACGCTAATCCTATCCGCTTCAGGTACATCTCGCTCGTTGCCGCAGCATGCATGGTGCTGTACGGTTATGATGCGTCGACCTATAATGGTAAGTTTGATATGTCAGGAACGTTATAAACTATAATTATGTTAACACGAATAGCCTGCCAGAACTCCCCTCATTGGGTGGATTACTTCGACAACCCCGTAAGTATAAATCTTGCCCCTATCTAGACTCATGCTGATCACGTGATTATACAGAATTCCTACACTCTCGGTCTCATTAATACGTCCTACAATATTGGCGGCATCGTTTCTGGTTTCTTTTTCGGCGGGCCAATTGTATGTTGACCTCCAGTCATTGTGATAAAGTGTGGCAACTGACAGCTCTAAAGGCCGATAGATTCGGGCGAAGATGGGGAATGGGAATTGGTTGCTTCATGACCATCATCGCTACTTTCATGCAAACATTTGCACCTGAGCATAATGTTGGTGTCTTTATCGCCGGTCGTGTCATTATTGGACTTGGCCAGGGTATTGCATTGAGTATGTGCTCCCATTTTTGCCTGCCCCAATCATGACAATCAAAGAGCTATAGCTGACCGGCATACCCATAGCTTCTGGACCAATTTACATCGGAGAGTTGGCCCCTACCGAGATTCGTGGCCAAATCATGGGCTTCTGGCAGTTGTTCTACTCTGTGGGATCCTTCATTGCATACTGGATTGCATACGCCACTGGACTTCATTCCGAGGCCTTGGGCCAATGGGACTGGAAGTTGGTCATCATCTTCCAGATTATGGTCCCTGCAATCATCTGCGTTCTCTTGCCATTCATTCCAGAGACGCCCAGATGGTACATTCAAAAAGGCAGAATTGAAGAAGCAAGGGCATCGCTCATGAAGATTCGTGACACACCTGAAGAAGTCGAAGAGGAGATCTTGATGATTCGCGAGGCAATGGCATACGAAAACGAAATGAACAGTGGCAACCAGGGTCTATCCCAGTACAAGGCTTTGCTTACGGACAGGTCTGTTCGTAAGCGTCTTTGGATTGCCTTCATTATCAACGGCGGGCAGCAGCTCACTGGCCAAGGCAGTCTCAACTCATACTCGTCGCAGATCTACAAGGGAATCTACAAGGATAAGCACACCATCGATTTGATCAATGCCATCAACGGAACTTGCGGTATTCTGTTCACATTGAACGCTGTCTGGACTGTCGATCGATACGGCCGAAAGTTCCTCTTCATCGTAGGAGGAATCGGAATGGCAGTCTGCATGATCGCTTTTGCATCCGTCGGCATCGCCACCCCTGACACCTTCTACCTGTCCAAAGGAAAGGAAGTTCTCACCAAAGAGCAGCCCGTCGGCATTGCCCTCACGTTCTTGCTCTTCCTCTTCATCTTCTTCTACAAGCCAACTTGGGGTGCAACCACCTGGATTTGGACCGCTGAAGTCTTCTCGATGAACGTCCGCGCCCAAGCTGTCGGCATGTGCTCGCAGTGGCAGAACGTCTCCAACCTGATCTTTAACCAGTTCTTCCCAGTCTTCCTAGCCAAGGCTAGTTTGTAAGTCTCTCAACCTCCTTGCTGATTTCCATAGCTAACTTGTCGCAGCTACACCTTCTACTTCTTTGGTGGGATCAACGTTATGCTTGCCATATTTGTCTTGTTCATCGTCCCAGAGACGAGGAACGTCATGCTGGAGGAGATGGACACTCTCTTCGGTGGACCTAACCATATCGAGAAGGGAGGAGCCCAGCTCTTTGAAAATGGTGACGACAAGGTTGGTACTACTGCAAACACGGAGCTCAAGAACATCGCTGTGGAGGAAGAGCATGCGCCCGCTGTTGCTGGGTCAAAGGTTTAGTGGTTGTCTGGTTGGAAACTCTGTGTCGTTTGACATGTGAGTGGTACATCATGGCGAGGAAGAGGAGCCTTTCTAGAGGCCGGTTCTATACAGCAACATAAACCACAATATTAGCGAGCTAGTCTCTAATATATTTTAATTGATTGCTGGAACAATAACTGCGTACGCAATTTATATGGTTTATTTGTTTGAATGTGACTATGAGTGCATCGGGGTCTGGCGTCTCTGAGTATGAGTATTCAACGCCCAGAATATTCGGTTTTAAAGCTATGCTACCCACGCCCATCCCATCGTTGTGATATTGCCCCTGTAATAGTTCTCATGCTCCATCTAGGCTTGGAAATACGATTGTGAAGAAAGGAATGTGCTAAAATCTGCTGCCGTTGTATAGATCTCCCAAATGACTTGCAACGCTTGTCGTCAACAATACAAGTAAATTAACACTACTCATGCTTTCCAAGATATCAGAGAACAGATTATATACGTCTGGGGATCGATAACTGCAACTAAAGTCAATAGAACTTTTCCCCTGTTTAATTTTCCCGTAGCTAATCTTCTGGTTTTTTTTTATGTATAATAATATTTAATTATCAAGGTATTTTATTGATAGTTGCTATAATTTTCAACAACAATAATATAGTCTACAGACTACTTTTAGTCCCCTAGAAACTATTATAGATATTGTATATCTTAGGCTTTGAGGCAGCATTAATAATCTACAGTGTTTAAGTTTTTATATCCGTGTAGTATGCATTCAACTGTCGAGAGTACTCGAGCAACACTGGTGGCGTATAATACCGTGACAATTACCATCGGATCAGTCATCACTCACAGCTTCCGTAGAGGTTAAAGGCTTGCATGTCATTATTTTACGAGTCTTTGTTTATTTAACAATCAACAAGATAGTGGTCGGTGTCAATCATCCCCATTGTTGCTCCACTGCTCAGGGTCTAACTTAATCACTGCACTGCTCAGGGTCGAGCTTAATCACTCACGAATTCCATAATCTTGAAAACGCTTGCTTGATATTCATGTCCATTATTTTACAAGCTTCGTCTATTTAACAATACACACGCCTAATGGCCGTGTCCATCATCGCCGTCGCCACGCTGTTCAGGATCCAATTTTATCATCGTATCTATGCGCATGATCGATATGCACGCCTCGACCGCCGACTTCAATTGCCTGATCTTGCTCATGCTTGGCTCAAGCACGCCAGCCTTGATCTCATCGACCACCTTGCCCTTCGTCAGGTCCAACCCGTAGTTCTTGTAGTTCTTCTTCTTCGCAATGCTCTTCTCGTCCTCATTCGCATCTCCGTCCTTGATGCGCTGGGATAAGGCGTGGCGGGAACGGAGCTGTGCAACGAGTTCTGAGGAGTCCTTTGCAGCGTTGACAGCAAGGGTCTTGGGAATGATGAGGAGAGCCTGGGCGAATTCGCCAATGGCGAGCTGCTCGCGGGAACCAACGGTGCCGGCGAACTCCTCCAGGTAGATGTGGAGAGCTGTCTCGACGGCGCCGCCACCTGGGACGATGGAGCCACTTTCGAGGGTACGCTTGACAGCGCAGAGGGAGTCGTGGACGGATCTCTCCATCTCGTCCAGCTGGAAGTCGTTCGCACCGCGGAGAATGATGGACGCAGAGGTGTGGACCTTGGTGCCCTTGACCAAGATGCACTCGTCGTCTGAAATTCTCTCCTGGACAACCTCCTCGGCGTAACCCAACGACGAAGCCTCGAACTTCTCGTCACCGTTAAGGTCGGATAGCGAGGAGACGAGGGTAGCACCGGTGGCTTTGGCGATTCTGCGAAGATCCTCCTTCTTACAGCGGCGGACAGCCATGGCACCCTTCTCGATGAAGAGCTTGAGGACCAAGTCATCAATTCCCTTGGTGGTGAAGATGACGTTTGCTCCGGACTTCAGGATCATCTCAACTCTGTCCATAACGATACCTGACTCGCGCTGTCTGATTTGCTCAAGCTGTTGCGGGTCGTCGATTGTGATGTGAACTCCCAACTTCATTCTCTCCTTTTGTAGGTTCATGTCTAAAACGGCGATCTTGGCATCCTTGACATGGGTAGTCATTGCCTGCGAAGCGACAGTGCAGTTAAGCGCGTATCCCTTCACCAGAATAGACTCCAATGCCCCCTTTCCGTGAGCCTTGAGGATATTGACTGCCTTGACTGGGTATTTCGTCTCATTTCTGTTGTTTGTCGACTTGACTGCCTGCATAGCATCCACAACCATGTTCGCAAAGAAGTCGGAGTCAGATCCGATAATTTTGCTGGACATCGAGGTTTTGGCGATGTTGATGAGCGATTCCCGTCCGAGGTTGTCGACCTTCACGCTGATGTTCTCGTGCATGTATTTGACGGCTTCGCGGAGGGCAAGGCGGTAACCTGTGATGATTGTGGTTGGGTGTATGCGGTTCTTCATAAGGTCGTTTCCTCGTCGGAGGAGCTCTGCTGCTATTATGACAACGGAAGTCGTTCCATCTCCAACCTCCTTATCTTGCTGTTGTGCCAGCTCCACCAAGATTTTTCCGGCCGGGTGTTCGACATCTAATAGAGACAGGATGGTAGCTCCGTCGTTTGTAACCGTAACGTCCTGTAGGAAAACGTCAATAGGGGAAATAGGGATAGATGTGGCATCGTGCGTACTCCTATGTCATCCACCATCATCTTGTCTAAGCCACTGGGGCCAAACGAACTCTTCACTACATTGGCAATGGCTTGAGTAGCGAGAACTAAGAACTTGTCAGTATGTATGTCTGTTGCTGGGGTGTATAATCTGCCATACCATTCTGATCACGAATATCTGATCCGCTGATCTTTGTTCCTCCCAGGACTAAACATTTATCAGTCCATATTGGTTAATATAAGCAGTTGGATTTCATACAAAGCGTTCCCGCATTCCTAGGCTGTTCGAATAATCCAGACATGATGGCGTATATGGGTCTGTAGCAACACTTTACTGCAGCTATCTCAACCTCACACACCGTCGCGAAAATGTTCAGAGACGCGGCGAAGCTTGGACGCTAGCAACAACAAGGTTAGCGCCAAAAGTGCTGGGGTGGTGTCGGCTAAACCGCGCTAATGGTGGGGGGACAGCGCGGGAGGTCACTCGGACTTCAGGGTTCACACACCGAATGAGTCGAGAACAATATTTTGTTGTCCACCTGACAACTCGACACTGATAAGAACTTCAACCCCCAAATTCAAGCCATATATACATCTACAGACGCCGAATACAATATCTACTGTGATATACAGTGAGAATGGCCTCGAAGGGCCCAGAAGCTCCTGCAGCGCAACAAATTATCGACAATGCGGCGAACAAGATTTCAGAGGCGGTAGGAGGGGTTCCAGCAGTGCAACAAGTTGTCGGCAATGGCACAAGCAAGCCTGCAGAGGGCGCAAGCGGAGCCCCATCAGAGACGTCCAAGAGCGCACTTAAAAAGGCAGAAAAGCAGGCGAAGATGGCCGCAGATAAGGCGGCGAAGGCTGCTAAGAACGCGCTTGTAGTTGGGCAGGGCAAGAAGACAGACGATATCATTGGAATAACCGTATCCAAGGAGGAGGACTTTTCTGCATGGTATCAAGAGGTTGTTGTCAAGTCGGAGATGATTGAATACTATCAAGAGATTGCGGGGTTCTTTATTCTGCGCCCAAGGTCCATGTTCATTTGGAACACCATCAAGAAATGGTTTACTGCAGAGATTGAGGAGCTAGGCGTGGAGGAAGCCAGTTTCCCTATGTTCTTGTCGCAGAGGGCGATCGAGAGAGAGAAGAAGCACGTGGAGGGTTTCGCACCCGAACTTGCTTGGGTTACCAAAGCGTCAGTTACCCCGCTTCTCCCCCTTCACCCTCAAGCACATTTCGGCTGCTAACAGTTCAACAGAGGCGACAAAGACCTTGAGGCTCCAGTTGCTGTCCGTCCCACTTCCGAAGTTATCCTGTACCCATTCTACGCGAAGTGGATCCGAAGCCATCGCGACCTTCCCCTCCGCCTTAATCAATGGAATACCGTCGTCAGATGGGAGGCTAAGCAGACCACTCCATTCCTCCGAGCACGTGAGTTTGAATGGCAGGAAGGACACACCGCATCCGTGTCAGAGGAACTGGCTGGAAAGGAGGTTCTCCAGATATTGGAGTTGTATGCCAAGGTTTATGAAGATCTGTTGGCTGTCCCGGTCGTTCGTGGGAGAAAGACGGAGAAAGAGAAGTTTGCTGGAGGATACTATACCACGACTGTTGAAGGATATATCCCATCCAATGGCCGCGGAATTCAAGGCGCCACGTCCCATTGCCTGGGCCAGAATTTTAGCAAGATGTTCGACATTACGATTGAAGATCCAAACCCAAAGGCTGGAGAGAAACCCGGCCATATGCACGTCTGGCAAAACTCCTGGGGCATGTCGACTCGTGTCATTGGTGTCATGGTTATGATCCATGGTGATAACAAGGGCCTAGTCCTCCCACCAAGGATTGCGCGCGACCAGGTCGTCATTATCCCAGTCGGAATCAACAAGAGCACGACTGCAGAAGATAAGGAGCGCCATTATGATCAATTGCAGGCCATGAAGGCTACGTTGAAGAAGGTTGGTGTTCGTGCTGATTACGATATCCGCGATGGTTATACCCCAGCTTGGAAGTTCAACGACCACGAGCTCAAGGGTGTCCCTCTGAGACTTGAGTATGGTCCAAAGGACGCAGCCAAGAATGTCGTGAGCTACGCTCGCCGTGACACTGGAGAAAAAGGAACTATTGCCATTGCCAACCTCGCGACTGAGGTCGCTGAGCTCCTTGAGACCATTCAGAAAGACATGTATACCAAAGCCGAAGCTAATTTCCGGGCCCACCGTATCACTGTCACCAAGTGGGACGATGTTATCCCCGCCCTTGATGCCAAGAACGTTGTTTTAATCCCTTACTGTTTGGCCGAGAAGTGCGAAGATAAGATCAAGGAATTGACCACTGTCGATGACTCCGCCCACGAGGGTCCCCTTGAGAAGAAGGCCCCAAGTATGGGCATGAAGAGTCTCTGCATTCCCTTCGAACAGCCAGAAGGTATCGTGAAGGGTGAAACCAAGTGCTTGAACCCTGAGTGCGGAGCATTCGCTGAGAAGTGGTGTATGTTCGGAAGAAGTTACTGATGGGGCTCATTATAAATGATCACAAATGAAAACTTCAAAGCCTTGCCTCATTTATTAGTTATTCCCACATGCTTGGAGCCACCATCAGGCCTGTGAATTTGCATAACTGATCCCCAACCAGAGCTTGGCTCTTGCATTTCATGTTCTAGCTATTTGAAATGTACGAATGCCTCTCTATTACCGCTCGTACATATAACTCCATGGCATTGTGATCATCAAGTCCCATAGCATAACTAAAGTCGCCAACAACCAAGCATTATGGTAGATCCAGAATGCAATTGAACATGTGACCCCTGGGGCAATGATAGATATACGTTTTAGTTTTTTGCTTGGCAGTCTCTTATACTTCCAACGACAAGAGTCGGAAAACCAACCATAGCTTCCAATTGCTGAATCATGGCCTAACGTAGATAAGTTGGTAGCGCCATTTCAACAATACCAGAAAAATACCCATTGGCATAATAAAGGTTATTTCTACTCTTCAAGGGACGGAGCTTTGTCGTCTAAGATGCGACGATTACAAGGATCTAGTTTACCCCTGAAGGGGTATCGGATCCCAACCTGAACCTAACCGACAAACCCACAGCGACAACAGTCGTCTCATCGCGGGCCAGAACCGCCCAAGCTCAAAACGCAGAATGTTCCAACAGGGTAAACTGCAAGTAACTTTCATCTGGTCTTGTAATTTTCCTCTTGCAATTGTCTGACCAAGCGCTTACCACAGAATGATCCAATCGCAATGGGCGCGCTCTATTTAGGCTACCATGCCACCCGCGCCGTAGACTTGAGACGTCTCCAACGTGAGACTGGAGATCCACTGCTGCGTCCGATGTCTGCACAACCCATGCCTGTGGATACCCTTGGGGCTCTGTTTGACTTTGCCATGTTACCTCGTCTACCCATGAGAATACGAACCCCCACGGGGCAGACATAGAAGCTGATTGGGTTGATCCTCCGGGGCATCTCCTACCGCTCTATCAAATCTAGTAAAGGTTCCATTCTGAAATTCCGGAGAGTTTCTGTTAAGTGTCCGGGATATCTAGAGCCGCCTATCCGTTCCCTGCTCAGTATCAGGGAAATGATAGTTGCGTATGCTTGGCAACGCCTCCTGGAATTGTTCCATGAGGGCACACATATAAGACCTAGGTCTCCTCCGATGCTGTTTGCCTCTTCATTCGCATCTTCTTTTCATTTTCTGTACTCATCGACAGTCGTTCTTTTCTACACTAGTTCTGTGAACTATTCTTTTCTATACACGTTCTTTACTCGCAGTAGTATTTGTTAACATTATCTTTTTGGGCCGGTCCTATTTACCTTCTACGACTATCTTTGAACAACCATCAAAATGAAGTACGATACAGCACTTATTCTCATCGCCTTCTTTGGCTTGAGCCAAGCAGCTCCCATCGCGGACAAGCGTAGCCAATTGCTTCCTCGTTATGCAATCCGAGGTCGCGAGGTTCCCCAGGAGCACTCTCACAACAAGTTCCTGGATTCCGTCAGGACTAGTTTGAACTTGAACAACCCTGATCAGATTCAGGACCCTGTCTTTGGTCTGCTGGGAAATGCGGCCGCGGCAGCTGGACAGGTTTGTTTTTGCCATTTATTGCAAAAAAAAAATTGGGGTTGCTAACACACAGACAGGGGAAAGTTACCGATACCGATTGTCTGCACCAAGCAACGGCCGACCAGGCTTTCACAAATGCAAAAGCTGCTGGCGATGTCGTCGGACAGACCAATGCTCTTGTTTTCGCTGCCCTTGAGCGCAACACCGGAAGTGTTGGTCTCGAGAGTGTTCTATGCACTGCCATCAAGGCCGTTAACCCTGAGATTGCTGCTCTTAGCCAGCATCAGGATCCGGCTGCGACTGGCGCTGCTGCCAAAAACAAGGCCATTACATTGGAACTTGCGAGGCAGATCGCCTCCATTGGCGGCGACCCAACGGTTGCTCTTCAATCCGGCACGTTCGCTCCAGGAACCGTAAGTAATTCAATGTTGTTTCTAAAACTGCCGCTAACATTGACAGATTGGCGACCCAACCGGAGCTGGAAACACCTGTGATACCGTGGATGATGTCGAGGGTTGCATTTTCAGCCAGAATCTTCTTGTCGAGGACGCCACAATCGACGAGATCAACGCCGCGGTAGCAGGTGTGACCGCTGGTGGAAACGCTGCCGCTGGTGGCAATGCTGCCGCTGATGTCGCTGCAGGATCAACATGCCCTGCTCAAGTCACTTCTACCGTCACAGTTGTTGCTGCCGCGGCTACCCAGGCAGCAGCAAACTGCCCAGTTCAAGTCACTTCCACCATCACCGTTAATGCAGCTGGGGCCACTCAGGCTCCAGCAACTGGGAACGCAGCAACGGGAGCTACTGCTGGTAAGTAACAAGATCCAGCCTGCTTATAGAATAGACCTAACTTTACCAGGCACAAATATCCAAACCTTCACTGGTTCTCTTGGAGGCGCAGCACCAGCGATCACCAAGTCCGCGGGTGACCGCCCATTCACTGTCAACGGTAACACCTTCGTCAACATCGGCGCAGCATTCCAGCGTTCGTGTGATATCCAGAACAACGCCTGCTTCAACGCTGTCAACTCCGGCGCTCTCTCAGGAGGAACCGCTCAGTGCCAGCAACAACAACAAGCATGCAACGCCGCCGGCAACGCCAAGCGCGATAACATCCCATCCCTCTTCCAGCGCCAGAGTGCATTCGGCTCCTGCGCGGATCCCACCATCCTGTTCGCAGATGGCCTCGAGGGACGCGACACCGCTGCCTTCATCCCAGCAAACCTCGGCGATTTCAACCACGGCTCAGCCCAGAAGATTGGCATCATTGCTCAGTTCATCTGCTCTCAGCTTGAAAGCTCTTGCAAGGCCGGCGCTGATGCTGTCGCTGCCTGCAATGCTGGAGAACAAGCTGCTGCTGCTCTAACTGGCCAAGCTGCCGCAGACGCCTTCAATGCGGCAGTCACTGGCGGGTCAGTAGTCGCTGCTGCACCTGCACAGGCTGCGACTGACAACGCCAATGCCAACGCCGATGCCAGTGCTAGCACCGATGCCACTGCTGCCACCGGCACCAACATCCAGGCTTTCACCGGAAACCTTGGTGGCGCCGCACCGCCCGTCATCCAGGGCACCGGCACCAAGCCCTTCTCCGTCAACGGCTCCACATTCGTGAACCAAGGCGGAGCTCTCCAGCGCTCTTGCTCAGTGCAGCACAACGCCTGCGCAGATGCCGCCAACAGCGGTGCCATCTCCGGAGGAGTTCAACAGTGTGAGGATCAGGAGAAGGCCTGCAATGCTGCCAACGCCTAATAAGCGGGACATAGCGGGGGATTTAGTTTATTGTCGACGATAACGGGGTTTTGTACTAGCATGGAGTTGGTGTTTTTAAGATGTTGTATGAATTATATTTTTTTTGCGGATGAGCGCCTGTCTTCTTGTGATGCTTCTTCTATAGACCATTGCGCCTGAAATGCCAGATCAATGACAATGAACATGTTTATGCCCATCTAAAACGTCCAATATTGTACATTTCCCAGCGCCGGCCTGCCTCGAGCATGATGACAATTCCCCAAAGCCACTATCAAAACATGATACAGCCATTCCATAGCCCACACCAGCTCCTGTCAAAATTTCTGATTTTATGACTCCTCTATCGCCCTCTCTTCCAGCGCAATCACCGCATGCTCCAACTCCTTAATCCTCTGTCCAAACGCCCTCCCCTTCAACTCCTGCTGCACCTCTCCCTCCCCCTCAATCGCCTCCGCCCACGCCTTCTTTAGCTTCTCCAGCTCCTCCCTCGTCACATCGCGATCATCTTGTGCATACGTAGCATTCGCCTCCGTGCTCTCACAGGCGATCTCGAATTCGTCCTTCGCTTCGGCATACATCTCCTGCAGGCGCTCCGCGATCTCGTCGGCGGGCGAGCGGCCGGAGGACGACGCAAATGCGCGGTGCGTGTAGCTGGGGATTGGCACTGGGGCCGCTGGGGCGCGGATGGGAAAGTTGTGTTGCGGCGTAACGGACGCGAGGGCGCGGCGCTGGGATGCTGGGAGGAGAGGGCGGAGAGAGGTCGCGGTTCGGCGGGAGGCGAGGCGCAGGGCGCTGAGGAGTGGAGTTGGGGTCGACATTGTTGATGTTGTTGGGACTGAAGGTATAAAATTCGAGACTTGTGCTCGGATGGTGGAAGTATGTCCTCGGAGTTTATTCGGGCATAGGTCCAGTAATCCCCTTGACACTTTAGTGGTGCTAAACCCCACCTGCATGCTGAGACGGGGCGGAACATCGCGGTTGCGGGCAGGGGTCCAACCTCGAGCTTCGCAATGCGCGGGACCATCTGCTGAAGACAAAGTCGCATTGAACGCGCTTTCGTAACTCTTCGAGGCCACAATGGTCACTATTGCGCAGATGTATGGCCGCGCCATTGATCTGGCTACTAACCCGGCGCATAGTCGCTGGCAGTCGCCAATCCTGCTTCTGGTTGACGCGGCGCTGTGCTTCGTGATAATCTGGAAAGTGCCTTGTAAGTAACCGCCCTCGCTCCCAAGCACGCTTTATTTGTATCAATGCTAATTACTGGAGAAATAGATACCGAGATCGACTGGGAGGCATACATGCAGCAAGTTGCTCAATTCCTATCCGGCGAACACGACTATGTCAAGATTGCAGGTGGAACTGGGCCCCTGGTCTACCCAGCTGTGCATGTCTACATTTACTCGGGACTATACTGGCTTACGGATAAGGGGAGGGATATCAAACTCGCCCAGGGCATATTTGCAGCTTTGTATCTACTCACATTGGGAGGGGTAATGGCATGCTATAGGAGAGCTAAGGTGACCTTCCACACGTCGAATCTGGGCTCATCGTTGAAGCGTTTCTAACATGAAAATAGGCGCCACCTTATATATTCCCTATGCTGATTCTGTCGAAACGATTACATAGCATCTATATACTGAGATGTTTCAACGACTGCTTCGCCGTGCTGTTTTTGTGGATGGCCATTTACGCCTACCAAAGGAGAGCATACACCATGGGCACGATAATTTACAGTCTTGGTCTCGGAGTTAAGATGAGCTTGCTCCTTGTTCTTCCAGCTCTTGGGATCATATTCCTCCTTACAAACGGGGTATGGACGGGGTTACAGCAGGCTACTATAATGGCTCAGCTCCAGGTCCTCTTCTCAACCCCATTTGCCTTGGAGAATGCCAGAGGGTATTACGGGAGAGCCTTCGAGTTCTCCAGGGTCTTTCTTTTCAAGTGGACAGTAAACTGGCGATTCATCGGCGAAGAAGTCTTCCTGAGCAAAGGGTTCTCAACCGCCCTACTCCTAGGGCATATAAACGTTCTAGCCATCTTCGCCATAACACGCTGGCTCAAAACAGCAGGTCGACCCATCGAAACAATGATAACACGAACGCTCCGTCTCCAAGAACCGCTAGGCAACGTACAAAACTTGGTCTCTCAGCGCGTAACACCACAATACGTGCTCACAACGATTCTGACTGCAAATGTCATTGGCATTCTGTTCGCTCGCTCGCTTCACTACCAGTTCTACGCCTACCTCGCCTGGTCGACGCCCTTCCTCCTCTGGCAAAGCGGCATGCATCCCATCCTGCAATACGTCCTCTGGGCCGCGCAGGAATGGGCCTGGAACGTATACCCCAGCACGGACCTCAGCTCCCAGGTCGTCATCGGCGTCCTGGCCCTCACCGTCGCCGGCGTATGGTGGGGCACAGGGCGCGAGGAGTACGCGGAGATCCAACCTGAGGTGCGCGACGACGTGAAGTAGTCCATTATCCACAACTAGGGCTTTACTGCTCATCATCCTCCTCGTCGCTTGACGGCGGCATCTTCCCCACAGTCGACTCCTCATCACCTGAATCCGCATACGGATCCACCTTAACGAACTCCTTCGGCCTGCCCACCCGTCCGTTAGCCCTCCATCATAACCATTCGTCGCAGCAGGGTAACTCACCAATACGCCTCCTTCCTCCACTCCCTCTCATCACGCACGACATTCAAGATCTCCCCTCCCAGCTTGTTCTCCCGCACCTCCCCATCCTTGGTATCCACCAGCACGTACCCGCCGCGCTTGATCCAGATCGTGTTGCGGAAGCGCGAGGGCAGCTCGAAGAGCAGTTCCTTGGTGTTCGGGAGCGCGCAGAGGTACAGGTTGTTGCCTGCGGCTTTGACGACGCGGGCGATGGACTGGGTGGGGGTGAGTGCGGGGGGAGGAGTTGAGGTTTCGTCGGCGGCGGCTTGGAGGTTGCGCTTTGGGCGGCCCATCTTGGCGATGTGTGTGTATATTCTAGCGTTTTAGGAAAAGGAAAATGTAGTCGTATTGAAATTATAATTTGGGCTTGTGCTTTTGTAATGAGGGGTCGTTTCTTGGGTTGGGAATTGTTTTTGGCTTCTTTTCCCCGCGAAAGTTTTGTGAGCTGCCAGGCCGTAGTTTATCCGTTGGCGTTTCTCCGATAGGGACCGATAAGATAGTGGCTGGCAGAATAGTGAACCACCCGGGTGCCTGGATTGAGCCGAACCAAACATTCAACAAATTTTCACTTCATAACCTTTAGAGTTACCAAAGTATATAATTTAGTTGTATAGAGTTAACTTGAGAATACTGCATCATTATTACAAAACTACACAAGATTATCTTCAGTGTTTGAGTAATCCAATGGGCATCACAACGAGTTGAGAACCTGTTCTAGTATAATTTTTCAAACTCTTTCAGATTGACTAGAAAGAGATTGTGTATTTTCATAATAACATCAATCTATGACCATATAATTAAACGTCGCCAAGCTAGGGTATTTGCCACATTCAATACAAGCAAAACTCCAGACGCTATTTACCGCCCCAGGCCCGAAAGCCAGACAAAAACTCCCACCAACCAATGCGCCACAAACAGTATATAGAAGCATGAACAAAGAAGCGGTATCTAGCAAACATCTCAAGCATCCGGGTCGCTGATTTCCATGGCATCATCCTCGAAGTGCTCTCGGATCGTCATCATGTAATTCCTGACGGAAACGACCAAGATGGCCACCGCGAACCCGTTCCATACATCCATAGTAGCCTGATCGAAATCGAAGTGAGCAATTGTCCGCGGCTTGGAGTCCTCCTTGGCTGCATCAAAGGTGATGAAAATAACCTTTGCCCCAGCGATGACAATCCCGTACAGAAGCGGAGGTACGCGAGCATACAGCGTAGGCGCACCACCAGGGGTGCCTCCGTCCGAGCCCTCGAGAAGGAGATCCTCACGGTGCTCTGTGGCGAGCGACTCAAGACTGTCTGTCATGGCTTTGGAGATGGAGTCAATATCCTGACCGGGCGTGCTGGCGACGATGGCGATGATTGGAATGTAATCTTTGTTCTGGTAGCCGCCGTCGAACTCGGCCCATTTGATGTAATTCTCAACCTCCTTCTTGATGACCTCTTCGCGAGTGCGGGAACCGGCTATCATGCTGCGGACGCGGCTGCCGAGGGTGACGAGGGAGAGCAAGGCAGTTGAACCTGGGAGTTGTTAGTTTGATATGCATAAATGGGTGGGGAAGTCGACATACCTCTGAAATCGTGTCCGGAGGCAGAGTTGATAAAAGTTTCCTCGGGATCATACGAAAAGAGCGCTGGTGGGACGGTGCGAAAGTCTGATCTCCAGTGCGCTGGAAGCAAAGGCTGCAAGCCACGCATTCTCAGCTCCTCGAACAAAGCATGTTCATCCTCGTGCCAATCATCTCCGCTGCCGATGCCTGCTTCAAGAGCCGCCTTCTGGTGTTCCAGGAACTGGCCAACCTTATCTTCCAGCGAAATGGTTTCAGTATCGTCGGTTTCGATGGATTCGACTATCTTCGGTGTTGGCGATGCTGGAGTTTGACCACCGGCTGATGTGCGCGGGGTGCGAGTTGTAGCATCGTCTGGCTCAGTTGATTCGCCGCCAGCATCATCGACGTATGAGGATTGACTCCCTTTGGACTTGAATTTTTGACGGTGCCTCTTGGTGTCAGTTGGTGAGAGGTATTTCTTGGAAATCCGACCGCCTAGGACCGCTCCAGTCTTTGCACCGTGAGATTCGGTGTGCCATTTGTTATTTGTTGAGGTATGGTTCGGGGTCGGTGAAGGAGTGACCGGGAGCACGGTGCTGCGACGGTACTTTGATGGGGTGATATACCCAAGGATCGAGTCTCGTAGGTGCATTAGTTGGTCCATCTCGATATGATTTTTGATTCTTCTGATGCGGGGTGTATTTGAGAGCTGCGTATGCTTTGTGGGGGTTCTTTGTGGGATTTGATTGCTGCCGAACAAAGGTGTCGATGAAAGTGTCGCCGGGTTTGGAAGCTGTTGTATGGAAAGTTCGAGGGCGAAGGAAGCTTTATACTATGCAGCGGGGTTGTGCTAAGCGTATCTTCATTGACGAAGACAATAGGTCGTTCGCGACCATTCGCGTTGCCCGAGGTATTGTCCTCGAGGGCTCTTTGACAATCTGTGGTCTATAATAGAAGGCCTACTATTGTCGTTCATTGAGCCCAACCTCGTCAATAACCCCCCAGTCCCCCAATTTGGCTGACCGCCCTGGCTAGTCCCCTGTGACATGTGACGCTAAGGGAGTGGTGGGGCTATGGAAGAACAAGTGAATTCTTACAATACAGCAATGCTCAATACAGAAAACAATACAACGAACAGTAAGAGTCAAGTTGATCACCTGATACTGAACCTTGCTGCATTATAACAGCCTTGAAGTGTAATATAATAGCTCTTCCTAGAAGAGCTTATCAAGTTGGAAACTCCTACTTATATCCTACAACAACTTGCGGCCAAACTGGAAATTAACAGCATGTCTAGCTCATACAATGCAATATTTTCATAATAACCAACGGCTTGACACTATTAGTAGGACACTAATAGTAACAATACCATAAACAATCATTCCAAAATGATATCAGCTCTCTCTGTAAACATCGCCGTTATCGCGATAAGCTGATTCGGATTAGTGCGGGCAGAAATTTAGAGGTTGAAGGCGGTGTGTGGGACCTTTCGAGGGGAGCATCATAATACTTTTGCAACTCCAACCCAGACAAGCACAAGCTCGACAAAAGTGCACATCATGGTCAGAAAGCGAGTCAGAGATGCGGAAGCCGCCCCGGAGGTGTCGATGACGGGAGTGGACAACGGCGAGGACAGCGGCAGCGAGGATGTATGGTCCATTTCCTACCCCGCCATTAGTGTGTGTATCCGTGTGTGCATTTTACTGACAGGTTCCCAGGATGTGGATATGATAAATGTCGAGTTCGAATGGTTCAACATGGCGCCTGAGGTTGATTTCCACGGCCTTAAGAGCCTGACACGCCAATTATTGGATGTTGATGCGCAGCTCTTCGACCTGTCGGCCCTCGCTGATTTGATCCTCTCGCAACCCACAATCGGATCGACCGTGAAGGTCGATGGCAAGGAGACGGATCCATACGCCTTCCTTACTATCCTCAACATGCACGAACACAGAGAGCACCCAGTGATTAAGGCTCTCACTGAGTACCTGATTGAGAAATCAAAGTCGGGTACTGGCTTAGAAGCTCTGGGCAGTGTTCTGTCCTCCCCTTCAAACCAAGTCGGCTTAATTCTTACCGAGCGCCTAATCAACGTCCCTTCGGAAATCGCACCTCCGATGTACTCCATGATCGTGGACGAGATTGAGGCAGCTGTCGAGGACAAGGAGCCATACGAATTTACGCACTACTTAGTTCTCTCCAAGACATATTTAGAGGTCCAGTCCACACTGGATCAGGAGGATGCACCTAGACAGAAGAAGAAGAAGCAGGTCGGAAAGGAGACCTTCTACTTCCACCCCGAGGATGAGGTTCTCCAGCGCCACGCTGCGGCACACGGAGGCTGGGATTACACGAAGGATGAGGGCGATTCTAAAGCAGACAGCAAGAGAGCCTTCCAGGAGCTGGGGATCAGGCCCCAGGGGCATGCTATTCTAATCGAAGCTGCCAAGTTCGATGGTGCAGTCAAGGCTGTGGGCGAGTACATAGGACTGCAGCAATAAATCATGATCCATCTCTTCATTCTATTTTAAATCTGCCATTTAGCTCTCAATGACATCCGGGCCCTCTAACCTCTGCATCAAGTACTCCACCTCCACGATCTTGGTCAAGGGGATGACGAACTTCTCGTAGATGCTGACGACGGCATCGATATTGATCTTACCCTGGCCTGGCTGTCCTGGGGATCCTAGGCTGGGATCCGTGCCGTATGTCTTCGCTTTCAATGCCAAGCGTGTCAGCACCTGGCGCTCCACGGCGCTGTTCGTGATAGCCTTATCAATTCCTTCTCTGTCCTCTGCCTTGATCAACGCCGTGAATTTCTCCCTCTCCGTCCTGAACTTGGATTCTGCGACGAACTTCCCGAAGTGTATCCTGCGCGACAGGGATTGCAGGCACGCAATGTCACAGGTAGCCGATGATCCGTAGTTTTCTTGTGCCTCGCCGCGCTCGTCTCTACCAAAGTCTATGCATGCCGCAGGGAGACAGTGGTTGATGTAGCTGTCCTTGATCTTGTCGTTGACATTGACATCATTGGGGTGGAGGATCTTTGGGTAGTGGAGTGGTGGAAGAATTGGCTCCTCGAGAGCGTCAGGGAAGTATGGGTATTCATCTGGCGACTGGAATCGTCGGATGCGGGACTGCAGGCGTTCTTGCTCGCGGAGAGTCCAATCGAGTAGGCTCAGATCGCAGTCGGGGATCTTGACCGCGCCAGGGACGTAGATGGTGTTGTTTAGGGGAAACTGGACGCGCTCGATTAAATGAAATATGATCGTATCTTCCAGACGGCTGTGATTGTCGGTTAGCTTTGGTCATCAAAGGGGGCGTATGTGGCGTACATCAATTGGAAGCGGATGTTAGCCAAGTCCAATGCCTTTGAAACATCGGAGAGATCAATGGCGGCGTCCATTTTTCTATATGGTGGGACGGATGAATACAATCTATATATGTACCGTGAATTGAGAAGAGAGGGTAACGCAGAAAGGAAAAGGGCGCTGTCCAAATATCACCTTCGAATGGAATAGTAAGCTCACGATGAACAGAGTAACAGCGGCAAACTCGCAAAATCACTGTGACTGAACTGAACCCCGCTGTCGGACAGCTGCCGAGTAACTTGGACGGTCTTGGGCGTACTACTGCACTAACTGTAACATCATAAGCTACCCTGGTTACGATGGCGTCCGGCAAATTCCGCACTACGCATTATCGACGGCCCGACCAAGGTCTCCCTCTGTCATAACAAGGCACGTGGATAGACACCAATGTCAACAAATCCTTGCTACGTAACTCCCAGCATTCAAAGCCCGAGTTTGAATTGCTGCACCTGAAGCGCTGCGCGACCCAGGCAGGCCTGGGAGCAGAAACAATGGCTCGCCCCGACAGCCGGGATAGCGGTGGCCCTTCGGACTTCTTCAGAGCAGGGCCAGCCGATGATGAATCCGCTCTAATCTCGGTATGAATGTTGGAACAACTCGATATAAGTACGATTCTAACATATGTATAGACGCGAGGGCTCGAAGCCTTTGGGCGCAAAGTCACAACGACAGCAAGCCACATGATGGCGCCCTTGACGGACTCCTCGGGCGGCCACTATCAAACCGCAATGGCCGATTTGCACAAGCAGTTGCGCCAGCCGAGCCTGCAGCGCAGCGTCTTTTCCTTTGCGAAGACGAGTCCAACGGATATGGTGCGCTCGAGCCTCTCTAGGACCGAAATCCAGAACAGAGCCTTGACGCATCTATCCGACGAGCTGCTTGCGAATATTCCCGAGGACGAAAACTCATACTCCCTATTCCAGGGCTTTCAGGCGACGATTCCAGAAGTCAGTGAGAAGAAGCACAAGCATAGGGTGTCCCGTGGCAGGAAGTTAATCGATGATAATGCCTCGGAGGCTTCGGACGGACCCGCTTCAATGCACAAGCTGAAAAAGGAGAGGCATTCGCTGAATCACCGGTTCGAGATGCTAGGTGTTCGCAAGAACATGGCCAGCTGCGAGATAAGGGAGATAGACAACAAGATTGCGAATCTCACTAGCATGAGGAGGATAGTGCTAGACAGACTAGCGGGTTTAGAGCAAGACGAAGCATTGTTAGAGCACGACATTTTGGACGTTGAAAATCGCATTGAAGATGCCCAAGAACAGTTAGATATTGCCGGCGAGCAAGAGCAAATGACACCAACAAAGAGCGAGGCAGACGACCAAGAAGGCAACCCCGATAGACTCGAGGCAGACTCATCCTTCATGTCGCAATCCATATACGAGAAACTTCCCTCCGCAGACTCAACACCCTCAAAAGCAAAGCCCAAGCGCCACAAGACCATCCGCAGGAAATCCATGCCCATCCTCCACGAACACTTCGAACCGGGCTCCAAAATCCGCGAACTCCAAGCCCACGACGATCACATCACAGCCCTCGACTTCGACGTCCCCTTCGGCACCATGGTAACCGCCGCCCTCGACGACACAGTCCGCGTCTGGGACCTCAACGCAGGCCGCTGCATGGGCTTCCTGGAAGGCCATACCGCATCCGTCCGCGCAATCCAGGTTGAAGACAACATTGCCGCCACCGGCTCTATGGACGCCACGGTCCGCCTCTGGGATCTCAGCCGCGCGCAATACGAGCCCCAACTCGATAACCGCATTAACAAAGACTCCGATTTCGACGTCGAGGACGACGAAGACGAGCCCGCCTTCGACATCCCCGCAGCCGCTCCTCCTGCTCCCCCAGCGGGTAGCATGGCCGATTGCCCCCTCTTCACCCTCGAAGCCCACGTGGACGAAGTAACCGCCCTCTATTTCAAAGGCGACACCCTAATCTCCGGCTCCGCCGACAAGACCCTCCGACAATGGGACCTCGAAAAGGGCCGCTGCGTGCAGACCCTCGACGTCATGTGGGCCGCCGCGCAGGCATCCGCGACGATGGGATCGAGCGAAGGGACGTGGCGCCAGACGGGTGGGCGGACGTCAGATGAGAAAGCGGATTTCGTGGGGGCGCTGCAGGTTTTTGATGCTGCGCTCGCGTGTGGAACGGCCGATGGGATGGTGAGGCTTTGGGATTTGAGGAGTGGACAGGTGCATAGGAGTTTGGTGGGGCATACGGGCCCGGTAACGAGTTTGCAGTTTGATGATGTGCATTTGGTTACGGGGAGTTTGGATAGGAGTATTCGCGTAAGTTTCCCCCCGTCTTGTCCCTGTTGTGGTTTGTTCCTTTAGAGCGAATATTAACGTGTATCCCAGATCTGGGACCTCCGCACAGGATCCATCTTCGACGCCTACGCCTACGACCACCCCATCACAAGCATGATGTTCGATTCCCGCCGCATCGTCTCCGCAGCCGGCGAGGACGTAGTTAAAGTATACGACAAGGTAGATGGCCGACACTGGGACTGTGGCGCTGGCCCCACGGGCGCAGGCGAGGCGGGCAAGGCGGCGAGTATTGTGGAGAGGGTGAGGATTAAGGATGGGTACCTTACTGAGGGACGGAAGGACGGGGTGGTGGGTATTTGGACTTGTTAATGATGCTTTTTTTTGGGAGACTTTCGCGTTGGGGGGAAAGGGGGGAAGGGGGGTGGGGGGAGGCTTGTATCATAAACTAGAGTACAAACGAACAGTGGTGTAGATGTAGGATACATAACAGGATTTAATGGCACAAACAATAACGTCATTATGAATCTCAGTTTTCAAAAAATCTGCTTCTTTTGTTTTGCTATCGATTGATTGATGTATTTGAGTCTTTCTAATGATATCCGCCACGGGGGGTAAGACAAACCCAACCCCACCCCGCCACGGACGACAAGCGCGTTGTATGTTCATATAGACTTTCTCCATGTGCACAAATCCCTAAATATATCTATATACCAGCAGCAGCCGTAAACGTCATTTTTAGTAGTTGCTTTTTTGTGCAGCAGCTGAGCCATAAGAACTTCGTCGGTAAGGTAAAACATGAACAAAGGCCAACCCCGGCCCACTTCCGTTTTCGTTTTCCCTTTTACAATAGTTTTCTCTCGCCCCCTTTTTTTCAATCAGATTGTTCATCAGATGCGACTCGCTCACCCAAGCTTCATCTAACCCCACCGCCTGACCCTTATAAAAAAAAGGTTGTAAGAATAAATACTTTCTTAACCCCCCCGTCCCCGGCCCCCGCCCGACCCCTATTTCTCAAGAAAACAAATCCCGTCCTGTGTGGCCCGCACATTTTGTATGAGAAAATGATATGGAGCTTTGTATGCCGCTAGCAAAAATAAAATCGGAGAGAAAAAAGAAGAACAACAAAAAAAAACTTTGAAAATTCGCAGATGCAGGAAAAGTAGAGAAGTGGCGCCAGTTTGCCTAGCCCAGTGGTATGCCACTAAGTAATAAAAGCCGTGGGGCCGATTTACTGGTTCCACTACAGCCAGTAGAAGTGCGCAGTAACCACTCTCTATTGGAAGCGAAGCCGTTGATAAATATAACTCCTTCCAAGTTTATTGACATCGATTAGACGAGCAGGTCAACGTCGAGCCCGATTGAGCGCATGAAAAGGTTGACATTGGCCAGGCGTTGGCTAGACATGGCGGGCGGGAGCGTCTTGGCGAGGTTGACGGTCTCCATGACGCGGTCCTTGACGGCCATGACGAGGCGCTGTTGCTGCTCTGGGCTGGCTCCGACGCCCATCGCTGCGAGGAACTGCCAAACGTACACGTCTTCGCCGGTGTTCACGGTTCCGGGGAAGATGTATGGAAGAGTGGGTTCGATAACGTCGAAGAAAGAGTTGTAGGTAGAGAGCCTGTATGTGTTAGCTGAGGTTTTTATAAATAAGGTCTATTTCGAACATACCAGTGGTTCCACTCTTGGTCGTCGACAGTGGTGGCCTGCTTAATAAGCTCAGCGCGACTGAGAAGCATAGTCAACATGCTGACACCAATGCGAGTACGAGCATCAATCTCGATGTTAGTCTTAGCCATAATCAAGGCAAGCAGAGCATCAACAATATCCAAGCCAGCCTCGTTCAAGAATCCAAACAGACTCGGCATAACCGCCAGAGAGAAAAGCTCGATGTTCTCGCGAATCTGCGAGGTGAGTTGCGTCTCGCCCGGTGCAAGCAAAGCCTGGCGAACAACATCCAGCTGATCCAAATGTACAACAATCATGGTTAAAATCGTAGTGCGCTGCTGCTGCGTGATGTGTCTGAAGACTCGTGGGATGGCCTTCTTGCCCTTGCTGAAAGATAAAAATGCGATAAAAGGATGGGTAGCGGTTGCACCAATGGGCTCGTGAACCTTGAGGTCCTGCCAGAGTTTGTTGTTGAGTTTCTGCGTCTTCTCCTGCCAGTCCATGTGGAGGCCAACGAGTGCTGGGTCGACATCCTCAGTCAATGGTGGTGGAAGGTGGCGATCGTGATCCTCCATTTGCATCAAGGTGTTGTACACGTTCTCGATATCGCGCAAAACAGTCTTGCGGTCACTGCTGCTAACCACCTTTTGGCGATGCTCGTTCTCGTTACGCTTGATGTTGAGCAACGGCTTTGGTGTCTTGGAGTTGCTGAACGAAATCTTGCCCAAGCTTCCCTCGATAACGAGCTGCTTGTTCTTGGGCTTGTTCTTCGCTGCCTCAACGGCACGCTGGACCTGCTGCTCCATGCGCTGCATGTGGTTGTCTCCGCTACGCGCCTGCCTCCTCATGCCACCATGTCTGCCACCGGTCTGGAAGAGGTAAGTCTGAGCAAAGTTGGTCAGAGGCTGGTTAGGGTGCTGCCTGGGTCCTCCACGGATTTGGTTGTGAACTTGGTAATAGAAATCTTCAGATAGGGAGTTGTCGGTGCCCTGCTCGTTGGGGTTACCAGTGGCAGTGACGAGCTGTTGCAATTGGATTCTGGTGATGAAATTCTTGTCCTGTGGAGTCATGAGACCATTGTCCTTGGACAAAAGGAAAATCTTGTGGTTGCGCTTCGCACGTTTCGCGTCTTCCATCAAGTAAGCCGCACGCTCCTCCTCATTAAGGTGAGATAATTGATGCGGGTGCGTAATGATACCAGAGTTGTTGTGGCGATGGCCGGGTCCGCTAGGTGGTCCTGGGCTCGGGCCTTGTCCTGGTCGTCCAGCTGATTGAGCTTGAGCTTGTCGCTGTTGTTCACCAGAAAGGCGGTTCGGGTTCTGGAGGATCTGAATCGGCGGAGCTTGCGCTTGCGATGTGGCGGTGACTGCCTGGGCCGATGGCGCCTGAGTTCTATGCAGGATCTGGACAGGCTGGTGTGCGTGAATTTGTTGGGGTTGTCTGTCCTGAGGTTCATAGTACTGGCCATTCATAGGGCGTGGTGGCCCTTGCATTTGCTGGCCGGCATGTTGGGGGAATTGCTGAACATGCTGGGGAAACTGCTGAGGCTCTGGGTACTGCTGATATTGTTGCTGGTGCTGGAACTGGCCCTGTGCGAACTGCGCATCAGGGTGCTGGGGCTGCTGTTGTTGCTGCGGAGCAGGTGCGGTCGGTTTCTTGGCTTGCGCTCGCATTGCGGCTTCGACCTCTTCCACGCTCATCATTTTGCGAGCAGCCGATGCAGCTGGCGGTTGCGAAGGCAAAGCTTGTGCAGCAGGTACTGTCTTCGAGCTGGTGCCCCAAAGGTCGGCATCAGCCTGCAGATCGGGAACATAGTCGAGGTCCTTGTATTTTTCGTAGCCGCTTCTTGCTGGTTGAGTGTACGTGTGGGATGACTGTGCAGTTGTCACGGCAGCTGTATGTCTGGACGCAGGCTGCTGGCGAGTGAAGCGCATCTGCTCCTCACTGATCGCGTTTGACACCTTTGCTGTCTGGCCGAAGAAGTCGAAGTCTTTTCCAACGGCTTTCTTGGCCGTGGTATCTTCGCCACCGAAGGTGTCGTCGTTGAAGACATCGTCGGTCTCGTCTAGCTGGTCCCCAAGGCCATCGTAGGTATCTTCGAAGTCAAGTCTAAGCAGGTTCAATGTCAGTCCATGAAGCACAGTCCATAGTAGCAGTCCACATACGCGTCGTCGTCGTCGGCACCCGCGTACGACAGGCCTGCGAATGGATCGGGTGTTTGTCCAAATCCTGGAGCTTTCGCGCCCTGATCGCGGTCCCTTGGAAGGGCCGAGTCAAAGCCAAAGAATGACATGCTTATTCGATCCTATCGCTGCCAGCTACCATCCGTTGGTGGGCCTGTATCTGCTACTTCCGGTATGATTTCTGGTGGGGGGGAAGGTTGAGGGTCTGAGAATTCTTATGATTAGCTCCAGATCGAAAAGGCGCGTTGGGTGTAGCTGGCCCTAAACGTGACCTGACGGGAAGAAAACAACATACCGTGTAGATCAGTCTCAATGCGGCCAGATACCAGGTATCGTGCTGGGTGCTTGTCTTGAAGCTGTTGTCTTGGAAGCTGCGGTATACAGTTTACGACGTGTACGTTTCCAGAAGGGTTGATTGATGGTCGTCGTTCGTTTAGTACAAAATCTGCCCCACGTTGTTCAGGTACGTACTATCGGCATTGACGCTAGGATCCCTATGTGCCTACGAAAGTACGAAAGTGCTCTAACAAATAGTAGAACAGTCTAACAAATAGAACAGCAGTCGTCACTTCACTGTTGATCTTTTGGTGGGGACTGAGGGGGGCTGAAGGTACATAGTCACGTGAGTATTTCAATATTGGCAAGGAGAATGCTGTTCGCGGAATACTCTACTATTGTAGTCGTATGATGCCCAAAACTGAATTTAATGTGCGATTGAACATATATAATCTATATTCAATGTATCTACAATATCTAAAGCCACCTGATTTATTGTCTTGGTGATTTTTACATGTGTTCGCATTGGAGTACGTCTGGGCCACGTACACGCCTCGTATTTGATCAAAGTACCTTGCTTCATTCACTAGACCGGCCTAGCCCATGTTTGCGCTGCTACTATACTTGTGGCTTGTCCTCGTAAACCATTTGTCGCCATTACACTTCGACTCTTCCCCTTTAACCTGTTCAAACTCTGAGGAAAAATCATTTCTGTCGCTCTCCTTTGCGGCAGTCTCAGTAGTCTCAGGAACAGCGTTGGCGATTGGCGATTGGCGATTCATCTCTCCTGGTCAAGAGCACCCCCTCGATGACGGACGTGCCCGTGCAGGAGAAATCGGAATTACCACCACCACCATACACTGCCCCTCGGCCTCCTAATTCCAAGAGCATTTTCAAGATGGCTGCCGGCCATGCGAGATACTTCAGATACATTCTGTTCGCCTTCTTTGTGTGTTACCCCAGAACTGGTGCGCTGCTGCATTTATGCTGTAACTAACATATTTGTCTAGGGCCTAGCAGTTATCTACTTCATCTCGTCATCGTCAAACGCAACACAGCGCCTTCCAACCGCACAAGAAATTCTACGACAAGGAAAGGACTGGGCAAACTCCCACTCTGATAATGGCAATACTAAGCCTGCAGAGGCTGTCAGTTCGGAACCTACGTCTCCAAATACGCCAAATGGCTTTCCTCCCGCATCGAGCACCGAGCCGCGAATGAACGCTACGTTCGTTACACTCGCGCGCAACAGTGACCTCTGGGAGATTGCACGCTCCATCCGCCAAGTCGAGGACCGCTTCAACAGAAAGTTCCACTACGACTGGGTTTTCCTGAACGATGCTCCCTTCAACGACGAATTCAAGAAGCTCACCACCGCCCTGGTTTCCGGCACCGCGCACTATGGAGAGATTGCCAAGGAACACTGGTCGTTCCCTCCACACATTGACCAGGACAAGGCCCGCAAGGTCCGCGAGGACATGGCGGAGCGCAAGATCATCTACGGCGACTCGATCAGCTACAGGCACATGTGCCGCTTCGAGTCGGGCTTCTTCTTCCAGCAGCCGCTTATGCTGAACTACGAGTGGTACTGGCGCGTGGAGCCAAGCATTGAGCTGTTCTGCGACATCAACTACGATGCGTTCAAGTTCATGGCTGACAATGGCAAGAAATACTCCTTTGTGCTCAGCTTGTACGAGTACGTCGAGACGATCCCAACTCTCTGGACCAGCGTCAAGAAGTTCATGAAGAACCACCCTGAGCACATCGTGGAGGGTAACTCCATGGGTTATCTCAGTGAGGATGGAGGAGAGACCTATAACAACTGCCACATGTGGTCCAACTTTGAGATCGGCAACCTGAACTGGTTGAGATCCAAGGCTTATACCGATTACTTCAACGCCCTGGATCAGGATGGAGGTTTCTTCTACGAGAGATGGGGTGATGCGCCGGTTCACTCCATTGCAGCTTCTCTCATGCTCAAGAAGGAGGAAATCCATTTCTTCAACGATATCGCATACTACCACGTGCCATTCACTCACTGCCCCACTGGAGAGCAGACGAGATTGGACCTTAAGTGCCACTGCAACCCCAAGGACAACTTTGACTGGAAGGGATATTCTTGTAAGTCTAACAACCCGTCCACTGACACTATTTACGTGTACTGATCATTTCGCAGGCACATCTAAATTCTTCGAGGTTAACGGAATCGCTAAGCCAGAGGGCTACGAGAAGGAAATGGATTAAGTCACTGACGCCTTTAATTTAAAGCGTTTGTGTAATGTAATTCATACATTCTCAAACTGGGGTAGTGGGGCGGAGATAGGGAGATGTAGGAACGACCTGGCGTTTTTGGATGGGAACTGGTTAAAGGGGGCAGCAGTAACTTCACTTGTATAGATAAAGGGGCATCATCTTCGATGTCGAACGCATTGGATTTTGAATTTGGGAGCACAAATTATCAGATCGGAATTCAGGAAATAAATGTTATCCTTGTTTTTAACTCACACAATTCTTCCATTTTGACCATGTAGAGTCAGTCTTAGATATGATAGTTGTACATTTCCCTCTCTCTAACGCCTACAATGTATTGGATACAGTTATTCGCACATTTATCTTCCTCCGCCCCTTGTCATCCGACCTACACCTCCTTATTCTGCAGCCACCTTCTTCGGCTTCTTCGTCCCATACTTCGAACGGCTCGTAACTCTGTTTCCAACACCACTCTATCACGTTGTTAGCATTATCCAAACTACCTCCGTCCTCCACTCTCCCCCTCTCCCCCATACCAGAACAGAACGAGATAAACTCACCAAATCCAAAGCCCCCCTAACCAAATGATACCTCACACCCGGACAATCCTGCGACCGGCCCCCCCTAACCAACACCACGGAATGCTGCTGCACATTATGTCCCTCTCCCTGAATATAGCAATTGACCACTCTCCCTGTGCTCAACCTCACCCTCGCCGTCTTCCGCTCCGCCGAATTGGGCTTCTTGGGCTTCGTCACGCCGACTTTGAGGCACACGCCTTTGAGTTCGGGCGCGCAGACGGTGGAGAGCGCGGGGGAGGTTTGTTTGCGTGCGCGTTGGGGTTTGCGGCATCCCTGTTGCGGTTGGTTAGTCAGTTGGCTAGGATCAGAGAAGAGGTGAGGTGGTAATGGAGAGCGCAGAGGAGCGTACCTTAGCAACTTGGTTCAAAGTCGTCAAGACAGTAGGAGTGCTACTGAACGCCCTCGCCGCCGGGGTAATCTTCGAAATCAAAGGCGCAGCCATTGGCACGGCCGGCCTCCATACAGCCGGCGTGAGGAAGCGTCGCAGTATCGTGGCGCGCATTGTGTGGGATGGGGGAGTTGCGGTCTGACGGCCTCTCTTGAGGCTCTACGGACTTTTTGGTCGTATACTACGAACGTCCTTTAGATTTAGCGTCGAATTGGAATTCGATGTCACGTGGTGCGGATGAACGTTTCGGCGCGCGCAGGGGCCATGGGATTGAGGTGGAAGGAGGGTGATTAGGTAAGCACGGTTAGTGGCGGGTAGGTTGCAAACGGCCTGCCTCGGACTTACCGTGTCAGGGTACTTGAGGTACCGTGGTATATTTGCGGATTGGCTCTTCTAAGAAGGCGCTTTGGGGGGGGTTTCTTTACTTACTCGAGTACGCTGAGGGGAAAGCCGCGCCTTATTGGGGAATCGTAAAGCGGCGCATACAGAACTAGAAAGTTCAAAGCTCCGGTGCCGCGTATTGCCATGGGCCGCCGACCTCCAAGACCGAGGCAAAGTCCCGTAGTAGTCAAGCGCGGGACAGAGGATGGTTCCCCAATGACCCAATAAACAGCGTCTGTCCCTCTTACACGTGAAGCTGCCACAACCCGTTCCCTTCCTAAGACGCTGATAATTCTCCAAGCAGGGATAACGTGCCCTGTAGCTCTCTCCAACTTTTCTTTTTCTCCTCCTTTTCTCCAATTCCTGCTATTGTGCTGCCTACTTCCCCAATATACGAGTGTGTGACTTCTTTGGTCCTTATCTGCAAGAATGGCTTCGATAGCAAGGGTTTTGAGACCGGCGGCGGCCAGAGCGGCGGTGGTTGCGAGGCCGATGGTTAGGACTCCGGCGGCGGCTAGAGTTGCACAGGCGTAAGATATTTCCAGTGCTTGCAGAGTTGTTCTATTATAGTCCATACTAATTAATACCATAGGACGAGGACCCTGTCCACCACCCAGCCCCGACGAAATGAAGCCATCGACATCACCGACATCCCGCCAACGCCCATTACCCACATGTCCGACATCGAGGCCTCCATGCAAGAAGCCGTCTCCAAATTCGCCGCCGACGTTATCGGGCCCAAGGTCCGCGAGATGGACGAGGCCGAGACAATGGACCCCGCTGTTGTCGAGCAGCTCTTCGAGCAAGGGTTGATGGGCATTGAGATCCCCGAGGAATACGGCGGTGCGGGCATGAACTTCACGGCGGCGATTGTTGCTATTGAGGAGCTGGCGCGTGTGGATCCTAGTGTCAGCGTCATGGTGGATGTGCACAATACGTTGGTTAACACTGCGGTTATCAAGTATGCGAGCAAGGAGCTGAAGGAGAAGTTCTTGCCTAAGCTGGCTACGGGGACGGTGGGCTCTTTCTGTCTGTCTGAGCCGGTCTCGGGGTCGGATGCGTTCGCGCTGGCTACTAAGGCTACGAAGACTTCGTCGGGTTACACGATTTCGGGATCGAAGATGTGGATCACCAACTCTATGGAGGCGGACTTCTTTATCGTCTTCGCCAACTTGGATCCAAGCAAGGGATACAAGGGTATCACTGCCTTCATTGTCGAGAAGAACATGAAGGGCTTCTCCGTCGCCAAGAAGGAGAAGAAGCTTGGTATCAGAGCCAGCAGCACATGTGTGCTTAACTTTGACGATGTTGAGATCCCAGCCGAGAACCTGCTCGGCCAAGAGGGACAGGGTTACAAGTACGCCATCAGCCTGCTCAACGAGGGCCGCATTGGTATCGCCGCCCAGATGACCGGTTTGGCCCTCGGAGCCTTCGAGAACGCCGCTAGGTACGTCTACAACGACAGGAAGCAGTTCGGACAGCTCGTTGGAGAGTTCCAGGGCATGCAGCACCAGATGGGCCAGTCTTGGACCGAGATTGCCGCCGCTCGCGCATTGGTTTACAACGCTGCCAGGAAGAAGGAGGCGGGTGAGGACTTTGTTCAGGATGCTGCTATGGCGAAGCTGTACGCTTCGCAGGTGGCTGGCCGTGTTAGCGGTCTTGCGGTTGAGTGGATGGGTGGGATGGGATTCGTTCGTGAGGGACCTGCTGAGAAGTTCTTCAGGGATAGCAAGATTGGAGCTATCTACGAGGGAACTTCCAACATCCAGCTCCAGACTATTGCTAAGATGCTGCAGAAGCAGTACACTGCATAGGCTAGCTAGCTAGTTAGTAGCTTTGTATATATATGAGATTTTTAAAACATATTAAAAACCGGTGTGGGGTGGAACAATCCGTTCAGTCCATTGTGAATGCCGGTACTCATTCTCGTATTAACCAAGGCAAATCTTGGCGGTATTTAGACTAATTAGCTCACCAGCCCTATAGACGATACGAGGCGCTCAACATTAAATCCTCCGTATCTTACCCTGCATATGGGCTTTAAGGGGAGCTGAGTTGCTGATGACGATGCATTGGGGGAAATCCACTGGGGGGGCAACGAGACAGGCGAGCGAATGAGACGCCATGTTCCCCACCAACATGTTGTTGTGTTGTTGACCTTCCGGAATCGCTGTCAAAAGCAGGTCGCTCAGCCCTGTTTATCGTCCAAATAGAAAAGAATCTCAAAAACAAAATCTTTAATGCTTTTGTAGCAGTTTATTTACTTTTGGGGAAAAAATCTTGGTCCCGGTGAAGTGCGAAAAGTTTCTTTGAGGCATTCACGCGAAATCTGGTTGAACAAAATCACTCATTGACCCCCGCACAAGGTCGTCAAAACTCACGTGTAGGGTGCCTATTAACCACCACCACCACTATTTCTTACCATATTAAAGGAAAACCCTTTATCTCCGCCAACCCTCACAAGGACTCTGAGCCCTTAAATACCGGGCTATCAGAGAACTCACATTTCCACTCTGTGATACCACGAGAGTGCGAAATATTTAAGGCTCACTTTCAAGCTTCGGCACCCGATTAGCAACCGGGGTCTTATCGACAAGTTCGACCGACGTCAAACGGGCGCCTCCCTCCCATTAACCCCACACCAGAGGGACCTTTCCGAACGCCCCCCAAAACAAACACCACAACCCCGACCGCGCCCTCGACGACGCTCGAGTCCTCAGCAGCCATGAATACCGACGAAGAGGCGCTCAGCGCCGTCTACAAGAAGATCGAGCGCGAGAAGGCTCTTATCACCGCCGCCAATGCAATGCGTCAGCAGACACAGAACGAGCAGGTGCGCTCGAAACTCGATACGCAGATGCGAGAGGGCCGTCGGAATATTCAATTCTTCGAGGAGAAAATGCGGGAATTGCAGATTAGGACCGTGGGTCAGAATATGGATAGCATGCGCCTGGGTGGTCCGGAGGGGAGCGGGCAGCAAGGTGGGGGTCTGAGGAACGATAGAGATGCTCCGCCGACGCCGCCACCGAAGGATTCGAGAGGGAATTATATTGAGCAGAGTGGAACTGATCAGGGAGGCTATGGGTCGGGGGACTACAGTACGATGTTCAAGAGCGAAACCCCCTCGGGGATGATGCCACCAAGACATCCTTACGCACCCCCCGCCCCAGGATCCGCGATCCCAAAGGCGCGCGCAAACTATTCGAAGCTAGGTTTGTATTTCTGGATTAATTTATTAGTGGTCGTCGAGCTGATATTTGCTAGATCTCATCAAATACGATACTCCTTATCTTGGACCCCGCATTCAGCTCATGCTGTCGCAATTAGCATTCAAGCTCGATGTTGAGCAGCAGTATCTCAAGGGTATTGAAAAGATGGTGCAGCTATACTCGATGGAGGGCGACAAGAAGAGCAGAGCGGATGCCGCGGCCCGTCACAAAGACAGTACTCAAAAGATCATGCTGTTGAGGCAGGCAAAGAAGAGATATGAAGATCTTCACATTGACATGCAAAGCAGCGCTGATGCGCCAGATGGTATGTGGACAAGTATGGTATGACCAACATCACGGCTAACAACACATAGATGATAGCATCAACACCCCCAATCTGCGAAAACCTCTTACTGGCCAATTGTCGATACGAGTTACTGCCGTGAAGGATGTTGACCATGCCGCCACGTCGAGGTTTTCCCGAGGACCGGAAACCTTTGTTGCCGTCAAGGTCGAGGACAATGTTGTTGCCCGTACAAAGACGTCGAGAACCGATCGATGGGATGGAGAAACCCACAACCTGAATGTCGAGAAGGCAAACGAGATCGAACTAACAGTATATGACAAAACCGGAGAGCAGGCTCTTCCCGTTGGCCTCTTATGGATCAGGATATCCGATATCGCAGAGGAGATGAGACGAAAGAAGATCGAGGCCGAGATCAACAGCTCGGGCTGGGTGTCCGCCGATAGAATGGGATCAGGCAGCGCTGCCCCTGCCCAGAGTCAACAGTCGCCCCAGTTTGGAGGACCTACCAGCCCTGGAATGCAGCCTGGGTTTAACGGCGGCGGCATGGCGCCTGCGCCCAACCCTTCCCTACCGCCGCAACCAATCGATGCTTGGTTCGCATTGGAGCCTTCGGGACAGATCCAACTGTCCCTCAGCTTTGTGAAGCAGACCAAGGACAGGCGGCCATTCGATGTTGGACTTAACCGTAAGGGAGCCATTCGCCAACGTAAGGAATTGGTTCACGAGATGTTCGGTCACAAGTTCGTGTCTCAGCAGTTTTACAATATCATGAGATGCGCACTTTGCGGCGACTTCCTGAAGTACTCTGCTGGTATGCAGTGCGAGGACTGCAAGTACACCTGCCACACGAAATGTTACTCTAGCGTAGTTACGAAGTGCATCAGTAAATCCAATGCGGAGACTGATCCGGATGAGGAGAAGATCAATCATCGCATTCCTCATCGTTTCGAGAAGTTCTCCAATGTTGGCGCCAACTGGTGTTGCCACTGTGGTTACATGCTGCCGTTTGGAAAGAAGAATAGTAGGAAGTGCAGCGGTAAGTCTTTTCTCTGGATATTCCAGGCTCGTTACTAACGAATTGGCAGAATGCAACCTCACAGCTCACGCTCACTGTGTCCATCTGGTTCCCGATTTCTGCGGAATGTCTATGGCAGTTGCCAATTTGCTCCTGGAAGGAATACGGCTCGAAAAGGCGAAGCAGGACCAGAAGGGGAAGTCTGGCCATCAATCCAACCTCGCCGGCAAGACCCTACGTCCTGTAACTGCGAAGTCTCCCGTTTCGTCCCAGGCTCCAACGCTGGACCAGCGATCATCTTACGGGCCAGGCGACAGGTTACCACAACAGTCACCAACCTATGAAGGTGCATCTGGTACCTCACAAGAGTCTATCAATGCGGCTAAGGCTGCATACCCCTCACAAGTCCAGCAGCAGCGCCAGGGAGGTGACCGCATGAGCGCGGCTGCTACAGCTGCATCCATAGCTGCAACCGCAGCCATATCCGGCCAACGACAAGGTTCATACGATACCTCTAGCGATTACAATAGAGCATCTGGAGGATACGCCGCACAAGGCAAGCCAGGTTATCAAGAGCGCCCAGCCCAGCAGTCCACTTACAACCCTGCGGATTATGCGAATGTCGGCGGCGTTGGTGCTTATCCTCCAGCTCTGCAGCCACCGCTGCAGCAGCAGCACCAGCAAGGCGCTCCTGTCATTCCACAATATGGCGCTATCCCTGTGGCTGGGATGCCTCCTGGAGCCGAAGCTCAAATGGCGAAGCCACAGGCACCACCGGCAGGCGCAATTGCTACTCGCAAGCCTATTGTGACGCCATCCGCTACCGAAGCAGGCGCAGGTGGCCGCATTGGCCTCGATCACTTCAATTTCCTGGCTGTGCTTGGTAAGGGTAACTTCGGTAAAGTCATGCTTGCGGAGACCAAGGCGAGCAAGAGGCTGTATGCTATTAAGGTCTTGAAGAAGGAGTTTATCATTGAGAACGATGAGGTTGAGAGCACAAGGTCCGAGAAGAGGGTTTTCCTGATTGCCAACAAAGAGCGCCACCCCTTCTTGCTCAGTCTTCACGCTTGTTTCCAGACGGAGACGAGAGTGTACTTCGTCATGGAATATATTAGCGGTGGTGATCTCATGCTTCATATTCAACGTGGGCAGTTTGGTACCAGGCGTGCGCAGTTCTATGCTGCTGAGGTCTGCCTGGCGCTGAAATACTTCCACGAGAATGGTGTCATCTACAGAGATTTGAAGCTCGACAATATCCTCCTTACTATGGATGGACATATCAAGATTGCAGATTACGGTCTTTGTAAGGAGGATATGTGGTACCAGTCCACGACGAGCACATTCTGCGGAACGCCTGAATTCATGGCACCTGAGGTGAGTAAATTCTTTTCCTACTAAATTATAATGGTTGCTAACCCAATTTAGATCCTGCTCGACAAGAAATACGGCCGCGCCGTCGACTGGTGGGCATTCGGCGTCCTAATCTACCAAATGCTCCTCCAACAGTCCCCCTTCCGCGGCGAAGACGAAGAAGAGATCTACGATGCCATTCTGGCCGACGAGCCCCTTTACCCCATCCACATGCCCCGCGACTCCGTTTCGATCCTTCAGAAGCTCCTCACCCGCGAGCCCGAAGCCCGTCTCGGTAGCGGACCAACGGATGCACAGGAGATCATGAACCAGCCTTTCTTCCAGAAGATCAACTGGGATGACGTTTATAACAAGAGGATCCAGCCGCCGTTCTTGCCGCAGATCAGCAGTGCTACTGATACGAGCAACTTCGATTCGGAGTTCACTAGTGTTACGCCCGTGTTAACCCCGGTTCAGTCTGGTAAGTTTTATTGTCTTGTCTGCATATTTAGAGTTGATACTAACGATTCCCCCGTTTAGTCCTCACCCAGGAAATGCAAGAAGAGTTCCGCGGCTTCTCGTACAGCGCAGATTTCGTATAAGATTCACGACCAGCCAAAACTTCAACGTTTCGGAATGATAACATCACATCCAATCTACCGCACACACCGCACATCCACCAACCGGATGGCACCGTGTTCCGGTCCAAGATTGGAGAAAACCAAGAAAAAGCAGACACCATCTAATTTGACTCAATCCGCAAGTGGAGCCAAAAAGGGACGGACCGGTGTGCGCGGACGGATATGATGCGCATATTGGGAGATCAGATCAGCAAGCCGGTCAGGGGAAAAGGGGAGGTGGAGAAGGGGGGGGGGGCTATGTTTGGGAAAAGGGAATAATTGGGGGAGATGAGAAGAATGAGAAACGTAAATAAAGATTCCCGGTCTCTTTTTTAAAAGGAGGATCAGTTAGCGGGGCGAGGGGGAAGGAATGATGATGATTTTGATGTATAATCGGCATTGTTTCGCCTCTAATAATACCACATACCCTCTTTTTCGTATGATGTTTCTTGGGGTGGGTGTACTGAGAGAGTGGTTGGATTTGTGTGTGACGCGCTTTGTTTTTCCCTTAGGAATTCGTTTATTTCTTAGGGAGTTTGCTGCAGTCGAGCGTTAGGATTTGAGCTGCAATGCACACCCCCTCTAAGCGCCACTTGTTTCGTAGCAATTCCCCACAGCCTTGTCGTTTTGTACTGCAAGAACTGTAACGACAACCCCTATAGACGCCCTGTTTTTCTTAGGAAGTTCCTACTGCCTGGCCTTTGCTTGTGTAACCCATAAGCGCCACATGTTTCAGTATTTTTCTCACAGCCTCGTCTGTGTCACCACAACAATAACTACAACTCCTATCGACGCTTTCTTTTTCTTAGCGATTTTTCTTATACCCTCTTCTGGACTTCAAACACATACCGGGTATGCACTGTTACCTCCCCGTAGTTTACTGGGGCCCTTTCTCGACCTCAAGCACACACATCCCGCATGCGCTGCCTCCTAATTTGCCACAGCCTCGTCTTTGTCTAAGAATTTCAACAGTAACTCCAATAGACACCATCTTTTTCTAAGTAATTTCGCCATATCCTCAGCTTCGTTTCTTGGCCTTAAGCACAGTCCCCTAGGCACCGACTCTGACTCTTACTCCTGCTCGTAATTTCCCACAGCCTCGTCATTGTCTAAGAATCCTAGCTGCAACTCCAACAGTCTCTTTCTTTTTCTTAGCAATTCGTAAGGCCGAGAACCACAGCCGCAGCGTTGGTTATAGGCCACAAGGCATACCCCTTTTGTTATACTTTGCAAATTCATGCAGCCTTGTCTCTGTTTGTGAGATTTTGCCATAGCCCCTACCCCATGTGCACTGCCTCCCCTATAATAATTGCGCACAGCCTTGTCTTTGTTTCTGAGTGTTAGTAAAAAGAAAATATGATAGGGTGGATTAGCTTGTTAGGCATCCATGTGACCCATCTGTAAACATGAGCTGTGTTGGACATTCGTAGTGGTGCTGGGCATGAGTGGTGTTGGGCATAAGTGGTGTTAGACAATAGAGGTGTTGGACATTTAGCGGTGTTGGACATTTAGCAGTGTTGGACATCAGCACTGCTAGACATTAAGCGACAGCCTTTCTAACATCCTTCTGCCTTCAGCAAATCGTTTATTCGCGAATCTTTTCAACTGTTGTAATATCAACCTCAAATGAGGTCTTAGAGGTTTGAAATGGAGCTTGACACTAACCGCCCAACGGATGCAGAGGCGTGGACTTATCTAGTCAAACATGGCGACCACATCACACAACCGCTAGCACGAAATGTCCGACTTGCCATCATTGAAGTTTTGAAAAAAAGGTGGGAAGCACAATGTCTTTCCAAAATCAACCTCCGTAATTTTGCCTTGATATGGTTGGATCCTGGTTATAAGATTTTGGCAACAAAGCTTGCGATAGGACCAGCGGCTGAGGTTTTCGATATCGACACAATCTATGAGTTGAAGAAATGTAGGCTAGAAGGTGTAGGTTCCAACTGCACAAACATTGATTAATGACTGTCGCTGATAGAAACACAGTACTGGGATGTTCATTTGGAAAATGGTATACATTGGCTACAGATGGTGTTCAAGGAGTCGTCACTCATTTCTCACGAGGACTTCAACGAGATACTCACGTGCGACTACTTGTATGATTACGAAACCGGTCTTAACAGACTGTTTTGGAATGGGGGCGAAGTTCACAAAGAGAGCAGTCGTAGGGAGGAGTTTCTCTCCCACCTTTCCTTGGCGGAATACTCAGGAGCGTACAATACCATCACGAGAGACCAACCGAATCCGGCCTGGGATTTTATGATGATCATGGACGAAATCAGAGAGTATGGAGAATTTGCGAACAAGATAATGCTGCATGTCGCATTGTGGTACGATCCAGATCTAAAGAAATCATCCTCGAGGCAAAACATCAAGGAGCCGATACATCACCATCTAAAGGAGCCTTTTACAGAAATATTGTCCGAAAAGCCCCATGCAGATGCGAGCGATGACTGGGAGTCAAAAGCCCTTGGTTTGCAGCGGATTGTCGTAGATTTTTCGAAAGAAAACAGACCGAAGCGGAAAGGGCTATTCATGGCTAATACATTGAGGTTTAATCAACCTCCTGAAGTATATCATGAGCGCTTTGGCAAAGGGACGTTTTGGGACCGCCTTGCTCAGAAAATTCACCGCGAAATGCCTGAGATTCCATTTCGTCACCCAGACCTCCTGCCTTACAATAGCACAAATGGTAATATTTACCACTCCGATCAGCGCCGGGCACCATCATCAACCCATCCCATGGAAGATGTCTCGTCAATAGTGGATCTAACCACAGAAAAAGAAGGTCTGGTCGCTCCAGAGATTGAGGATTTGATCATACAAGAGTACTGCCCAGACACGTCATCCAAAAAAAGGCTGTCAAATCATGGGCTCCGCACAAGCAACTCAACTGGGAATAAGCAAACTCCTTCGGCATCGACTCACACGAATCACCTTGCGCCTGGAAAGGACGATCCATGGGCATATACATCTCCCCCCCCTCTCCCACCAGGATCAACAGGCCTTCGAAAACGCAAATCGCCCAACGGGCTCACACCTAGTGGCAGTCGTCGACGTAAACTCGTCAGGCTCAAGCTTCAACAAACTGCTGTCGTCGGTGAAACGTCTACTGGGCCAAGCGCTAGCGCCAGTGATGGACAGCAAAGTCCTATTGACCCCACACCCCCGCCACAGCGACGGAAGATGAACACGAACTTAGAGGAAGACAGAGAATCCTTCCGTTTGCCGTCTCAGCCGCCTGCACTGACTGCCCCGCGGGCACCAATGTTCAGTATGCCTCCGGAAGAAATACCCCCTAGAACCACAGAAATATCAGAAGTGGAGCCGCCCCTTAGTGAAGGCATGCAGGCGCCGCCACCTGGTGTGGTTTCTTCTGCTGCAAACAGAGGAGAACCCCTCCATTCGGCATCTCAGTCAGCCCCCGCTATGACCACAGAGATATCACAAGCCGGGCCTCTTAGCAGTGAGATTAAACAGGCAATGCGGATTATGCTCGACAAGTTCGCCGACGAACTTAACATCGAGGGGCAGGTCGCCTCTATCCAAGGTCAGATCGCAGGGATATCACAAGCGGGGCCGCCACTTAGCAATGAAGTTAAGCAGGAAGTGAGGACTATGCTCGACGAGTTTGTCGACACGCTTAACATAGAGGGGCAGATCTCAGACATGATCGAGCAGGCTGTAGAGCAGCAAGTTATCGCTGACATAAGCGAGCGGGTCGACAAAATGGAGGACCAGATAATTGCTAACAAGCTTATCATGGAGAAGCAGGCTGCTGCTAATGAGCTTGATATAAATGATCGAGTCACTGTTATAAATGGGCAAGTCGTTGCTATCAAAGAGCAGGCCGACTCTACGAAGGAGCAGGTCTCTGCTGTAAAGAAGCAGATCGAGGTTGACAACGCAAAGGAGCAGGTCGCTACTATAAAAAAGCAGGTCGACACTGATAGGCTTAATACGGAGAAACAGGCCACCGCTATGAATGATCAACTCAACGTTATGAAGAAGCAGGCTGACGCCGACAAGCTTGCAATGAACGAGCAGGCAGCCACTATGGAGGGTCAACTCAACGCTACGATAGAACGGTTCAAATCTGACACGCGTAACATTATTAAGCAGGTCGTTAACAAGCTTGACATGAAGGAAGAAGTCGACGCAATTAAAAAGCAAGTTGCTACTATAGAGGGGCAGGTCAATGCCGACAAGCTTAATATGAAAGAGCAAGTTGAAGCCATGACAGCGCAGGCTCACACCATGAAGGAGCAGGTCGACGCCATAAAGGATCAGATTAACGCCGATAACATAAAGGGGCAGGTCGCTGCTTTTAAGGATCAAATCGACGCTATGGAGGAGCAAGTCGAATCTGACAACATAAAGGGGAAGGTCGCCACTATGAAAGAGCAAGTCGAGGCTGACAAGCTGAATATGAATGAGCAGGTCGATGCCATGAAAAAACAAGTCGAAGCCGACAAGCTCAAAATGGAGGGTTTGTTCAACGCCGAAAAGCTTTATATGGAAGAACAAGTTGCCGCTATGAAAGGCCAAGTCGACGCTATGAAAGTACAGTTCGCCGCCATGAACGAACAGGTCGCTTCCATCAAACCCACCAAGATATCACAACCAGAGGCACCCTCTAAAACCTCGCTAGAGGCAATAGATATTGTGAACGAGTTCTTCGACGAGCTTAGCATGGATGACCGAATCGCCGTTGTCGATGCGGTCCTCATCGAGCATAACGCGTTGGTGTTCTTGAGGGTATCGGCCGGCACAAGGAAAGCGTGGCTGTATAGGAGAATTGGGATCAATAGGGATGAAAGAGATGGAACAAAGTAGTTTGGAGGGATTGGTATGTATGGAGTGCGAGGATTTCGACGGGAAGGGTGAACAAAGCTATGGGCATATTTGGACAGTTATTTTTGCTGTTCGCGGAAGCAAGGGGATGCTTAATGTGGAGGAGTGCGTTTTTACTTTATACCCAGGGAGAGCATTTATACGATTGATCTTTTTACATAGCTATCTCTTTGCCACTATTAGCGGGGGATCACAATGGTGCGAGCTGGAATTTCTGTTTGCTTTTTTACTGTTAGTCGCTGTAAGGTTTAATGTTAGATATTGGTCTGCCTTGCCAACGAAGCTACATATAAATAACACTATCGAATTCGTTAGCCACGAGATTGCTACTCTTCGAGTATCACATGCCCCATTGCTAACTCTGTCTGTGATACCTCATCTCACATACTTCCGATCCCAAGTCACACCGCCTCGACGGGTAAACACAGCATATGCAGACCGGCATGGAATTCATATTCTTCATATATTGTAATATACAGTATCTACATCTAGTTCGGGCGAAGTATGTACATGACGGCCAGTCCCGCAACAGCAGCACCAGTCGCCAGGCCCTCTAATGCTACAAGCGTGACATCTTGTTTCCGCAGCGAGACCTTCTCCTCGCTGAAGAGATTTTGAACTCGCGCTACACAGGGCGAAACCAGACCCTCTTTCCAGGTGTTTGGCTGGCGCCACTGCAGCGAAAATTCGGGCGTCTTAACTTCCGTCTCTAATGGGGCCACCTCGGAGCTACCAGTCGTCTCTATAATCCCAGCGGCAAGCTCAGGGGTAGTTACCCCTATCGACTCCACCTCGAGGCTTTGCTCTTTTGCCTCCACGGCTTCTACGCCCGCGGCACCAGAGCTAGCCTCTCCATCCTCAATTCTTAAGACTTCCCTCTCCCTCTCTAGCGCTGCCAGAACCTTATCCTCAAAGCCCTTCGTCAGCCTCTCCCTCCTCCACGGCTCAAACCCAAACTGGAACACCAGAAACAACAACACGTTAACCCCCATCAACCCCCACGTCCCCCACGTACTCATGCGCCTGATCTTATCAGACCAAATCTGCTCCTCATGATACCTCGCCAAAATAGCAGCATTGAGTCTCGACCCCGCCTGCTCCGCCGTCCTCTCCGCATCCGCCAATCTCTGCGCCGCCTCCGTCACCGCATGCTCATTCCCATGATCGCTGCGATACAGACTCGTAAAACGCTCGAGGTCAATCGGCGTCCACGTATCCTTCCTCGCCAGCAGCGTCGTGACCTCGCGCTGGCTAGCAGCGCGATCCGCAACGAGCTGCTTGTAGTTCTGGCGCGAGACGCGGACTTCTTCCTGCGAGGACTCGAGGTGCTGCTCGTGCGCTGTGATGGTGCGTTTTAGGGCCTCAATGCCGGAGTAGCCGGTTAGGTCGTTGAGGTGCTGGGAGGCGAGGAAGATGTTGCCTTGCAGGTTGTCCATTATATTTGTGAGGCGCTTGGAGATGTGGGAGCGGCGGCGCTCGGTGGCGGAGGGGAGCTCGCCATTGTTGGGCGTGAGGCCATCGGGAGGGGGAGCCGCGGAGGAGGATTCGGCCCCTTGCTTTAGGTCTGTAGCCGTGGGTGAGTCGGCGGAGGAGGAGGAGGGATGCGGTTCAGATTGTTGAGATGCGGTGGGTGGGGCGCCTAGGTTGATCGGTTCGCTGGAGGAGGAGCTGGAGGGCGTGCTTCTCTTCTCATCGGCAAAGTGGCGTCGTTGTTGGGAGAGGTAGTGCCGTTGTATGCAAGTCAGGGCTTGCCTTGGGCTCTGGATGGTCGGCGTGGCTGCATGTCGACAAGCTGAGGCCGGTGGTGATTGTATAAATATGGAGCGCGCTGCATGTCTCAGCAATGGTTGTCGCATATCCAGGCGTAGCCCAGGAGAGGGATTGAGGGATTGAAGGGCGAGATGAGAGGTGAAGGGTGAGGTGTTGGAGTGTGAGGTGTTGCTGTAAGAAAAAGATAGGTCAGAAGAATAGGGAAGCAATCACCCGCTTTCGAGACATTGAAATCGAATATCGGACGGAGAGACCAATAGAATAGCCGCTGATGTACCTTGCACAGTGATTTAGTATGTACGGGTACCTCTGCGTACCTTTCCCGTCCTACCGCCACCACCAACCACCAACCACCACAACACAATCCCACACAATCACTTCACCGCCTCCGTAAGTGGTAGGACCCTTGGAACGAAACACGGCACCACCCCGCGGCCGATCGTTATCTTGCTGGCTACTGGCCGCCGACCGCTGCACCTACCCGCGACTATATATCAAATATTTCATCTTCATCATTTTCCCCGTCCCCCTTTCCAACTTATTTATATATTTATTTTTTCCCCTTCCAACTATATAAACAGCTGTAACGTACGTTTCCCGCAATTCCTCACTCAACCTTCTCTAACACTCCATCATAGATAAGGCTGTATCCCTAACTCAACCCCAATACCCCGCCATCGCATCCATCACCAAACCGCCACCATGGGCTCCTCAACCCCCGCGCAACTCCCCGCCATGGCGACATCCCCGAAACACATCTTCTTCACCGACTTCGACGGGACCATCACCTCTCGCGACTCCAACGACTACATGACCGACAACCTCGGATTCGGCCAGCCCACCCGCCTCGCCCTCAACCGCCAGGTCCTCGCCAACGAGATCACCTTCCGCTCCGCCTTCAAGCAGATGCTGGATTCGATCCCGACGCCGTTCGATCAGTGCACCAACATCCTGCTCGAGAGAATTGAGCTTGACCCCGGGTTTCGCGCGTTCTACGATTGGGCAAAGGCGAATAATGTCCCAATCGTTATTTTGAGTGGGGGAATGACGCCGATTATTCGCGCGCTGCTGGATAAGCTGCTTGATGAGGATAGCAGCTGGATGCAGATTGTGAGCAATGAGGTTGGGGCTCGCCCGGGGAAGAGCATCAATGAGGAGAAGGGATGGGAGATTGTGTTCCATGACGAGACGTGAGTGTTCCTAGTCCTATCAACCCCCTCAACCCCTCTCAACACACCTCAACCAGACCTAGAAGAGACAAAACTAACCCCAACCAGCGGCTTCGGTCACGACAAGAGCAGCACCATCCGTCCCTACGCCGCCCTCCCCGCCGACCAGAGACCAACCATGTTCTACGCCGGTGACGGAGTCTCCGATCTTTCTGCCGCCAAGGAGACTGATCTCCTCTTCGCCAAGAAGGGCCATGGTATGTCTTTCCCCCGCCACTCCACAACACAACACAAACCCCAAACCCGCCTCCCTCTGCCAACATACCACACCATATACCTCGTACGTACTAACACCCCCCAGACCTAGTAACCTACTGCGTCAAGCAACACGTCCCCTTCTACGAATTCGAAGACTGGACCACCATCCTCACCCAAGTCCAGAGCATCGTCTCCGGCGCCAAGAGCGTGAAGCAAGTTTCCGCCGAGGGAGTCGAGGCGTTCACCGCTGCGCTGAAGGCTTAAGTGCATATCACATACCTTCTATCTCACACCTCGCATCTCACACCGACTTCATTATCGCGCTTAGAGTGGATGAGCAAGACGTGTGGATGGGGTAGAGTAGGTAGAATTGGGAACGAGTGATGAACGGGAGGGACGTAGTGGAGTGAATTGACGACCGAAAAACTGGATTTAGACGGCGGATTGGGGGTATAGAGGTTACTTCCTTTGGATCTTGGGCCATTTAGAGGGTAGAGGTAGACAGACACCTGATTGGTTACAAATAGACAAACATTTGGTTTTCTCTACACACCTCTACCTCGTGAACTGTCCTCAGCATTGTCGACTGTTCAACTGTGAGCAACATGACCTTCTAGTCATACACGTAGTAAATGGTAGTATTCACCCATCAACCAGTCACTACCAGCATAAACCACACACCATCGTCGAGTAAAGGATATATATTTGCTATGTTCTATGTATACACCCATTCCAGCCTCAATTACCACCACACCACACTCCTCTCACATCCCACAAAAACAGCCACGCCAGTGCTTCACACCAGCGCACCGCAATTGCGGTTCAAAACAGGCATAATAGCCTCCTCCTCCCCCTTCTCTCTCTCTCTCGCAACTCGTTCAAAGCTGCTCTCCGCTCCGCTCCGCTCCCCGACAAATAAAGTAAAAAAAATGATATGAAAATGGGTATAAGGAATGCGATCGCTGATCTTGCGTAAAAAAAACAGAACGAGGTCGAGTCGTCAAAGTCGTGGTCGCCCCTTTATCTGTTATAAATTGTAGCGTCTTTTTATCAAGGCTAGCCTCCGATGATGGTAAGGTCGGTGTCGTTGAAAGAATAAGTGGTTGTTGCTTAAATGTCTAGAATGAGTAATGTGAGACCAGACGGCGTTGGATCTGTAAATGGCCGTGGCTTTTAAGCATTAAGGGGGTGTGAAGTAGAAAGTCGAATAAAGGCCGTAACATGATTGCCAGGTTGCGCCTGGCAGGCATTGAGCGGTGGTTGAATGTGTGGTGTGAATGGTTGTTTCGCGCCTCGAACTTGTCGTGTAGCGTCTGTATTTTCAACTTGGAGAAAGAATTGGGTAATTTTATCTGGAGGGTGTCGGTCGAGGACTTGAGATCGAAATGATGATTGTCGAGTCGGAAAAGGCCTGACAGCAAGAGTGGGTGGTGGTGCACAAAACAAACGCCGTGTCAAACAGAATATAACGCCGTCATAAAGCCGTGCCGTGGTCTGAGCAAAACTGAGTAAAAAAGAGTCCCATGGAAGATTTACGGGTGCGCTGCAGCACTTGAGTTTGTCTCAGTCGATCCGTCTCCCTCAATCGTCTTCTTCCAGTGCTCAGGCAGGCAGACGCAGACGAGTGGGAACGCCTTGATTTCGCCGTTGACGGGCGGCGCCGGGTCCACACGTCCAGTGTTCGAAACACCGCTGTCGCGTTGGGCATTTCTCTGCGCATCCCACTCTTCAGCCCTCTCATCCACAATCACACCAGTTGCCCAACCATCATCCCAAATTCCAACAACCTTGAGCATGTCACCTCTCTCGAGCATGAACTCATCTCCTGCGCGGGGCTGGTACGCCCACAGGGTCGACACCTTATCTCCGGGGTGAATCTCATCCTGAGAGTAGTAGTCTTTGAAATATGCCAGCTGCTCTGACTGCTGGCTTGCAATGCCATGTGGCGAAGAGAGCTCGTTTCCACTACCGGACATAGGAGAAGTAGGATCTTCTCCAAGGGCTGAGCCGCTCGAGAGCGACCCATTTCGGCGTCCAGCAGGTGGGGGGCGAAGAACTCCTCTGCGTTGGTCGGAATGTGGGCTCTCGCCATACTCGCTGGACGAGGATCCACCGTGTCTTCTGCCACGAGCATACCCTGCAGCCGCACCAGCAGCACTACCGCCAACAATAGAACTGCCCCGAGTAGGAGATTCTGAGTGACCACCTTCCAAGGCAGACATGCGAGCAATGCGGCCACCTGGAAGCACTTCAAAGCCTGCAGGTGGTTGGGGGCCAGAGCGGCCAGAGCCAGGAGCCTGGACCATACTGGCACCCTTGCGAGGAGGGCTGGGTTGGTTGAAGACGCTACCATTCTGGCTTCCACCTCGTTTGCGTCTGAGGCAAAACAGGACGAGGCCGATAATTAGAGCGATACCAGCGATTGCTCCGATGACGATACCCGCAATAGCACCTCCTGAGATCTTCTTGGAACCACCTGAGGAACCGGCTGCTGGGGGTGTTGTCGGTGTTGTTGAAGCTGTCGACGATGATCCCGCAGATGAAGATGGCAGAGTAATTGACTTCGTGATGCTGGGCAGGACAACGCCAACACACACGGATTCCGCCTGAGAGTTGTAGCAGCAGGTGTCTGTTGAATTCTGGCCACCAGCCCCACAGTACCCGCACAAACCAACTGTGCTTGTTCCGAAACCGCAGTTATCTGGCTCGTTCTCGATGCCATTAATGCATTTTCCACTGTTCAGCGAATTTGCCGGCAATGAACAGGTGATAAAATCTGCGCGGATCTGTTCCACCTGCTGGTTAGGATCAAACCCCGAGGTTGTGCAAAGGCTAGCATCGTTAATGATCCTTCCTTCACTGAGGGCTTGTTGACTCTGGAGAATTTGTAAGTATAAGGAGCGTTGGTTAAATACCCGGGGTTGTCACTTACGCATGCATCAGCACACAGTGGCTCCAACTCGTCTGCGGTGAGTTGGCAGTTGTCTTTAGAGTTCTGTATTATCGCATTACATATAACTGAAGTGGTAAAGCGTGCGTAAAGCTCGGTTGTATTGGTGATGTCGATATTAGAGCATCCCAGGAGAGTTTGATATCTATACTTCAGGTAAGACATTGCCGGACGAGAGGCTGGAATGAAGGTCCAACTTACTTCTGCTGTACATAAGATGTTTTAACATACGAAAGTAATTTCTGATCGAAAGAAGCGGTGTCTGTAACTGTCTTTAAGAATGGGCTGGAGAATAACGAGGTTAGCTGGGTCGGCAAATTCGCAATCGCTCAGGCCGAAATAGTACATACAATAAGTCTGCCACACCGCCAGTGACTGATACCGATGAAAGATTAAAAGCCGGACAGGCCTTGGAGCCCGAGAGCGAAATGCAATTTTGTTGAGCGAGAGCCGTAGGCACCGTGGCTAGTATCGAGAGCAGCACGACCGACTTGGTCAATCGTCGGGTACCCGGCCCTCCACGTTTGTACGACTGTTTACGATTCCCCGTTGCTGGGCATCGCGTCCCTTCCACCGCCTGGGACTCACGAGCTGCCATCGTCTTCTTGTTGTAGTTTCGATTTCGATTTCGCGCGGTGCGATGACCGGTTTGCCCTCTCCCTCCCTGTCTTCCTTCAGCGTTCGTGTTTTCCAACCGTCATTCAACTCCGCGCTCCCCCACTGTCCTCAATTGTCGAAATGGGCGGCAGGCGCGATCAATTCTCAACAGCCCTGGACAATCCAAGTGGATGAGCCAGGAGATGAAGAGAAAGCGACCGAAAAAAAGAGAAAAACGAGTGACTTGAAGGTGACGGCGAAGAAAGTTGTAAGAGAACAAGAGCGAAAATCGAGTCAATACATCTGAGGCTACGAGTTGGCCGTAGTAACAGTTCGCGATGGGCCTGTAATAGGTTCCCAGGGGGGGTGGGCTCAGTCGATTGGAGCAGGAACGATGGATGATCGATGCCACAGAGCTGGAACTTGTAGGGGAAGGAAGGAGGGGCCACCACACTGCGCTGAAGTATAGAGCGCTATTGGTATAGGATAAAAGGGCCAGGAAGGAGCGAAGGGTTCGGCGCAATAGTGCAAAGCAAGTGCGCCAAGTGCAAGGAAGTAGCACTGGAACGAATGTTTTCCTGCTGGGGGGGAGGGGAAACAAACAGAGGGGTGTACGGAGTACGAGGGGGCTGGGGAAAGGAAAATATTCTGGAGGGGCGCACAGCGCGCATCGCAGCTAGAACACCACTTCAAGCCGTTCAAGCCATTCAGGTACCACACTGTGCATCGATAGCTTCCTGCACTGTACTATAACTGTCCACCACGGTAAGTACTACTGCGCTCTATTTCTATAGTACAGTCCTACTAACAGTACTACTGACAGTACTATACAGTACTATACAGTACTACTGCACCCAGGGTTTGTGGAGCAAGACCTCATGGCTGAAACTGTCATATCCATGATTGGAGCTCTGCCCAGATACCGTCCTGTCCTGTTTATATATTTGCGGGCTAGATTATTGAGAAAGCGTGGGAAAGCGTGGGAAAAGAGTGGGAAAATCCCACTTCAATTGGTTGGGCGGCGGCCCGGTGTGGAGAGCTCATATCGCTTCAGCAAGAGCTCATTTCCCCATCCTGCACTATCGCTGGGGAGAGGCTGTTTGAACTACCGCATGCGGTTAGATGGTGTCGAGACTTAAGCTTACTACTCTGGGCACAAAGTCGTATCCCAGAGTATTCGTGATTCTCCACCATACGGCACGTTCTCCGAAAGGAGATACAAGGGAGATGCCAGTTCAAACCGGGCCGCCTCTCAACTGAAATCCAATCCAATCCAGGGACTCGAGTTACTCAACACGGACGCTCCCTCCCTTCCCTTGCCGTCCTTTTTTTGTGGCCGTATCCACTGGTTTTGCGCCGGCGCCGTGTGGTCTGGGCGACACAGTGGTTTTTGTATGCCCCAGTTGTTTCGTATGCCCCTGCTGTCCTCCTCTATTGAGTGGCTTTCGTGAGTTCGGCAGTCGTCCATGGTGGTTGCACACAACCAAAGCCGTCGTCCCTTGTGAGGATCCGACGTTCTGGCTTTCTGTCACTTCTTGTGTGTCCGCAACTGTTTGCCTGCTGTATACCAATCAATCGTCCCTCCAAAAACCATCGCGGCAGCCCGTCCATCCCGCCTTCAAAGCTGTCTTATCCCCATCCGAATCCGGCGCTAATACACGCACCACCGAACACATACAGAGAAATGCACCTGTACTCCACCAGAAGACCCTTTGAAATGCCGATCAAGATCCCCTATATACCATGCTTTGATCGTCCTTCCTTCGGTTTGAGGCGAGATTTTGAGACAGCGGCAGCTCATGGCCGCCTCTAGCGATTTGCCAGTTGCCATTTATGCATTAATGTAAACGCAATGCATAATGTTTTGGCGCGACGCTGTTATATGTAACAACGGCCACTGTCACGAAAGAGAGCACAGCCCACTCATGCCGCCGGAGTGCATGATAGCGAGTGGTTTGCAGTTCACGGCGTTTGGGTGACAGAAATATTTCCCCGAGATTGAACACAAATCCACCAACGCCCAGAATAGATGGTCGACGGTTCATCGAAGGATCGAGCTGCCAATGACAGATGGCGTTCCTGGTGGCGCCAAGATGCGCTCCTGAACGGGTAGCAGTCAGGTACGATCGGGATGACGATACTGCACGTGCCCCAGGGTTTAATGGCGAGGAGGTTCAGGCAAGAACGGCTTTGCGACAAGACAATAGGTCTGAGGGGTATCGAGACGATGATAATTGATGCTATATGGGACGTTAGCTAATACCTTCTCAGAGGGATGAGGCAGATGTGGAGTAAGTATAGGACTGGCAAAGTTGCTGCGACAGCATTCTCATTCTGCCTCTAATTAGTGGCTGAGTGAATTATGATACAGATAATCGGATGATATCATGCAATCCCTACAGCGTGCCACGATCGACGACCAACGCCTGTGGGATAGGGAAATGTCGGTAGGCACAAAATCCAGTTTCTGGTGTAAGTCTACTGTACATTTTGTAGATGGAGTTTGTATTAGGAACTGTTATGGCTGCCATTATGGCTGCCATTGTGGATGTGACACGTGACATCGAGTCAATTTGATGGAGGTTTTTGATAACCTACAACAACAAAAGGGCCATTACAATTAATAGGGTATGTGTCAAAGAGGGGTATGGTTGGTGCATGGATTTATTTATGGTTTTTATAAGAATATTTGATGATTCGAGGTAGTAAATGTTAACATTTTAATATTTTCAAATATGAGGCATTCAATAATATGATAAATATTTATAAATATCCAATATAATTAACCCCACACTTTTCCTTCACGAAAACACGACTAGGGACACCCAAAATAAAACAAGCTGTATTACATAGTAAAAGCTACTAAATTTGTACCTTACCCATTAACCTCGTTATATGTTACTGATAGTTGAGGTCATCAGCATTCTATGACGTCTTGATCGAGATATTGGTTCCGCCACCTTAACTGATATCAATATCCCCCAAACGCCTGTAAATCCAATCTTCAACTTATTACCATCTTCTAAAATCTACTGAATAATAATCTAACAACTACCACAATGGCAAGACTATCCCACGTTGGCAACCCATCGGTGTACGAAGCGGGCGACCAGAGAGGTCCGCGAACAGAAGCTGAGCAGCGTCAGCATGGTAAGATATTTATCCACCTAGGCAATCATTGGGCGTCTCAGTGATTCCAACGTTGCTAACGGAGAGACAGACATCGAAGTAATGAAGGATACTGGGCACACAAGCAAGAAGGCCGCAGAGCACGAGCATAGGGTTAGAACTTCACATGCGCCATCATGAAATATACTGTATTCTGACCAGAGACAACCACAGACGTCGCAGCAGAGAAGGGAATTTCCTCATAAGAGAGAGGAAGAGAAGGAGACGGAGATGTTGAAGATAGATCCAACGCTGCCGGTAAGATGATTGTCGATTCCTCCATCTTTCAAGATTCGCCATCTCCACCACTGAGGTAGAGCAACGTGTCTAAGCTACACACAAGCTTTCCCATCAATATATTGGTAGAGATAAAGGATGAGGGCTAACCCAAAATCTATAGGCTCAAATGCACAGCAATGAACCCAGCCGAGGCGCCAAGATTGATAAAGTGCTGAAGAATGAAGATGAGGCAGAGATCAGACAGAAAGATGAGGCAGTAGCTTTTTAAACATGGTCTAAAATAGAAATAGATTGAAGACGATATCATTTCTGTATGCAAGCCAGTAGCAAAGAGTTCGATTTTATATGTATGTGTGAAGAGTGCCCACTTACCACTCCACATTCTTGAATCTCTCAGCCTTACCCCACAAAATGGGCTAACACGAATTTGGGATCAATGAGAAACTAAAGGATGAGCTGAGAATCTGCGCAGCGATTCTGATTTATAGAGCAGAAACATAACCATTTAATATCCAAGCGATAAAATTAAAATTACACTTTGTTGTGCGTGAAACCAGATATCTCATCACCAAACACCCACAGCCTCGCCGGTAGCCTGACGCAACGTCACGATTCGCGTAACCAAATCGGGAGAGCTACGAGCTCCAGGCCAGCCTTCCAGGAACCACCGATCCACGACCACCCCTCACATGCGCCACGGACACTCTCTCACGATAACAGATGCCCCGACCCTAAACATCGCTACTCCACCATCTGAAGGGCAAAGAGAAGGCTAAAATTTCATGTCCATAACCGTTCGCCCGTGACGGGTACACCACCGCCGCCATGGGACAGGGCTTCTCGCTGCAGGCGCTCTCGGCGGGGCCGGGCGGCATAGACGTGCCTGAGCTTTCGGACCTGACGTACGAGAAATCCATGGGGTCGGCGCGGTTTATGAAGAGTATCCGAGCGCGCCATGACGATGGCGTGGTGCTGGTGAAGGTTGTCGTTAAGCCGTATGTGATGAAGCTTGACAAGTATAGGAAGAGGATTATCGGTAGGTTTCTGGCAGCTGCACCGGTTTATGAGGAGAGTTACTAACTGGGGATTATAGAGGAACGAGCGGCGCTGGCGGATATACCGAATGCTCTGGGCTACGAGCGGATTATAGAGACGGAGAATAATGGATACCTGGTTCGACAGTACCTCTACAGCTCATTATATGATCGCATGAGCACGAGGCCGTTCCTGGAAGATATAGAGAAGAAATGGCTGGCATTCCAGCTGCTATGCGCTCTACGTGATTGCCATGCGAGAGATATCTTTCACGGCGACATCAAGACCGAAAACACCCTCGTCACATCGTGGAACTGGTTATACCTGTCCGATTTCTCATCCTCGTTCAAGCCCACGACACTTCCTGAGGATAACCCTGCCGATTTCTCCTACTTCTTCGATACCGCGGGAAGGAGAACGTGTTACCTTGCACCCGAGAGGTTTCTAAGCCCAGGCCAAGAGGCTGATCCAAAGGCTAGTATAACTTGGGCCATGGATGTCTTCAGCGCCGGTTGCGTGATTGCGGAACTCTTCCTGGAATCGCCAATCTTTAATCTGAGCCAGCTTTACCAATACAAGAAGGGCGAATATGATCCTCTGACTCGAATTAACGGCATCGCAGATAAGGACATACGCGACCTGGTAGCCCACATGATCCAGCTCGAACCCGAGGCGAGGTATTCTGCGGAAGAATACCTGAATTTTTGGAGGAATAAGGCGTTTCCGGAATATTTTTACGGCTTTTTGCATCAGTATATGGGCGTGATTACCGACCCCACGTCAGGGCGAGCACCTATTACTGGCTCCTCAGTAAACCTAGGCGAAGCGGATGACAGGATTGACCGAATCTACTATGATTTTGACAAGATATCGTACTTTCTGGGCTACCAGAACTCCAGATCAGAAGGAGAGGAACATCGGCTTAATGCTTCACAGTTTAGGCTCCAGCTCCTCCCTGTGCATTTAAGCATCCCAAACAACGATCACCAGATCTCGAGCTCTGGAAGCCGACCTGAGGATGATGGGACTCTGATATTCTTGACAGTCGTTGTATCATCAGTGCGGAACACAGCACGAGCAGCCACACGGGCGCGGGCTTGCGATCTCCTCCTTGCTTTCGCTGAACGCCTAACAGACGAAGCCAAGCTAGACCGAGTTCTCCCATACATGGTTTCGCTGTTAAACGACAAGTCTGACATCGTCAAAGTTAGTGCAATTCGCACACTCACCCAGCTTATGACGATGGTCAAGGTGATCTCGCCAGTGAATGCCCACGTCTTCCAAGAATACATACTGGATCGCATGGCTCCATTCCTCGCAAACACGAAGACAAACCCGAGCCCGATCGTTAGAGCAACGTACGCGGCATGCCTGGGAAGCCTTGCAACAGCCGCATCCCGATTTCTAGATATGGTGGCAACGCTGAAAGCTGATGGGTCGCTGCCTACGATTGACCCAGAAGCAGATGGGAATGCACCGGTTCTCTATGGACTCTTTGACAGCGCCCGCGCGGAGCTGATAGAGATATTCGAGACGCACACCAAGGCGCTCATTACGGATGGCGACTCGTCGGTGAGGCAGGCATTTCTGGGCTCCGTCCCGGAGCTGTGCATGTTCTTCGGGACTGCGGACTCCAACGATATTATCCTGAGTCATTTGAACACATACCTTAATGGCAGGGATTGGGAGCTGAAGTGCGCTTTCTTTGAGACTATCGTCGGTGTTGCAACGTTTCTTGGTGGCGTGACACTAGAGGAGTTTATCTTGCCATTGATGGTACAGGCCCTCACCGACCCGGAAGAGTTTGTCGTTGAAAAAGTCCTGCGGTCGCTTGGCCACATGGCCGAACTCGGTCTATTCCAACGGTCGAAGACCTGGGAGCTAGTCGACGTTGTGGGCCGCTTCACTATGCACCCGAATATTTGGATTCGTGAGGCAGCAGCTATGTTCATATCATCGTCAACTAGCTTCTTATCGATGGCGGATAGGCAGTGTATAGTGCTACCATTAATAAGGCCGTACCTGAAGAGCGACATTAGGGACTTCTCGGAGTTGAGGCTTCTTGATGCCTTGAAGAAGCCACTTCCTAGACCTGTACTTGATCTGGCGAGTAATTGGGCATTGAAGGTTGATCGGGGCGTGTTTTGGAAATCTGCACCCAAGCAGAAAACATTCTCGTTTGGATCTTCGAATCATACTATTCCGTCTTTCTCGGCCAAAGATACGACGCAGAATGCTCTGGCCAAGGTCCCCAAAAACGAGGAAGATGAGCACTGGATTGTACGACTACGAACCCAGGGAATGATGGCCGAGGACGAGTTTAAGCTGGTCGCCCTGCAAGAATATATTTGGAAAACGTCTCATTTGAAGACGAAAGAGCCGGTTAAGCACCCTGAGTATTTGAATGAGGTGATAAACCTGCGGAAGTTTGGTATTACGCCTCAAACCGTCATGTTTGACGAAGGATTTGAAGAAGCCCCTGGAAGTGGCAAATCACCTTCAGTAGATGCCGACAAGACGACCCACACTATCGCCGATGCATTACTCGATGCTTCGCTGACGATAGATGATACGTCGTCTCGATGGAGACAGAAGGGATATAGCAACCACCAGGCGCGCTTGGAAGAACACAATTCGACACTATCTGCGTCTGATAAAGGATCTAAAGAACCATCCCCTGCGAGATCACCACCAGGCAATGCTATGCAGAATGCGAGACAAAGTTCTGCTGCGAACCAAAGGCAAAGACCGACTTCTGACCAGTCAAGAGAGCCCCGTAGCAGTGGCAGAGCAAGCGATGATGATTCTGTGTCAATTACAAGCACTAGACGTGGCGGCCGACAGCAGCCGTCAAATGGTGCTATGTCTCTCCTCGGCCGGAACGATACAGCCAAGTCTTTCCCTAAAACGAGCACTACATCTACAAATGCCTTTGGTAGAGTTGAAGGCCCATTTAAGGGTACTAGCCACCCGGCAGCTGATCATGATCTCATGCAAAAGACTGAGGAGGCCAAGAAGAAGGATATCAAGTATCGCGCGGCGCACACATATTCTGGCAATGACCCCAGCATCCTTCAGATGCTTGACGCCATGTATGTTGAGAATTATCCAGACAACGTGCTTGAATTCGGTCCTATGGTTACGCCTGTCAGCCGACGCAAACCCGTCCAAAGAAGCAATATACAAGCAGTTGAAAAGCCATGGAAGCCTGTTGGCATACTTGTAGCACAGTTCTCTGAGCATTCTGGGCCTATTAATCGAGTTGTTGTGGCGCCAGACCACATGTTCTTCCTCACCGGAGGCGATGACGGGACTGTCAAGTTGTGGGATACCGGCAGACTCGAAAGAAACATCGCACATCGGTCACGGCAGACTCATAGGCATGCAGCGGGGGCTAAAGTGAAGGCATTGTGCTTCATAGAGAACACGCACTGCTTCGCAAGCTGTGCAACTGACGGGAGTGTCAATGTTGTTAAGGTCGATTTTGTATACCGGACTGGTGTCGCCTCTGCCCGGTATGGAAAGCTCAAGGTCATCCGCGACTACCAGCTACCAAAGGACGAGTATGTTGTTTGGTGCGACCACTTCCGCGTCGAAACGAGCTCAGTATTGATGCTAGCGACCAACAAGTCGCGCATCATTGCCCTAGATCTGCGAACCATGACGATCCTCTACGAGCTGGAGAATAACGTACACCATGGTTCTCCGACGTGTTTCCTTGTGGATAGAAAGCGGCAATGGATCTTGATTGGTACTTCTCATGGCATTCTTGACTTATGGGATCTAAGATTCAGGATTCTGGTGCGGAGTTGGGGAGTGCCAGGCGCGACCTCTATTAGCCGCATATGCTTCCATCCGTATAGGGGGAGGGGTAAATGGGTATGTGTCTCTGGTGGGAATGCCCATGGAGAGATAACGGCATGGGACTTGGAGAAGTTTCAATGCAGGGAGGTGTACCGTTCAGGAGGCGGCGAAGATAGACCCCCAAGATCTTATGACCCTTGGCCGGTCGACGATGACAAGCCAGAGAGCATGCTGGAGCGCTTTGCAGCTACGCATGACCTCACTACAAGCAATGCGTCTGCCCAGGGAGCCTGCGCTATGGTCACAGGGACAGATGCATACGAAGACGGCTCGGAGTTGAAGTATGGGTTCATCATTGCCGGTGGGGCGGACAGAAAACTGCGGTTCTGGGATATGGCAGATTCAAAGCACTCTGAGATCCTTAGCGGGCAGGAGATTGATGACCCCAAGCCTGTTTACACGATATCGAGGCCCACCACTGGACTCATAGTGAATGTCGAAAGGCTGCCTCGGCCGCAACCCACGGCGCAAAACGCAGCCGCTGGATCTCGAAGTTCGTCGAGTAATAGTAAGGGCCAGGACAAAAAGTCGTCGCGGCCTACGGTGATGTCGTTGCACCAGCAGTTGTTGCTCAGGACGCATCTTGATGCGATTACTGACGTTGCACTGATTGAGGCTCCGTATGGAATGACGGTTTCTGTGGACAGATCTGGGTGCACATATGTCTTTCAATGAGTGTTTAGGAGTACTGGAGACGGAGTTATAGATTTGCATGGGGAGAGTTGAATGGCGCAGAGGTTGTATAGATACCAAGGATACATTTAGTGAAATATTATTATACAGTTTTAGACATGCTCTCTGAACGAATTGGAATTGTGATACTGAAGTTATTTGTGTTAGGATCTCGCTATCTTCCTAATTCATCCTAATTAGTACTAGCGCAAGTTAATTCATAATTTTGAAGCTATCATCAGGCGCGGTCCAACCTTCAGCCTTGCCGAAAACCACGAGACACCACAATCCCACCGATTCACCCACGCCCACACCCCCCACCACCTCTTTCATTTACGATCCGACTACCCGCATGCCACCGACACTGAATCTACATAGGTAAACGTCCAGACAAACCGCAGCAATGCGTCTCACCACCGAACTCATCCAATCCTCCCTATCATACCTCAATCCCCTCAAAGAGCGAGAGCTCGACCTGCGAGGTGCGTTGTCCCTGAGAAGAACTGATACTACACTTTGAGGCGAGCAGAGTTGATATCGATATCTGGGATTGCAGGTCACAAAATACCGAGCATCGAGAACCTGGGTGTTGCTGGCGTGAGTTCTCCATTCCCCCTCCTCCCATGTGGCATTATACGTCATATTGGCTTTCTTTGGACTTGGGGCCGCATACTACTGCTAGATAAGAGAGAGCTATGGACTGACAAATGACAGCCACAAGATGCGATCGACTTCACAGACAACGACATCCAGCTTCTAGGCAACTTCCCCCTCTCCCCGCGCCTCTCCACCCTCCTCCTCGCCCGCAACCGCGTCGCTCAGATCCAGCCCTCCGTCGCGCAATCGATACCGAATCTCACCACCCTCATCCTGACATCGAACAACATCGCCGAGCTAGCTGATCTCGACGCCCTCGGCACACTGCCCAAGCTCACGCACCTGGTGCTGTTGGAGAACCCTGTTACACGGAAAGAGGTAGGGAGCTCTCACCATTCTAGGAGATATCTGGGGTATGTGGGGATAGAAGCTGACGGGATAAACAGCACTACAGACTCTGGGTCCTCTTCCGCTGCCGCGCCGTCCGCTTCCTCGACTACCGCAAGGTGAAGGACGCGGAGCGCAAGCAAGCGGCGGAGCTCTTTGGAACGACATCCGAGCCCTCGGAGCTCGCGAACAAGATTATGGGTATCAAGTCGAGGACGTTCGATGTGCCGTCTGCGAACGGTGCGGCGGCGGCATCGAACAAGAATTACAGGGTTAAGTTGACGGATAAGGAGAGGAAGAAGGTGGAGGAGCTGATTAGGAACGCGAAGAGCTTGCAGGATATTATTAGGCTGGAGAAGGAGCTTAATGAGGGGCGCGTGCCGATGGGTGCACAGGGTGCGGATGAGATGGAGGAGTAGGGTGGGGTGGCTTGGATAGTCCTTTGAGGGTATGCATCTGGGGCGTTTATAGGAGGTCATGAAAAGTATGGCGTCGGCCGGGTACGTTGGAGAGTCTTTAGACTGTAAATTATGATCTGAGACGCGCAATGCTAAGAGACATAATATGACTATATATTCCATCCGTGCCCTGGCTAGATTGTTGCAAGAGGGATAATGTTACAACTCTTTAATTGCATAAAATAACTGTGCCGCATGTAGCACTTCCTTTCCACTTCGCTGTCCCCGCGGACGGACTTTACTGTTACTATACTGTACATCGCTGTCTACCGAACGCCTTCCTCGCCGCCAAGATGTCCAAATATGCACTCTCCCCCAAGCACTCTTCCAGTGGTGTTCGCACAACTATCCCGCCTCTCCACTTATGTCATGTGTCCCTTCCATCTCTTCACTTGAACTCCACTGCGCGTTGCGAGATCAATAATCCAATGATCAGCCCAAACAGTCCCAACACCGAACTGAAGATCTCAATAACGAGGATCTTAACAAATCTGTCCCCATATTAGCAAGAGCTCTAAAAATCCAACCCTGTACACGCCCCCCAGGGATAAACTCACAAACTCGGATCCGCAGCATCAGCCAGCGCGGCACCGCTACCGTTAATCCCGACGCTCACGCCGCAGATGAGGTTGCACATGCCGACGGTAAGACCGCCCCAGAACAGCGCGTAGCCGGTATAGTAGTTGCTCCCCGAGTAGATGGCATCGCCCTCGACGACGTTGATCTTGGACGAGAAGACGATAGACATGATGACGCCGTAGATGGCTACGACTTCGCAGAAGATGATGGAGATGAGGTTCTTGGTGCGGATGCGCGGCGCCTTGACGCCGCCACCGAGGATGGACGAGCCGGTTATGAAGATGCCCCTGTGAGATGGGAGTTAGCGGGTGTGAAGGCAAAGATGAGAGGGGGGTGGTTACCATGCGGCGCCGATGACAGACAGGCCAATGCAGAGCCCGATGCCCAAGTCTGCCCAGGCGTAGGGCGAGACGTCTTCAAGGAACTGTCCGACCTGGATATGGAGTTAGCTACGTCGCCTGTCGTAGACTGGGAAAGAGCGTACATTGAATGCTTCTCCATCGCCAGTAAGGAGCATATCTAAGCCGCATAGGTTAGCTGCCTGGACCTCAGGGTGTCGAGGGGTTGAGTCTCACAAAGTCCAATCACCGCGAGGGTGGACGTAGAGCCAACGACGCCATATGTGATACTCATCTTTGCAATGCCTGGAGCTTGCAAAAACAATATGAAAGAGAGTGGCGGCGGGGCGAGTTGGTGAAGCTCAGCTTCGATATCGAACTCACTGTACAGGTATCCCAAGCTTGGACGTCGCGAATTGCACTCTTGTCAGGTACAGGCGACCGTACGGACCTTTGGGCCACACACGTAGCGTGAGGCTCTGTGCTGACTAACCGCCCCATTGCCTTCACCCCGCCTCATATAGACTCATCCTCTTCTCTTCTTCCACCAACGTCCCGTCATCGTCACCAGAAAAGACATTCACGATGGCAGCGAACGCCAGTCCCTTTTACGAGCTCTACCGCCGTAGCAGGTACTGTTACGCTCTTCACCGCAGCTTTGCTTCACCGAACTTGGAGTAGTGCTAATGCGTTTGCCTTGGTAGTGTCGGGAGGACTCTGATGGATACCCTCGACGAGCTGATCGGAGAGCGCCGCATCGAGCCGCAGCTTGCGATGAAGATCCTGAGCCACTTTGATCGAAGCATTACGGAGGTGCTGCAGGATAAGGTGAAGGCGAGGATGACGTTCAAGGTATGGATGGCTGGGGGGACATGGCTGCGACAATGGCAATGGTACTGATGAGGGATGATATAGGGACACCTCGACACCTACCGCTTCTGCGATGAAGTGTGGACCTTCCTGATCAAGGACGTGACGTTTAAGATGGACAATACGAGTGTTCATGCGGACAAAGTCAAGATCGTGAGTTGTGGGACGAAGAAGGATTGAGATGCCTCTTAAGGCTATGGCGAACGAACACGAAATTGCATATATGTAGGATGGATTAAGGCTACGAAGAGGAGATCGTTCTTCATCTTACAGCAGGAGTTACTGGTCTAAAATGGGACATGGAAGGGAACGGCGTTCGTGGTTGCTGGCGGAAATAGAAACATCACATGGTGTGACTGAGTCAACCTGGACTGAAACGGCTGGTAATTTGAGATACCAAGATGTTGTTGTAACTGCATAGACAGAAATATACACAAACCATCAAAATCCAAAGCCAGAGAGTAAATAAACAAACCATTCGTGACAGTATTTACCTTTGAACATACCCCAAGTAGAGAGAGCACACTATAAACATGCGGCTAAACCGCCGACCCGCCAACACCGGCACCCTCCCGGCTCCGCCCCACATAGACCACCGCACCTAAGTCCCCAGGGCCTCGCACCAACGCCGCAAGCCTACCAGAAACAGTACGTACGTCAGTACCACGGGCTCCCCCACCCACCCACGTCCCTCACCACCATTCCCATGGCCTCCGCATCACCCTCCAGCGCAACCAGCACCTCCTCCACAACCGCACCACACCCCCGACAAGCCCTACGCTCCCGCAACCTCCCTCCGCTCCCTGAATTCACGTTCCCGCCGTCCCCTGGACCCGAGGACAGCGCGCCGACGACGCCGCGGGTGCAGATAGAGCAGCAGAAGAAGAAGGAGGGGGATATGGCTATCTCAGATTTGAGTAAGAAGGCGCAGTGGATTACGTTTGCGCTGTCGAGTGGTGCTTGTGCGGCTATCAATGGGGTGTTTGCTAAGCTGTTCGTCGTCTCCCTTCCTGTGTGTGTGGTGGTGAATGCGATTACTGATATTGGGTTCGTGATGATTGTAGGACTACGACGGAATTGACGACGACGTTTGCGACGTTTCTTGCGGGGCTTATTAATTTGGAGAAGGGAGAGCAGGCATTTGAGTATGCTATTCGTGCGGTAAGTTTTCTTCAATTGCGTAGTGATTTACAGAGGCAGGACAAATTGTGCCACCAAGGTTATTAAATTTGGCTATCGGGGTCCCCACGATATTCGAGCACCAATCTCTGAAACTAGAAGCTGACATACCCTCTCTAGATATTCTTCGCCCTAAACCTAATCTTCAATGGCATCGTAAGCCCCCCTTATGTCACCCCCACCCTCATCCTCTGCATTCTAACATAGACCCCCCAGATGTGGACGCTCTTCACCAAAGCCCTCTCCCGCTCCCCCTCCACCACCCAAGTCGCCATCCTCAACACCTCCGCAAACTTCATGATCACCGCCATCCTCGGCCTCGTCATCTTCTCCGAATCCCTCCCGCCCCTGTGGTTCGCCGGCGCCGCGCTGCTTGTCGCAGGGAACGTCATCATCGGCCGCCGCGAGGAGAAGGAGATTTCTGTCGCGGGAGAGGATGAGCACCGCACTTCTGAGGAGGGGAGCGGCACGTATTCGGATGCTGGTGAGGGACGGGCTTTGCTGGCTGATGATATTGAGTTGGAGACGGATGGCGAAGACACGATGCCCGTTAAGCGGAGGGACGACGAGGATATCCTGGACTTGCAGATGCCTCCTGATGAGCCGAAGAGGGTCGGCTAGGTGTGTGTGATTGGGTTGTATAGTGTCTGGCGTTCGATACCTTGGGTTAATAGATTGTATATATAAAAATTTCGTTGGCACCCCCCAAAGGGCCCCCGTGGTGCCTGCAGCTAGTATTTCGTGTAATCGAAGGAGGTTAACTTATCCAACGTTACTGTGGCGTATGCATCATCATATGCGATTCAATTCCACCCCATCGTCTGGTATATCCTCGGTGCCGTCCATTATCCCCGTTCGCCGCTGTGCACTTCCCCTTCTACTCACGTCGCTATTCAATCTGATCCTCCCCCGACTGACTGTGGCCAGTTTATCACTTGCCCAGTCTGCTCCACGCAAGATAAGGCCCCACAGCCACTCCTCTTGTCCCTCCACAATGCCTCTATCATCGACCCTCGGGGTTTCACTCGCCTCGGCCTTGAACTGGTACTTGAGGCAGTCCTTCACCGTCACAAGACCCAGTACCTTTCCGCGGTACTCAATAAGGATCACGCGCGGCCCAATCTTTCGGAACATATCCATTACCGTCTCAAGCGGGAGGCGGGGGTGCACGCTTACGGGCGTTGGGTCGACGAACCGTGAAAAGTCGACGGAGGAACTAGAGCCATCAACAGTCACGGCCGGCGTGAGGGGAGTGGAAGGCGTCTGAGGGGCGAGGGACGCGGAGGAGGCAGGCGCTGCAAAGTAGCAGCGCGCAGTTGGGAGAACCCCGTGGTTTTTCTTGACGCGGTCGACGGCGTAGCGCAGCTCGGTGCGGCCAATGTACCCGACAAGGATTTTTGCGTGCCGCTCCTCGACAACAGGGAAGCCTTGGAACTCTCTGTCGGCAAGAACAGCCTCGATGTCGGCCATGGTGCAGCCGGTCGTTGGGAGGGTGACGGGATCAGACGTCATGACTTGTGAGACTGGGACACCAAAGTTGTGCTCTTCTTTGTTGTCGAGGAATGGGAAGCCGTTAAACCAAATCATCTGGTCGGCGATGCCGCCTTTTCCAAACAATTCGCCAACCGCCTTGGTGACGCCGACAACGATCATAGTTGGTAGAATGTAGGTAAGAGCACCTGTGAGCTCAAACATAATGACCACCACCGAGACGGTGATATGCATGATGCCAGAAAGCGCCGCTGCTGAGCCGAGGAAGGCGTAGGTACCAGGGGTGATGCATGGAAGGTCGGGGTCGCAGGCGGAGAAAAATGCGGAGGTAGGATTAGCATCATGAATCGCTTCCACGAGTATGCCGACCGCGCGGCCAAACGAGGCGCCGATAGCCATAGATGGGACGAAAATCCCGGCTGGCACCTTGCAACCATATGAAATGATGACAAGGCTGGTACGGATGGCAGTGGCGAGGATGAGGGAGAAGAACATAGACCACCTATGCTTGCTCTCGCAGAGGCCGTGGTAGTCTTCGCCGCCTTCGCATTCTTTGAAAAGAATTTCCATGGACTCGGTCATGTCGATGCTCAAGAATATGCTCGGAAAGCAGATAATGGCAGTACCAACTGCCAACAGCGTCGCTTCCAGAACCCCATGCTTCGACAGATACTTCTTTCGAAAAGCCTGAGCCCTTAAATTCCATTTAATGACAAACGCTCCATATAAGCCGCCGAATATGCCGATGATGATATAGAATATCACTTCGAAGAAATGCCATGATCGATCATACCTGACCTGAAACATGACGAGCTGGCCTGTTCTGAAAGGGTTCATGGCAGACAGAACCGCTGTTGCTACCAGGCAACAGAAATATGTACGCCACATAGTCTTCAGAGGAAAGTGCGGAGACATCTCCTCTAAGGAGAATAGGACACCTCCTATAGGACTGCCAAAGGCGACTGCGACACCTGCAGCGGAGGATGCGCTCAGAATCTCCCGAGTCTTGGACGCATTGCGCTTGTATTTGTCGAATAATCTTGATATAACATTTCCAGTGCACACAGCATAGTGCACACTCGGGCCCTCCTTTCCGACTGAGAGACCAGATGCGATAGCGAGAGGTAGGCCGATCGACTTGATGAGCAGAGTCCACCATCCCAGGAAGCCTTTCATAACGAACCCAGCGATAATGCATTTAATCTCCGAGATTCCAGACCCGGCGGCGTATGGCGCAAAAGATTTGACCAGTGTCGCTGATGTGAAAGCAAATATCCCTGCTGTAAGAATATACATCAGGTAGTTGACGGGGGCGATCGGAGTCCAGTTGTGCCATTGGGGGCACCCATTATCTTCTCCCCAGCAACAAAAGTTCTGGTTTAGGTAAAACCCTGTGGTACAATATCCAAGTTTGATATCCGACAACCATTCTGTGATGATGTTCAGGAGTGCCGCGTTGAGGCCAATCGCAGCACCTATCAAGGTGACGACGATCCAACCCTGACCCGCATTGTATGCCTCCCATAGCTGATATCTCCAGCCAGCCTTGCCACCTCTTGTAAAGAACCTCGCATTTTCTCGCCGCCGCGCTTCGCGTCTCTGTTGTTCTCGGGCAGCATCTTGTACCCAATCTGTAGATCGTCAGTTCGGCACCACAGGGCGGGTCGAGTGTATTAATAGACAGAGCTACGAACCTATTGTTGTGAAATCCTTCGACATTATCAGCTTTAGTTTTCATATGGCAAACTGGAGCAAACGCACCTCATATCGTTTTATCTCTTCTATTTCCTCATCTATCTGGTGTTCTGCTCCAGTTGGAGCTGGGCCCCCCTCGCCCAGGTCAGTCGCATTGGAGACAGCGATGGATATCCGACTTGCGACTGATGGGCGTCGTGGGCGCAAAGTGGTCATTGAAGACGATGATGCTTGTCGACTGGTCATAGATACGACCTATACAGCCATGAGGAAAGAGCAATAATAAATGGACATGAGTGCCGTCGAGAAATATATGCCGCGTACAACCTCTTGCGTGCTGTGCCTGGAGCTTGCTTGGCTTGTCCACACTGTGACTGCGGCCGCTAGTGCAACCACCCAACCTACCACCCTGCACGTACTTTGTCCACTTTAGTAGCCTCGACGCGTCTTCCGATTGAGCGCGATTGTGCATGTAGTAGCACATGACATGACAAACTTCGAAATACGAAATTTCAGTATATTGAGAACGAGTCCTAGGGCAACACCAACGAGGCACCTATACAGACTGGGCATACTGCGGAATTACGTGTGCTGTAAGTTATGAAAATTTATTCTCTCAAGGCGTGCTGGCGGTGCTGGAGCCGGTGTGTCAATCTCCTGTCAATCTCTACGAACAGGTGTTGAGATATTTCACTTGTCCTATGGCATTTTGGAGATATCTGACGTTTTCTATTTCGTTTTGCACATGGGATTGTCTCTTTCATATGGGATTACTGGGGTTGTGTGGCAGACCCCATGTATACGACACTGCGGTATTCACATAGTGCTTGAGCCTGTCAGCAACCTGGATGCTGTTTTATTCTGCTTGAACATAGCTAATACGCCTCATCAGAATCATAAAAAAGCTGTTATCCAGCTTGTACCGTTGGAACACGTTTAAATCTTCTCCATTTCCCCCAAATCGCCACCATGCCATCTTCAGCCATCCCGCCCAGGGGTGATACCACCGGGACCTCACAACTACCCCGTAAGTGTCGTCCTTCCGGTCCAACCAGCCCATTCTAACTCCGCCCAGTCTCGCGGGTAAAGCGCCTCATAGCCCTGGACCCCGACATCGCCGCCTGTTCCAACCCAGCCGCATTCCTAATCGCCCTAGCCACAGAATCCTTCATCCAGCACCTCTCCACCTCCGCCCACAGCGTCGTCCGCTCGGAGCGCAAACCCCGCAAGAACATCCAGTACCGCGATCTCGCTGCGGCAGTTGCGCGTATGGACACACTCGAGTTCCTGTCCGATGTTGTCCCGCGAACAGTGACGTTCAAGGAGGTTAAGGCCAAGAAGGCGCGCGAGGGCAAGGAGAATGGGGAACCAGGATTGGATGCTGGACAGACTACGTTGGCGGCTAAGGGATTTGAAGCCGTGGTTGCGGAGACGCAGAATGGTCGGAGAGAGTCTGTGCAGGTGGATGGCACTGAGGATGCGGATGACGAGGATGCGGATCCGGAGAGGCAGTTGCAGATGGAGAGTCAGGATGCCAGGACGAGTTTCGGGAGCGAGCCTAGGCAGAAGAAGGGGAGGACGGATGGGGATGGGGATGTGGATATGAGTTAGGTTGAGAGTGTTCTCGGGTGAATGGCGTAATAGGATGCATGCATTAGGATAAATATGTGACAGCGGCTTAGTATATCATGAAAGGATGTTTTGTGTTGGTTCACATTAACTCGAACTTATAATTACGGTGCTCAAATAGGTCCCATCAAAAGAGCCTGCACTTCCTCACCCTTTCCAATTTTGTCGCCAATTGGCAAACATAGCAGTGCATTTGCACTTTTCAAACTCCCAACCATCGAGCTTCTTTGCGCCCCAGTACTTGTTGCCACAAGCCTCCCATTTCTCCCAATACTCACTACCGCACGGTGATATTCCTTTCTCTGCTTATCCAACCTAATCTCATGTCCAAGAAGCACTGGTACTGAAGGCAACCCGGCCGGCTGCACCCCACTCGCAAAATGCAAGCTAGGAAGCACGAAAAGATGAAGTGCCACGACAGCGCTCGCGGGATTGCCAGGTAAGGAAAATACCAGCTTCTTGACGGGAGAACCATCGTTGGATTTTACCGGCACCGTAGCAAACGTCGACGGCTTTCCCGGCTTCATCGCTACGCGCCCGAAATGTATCGTTCCCCCAAGCTGCCTCTCGATCGTAGGCTTGAGCAGATCTAACTCGCCCATTGAAACACCACCTGAGGTAATGATAACATCGACCTGTCGCAGTGCAGCGCGAAGAGTTTCCTCAAGCGATCCAGGGGTATCACTCGCGATTCCGAGGTCTCGTGCTTCAAAGCCCCAGCTTCTGACAGCAGCCATGATGGTGGGTCGGTTACAATCCCTCACTTCTCCCAGACGAAGGGGCCCAGGACGATCATGTTGCACGATTTCATCTCCTGTAGAAAGGACACCAACAATAGGGTGGCGGTAAACGTTGACTTCTGTTCGGCCAACGGATACCAATAATCCTAGCTCGCCGCCTGTGGCAGAGATCTGGTCGCCCTTACGGAGGATAACAGACCCTGATTGGATATCACTGCCAACCTCACGGATATTTTCGCCGACCTTGACGTCTGTGGCTAAGATCTCAACTTCCTTTTCTTCTGTACCATCCTCAGAAGTCGATTTGAGGGCTGTGTCTTCAACCATAATCACCGACGTAGCTCCTGGTGGGAGAGGCGCGCCGGTGGTGATCCGAGTTATTTGCCCCTTCAATAGAGGTTTGATCTCCCCCGGTGCAGCATGAGAGATAGATGCAACCGGGAATACACCAGCGGAGCTCTCTCCTCCTTCGGGAGCAATGACAGCATATCCGTCAACGATGCTGGCCCTAAACGCCGGCACGGCCTCAGTAGCGGTGACATCTTCAGCAAGAACGAAGCCAACAAGCGAACCATCTACTTTGGCGGATATTATTTGAGGTGCTGGAGTCTCATTTTTGATTAGTTCCAAGGCATGGCTAACTTCAAGCGTTGGATACGGTGACGACCGGTGTCGTCGAGACGGGCCAGCCGCGGGGTCATTAGATTGAGGATTATCCGTTTCTCTTGTGTGCCGGACTGGCATTGCGTGGCCATGGCCATGGCTATGTGAGTGGCTATGGTCATGGGTGTGCGAGTGACCGTGGTTGTGGCCCTGGTTGTGCCCATGATGACCAGCGCGAGGCCCGCTAGAGCTTATTCCAGCCTCCGATTCTAGCTTTTTGATGCCTCCTGCGTGCAGAGACCTCGAATCCGCCCCCGCTGCTTGTAAGCATGCATGGGGTAGGAGCTTCAAAATACACTGGAGATTCTCCTTGGCGCCCTTTGGGGAGCCTGGAAGGGTGATAATGATGCTCTTGTTGCGGACGCCAGCGACGGGGCGTGACATGAGTGCAACTGTACTACGTATTAGAATGCAAATAATTTTTAAATCTGGGAATACAAACATGGTGTTATGGCGGCCGAAGATGAGAGCATTCCATATACGAGGCCTGGGGCCTGGCGATGTAATAGTGGTGAGACAGCCTGTCACGTAATGAGCAAACATCCAATATGGCATCGTGTAAACATTCAACATACTTCTGGGGTAAGGTCTGCGACAGCAAATCCAGTTCCTCCAGTGGTAATTATAACATTGACCGGATTATCCTGGCCGGCCCAATGCTTGATAGCCTCCTGTATGTCCTCGACTACATCGCCGACGATCTTGGTCTCCACAACATCCCATTCCCATTGACCGCCCGCCTCTTGCTTAAAGACATCTTTAAGGATGTCGCAAGATTTATCAGTAGAAGGATCCTCTACAGCTGTGGTAGAGACTATAAGTATTGCTGCTCTCAGCGTGTTTTGCGACATCGTGTTGGGGTTGTGATGCTAAGGACTATGAACGCATGTTCTGGTGGGGGAAACATGGGGAAAGTTGGGGTCAATGTGTCGGCGCGACACGCGGGAGGCGCCGTCCGCCTTTATCGACGATTGGTGGGACGACCAAACATCACATCAACAGCTTCAAACTCTCGTTAATAATTATTGCTTTTGCAATATCCTCATAGTATCCATTGCGCCTTGCTAATATGACAGATAATTCTACATTACCCCGCAATATCTATTATTTTTGCCCCTTTCCCTTTGCCTCGTTCTCACCCAATTCTCTGATGAACACCTTCACCAGACCATCTGGGCTGAAGTCCTTTCCGTCTTCAAATCCAGGAGATACGCCGATAGCGAGATATTTCCCGTCGGTGCTAAATGACAGCGCTGCTACACTTGTAGCATACTTCTGATATTGCCTGATTCTCCTCTTCGCAACGGCATCCCATAGCGCAACAACGCCATCTCCGCCACCACTGGCAAATGTGCCGTGGATAGGGTTAAACGTCAATGCGTTGACGGGATACACAATATCCGAACCATCCCCCGAAGAGTCAGGTTGGCGATGGCACTTGAAAGCGTACTTCCTAGCCTGTGACGAATCCGACGGGTCAAACCATTCCACCGCGACACGGCCCTCGATTGATGATGTTGCGTAACCAGCGTCATTTGGCATGCACGCCACTGCTCTTGTCATGAATTTCAAAGAACTCTCCCTCTTTTGCCATGGCTCGACCTCGCTCTTGCCATCGGTCGTTTGTGAAGAGAGTAATGCTGTGGATTTCAAGTCGTAGATATTCACCAGACGTGATGCCATGGCAACGACAAGGCGGGTTGGAGATAGTGAAAGTGAGAATGGCTTTGCGGGCAGTGGGATTGTGGTGGGTCCTTTCGAAGGGTCGGAGAGGAAGTGGAGGTGGAGTGTGCTATCCCATGACGAGGAGATGAGGAGCGAGTGCTCTTTGCTGTATACAACGCGGTTGGCGGGTGCTTCGTGGGTGCTGAGAACAGTTTGTTCGCCGGTACTTAAATCAATCCTAAAGTCAATGTCAGAATGTGTTACCTCCTAGACTAGGCTGTGAATTTACGTACCGCTTCACCTGCCAATCCATGCCTGCTGTGAAGGCCTCATCGTCGCCCGCGCCAAAACAGGTATCCAGCACTGGAGCACGATGCTCATATTTGTTCACTAAGGTCCCAGAAGCATTTTCTCCGCCTTGAACTTCGTATAAATGGAGGTATTTATCCCATGACGAGACAAGTAGGCGGTTGGGAGAGTCTGGCGCAAACTTGACAGCGGAGATAACATCTGCTGGAGGCGTGGAAATCTCGAATTGGGTTGCTTTAAACAATGTTAGCTGTATATTACTTAGAATCCATAATCTGGCTCAAAGGCGGTGAAGAGTTTTACCTAAAGACATCTTGTAGTTGTAGCGTGAGGTGTGTTGTTCTATCAGCGGGCGTGTTGATAAATGTTGGTTTGGATAAGGTCGCGATGGAGATGGAGCTTAGATTTGGATTCTGCCGCACTATCGCTTACCGCCTTTAGACCCCTCCAGACCACAGGATGACGATTCGGAACAATTTCAAACCAAGAACATAAACATACAAACATATGCGAATTTTTCAATACTATATTCTAGAGTCACCGCAGATTCTTTGAATAATACCCAGATTAAAGTCAAACAAGCCAGGGGGTTGCCTGATAGAAGCCCGTCATGCCGTTCGCACAGGTAGGTTTCCTCAGGTCAAGCAAGGCTGATACGATCAAGTATTAACATTTCTACAGCTTGTTGTAGGCACAGCTGGTGCAGGCAAATCTACATACTGTGATGGCAGTAAGTATAGACCAGAACGTTCTAGTATCTCCAATGCTAACTACGGCAAAAAGTGCAACAGTTCATGTCTGCCATCGGGCGCAAATGTTCGGTCGTCAACCTCGACCCCGCCAACGAGCACACAAACTACACAGCAGCCCTCGACGTTCGCGAAATAGTCCGTCTCGAAGACATAATGCGCGACGATGAGTTAGGCCCCAACGGCGGTATACTTTATGCTATGGAGGAATTAGAACACAACGTCGAGTGGCTGGAGGAGGGCCTCAAGAGCTTAGGGGAGGACTATGTAATTTTTGACTGCCCGGGGCAAGCGGAGCTCTTCACACATCACTCATCATTACGAAATATATTCTTCCACATACAGAAGATGGGATACAGGTTGGTTGTTATGAATCTCACAGATTCTTATTGCCTCACCCTACCATCACTATACATCTCGAATCTCATCCTCAGTCTCCGCGCCATGCTCCAGATGGATTTGCCACACCTCAACGTCCTCACCAAGATCGATAAGCTTTCCTCGTATGACCCATTACCCTTCAACCTCGACTTTTACACCGAAGTCCAAGACCTGAGCTACCTCCTCCCGCACCTCGAAGCCGAGTCATCCGTAATGAAGGGTTCCAAATTCGCCGGCCTAAACTCGGCCATCGTCAACCTCGTCGAGAGCTTCGGGTTGGTCGGATACGAGACGTTGGCGGTGGAGGATAAGCGCAGCATGATGCACCTCCTACAAATGATTGATCGAGCAGGCGGATACGTCTTTGGCGGGGCGGAGGGCGCAAACGATACGGTATGGCAAGTTGCCATGCGCGAGGGATTGACGACCATGGATATAAAAGACGTCCAGGAGCGCTGGGTAGATGCGAAAGACGAGTTTGACGAGAGGGATAGGAAGGAGCAAGAAGCGCAGGATGAAGCTGAGAGGGCGAAGGCCGAGGCTGCCCAGAAGCTCGAGGCGCATATGGGAGACGATGAGGTGGACGAGGACTTTGGCGACATGTCGTTACCTCCGGGTGGTAGTGGGATTAAAGTTGTTAGAAAGAATAAATGATGTCCCATCAACCGTCATCAGTGCTGCTGTAGTCTGCAGGGTCGTCGTCACTCGCATCGAGCATTAACACTTCCGAGTCGGCAGCTACCGGCCTATTATCTTTCGGCTTCCCAAGGATACTCTCTAACGTCGCTGCGCTCTGGTCGCCAAGCGCCCGCTTCGCTCTGAGAATCATTTCGCGCGCCCGGCGAATAGCTTCTTCCTCAGCCTTGCGGATTGTGCCGCTGACCCTGATAACACGGTATACGCATTTCTTGCCATCCTTGACCGGAACCGTATTCATCATCGACAGGGCCGCCCAAGCAATTCTGTAATGCGCCCTTGTAACTCGTATAATAAACGTCGAAGTGGCCGGCGACAAATATTTAACTGCTCGCCGTTAGAAATGCGCATGAGTCTGTGAAACTGGAGGGCTAATCTCACCCATCAAACTTCCTGCTATCGCTCCAGAGCCATAGTCTCCGAATAGTTCGAGTACCGCTTCTCGAATTGCTTTTATGAGAAGCTGCGGCGTGAGGTCGTCGGTCGTGGGCTGGTTGAAGGCGACGACGTCGGGTACTTTTGACGATGGTAAGGCTGTGGCCTCGGGATAGAGAATGTTTACCAAGAGGTATCTATTCTTTAGCCTAACCATATTTACTAGAAAGGTTGGATCGCCAACCCTGAATCTTCGTGACGGGTTCTACTGAGAGATGCTGTGGATGTCGTCTGGAAAGCCAATTGTGCTCTGCCAAGAAGTTTATTCTTAGCGCGCTGTCAGCCTTGCAGATCCACGTTCGTCATCAAGGGCCAGGGTAGTTTACAAAATATAGTTCTGTAACTATTTTATTTCTATAGTTTCTGAGAATAACTTTGAAATGTGCAATTGACTCTTTATGTGTCAAGGCGATGCATTAAAGCTAAATAATTTTGGATTATATATATAATTTGTCGAGCTACAGTGATTCTAGTGTATTTAAAACTATCATAATTTTGAGGTAAGCTCATAACAATCCGTTTGATAAAAAAATAGCAAGACAGCAATTGCACATTTTCAATGCCATCCATCATCTAGCCATATGGCTCCAAAATCTTGTAATGATACACAAATATAGCGCCTTTAAATATGTTTTAATGGCGGCCTGAACGGTAACAAAGGATTCCTACGTCTTTCCCTTGGAGTCCCAAACCCGAAACTGATATGCCTCGTCAACGCCCTCAAGCTTGTGCCCCTCTCATCCTGACTTCCCATAAATGATGCGACCTTTTTTTCAGGCACAAAATTGCTAAGAATATTTTCATCGCCGTCCCAATTCTGTCCATAGTTCTCGAAATACTGCGATCTCAACGGCACTGATTTTGACCGCATTGCCAGCGCCGTTGACCAATATGGTGGCTGATTAAAATTCTGGGATGCCGCGGTGAAGTAGCTTGGAACATCCGTCACCATAAACTGCCTAGACTGGTGACTGTGATGCACCACACTCGAGGCCTGCGAATCTGCCATGGACTGCGAGAAAAAGGAGCGAGGCGGCCAATCAGCATCAGCAAGTTCAATGGAAGGCTCTCTGTGGTATCTCTCAGAATGAGGCATAGGGGTGGCGAGCTGTGTTGGACTCCAATCCATTTGGCTTTGATTGAGTCTCATTTGGCTTTGGATGAGTCTTATATTGTTGACGGTTTTCTGCCTCGGCACTCTGGAAGATGGAGATGCAAAAATATCCTCGTCGACCTCAATTCTATGGCGGGCGATAGTTGGCCGCCGCGGCGCCCAAGGACAGCTCGGACTCAAATTCATCCTTTCATCATCATAGTTCTCTCCCCATAAATGCACCGCATCTGATACTTGGTATCTTTTAGAGACCATACTGGCAGTGTCATCAAGAATCATCTCACCATCCAGCATCTCAGCATCAGCTTCATCACCACTTGAAGATTCCGAGGCTTCTGTTGGAATCCGTCTTCGGATAGGGGTGGAAGGCAGTGTAAAGTTTAAAGACCTGCGGTCATGTTGCGGCGAGGATGGCTCGATGGAGTGTTCGTCGGCGCTAGAGCCAGCCTCACTACCGCTTTCTGATGCGTGACTATCTGACCCCTCGCTATGGTTATTATCATCATCTTCATCTATGTGGTCCTCATCAGACTCATCGTCCGAACTTGCTGTCGATGTTGGAAGCGGTGCCGAAACCATGGACAGTTGTTGGCGAATCACTTCCACGTCTTTATTAAACGTTACGTGGCGTTTAAATGTTGTGGCTTTCGGTGAAGTTTCTAACTGCATCGAATCCGAAAAACTACTATCATTATCAGATCCCTCAGAGTGTGGGTTAGGATCCATATCCATGCCGGCGTCCTCTACAATTGATGGGGACATGTAGCCAGCGATGTTTTCCGGGTCGGCATCAGACATCTGGCCTGCCGGCTTGGTATCCCATACGGTTGGTTGACTAATAATAGCTGCGCCTTGTTTGGCACCTCTGGTGCTGTTTTGCTGTTCTTTATGGCCATAGCTTGAGTCATCTGCAAGATGTTCTCGTCCAAATCGAATGTCAACTCTCTCTTTGAAGTCCCAATTTCCTTCTTGTACGGATTGCTGATCACCAAAGGTTCTTGATTGAACCAGTGGAAGCTGACATGAGTACCCCTTTGATCGTCTCAAGACACCTGGCATAGGTAATCGACGTGGCCGAGATGTCGCTTTTGTGCGCCCGATGGGTTGAGATTCTTCACCCTCGAAACCGTCACAAAAGTCAAGTCTGGTTGGTACCGGCTTGGGACAATCCGGTGGTTTTGAGGCACGGCTTATAAGCGTTAGGTCTTTGAAATGGATCCTAGAAGACATCATCTTTGTTTTTGGATAAGTCCTCTTTCGTTTTTTGCGTGGCATTTGGGGGCTGATTTCCGGAAATCGCTTTTGCCGTATGCTGAGCAGAGCAGCCTCTGGGACTACATGCTGACTTTCTATTACGGAGCTGTCATCATCGAACAAAAATTCTCCAGCTATAATAAGACGTGTTAGAATATTGAATATGCTGGCTATGGTGTTCGAACAAAAAACAGCTGCGTGTTGCTTGGGCAAATTTTTGGGTTTGATATTAAAAATGCCATTGGATGAGTACGTTGCTTACACTCTGGATTGCTCCTCTGCACGGCCCTTTCTTCTGTCAGTTGTAGCTGATTAAAAGTACGGCATATTCGTTCCGGAACGATATCTTCAGGTATTTCCTCCTGAATGGTCTCCAAAGCATCATCCTGTGCCAGTGTTTTATAACTAGTCCGAGTAGGTCGTTTTAGCCTTTTCTTTGACGGGCCTGGCGAAGTTTGATCTGTATCTGTTACAATGGGGCTCCCATTGATAACTGATGATTCATCTTGCTGACCTAGAGAAGGCTTTTGAATACGTGTATTTGAGTCGAGGCAACCCACTCTGATTGACTGAGTTGTTGCATGATCCAACTCACTGCTGCCACTCAGGGGTATATTGGTATTGGTATAAAGAGAAGCTGACTCCTCCCCGGACGAATCGTTGCTGATTGGTGGATTCAGTAAGGACGTTGAGAAAATGAAAGTAGAGAGCTGGGAAAACATCTTACCTGTCGTACCCAGATTCATCACCGAGATCAAATGAAGTATTACATTCTTCAAGCTCAACTGAAGCAACAGCTGTCTTGCCCAACTCTTCAACAGTTTTTCTTTCGCTAATTGGGGTTGGTATTTGTGCAGCATGAAAGTTAGATCTGGACTCGACTTCTGGAGCCAGTCTCTGGAAGTTGGCCGCTGTTTCATTTGGTATCAAATACTGTCGTTTGTTCGCTCCGTCCACGATTTGTTCTACTTGAGGGACAGGGTTTTCCCCGACAGGCTCAGAGTTTGGACCCTCTACGGAGTTAAGTCCGTAGGCACTTGGAGCATCGTGAGGAGAGTCAATCGCGCCATCTCTGATCTCACGAGTTTGAAAAGTATTATTCAGGCCAGAAAGAATCTGAGCATTGGAACGAGGCCTTTGAAAGCGAGCAGGACTGGGTGTTCTTGCCAAACTGTAAAGAAATTGTTCACACGAAAGAGCAGTCACCACTCTGGGAGGGACATTGGCATTGAGTCCTTGAAAAGGAGAAGTCAGGTTACCAGCCATGGCAAGAGAACATAAGGCATCACAATTCCAACAGTAACTCGAGAAGAAACGAAAGGCAACAAGAAGGAATACAGATGAACGGAAAGAAAATAGAAGACAGTACTTATATCTGGCAGCTTGCCTGACTTTACGACAAGCAGTCGAAGGTTGACTTCACTTGGAAGGTGCGACCCGAACGTCGTACCTGCCATTTGTGTTTGCTTACTTAAGCTAGGTCAAGAAAGGAGGCGAAGCCAAACCTCTTCCCATTCCTTCATACCTCTCTCTCCTTGAGCATCCGAAAAAACACAGTTTGGCATTGGTATTGACGAAAGCATGACGAGCAAGGCTGACCGCGTCGTATATTCTTAAAATCGATATATTGAGATATCCGGACAACATCATTGAAATTGAGAATTTTTGGATCACTCACAGCATGGCTTCGGATCGACTTGATACAGAGGTAGTTTATAGTCAATTTTACTGAGCAAGGTCTGTCGTTGTTAATGTAGCAAACAATATTCATATCTTCAAGAACCTTCGAGTCAGCGGCCATTCAAAAGATAAATGATTCATTACTTCTTTTTTAAGTATCCTTCAAGTTTTTCTTCTTTTGCATTGTGCGATACTGTTACATCAAACCTGCATCTCAAATATTACTACATCCCAACGGATCGAGATGCATTTATTCACGTTTATTCTACCCTTGGCTATCCAGGCTGCTGTGATCCATGCCGTCCCTCCTGGCTTGCCCACCAAATATGCATACCAAAGGGATGTTGGCAATGATGCCTCATTAACTGTCAGTACTGTTGGAGCCACCCCAGCCGTTGGCATCCATAACAGAGATTTGTCTCCAGGTAAGCTTCAAGTGGTATTATTTAATAGGAATGTCGGCTAACAAGTCTCAGATATTGCTGGAACCACTGTTGGCCATCACATTCCCCTGATGCCGCCCTTTGATCCACCATGTGCTACGACAACAGTAACTCACACAACAACCAAAACCGTACCTCTCACGACGAGCCTGGATTCCACAACTACAATAACGCTACACCAAACGAAAACCACCACATTATCCACAAAAATGGTTGCCACTGGACATTCAAACGCCACAAAGACCAACAACGCTTCGCTCAATGGCACAGCACCTTACAACACTCCACCAAAGGGCCTGAAAACTTCACCTGACAACAAATGTGGACCGAAAGTAGGGCAGACCTGCATTAGCAATTCGAAGGGCCGTTGCTGCTCCACGTTTGGATACTGCGGAGATACTGATGCTCACTGTGGTGCTGGATGCCAGAGCGGTTTTGGTGTCTGTGGAGTTGAAGGTCTTGTGGACGAGGATCCTGAATTGAGGTAATCAGTTGCAGCGCGACGAATATACCCCCGAAGCATTTCCTGTCTCTACTAGAGAACAAGCTTATAATCACAGCAAATGGAAGTTGATGGGGGATGAGTGTTTGGGGGTTGAGTTCTCACTTTGAGCATGATCTTCTAAAAGTAGTTTGAATGCGCGAAACCGGGACCCTGGTCGCTAGGAAATTTCATAGCTTCATATGTACCTTAACAGCCTGAAATTCAAAGAATTACAACTCTTAATTACAAAAAGAGCAAACCAATTATCCCCCAAACCCTCATCTCACCACCAAATAACACCCTAAATCACCTGACTAAACTCAGGGGCGTCACGTGTCCCCTCGGCTTAAACCTCCGGCCTACATGCAGCTTTGCTCGGGAAAGCTTCCCTCACTAGCGCGACGACGCTCGGGTCCCAGAAACATTTCGAAGTTTTGAGAAAGCGTCAAACCAGCCAGTCTCATAACACAAACCACCGCTATCATCAATCCACGCACCATTACAAATAACTCTATACCTTCTTTCAATTCGAGACTTTAGCATCAACAGCTTAAACCGCCAATATGGTATGTTTGATCTCAATCCCCGATCCCGCTCCCGCTTCAATTCCCCAGCCCAGGAGTCAGCCGGCGCGATCCGCACCTGCCATTGTCGAGCTGCTTACAATCCCATTCCATCCTACCTCCCTCCCTCCTCCCTCCAGCAAACAGACTAGCTAACACCCCTTCTCCCACAGTCCACAGCCCTCAAATCCATCAAGTCCCTCGCCCCCCTCCTGGACCGCGTCCTCGTCCAGCGCATCAAGGCCCAGACCCAAACCGCTGGCGGCATCTTCCTCCCCGAGTCGTCGGTTAAGGAGCTCAATGAGGCGCGTGTCCTTGCTGTTGGACCGGGGGGGTTGGATAAGGAGGGGAAGATTGTGAAGCCGAGTGTTAAGGCGGGGGATAAGGTTTTGATTCCTCAGGTATGTGAAGATCTTGCTCCAAGGGGATGGGTGGTGTCTGGATAGAGAGGGGGATGAGGAGACGAGGGATGGAGGGGAAGACGATGGGACGAGGAGAATGAAAGCTAACAATCCGGCAGTACGGTGGTTCCCCAGTCAAGGTCGGAGAGGAGGAATACGCTCTCTTCCGCGACTACGAGCTTTTGGCCAAGATCAACGAGTAAATCAACTCACTCAACCACACCACTACCACTCTATCATGAGTGAGTGAGTGAGTGCCACCACACCACGACAGAAACGGGATTGTAGGATATTATATACATGTACCAAAAATACTAGCATGCGATGAGGCGAATGGGGGAGGGAAGGGGGGGGGGTAGATTTGTACTTTTTTGGAGGGAGGGACGGGATAAGAAAGATGTATTGTATGTGGTAGAATAGCTAGGCATTGAATCCTTGATATCTCCGCTCATTTATGTGTTTCATGAGGTCTTCTACTACGTGACTGATACTATATGGCACTGTGATGGCAATCGTCTAGCACTACTGTTGCAATGGACTTGGTACTGAGATGCCGTTCTAATACCAGGCCTGCGTTGACCATGGTTGTGCTAAATATGATGAGAGCAGGTATCATTACTGAAGCCGACATGTTCATGTAACGTGTAATTTCTTTATCTACTATAGTATTTACCAAACACCTTACAAAAAATGTCATCATCCCACGCTCGCTATAAACATCCAACATCCAACATCCATCATCATCCCCAGATCAGATACACCTCCCTCATCCCCCATCCACCGCCATCCCGTTCCCCCCAAACCCCCCATCCGTTCCCCCATCCGTCCCCCCGTCCCCCCATCCCCCCATTCCCCCTGCATCCAAAGCCGCCCCAACTATATGAAAAAAAGAGAAAAAAAACCTCGCTATCCTCGTAAAAGCTCCCAGAAATATACTATACTCCACATTTTGCACCCTATCCACATCCATATCCAACCAACCAACCAACCAATCCATCCCTATCCTGTCCCCTATTTATTCCCATTATCCCATCTATAAACAACGAAAACGACACACATTTCGCGCGTGCCAGTCCATCTATCCAAAAATCCACAGAACCTCTAACATCCCTACGGTCTCTCTCTCCAAACCCACAACACCTCATCATATCCCATTCCACCCTCCAGCCACCACCTAAACCCCCAACCCAACCCCACCCCAAAAACAGAAGCTCACGTCCCCTACTTCGCAGGCGCAGCAGGCGCACTGGGCGGCTCCAACGTATGCGTATGCCCCGTCGCACTAATCACATGCCCAGTAGTCGCATCCTGTCTACAAATCACCGTCCCCCCAATCCACGGATCCTCCAGCACCTCCGCCATCGTCGCGCGCTTCCTCGGGTCAATCTCCAGCATACGACCGATGATATGTCTCGTCTCCCTCGGGAGCAACCTCAAAAGCCTCCAGGGGCCCTTGATAACCTCCGGTTTCTTCTCCACCGGCACCGCCACCACCGCGGGCGATTTACCCGTAGCGGGGGGAGCAGCGGGGACGTCAGCAGCAGCAGCAGCAGCCGGTTTAGTAGTAGGCGCCTCCACGACCGCCTTAGCAGCCTTCCCATCGAGCGTCTGCGATGCGGCCACAATCCTCGCAATCTCAGTCTCACTCTTTGCTTTCGACGTTGCGTCTGGACGTGGCTCGGTGCTCTCGGAGGGAGGGGAGGCGAAGAGACGGTACGAGTTATCGGTCATGCGGGGCATTTTCCAGGGGAAGCGGCGGAGGGACATGCAGCAGAAGATGATGGCGAGGGACCAGATGTCCGCGGGTTGGGGGTCGTATTTGCGCTCGTCGTAGACTTCGGGGGCGAGGTAGGGGTCGGAGCCTACGATGCCTGGGGGGGATTAGTATTTTTGTTGTGGACGACACGGGGGAGAGGCTTACCTGATGCTAACACGATTTCGGTCTCGAAGGGGTATTTGAACATACTCGCGCTTCCGAAATCAATAATCTTCATGATCCCAAACTCGTTCACAACAACATTATCGAGCTTAAGATCGCGATGAGCGAGTCCCATACTGTGGATAAACGTAACACCACTCAAGATCTGCAAGAACGAGCACGACACCTCCTCGCGCGACATCTTGCCCGTCATGACGATAGCGAAGAGATCATAAGGCGCATACTCCATCACCTCGTACCACTTCCCCTTTTCCCGGATGATATCAAGCGTCTCGATGATATTCCCATGATGCAGCGTGGATCCGATACAGAACTCCGCTGTCACCTTCTTCGTATACTCCTTCTCCGTCTCATACGCATGGCGAGCGCGGAACTCCTTAACCGCAAACGTCGTCCCATCCGAACTCCTCTTCATCAGTCTAACGGATCCGCCAGCACCAGCACCAAGCACCTTGCCGAACTTGCCGTACTTGGAAGTCAGGCCGTGGTCTTCGCCGAAGGGGAGCTGTTGGAGGGATTTCTGGCTTGTGGGGGTTTTGATGCCGGATTTTATGGAGGAGCTTGGGGAGGCGTTGCGTTTCGACTTGTGATGGCTGCCGATCTTTAGGAAGCGCTTTAGTTCGGACATGGAGCCGCGGGCGGGGAGGGCGTCGTCGTTTAGTCGCGCGATGCTGGGGTCTTTCTTCGATGAGAAGCTCTTCTTATCCGAGCGCAGGTCCGCGGAGCTGCGACATGATCGTGGTAGGGTCGTTGTGGACGAAGACGGCGAGGTTCGGTGTCTGCTGTTCAGACCGCTAAATACGAATCGAGGCTCGATGGTATCAAGGTTCTTAGACTGCGGAGGCCGTTTATTAGATGCGTAAGGGTCGTCCGGTTCCCCAGCTGGTGTGAACGGTCTGCTGTATCCTCCTCGACTCGGGCTCGGCTCCCGGGATTGCGGAACAGATTGTGAATAATCACTACGCTCACTCGACTGGCGAGACGGCCCAATAGCAAATGCGCTTTTCCGATATCCGGTGACGGAATCTGCCACGCTGGGTTGTGTTAGTGATGTCTGTCCTGACGAACCTGGTCTCGAAGAGTTGTATGCGGATGTTTGGGTTGTTGGTGGTGAGATCTGAGGCACTGACGTCGTGGGGTCAATTTCTGCTTCGACTCTTTGTAGGTTGGCACCCTTCCCAGTCGCCTCTCTGGATCCGCTCACTGCTGGGGTAAGTGGTGGTGTTTGCATTGTCCCAGAGCGTGAATGTAAGGATGGGCGACCTGATGCGGACGACTGAGATGGATGCCGACTCGACTCCTGGAAGCTCTCTGTCGACGGTACCTGTAGAGAAAGTACGTTAGCATCTAGTCATTATGCTAAGAGTCTAACAATATCATATGCTGTGACCAAGTGAAGGTATTGCATGGAGCTCACGCACCCTTGAAGCCGGCAACGAGACAGGCTCGAAATTGAAATGGCTCATCCTCCTCGACTGCAGATGCGTGCCACTCAACGATTCCGACAAATCCCTCAGCTGTCCCCCAGATCCAGAAACATCCAGCAGCTGCTCGCCCGTTCTCGAAGTCGTACTCGTCTCGTCAAGCTGCACTGGTTCGATCTCCTGGCTACTCGATGCAAACCGCACGGCCGGAGACCCCGGGACCGATCTTTGGGCGCCAGAACTCATGGCGAAGGTGTCCCTTGCTGGAGGAGGTATCGACGGGGAATTGATTGGGAGGGGTGTGTTGGTATATTATCTAATATTGGTAAGCACGTCTGGTATTAAACCAATGGTGGTTGTATGGAAGGGGTGTCAGGTGTGAAAAAGGAAAGATGATGATGGGCTGGCTGGCCTTGCACTCATGGATAAAGTGAAGAGTGCATCAACCAAGCCCTTCGAATCTCACTCACCAAGGGCGTGCTGTTCTAGAAAGCCACTAAGATGCTGATTATAGTGAATTAAGAATAGTGGATGCTATGCAAGTAGCAAAGGGTGTGAGTGAGCAAGGCCGACCAAGCCAAAAAAGCGAGGGTTTGAATGGGATGGCGTCTGTTTGTGTGTATGATTGTTTGGTGGTGGCGGTTGTTTGGTGGGGGAGGGGGAAAGAAGCACGGAGGGTTGAAGGTGAGGCCCGGAATATCCAGATTCAAGTGGGGCAGGTAATTTTTTAACTTGGGGTTGGAGGGATTTGGAGGCGTGGGATGTAGAGGGAAGGTACATCATATGCGGTCATAAGGGCAAAAAAAAGAGGAGAAGGTACATTTGAGGTACTTATAGCGTTAGTTATTTTCTACGCCTTCTATACAAGGAGAAGAGTTGTGCCGAGAAGGCCGCGACCGCTTTCTGTGACCACATGGTCTCCACACTATAAATTGTAGATTGTAGACATACATCATACAATTAAGACAAAAGTGATATCAACGAGATGGATATATCAGATATATAAACATTTTGGACACACTCGACTGCTCAGGTACTGAATATATATATATATATCTATATAAGCTGTGTACTGTTACTCTTCAATCCCGTACCTACCTACGTACACACAATGTAGCACATGCTCCATCCCATCCCATCTCCTCTTCTTCGGCCGTACAGCGGATAGTTAAGATGCCGTCCACCGTCGTCCCGTGGCACCGTTGGCACAGCACAACCGTTGGTACTGACTGTACTCCAAGTCCAGTAGCCCCAAGCCCACGTCTACCAGCAGGGGCAATACACCCGGAGCAAGCTTACGAGAGATTTCCGCCAATTCCACTCTCCAAACAGCCAAGCAGCAAGCCCAGTCTCTGGGGATGGAGATCGGACAAGATAAGAGGTCCGACGAGACTGCGGCCAAGAACATCCGATATCCGACGAGACTGGGGGAGTGTTGTTGGTGTTAGGACTTTGAGTGAGTGAGGGAGTGACAGTGGAGGAGTGAGGTGAGCAGGTAAGATTATCCAGTTGTATGGACGGTATATACCATACGTATTGTACGTACATACACTCTTTCTTGGCTGACTGTTGAGCGCATTCCATACAATTTATCCGTCCGCCAGTACAACACATCACATCACGAGGAGAAACAGAAACATGTGGCTGTCGAAGAAGATTGTCATTAGAATACCCTTATGACGTGACGTTACAATATCCATAGCACATGTACTGTACTACTTGTACTGCGTTGTACCAACCACCACCCCTTCTTCCCGGATCGCGGATCGCGGGCCAGAGTCGCATCAATTGTGTGAGTATGGGTGCAGGGGAAAGCTTGTTCGTGGGGGCACCAAATGGTTTCACGCCTCATGGCTACAGTATTGTATGGTATATGGGATTGTACCTCGCTGTTCACTGTTAATCAATCAGATAATCGCGTCGGAGTGAGAGTATTGGTTCATGTCGCGTAGTCAAGCATAGGGGCTTGGTATCTGGCATGTGCCGACGAAACCCATATTGTGATGTATGCATGTGTGTATGCATACTGTATACAAGACCCGCGAGCGAGCTTATATATTTGCACGTCTTCGTAGAGTCGTCTGTACTGACATTGGCCTTCGCATTCGGATTCGCATTCGGATTCTCCTGGAAGAACAGCGGCACGTGCACACCGAATAAGTGAGTGAACATTGGGATGTCATTGAGCCTCCTCCTCCTCCTCCCCCCTTCTAACCTTTCCAACTCTTCTATCGACACAATATCAATATCTCACAAGGCCCTTCTGGCCAGACCTCCCTCCTTGGTAGTATACAATCCCCATCCCATCCGGCCACCCTGCCCAACATCAAACGCCTTGCAATGGTAATAAAACAACCCCCTATCAAAACACAACCTCCCCCTCTCTCCTCCCCCTTTTCCCCCCTCCCCTTTCCCCATTCCCCTCCTTCATTCCCTCTTCCCCACTCACGGCACAACCGTAACCCCAATACTCTTCGCCTGCGCAATAACCGTCCTACACATGCCCTCCATGCTCAACCCACTCAGCCTCAGCTCACTCTGCTTAATCCTCGCAATCTCATAAACATGCTTCAGCGTCACCGTCCCCACGCTCTCCTTCCCCGGGTTCATCGCGCCCTTGAGCTTCGACTTGCGGATCGGCGCGCCGGCTGCGGTGAGGAGGAGGTAGGATGTCGTGGGCGTGCGAAGCTCGAAGTGGAAGGAGCGGTCGGGGCGGACGGTGACGCGGGCGGGGATGGGGACGCCGAGGGTTATGTGGGCGGTGCGGGCGTTGAATTCCTGGGAGAGAGAGAAGGTGTTAGTAGGAAATCTCGAGGAGGGAATTGTTACGAAAGACGGCGGCGATTGGAACTGACCTTGCAAAAATCCATCGACTTCACACCCTTACTACCCAGCGCCGGACCGACGGGGGGACTCGGACTCGCCTGTCCCGCTCCGACGATGAGCTTCACCACCACATCTGTTGCTGAGCGTGCCTTTGACATGGTTTTATGGGGAGGAATTGGTCGGCGTTATGAGGAGCAGTGTTGGCGTTGGATTGGCTTCAAATTATTTCGCGATTCGGCGCGGAAGAGTTCCCGGAGCGCGCTTAGCTGCTTTAAGGTTAGTGCGTAGGAAGTGTCAACAGGGGTGTGAGGATTAGGGATATCAGAGGAATGCTATACGCGGATAGGATCGGGAGCTATGGAGAACTATTGAATAGAAGGAGAAAATTGATTCAAGTAAGATTATGAACCCGTTGTTTCTGTAAGCCCGGCTTTTTTAGATATCATCGTGGGCACAAATGTGGGTTTTCCTTGCTCTTCCGGACATAATGGCGAGGGGTCAAGGATTCCTTCCTGTCAAGTTGCACAAGCGCTGCACACAGGACGACTGGCATCTGCCTCCCTGCCTGGCCATTTCTACTCAGAATCATGGATTCAAAGCCCATACAGTGAAGCTCCTGTGTGAACTAGAACCCGTACGCGTACAAGATAACTCCTCACATCACGTGCTAGGACCCTGTCGAACGTCAACGTAAAGTAGAGAGTAACTTAACTTGACTCGTAGCGGCAGTAACTACCGCCCGTAAGGTGGGGGGGGAGAAACGCACGCCGCCCAAACAGCTATCGAAAAAGGGAGAAGACAGCATTTATTATCCCCAACCCAACCCACCACCCTACCTATAAAAGAAACAAACAAACCCTCTCACCCCTATTAAAAAAAACACCTTACACAAGCTACCGAAACTCCAGTCAAGATGATGAACTGGGCGAAACAAGCGTATGTCATGACCACTCTCCCCGCTCCCCGCACACCGCCATCGATCGATCGAGAGAGAGAGACAACAATTATCTAACCACCGCCTTTTTCACCACACAGGCTGGCCAACGTAGCCGGCACCCAAGAGCCCATCTATGGCCCCTCCGCCATCCGCTCGGTCTCCGAACAAGCTGCGACGGTCCCTTACACCGAGCTCAAGCGCGAGGATCTCAAATGGGTGAACATGGATTCGACGTCGGTCGAGACGCAGGTTTTCTACCTGACGGCTGATAGCGGACATATTGCGTTCGTGCAGGTTATTCACAGCAATGTTGCGTACGTATTTGCGACTCTATACCCAGTCCTATGCCCAGTCCTGTGGTGGTTAGCGATGTGCTAACTGTGCGTGTGTGCGTATAGTGGTATCCGACGAACCAGCCAGTTTAACACCAAGATCTTCTATCCCGGCGGCGCCAAGCCCATCCTCTGGGCCTCCGACCCGCTCAGCGACGTCGACTTCAGCGACGACGGGGTGAACTACTATGCCGAGAACCTAGCCGTGGAGTTATCCGAGGACGGCAAGACCTATACCATCAAATCCATGACCAACAAGAGCGCCATCGTCAACATCACCATGACCCAAACCGCCCCAGGTTTCCAGGCCGGCAACGACGGAACCACGCTCTTCGGCACGGACCTCGAGAACCCCTGGGGGAAGATGAGACATGTGTTCTGGCCGCGGAACAAGGTATCGGGCACGATCGTGACGAACGATGGGCCGATTGACTTTACGGGGAAGGGAATGTTCGTGCACGCGCTGCAGGGCATGAAGCCGCATCACGCAGCGGGGAAGTGGAATTTCGTCGACTTTCAGGGCGAGAAGTTCACGGCGGTCATGATGGAGTATACCACCCCCCCATCGTATGGGTCAACGGTTGTGAATATTGGTGCTATTGTGAAAGATGGAGAGATTATCATGGCGAGCTCGCCGAATAGGGCCACGCATGTTACGACGAAGAGTGATTCGGATAATGATTGGCCCGAGCCGGCTACAGTGAGGTATGAGTGGAGTGGGAAGACGAAGGATGGGAAGAGTGTTGAGGCGGTGCTGGAGACAGCGTTGGGGGAGAGGTTGGATAGGATTGATGTCATGGCTGAGGTTCCTGGGTTTGTTAAGACGATCGTTGCGAATACCGCTGGCACGAAGCCGTATATTTACCAGGTGCGTACCCCATTTCGCTTCTACAGCTATTTACCAAGGAGGTTCGGAAAACTAACATACATTGTGCGATTTTTAGTACTCCCCAACCACCGCCCCCAGCTTGAAGCTGAAGATCGGCGATGAGGAGGAGGTCGTTGAGACGGGTAAGCTCTTTGCAGAGGCTACCTTCATCACGGAATAGTAGTTTGGAATCATCACTCAACTCAATATCGTTCCGTTCCGTCCGTCGTTTTTGGCGTTTGTTAAACTGGAGGTAAGCACACTCGTTGGGCAAATTGGAGAGGTTAATGGGAATGGATTGCATGTATGGATGGCTTAGATAGCACACTTAATAGAGTCGAGAATTGACTTGGAAGTATATGTATGGATGTGTCTTTATACTTGTTCGTATGGCGGGATTGGATTTTTGTTATTCGGTTTCATGGAATTTATCATTGATCCGGGGGGGTTATCAAAGAGATGCTTGCATACCAGGTGAATGGCTCGGCCAATAGGTTTTAGCTTCACCCAGTTGATAGCAATGGCTCCATGACTTGGAATACGTACCTACTACTTCACCAGCTGCTGACGGTTGTCTCTGATTTTATCGGGTTCATAATTATGTTGTGGCTTGAAAGAAGCGCAGAAAGTTGGGTCTTTCTGACCCAAAGATGGTGGGTTAGATGCGCCAACTTAATTGTATTATATCTGTAGAAGATGCATGATTTTAACGATGAGGATTCAACAAGGCTCGACTTTGAAATACGCAGGTCCAAATCGAGTGGTTTCTGAAGATGCTCAGATATGACCTCAGTTGCCAAGGTCTTCCCCACACCTATTGTGGATGGCATGCGACATACTGTATAATGCATTGCCTTGCCATTTTCAGCAAAATCGAGGGTCCAAAGTTGTAGTGGCAGGTACAATCCTTAGCCGTCATCGTCATAATATCGTCATGGGTTATTGAAAGCACGATGAAGCGCCCCATGGCAACATTGGTCCCATAAGGACTACGAGAGAGGAGGAATAAAACGAATATTTATAAGCCTCGCCTCCGCCTGTACACTAATGCCTATGCGTATCTCGATTTATATAATGGTGAAAGATAAACACAATTTCACTTACCGAGAATTCACTGGTAAATGCTATTGCAATGAATACGGACCACCGCGTTGTTCAAGGCCCCCTTCCATTGTACCTCACCATGTACCGGAAGTATCTAACAAGGGAAGAGGAGGAAGAAATTGATCGACAATTTCGAGGGGACACATGGCACCACAACAGTCAAGTTCTGTGGAGTGGAGTTCCGAAAATTGATGCTCAACATTGGGCAGATGAACGAGAGATGCAGACACTGACTACGGCAATGGGCAATTTGATGGTAACAGAGCATCCATCATGTTTACGATCAAAAAAAACACCACTACAGTGGTCCAATTATATGAAAGGTGCTTCGGCAGTTTTTGCACACCACATAAGTGAAGGCGAAAAGGTCATAGTATTGACGCCGCCTCCCCCGTATAAATTCCATCCGTCTGGGCTCACTAACTATCAGCTCATAGAGGAACCGATTTTGAAAGGGGAATTAGGCGCCCATGGTCGATTTCGCATTGATATGGTGCATCTAACGGTTAAAGCTGCTGAGAATTTCAAGTACCAGGTATGGCCTGTTGATCAAACACACACCTGGATTGCAAAATTTGGGCTGCCTGTGAGTACGCCTCACTGGAGACAGGTAAAAGGATACACATTTCCGCAATTACACTCTGTGGACGAAGACGTGGTGAATCACCCATCGCTTAGTCCATGCTCAAACGCGCGAGGATCTACGCAAGTGGACGCCCAAACCAATCATAATAATCAGTTGATGAATTTAGAGCACGTCAAAACTAGGAACCTGTTAAAGACTAAGGCAAAACGTGTCACGGAAGGGGGCACAACTACTCCTAAAAAAGGGACGGGACCAAAGGTAAAAGTAACAACACAGAAACCGAAGTTGGCCAAAGCCAAGAACGTGAGGCAGGTGAAGATGGTTGCGAAACCAGGAAACATCGCAAATGTCAAAAGAACGTCCACATCTAAAAAAGCATCTGGAATCCGAAAACCACCCACGGCGCAAAAGTCCAAGGCACAAAAACCACGCAAGGTGCAAAAGCCCAAGGCACAAAAACCACGCAAGGTGCAAAAGCCTTCCGCAGTGCACAAGCCATCCAAGGCACGAAAGCCGCCAAAGCCACTTAAGCCGCAAAATATGTCCAAGCCGCCAAAACCATCCAAGTCGCCCAAGGGACAAGATCAATCCAAGGCCCGCAAGTAGAGGCTACTATATGTGCCGGTTTTATCTGATAATCAGCTGCATGGATTGGGCTCTGGGAACCACTTTGGATCAAGGTGCCAGCCTCATGTCAAGAGTATATCTCATCTCATATCCTATTATCCACTGAGATCGGATTCGAAGCTCATAAAATGTGGAAGTGACCGTGATGGTAATATCAAGGTCATGTGAGTCAGCTACACATCGTTAGTTGATTTGACTCGAGGTACAGTCAGACGTGATAATTGTACAGCAAATTCCACCCCTCATGCAACCAACATTGTTTGTTATCCCAGCGCCTACAGTATCTAGCGGCAAATGACCCAAATTTGGGTCATACCCAACTAATGAAAGAGGTAGGTTCACCACAGCGACATGGTCCGGTGTGACACGAACCATGGGGCGTGGGATTTCAGATTCTTCCTCTTCGAACTTCCCTCATCAAGCCCCATGGGGCTCAGGAGTTGCTCTCGCCATCTGTGAAATAAGCCAATTACAAATCTGTTCAGACGGGTAAGGACATTATAATGAAAGGGGTCGTGGAATTGTTTCGCTTGGAATTCTGCTCTGTATTAGGTGTGTTAACAATCAGAAGGTTGCAACGGATGCTTTAGACTGACTGGAATGCGGCTATTGGGTTACAGGATATATAATCGCCATGGCGGATCTTGCAGAAATGTTTTGGAGGAACAACGTTCAAAGGAGAGCAGCAACTTTACGTTGTCGTTGTAAACAGAGCCCTCCCTCTATGCCTGTGGCTGAAACCCCATCATAACCACCACCACCAAGAAGCTCAGACACGCTTAACCCATTCCAGAACCCATAAGCTTCCATTGGACCCTTCACAACACCCCCCACCACCCCCCACCTTCCTTATAACAATCAACCATCCACCATCCCACCTTCCTTATAACAATCAACCATCCAACATCCCACCTTTCTAATTGCTCCTTCTTACTTCCCCCCTCTGAATTCTTTCTTTTCTTCTTAGATTACACCTTCTGTACCTTCTTTCTACTCATCATGACTGGACGTGGAAAAGGTGGCGCGTTTGGTGGGGCAGGCGGAAAGTCACGTTTTGGTGGAGCTGGGAAGGGAACTGCTGTGCCGAATAGCAGTGGAACCCGTGGAGTTGGGGCGAGGAGATATCGGTATGTTTGGTTGGATTGAAACAGCAAGAGCGATCTGGGCTGTGGTATAGCTGGAAGGTCCGATCGAGGCTGACGATTTTGGTGGTGTGTAGCAAAATCATGCGCGATACCATTCATGGGATTAGTAAGTTGTGATTCTGTGGAAATTGGAGGGCTTGAGCTAATGTGTGTGCAGCTAAAAATGATATTAAGTATGTGTATCTTGTTTACTGTTTCTCTTTTCCTTCTGTTATTTGTTCTTTGAACAGCAATCTTCTGCGTTTGATTTCTTATTTTATCATGTCATCTTCACTTCTTCTCTTCTCTGTCAAAGATCTATCAAAGAGCTATGATTATCTCAAAGCCAGAATAGATTCCTGATTTCCACCGATCTCATCATCTACATCTCACTTCCGAGATGTTCAGGAATAGATCGGTGGAAATCATGGGTTTCACTTCAACTTCACCTGTCAACATCTGCTTTTGTGAAAGCAACCACAACAACCATTGTTTACCAAAAAACCACAACTAACTCTCCACCCCAAGACGTCTCGCCCGCCGTGGAGGTGTCAAGCGTATCTCAGCAATGATTTATGATGACACTCGTGAGGCTATGAAGGCCCATCTGCAACTGGTCAGTACACCCCCTCCGTCCCATAATTGAAACTTACTAACCCCTACTTCCAGATTCTCAAGGACTGCGTCATTTTTATCGAGCATGCCAACCGCAAGACCGTCACTGTCGGAGACGTAAGAGACCCAGGTCGATTATTTCTATGGACGCAGCTAATGTTTTGCTTAGGTCTTGTTCGCTCTGAAGAGAATCGGTAGACCCATCTACGGATTCGGAAACGGCTACTTGCAATCCGATGCGCCCAATCGCAAGAAGAGGAAGGACTGAAGTGCCCCCGCCTGCGATCTGTGACGGATCTTTTCTGAGCTCTTTGGGATCTTTGAAATGTCAAGGCCCTCCCTTGTTTGTGGATCCGGGGGGGAAAAATCATGTGGCGAATGGAGTTATGGATGTTTTGCAATGCTAGACGGCTGGGGATATTATGGATTGTGATGAGGCGCTGTTGTTCTTCGATATTTTGCTCGGATTTTTTCTTGTCTGGTCGCTGGCCTTTTACTTCTTTGGCAGAGGCAATGATGGGGATACCCAGGATGGCAATGGTGGAGTTTGTTGGGGCGTCTGGCTTTGATATTTTGTTTCGTAGTCGAGAAATGGAATACTCTTGCGGACTGTGTCGTTGTGGTGCCATTATGACTGTGAAGTTGAATCTAAACTCTGCCCCACTGTGACTTCTCTACTTAGTTTCTATCTGTGCTAAATTATCTGCTGTAATTCATGTTCGTTCTTAAGATCACTATGTGATGGGTTCTACTGCACCATATTATCACCTGAGATGTGACGGAAGCATGCCACTGTATCAATTTTCTCATATTACGCTGTAGCCAGTAGAGAACTTCGACTATCGTCCACTGTATTCCAATACATTATGAGATCTGAAATAATACTCCATACGTATAAAAGCCACATCTCGTTGACGAAATGGATAGATCAAATCAAACAAGGCTAATTTGCAAGGCTGATGGATGGATGGAGCAGGAACACTGGTAATAATGCGGGGGTGGCTTGAACCCTCTCTATATTTCGTGGGGTACCGTCCTCGTAATTGGCAGATGAGATGCATGTCTCAACACTGCACAGAATCTCACAGCTATAGACTCCCTCTAAACTTCCCGAAAGGGCTTAAATACTGAAATGTGAAAAGTTGAATAAATTACGCAATTGTTTTTCCCAGTTTCTCTGTTTCCTTGGCCCCAAGACATCTCCACCCTAGCAGTGCCTAGTTACCAGTGTGTGCCTAGCCAAACACGTGATCACGAAGAAAGTTTCGGTCCGGAACCGGAAAAGTCCGCACTGCACAGTCAGTCACATATATGCCCCTCCATCGGCGACCAGATGAACCTTTGGATTGCACGACGACTTCACGGAAAGTAACAACACCCCCCCGTTACATAAAAAACGAAGATCAATTAGCCATGGCTAATGTCACTGTGGTTCTCGGATCCCAGGTAAGCGCTCCTGTCCCCCCAGAAACTTTTGCGGCGGTCTTTCGTTGGCCGTCCGTTTGTTTGCGTGGTATAGGGCTGATAGAGGGGTGACTCAAGTGGGGAGATGGTATGCACACGACAACTCCGTCCCATTGTTTGCGGATGGCCATGCTGACTTTTATGCGATAGAGGGCAAAGGCAAATTGGTACATTATTATATCCTCTTTTTTCGAATTCTGGGCTAAAATATGAAAGGTGGACATCTTATCTAGCAAGGCGCAAATCTGTGCCCGCGCACAGTAAGTTATCTCCAAAAGTGCGTTTATCATGAAGCCGTACTGACAATTGAACCAACAGGGGCGGAAACAATGCTGGCCATGTACGATAATTCTACCAATATATAACTTGACACGAAATTTAACCTTCGATAGACTATTGTCGCCGAGGGAAAGACGTTACACTACCACATGATCCCGAGCGGTCTCGGACTCGTCAACGAGAAATGTGTGAACCTCATCGGTTCGGGAACTGTTGTCCACATCCCCGCATTTTTCCAGGAACTCGAGGCCCTCAAGGCCCATGGCGTCATTGTCGATGATAGACTCTTCATCAGTGACCGCGCGCACGTTGTTTTGGACTTGCACCAGCGCGTTGATGGGCTCGAGGAGAGAGAGCTCAGCGGAGAGAAGATTGGCACAACCGGAAAGGGTACATCATTACCACCGCTGTTATACCAGTCATGAACACTAACAAGATACAGGTATTGGGCCAACATACAGCACAAAGATGACCCGCAGCGGTATCCGCATCAGCGAGATCTTCGACGAAGAGCTCTTCGAGACCAAGCTCCGCCGCATAGCTGCCGGCTTCAAGAAGCGCTACGGAGACCTGCTCGAGTACGACCCAGAGGCCGAGATCGCGTCCTTCAAGGAGTACCGCGAGAAGCTCGCTCCCTTCGTCATTGACCAGGTCCCATTCCTGCAGTCCGCCAAGGCGAGCAACACGAGCATCCTCGTCGAGGGCGCGAACGCTATCATGTTGGATATTGACCACGGAACCTACCCCTACGTCACCAGCTCTAACACCGGTCTGGGAGGAATCCTGACTGGTCTTACTCTTGGATGGAGATCGCTGAAGGATGTCATTGGTGTCGTGAAGGCGTACACCACCCGTGTTGGCGGCGGACCCTTCCCAACCGAGCAACTCAACGAGGTTGGCGTGAAGCTCCAGGAGGAGGGCCGCGAGTGGGGTGTCACCACTGGCCGCAGGCGCCGCACCGGCTGGTTCGACGCCGTGGTCGTCGCGTACTCCCACCAGGTGAACGACTACACGTCGCTGAACCTGACGAAGCTGGACGTCCTCGACGACTTTGACGAGCTCAAGGTCGCCGTGGCGTACAAGTACAACGGGGAGAAGCTCGACTCCTTCCCCGCGAGCCTGGATATCCTGGAGAAGGTGGAGGTTGTTTATGAGACGCTGCCGGGCTGGAAGTCGTCGACGAGCGGATCGACGAAGTGGGAGCAGCTGCCGGTGAATGCGCAGAAGTACATTGAGTTCATCGAGACGTTCTTGGGTCATGGCCTGAAGATCAAGTACATCGGCACTGGTCCGGATAGAGAGCACATGATCGTTAGATAGACGTGTGTTGCTATAGTTCTCGCGAGGATGTAGAGCGGCACACGGTTAGGTCGGATAGGGTTAGATGGATTCTCATCGTTAGAAATCAATGGCATTCATAACACTCCGGCGCAAGGAAGGTAATACGTGACAGCTCCGCGCCATGACCGGATTGGGACCGATGGAGCGCTCATATGGGCGCCTCTTTGACGCGTATAAAAACCTTACCGGATTAAGCCTGAGTAACGACCAGGCATCTTGCGAAATAGGCCCTGTGGCGCAGAGACTTGTTTTCGGCGTCATCCTATTCCTTGTATTATTACTTCGTATATTGCTGTATTGGGCGGAGCAGGATGCGCGATGATGTGGTAGGTAATAAATGAGGACGATCAGGGTTGATCCATCGCTAAGACATGGATCCCGTCATCTCATCTATATATATCCCGGCTTACTACCTTGGTAGGTGCCAATCGAGGACATGGCAACAGGAATATATTTAAGCAAAACGATTGCTGTTCTGTTCAACTTCTAATTAAATATAACCCGGCGCTCCCACCTCACCTTTTATGGTTATATCTATATCACCTGCTTACTATCCATAGCAGCTTCAAGTGATACAGAGCTTAAACCTTACTCCCCGCCTACACCACTTCTGTATCCTCCCAACAACCACCCCACAACCATCACCATGGCCACCGAACGTCTCTACCAACTTCTCTACCCCCTTCCCTCCCCACCTCCCCGACCCCGCCTCTCCTCCTCCCCAATGCAAATCCTCGCCCTCGGCCTCCCCCGCTCCGGCACCGACTCCCTCCGCACCGCCCTGCACACCCTAGGCTACACCCACATCTGGCACGGCTTCGACCTTCCCTCCACACGCCCCCACGACTGCGCCATCTGGGTCCCTCTCCTGCAATCCAAAGCGCGTGGCGACTCCGGGCCAGGTCGGGAGTTTGACTGGGACGTGCTGTTGGGTGATTGCGATGGGGTGATGGATATGCCTCCCGGAATATTCGCCGAGGAGTTATTGGATTTTTACCCGCAGGCGAAGGTGGTGCTGAATCGGAGGAGGGATATGGATGCCTGGCATCGGAGTTTGAATGAGGCTGCGAAGATGATATTGGGGAGTTGGGGGATATGGGGGTTGAGTTGGTGGGATGCGGAACTGTTTTGGTGGTATCGGAGTGCGGTGTTGTGGATGGGGATTATGGGAGAAGGCAAAGGGGGGTTTGAGAAAAATGGGAAGGAGTGGGCGGAGAGGTATTATGAGAGGTTGGAGGGGAAGTTGGAGAGGGAGGGGAGGGAGTATTTGGATTGGGAGGTGAGGGATGGGTGGGGGCCGTTGTGTGGGTTTTTGGGGAAGGAGGTCCCGCATGAGGATTTCCCTTGGGGGAATAAGGGGGGGAATGAGTTTGAGAAGAATGCGAATAAGGCTATTGAGAAGATGGTGAAGAGGGCGGTGGTGAGGATTGCGGGGACGGTGGTTGTAGTTGCGGCGGGTGTAGGAGGATGGTGGTGGAGGTCACAGTGATTTCCTAAGAGGATGGAGAACGGGTCTCAGAAAAGGATGCTCGGGTCAGACAATGCACCACGAAGATTCAGACGAGGTATCTCATTATCAAAAGCCATATTATTTAAAGGGGTTTTATTTGGAGGTTCTACTGTATCTCCATGTAAGAAAACATATACATAAGAAAAGGGGGTATAAGACAGACCACCGCTTCCCGTACCCGTACAATCTAGCCCTATCCTTGCAAAGCAAGACGACGCGCGCTGAAATAAGCTAAATATACAACTGATCCAAATCATACAAACGAAACATCATACATCAACTCCATTATCTTCCGTAATCTTCAACACATGAGCTTCCCTCTGCTCCTCTCCCCTCAGGCCGCAACGGCCGCCTCAGCCATCAACTGCTCACCCTCATCAAGAATCTCGGTGATCTTCCCGAGATTCCCAATCATGCTCCTTCCCAAGCCCACAAGGAGGAGCTTCTCTGCGTTCGCCGGCAGGCCGAGGTAAGTCGGCGGCTCTCTCTCGGGTAACTTGTTCACCCACTCCATATATTCTTTCAGGCCAGTTCCGCTGGGGACAACCAGGCTTCCGTCGCTTCCATCGGTGGCAACTGTGAGTCCTGGTGTGCTTTCCACAAGCTTGTGGCCGATCTCGTATGCCGCGGGGGTTATGATGGAGTCGACTAGCTGGGTAAGACGTGCGAAATCTCCCTCGTCGTCAATCTTTCCTCCATAGGTTTCAGTAATCAAAGTCCTGAGCATATCCCATGGGAGATTCTGGGGTGCAACGTTTGACCGACCGCCGGAAACGGATTCAACCCAGGTATCGATCACGTGTGCAGAGCATTCATACTGTAAATGAGGTTAGTAAAGAACATTTTGAGGTGATTCGGGTAATACATACGTCGCTGTCATTGAACTCCCAGAAACCCTTCCATCCAAGGTTTGGCGCATAGCGCAGACGCTCTTGTACAACTGCGTGTAGGAAAGAGAGCAGAAGATACAGCCGGGTTCGCTCAACCGGTGTCTTAATCGCCCTGGTGGACACAGACGAAAGAGAATCCTTCATATTCGCTCTCACACCAGCTGGTTGCTCGTACATCAGGACACGAGACGCTCTCAGCAAATTGACAGGAATCTTCGGACTCGATTCCATCGACAGGAAGAGTCTGAAGTCTGGGTGCGGCTTGAGGGAATCCATACGCTTCTCAAGACTTTGAAGCCACGTAGGTGCCAAGTGAACGTTCTTGATGAGCACCCAGTTTCCAGTGGCGGCTGCGTTGCTGATTGCCTTGTCTGCCGTTGATAAGCCCTCGTTTGAACCCATGGCAATGTTTGTGCAAGAAGCCTGGACTCTCTCAACGAGACTGTCCACCTTGTAACTGGCATCGAATCCAGGGCTGGAGCAAAGCGCAATAGGGCGGCTTGCTGAGACCTGTTCGACAGTCTGACTTAGGTCTTCCGTCATGTCGAAGATTCTTGAGCCAAACACCGCGGTAACAAAACGCTCTGCGGAAGGAACGAATCGATCGAGGCGGAAGATCTTAACGACTAGTAATGAGTACAGTTCCTTGTCAATCTCGCTGGTACTGTCGTCCCAGATCTTGGGAATGAAATTCTCTCCCATTTCCTCGCAAAGGAAGCGGTCCAAATCTGCAGGAGGTATGTTGTCCAGTTTCCCCTTAAGAGCAGGAACACGCGCTGCTCGTGCAAATACTTCCTCCTTGCGGCCCGTCTCTGTGGATAGATCGGTACCATCAATGCCATCATCCAGGATTAAGTCAATGAGGCTCTTGTCCATCTTAAATGGCGAGGCTTGAGCAAGCAACATTGCGAATGTAATCCGGTCCTTCTGTAACAATCCAAGTGAAGTTCGTTGGTAAGTTGTCACGAAGAGATCTTCGATGATAATATCGCGTCGAACATTGTGGTCTGTCTCGGTGGCTAACCTTGGGTTATCGTGGAGAACGCTGTTGAAAATGTCCAAAAAGTATTGCAACGAAAATTGGTAGAAGTGGTTGAGGTAATGGAGCTGTTCCAGAACAGCAAACACAGCGCTGCAAGAACGAGCAATGATATTGTACTGGAGTGTGATTGCGTCGACTTCTGCCATCACACCTTCGGTGCTGCTCATCTTCTTTGAGATTTCAGCGGCCTCCTTCTTCAATGTCTCGAGAGTCTCAATGACGTTGTCATCGTCCAGAATATTACCACGGGACTCATTCAGAGCCTGCAAGAGGCGCTTCTCCAATTGGCGAAGGTGGACCTTGAATTCTCCCTGTAATTTGATCAGGTTGGATCTTCGCTCATCCACATCAGGACGCTCAGATTTCAGGACCTCGTTCAATGATTGCGTTTGGAGACTGCTCTGGGTGACAGTGAAATTGACGAATGTTGTGCGACTGCATACATCTGGTGCAAACGTAGCCGATGGATCTCTGGTCGAGAGATAGATCTTGAAGGCTGGGGAGAAATCGATCTCTTGCTTGCCGAGCTGGATGAGAACACGCCCGCCAGTCTTTTGGTATTCCTTGTTGAGGACGTGGTTAAGGATTGGATCCAAATGCTCGGCATCTTGAATCAAGATCGGGTTACCGAAACGGAGCGAACTCTCAAGCTGTTTGGTGAAAGAATCATCCAGGAAACTGGTAACAGTCAATCTCCGATCCTTGCATTCCTTCTGAAGGAACTCGGTGACGCGTCCGGAAGGATCGATGATCAGAGGATAACGGTTGAAGCGCTTCAAGATGATAGCATTTTCGGTGCAGAGATCATCAACTGGAAGCGAATTTTCTTGCCAGCTTAGTCTCTCATCAGCCGACGACAGGTATTCAGTAATCGGATTGTGCTGCTTGAAGTCGATGCCAGACATCTGGAGTTGGCCGAGCCAATCATCCATCATGTTTTTGCGGAATTGCTGGTCGTAAAGTCCACTGTATGCCAGGAAGGCAGCTGCAACAAGAACATCTCCCACCAAGGTGCTGATCTGGGTTTCAAACGATTTGCTTGCATCCTCCCATCTGGTTCTCTCCGACGACAAGCTGTCAAGAAGACGAACACTGCGATCGACCTTGAATTGAACTCGCGACATCTCTGACTTGATTGCCTGTGTCTCGCTAATAAGGGCTGCGTATTCCGTCTTGTAGCGTGCAATACTTTGCTCCAATGCAGTGATAGTATTCTCGACAGCCTGTGCCTCTGCCTTCGTCTCGAGAGCCTTCTCCTCAAGCAGGCCAACCTCTTCCCTCAATGGACCAACACGATCCAAAATCTCGGAATAGTTGACTTGAGCCTCAACCCACTGGACAAGAGGTCCACATGCTTTACTGGCGTGGCTGACCTTTTCGTAGGTGAAGTCTTCTTTGGAAAGGAAATCATTTCGCATCTTGACTCGGAGGTTCTTCGTCATCTGCTTCTCATTGTCATAATTGACGATACTGGCAATGAAATCATCACGACGAATGATACCTTGAACCGTCTTCCAGCTGTCGATGCGGTGGCCAAGCAGAGTACAAACAGAGTCCAAAGCAAGCTTAACACCCCTTGGAGGGTTAGACATAGAACGCACTTCTGTTAGGTGCTGCTTCTTGATATTGCTGACACTCTTTTGTGCCTCGATAACGGCGGGCTCAGCATTAGCCAGGTCGTTCAGGACAAGCTCTCGGCGCTCAGCCACTGTAACTTCCTGCTTCTCAAGGGCAGATTGGATCTCCAGAGACGTTGTCTTGCGCTGTTCTGCCAGTCGTTGATCAGCAATCATACGTTGCAGCTTCTCGTTTGCCTCTGCGTCTTTACGCTCGAGCTGGCCAGTTTTCTCCGCGAGGCTGATGCGAAGGTCGCGAACTTTATCAACGGTATCTCTCAGTTTCTCCAAACCGACATTCAAATGACGCTGCTGATCCTCCAAGTCTTCGCGCTTTTCATTGTAAAGCTTGACGTATTGAGCAACGAAGTCCAAGAAGTGCCTGGGAGTGAGGAAAGTAACTCTGCTTTGTTGCTTGAGCAACTTGAGGTTGAAGCGCTGCAGAGAGTAATGGATATAAACCATTGCGTTGACAACTGCATCCCGGTGACTGGCAGGTAAGGAGAGCTCGCGATATGCCACTGGGATACTGTCGGATGGAGTGTAGCTTGGACGGTCCAGGTCGACAGAATGGGTTAATTCGGATCCAACCTGGAACAACGCTTGATCAGACCAGTCACCAAACCAGTTCAGAACACAACGATTGAAAAGAGCAGGACTAGTCGCTGCCTTCGACGAAAGACCGTCTTCGGGTGGGTTCATCGTGAAAACAACGTGAAGGTTCTTGATGATCTGTTGCGTGAACCATTTGTAGAGTTCTTCCTGGGAGTCGAGCAAGAGACCTTGGCGTTGAGCACCTTCCTTGCAGGCAGTCATCAGGGATGCTAACTCATCGCCTTCGAACAGACCAGGAACTTCAGCATTAGCAAGCAATGTGTTCATACGCTCAAGGAATCCGGAATCAAGAACGTTAGCTTCGTCCATAATGAAACAAATCTTCTCGCCCTTACATCCACTGCGACGAAGAACATCGCGCAGATCGTCGTCGAAGTCCTCACCCGAGTACTTGCCATGGACCTTGATTTGGAAAACCTTCAGGCCATTCATCCAGGCAACAAATCTGGACAACGTCGTTTTGCCACTACCACTGACACCAATCAAAATAAGATGACCCTGTGGTTGTCTGAATACTCGATCAATGCGTAAGACGTGCTCGAGGACGTCATTGAAAAGAATCAGGGGCACATCAACTTCCTCCTCACAGAAAGTCTTCAGCCTAGCCTTTACAAACTCGCGTAGCTGTTCTCTATCGACGGGAACGTAGTTCTTCGAGAGCCAGTTGGAATACAGGATTGGTCCAGCGAGAGCCTTGGTTTCGTCCATCATTGGGAAGAACTCGAGCGCATTTCGGCGGACAGCATCGTCAGTCCATTTGCGTTCATCTTCAGAAACCAGACGATCCTGGAAGAGTCGAAGCGCCTCATGCGCCCAGATACGTACTAGCCCTTCCACGGAAAGAGTATCAAGTGGTCTAATGGCTTCGTAAATACCTCGAACCCATCTTGTGAGTTCACGGGGACTGTAGACGTAGTGGGGCTGGATCTTTGGCGTGAAGCGCTCCTGGGATTCGGTATAAAATTGAACCATGGCATTGGTAAGTGCTTCGGAGTATCCTCTCAGCGACGGAACAATCTTGAGCACAGCACTGGTGAAGGTGCCGTAAATCTGCTTGAGTGATAGCTGACCGGGATAATCAACCA